GATGTCAGCGCAAATTATTTCTAAAAGGACTGTATATTTGCAAAACCAAGGCAATCTCCATAGGACATAGTCTCGGGACTGCTCCCTGCCGAGCCTAAGAAAAACATTCCGACAAGTAAAACTGGTGCTCATTACAGGGAGCAAGTCAAAGCAAATATATCATCTTCCTCAAGTCTTCTGTTAACGGTCGCTACACATATCTCGTTCATAATTCTCATCAGTCCACCAACTGAGTGGTACTAAAGTGCTAACCTCAGCCCTCCTTGTTCTCGACAATTTTCAGCGGATTTGACCAATCACATTTCGTCCTTTGTGAATTTCGTCCAAAATCTCACTGTGAACTTGCTAAACTGAACCCACTTTTTTCATAAAATTCGTAAACGTTACTCCTCGACGCTCTCGTACTATGGAACTACGAAGTTTTTGAAAGATGACAAGAACCTCTACTACGAAGAAGTACAAGTAAACCAAGAAGGGTTCCTCATTGTCAAAGGAAAGGTGGAGACAAAGAGTGTTATGGATGTTCTCTTAGCTTGGAAATATGGTCAAACGATGATTTTGAGAGGTAATAGTTTTGCAATTTTTTTGTGTATTTTGCATTAGATGCTGACAACTTCATGTTCTGTTAGGTACTCTGCTGAGTGATGAGGGTAACCATAGTGTGGCATGTGTGAGGATGACTATTTTCTCTTTTCGTATTTTTTGTCTCGCTCGCTTCTTCGCTCTTCTCTTGTGAAGAAAAGAAAGTTCTCTAGTAAAATGCCCTCCGAAACATGGTACCCAGGACACCGCTGTTGCGAACCAAGATACTCCAAGGACTAGTTCTACTACATTCATGGCTATGCCGGAAGTGCTCAGTGGTAATCTGAATACTCAAATACCAGACTGGTTCACTCAAGCTTTAGGTGCCTTGTCGAACTCCAGAATAAATGCTTGTGGGTCCTCAGCATACTACCAGAAAAACAAAGAAAATTCCTGAGCAACACTTCACTTCGACTGCTAAGGCTAATCGCTGGAGAACTATAGGAAGTTGCATGGCAATTTTACCCTCCTGTTTTTCTGGTCTGGCTGAAGATTGGTTCCATGCACTCATATCACAAAAGCCTGCATATTCTTGTTTCCTTACGGATCCCTCTGCTCTCGACTCTTCTTTCGAAGAAGCATTCTTAGAGTGATTCCTGAACCCCAATTTGCTTGGAGAATTTCGCACACGCTGTGCTTCTCGTCGTCAAAATACTTCTGAGACTGGCATTTCTTACTATTTGGAGCAACGGGCATCGATCAAGATGGCTGACCCTAAGTCTGACTGAGACGAAGGTACTAGGATGTCTATGATTATCGAAGGTCTAGAGGAAGAAAGACGCAAGTTTGTTGACGCCCGTAATCCGAGAGACCTAAACAAATTACGTGAAGCTATCTCTCGTGCTGATTCGTATACTATTAATAATTCTACATTGAGCCTGCAAAACGTTTTTTGCGAGCTCAAGGATTCCATTTTATCGATCTTGGACAAAAAGTCTTCTCCTGTATCTCAACGTCGGATACATTTTGAGGCTTCCTTTGTCTCTTAACTCTAACTGACTGACTTCCGACTCGACTTATATCACTTCTGGCTTTTACTTCTCACTCTTCCATGACTCTCTCTGGTTTCCTTTTCTGTCCCAGAGGATGGTTTTACTGTTAACGTACTTGACTCCCCTCCACTCAAGACCTTGGCAATTTCTCTATGTTTACCCCTTCCACTACTACTGTTCACTATCCGGCATAAATGTCAAGATAAACATCTCCGGCAATTCTGTTATGTCTTCTCATGCCGCTGCTATGATACCCTTGGTCACTCCTCCTAAATACTCTGGCTCTGCCACTGAAGATCCTACGGCCATCATTATTTTATTTGATGAAGCCTCCAAGGCCAACCAGGGGACTTCTGGCGTCAAATAAACATTTTACCTACTTGTTTGACTGGACTGGCAAAACTATGGTTCAATGAGTTTAATTCTCAGAACGTTACTCTGCAAGGTTTTCGGGAAAATGCTGCGGCTCCTGGAGACTCGTTCGAACTTTACTTCCTAAGGCGGTTTGTTACTTCCGATCATCTTCGCACTTTCCGCAAGATGGTAAATGATCGGAAGCAACATGCGAATGAAGACGGCTGGATGACTACAAGGATAAGATCGAGCTAATCGAAAGGACCGATCCCTACAAGGTGTGGGACGAAACTTTGAGAATTCAGATGGTAATTGAAAATCTACGACCAAAACTTGGCAAATTCGTGGATGCTCGTAACCCTATCTCTCTAGACCATTTGCGTGATGCTTTTGTCCGTGGTAGAAGTTATACGTCTGATGCTTATCGTAAATCTAAACCCTTGGAATCGGGAATGAAAGAAATGATGTTGATGCCCCTAACTAAAAACCATAATTCGGATAGAAGAGTATCATTCAATGAAAACAAGCCATCTCGTCCTGGCCTTTACTCCCTACTCTGTTATGACACTCTCTGTTTTCCCTATTCTGTCCCAGAGGATGGATTTATTCTTAACGTACTCAATTTCCCTTCTGCTACATGACTTTGGCAATTTCTCTTTGTTTACCTCTTCCACTACTACTGTTAACTATGCGGCATAAATGTCAAGATATACATCTCCGGCAATTCTGTTATAGGTCTACACTGGGATACGTATTTGAATGTGATAGCTTGTATTCTTCGGATATGGACCATTTTAATTTAGTATGATAAATTTACAACTTAGAAATGAACAGAAATAAATGTAAAACTCCCACCGTTGGTCGAACAAGTAATTAAAATACGCATAGAAAGACTGTATAGAAATGCCTCATAGCAAAGTTATAGCATTAGTACTTGATAGGCATATTGTACTTCATATGCCTTGTTGGTGGCGCTACCTATTCCTTTCTTAAATGAAATGAAAATTTACACCTACTCATGTCTGATTGCTGGTTTATTTTTTACAAGAGAAGATACCTTACTAATATATACAAGATGGTATTGTACCGCAAAACAGTTGGACAAGGCAGCTCGTTTTATTTTTTACTATTTATTGGTGAAGTTTAAGCCTCCAACAAATTATGCATCCAATCAACCTCATGCAGCCACTATTAGCCGTTTTACACTTAACTTGATCTGTATGGACGTATAAAGTATCTCGCAATTAGACTCTTCCCCAACATGCATTGAATCTTCTTTCAGCCGTGTATGATACCGACTGAGAGTTATGTTATTTAGGCAAGCATTTTGGTCGAAGCATATGCCGAGAATTCATAGCAAGGTAATTAGCAAAGGTCATCAAATGTGGTATAAATTCTTAACAAAAAATGAATTATGAGAAATTGGGAAGGTCTAATGAGATGCTTACAAGTGTAAATATAAAAATTGAAAACGAAAACATTAATTCATTCCCACTTTTGAACGGTATGACCTTCTGAATACATTTCATGACAAAGCTAAACTTAAGCTACAAGTCTTTGGAGGAAAAAATAATGTGCAAAGAAGGCATTAGCGTGCGTTTTATTTCTGTCAGGGAGAAGTACTTCTTTCAACACCCGTGTGGCCTCAGACTATCGTTAAAGACATTTCAAAATGCTCTGGCAAGGACGTAGGAAACACGTTCAAAAAACATCTCAAAAAAGTATAGCAGTCTTAATAATGCAGGTGCTTTTTAAGCTAGTTTACACGGCTTCCCCCACACAGCTGTCGTACGATGACAATTTTCGTCGGAAGCAAACAAATTCACTGCTTAAACTCGAAGCTGAAGCGGCTTACACGTGGCACCAAGTAATTTTGTGGCTACATAAAAAAGACATTTTGTGCTTCGGCTTACTTCCTTATTGGTGCTTTCGCTCCCGATACCTTGTCATATTGACAGTTGGTCTTAAAGCCTTCCTCGGTAAAGGATTTGATTTCACAATATTTTATTTTTGTTGATACAAAGGTCATTTAGGGGATATACTTCAATATAATACAGATAAAAATTACAAAAGATAACGGAAGTTCTTGTTGACTCCAGTCTCGGGAGCAACATCACCCACATCGCGATCATCGGGAATGACTTGTTTCTTTTCAGTCATAGGGACACCATACTTGTCATCCAACTGTCTGTTAGCTCTCTTGAGCAAGAAACGCAAACCAAAGCAAAGGACGACACCAAGGGACATGTAGACCAGAATGACAATGTTGGCAACAAGGTACTTGGGAGGGTTGGTGTACAACTGAGGGCCATAGAAGTTGGAAAGCTGCGAAATCATATTCAACAATGCGAATCCAATAGCTTTCTTGTCGCGCGGTCCAGGGACACAGTCACCGAGCCAAGCTAGTGATACACCAAGTGATGCCCAAACACCACCACCGCACAAGAACAAGGAGAAGAAAAGAAGAGCCTTGTTTTCAGTTGAGATTTGGAAGATGTAACCGATGACAGCCTATTGCGAAAAATTATCAGTATACCAATTTTAATCATCGTAACGTAAAAATTCGTGACACCTACCAAGGTCATGCAGAATGCAACATAGGGACTGCGAAGTTGTTGACGATCAGAGAGGACGGATACGATCAAAGAAAGAATGGCGGCAAAGCAGTAGACAGGAATTGTCATATACTGTGTCATACTTCCGGTGTAACCAATGTTTTGAATAATAGTAGGCATGAAATAGTTGAGCTGACCACCAGTTTGAATGGCCATGAAGATGATAATGAAAACCCAGATCTTGTAATCGAGCACAGCTGCCTTGAGACCGCTGAACGAGAACTTTTCCTTTGGCTTTCCTTGGCCCAAACGTCTGACAGCCAAATCTCTCTCTTCCTCAGTAAGCCAAGTGGTAGTACCAGGATAATCGGGTAGAAGCCAAATAGCAGCGAAAGCGACAACGAAAGTAATGCATCCCTCCAAAATAAAGAGCCATCTCCAACCAGGAAGTCCTCCCTTTCCTTCCATACCTATTTGATTATACATGTTTAATGTCACTGTGGCATAGTGTACGACGTCAACACCAGATCCGGCTGCTTACCTTGGATAATTGCACCAGCTAAGGCACCACCTAAAGCACCGCTCAACCAGTTACCGCAGTAAAAGATAGAGTTTCGCATAGCAATTTCACGGGGTTTGTAAAAAGTGGAGAGAACGAAGACGGCACCAGGCCAAAATCCAGCTTCAGTAATCTAAAAAATAACAATCCTTGGTTAGTCCCATTGCCAAAAAAATTGTAACGAAATGAAATCACACATACTCCCAGGAAGAAACGAACAAGAAGAATACTCTTGTAATCTTTGACCAAAGATGTCAAGGCACTAACAACACTCCAAAGGGCAATCAAGGCAGGCACTAATGAAGCACAAAAAGAATTAGATTTCCGAACCCCAGAAAATATTAGTGTGACCGCTTGTTTCAATTGACTTACGATATCTTGAAGGTCTTGACCGCTCCAACAACATGTTACTGGGGATTTGCATAGCAATGACGCCAAGTGTATAGATGGAGATACACCAACTATATTGCGAGTTGGTCAAGCCCAAATCCGTTTGCAAACCAGCAACCTACCAAAGCGAAAATATCCCGTTTAGCCACAGGTAGACTCTTTTACATGAATGAACATGGCATTAACACTAACCTTTGCATTACCGATGTTGGAATTATCGAGACGTTGACAAATGTAGATGAAAGTGAGAGTGGGGACGATTCTCATATCCAACTTTCTGACCAAAGCGCGCTCACGAGCTTCAAGCTCAGGGTCATTTGGCACTACATGGGTGTTTTCAACCGTGGTAATGTCTATATCTGGAAGGAACTATTTAGTCAAATTGCCGTATTGGGGAGAGCGCCAGCTAGCATGGATCAACGCCAGAGGGGAAGAAAGCTCACCTTTATTGATAGAAGACATGCTGAAATCTTGAGTGAAAAAGTTAAAGCGACTTCTGTGGAGAAAAAGAGATTCAGGTGCCGGGGTATTTAAATGGTTGAAGACCTAAATGCGAGCGAACCAATAACTGTAGTAGGACACTGTGTTGACTTCACTTAGTTGGAGACCACTTCTCACGACGTTCTCTGGCTCCAGCTTAAAAGCCAACATTATGGTTTGGAGAGGGTCCGGAGGAAATGATATATTTTTAAATACCGCCGTGACACATCCAATCGCCATGGCATATGAGCTCCTTTTCCAAATTCGGATGTTCCCCTTTCAACCCTCACGATAAAGCAGTTGAGTTCGATATGATAGGTCCTAAACTTCCCGTTTATTGCGGGCTGTGGTACCGGGAAAAATTCTTTATCTTTATTGCGATGTAACAGTACAAGCAACTCAGTATCAAAGTAAAGCAGTAGCTTCAGAAATTGCGCTGATTACTTCTAGTTTCAGTGCATCCAATCGAACGCGGGTAAAAGTTAATGACTGAACCCCGTCTGAATTGAGCTTGATAGGTAGAACATTGAGTTTCCCCAGTAACGAATCAGCGGTAGTAGACTTTTGTCGTATGATACGTTTGACGTATAAACATAAGCTCTCAAATATTTTTGTGTTAGTGCAAATGGAGTGTAGAGTTCTGACGGGTGACACCGTTGGGTGATGGGTGCTGTCTGCTTTAGTAAACCAATTGGAGTAAGTCAATTCGCCCTGCATCCACGCCGCTTCTTTCAGCTTGGAAACTTCCCTAGAGGACAGTCTCAAAAGAGTCATGACCATATCTTCACCATGAGCCGATACCGTAATGTCCGCTGTTCCGTCTGTCACCGTAAAGACGGCATCCGCTAGAAACAGTCGCTTTTCTTTGCTACAAGTGCCAAAACACATGTCCTTGATGATCCGTTGTCCACATTCTAGACATATCCAAGAGATGTTGACTTGTTGTATTGACCGTACGGTACACACTGATTTGTAAATCTTGGTATCTGTGGTGCGGAGAAATGCGATAAGTGGTCTATTTTCGACCGCCTGTTCAATGTTTGCTGGATCATTAAGCTTTGTGTCCTCTCCCGTTTCTACAACTTGAACGCGCGTGCGCGGTACCACCACACCATACACTGATTTGGTTCGGTCGGACACTTTGAGAGATATCTTGCATACTTGTACTTTGCATCCCGGTATTAGCCCGTGAGGATAAGGTGTTTTGCTGACGTCGTAATATACATCAATAGTGTCGGGACTGTCAACACACCTTATTCGCATATACAGCCAGCGATTTGGCTTGCCTGTTCCAACTCCGAGATGTTCGTAGACTCTGTGTGTATACTTGTCCAACCCACTAGTCTTAATTCTTGACTCAGTAAACTCCTTGATGACAACATAGCCTTCGAATGAGACTAAATTCTTGTAGAACCCATTACTCAATATGGCGGGGCTATCTGGTTCGCTTTCCACCGCAAAGTTGATATTGAGGATGTCTTTGACGCTGCGAATGTTGGTGTTATGACCAGGGGCAATTTCCATGGAAGGTATGGAATGAGCGTGCGAGACATATTGTTCCAGTTTGAATTGTCCGCGACTTGGTAAGATGGGGTATACAGATGCCGATTGCACTAGTTCAATTGCATTTGGTGACAATTCTGTCTCTTGTGAGCCATTTTGTAGTACATACCAACCACCGACTTGCATGTAAGAGAGAAGCGCAAGGGTTTTCGAAGCAGATGACAGGGATATCCTACTACGCAAGGGAGACTCTATCAATTTTTGTGATGATGCTTCAGCATTTGGAACCAAGTCGAATACAGTAGCGTCAACATAGCAAGCAAGATAGAGCTTGCCATAATCGTCAAAAGTAAGATATGGAGCTTGTAGATGTTCGATGTAAATAACATGGCAGTCTTTTTGCATGATTTTCGTTAGACTTGGGGTGGGATTGTAAGCGAACAGGCGATTTTGCATTATGTTGTTGGGAATGGATGTGCAGAATGTGATAGTCTGTATGTTAGGTTGCAAAGGCACGACGTTCTCCCATTTAACCAATAAATATTGAGACGAACAATCCACAGGTTCGCCGTTAGGATCCATGTATCCCAGGTCTTCTTCCACGAAGGTGCAATGGGTGATGATATAGAGACTAGTCGAAAACAAGTGGCGTGGTTGCTTGTTGGTGACTACTACAGGAATGCGACTAGCAGCGTCTGCAAAATATAAGCGACCATCCACACCACCAGAAATGTACCCTAGCAAAACGCATGAAAACGGTTCAGTGTTCGAAAGCTTGTAGGTGTAGGCTTGCATTGTAATGTTAGTGAGTGGATTCTCATTATGTACAGACGAAGCGATAGGAACCTCGATTAAATTAGGAATGGAAGAACGTTGATCAGCCAGTTGTGAGATAGATGGATAATTTTGTAAATGAAGCCGGGGCGGATTAACCTCATCAGTATGTGTTTCATATGAACAAAGAAGGCAGTGCGTGGCGTGTTGAATAAACTCTTCGTAGAGGTCTCTAGGCTGCGTTTTATCTGGTCGGTGGCCTGTCTTTTCCAATAAAGCATTTGTGATTTCTATGAGCGACTTATGGTCGATATCACGCGCTTTCCGCAGCAAGGAAAGATATGCCTCCATCCAGATAGCCATATCTAGGTAGCCATGCTGATATACAAATCCATCATTTGCAATAAATGCTGCCATGATGGACGGCGAGCTGATGACCGCATGATCGAGAGCTGGTGCGGATATAGGTATAGCTTCCAATATGATAGAAGTATGAGTACAAGCTACCAGTGTAAGCCATGTTTTTTCCTGTGAAGTCGTCACTGGGCTGCAATGGCAGAATTGGCTTAAAAATATTGACCCGAATGTATTGGTGTGAAACGACGTTAAGTGAGCTCGTTTAACGGTAATCTTGCTTCCTTCCAAATATGACGCAAGGGGGTTATAGGCAGGGTATTGTGTCAAGGCTAAAAACCATTTCTTGTCAAGAACATACAGCCCTAGAACCGGATCAATGACTGTAGTAACAAGACCGGTGTAGCCGCCCATGTGATTTCGATCAACAAGTCTATCGTAAGGTTGTATAAATGCCGAAGATGTCGTGGGTGGATGATGTGGAGAGATTTTGTCTAGCATCATTGCCGCTTCTGTGAAAGTTAGCTTGCACTGATCAGATTTCGAGCCATCGAATAGGAGCATTGGCTGAGGGTTAGATGTAGCCATTCCCAGTTCAAGATGTTTGAAAACGTAGTAATGATCTATCTCTATTTCGCTATAGTGCTGACGAATGTCCTTGCCCCTGATCGTAATAAATGAAGCGAAATCATCTTGAGCGATTTGGACAATAAAGTATGGTTTCTTTTCTTGATCCAAGAACATGGGAGATTTGACAACTACTATAGACACCAAATTGACAGAAGTCTCGCGGTCGTCGATCGTGGACAGCGTACAGAATGTCCTGTCTGACTCAATCCAGCTTTCAGCTCGACGCACTCTTGCATTTTCGATAAAATTTGACAGTGGCTCTTCCGTCTCTTCTACCATTGAGTCCGTCATGGATATATTCAGTAACGGCTCTTCAAAAGTCTGTAAGAACCATACATTGACTTTGACAGGTACACCAATAAGAGATCTATCGAACGCGGTTGTTCGACACTTGATCCCCGTGAACGAGTCGGGATCGATCAGCATGAGACAGTCATAATCTCGTGTAAAATGGGGCGTATATTCACAGTATTCCAGTTCCCCGGTCAAACATACTCCTTGCTTTTGGTAGTCTGTATTGTGTTGCAAATCGCTTGCTGCAAGTTCCGCAATCGATATAGCATTCATGTAACGCGAGTTCCGCTCTCAACACAACAGGCAAATATTTTGTCGTTCAATGGCTCAGCCAATCAGAATACCACTGTTTAAATTTTTCTTCAGCTTTAAGCACATAAATGCACACTAGTCGCTGTATCTTATTTGAACGGCCCATTCCAGACACATCTGCACTTAATACGCAATGACAAAACTTTATTGAAGCGAGACATAATCGGAGGAGCGACTTCCGACTCTTCGATTCTCCAGACCAAGTTGTAACAGCGAACCGATGACGCTTTACCGCACTGTCGGTCTGGTAAGGCTCGGAAAAGTGTTCAAACTCTATGTTGTAAAGGACTTCAGGGTCCGTTAGACTAAATTTAAGCTCACTACCTGGAATTTGTTGGTCTTTCCCTCGGCCAGTTAACAAACTCTAAGAGTATGACTCCGCAAAGCGCAAAATGAATGTCAAACTATGACTGTGTGTCCCACAGATTTCATCCTGTACCCAACTTGACTCTCCCCCACGCGATATTCACCACTTTTCACTTTTTCCCACTTTCTAAAAAAATTATGGCTGGTAAGGAACTTGTCACCGTTACGCAAAATACCCGCTTCAGTCAGTGACTAAGACATACCATATTGCACTCGCTATAGGACCTTACGACACAATCATCCAAAACGGTATCGTCATTGACACTTTGTCAAAAGTCGAGCTGAGAGCCGATGTTGCTATCAAAGACGGCAAGGTGGCCGCTATCGAGCCCAGCATTCCCTCTGAGCAAGCTAACGAAGTCGTTGATGCCACTAATCAGTATGTGTGCCCTGGACTGATCGATATGCATACACACGTATACTGGGGTGCCACCTACTGGGGTATCGAAGCAGATGCTCTAGCTGCCAATACCGGTGTGACGGTAAGTAGAGTCGAAGGAAGATAGGAAGTTGGTTGTGAGCTGACACGGTAGTTACGTCCCTGTTAGACCTGGGTTGACGCTGGCAGTGCTGGAGCTTACACCTTCCCTGGTTTCCGCCGTTATATCATTGAACAATCTCAATGCCGTGTCTTCTCCTTGTTGCACGTATCAGCACTTGGATTGACTGCCAGAACATTCGAGCTTACCATCGATGAGTTTGTGGACGTCGAGATGGCTGTGAAGACCATTCAAAGCAATACCGACGTTATCAAGGGTATCAAGGTTCGCCTGGATCGTGATGCCACCAATGGTACAGGTCTTCGCGGTATGGAGCGTGCTCGTCAAGTCTCAGACCAAACTGGAGTTCCAATCATGATCCATATTGGTTTGTCTCCTCCTGATTTGAGCGAATTTGTACAATATATGAAGAAGGGCGATATTCTTACCCATTGCTGTACGGGTTTATCCAACAAACTTGTCAGCGACAACGGAGATATGCTCCCTGTATACCATCAGTTGAAGGAGAAGGGTGTTGTCTTGGATTTGGGACATGGGTCTGGTAGCTTCCATTTCACCTCAGCTGAAGCCATGGCCAAGCATGATATTTTACCCGATGTCCTCAGCAGCGATTTGCATCAAGGTATGTGGTGCTTTATAGAAATACTCATACACATGGAATGTGTACTAATGGAAGGATATTGCAGTGTCGCGATTCGTTAATGTTTATGACTTGCCAACCACCCTTTCCAAATATCTGAACATGGGCATTCCTTTGACTGAAATCATTGCTCGTGCGACCATCGCTCCTGCTGCTGTTATCAAGGAAACTCAGTTAGGTCATCTGAAAGTTGGCAACCCTGCCGATATTGCCATTTTCCGCATTGATGAAGGAGAGTTTATGTTCAAGGATGCTGCTAATACTGAACGCATTGGAAAGAAGATGTTGGTGAATACAGGTAAGCGCACTTAGGTGAATTCTATCAAAGATGGACGCTTTACTGATGCAGCCATTGTTATAGCAACGTATGTCGACGGTGTGAAGTTGAAGGCCGCCAAGGAAACAGCTACGCATCCTTGGGTTGTCCGTGACTTGTCTGTTGTCGCTGCTCTTAACGAAAAGAACGAGGATGTCCACATGTGTTAAATACCTAGATACGTTGAGTTGTGAATAAAACAAAATGTATTATAGAAGTACTATGGATCAGGGTTTCAGTTGTTTGGCGCAGTGGTTCTGAAGTCTTGTTGTATTCATTTCATGGACATCGTATATGCACAGTGACTACAGTATCGTGGTGTCAGTTAACATGGATCCACAACTGCGAAATGTTGTGCGAAATCGAGATTATGACGCATTCAAAGGCATAAATATCTTTTTGTTTAAGTTCTAAATATGAGTTTTTATTGGACAAGAGGGCGATATCAACGCGGTAAGGTACAAGTATATATGCATGAGGAAGTGAGAAAAATGTCAAAGAGAGGAACAAGTGCCAGATTTACCATCCTCGGACAGGGACCCAGATATCGACAACCTCATCACCATTCTCCTCGATGATCAAGAAGAACTCGTAACAAGCGGCAGTAAGGCAGCAGTGGTTGGGAACAATGCGGAACACATCGCCGACGTTGACATGCTTGAATTCTTCAAGGGGAACTTCAGTGACAATGCTGTGTTCTTGAGCAAGCTTGTTGAGCTTCCAGTGAGGCTTTCCAACGATGTCTCCGAATCCACCTTGGGGTGCAGGATCCTTGGAGAAACCAAGAGCACCACCATCCATAAGGAAGCTTCCACGTTCAGGATATCTGGAGGCTACTCGGCAGAGAACAGTGACAGCAAGACCAGATTCATCAAGAAGCTGTGTGGCAAGTTGCTGACGGTCGTTAAGGACAAAGGAACCAGCATGGAGCTCAGTGATACCTTCCAATTCAGAAGAATCAACCAAACCAGCGGCCATGACTGTAGGAGTGGCACCAATGGAGATGTTCTCAAACAGGACACCGTTGTCAGCAAGGAACTTCTTGTAAGCAAGAGCAGCATCACGCTCAGACTTGAGGAAGTTTACAGCCGCATTGGTATCACGAGAAGCATATGAGTGACCAGCGTGGGTATAAAGGCCAACGACATTCAAAAGCGGGGAGGTGGTCAGACGTCTTGCCAAATTGACAGAATCGTCATTATTGATAGCGGCGCCTGCGCGTCTAAAGCACAAAAAAAAAAAATGCAATTAGCCACTCTGTTCTGGAAATCACTTGAACAAATCCCTATTACTTACTCGTTGCCACACTCAACCTTCATGTACACGTTGAGCTTAGGAGCGCCGCCCTCGCCGAATCTTTGTTGGCAGTATGCTTCAAGAGCATCCAAAGTCTGGTCGTGATCTGCACCAAAGGAGAACAACGGTCAGAACGAGCATACACTACCCGGAAAAGAAAGACCCCACTACAAGTACTTACCAATGAAAATGCAGAACTTTTCAACCTTGGTGCTGAGGTGGTAGACATCATCAAATCGGTCAGGGCTGACAGGGAAGCCAAAGAGGACATCCTTGAGCTTGCCAGATGAGACAAGGTGGGAGTTGATCACATAGTAAGCTTCTGCCAAAGTAGACACGACGATAGCATCGGTTTTGGCAGAGTCCAATTGGATCTCGGTAGCTTCGATGGTCTAAGTAAGACAAAGAGAACCATTCTGTGAGTTTACGCGGTTTTTCAAAGTAAACCCAAAAATCCTCCTCTACAAACAGCTCCACAAGAGAGGCCATTTCATTTACATACCTTGTGAGTCTTGATATGAACACGAATCTTCTTTCCACTCTTGGCTCCAACGGCAGCAATGTGCTCGCAGTTACGCTTGACGACAGAACGGTCAACGACCAGTCTGGGAGTGCGGCAGTCCTTGAGCTTCTTGCCAACGAACTGCTTGACCAAGTACTCCTTGGAGGGAACAGAGAAGCCAAGAGGCTCGAGAGGAGTGGTAGTTTGGGAGGGCAGAGTAAAGACCATAGTTGAGATAATCAAAAGATTAACTTTGACTGCTCCCCGTCGACCTTTATGTATGAGAATAGAAGCTTGAGTTGTAGGGTCCTACCCATCGGGGATCCATATGACTGTCAATTTATCGAACACCGCATTGTCGGCTATTCAATATTTGGGTTTGGGATTGTTGCGTTTCATGGACCCCCATCACTTGTTGTAAATATAAATAAGCCCAACTCTTCTTTGCTTGACACTCTATCACAAATCAATCATTATGTCTGGAATTAAGGAAGCTGTATTCTCCAAGAAGGCCGCACCCATTGGTGAGTTAACGCGTGACAACTGTTTCATCCAAAGCCCTTTTTTCCTAACCGTAACATGCTACTTCCAGGTGCCCCCTACTCTCAAGCCATTAAGTACAATGGTATGATCTTCTGCTCTGGCACCACTCCCGTCAACCCTCAAGGTGAGCTTGTTGGTGTCAAGGAGAAGGATGTCCAAGCTCAGACCCACCAAGTCCTCAAGAACATCAGCGGTCTTTTGGAAGACTGCGGTTCCTCCATGGAGAAGGTCCTTAAGGTCAACGTCTTCATCAAGGACATGAACGACTTCAAGGCTATCAACGATGTCTATGCCACCTACTTCCCTGACCCCAAGCCTTGCCGCACCTGCGTTGAGGTTGCTCGTCTTCCTCTTGACGTCCTTGTTGAGATCGAGGTCACTGCTGCCCAGTAAATCATCCAACCACTGGAGCCTTCACCACCACTACCCCAAAAATTCCTCGTTCATAGCATCTCATTTCAATGTACCATACTTTGATGTTTATTAAAATTATAAAAAAAAAGATTGGCTGTCAAAATAGCCAAATTTCACGTCATCAGTTTCAAATCGGGGGGAGGAAGACAAAGGTGTGTAAAACTTACGGTATGACAAATTGCAGGGTTCCTGTGAACAGCCAATGTTAAGGTTAAGCAGTGACAGATTATGATTTTGACCGACGAGCCGACCCACAGGGAAGCTCGGAGCAATTTCTGCTTTAACTTTAAACACCACTGTTGGGTCAGAGAAGGGAAAACCTGGAAATTAACGGAATAAAAACAAGGTTAAACTTCCCAAGCTGCTTTATCGAAAGGGCGATAGAACAAAAGGCAACCTGCCGTCATGTAATTCTACGTTCTTTGCTCTCTTCTCTATTGACTCTACCTTATCTCGACCGAGCTTTCTATCTTCAACCTATTAGTCTATCCAAATGCTGTATCTGACGGCTGATTTTTTCCCTGTCTTCATACCACTGGGTATCATTGGATTCTACCGTTACTTGATCTTCATCATCAAGCTCATCGCTTGGATAGTTTACGAACCTATCATTCCTTTGGATGATCCAGTTTATGTGCCAGAGAAAGATGTTACCATCGTAGTGCCAACCATTGATGCAGGAGAAGAATTTGTGGAGGCAGCAGAGTCTTGGCTGGCTTGTAATCCCAAGGAAATCATCATTGTGACGGAAGAAAGTATGTACGGTCCATTACAAGAATTGGCAAACCAAATCAATCCAGAAAAAATTAGAGTGCTTACTGTAGCCAAGGCCAACAAGCGACTTCAAATGGTACAAGGAATACGACACACCACCACTGATATTCTCGTGTTCGCTGATGATGATGCTATCTGGAAACCACAAACCCTGAACTACATTCTGGCCTGTTTTGAAGACGAAAGCATAGGTGGAGTTGGCACATCACAAACTGTCAAGTCTGTTGGAAAACACCAGACGGTGTGGGAAGTACTTGCCGGATTCCGATTGACGGTTAGAAATATTGAGGTCGCCGCTTCTACACATATAGATGGCGGCGTATGCTGTATCTCTGGTCGAACTGCAACCTATAGGACTGTCATTCTGAAGGATCCGGAATTTCAAGAAAAGTTTACAAACGACTTGTGGAGAGGAAAATATCCTCTAAATTCCGGTGACGATAAATTTTTAACCAGATGGATGGTCTCCCATGGTTGGAACACCTATATGCAGGTATGCTCTGAGGCTGAACTGCTCTCTACTTTCAAGACGGACTGGCGATTCATCAAGCAGGTTTTGCGCTGGACCAGAAACACATGGCGTAGCGACTTCCGGTCTCTGTTCGTAGAAAGACACCTTTGGTTCAAGCATCCCTTTGTGACTTACACCATGCTGGATAAATTTGTCAATCCTCTCACCTTGTTATCAGGTCCAGTCTCTGTTATTGCCCTCTGCTTTACAGCCTACCATCTACCCAGCTGGGATATCATTCTCTCCTATGTAGTTTGGCTGTTAGCAACCAGAATCGTCAAACTTTCTCCACATCTCTTCCGCCGACCTCAAGATATCATCCATGTCCCGGCTTTCCTACTGTTCAACTTCTACTTTGCCTTTATGAAGATATACGCCTTGTTCACCCTCAATGTCACTGGCTGGGGAACAAGACAAGGTGTTGGCAATGAGTTGGCAGCAGATATTGAGAGGAACGCAGCTGCTGCCTCCATTGATGGAACGTCACAGACAACCATCGAGATACCACCTGAAGTAGCAATCCGAGACAAATTAATTGCAAAGCTGACCACAGAAGACATGATGGTTCCAGATAGAGCAAAAGCTCATGTTATCGTTCCTGCCGTCCCTATCATCCCTCTTGAAGCTGCGCCTGTTATGATCGCATAAGATTTAAAAAAATTTTATTCATATATTCTTCATTGTATTAGAGTCGGCATTAGAGAGTCGACATTATCATTATGGCTTCAAGCCCCATTATCATTTTATCACCTCATAAATTTGTTTCTTCATCACATTATATTTGACTTTTTTTAAAAACCGTGTCCCATTGCTTCTGGTTTTTCAATGAACGATGGTATGAACAATAGCATGTTTCTATTGAGCTCTATATTTTGATTTTTTTATATGTTGACCTATTGTTTACTTTGACCTTTTCCTTTAAAGATAGTCTTATGCTTCGAAGTAGTGGCCAAATACTCGTCATAGGAGGTTGCCATTGACCGTCGATATTTTTGTAATTCCTTTTGATATCGCCTTTTGTGATTTGCAAACCAATACGTAATGCTGCGAGGTGGTAAACCTGTTTGCCGTTGTATGAGGATGCGCTCACTTTTGCTCAGTTTATCCCTGCAGGAGTAGACTTCAAAGAACATGGTCTCCAGGTAATGAAGTGTCCGAGCATTATATTTCGTATTTTGTTCGTTTTTGTCCATTGTCGGTTCAAGGTCATGGACAGATGTTTTTGAACTAGGCACACTGTCGTCGATATCGGAAAACGGTGAATTTCGAAAAGCGTCGGTTTCATCGTCCGTGCTACCTAGCGAAATACTATCGTCCACTGGCATATATTCAGAAGATGAATCGTCGCCAGCATGGTCAATGTCTTGAGCTTCATCCACTTCATATTGAATGTCATGGGAAGCGTTGATGGGTTCTTTCATCATTTTGGTGGGAATTTCATTTATAATACGGTCCCCAAAGCCAGTGCTTGGGCAGGAATATTCAGAAATAGCCTCTTCTTCTGGTGAAAACAGCGGATCCTCCAAGGGTTTTATACATCTTACCGTCTTCAGCTTTGTATCCGAGGATTTGCAGAATTTCACTGTCGGCTTTAAGCTCTCTATGACGGAGTCGTTGTCAGAAGAATCCTCTACGCAAGTGGAGCTATCTGTGTTCAGATCATCAGCTACTGTTTGGCATTCCAATTTGACGTTCTTAAACATCTGAACAATCGGATCTAAGGCCTGTCTCCAGTTATGGTTGTAGGAAATAGAGGATATTTCGACGGTTTTCACCAGAAATTCCATAGCTGTGATACGAGCACGGATAATTTTGAGTACGTCAGTAACATCTTGGCACGTTGTATGGAGTAGCATCTCAGACAAATGAATCTGGGCCATTTGGAAGAATAATAAAGCCTTTTCTCGATTTTGCGGATGCCAGGCGTTTTCTATATGACTTTGAGCAAGGTAGCAGAGGTTGGTGACCATGCTATAGGCTGGTGTACCTTGCAAGCGTCGCAGCTGTGGAAGGTGACGCATGATATTTGTCTCAGCAAGCTGACGGTCGACATATTGACTTGATGAAAAATCTTCCCTTGCTGTCCCCATTGGATAGACAGTGGAAAAAGAAGTAAGAGAGATGTTGAAAGGTCAATAGTCTGACGAATTCTTATGATTTCGCAAAAGAGTTGCCTATTCTAGCGTTCAATCACGAAAGTTGCCAGAAACGGTGAGTTGTTGTGGCAGTTGTTTATAGAACGTTTGAATGGGGGTGGGGAAGATGTGAAAACGCCGTATGGTGATCTCTTTGATCATCAAAGGAATGGCGAAGTCAACACATGAACGCAAATGTGAACTTAGACATATTATCAGCGGCCACCTATAGTTCATCATTTATTGACCGACCACATCGCTAAAAAATTTTTTTGTCAAACTAGAATGATGTCAAAGTACAAAGTTGTTTTATTATGATGTATAAATAAAGCTTGAACGGAGGAATGGTATCAGGAAAAGGTTATGTACATGAAGTGTAGCCAGAGTCAGATGGTAAATCTGCGGATGCGCATATTAAAGAGACCTGGTCTACGATTGTCCTGAGCCATGTTGGTTTGAGCAGGAAGCTTGCATGCTCTAAGCCAGGCATGACTCGAGAATCTACGTTGTTATCTAGAAGGTATTTGTGTATTCTAGGGCTATCCACAAGGTTATCGCTTTCGGATAAGAAAACAGTTAGGGGTACGGCGGCTGTACTTGAACGCTTAGAGACTGGGCTAGGGGGCCGAGAAGTGGAGGCGGATTGTACAAAATGAGCGGTTTGAAACCACTGAAAATGGCGTGAGATATAGTGCGAGATATGAAGTTCGCGGGAAGCAAAATAGTAAACAATATGCTACGGGGTAAGAATAAACGGTTTAGCAGTTAGTTAAAGCGATAGCCTATAGTAGTGTTATATAAAATGTGCTTTACTCACCTCCATGAAACGTTTAGGTGAACGATGCACAAAGTTATACGCAATGGAATGGTAGTGCAGTAAAAAAACAATGGGATCCACCATGACAACGCCTGCCACTCGTTTCGGAGCCTGTTGCATCATCCAACTAGAAACAGCCGTTCCTAGGGAGTGACTAACAAACACGGCTTTTTTGTATCCATGGTGATCAAGCATTTCTGATATTTCAGTAATGGTTTCCGTTGTGGTGGGTACGACTTCAACTTGGTGCATTGACACATACGGCAATTCAACGCAAAACATGGGTCGATCCAAGGCTGTCAAACGTCGAATTATATCAGAATAAAACAGCATACCACCAATTCCATGAATGAACACGATGGGTGTTTCTCTGTTGGAGTCTGGGGATGGTGGTTTGTACCAATAGACAACTTTTTTCATGGCTTCGTCTGTTTGATCTCGCCAAAGGGATTTCCAAAGCATAGCCGGGTCAAATCCAAAGACACCACCCCATGAAAGAGAATACGGCAAATTACAGCGCTGGAAGCCTTGAAGCCGAAGAAATAAGTTCACAATCATGGTTGCCATATAAATAATGATGTAAAAGATGAGAGGTCGATGGATGGCGTTGACAGGATCCAAACTGAGTCGAATACATTTAATTTCGGGAGATATACCGTCTTCAAAGTGGACGCCGAAATGAGTTTCAGCCGTCTTCACCATCCAAGCCAACTCGTTGGACCACGTCCTTTTGCTTTTGACGATTTCCAATGGTCGACTCCAAAAAGCCCAAGCGAACCTATGACGTGACATGGCCAAATGAGGCAAGCTTGTAAATTAGAGATTGGGTCATAATATTTATAATTCCTGTTCAGTTGACAAACATACCAAGTCTCGACATTGCCTCTGCGAATTTGGTCGAAAGTTGCTCTGGTATTATTGCCATCGTCAATATAAAACCATCCACAAAACCATTCTTCAACATCTTGTATGGTGTGGACACAGTTCCAAAATAAGACGGTCCGCTCTGCCTTGGATGTGGTAATGGGTGGCGATGTTCGTTGTAAAATGCGGCGATTGTTCCAGAAATTGAAGAAAAATATGACTTCAGCTGCTAACCAGTAGTGAATAAGACTAGTCAGCAGTGGAATGTGTGTTGCGACACATGCTGGTGTTGAATTTGACAATAGGTGGTGGATGACCGCTGTTTCGCCAGTCCACACATAGTACACAAGGTAGGATATGGCTATAGGAGCAATTAAGCCTAACACAAAAGTCAGTATGTGTACACAAGCTCTTGTCACTGGATTGTCAGGAGCCATTTGGTTATAATAGATATTAGGACAACCAACAATAGGATGCCACTGAAACTATGATGAATGACGAAAAGAAAAAAGGAAAAAGGGAAGAGATAAAAAAAAAAATCGGATGTCTTCCGCTCCGCCCTTTATTATAGCAATTCAGTACTTTAAACGTAGGTTAGTTCTGCAAAAGTAAAATTGTCAGCATTTGTCCTACAGAAACTTTGCAGTGTGCTGCTGAAATTCTCACTCACCTCTCAGAGTGGCTCTCAAGGTATCAAGCTCAGGTATAGGTCGGTCAAAATGTCTCTGCAAAAGCCATCGTCAGTAACCTATGTATTATACAGCACCTTCATCGTTGAGCAGTACTTACGTTTAACTGCGATGAGATTCTGGGTACTACATTGTCCAAAACAAAAGCGACATTCATCATTGCTGCATAGCGCTGATCCTTTGCCATTTCCCTGGCTTGAGACTCCTTTATCATTCGTCGGAGGTACTGTTCTGTGATATTGCTGATACTTTGTATCAACGTAGAGTATAACTGTAGGGCTCGTTAGTACAAGCGGATAATAGTTTGTAGAGATTGGTATGTGGACTTACAGGAAGCTTGACCAGTAGGCAGGCTTCGTTTACAAACTTGATCAAAATATTGTAAAAACTAACGACACTGGCTGTCACTTTGACGTCGGTACCTAAAACGCAAGTTTGGAAAAAGATTTTTGGGTCTCAGCATAGAATGTGAGGACTTTCATATGAAGGTGAGTAAGTACCTAGACTCTGGCTGGATACAACCAAAAACTTGTCCTCCTTGATAATTTTGTCAAGTCTTCCAATGGCTCGCTCTTCATAGGCTATAATCAATTTCTTAATCTCCTCGGCAAATATATCGTCCAACATGAATTTTAGGTCGAGGCCAACTTTCCGCAACTAAAATCGGGATGTATGAGATTAAGAGATTCGAATTGACCCTAAAGGAGTAACCGCACTTACCAGCGAGCATTGTTCTGCAGTTGACCTCAGACAATCGGAAATGACTCGAAGATTAAGAGAATTTTGACCAAACACTTGTTTGTTGAATATCTGGGCGTAGATGGTAATTTGCTCCTTTACCCAAGTAATAAAACCTGCAGGCAAGAGCTCCGTCAATATAGTGTTAGGCTTTGTCATCCCGCAGGCACACTTAGCTCACCTGACGCCATTCGGTTATCCTTGAACGAGTCCCTGTACCACTCGCAGGTATTTCGTACCAGGGTAAAAACTACCAAGGAGAGTTCATTGATGTAGGTGGTAACATCACCCTCGAAAGTCAATTGTCTTATTCTCCGTTTAATGACTCCGCTTCGGGTTGCTAGGAACATCTCCCGACCCTGGTTCGCATTGCACCCTATTAGTATACCCTTTCATTTGGGGGGGGGGAGTGTGAAAATAACAAGAGAATCAACGTACCGTTTCTCCAAGCCCAAGGCGAAGGAGCCAGTTGACGTTACGTTGGAATTGGACTTTGGTCAATAAAGAGTTGCTTAAATCCCGCCCGATAGCTTTACTGAGCTTGTCAACGTATGTGTCAATTTCCTCCTTTACACCATCAAGCTTTCCAGGATCTGATGAGAAACTTGAAAGTATGGCACGGGCTGTGTTTCCCATTAGTATGATTGGCATTGAGAGACAGACAGAATCTTTGGGAGAAACACTGACCCTTTTCGATATATGCTACAGCATCTTCAAACTCACGAATGGCTATGAAAACCTCCAATTCATCTGGAAGCTCAGAAAGCCACTTAACGTCGCTGGAGGCGAGCTGTGGCATCTGCTTGGTAGGGTCTCGATCATTGCGGCTTTTCTTGCTTCTTGCCTCCACTTGTGATTGCTAAATGAAAAACGAAATCAGTATCAAGGCAGATTTATGCTTTTCAGAGCTTTGCGAGGAACGAACCATTTGTAGGAGTGGTTCTGAGACGAGAGGATATGATATGAGGATTAGAAATTCTGTTTCCTTTCCTTGCATGCGTACAATGTGCTTACCGTTGACAGACAATTTGGCATCGGCATCATTCTGCTTGGAACTTTCCAATAATTCGTCAGTGACTCGTTTAATAGTGACTAACAGCGACATTTTATCCTCTGGACGCTCGCATCGGAAAAGATATTCGTCATTATAATGGACAATTTTCAGTGCGTTCGTTAAATCAGAAGTATTTTTGACGTCAGCCACCAGTATTTTGTCCAACTCCCAGCAGCGATCTGCCACAAGCTTAACTTTGGATGACATGGTGCGTTTTTTCTTAGAAGCCACTAAAATACAATCGTTCAGCAATACGAGTTGGGTTGCTTGTCGGGCTTGTAAGGTTTTGGGATGGAGTTCAACAAAGTTGGAAAAGTCTCTAACAATGTGACGATCAGGAGCAAACGGTAATAACCTCTGTAGTCATTGTAAGAGAATGAGCGATTGTTCCTTTTTTAACCAAGATATATGTGAAGTTAAGATGTGTACCTGAGATCCTTCGATACTCTCCCACAGTGAGGCCAGCTGTGCTCTGTAAATGGTCTGCATATCGGCAGTAGCCATTTCACTGGGCTTTCGACGTTGTGTGATTGATTCGGCGATAGGTGCAGGATCTAATAACAAGAATCGTTCAGTTAAATTAACTGTATATATGTATACAAGACAACTGGAGGGGTTATTTACCATTAATGATGCCTGCCATAGGATCCACTTCGTCCTTGAAGCTGGTATTGATAACGCGGAGTTCGTTAAGGAAGTCGCGAAGTAGCAGCATGTCACCATCCAAATTTGAAATCTCTTTGGATATGACCACAAACTCGGTGTAGTTACGATAGACATTGCGCTGCAAGTCACTACCAACCAGAGTCTTTGCATCATTCAATGATCTATAGAAAGCTCTCAGCTGCTCTTCATTCACATCCGCTACTGAAGCTCGCATATCTACGTATCACAGAGCAAATTAGTACGGCAGTACAGACAGATTAAGCACAGTCAATCCATATACTTTACATGACTCTGGGTTGAAGTTGGGGTCGCCAAACTTAGCCAAGTCAACTTGACGTTGGCCGGTCGTCCCTGCGAAAGGGGGAGTTGGAGGAATTGCAGCGGCCATGTCTTGCATTGATCTTGGGCTGGAGGTTACAGAAACGGTTTCACTTCGTACTAAAGGACTAGATCTTTCTACTCGTTCTTTCTTGCGGTCGGTTGTCCAGCTGGCAGTGCGTTTTAGGATTGAATTGGAGGACTTTTTTCGTGGCAATGGTACTATACGAGTAGTGTTAAGAGTGTCGAGTGTATCTGCAGATGTGTTGATTGGCTGTGGAGCGCTAATATAAGGCATTCCTCGTCCATCTCGAGATTTCGAGCGTCGCAAGGCCATGGAATTTATAGGCAACGAGTGTCGTATGGAACGCTTATGAGTGGGCTTTAACTATGACTGGGTTTAAATATTCACAGCCAAACAATTTTCCATCGTCCACAATGTCTCTGAAGTGGTGCAATACGATAGATTTTTATTTTTTTTTGAACAAATTATTCATATCTATAGTTCAGGTTGACGAGCTGCCAACTCTTCATCGTCTGCCATTATGGCTGCATCCCAATAATGTTCGACTTTGAACCCATTCAGTAGCTCACGAGCCATCTTCTCACTTTCCATCTCTCGCCAAGTGAACTTCTTGAAAGCTGCAGTTTTGACTACACCTTCCCATACCAGGAAACACTGATTCTCTTCTTCGTCTTCCTCTTCAGGTTCTTGCATAGGTGTATCAGCTGCATCTGCTTTGAGTGGTATAGGAAGATCATTCCAATCGATTCTCCTAAGCATGAGCTTTTTATACGCCTTGATTCCTTTTGGTCCGCCTTCAACAATGACCAAGTTGCACTTGGGAGTTGCAATAACCATGCCTGTAAGATAAAGTTGTCTTGCGTTGACTTCAACCTTATATCTCAATTTAGGGTGTTTTATTTTCTTGACCCTAAGAATGTCAAGCTTAATCATCCGTTCGTAGTGGACACTGCCAATAAGAAAAGGAACTTACTTGTAAACAGTAACATGTACCATTTGAGCGATATCTTCTTTGAGCTTTGATATCGTCTTTTCCCGCTTTTCTTCCTTTGTAAGTTTACGAGTTTCGTTCGCCTTCTCATGTTCACGTTGTCGCTCCTCCATCTCTTTACGCACTTTAGCTTCGATTTGGGTTGGATCTTGAATAGCCTCTTGTCCCAAGACACGCATGAGATTGCTGATTTTAACTATTGGAAAAAAACCACTTAATTGGCCAATACTTTTCATGTCCAGTATACGAAAATGTTAACATACCTTTAGGCTGCTCTGGTGGTAGTAATCCAAGTCTAATTTTGTCCTGCTTATCCTTTTGTGCCTCCAATCTCTTTTGACGTCTCAATTTCTTTGATTCTCTCTTGGTCAACATCAATTGGCGAGGTGGTTGGCCGGTGGGTTCACCAGGTGGTTCAATTGGTACCGGGTGTTGTACATACGGGGTGATGATGTTTTCTAATCCAGTCATATCAAGGTGATCGGCATCTATTTCTCCATACTGCTTGTTCTTGGTTATTGGTAAATCCCACCATTCAACATCAGGTGGGGGTGGTCCCTGTAATCCAAACGGTATTAAAAACAGTCGTTCCTTCTGCCTGGCTCATGCAAAAAATGACTAACCTTGAGTAGATTATCTGGTATATCCCGTTCAGTCTGAACACCAGCCAATTTTGCCTTTTCTGCGATTTCTTGCTTGAGGCGCTCTAATTGTGCTTTTGCTCGTTCTTGATTTGCTTTTTGAATGAACCGACCAGGCTGTACAAATTTTAGATGTCGACTCCTTCGGCCGCCAACTTCAGTTTTGTCACTTAAATACGGGTTGGATTGCCTGCCTCCAGATGAAGCAGCTGATGGCGAAGACGATGCTGCTGGCTTTGCCGCCGACTTGGTCTGCTTTTGATTCGCCTATATCGCTATGCTTAGTACTCACTTTATAAATAAAGCAGCGGTAACTCTGAAATTATCCTTACCATTGCAGTTGCGAGTTCACGCTTGGGTATAATGCCTTGATCCAACATCGCTTTCAAATCAATGTTGCCCGATTTATCCAAGCCCAAGGGTGGCGGCGCAATATTTAGACCACCTCTTGGACGTTGCTGGGACATACTACCTCCGGCTGCAAAATTCTTTCAAACATGAAATAAGTAAACGGTGTGATCTTGTTGATACCATTATCACACTATGAAGGTTGATACTCACTGATTGACTTGCTCCGGCTATTCGAGCTTTTGCTTCTGCTATTCGTCGTTGCAGATCTTCTTGATCTATGCCCGGTATTTTTTTGAGATTCGAAGTGGTACTTGTAGCTGGCGTATTGTTCGCTGGTGGTGGTGCTGGAACGCCTGCCTTTGCTCTCATTTGTGCAAGTTTAGCTTGAACCTCTGCTCGTTTTGCAGCCAGCTGCGCCTCGATCTCCTACACGAAATGGAACAAACAAAGGGCATTAGAAGAATAGAACAACGGAAAACGTCGGCAGGGCAACTTTGGATAACATACCTCTTTAGTAGGCATCAGTTACAGTCTATTGGAAGAAAAGATCAGAGGTGACCACAATGCATGCGCTGTCACGGTTTTGTGTTGCCGGATAGCAGACATGGTAATTCATCGAAATCACGTGATGTACAGAGTTTGACAAGAGCACCGGCTTTCGCAATGGCCTCAGCGATCGTCGGTTTCCAGCGCGAGTATAAGTATGACTGGAAGAGGTATGCATTTGAGAAACACAGTTGAACCTCAATTAGTATAGTTTCTACGCCTTGATTAATCTTTTATTGAATGGTTATAGCACGCGGAAGACCTTCGCGTCGGCGATTACGGCTTGTCGTTAAGGACGAAGCCAAGTCCAATTCCGACCTTTCCGGCAACGACGATACCGGCAATTCAGCTGATGAAGCATCAAAGGAAGAAAAAGAGGCGACAAAGCAGGAAAATCCTGCTCCTCGTCGTCGCGGTCGCCCACGGATATATCCACGTGCAGAATCAACCACTAATGGTGAGGTAGAGCCTCCTAAAAAGCGTCGACGAGACGAAGGTGATAGTACGGACGATGATGGAGAGTTAGACCCTGATGGAGAGAAAAAGGTTGATAGGCAAGGGCATCTTTTGGATGGTAAGTTAGTGGCTTTTGAGCCTTGCGCTGTTCCGACAAGTGTCTGTTGCATACTGACTCTACCTATTTCATTTATATACGTGATATAGGCCGCGAATACCGCATACCGACATTCGAACTGCCTGAACGTGACGATCAGCAATTAATGTTCGCAATGGACCCCGCACGAATACTAGGATATCGCGACAGTTATTTATTATTTATGAAAAATCCTGATTTGGTGCGCGTTCGAATATCAGACGAGGCCAAGAACATGCTTGTTGAACAGAAAATGCTACTTCCTTGGTTTCGAAATAGAGATGTGGCTATCGTTACAGCGCGATCAATCTTCAAGGTGTTTGGAGCAAAGGTGGTGAAACAGGGTCGACGATGCAAGGACGACTATTATGAAGCTAAAGCGCGCGCTGAAGGCTATGTTGATGAACTGGAAGACACAGAAATGGAAGAGTCCTATGGACGACGGAATCAATTATCATCTCATACAACCAAACTACCAGGGTCGAATGTTCCATCTACAGCAGTCAGCGGGCCAGGATGGATGCATCATGCCGCAGCTTCTGTTCAAGAATTCAATGCTCGATTGCTAGGACGCAGGGCAGAGAAACCCACCTTCTATGACGTGCACACCAACATACAACAAGTACCAAGTGCCACTCAACCAATTTCGTGTGAATTCGAAAGTGTAAGCGCTGGATCTTCCAAGACCGACGGAGTGGTTATCGACCCTGTTAAATTTGATCGGCGCCGTTCAAGCAAACGACCCTTCTTTGATAACGCCTCGGTGGATATAGCTGACATTGTTGATAAGCAAGAGATATATGAAGCTATCCCACCAGAAGTAAGGGCGGAGATGGAGAATTCAGATATTGAGTTCTTTGCAGATAAAAACAAGGAAATCACAGTGAAAAATGAAGAGATGTATCCCATTGCACTTTTGGATGGGCAGTATCAGGAATCATTTCCAATGTAAGTGACGGGTAGACTTTACTCGTGTTATTTTTCTTCATTGAATGCTGACAATATTTCTCAGACACCATGTTCGTTTCGCTATCAATGCTCCTAAAATATTCTCCCCGGTATCCATTACGAAAGCTACAAGAGCCATCCTTATCCAACAGCAGTTCATGAACTCGCAACATTCTGCATCCGGCGTCCCATCGATAAGCCAGGCCGGTCCTTTGGCTACCAATCGGTCACCCATGCCAAATGTTAGTTATGATAAAGGAACCCCACCTATTCCTATGCGTTCAAGTAGCGTTTCCTCGTACCAGGTATGCATATAGGCTTCCGACACATTTACTGTCCAGCTGCTGACTTTCATTTGCAGCCTTCACCAAAAGGACCTGACAGTGTGCAATTGGTCTGTGGCTATATATCCGATAATGGACAGAGGTGTCCTATCCCTGTCCCTAATCGAGGCGAAAGATGTCCTCATCATGCTAATAACTATGCTAATTTGCCACAAAGTAGTGTTAAGGTAAAGGTCTTCTAATCGCCAATGTGAACATCGTTTGATACAGAACTAACTCACCAATTTTGACAGCCAACTGCGAAACCGACTAATTTTGCTGATAACAAGTGCGCAGATTGTCACTACCTGTCTGCACCCTCTGAGGTACTCAAGGGACTCACACCAATATGTGACACTTTTACCACTATCAAATGTACCAAATGTCACAAGAAATATCATCCAGTGTGTGCACACGTGAAAACGCCGAGGCAATTGGCTACTGTCGAATCATACCCATGGTTGTGCCCAGATTGCAAAATCTGTTGCGTTTGTCAAACAGTTGGCGACGAATCTACTCTCATGATATGTGACGACTGCGATCGTGGTTGGCATACAAATTGGTAAGTCAGAGGCTACCATATCGTACCAAGTCTACTACCTACTTATTTTTTTTCATAGCTGTAATCCTAAGGTGGACAATGTGCCGGAAGGTGCTTGGCGGTGCCCGCTCTGCGCAGTATGTGTCAGCTGTGCAGGAGAGAAAATCAAAAAAGAGAACAGACTGCAACACGCTTACAAACATGCTATTGCCCCACCCACCGAACATTACAAGTACCCTATTTATCTTGCGACTTACTGCAAGGTATGCTACGATAACTTTACCAGTGATCGATTCTGTCCGGTCTGCCTGAAGACCTATTCTGAAGATGAGGATGAAGAGAAGGGGGACGAAGATCATGACATGGTGGCCTGTGACACTTGTGACTATTGGGTCCACGTTGGATGTGATGAAGCCCTGACCCCGGACAGATACCAAAAGCTTTGTGATGATGAAGACGAGAAATATAACTGCCCATTGTGCGAAGGGCGAGTCAAGCCAATCATTCAGACTGGACATGCAGCTCTAGCGCTGAAAGGTGTTTCTGCGCCAAGTGGCACGCCTGTTGGTATTATTGGTGGAAAGGTGAGAGAGAGACAAAAACATGTAACTACTACGCCAATTTTATTCACCCTCTTTTCCCCAATCTAGGTAAAAACCCGAGGTGTAGTTCATTATCGCAAACATCAAGTTGGTGTTCCAGAAATCAATGGCACCGGCATAGCGATCGTCAAAACATAGAGCATTTTACCTTATTCTTGTTCCTTTGAAATTACAATTATCATCATACTGCGTAGAAGTGGTTAAAGCAGTGGCCTCAAATAAATAATAACATTTTTTTTTCTACAGCATACACTTTAAACCATTCATAATGAACTCGCACAGCAGTATTATTATTTTGGGTTGCCAAGTTGATGATTTAAACACTGAAAAAGTTTCAAACGAGAAAAAAAAAAAAAAAAAAAGGGTGATATTATGAATGACTAGTTTAGTCCAAAACTCCAGTGTTCATATCGTCACTCGGCTCTTCCAGTAGACTGTTAAAAATAAGATATATATGAGATCGACATTGTGGTGGAGATCAAGGGCAAATATTTTACCTATATTGTTTAAGCAACACGCATTCTCCTCCATTCTCCAGGTCGATGTTGTATTGATAGAATGATCCTTCAGAAGTAACCACCATGACTTGTGGTGTAGTACTGCAAAAGGGTAAAGCCTTGGTAAGTTAAATGGCTCCTCCCATCTACGATGAGCTGATGATATCACTTACTTGCTCAAAGCAACAATGCTTTGTACTCCCGCTGAGGGAAGTTTGAGGGAGGCAAAATCTCTTGCGGGTTCCCATATCTCTGTCAAGGCTTCCGGTAGGTAAGATCCAACACTACCAGCGATATTTCGCCCCAAGTGCATAGAAGAGCGTCGAAGCATTTGACTACATGATGGTCATTTAGAAGACTTTGTAAGAACCGGATCCATCTTACACACTGAAAACCTTTCAGGACTAAACACTTACCCAACACTTGAGCTGCGACTTCTATTATCTTCTTCTCGTGAAGCGTTCTTACCTCCCCACCGATTGTTACCTCCCTGCGGACCTTCATTGGAAAGCTTAAAGATATGAACAGTTTCAGTGGCACTTGAAACGCAAAGCAGAGAGCTGACAAGGTTGAAGGAAATAGAGTAAATCTTGGTAGGATAAGATCCTCGGCGGAATTGAAACACTTTGCGAGAATCGGGTATGGTAAAGACTCGGATAACCGTACCCTATATCCGACATGCATAGATTAGCGGTTATACAAGGGTAACAAACACAGTCCTTGTTCTAATTACCTTGTCACTAGCAGTGGCCAGCAACGTTCCATCTGAATTCATGGCGATACAGCTGACTGGGCTTTTATGAGCTTGAACGATATTGACAACTTGCAAAGAGAGCGCATCAAATATCAGGACATCTCCCGAAGCATATGATGACTGTGATGGCCCGAGGTGATTTCCTGTCAGGGGTGATGAGGTTGACGAACTTGGTGATGGGTACGCTATATAACAGTTTTCACTGGAGGGAGATAGTGCGCATATCGCTGGATAGTAGCCAATATAGAACGTGTTAGAAGCAGCAGATCAAACCATAGTAAAAAAATTCTGCATAATCCCTTACCGGACGGATTAGGACTTGTATCAATAGTGTGGAGCAACTTCATATTACTGATATCGTAAACAAAGATCTGTTCTTCGAGAACAACGATTAATCTGCGTCGATTCATTTTAACGGAGAGAATCGAGGTTGGGAAAGTGAGTTCGCATATTGTAGACTGTCGCTGTAGGATAGTTGCACACGGGGAACAAAGGAGATAGGGTTAGAAAACGTGCAGGCGGACGTTGTAAAGGTGTCTAGTTTAGTGAGTACCTTTGTGTTTATAATCTGAAGGTGTCTTGGAGAGAATGCAGGCTGTTCTCCAGCTCCAACTAGGGCGACAAGAGATGTGCAGAATAGCATTTCGACAATGCCAATACCTCCATCGGCTGAACGATGTCGTGATGATTAGCACGGAGCGGAGGAACTTGGTGAGTTTTACGGACTTACATTTGGAGTAGCATTTGCCGAAAGGATCGCAGTTGTATATCTTGTAACCATTCTTTATTCCAACTGAAATGCAGCTGAAATCCTGGTTAAAGTTGATGAACAGGAGCTCATTGGAACTTTTATCGCCCAAGTTCATCTCTACGAGTTTGTTGAGTAAGGTACAACGCGGCAGGGCGCTGAGAGGGTTGAAATTCAATTTTTCAGCTATTCACCTGACAGACCAGAAGACTGCAGCATGAAATTTTCTATGTAGCCCACGTTGTAATCATCGCTTTACTTGATGATCAAATTGAAATATCACTTGTGCCATTATGTTTAATAGACAGCGATGAACTGCTAAATATCTTCCAATTTACATCCTGTGATGACGCAAAGCCAAAGACTAACCAAGCCGAATCTTGTGATTTTTCATTTGTTCGAGGTGCTTAGAATATTTTTATGTAAGCTTAGCGTGCGCTTACTACACAAAGTACACGCTGTTTTGCCTCTCGCTCCCAATCAAAATACTGGCTAGGTATATCACTCGGGCATGCTGCAATCTTCACACGCTGGATGGAAGAAGGATAGAAGTCTGACGGAGGAGATTTTTTCGATGCTTCTTCCACCTCGAAGCAGAAGAAATATGACTGAAACCCTGCGCATAGGTAAATCGACCAGGGTAAGGGTATTTTTTGCAGGTCCCAATCCCATGACGTTTCGTCTAGCATGAAGAAAAATTAAGCTTGGGTTAATCGAAAAAGTAATAAAACCCAATCTTCTTTCTTTTTCTTCTTCTCTTTATCCACTGTTACTTCAACATGGAGGACGAAAATTACAATCCCTTTCAACTAGACTCTGAGCTCGAAGCTGCTGGTCAAAAAGCTGAGCCCATACCAGAAGGTATGCATTACGTCGCCGACACTCGTCGCGCCTCTCTTGTCCCGCCAAAATGCTCTCATGATGTAGAGGATACCCGCTGTAACTATAGAAGCCGTGGCTACTTGCCCATTGAAAACTATGGCGTCATTGGAAACTTGCGAACCGTGGCATTATGTGGCACGGACGGCTCTATTGATTTCTGCTGCTGGCCCAAGTTTGACAGTCCATCCGTCTTCTGCCGTATGCTAGACAAGGATAAGGGTGGTCACTTTAGCATCACGGCAGCAACTCATACAAGTAACAAGCAACAGTACTTGCCCAACAGCAACATTTTGACCACCCGCTTTTTGTCCGATGATGGTGCTGGCCAAGTCACTGACTATATGCATCTCCCGGAAAGCTCACAACGCCAATCATCCAAGCCACTATTACCTTGGATTATACGTACCGTGGAAGTGATTCGTGGAACTGTTCCCTTCCGAGTCGAATGTTTCCCCGCATTCAATTACGGCCTTGACGAACATACAACTGAGGTTGTGAAGCGGGAAGACGCGCAACCTGCCCCAGTGTCGCTGTATCCAGAAGATGAGGTTCCTCACTACGCCTCTAGTGAAAAGGTTATCTTCACTTCCAAAGGCATGAAGATGGATTTACGTTGGGTCGTCAAGTGTGGCGAGTTTGACTGTCCATATTTCAACTTCAAAGTGACGAACGTTCCGGGAAGTGGCATGAAAGGACCCGGTGCTGTCGCTGAATTTGAACTTAACGAAACCCAGGAAGTCATGTTCATTTTACGACAAGTCCCAGATGATCCCCCGGAACACGAAACTCCAGCCCAGTTTCGACTTCGCATGGTCAAGGATCCAGCTCTGTCTGTGAGCTTGATGGAGGCATTGTTTCGCCAGACGGCAAAGTACTGGCAGTCTTGGATTAGTAGAAGTACCTACAAGGGTCGATGGCGGGAATATGTGCTAAGAAGTGCGCTGATGTTGAAGCTCTTGACGTATGAGCCGGTAGGTAGTCTTCTATGATGCAATGGATGGAACGTTTTCAGCATGTTAATGTTTAATGTCAGACGGGTGCTGTTGTTGCATCTCCGACATTCGGTTTACCCGAAGGTAAGACCCGCAACTATCTATCCTTAGCACTCTTTGTCATTAGTTTTAAACCTGTTTGTTGTAGCCATTGGTGGAGCTCGTAATTGGGATTATCGCTATACTTGGATTCGTGATGCATCCTTCACCATCTACGCCTTTCTTAGATTGGGTTTGACCGACGAAGCTGATCAGTATATGCAGTTTATTAAGGAAAGATGTGACGATCTGGTACGTCCATCCCTTTTTTTCTTCTTAATATGTTCCGATGAGCTAATTTTATTCAATGTAGAACGAAGATGGGTCCCTTCAAATCATGTATAGTATCGATGGCGACAAAAAGTTGATTGAGACGGAGCTTACCCATTGGGACGGTTACCGAGGTTCTAAACCTGTCAGAATTGGCAATGGAGCTTATGACCACATACAGCTTGACATTTACGGAGAGCTCATGGATGGTATATACCTCTATAACAAACATGGGACTCCTGTCTCATATGATATGTGGTGCGCTGTACAAAAACTGGTTAACTACGTTTGTGACCATTGGAAGACCGCCGATATGTCTATCTGGGAGGTGCGAGGAATGAGGCAAAACTTTACATACTCGAGAATTATGTGTTGGGTTGCCGTGGATCGAGGTAAGGCTTTGACTAGGACGGTAGTATCTCATGCTCGTAAATGCTGACCTCGTTTAATTGGCTTGCAGGTCTACGTCTCTCAGAAAAGCGAATGTTTCCTTGTCCTGATCGCTATCGCTGGCAGGCTGTCCGTGACGAAATCTATCTTGACATTATGGAAAACTGTTGGAATGCTGAAAGAAAAATCTTTACGCAATCTGTTGAATCCCAAGATGCGTTGGATTCAAGTGTTTTAATTATGCCCCTCGTGTTTTTCTGCTCGCCATGTGATCCAAGACTTCTTTCAACCATCACTCAAATGTTGCTCCCACCTGAGAAAGGCGGTCTGTTGGCTAATAACTTGGTCTTCCGGTACAACTTTTTGACTACGGATGATGGTCTTGGAGGAATGGAAGGTGCTTTTTCAATGTGCACCTTCTGGCTTGTGGAAGCATTAACTCGTGCAGGAAAATACGACAAGAAACTGCTGCTTCGTGCTCAGGTCATGTTTGAGCAGATGATATCTTATGCTAATCATGTAGGGCTTTTCTCCGAGGAAGTTGCTAGATCTGGAGAGTTGTTGGGCAATTTCCCACAAGCCTTCACCCATATCGCGTTCATTAGTGGTAAGTGTACCAGACAGGTGAATCAGTAGTCACACAATCGCTAACTAACTACTGTTTTACCTTACAGCTGCTTTTAACATTGATCGAGTTCTCTCTGAACATTAAAATAGTTGTAGCGTGGTCCATAATAATCAAATATTATTTTATGGTTTGCTTGTAAATGTGAATGGCTAGCGGACGTTCGTGTGTCCAAATAGTTGTCGGTGACTTGCACCTTGTGAATAAACGTTTTGAAAAGAAGCTCTTAACTATCTGCGGCTGGTTAGCACACAGCTATTTACGAGCCTCCAATGCAATGACTGTTGGACGACTTCAGAAGACTCAATGGTAAAAATATATGTATTTAAGCGTACATGCCCCTCCCCCCGGTAAAGGCACTTCTTTGGATTTGACATAAAGAGGGCATCAGGTGGCGCATATGTTTATTCGTCTCAACGTCTTCCCATATTGGATGAAGCACGCCCAGAATATTTGCCATTTCAAGAGGTTCCCAGGAATTCAACGGTGAATTCATCGGTGTATCGGTGTCATTCAGCATCTTTAGCAGATACCTTCGAGGTTGGCATGTCCAGGGCTTTCGCTTCCTGTCAGCTTCATCCGCAAAAATCTTAGTTCCGTCGGAAACTCCTCTCACAGCGGTACAAATTCTAAAACAAACATTTCATTTCTGAGTAGTAAAGGTTTCATCATTAGCAACGCACCAGCGGTATGGAGATGTAGTCCGCATGAAAATGATATCCCGATGAACTGACCTGGAGAAGAAAGCAAACCAGTAGAATAGCACGTCGGGGTCAATGTGGAGATACCGCCCGGATAATTCCAAAAAGGAAATAGGATAAATCTTATTTGGATCAGCCGGCAGTTTCTCGACTGTGATGTGGGGAACGGAATCAAATATAAATACAGCTGAACTTGCTTTTGTTTAAAAACACATATTGTATTATGTTCGCTGCTAAAAAATCTGGAGATATCACCTCTGCCTTTGCCTTTGGGGTAAAAGACGAGCTCCCTGCTCGCTACAAGGCTCTGAAGGATCAATTGCGACCAAATGACATTCAGAAGGCTTGGGAGAGGCTGCTCGCAGTGTACGAAAAAGAAAGCGAACGTATCCAGAAGCTTGGATCAAGCTCAGTAACCGAAGTCAACTTCAAGGATATACTTGCTAACAATGGTCGCTTCCCGGAAGAGACCATCAAGGAACTCCGCAAGTCTGGATGTGTTGTGGTACGTGGTGTATATGAGAGAGAAGAGGCTCTTGGTTACAAGCAGCAGGTTCTCGACTACATTGCAAAACATCCTGGTATTGATGGTTATCCCGGTAAGTACAATAAAATGTAAGACTGCGGGATTTTTGAATGCTAAATTGGCATTATGGTTAGCCAACAATCCACAAATTTGGGAACTTTATTGGACAAAGGTAGGTCTCAGTATATGGTTGGGTTATAGCACTTTATCATTGTACTCATATCTTCATATCAGGGCCAAGCCAAAGCACGGTCTCATCCCAATTTCCTGACCGTATCAACTGCTTTGAACCAAATCTGGCATGCCAGTGAAGACGCTGCCATTGACCTATCCACCAATGTAACATACTGCGATCGATTGAGAATTCGCGAATCCGGTGATAAAAGTTTCTCTCTATCCGAGCATGTTGACGGTGGATCCGTTGAAAGTAAGTGGTCCAAATCTAGGCTGCAGTTGTATATGACGAGTCTCTAAATGCTGGTAATATAGGATGGGAGGATCCAGAATATCGAAAGTGTTACCAAAAGATTTTGGATGGAAAATGGGAGGAATACGATCCATTCGATGCCACTCACCGCGTCGATGCGACTATGGACATGTATGATTGCGGTGGTAAGTGATCCTTTGCACTTGTGCTGTAATGGAAGTGTTTAGAGCTAAATATTACCTTTGAAAGGCGGTTGTTCCATGTTCCGGTCATTCCAAGGTTGGGTATCACTCTCAGATGTTCAGTCTCCAGGGGGTGGCACTCTGAAAGTGTGCCCTCTCATTAAGGAAACGACGAGTTATATTATGATGCGGCCTCTCCTAGACGATTTGAAGGACAGCAGGTAATGTCTGAGGACAAAATGTACTTACCTAACCTTAAACAGCCAACCCTAACGTATTTCTTGGTTGTATAGTGATATGGGTGGTTCTCGACCGGGATCACAACAATTGCTTAGCAAAGAGCAGCATCCACATATTATCGATACCATGGTCTCCATCCCTAGTGTTCATCCTGGCGATTGTGTCTTCTGGTCTGCCGATACAGTACACGCTGTTGAGAATGAGTGCAACAATCCAACTGATAGCAGCGTCTTCTATATACCTGTTGCTCCATTATGTGCCATCAACAGCAAATGCTTGCGTCGCCAGCGAGAGAACTTTGATAAAGGATTGTAAGTAGTAGCCCTGAAATGGACTGTCAACCATACCAGAACTAACCTTCCCTCAAATAAATCAGAACCCCGCCAGATTTCCCTGGCAACAACTGCGAGGTTGACTTTGATGACCGGGCCAAGCCTCAAGATCTGAGCGACCTTGGTAAACTTGGTATGGGGTACACTCGCTTTGAGGAGAAAGCCGATATGACTAAAGGTCAAAGAGAAGCTATTCGTACGGCCAACTCTTGTTTATTCGATTAGTGCCATTTGTTAATAAAACTTCCACATTTTCACATTTTGCATGCTATGACTGCACTTTGGCGCTGAATGTTCTGCCGATTAAACTCAGAACTCTCACGGTCAGGCAATTTTGTTGATTGCCCTAGATTTTTTGTTGCATATTTGATTTCTTCTTTGCTCCTGTTCTCGTCACTATGCAGTCTTTTATTGACGTTCAAAAGGATTCTCACTTTCCTATCCAGAACTTGCCTTTTGGCGTGTTTTCAACCGCTGGCAAGGTAAGTAGTATAAGAACAGCATCATCAACTTAATACCGGTCCAAGAATGTTAACCACTCCGGTACTAGGACTCTGCTCGAGTTGGCGTGGCTATTGGCGACTACATCGTTGACTTGTCAGTCCTTCAGTCAGCTGGAGTTCTTTCTGGCGTTTCCGGTCTCCCGGCTGGAGTTTTTGATCAGGTATGGGTGTAAAGCAGATCGACTAGAAATTTTAAGACGTGTTCTGACAACGGCGTGTTGCACACTGTAGCCCAGCTTGAATGCCTTTATGGGTCTCGGAAAGAGCGTATGGTCCGCAACCCGTCGTTCCATTCAAGAACTCTTGTCTAAGGATGAGCCGCGACTTAGAGATGATGCCGATCTCCGCCAACGCGGTTTGATAGCTCAGAAGGATGCCACAATGCACCTTCCAATCACTATTGGGTATGGTTGATAGTAACTTTGATTATTCCTTCCATCTTACCTCAAAATTAATATCTAACCTGAATGTCTTTAGCGACTACACCGACTTTTACTGCTCTAAAGAACACGCCACAAATGTTGGCATCATGTTCCGTGGAAAGGACAATGCCTTGCAATCAAACTGGTAAGTAATACTTCATGAAAGGTAATATTGGGTACTGTATACTTAATAATAGCGATAGGCTGCATATTCCTGTTGGTTACCATGGACGAGCTTCGTCTGTAGTTCCGTCCGGTACGCCTATTCGCAGACCATGCGGACAACGGTTGGCAGGAAAGGATCAACCACCTGTATTCTCAAAGTGTCTCAAGTTAGACTATGAGCTAGAAATGGTAAGCCTCATTTATCCATATTTCAAGCTGTAATCACAGACAGCACTGACAGGGCTTTTTGCTTAAGGGGTGGATCGTCGGTACCGGAAACCAGCTTGGAAGCCCAATATCAACAGCTGAAGCAAAGGACCATATTTTTGGCATGGTGATGCTTAATGACTGGAGTGGTACGTTGCTTTAACAATGTACAGAATCTTTAGCAGCAGATTAGAGCTTGACCTCAAACGTTCCTTGTGATTTATAGCGCGAGATATTCAAGCCTGGGAATATGTACCGCTTGGTAAGTCTGATTAAGTTTGCCGTTACTGTGGTTCTCAGATGACATTTACCTATCATACTTTTTTTTCATTTTTTTTCATAGGACCTTTCTTGGGAAAGAACTTTGGCACCACCATTTCTAATTGGGTAGTGACATTGGATGCTTTGGAGCCCTTCCTAGTGGACGGACCATCTCAGAACCCAACGCCATTGAAATACTTGCAGGAGTCAAGCAAAACGGCCTATGATATCAATTTGGAAGTTTCGATCAAAGGTAACCTTAAAATGGTTAAAATAACGTAACCCGTGAAAGCAAAATGACTTGTGTAGTTGACATACCGATTTTTATGATGATTTGCAGCTTCCCCTTCAGCCGAATTTGAGACTATCACCAAGTCCAACATCAAGTACATGTACTGGTCTATCACCCAGCAGCTTGCTCATCACACTATCAACGGATGTAACATGAGAACAGGCGATTTGGGAGGCACTGGTACTCTTTCAGGTCCTGTAAGTACACCAATGCAATTGATAAGGGTGATTGGGGCTGAGCTTCATATTTCCCACAAAAGAAATCACGGCTATAGGGAAACTTTGTTAAACTTCATTCATATTATAGACTAAGGAAAGCTTTGGTTCTCTACTTGAACTTTCATGGAATGGCACTCAAGAAATCGTCTTGAAGGACGGTACCAAGCGACAGTTCTTAGAAGATGGGGATGAAGTAAACATGACCGGATACTGCCAGAGTTCCGAGGGATGGAGAATAGGATTTGGTGAATGTGTTGGCAAAATCGAACCAGCACTCATTTGAATGTACAAAAACAAATCGGTGGGAAATGGTAGCAAATAAATGTGAGATACAAACAGGCGTCAGAAGTTTAATCTGGTGAAACAAGTAGGTTTATTTTCTAGCGACGCTCGGCGAGTCGATCGTTTATCCCGGTACAGCCCAAATTTTTCTTATCCGCGACCGACAATTAAGTATTTAATGCACATAATAGGCTAAAAATCCAAAATAAAATTTCCCACTTTTCTTCTTCCTGTTTACTATCTAATCTGATGGACTCAGCATCGTTCGAAGACGAGAAAGACATCAAGACTACGGAAGTGGTCAATGAACCGCGGTTCACAGAGGAGCAAGAGCGTCGAATAGTACGCAAATTCGACACAAGACTCTTGCCGTTTCTTTCATTCATGTACTTGTTCTCATCCTTGGACAGATCAAGTCTTGGTAAGTAGAATGCGGCATTCACTCTCATGGCATGTGTACAAAAAATAGGGTATTGATTGCTCTACTGGTTCAAAGGCAATGCTGTCTTGGACAACTTTGAAGCAGATCTGGGCATGACCGGCAACCAACTTAATACCGCTGTTACTATTTTTTATGTAAGCATGATAAACCTGCTACTCTGCATTGTGACAGACAGATTAATCCAATGTGTATGCAGGTGGGCTTCCTCACATTTCAAATTCCCTCCAACATAATGCTTAAACGATATAGTGCAAAAGTCTGGTAAGTTGGGTAGCGCGCGTGGTACTCATGATCTGGGCAAGAATTAAAAATCGCTTGCTTGCTAGGCTGCCACTGTTAATGGCGATTTGGGGAACAATTGCATGTTGTCATGCCGCGTGCAAAAACTATGCTCAGCTGTTGATCTTGCGCGTTCTTTTAGGGTTTTTTGAATCCGGCTTTTTCGTATGTATTATCCTCTGTTATATGTGCGATCGGTGACAAATAAGTACAGTGCTAACCATATGTTTCTCCTTACAAACAGCCAGGTAAGGCAAAAGAGTGGTTTTAACCATAGATAAGGCGCTGGAAAACAAAGATAATGATGTATTATCTTCAATGATCAACAGGTGTTGTATATTTCTTGACGACATTCTACAAAAAACATGAGATGGTTAGAAAAGCAAATCCTTTTTATGCCCATCATCTGTTGGTTACTCACGGTTCCGTTATAGGCAACTAGAATTGCTGTTTTCTGGGGAAGCACTACCGCGGCTCATGCATTTGCAGGTAGGTGATATTCGCTTGCATAGATCAAAGATTTCAATGTAACCTTTATAATAACGGATTATGATTTGCTAGGTGTCCTCGCATATGGTATCTTGCAGATGCGGGGGATAGGAGGTTTAGCTGGGTGGCAGGTTAGTACCGGCGGGTTAAACGTATGCGGAAAAATTTCAATAACGACTCCCTCTTGTAACAGTGGCTATTTCTGATTGAAGGCATACCTACAGTTCTTGTGTCCTTTGTAGCATAGTAAGTAAAGCGAGGAAACATGAGACTAGGAAACCTATAACAATCTGCTTTCGATATTAATGATGGCGCTCGTTACATTATTACAGTTTCTACTTACCGGTTGGACCTTCCACATGCCGCTGGCTAACAGACGAAGAAAAAGTACTGGCGGTAGAAAGACTTGAATCTGAGGGTCCCAGCGGGCATCAGAGTCTTGCAGACATCAATCCAAGCAATCGCAAGGAGGCATTTGAAGCATTCAAGGACTGGAAGGTGTGGTTCTACATGGTCATCTTCTTCTGTGGTAGCGTTCCCAACACTTCAGTTTCCAAGTAAGACATCGAGGCTATTCAGCGTGCGTATTTTCAATCATTTACCTTCGTGATTAACCATCACCCGTTTCAACAGTTTCCTCCCCTCCATCGTCAAAGGAATGGGATACAGTAACAAACTGGACGCCAATCTCATGTCCGCACCTCCATATGTTTGTGCCGTTATTGTGGTCATTCTCATTGCTTATTCATCTGACCGACTACACGACCGTGCATTCCATGCTATAGGCGGAGCTTCAGTGTGCTTCTTAGGCTATGTGTTACTGCTTACGCTTGTCGGCAACAGCGCACGGTACGCTGCAGTGTGTCTGGCGGTGGCAGGTGTGTTTGTCATCAACCCGGTCGCCAATGCATGGCTCACAGGCAATATTGCTCCAAGCATGAAGAAAAGTGTGGCTACAGCCATGGTGGTCATGGCCAACAATTCTGCCGGTCTGGTTGGTTCGAATATATACCTTTCAACCGATGCTCCCTATTACAGTAAGTAAGCGTCCCGTGAACATGCTTGGTTTTGCAACGCATTAATCTTCGAATTTCACGTAAAGCCAAAGGCCACGCCATCAACCTGGGTTTCATCAGCTTGTTTATTATCCTGGTGTGCGTCCTTAGATTCCTCCTGTGGCGTGAAAACAAAGCCAGGCAACAGAAATTAGACGCAATCGAGGCAGCAAACGAAGTCGAAGTCGAAGGACGTATTGGCGATCGCCGATTGGATTTCCGTTACGCTTTGTAACGCTCCATCATGCATTGGAAGTGTTCTATACTACGCTTTACATAATTAAAAATAAATAGTCAGATCAGTTTTTTAATTTTCTATATCGAAGGGATCTTTTATTGGTGCGTGCATGCAAGAAAGGATGGTTAGGCCAGGGTGCTTGAGGGTGAGTTACAAAATGGCTGGCACCATTACATGACTGAATGGGAGAGTTTTCTTTGACAAAAAAAAAGAATGAGCAAAAAAGAGTATGAACATTAAAGAAAAAGGAAAAAAAGTAACAGCGATGTCCGCGAATTGGATGAAAAGTAAAGGGAACCGTATTTCAAAACCAACGAAATTTGTGAAAAGTGCATTCAACCTATTGCAGCACCTTGTTAATGGTGACTTCTGCATCAGGCGTAGTCAAAGGTGATATTTCGTCACCCAAGGTAAATTGTTGAAGCATAATGGTAGGTGTAGCAATAGGCGGGTCTGAAGGTGGTGCATCCGCCTGTGCTGGTTCAGGACGTAAGAATTCTGCTGATGACCGATGTGTAAAATCAACCGCTCCATCAGCTCCGCCGCCAAGACCACTATCATTAGTGATACGAGTGACGGACGCTTCAGTGATGCTTCCACTACGAGCAAGTCTTTTGGCAGCGAGAATGGAGGATCTTCTTCTCATTTCGTCTACACCATTGTGGAGAATATTGAGACGAGCCATACTCTTTTCGAAGAACAAATCCGGATTGGTGCACGTTCCAAGTGCTCGTCTCATATGAGTGTTGAGATAACTCAAGCCAACTTGGTATGAAGCATTCATCCATCCAAAACCTTCTCGTGGAACAAACTTGAAGTCGACACCAACATTACCATACTCCACTTCGACCTTGTGCGTTAAGCTTACAACATCAAACTTTTCCGGAACGACACCATTAAAGTCGACAAATGATTTGGTGATGCTGTGGAGAAAAAAGAAGTCAGTGTGCTGTCTGGAGAGTGTCATAAACCAAAATGGAAGACTTACGTGTACAACCAGCGGTAGGCAAGACGTCGAGCAATTTCCATTTTACCGTAGTTTACGAATCCACGCCATGCCATGATTTGATGAGGAGCCCAACCAAAGGGGAAGTCCCACTGTCGATTGGGACGGTCAAGTGAGATAAGACCACGAGAACTTTCTGTACCAGAAACAAGACCGCCCGTCACTTCGAACTTGCTGAGTGAGTTTTCCGTCAACTTTTCAGCTTGATCATCGCTTGCGCAGCCAGCCCAGAGAGCCCAGAATGCAGTTACAGTTTCGTAGGTGCTTTGCTTTTCCTTGACAGTATCGTAATCAAAATACAAACTCTCCTTCTCGTTCCATAAGTATTTGTCGATTCGTTCCTTACGCTCAGCAGCTCTCTTGAACCATACTTCTGGATCTTGCTTGACGCCATCGTAGTCTGTAAATTCACCATGGAAGATATCTCGGACAGTCTCACCAATATCGATTTCATATTTGTACAACAAGGAGTTAAGATCGATGGTTGCAAGATTGGCGCATCTCTTTTCGTATCGGTAGGTAGTATCGTGACCGGATTCTCGAACAGCACGATCATGCAAGAAGTATTCGTCGAGCTCAGGTTCTTTAATTTCTCCATCGTTGTATTTCTGATCGAACTCAACAATGCTGACTCCATGCTTGAGAGCAAATGGTTCAATGATATGGTCGAAATGAGAGGCTTCTGTCTCAGGTGGGATACCTAGGCCAGTGGGGTAAAATCTTGACAACATAGTTTTTCGATCCAAGCGAGGCTCTGACATCCATACAGTGTGATATTCTTTGATGGAAGCTCTGAATGCTTCTGTCAGCCATTCCTTGTTTTCTTGTTCCTTTTCTGGGTTAAGACGCTCAAATACTTTGATGGCCATGTCCGTTAGAAATGGAGGTTGCGACCGAGTGAGATAGTAGGAACGATTGGCATTCAAAATCTTGCCATAATGCAGAATTTCATAGGAAAAGTTATCGACCATTCCGCGAGCCAAATCTATCCGTCCATCTACGATGAGTCCAAGTGTTTCAAAGTATGAATCCCAACCGTACATTTCGTTGAAACGGCCGCCGGGTACCACGAATGGAACGCCCTCAAAGTTGACGTTTCCTTTAGCGTCGACAGTTCTCTTCATAGCCAGTGCCAAAATACCAGGTCGATCGTTGATGCTTTTGACGTACTCCGGCGTGATATCATGGGGAAGAAGTTCGACCTCCAGATGAAGATGTGGCCGTGCCGCGGCTGTCTTTTTGTAATATTCATAAACTTCGGTTTGATCCCATGGGATATAAATTCTTGGGTTGTGGTTAGCAGAGCGATTCTTGGGATCTGCGCAAATGATTTCCAGGCCATCAGCATCGATACGACGGGTCAAGCCATCCCAAAAATGATACCGTATCATTCTGGTCAGACGATCTACAGGGTTTTCACTCAATCGCGCTTCATCCAGCACAATATGTTTGCGTCCGTAGTCATTGGCAAGGGCAAGTTCTTGAAGTAGGTTGGAGAGCATATAGGTGCCGCGGACATCGATAGTCCGATAACCTCCCGAATCGGCCGTTCCCAAAAGTAGGGATTTTGGACCAATATCGTTAATGGTGATTTGAAAGTCGCCATCGGTATCCTCCTGCTCTAGAATAGTACGCTGTGTCTCTGCAACGTCGATAAGGAATTTACGAGCCTTGCTCTTAGGGTCTGTCAAAATAAACATAGTTTAGTTGGTCAAACCTGTGACTTGAATTTTTCTCCCGCCCGTCCCGCCATGACCCAGTAGTTAGCAGGAATTTTTTAAACCAAGATACAGCTAGAGCCATGTCTATGATGCCATATACTGATATAATCCCGCTTCCACCGACAATTGCCCATTACTTACCGTGAGAAGCTCTTCTACGCCGTGGGGCATGGTTTTTGGGACCACTGGAGGGCTCTGCAGCCTTGCGCTGAAGTGGGTTGTCAAAAAAAAATTAGTCATTGTGTCAAAGTTATGCGAAACGGCTATCGATAAACGCCTACCGAAAACGTGGTCACCGATCGATTGCGACCAACACCAGAGGTTGCCGAGTTACTACCTGTCGTATAATAGGTACTGGCGGGAGCGTGTACATCGTAATCTTGATCTGAAATATTCATTTCCTAACGAAGCAATGAAAGATGCAAGTGTCACTTAGCAGTCGACATTATTTAAGCCAGCCTGAATTTTATGACGTACGCTTTGAAGCGCTCCGACTCTCCAAAGGACTGCTGCAGACGCCCAATTAAAATTAAACCTTTCATGCTATAGTCCAATCACTGTTCACTTTACGTCTGATCTGGAAATTTCTGGCCAATCTTCTATATTTCTCAAAGGACAAGGAACTCCAACGGCGATCTCCGCTGATAATTCAACAGACGCTTGTTGATAGGTATTTTTATGTATTTGCTATTTCGTCTTCTATATATGTCATCTATCAAGATTACTTGACATGTTGTACGCTTGCTGAAAAGAATTATGACATTTATATATGGCTTGAAGTCTTGCCTTATCTTATTTCTATCTCATCTTACAGATCAACGCACAGATGCGCTCAAAGGGGGGAGATCATAAATGGTTTTGCATTTATTCGTGATTTGGCTGTTCTTCATCATGAACAGATTTTCTTATGGCTATCTGGTCACTGTTCTTCTTGTCTTGAGCTAATCTTCTTAATTTTCCTTTAAATCCCAAAATGGGCAAGCCGCCAACGCACGCTAGAATCATAGCAAACAACAGTGCGTTATCCATATTATTAGGTGGTGTTGTGTTGCTGCCCGAGCGAAGTTTGTCCATAATGATTGTAATAAAGAAAGAAATGATTTGAGACGATGCCCATAGCACGGACGTACTGAGGGATTCAGAGACAGGGTAAGTAACTGAAAAATAGGGGAAAGAGTTGGGAACAGTTAGAAAGAATTTCTGTGTGATATTCTTGCAGTCGTCTGAATCTTACTTTCAATGGCCAGCTCTAAGATAACAGGGAGCAGCATTAAGGTGAATAAGCCGTTCAACAGGTTTGCCATACAGAAAACCCAAAGGGCATTCGGGAGAACTATTGTGGAAAAAGAAAAAAAGAGATGTTTAGTCTGGTATTTCAAATCTTTTACCTAAAGCCAATGTATCTTACTTTGAATGTATATCATGACATAAGTGAGACATAAGAGAGGCACAAAGAGACGCAGGATGAGTAAATGCTGGCCAGTCTTGTCGATTAGAGGACCAGTGATAGTTCCGGCAACGAATCCACTGAATAGTCTGACAAAACCAGCTATGCCGGCTTGATTATTCGTATAGCCGTACGGAAGCATGATTGGTGTCAAAAGGGTGAGAATCGAAGTCTCAAGACCCATGACCATACAGAAGATGATCATTAGATACCAGAAATTCAAGCTGGAAAATAAGGTACGGCAACCTTTCAGGAATGGCGTTCGTTCTGTTCCAGCTGTTACAGACGGTTGACTTTTAGGTAGGGCGGGCAAAATGAGGAATGGTATAGTTACGATGGTTGAATAAATACCAGCGCCCACCAGCTATAATATCTGAACTTTAGTATGAAGCATAGTGGATTGTATAGCATATTAAAAAGTCGCACATACCACGTATGGAAACGTTTCTGCCGATTTACACACAACTGGTATCAACAACGTAGCGACTGCTGCGCCAAACGGAATGGCTACTCTCCATAACAAAATTAGTATATCAAGGAGTCATTTAGTTCAAATGAAGGAAAATATTTCATACTAAGGATAGTGTTGGCTGTTCCCCTATGTTGAATTGAGAACCATACCGAAGCAAACTTGGTAGTAATATTATAAACAAATGGTTGCCCCAGTGATGCAATGCACTAAATAAAGCACATCAGTTAAGGTTGACAGGGCAGACAAACAATGAAAGATACATATCGAAATTAGAATTACCTGTCCTATCATGGCTACCGGAAATCTAGCTCCGGCTGGGCAGATAATAGCTATGGCTCTAACCCAAGTGCCAACCATGTTAAAAAGAGCGCCTACCAGCATCTGGTACAAATGAATGAGAAGAATTATGAGACCAATGTTTTGTTTTGCCGGCCACAATAAATTTACATACACTGTTTTTGACTCCGTATTTTTCGAAAAACCACCCAGTGATGAGACTAGTAAAAATGTACATGAGCGCAGTTGCGTTTCCTAACCAGCTGACCGAAGATATATCGACATTCAACCATACGACCGAAACATCCGTGACAACCGAGAAGCTCAACCACATTATGGAGCACGACGATGCCAAAGCACATAAAGCTGCTAGTTCAAACCATGCCATAAGACTCGTCTGATTGGATTCTGGGTCTTCTTCCTTTTCATGATGAATAGACTGATCTAAAGTCGAGGTGTCGGATATGCCTGATTGTAATGACTGCTGAATATCCATCGAAGTGTCTGAGAGATAAGGTAAGGATCGGAAATGCTGCTGGGATTGGGACATTCAATGTACAGCGTCTTTAATATAGGGAAGGAAAGGAGTTAAATCAGAGTGCGAAGACTTGATGGAAAGACTTTATGAAAAGAAAGGATTGAAGGAAAGAAAAAAATATAACTACGGCCTTAAAGGAGACAAAAAAATTATGCCAGGCTGTTGCTCATGACGCGAAAGGAACAAGCGATGGGCCAGCTGAAAGAATTAGATAGCTGTCAACGTTGAAGCTGGAATCAAGAATCAAAATGGACGCATATGATGTATAGGCAATGCTGTGGGGGTGCTATTCTGATGATACTTGTGGGAATATTCCAATTGAAACCGAATAACCGTTGGTAGTGTGTGCCGTCACAGAGCCGGAAAGTGGTCCTAGTACCTATTGCTACCGATATCGCAAACCAGTCTACATGGCCGGATAGGAGCGGCTTTTTGCTCGTTCATTTTCTTATTCTTCGTCATACTGACCATATTTATTGGTAGCTAACTTCTGTGTTGCAAAGTTAACGTCGCAGAGTTCACGTCCAAAAGAAAATGACTTCCACATTATCTCACACTGGAAAATATTGGCATAGCTGACCATCTTTCGGCAATAACACATTTGGGAAAATCCGGTCTTGTCATCCACCAATAAATGCAACCCAGATGTGCTCAGTTACATTGCATTTAAACAGGATACTCGATCCGACATACCATAAGGTTTCTGTTTATTTATGGGGTATTTTATTCTACATATTAGCTATCTAACACTATTGAAAATATGGATGAAGGTAGAGGATATAAAAACGCACAAACATGAGTATAGGCTGATTTACTCGAGGCCAATCTGCTTCAGATCCTCAGAGTGCCAAACACGAATAAGCGGATGTCTGTTTTCAGCGTGGCTACTATTGTCAGCACAGCTTTCACACAGGTTGATGGCAGCTTTTCCAGGCACTCCTTCGTTACAAACTGCACAAACGTAGCGAGCGCCCACAATGGCAAAGCGACAAGTTGAGCATTGCACATTGTGTACTAAATTGGTTCTGTTGGCTACGCGAACGTTGTTCTGAATATCAGGTGATGTTGAATCTTTTACGGCTGCTAGCAGGTGTTTCGAAGGGTGACTGTGAGAGGGGAAGCACTTTTGGCAAACATCCCAATCTGGACAATACATGCATCGATAGCGGATTTCATTGTCTTTAAAGTTGACATGACAAATGTCGCATACTGTATCGGGGTGTTTTCCTACAATAGGGTGTGGAGAGGTCGGCATGATCTCTGTAGGACGATTGTTCTGCACTTCCCAACTTGCCTTGTCCACTACCAAGCTTCCCCAAAAGTCAGCTTGCGATTTTGCTACCTGCATTTGCTGGTGGATTTCGTCGACAACTTCGGTGCTGACATTTCCGGAGCTGGTGACCTTATACCACTGAATCGTGACACGAACAGGGTACCTTTCATCTCGCTCCAAAGGTTTTCCCTCTAAACTTGGGAATTTCCCTTCACTCTCAGCTAATGAAATGATAGCATTCTCAATGTCTACAGGAGGCGGATTCTGTACCCTTGGTAGGCTTATTTGCTGATTTTGTGTCGCACCAAAGCCGAATGAGACTTTAGGAGGATGTGTTGCACCAAAGCCAAATGAGCTTTTTGAAGGGCTGAAACTGCTTTTTGACCCAAAAGGTTGAAATGCAGGCGAACTCAATGGCGCCATGGGGCTAGCAGGATAGGTTGGGTACGGGCTATTCGGAGCGATTTGTTGTGGGGGTTGGTATGATGTATTGGTTTGCCCAAAGGCAGCGAAAGGAGATGCTTCTTTAAAACAATTTGGGGAATTATGTTGGGGTCCGTAGATTGGAGGTTGAGTAGAATTTGTCGGCCCAAACACTCCGAATGAGGTAGTAGAACTTTTTGGCCCAGACGATCCGAATGAGGCAGAAGAGAGCAAATGGGAAGACCGTAGATTATCAGACATCTTCAGTGGTACCTGTATGACAACAATGGCATTATTTTGCCTTTCTTCAGCGGTCATAGGCTTTGTAAGATCTTTCTCTCCACGCAGAATTCTGTCGTATGTCAGTCTTTGAGCCAAGAATGCGTGTTTAGAACCGTTGCTGTTAAAGTAAAGTTTTTGTCCAGCAAATACGCCATTCTGAGTCTTCAGTAAGAGCTGAGCACTGGTACCTTTGCTGGTGGCTACAATGGCGAGAACAGCTGAATGGGTTGTTGTCGATTGATAATTGTAAATACTAACATAGAACTTGGTAGGATCCTGAATCGGTGGAGTGGCTCCAAAGTAGACAGCAGGGGTTTGCTTAGGAGGTACAGGCAAAAAGCAGCTTTGAGCGGAAACCAAGGCGTGAGAGTCTCGCTTCGGACAGTACAGTGATTTCTTCAGTCCCGTATACTTTGAAATATCATTCAAGTAGTTGGCTAAAGAAACTGATTTGAGAGTGGTGCCATTTTCGTTACCAACCACAAGCGGGATCTAAAACACATTGAATTGAGAGTCAGTAAACATTAGTTTTAACTGCGGAGCTAATCGCCTCCAGATGCTCGTTCCAACTAGCGTAGGAAGCCATAACATAAGCAATGAGGGTTACTTACTTTGTCCATAGGAACGTCCCAAGAGTAATCGGCAAAGTTGGGATGCCGAAATAGTGGCATGCGTACTTCGGCCACCAGCAAGGTCAAATCAGATATATTGGGGCCATATACCGAATTCTTCGTCCTGGCCGTGTCTTCCCAGGCGACTTCCACAATGTCGAGTCCTCGGGCTTTAGCCAGAAGACGACTCGCTTGGTCGCGAGGGATCTTTTTGATCACTTCACAGAGAACTTTCAGTTGACTGTCGTGGGGTTGAGTAACTACCATTGAGGTGGAGAGGAACAAGGAGATGTAGGACAGCCAAGACGTCTACTGCGCATTTTAACAGAAAAATATTATGGTGGTTTTTATTTGAGTTTTTGTGATCCCTAAAATGGGAGACTGTTGAACATTTATTAGGTATGTCTTCTTCTTCTTACATGAATGAGCCTACAATTGAAATGAAATGGGAGTTATTCATTTTCAGCAGCCAATTCCAAGTCCCAACCCAAGTCGGCTGTTATGTCCCAGGCGTGATTTATGTTTTCATCCAACTGCGGCTGCCTTGGCTCGTCTAGTAAGGATGACGGTGGCGGGGCAACAATGGGATCCAATGGCGGCTTTGATAGTAGGGATGTGGAGTCAAGTGATTTACCGTTGACATCAAGCATCTCCCATTTGAGTTCCCAGTACGTTTCATCCAGTTGAAAGATGTCAATAGTGACAAAGTGGAAGTTGATTTCCGTTCTTTGATACATATTCCAGTCATCCACTCTGTCGTAGTCAAGGTCACCGCCTGCGCCTCCAATGATGCTGTACATAACGCCATTCCGTTCTCCTCGTTCGTAGTTATGTTGATGGCCAGATATTACGAGATCAACACCATACTGTTCGAAGAGTGGTACAAAGCGGTCACGAACAAATCGGCCCCACTCGCTTTCTCCTTGGTTCCACGGAATTGGATCCCAAAATTCCATGAAAGGCGGTATATGTACAACGACAATTCGAAATTTGGCAAGTCTTGATTCTTCGGATTCCAATTCCGCCTTAAGCCAATTATCCTGATCCAGATAATCCAGATTACTATCCAACACAATCACTTTGACTGCTCCCGACGCAATGGTGTAGGAAAACCAAGGGAAATGTTGCTTGTTATCGTGGCGAGTATAATGGTATTCCAGTGACTCGTCATGGTCATGGTTTCCATGTGCGTAGATGATGGGCGTAGTTTGAGCCAAACTGTATTTAGTAAGGGGATCGAAGAAATCGGTTTGCCATTGCTGAAGCGATGGGTAGTTTTGAACAGCATCCCCTGCATGAATCACATAATCAAATGGTCCTCGATGGCCGATGACTCGAATAACCTTGGTGAACGTCTTGAGTCCAAATTGATTGTCAGCGATACCTACAAAGCGAATTGGGTTCTTTGCCGTTGGAGCATGGTCAGCTTTTGAATGCCAGGGGAACTTGTATTGTGCAAGTAGGCGTCGCCTATGAGGCGGGGTTTGTGGAGAGGATAATATACTGTAGGTATAGTTGGCAGTAATAGGCAATGGGCCCAATATGGCTTTGTAGATCTTGTGATGTTCGTCTAGAACAGTGGGAACGATCGTCTTGGTGATACCGTATTCATCGAATTCAGGGTCTAGCGGGTTATCAGAGACTCGCCATGTAACCAATAAGTCTTGATCTTCGAAACCACAATTCGCCTCCCATACCACTTGAACGTGGCGTGTATCAATAACAAAGAGAGTGGGTTCTTTGCGAATAGAATTACATGACATCCAGCCGCTGTCGTACAATGAGTTTCGTAACTTGAAACGAGCAAAGGTGATATATAGTTGAATGAAATCGAACATAAAGAGGAATAGAAATAGGAATATGATAATTGCAATGGTGAGTTTTAGTCTCAAGCGTCTTCGAGAGAAAATGTGACGGCCACATCGCCTTGATGTGACATGCTTGTTGCCTTTTAAGAGGGTAAAGTCATGGGCGAATCGATCATGGGCTGTTGATGGATGAGGCGAGGTGGCAAGTTTGTGATGAAAGGAAACAGAGGAATAAGGTTCGTAGTGATTCATCGCATGATTTAGTGTAGCTAAAAGCTAATCAGAATGAACAGACAACTGATGAAAATGGGAATGGGCAGTAAAAAAAAATAAAAAAATTTCGACGTTCTTATGGTTTTGCTCAATTTCACTGAATGGATTCCAGGATTTCTTTACAGAGCTGATTTTTGATATTCCGTTGCTTCATTGTGCCCGATACAGCTAATCCACTTTGACAGAGGACCTATTGGACATTGCTCATTTCTTAACCGCCTATAACATCTTCTCTTCCTTTTTGTCAAAACCAACTTTTGTAGAGCTTCCAGTACGCCCTCTGTTTCGGCGATTGCTGATCCAAGTGAACGCTAATCTGTTTAAACGCCGCTGTTCATGCCATCATTATTGACCATTTCGGTCTCCGTCATAGATACAATTTATGATGCCGAGATATTGTCTGTTTAAGTAACTTGTAACTCTTCTACAACTTTTATATGTTCCTCCTAGGTACTATCCTGTTAGCACCTTTGGTTGGCGCTATACGAAACCTAGTTGTATTTGGGGATTCGTATTCAGGTACGTACGCACTGAGACTCTGTTGGCATAACTCCCGTAAAAGGCAAAAATGACAGGAAAATTTGAGAAACTGACCTTATCCTCACCACTTGCTTTTTGACAGATATTGGCAATAACGGCATTTACACTGACAATGCCAACTGGGCTCAAGATCTCGCCTACTCTTGGAATGCGTCGCTCTATGACTTTGCCTACGGAGGAGCCACGTGCGACAACCACATAGAACAATACGTCGACGCTGTCAGTGTCAGTCAACAAGTAGCTGATTACATTTCGAGGGGCGAGGGCAAGAACATTAATGCCTCGGAATCCGTGTACGCCATTTTCATTGGAATCAACGATGCCAATTTATTTAATGGTAAAGTTGGTCCCTTGCTAATTTTTCAATATCCCTTTAGTTTTCCCGCTGCCCGTAGACCATATTTGTACATATTAGCGCATACTAACTCTACGTCTATTTTAGTGAGCAATACCCAAGCTGTGGCAAACTGCGTATCCCAACAGATGAAAAAGCTAGAGCAGGCATATGGAGCGCAAGAATTCCTTATATTCAACATTCCACCTATGCAATACTCTCCCTTCGCTAAAACAGCCATACAAAATTATCAAGATGCAAAGGCGGACTGGATTGCCAATTATAACCAGCTTCTGAACGCTTCGGTGCATAATCTCGGAGGAACAGCCAGTCTTGTATTTTTTGACACATATGACTTATTTAAGACTGTTCTGGCAAACCCCACCGCATATGGCTTCGACGATATCACTGACTATTGGAACAAATATGCTTGTACCAATTTAACATATTGTCCTGAGAACGTTGGTGGCATAGAAGGCGCAACAAAATTTCTTTGGTGGGATGGTACACATGTTACATCAGGTAAAAAGCATTGTTATTATATAAACCAGTCAATGATTGTCGTCTGTTATTTACATTTTGTTTTTAGCAATGCATAGGATAATAGCAAACAGTATTATCACTCTTCGTCCTTTTGGTATACAAGGCAATAACGTTCAAAATCAATATCAGGTGAACCGGACGGCCCTCCCAATTTCTCAGGGCGTACCTGGACGATTTTCAATAGACTACTGGATGCTACTCATGTCGTGTTTAACAGCATTAGTGGCCATTCATACCCATTTGTTCATATAGACATGTTGTATATAATGTGTATTCAAGAATATATATATTTGATTTAGAGCTCAAACAGTTTATCTTCAAATGGGTACCTGGATTTTTTTCTGCAAATCTTACAAAGACAGCACCTAGGAGACAATGAAAATCAGCAGCCACCTGAAGGCTTACGTTTTGAGCAGAGGAGGATCACCGGCAGGGCCTATCGTTGGATCGCTAACCCCCCGACACCATGTGTTGAACCGCGAGCTCAGAATGTAAGAGATTGCAATGAAAAATGTTCTCGAGGTTTTAATGCTGTTGTCTCTCCAGCCATACCTTGTGACATGTTTGCAAGTACCAATACCAGCCATCAACATTTCGTTTTTGAAACAGCGCGAAGAACCACTATGCACAGAGACGACGTCTGGCATACCTAAAGTAGACGACAATCGACAAAATGAAATGGAAGAACAAAGAAGTCACGATAGAGTTGGTTCTTTTCAAAGTACACAAGCCAACATCCACCAAGTGGAATTTTGGACGTGAACAGGAAGGCTGACCCACGATGCGAATTACCGTTTTGGGGTGACGTATCATCCCATAAGCTATATTTAAGGTGCAGGTGTCGTTTTGGCGACGGCACAGGTTATTTTATAATAATATCTATAGATGGGTGAATCTAGAACCGAGTTATTGGCGTGGCTCAATGACCTCCTTCAGTTGAACTACACCAAGATCGAGCAAGCAGGATCAGGTACGTGATGAGCACTCATTTTTTCGAAACGTCTGGAAAAAGTCCATGGCTTCGACGAAAAAGCCGAAACACTGAGAGCTGGACGAAGATGCTGAGAGAGCAACGCGACTTGAGTACTCTGTCCTCTGAAACCTTGGAATCACGCTGGCCATACTCAAGATCTATCTCGTATGCATCAGTGATAGAGCCCGATTCTAACCATTACTGTGTTTTATCCAGGTGCGGCTTACTGCCAGATCATGGACTCCATCTTTGGTAAATAGTGTTCTTAATCACTGTAATGAGTTTGCTGAACCTGTTACTAAGCAAAGACACGATTTACAGCTGATGTTGGTATGACCAAGGTCAAATTCGATACCAAGCAAGAATACGAATACGTGTCCAATTACAAGGTGCTCCAACACACCTTTGATAAGCACAAGTACGTACCATTACATTCATTCTATGTTGCGTGCAAATAGACTTACATGTTTCTACTCTCTGATTTTAGGATTGATAAGGTGATTAGACTCGATAAATGGCACATAGACAAGATTGTCGTCAGAAGGCTGACTATGTCTCTTATTTTTAGATAATACCGGTTGATCGCTTGATGAAGTGCAAGTTCCAAGACAATTTGGAGTTTATGCAGTGGGTTAAGCGCTTTTGGGATGCCAACTTCCCTGGTGGTGCGTACGATGCATTGGCACGCCGCAAAGGCCGTGCTGGTGGCGCCACATCTCGAGCACCCACTGCTACTGGAACTCGAAGACCCCCTGTCAGTACTGCTGCTGGTATGTCAATCTCTCTTTTTTGTTACAATGGTAATGTACGTACGTTATCTGACCCCACCTCGGTGACGTATATAGGCCGAAGTGCAAGCCGTACCGCTTCAGGAAGAATGTCGTCCACTGGCCGTCAATCATCCAGCAGCGCCAGTGCCAACGTCCTCGATAACCACTCAGCTGCCATGATCATCGACTTGAACAAGCAGATCGCCGAATTGAAGGTCACTGTCGACGGATTGGAGAAGGAGCGCGATTTCTACTTTGGAAAATTGCGAGATATTGAAATTTTGATTCAGGAGCAATTGGAGACTAATGCTGCCATGGAAGAACCGCAGGAGGACCCTAGTGTCTTGAAGGATATCCAAGCTATTCTGTATAATACCGAGGAAGGCTTTGAGGTTCCTCCCGAAGGTGAAGAACAAGACCTAGCTGCTGGCTCTATGCCTGTTGGCGATTCTGAAGATGAAACTTTTTAAATCCCATATATCGAAAGCAAAATTATTCCCCACCCTTAAATGTTTTCCTTCCCTTTTCTTATAAACATTGGTTCCCCTGCATTATATTAAAACGAAATCCTACTAGTGACAGCAGACAATGCACATAATGGTGTACAATGAGAAAAAGGAATGATACATGCAATTTATTTTTGTGACGAACTCAGAAGAGTTGATGTAACAGGACCGGTGTAGGCTATATTATATGGACATTATAAAGCAAAGTATGATTTCTCTGTATAGTTTACTGGTACAATTCAGGATCGTACGGAGCACCAAACAGTCCTTGCCAGCTAGCTGGGGGAGTCCAAGAGAAGTTGGAATCTGTCAAAGCCACGTGAGTACGATGTTTGAGCTAGGTTGCATGTAGCCAACATTGCAAAGAAACCCTTACCTGGTGAGACGCTAACGATACGCATAAGCGAGTCTAAGCAGTTTGCATATTGTATGGTGTCCTGCAGATTGTCTAGGCGCGAGAAAAAAAAAAAAAAAACATTTGGTACAGTGAGTTTTTCAGATCCAATCGTGACAAGTACAATGTGTCATATTCTCACCTCCTTCAAGGGCAAACATGATGAGGATGGCTACAGGGTGTTTTGATCTCAATCTAGCAAATAATTTCTTCGCAACGCCCGAACCATGCATGGTTGGAATATCACTGTCCCCTTTGTTTTGATCTCGATGATCGCCATCTTCCTCAGGTAATAATTCGAGCATAGGGAGATTGAGCTCAGCTGCACGTTCGCTAACAAACGAGTCCTCAGGTGCAAATAGACGGAAGGGTACACCCGTCATTTGGACATCCACCCGCCGAGAAGCGTCTGTGCTGGTCATGATCAACGTCTTTGCAAACCCTGAGGCGACTATAAACGCCTCCAAATTGGAGAGAAACACTTGGCGTTTACCCTAATGAATCTCGGTTGTTAAAGGACATTTTCCCTCTATTGTAGTTAAAATGAAAAGCTCTCGTTCTGACCTTGAATATAGGGGTCCGTTGCTGGACAAATGTGAATTGGCGATCCTTTGTTTGATATACTTTTAAACATGTCAATAACGAGGGCTGTGATAAATACAATGTTAACAATGAATTACCTTCTAGGGCGACCGTAATACCCATATCAGGATTCACTTCAAAAACGCCAGCAACTGGCATGACGGAATGGTCCTCCAAGAAGCCAACGCGCTCCAACTTGAGCGAGCTGACATATAGATCGACAGTGAGCTGAGGAACATTAGCGATCGACACCGTGGGCTAGTGAATCAACAAGTCAGTATTGAATAGATAGTAGTGAGGGTATTGAAAGAACGATATCATACTATGATTAAGGTGGTGCCCTTAAGCTGTGAAGGATTAAAGCCAGGTACCGGGACAAATGTATTCATGCTGGAAAGGAATTACGTGGACGCAAGCCAAAATTGTGAGGCAGCACTTTTGAAGTACCTACTGAGATTGAAATTTGGCCAGGCAATTTGGATGAAGCATTCAAACCAACATAACAAGAACAAAGACTTTGCGTACGATGTGCAAAACAATATGGCATACTGATAAAGTCTACTAATACCACTCATAAGTAAAAGATGTGGTTAGAAGGACGTGAGGGTTCTGATATTTCGATTTGAGGTGGTCTTATGTTCTGAATTTTTTTCACGAAGCACCATTGTTCTTGATCGCAAGGATGTATTACATATAGCTTTATCACGAACAAAAGCTTGCATGGTTCTTATAAGCGAAAATCATCAGTTACTGGAGAAATCGCAGACGTTAAACCAAAAATCGGTAGATCAGATATATTTGAAAATTTAAAGATATGGTACAAGAGGTAGAATATGAAAAAAGCAAATTAAAAAACAAAAACAGAAGCGCTCTAAGAGACTATGTTCCTCTAGGTGGTAAACGAAAAAAAATGCTTTTCAAAGGTTGCACTCGACAGTGACGGGGGTGAGAATCTATTCGGCTGCCAACATGGCAACAAGGGCACCGCCAATGCTACCTCCGTCACGAGCAATTTCTAAGAGAATGCGATCGGAAACCTCAGCTCCAAACCAGGTACGGAGAGCCTTCTTTACGCGTACATCCATGTAAGGATAGTATTCATAAGTTGAGCCATTCACACCAATGACGATTTCGTTGCTGTCAACGATATGCAGTTGCTGTTTTTCAATCATGGATGCAATAGCAACGGCTACCATGATGGCACCGCGGGTAGCCACGATACGGCAGATACGAGTAAGGGCTTGGATATCGTCCTTGGAAGGTCTAGTAGAAAAGGAGTAGACGGATTCCAGAATCTTGACAGACGCATCACGTGATGCGGTGTTATCTCTTTCAATGGAACTCATCATGGCAGTTTGGAAGCTCCAAGGAGTATCCCAGCCTGCTGGAACCTCTCCATCAAATAGGGCACCTTGTTGAATGAAATCCATGGCTACCAATCGAGTCAACTCGCCAAGGTATGCTCCTGACATCATTTTTTCCCATGGCTGAAAGTCGGGTTGCGTATGATTCTTGTCCAGCTGATGGTCATATTTGGTTCGTGGCAAATAGGTATCGTTGCCAAAGATATCGATCTCGGTGTTAATGAGCATTTCATCATCAGGATTGAATTGAGAGCGTTGGGACTCATCCCACTTGCCAATGTTGGAAACCTTCTCGGGGTACGCAGCGTTGCATCCAGTAGCATAGATAAACCCAATACGAGAACGAGGGTTGCTATAGGCGTGAGCTACCAATGTTCCAACAGTATCATTCAACAGCGCACCGACGCGGACGTTAAGATTCTAGTAGGGCAAATTAAGATAGGGTAAATGATCATGATCTATCGTTTCTGCTCCATGGTACACGATGGCCTTACCTTTCGATTGAAAGCTTCATGGAACATATCCGACAAATCACGGCCTTGAACGTTTGGCATCGTGAAGCCTTTACCCATACGTAAAACTGTTCCTCTATTCAAAGTAGTTTGACTACAAGAGATGATGTTAACATGGGAGGAATTTGCGGAAAGGATCTCAATGGGCCCCACCCGCGGGCGATGGCAAGAATGTCGAACATGTCACTTACTCGATAGGAAAACTCCAGCAGACACCAAGTGAGAGGGTATCCTGACCATTCACTTGCTCAGGCTTGAACAAGTGCTTTGCCTTTACAGTAATGAGTTCTTGAATAGTGTCTGCGATCCAGTCAAAGAAAGCGTCTCCAGATCCTGACTTGAGGTCCTCAGTGGCCAAACGCTTGTTCTCGACAATGTTAACCTGACCATCTCCAAGGAGCTGAACAGCGTTCACACGAAGATTGGTACCTCCTAAATCCAGGGAAAGGAAGGTACCGGTCTCATTACCAGTAGGCAAAGAGGTGACATAGGATGGAATCATGGAGGCAATGCCCTTGGATGGGGTTTTAAGGCCGGATTGGTACTCTGATATAAAGCCCTTGATAATAGGAGCCATTTGCTCCTTGGTCAAGAGAAACTGGTCCTCTAATTTGTTAAAGAGGTGCTCATACGAAGCCATGACCATTTGGAGTTAGAAGTGAGAAGTGGGTGAAAAGGGCCAACAAATAGATTTTGTTAGGCTGGCCCCAGTTTTTATTGTCAGTTGGGCGGGAAAATTTTTGAGGGTCAGTTTTTATTGGTGCTTGACAATAACAGCCATTCTATTTTCCCTTTTTATTTTTCCATTCAATGAAACCCAACCCCTGTGTCTTACTGTGCAGGGTCCTTCCATTTATTCTATGGCCAACAACTTGATGACCTTGAATATTCGCTTCTATTCAAAATAATGGAAAGCGAAACATCTTGCCATTACTCCAAAACCACTCACTTCCACAAAAAGCAGATGATAAAATTGCTCCGAGTCGCCGACATTTGGGGAAAGAAAAAAAGGGTTGAGCTGAGTTTTGCCACAGGACCCTGATTTTCGCTATGTCCGCTTTCGAGATCCGCAGTGCAGGTAAGACAAGAAAAGATGGAGGTTTCCATCATGACCGCCAGTTTCACCCCCCAACAATATGATATCACGGCCCATAGCTTATCTTTAAATCAGCTGCTTTATGTATAACGTGCCAGAATTACAAAGGGTCAGTAGACACTGCGAGTTCTACCGAGTGCGTATGATGAGTGTATGTTTTAGAAAGAATCCTGAGGAAAATGTAGAACTATAGAAATGGAAAACTAAGACAAATGAAGGGAAAAAGTAATATAATGTTGGGGCGGGTGGGGAGCTTATTCATAAGGACCGTTCAATGGGGTAGCAGGACGAGCTGTGTTGGGAGCAGGGACACGAAGCTGCTTAACACCACCTTGAAGTGACAAGTTCTCAGCACCGATCAAGGAGTGGTGGACATGTTCAATAGACTTGAAGTACTTGACAGTCTAAGAAAAGGATGCAAAAGTCAACTCCTGCTCTATGGCACTTCACACTGCATGCATCTCTCTCTCTCTTACCTTAACATGAAGTTCAAGGGTGGCATCTTCATCGCAGACAACCAAGCCCTTGGGGTGCATTTGAATAGCAGACACAGTCCACATATGGTTGACACCTTCCTCAATACACTTTGCAAGAGCAATAGACTTGTGGGCACCAGTGATGGTGATGCAAACCTCACGGGCATCCATGACAGTGCTACATGTCAAGTGATCAGGTTAGTCATTGGGTTGCACCCATGAGGATAATAATAAAAACAAATGTCTGTCAAATAACTTACGCAACACCGACAGTCAAGGCAAGCTTGGGAACCTTGCTGACATCGCCATCGAAGAAACGGGCGTTGGCAATGATGGTTTCGTAGGCAAGGGTCTTGACTCTGGTTCGGGAAGTAAGGGAAGAACCGGGTTCGTTGAAAGCAATATGGCCATCGGGACCAATACCACCCAAGAAGAGTTCAATACCACCCACACGAGCAATCTCGGCCTCGAACTTCTTGCACTCTTCGTCGAGATCAGGAGCGTTTCCGTCCAAGATATGGACATTTTCAGGCTTGATATCAACATGCTTGAAAAGGTGGTTCCACATGAAGGAGTGATACGATTCAGGATGGTCTCTGCATGGAGTAAAATCAGCACCTTTTCCATCAATCTACCCTTTCTACCGAGGTTATGTTCTTCCTTACCTGGGCAAACCAACATATTCATCCATGTTGAAAGTGACGACATGGCCAAAGCTAAGCTCGCCAGCCTTGTACAGTTCAACTAGCTTCTTGTAAGTACCGATAGGAGAAGAGCCAGTGGGAAGACCCAACACAAAGGGACGTTCAGCAGAGGGCTGGAATTGGTTGATACGCTCCTTGACGTAGTTGGCTAGGGGAGGAGGGTGAGCTCACCATAGAGGGGGGTGGAGGGTTATATGGAAGCTTGGTACTTACCAACATAGCTGGAGACCTCGTCATAGTCTTCACGGATGATAAGTCTCATGGTTTTTAGTGTTTGGAGAGAGTAGAAGAAGGGAGAAAGATGAGTGTTAGGCCAAGTTCTAGAGACGTTTATTTATGCGTTGGGACAACGCCAACTGGTGCTTTTCGGAGCAAGACGGACTTTTGTAACTCCCGGAGTTGGAAACAGTAAAATTTTTTTCAGGGTTCAAAACGGTGGGTGACACAACCCATCGACGTAACATTACAGGGTCTCCTCCTCGATTAGCCCGATAAAATCTATTAGCACTTGGCCAGGAAGCTCGATGGCCGTACACAGAATTTTAATTGGATAACAAGTACTCGAATAGCTATCACGTTGGAAAACTATAGAACATACCGCAAAGCTCAGCTGAGACCATTTATTGCACTGATCATCTCATACTGAAACGATTTCGTTGGTGAGCCAACGTGGGTTTGTTTTCATTCGTTTTTTTTTTATTCATCCTGACTTCAATTCTTCTTCCTTTATATTTTATCTTCCCTTGCTTGCTTCCTTCCTTCGCTACTGCTGATTAGGTACAGGAAACCCACTTGGCAGTTTGGTATATTATGTTGTAGGGGGGACAAGCACAAAGGGATGGATGGGTGTGGGACAAGTGGCGTATTACAGCCAGTCAAATGATGAGTTTTGGACCACACATCCAATCTCGTTGGTGCGATGCTGGTTTTTTGATCATTTTTTTCTCTTCACCAACGGGGAGATTTTTGTGCACTCGGGCATGCAATGGAAGAGTCGCTCTTTATCCATCTGAATTTCAGCAAATTAAACAATGTTTTATTTCGAACGACAGCACATCAACGGCACAAGCTGTCGGTCAAAGGACTTAGCGGTGAAAAAACGTGCGTTCGTGAGTCACAATGCTTAATGAAAGGCAGTCACAATTATTTTCCATGAATTTGTTAAAAAGCAACAACTGAAGGGTGAAAACTCGACAGAAACACATACAGTCAATATGAGTAATCCCAACTGGTCTATTAATTCCTGGAAGGACAAGCCCGTGCTTCAAGATGTCGTCTATGACGATCAAGCACATCTTGAAACAGTGTTAAAGAAACTTCAGCACTTGCCTCCCATGGTGACACCAAGAGAGGTAAACATTCAGTTGAATCCTGTGGTATTATTTTTTACTCCGCGATGTAGCTCACTCATGTGCTTAATGTCCAATAGGTTGATGACCTTCGAGTCCAATTGAAGGAGGCTGCTCTCGGAGAGCGTTTTCTTTTGCAAGGTGGTGATTGCGCAGAACTGTTTGACTATTGTTCACAGGTACCTTTTTACAACTACAGTCACAAACCAACCTTAGCGCTGTTGCTGATTGTTCATTATCCATAGTCACCTATTGAGTCAAAACTCAAAGTCTTGCTTCAAATGTCTTTGGTGTTGATTTGGGGTGCAAGAACCCCGGTGGTTCGCATTGCTCGTATGGCCGGTCAATACGCAAAGCCAAGAAGCAAACCCACTGAGATGCATGAAGGAAAGGAAATACCATCGTACAGGTAAGTAAAGCAAAGGAGCAACGAAGTGAAAAGCACGATATCTGACGAATGATATTCTCTAGAGGTGACAACGTCAATGGCTTTGATCCAAGTGACCGAAAGCCTGATCCGGAAAGACTTCTTCAGTAAGTGGAGTTGACAACTTTTGCCTCATTTAATTTTTGAATCCGAGCTAATCAGTCTGCTCATTACAGAGCTTATTTCCATTCTGCTGCAACTCTCAACTATGTTCGTGCTATATTGGGCTCTGGATTTGCAGGTAAGATGGTGAATGGCAATAGGGTGAGTAAGGTGGTTGACCTTAAGCTTAACCTGTTTCTTCTTTTTCGCAAGACCTTCACAAACCACAAACCTGGAACTTGGACCACGTACGTTCAGGATCAACGCGCCAAGAATACCAAGCCATTGTCGATCGTTTGACCGATGCTATGGACTTCATGCATACCATTGGAGCTGACTCAGGACGATCGTTGTCCGAGGTAGATTGGTTCGTCTCTCACGAAGGACTGCTACTCGATTATGAGTCTTCTCTCACTCGTGAGCATGTAGTGCCATCTACTGGAGAGAAGAAGTATTACAATACCGGAGCACACTTCTTGTGGATAGGTGATCGTACACGTCAACCCGAAGGTGGACATGTAGAGTACATGAAGGGTATTGAAAATCCTGTCGGCATCAAAGTTGGCCCAACTACCAACCCAGATGATCTTCCCGTTATTCTTAATGCTATCAACCCATCCAAGGAGATTGGAAAGGTCACACTTATCACAAGATACGGTGCGGGAAATGTTGAGAAGCTTTTGCCCGCCCACATTGAAGCTGTACGAAAGTCTGGCCACATTGTTGTTTGGGTATGCGATCCCATGCACGGAAAGTAAGACTTTAATGGATAAATGGTAATAACAACTGCATGCTCTGTAGCTAAACGTTTTATTTTGCATAGTACCAAATCAGCCACAGGAGGAATTAAAACACGTCATTTTGCCGACATTGTTGAGGAGTTGACTTCCAGCTTCAAGGTGCATCAATCGGTTGGTAGCAAGTTGAACGGTGTTCATTTTGAATTGACAGGTGATAGCGTCACAGGTAAGCAAATGATCTATTGCATACGGACAACGTGAGATTAGGCCGCTAATATTTGCTGTTCAGAATGTGTTGGTGGATCCATGGAGCTTAAGGACAGTGATTTGTCCACCAATTATCAAACCTACTGTGACCCACGCTTGAACTACGAGCAGAGTTTAGATGTTGCATTCTTAATAGCGCAATACTATGAAAAGGAGCGATCCCTACAGAATTAAACGTGCACAATGATCAATAAATATCCTTAGGAGTGATTGTTCTCCGCTTTAAAAAATGTATCTATCGTTCTCGTCGGACTTGGATCGACTGTATCAGCAGGTCTACTTATCCTCGTCCTGCTTCTTGAATGTCGGGTTACTTGACCATGCAGGCATTTTCTCGGCTTACACCTAGATTTTCTACGCAAATTCGCTCAGTCAGCACTAAAGTTCGTCAGAATGACCAAAGTACGATAGTGCCATATCTTCGTCACAAGTACGAAGAGCGACTCGCTCAGCATGCCATGCTTGCCCGTCAGAACCATGCCTCCATTCTGTCACTTAGCTCAGATAACCTCGACCATTTGCCTGAAACAGACTTGAATTCATCAAAAGTGGCAAGAATGCAAAGCGATATTGAACATATGTTTGGATTTGGCCTGGTATCCTCCAAAGACGTCTTTATCAACAACGAACTAGACTTATCGCGAGTTGAAGTCTATGGATTTGGTATGTTGCTACCCTGCTTGCTTTTTACAAACTCACTCGGGCTGACAGCTCCAATATCGAATATTATGCAATTATTTTGGGTTGTGATAACTAGATTACGATGTAGGTATGCCGTTGAATATCGCGCGCCCAGGGACAAACTGCTCACAACAATGAATCTATCTGTTATTGCCTTTTGTAGTACACACTTGCTAGCTACACCGATCGACTTTCATTCACCATTTTCGAAATGTTACGAGATATATTAGTTGAACACTTTAGATACCCGAAAGCATTGAGCAACTTGCAGTTTGACCCCAGCTTTGCTATTCGCGGTCTTCATTTTGGTAGGTTATCGGCTATTCTAGAAGGAAATTACCGAGCTTGCATATTAATCTGTAGCCCGCAGATATAACCAATGGATGGCTGATGAAAATCGACAGCTTTGCAAACATACAGCTCAGCACCGTGCATGGTAAGTGTGATCTTCATCAGCTGATTTCACTGAACGCCTATCTCACCAACTGTCAACCGGCCATAGTGGGACGAGAACCGATCAAGGATGTGAATGACGTTATTCATCAACATAGAGGAGTGCACATATCACCAGATTATCTCCAGAAGAATATGTATCAATTGAACGATTTATTCTCTATACCACAAGTAATCTTCATCATTTTCGGGTCACGTCTCGTTGCTCGTCGTTTTTGCTGACACTTCTACATCTGTCGTAACTAGGCTTGTCTACTCAGTGACATTCTACAATATTTTAAGGACAACAACATCGAGTCAGTGCATTGATCTGTATATGGAAGAACCCGATCATATTTTATTACATATTTCATTAACGTTAAAACATGCGTTACATTACAGTTTCCATCCTCGCTACCTGGCAGATGATGTGCAGCGAGCTTCAGACATCGTGCATCAATGGTCATCTCTCCAAAGTAGAGGAGTTGGAGGTCAGCTTCATAACCGCGTGGTGCGCGATATGAGTACCTATTTGACCAAGCAGCCGTCTATGGTCCGATACTTGGAAGATTTACGTCGTAATGGGAAAAAGACTTTCCTTCTCTCAAATAGTAGCTTTCCATTCATGTAAGTGTAGACCTGGTACGCAATCTAATGACACTCTATTTCGTTTGACTTATCACATACTCTAGCGATGCTGGCTTACAGTACATAACTTCTAGCCCAGATTGGAGAGATCTTTTTGATTGGGTCATAGTGTCATCCCGCAAACCTGATTTCTATAGAACCGAACGCCCATTTCGACGTACAAGTGAGCCCACATGGAACGCAGTTACCGAATTTCAACCGGGCAAAGTATACGAAGGAGGAAATCTGAAAGACTTCTCTCGCTTTACGGGAGTCTCAGGGTAAGCGGGGAAACACACAATGGTGAACTTTGTTACACAGTGAGCTTATGCCCAATATGATGACACAGGTCCAAGGTGATCTACTTTGGTGACCATGTATTTAGTGACTTAATCGATCCTGCGCAACAGCAAGGGTGGAAGACGGGAGCCATCATTCGAGAGCTGAGTTCAGAAATTGACACTCGTAATACGCCCGATTATCGGCACACATTGTCCTGGCTGTTAAGATTAGAGCGCCTGTTAAATGAAGCACAAGCTATTGATGGAGGTCGCCATGTGCCTGGACTGGATGCGCTCTTGGAAAATTGGCGCCATGAACGTCGAGAAATTCGCGATCAGCTCAAGCACGTTTTCAACAAGTCCTTCGGTAGCGTGTTCCGTACTCACCATAATCCTACCTTCTTTGCAAACAAAATCAGAAAGGTGAGTTGAAGTTCTACGGTATTCATTTCCGATACCAAGGACACTTTTCTGTACAAAGCTGATGGGTACTCCTCTTAGTTTGCCGATATATACACTTCAGCTGTTGAGAATATGGAAGGGTATCCCCAGGACTACTGTTTCTACCCGGATAGAGCCTATTTACCACAGTAAGTATCATTGTACACTCCGCTTTATGAGGATTATTCTAAGCTAAGAACAATGGTTTATTTAGTGAAAGATCAATCGAAACACTGGTGGATAGTGGAAAATTACACCAGGCACGAAGTTTGAAGTAATCTGCTACGATCCTTTCATCCTTTTGATTTGAATTGGATTTAGATGTTATGTCGTATGTACCTCTGTAGAAATCCTTTTTTCGTTTTTTATTAATTTTTGGTTCGTTTGGTATTGTTACGTACTATTCGCTCTAATTAGATACTTCACAATAAATTAGCGTCTTCTATCATCATAGTCCCGTCTGCTACGCTTTTGGTCGCCATCACGATCTCTTCGATAGTCTGAGTCGTGGTGCCGACTGCGCCCACGGTCCTGGTCTCGACCGGACCGATTGTCATCGCGATCGCGTTTGCGGAAAGCTTCACCGAGGCGTTTTTCTTTTGATTTTTGACGCTTATCCATATCATTCGCTGTGGCTTCTGCTTGTCGTTGCCGTGGATCGATCACGACATAGTCATCCAAATTGTCTCTGCGTTGCATCAGATCTTTGCCTTTCAGATCCTTTGCAAAAACCAATTTGTGTGCCATCCATCCTTCGTCATTATCTCCTTCTCCTTCGTCTCCAAAGGTATCGAAGCATGATTCACAGTTGGGTATACCGTGGATGCTGCAGACCTTTTCTTTCTCGGCTGTGTCTTTGTCGCTTGGTTCTGTGCTTTCAGCAGACAATAATTTCGATTGAAAAGCTTGGAATTTTTTAAACGTCTGGACGAAGGATGGAAAACGAAGAATTAGCAGGTGGGAAAAGTGTAACCAAACATGTCACTACCTTACTCACATCATCATCATTGCCCACTTGGCTTCTCTTACGGCCTTTAATGCCACCAACAATAGCCTTATTTGTTCGCTTGTATTTGGCGCGCTCCGATTCAATGAGGGATACTTTTTTCGTCTTCTTTTTGGCTTCTTCTTCTTTCCGCCGCTCCTCTGCGGTATCATGACTTAAGTTCTTTATGTCCTGTTGCAGTCGCCGAATTTCTTCCTGTCTATCTCTGTCAAAACCGCGCCAAATGAACTTTTTTTTAGTCCGATCGTTGCATGTATACCAATCCCTGTTTGCTCAAGTCTTACCTTGCTGGATCATGAGAAGCTGATTCATTGATATTCTTCTCGCGTGACATGTTAAGTACCTTCTCACGCATTTGCTGATCGAAGCTATCAGTCTCATTTCTCTTGGATTCATGGTGACTAGGCTCTGATATGCGACTGACATTCTTCTTAGCCTCGTCCAAGGAAGCTTTCTTCTTGTCAATCTTCGGTGCTTGTATGTCCTCTTGTACCTCAAGAAGATCTTGGTTTGTATTATTTTTCCTTTTTTGCTGAAGAATTTCTTCCGAAGGCTCAAACTCTTGAGCTCCCTCTTCACCGAATGACAACAAATTAAGCTTTCTGTAGTAAAATCGTTAGACATGTTGGACTGTCGGAAGCACTAACCGTTCATTCTTACTTTGTTTCCTTCTTTTTCTTCTTTGTGGGTTCCTTCGCCCGTGCAGCAGCTTCAGCAATCAGTCGCTCACGATCAGAGATACGAGGTGCAATGTCATCAAAAGGATTGAGGATGATCTCTGTCGTCTTGATTCGTGGTGGATACAGCGGCCTTTCATTGTCATCTACCTCCAACTCTCCCATTTTTAAAACATTGAATATGGTATCGCCTTCAACCTAATTAAAAATCATTTGGTAAATGTGAGTTAGCACCAACCGCGTTGTTTTGGCATAGCAACTGTGGAAGATCAAAACATACTCGTCCAAAAATGGTGTGCTTGTTGGTCAGCTCAGGCGCGGCATCCAGCGTGAAGAAAAATTGACTTGCATTGTCGTTCTTGCCAGCATTCGCCATAGCCACGAGACCACGCCGGACAAATCTCAGGCGTGTATGAAACTCATCTGCAAAAGGCTCCCCGTATATTGATTCGCCACCTATTAACTATAGTCAGTCCTGCAACTATCTATTACGGTGAGAAAACGCCAATGGCTTACCTTCGCCAGTGCCAGACGGATCGCCACCTTGCACAATGAAATCCGCAACAACACGATGGAATATCGTATTATCATAATAACCTTCCATACAAAGCTGAATGAAATTTCGGCAAGCTTTGGGAGTCTCTCTACACCATAGCTCCACGGAGACATCGCCCATGGAAGTATGCAAAATGACTTTGCCACTGTAAATAAAATCAATCAGTTAATCAAACAATCTATATTTCCAGCACACGATGGATCTAGGCTTTATCTCTCTACCTTGGGTGAGGCTCCTGTATGTAGATGTTGGACATGGCAGGTGTATAAGGTAAGGAAGAAGAATCTTGCCAATAATTGCAGTCACGTCCGAGCAAGCAAAAAGTCGATGAAACAGCGCTTTCATGGCCCACGACTGTGCTGGCCCTGATTCGACTCTATTGTCTCTGGGTATTAAATCACGTACATCGTAAATCATACTGAGCAGCTTAAGGCATAACACCGGGATCTTCATTTCTACATTCAAATTCCTCGAATCGAGCTATCCACTCGTTAGATCTGAGAACTTGGCAGACAAAAAAATAATATTTTGGACACAAACCCTGTAAACATGTTCGTATTCTTGTTTTATAAGCTATACGACACCATAGTCAAAACGGCAGAATCATATTGTAATTAGTAGCCTATAACTTATCATTGCATAACTTTTTTCGACAGTATCAACTGCATTCAGTATGGCAGCCGAAAAAGCCGCATGGGATGATTTGCTTCAATGGCAGCGCGAGATAAATAACAAAGACCGACAGCTTTTGCGAACCAAGGCTATGCGAGAAGCATCAACTGCTCCTGTTCAGGAAACACGGAAAATTGATCTTACTACTGCAGAGCCAATAGGTCTAAGCGCTTTGAAAGGCAAGGTATGTTGACCAGTACCTGAAAATCAAGTGCTCGGCCAGAAAAAGACGGTGTAACTGACTATGGGGTAAACTGTAGATTAAAGCCCAAGCACCTATTTCAGTCAAGGGCTCTGCCAATGATGATAAAGCTACTGCCGTGTCCGAAAAAGAACTGGTAAGTACTACCTACATAGCCCTATTCAAAAAAGAGAAACTTTGCTTATTGTCGATTGCCAACACAAGGGCAACAAAGCATTCCAAGCACAGCGCTACGACCAAGCCATTGAACACTACACAAAAGCTATTCAGTTGGACGACCAAAATGCGATTTATGTCATCAACCGTGCTATGGCTTATCTAAAAGTAGAAAGGTAGGATATGACTATGAATGAGGATCAAGACGATACCGAGTCTAAGATATGGACCATTTATTAGATTTGCTGAAGCTGAGAGAGATTGCACCGTCGGTCTTAAATTGCAACCGCAGCACGTGAAAGCGCTTTTTCGCCGAGGTATGGCTCGACGACAGCTGGGCAAATTGTCTGAAGCACGAACAGATTTGGAGCAAGCTCTGAAGTTGAGCACGGATAATGGGACGATCAAGGCTGAACTTGATGCTGTCATTTTGGCGCAAACCAATTTGAAAATTCAACCTAACGTAAGTAAAAATCTTACGCGGTAGTCTATTTGCTTCATGTCACTATCCATAATGGTGGATTTCCACCTTACTCTTTTGCATTCATACTAAAACCTTGATTCTTTTCAATCACCGATCGCACTACTCCACCTTTTCCTGTCAACCCCGCAGGCAGCAAAGAGCTCACCATCCACTACACCAACGCGTAAACTCGATATTCAGTTTGAGAACACTATGTACTCTTCAAATCAAGGTAAAAAAGAGCAGACGAACTCTTCTTCGCCGATCTCAGAAGCAAACCGTACCACTAAGGCACCTCAGGCAGTGGAGCAAAGCGTTACACCGACGACCACCACACCCATTGCCCCACAATCCAGCAGGCAATTCACTCTCCCTAAGCAGCCTACAACTATGACGGAATTTACGCGGGATTGGAGAATGTGCAAAAGCCGAGGGAATGCCATATTATATCAATACATGAAGGTAAATGGATTTGGTATGCAAGCATGTGGTGTTTATGTAGCTAACACAAGCTAATACCGGCAATGTCAGTCTATCGACCCAAAGAGATATGGAGAATTGTTTAAGGCATTTTTAGAATCGGAGCATCTTGATCAAATGATTGAGATATTGGATCAATGGTACGTATTACTTTAAGCAGCGTTGAACCCAAGTATTCTCACATGATATTCACCCAAAGCAAAATCTCAAATGATGCATGGTCAAATCACAGCTACGACTCGGGACAAGCTATTAAAGATGTATTGGAAGGGCTTTTGAAGGTCAAGAGAATTGATATGCTGATCATGTTCTTGGAGCGCAAACAGCAAGAAGGTACAGTATAGAAAAAAAGATTTCTCACAGTGTCTCACATGTAAAATAACCAATGTTAGTAAATTGTATTAGGCTTGAAAAGGGTTTTCAGGCGTATGGAAGAAAAGTTGGGTCAAGTTGACCAAAGGTTGCGCAAATCATGGTCGGTTGACGCTGCTACTTAGTGCTTGCTATTTTGGGCACAATCGCTTGTTACATATGTGAGAATCGGCCGATTATGGAACAAAGCAATTTAGAACCACTTGTTAACAAGCCACTCTAGTGACAAGCAAATCGTTATAAAAACCCTTTACCCCATCCCCTTCTGTCTGACATTTAACCCTCCCATCCACCCACTTCAATTCATACCATTCACATCTAAAAATACATTATGCCTGCCGCTACCGAAACCGTTACTGATCAGCCAACCGGCTACATTAACAACCTTACTCCTGAACAAGTACAGAAGCTGAAGCAGTTGTGGGGAAAGCTCTTTGAAATCTATGATCAACAGGTCGAAGAATCCCCTCTCTCTACTCCCACAGGACGCTCTCGTCAAGGAAGCACCGACTCAAAATCTTCGTTCGGTTCATTCTTTGGCAAAAAGAAGAAGGTCGAGCGTGAATCAGTGTTCCTTACATCTACCTTTAACGACGCTAGTGGCACTTCCCCTGCTCCATTGGAGGAGGCTATCAAGAGTGTTTCCGGTAAACACTTGAAGGCTGCTTGCTGGAGCGCTATCGGTGTTGATAACCCTGATGCACTTTTGCTCCGTTTCCTCCGCGCTCGTAAGTGGGACGTTGACAATGCCTTTACCATGCTTTCCGCCGCTTTGAGATGGAGAATTGAGGAACGTGTTGACGAGATCATTCATTTGGGCGAAGCTGGTCTTCGTGAGGAGTTGGAACGATTGGAACCTGGTCAGTCTAAGAAGTGGCTCGATCAATTCAACAGCGGAAAGAGCTTTTTGGGTGGCCCTGATAAGGGTGGCCGACCTGTCTGGTAAGTACAAATCTCGGTGCAGACCTTTTTTCTTGCTGGCTTTGACTGATGATGGTTTGTCTCCAGCTATATCAACGTAAAGTTGCACAATAAGGACGCTCAATCTTTGGAAATCATGAAATGCTTCACCATTCTGACCATGGAGACCGGTCGATTGTTGGTTGCTCAACCTGTTGAGACTACTTGCTTGGTGTTCAACTTGGCCGACTTTACTCTTGCTAACATGGTAAGGTTACACGATTCACTTTTATTGGTCGGCGCAGCTGGTGTGTGGTGTCACTAGGTACAGTTATGTTAACCCCAACCTATTTTTTTTCCATTAGGATTTCGACTTTGTCAAATTCCTTGTTACTTGCTTCGAAGCTTACTACCCAGAATCTCTTGGTGTTTGCCTCATTCATCGTGCCCCTTGGGTTTTCTCGGCTGGTAAGTTTTTTAATTGGACAGAGCAAATATCTTTTTGATGCTAAATATCATAATTAGTTTGGTCCATGATTCAACCCATCTTGGATCCCGTCGTTGCTAGCAAGATTCACTTCACAAAGACAGACGAGGAACTTCTTCAGTACATTAATAAGGAAAACCTTCCTGAAATTCTCAGTGGCACTGCCCACCACTCTGGAAAGTATGTCGCTCCTCCCGTCACTTCAGTAGTTGATGCTGCTAAGGAGTTCCCTGAATTTGACGCTGTCAAGGAGAAGTATGAGGCTGCTACCAGAGAGTGGGCCTCTACCCCAGGTGCTAGCATGGATGGCCGAAAAGCAATGGCTCTTGAATACAGACTTGCTAGACTGAAGATTGAGGATGGTGCCCGCGCAAAGACTCACTACCATCGTGTCGGTATGATCAACAATGAAGACGGCCGTCTTCGCATTAATTATCAAAACGAGACCAGCGTTGAAGAAGATTTGACGGAGCGTGTCTAGATACTATGTATATCTTTAGAACTCTTTTATCATACCAAATGTAACATTGTATCGGCAATATTCTTTCTTAAATACACCAAAACATAACTTATAAAAAAAATAGGGAAAAAACCAATGCGAGGAACATTTTCGGGTTTCGGTCCCGCCGTGTTTAATAATGTTTTTTTGAGCCTATGACAAAAGCACAAACCGCCTTCGCCATTTACACATTCCAGTCTTCGCACTTGTAAAATGCACTCTACGACATTGGGGTCTAGCCAGCCGCCACTGTACAATGCGACATTCGTGGACTACGAGCAACGGTATTTAAGCTTGCTGCGAACAATAGCCAGCCTTCAGTGGGTCCGAGAATCCCTACCTGCTCATACTAGGTATTATGAGAGCCTCAAAAACAAGTTGAAGAATGAAGAAATTACGAAAAATGTACTGGAATCTAGTGTGTAAGTTCCATTCTTAGTCGTCTCTAGTGTAGCCTTCAGCTTCTCGAAGGCGATGGCTTCAACCGATAAACTACAACGCTCGAGTCTGACGCCTTCTTTCTCCAATACTTATGATATATAGCCAACAGTCCCGTAAAACAAATGACTCTACCCGTTTCAAGGAGCTCATGTCTACGAAGAAAAGTGGAGCTTCATCTGATATAGTCCCGTATTCGGACCTTATAGAGCGGTTACAGAAAAGCAATAACCGCATTCTGGATTTGAACGAACAATTACAACAAGCGAAGCTTATGGTAAGTGTAAAATGGAACTGTTATGCTATATTGCGAAACGGATGAACTGACATCTTCTAATGAAGCATGATGATATGCTGGCCAATATGAAGGAATTGAACGGCTGCTGTTCGCAGTTACGAGTGCTATTTGACCAGGTTCAACTCCGTTTCACTTCCGACGAGGGTAAAAATTGAAAACGTACTGACCAGCGGAGGCGGTTGCATTTCAGGTAATACCTGAACCACTGTCTGATCCAGCATACATCATCGAGGAGCATATGAAAAGTGAGGTCTTATCTCTGGAAAGTTATATACCACAGGTAAATACATACCGTCAAGATGACGCAAATGGTAAATTTCATCCACTGACATTTATGCTATCATCATGTTACTGCATCAGATTGAAAGCAAGCTGGAAAAATGTGTGGAAGCTCAAACAAGGTTGTATGAAGCAAGAGACTCTATGGAAACTGCAATGAAGTCATTGCCCGGCGCTGCCAGCATCTTGGAGCGTCAAGCCATGATTAACAATGTTGGTGTTGGCCGAGGTGGCGTAAGACTTGGAAGTCTGAATGTCCTTTTAGACATGTCCGTTTCCAGTACTAGAGGTAAACATTCAAAACAACCATTTTAATACTCACTACTGTAAGTTTTAACTTCTTTCGAATTGATGTAGACGCCGAAGGCTTTGCAGAAAAGTCAGTGCAGTTGGTTAAGGAAGCAGTTGATCTTTATCCTGACATGCCGATGATACCTGACTCTCCAATATCGCATAGTGAGTTGAATCATCATGTTACAGCACTACGGAAGCCCGATGTATTTCACTAACTGCTCACATCCGCATTTAGGCGATTCCGTGAGCGAAGTTTTAACTACGTATCGAGGCTATCGTCTCAAAATAGAATCCTTATTGCGAAACTTTATCAATCCGCGAGTCAAGTTGATGCAGGGAGACTTCGCATACGCGAAGCACTCACATGAATCCAAAAGAATGGAGTGGGTAGAACAACAATTACTTGTACTGGAAGCAGTACTACGTGCTCAAGGTAGACTACAAGGTATTGATATAGATCCCGATATGGCTGCCATACGTATGGGCAGTAATGCAGCAGCAGGAAGCGCCTCTGAATTAGGAGGTAGAGTTGCTGTGGATGATGCTCTTGATGTAGTCGAATCAAACACATCTCCTGCCAGAAATGGTCCATTACCAGAATATCATCTGGAGCAGGAAACATCGACGGAACGCCAAACTTCCATTGCGGCCGGTCCTTCTCGAACTGTCACAACTATAGAAAGTGGAAATGAGCTTCCAGAATACAGCCGAGGAAGCAGGCTAGTCAACGAATGGCCAACCGCCACTGTGCCTGCAATTTCTATCATACAGAATTCCGTTACGGAACCGGACAATCATCATGACCAACCACCAGCATACACCGATTAACACATTATCAGGATGTTCTACTTGTACTTTTATCGCATGTCCCTTTGTAGCAAGAAATAAATGTAGTCATCGCCCTTTGACAGTTAGCAGCTGGTTTTGAGATTAGGGAATGTTTGAAAACTGTGATTTTGAAGCGTATTACCGTCCTCCTTTCTCTGATGTCTCGCTTGTTTAAACTTATCTTATTGTAACTTGAAAAACAGTATTATCTATTAAAATTTGCTCTATCTCTGTTCATATTGACGGCAATCGAATGTTACTGATGGATTTCCGAGCAGAATAGTGCAGTTCGCTCTACGCTCATTTTTTATGGCCACTATGCGAACTGATTGCTTCAAAGTGCTATGGAAGGCTGTTCATTTGCTTCAGGGAAGAACTACGGTACCAGCTCTGAGACGACAAGCAACCGAAAGATATCTAATCTTTGCGTTAACATTTTTTCAAAACGGCAGACTTCTCCAATAAGGACCCTACTCCCTGGAAGGCTGAAATAATAATATCCCACTAGCATACATGTAACTTACAGATAACTTTAAATCTTTCAAATTCTGATCATTACCTCCGCTGATCTCTGCAAGCCTTTTCAAAGTTTCAAATAACCAATTAATTTCCCAAAGAAATGGTGGCGTTTATCGCTAATGTTTATATTTTCGTAGAACCGTGGAGGCAGGTCATTGTTCTTTCAAACCCAACTTTTCAACGTAAATGCCGTTGTATTAATGGCCGATACCTAGTTACATATAATGAACAGTGGAATTAAATCTTCGGATTTTGTAGTGATACATCACTAACTGCAGAGGCAGAATGGATATCAGAATTCCACAAATACACTCTTCAAGTACCAACATCTTGTACTTCAAATGGCCTAATAGCTATAGCCTTACCTTAGGTTCACTATTTAAAACACTTGAAGATCATTGACTTCCCTGCGCCATTTTACCAATGAAGCACTTAATGTTTGCAAAGCATTGATGTCTAACTGATTAACACATATCGTTATTTCTGCTCTCTTACACTTGATTATAAAATGATGTTTTCAATCGACATTTCCCATCTGGAGTAATCCTTCGTTTAACCGGCCCGGAGTGGTTGGAATATGGCGGTACAGCTTGAAAAATGGAATCTTCATTTATGGATCCTACACAGCATTGAAACAACTATGTATGCTAAGTTTTTTGTAATCAGGCATATGGAGCAATGCTTTCTTTAGTTAGTGTTAATAAATATCTTACGAACAATATAGGAAAAAGATAGCCATTGATGAATCAGTTGGTATAACAACAAGGATTGCGATCGTATTTGGTCAGTCCAAATCATTAAAAAGTAATAAAGTCATGGCGGTTTACTTTAATACAAAGGTTATATGCCAGTTGTAGTTCGCTGCGGTGAAGTGTCCATTTGCAGTAGATTTTTTTAAAAAAATTCTTTCTATTCGGTTGTTGGCCAATCTCAAAAACTGATGTTTGGATTGTACTATAGATCTCAGTTACCATCCCACACCTACAGATATCAAATGACTTCATTTCCATAATATATCGAAAGCTGCGTATTTGATATACCTCGCTCAACAACTACTTTACGAAATCTCAACTACATCGCTATAACTATCTTTGTCTAGCTCCTCAATATGTGTACATTCTTATTCAGGAAATAAAACCAAAATTTCCAAGCATCAAAAAACTTTCTAAGGAATCACACAAAAGAAATTCAATACATATTTAAAAAGACTATAGTATATCAATACCTAGCACATAACTCAGTCTTAGTTTCATTTCGCTTCCAAATCCTTTGCACAAAGGCATTTAAAGGCAAAAATAGAACGAAGATAGTGCAAGCTGTGAAGACAAGGGTTATATAGTGCATAACATCTCGGCGATGTTTCTCTTCGTTAAAAGGAAATCAGGTAAAATGTGGGCTACCCTTCTAGCGCCGATTTGATCTTCTACTGTAGTTTCGTTTCGGTCTATGTTTAACTGGAAACAGATATCTTGTTTGATATTTTATCCCAAGCACTATCAAACCGTAAATCTCGGTGAGTTCTTTATATGCTTGCTAATTGCAAGTGCGCATATTGGACACTCAGCCATACATCCACGGATTTGCCTACCACGCGGTGCAATATATACCTTCAATGGGCTCGTATGCTAGATGGTTCAAACAATGACTCCCACCACTTTGATAAAGTAGTATTATCGAATACAGGTAGGCATGATGCACAAAAATAAAAAATTTATCAGGTCTATCTAAGACTCCCTAAAGGTTTCATATCTACAGCCCAATCCAAGAGGAACGCCCTCCAATGTTATGAACAGGAGTAGTGCCAAGCTCGATGGTTTTGTCCACAACATTCAAGCTCTGACCAACACGCCATTCATACCAGACTTTCTTGTTGTCAGTCAATCTCCAATAGTCAATGGTAATGGTTGCTCCCTCAGGTACAAAGACAGGAGTTTGAAGAGGGAAGAAGATAGGAAACCAACTGAACATTCCTGGCGAATGTGTCTCGGGGTGAATGGAAATCATGACATCCTTGTATAATACAGAATCGAAATATCCAGCAATGCCATGCATGGTGATATTTCCTTTTGCTTGGAAGGTGGTAGATTGGAATCGGACATTATGCATATTGTGAAGAGGGTCACTGTCAGCTTCAAAATCATCTTTGTTTGGATGATGGAAGGTCCAAATTGGTTTTGGCTCAGCAATATGAGATACTTGTTGAAACATGACCACGTATGGTGTTTCACTATGTTCAAGGTCTTTGTAAGCAGCAACCTCATGGCAAAGTTTTGATGAGGAGAGTGGGGCAATGTACGTTGTATAGGACGATGGGATCGAGATGCCGTCAGCTATGCAAAAGAAGAGTATTATCAATAGCTTGTCACATATATGTATTGTTTAATCAGTACCTACGTTTCAAGAACTTTTGAGCACCATCCAAGCACTCTGGAGACAACTCATTGTCACCAAAAGATCCCAAAAGCTCGCTTACGAGGATATCACACTTTGAGAACATGTCAGTTAGTCGCAGAACATTTTCTCGTTGATAAGCAGAACAATTCCTACCTTTTCCGGGGCCACCCATTTGCGCATGTCAGAGAACACAATGGTAACAAGATCATGCCATACCTCGTCTTTCATGTTCTGTAAACTGTACATGAATGTTGCAGGAACACCATAGTTAGTACGAGACAAGGCAGTAAATAACGCTCAGTATGATACGTACGTTACGAGCGCGTTTGGGTTTTTTTCAACCGCATATAGCCTGACTTTCCTATTCGCTTTTTCAGCTGCTCTAATGCTGCAGTTCACCAAAGGGCCTCGACCAGCTCCGACGACCATGATGACTCTAATATTGACGAAATTGTTTCGTTACATATCTCCATTTGATGTTCAAAATGACTGGTTGTACTTACGTTACTACATCAGATCCTTCTGGTACTCTGTCAAGCAAAGCATGGTAGACTGCCTTCTCATATTGTTGGTATTTGATAGGGTCCTTTTCAAAGGTTTCGTAGGTCGCACTCTCAAGATTATCCATTAACGGTTGAAGTGGTGCTTGCAAATAATCTTGATACCCTACTGAAAATCGCTCGACATCATCTGGTGGTGGTAAGCTTCTATTCAAATACCGAATATACTCTTGATATGCTGATGGTCCACCGGCTTGATGTAATCCCAATTCAGAAGCTGTTACGATGATGGATGGTTTGAACTAGCAAATATGACATGAGTCTCTTATTCAGTAAGCAGTTTTGTTGCCATCTAAATGAAATGTACCTTTTTCATTAAGGCTTTGACAAATGATTGGTGTCTTTTGGGCAAAACAGGAAAGCCCTTTTGATTGGATATGAACACGTTTGCAGGAATGATGACAGCCTTGATGGGCATCGAGTACCAACGTTCGATCTGATCTTCTTCCATAGGAAGCTGGGCACTTAACTCAAGAGCTGGAATGTAATAAATTCAGACCTATGAATGAAAGTATATTTCAGTGTTTTCCGTAACTTACCAACATTTAACTTAGGATTTTGTTCGGTAAGGTTGTAGAGAGTGTTCCATTGGGTCCAGCCAGTTGCTTCTGATCCATCGCTGATTATGACTCTTATTAATATTTGAGCATAACTCAAGATGTTGGTTAAGCTACACATGACTCGTGCAAAATTTGAAATGGTGTTTGAGGGAAGAATTGGTAACAGCACAGAGGGAAGACCAAGGTGAGCAGCCCATGTGGCTTCTTGCTTGAGTGCCTATACCTCCATAAGTCAGAATGCAAGGTAATTTGAGCACTGGGTATCTTCGTTACTTACAATTTCAGAATTGATTCGAATAAGGTCATCCTCGGATTCAAGATCGATCCAGTCTGAAAATATACCGGTACATACACCTGCCCAATCTTTAACATAGAAGAAGTTAGAATGGGCCAGCTTCGAACGATCTGAGTACAGGTAACAAACTTGTACGAACCAACTTTCTTCAGCACAAGGTCTTTTGGTGTGAGAGGTAAGCCGGCTCTCCACTCGTTCAATTGTTTTTTCGAGTCAGCTTCTTCAAACAAAACTCGCTTGTAGTGATCGTCCGCGATTGGGACCACGACAAAGTCATGCCCAGTTTGGGTTGCATCTTCGACAAAATCATCCAAATTGCCGAGAGGGGTTGGAGCGGTGATGCCAACTGAGCAGTTATAGAAGCCTTCACTCATTATAAAGACGTCAATGATCAACTTTTGACCTTCAAACGAAGAGCTTCAGGAACATTTTTTTGTCGATAATGTCAAAAGTCAGTCACACAAAGTCACAGCTGGCAAGCGACGTTCTGAGATTCACCACTATCGTGAAGGGTTTGTGCTGTACATTGCATTGATAAGTTCCTTCGCCCGCGTCGCTTTTAAGAATAATGATAAATGATTATTGTAATATTGCTGTGAATTGACAGAACTTCATACCAAGGTCAAGAAAAGTTGCAATATGTTTCTACCTTGAATTCGACATTTGGATAAGCAAAATAGTTTAAAGCACTGTACATTTCATCTGCTTCAAAATATACATGCTTTCTAGAAGCAGTAAAGTAAGGTTACGATAGAGACTGAATACATTTCTGTGAATTGAATATCAAATCAAACGAGTTCATAGCAGGAAGATGTTGGTTTATAGACTATTACAGGAATCGGCGTGCAATAAATTTAACTTTGGAATCGAATTGTTGACTAGTTATGGGGGTATTGGTCTCATAAAATGGGTTCATCAAGACCTATGTTCAATCATTAGTGGTCATGAATGATATGCGATAACTAGATGTCATGAACTTTGTACCTTAATATACATTTCGTGCACTTCGTTGAAAAAGTTCTTAATACTGTCTTCAGATTTGACGTCATGCAAAAGTAAAAGTCTGGCATCTGTAATAGAATAAGTCAAGGACACCAAAGATGAAGAAAGCGGGTGGCGTTATGCTAGTGCTATGCGCAAATAAAAAAGGATACTGCCAGCGGTGACAAAGGCGGAGACGTAGAACTCGTTAAACCGATCGATAACTTTGAGGTATCTAGTGAATGATAATGATGGCTGTTAATATCATACTCAGGAAACAGATATAAAGCTTGAGTACATTCATACAAAGCTTGATTATTCCATTGTACTTCTTCTACAACGTCCAGGGCCGAGTGAATGATGAATTGATTCAAATGTCGATGGTCATCTTTGGGTGTAGTATCAAAATTGCTCGCTGCTTTCGATGAAGATGTGAGTTCTGTTTCGTAAAGAGGGCTATCCTTTGTTCCAACGATAGCAAAATAATACGTTGCTGCCATTTGGTTCCTACGGTTATCACAGACCTACTCGACAAGAACTGGTCAAAACGCACCACAGACGCATTTATGCCCGTGACGGTCAAATTTCATTGCGGTTGAGATGCTCCGCATTTTTTTTTAACGGGTTTTTGCGAAAGTAACCGTTCGTCATATTTACAGGGTGAATCTCCATCTTACATGGCTAACAACCAACCCTCACATCTACCACGGATTCCTCAAACGCCAAGGAAACTTGATAGCTCCATTCAAGAGATTCCAAGTAGTGTAACACCAACGAACACAGCACCTCGACTTCGTAGTATCTTTCACGAGACGGACGGCAAACGCTCTGGCAAAGTTAAAATCCGAACAAACATGAAGAGCTCCTTTTTTAAGACAGAGAAGGCGTTGAAGGATGCACAGAATTCACCCAATCTAGAGACTGAAACAGCCAATGGCTCAATTGGGACTGCAACTGACTCTCGTTCACCATCTACAGCGTTATCGCGCCCTGATTCACCGTCCAATGTGTCTATCTCCTCAGACTCCAGCCTTGCAGCAGTAACCAATACATTAGACAGGTTTAAAGTGAAATCCCCTAGACCGGTTAGGTTAAAGTGGGATTCCAGCAATGATGAAGACGAACCAAATCAAGTAGCAAATCCAGAACCTCTGGAACACGCCAACGAAATCAACTCTTCTCCAATTCCACAACGAACAAGAGCCGTAAACAATCTGAAAAGGAAGAAAAGAAGGGCTATACAATCAGATTCTGAATCAGATAAAGACTACTCGTCACAGGACGAGTCACCCTCACAAACAGATGGTAGTGACATTTCCTCCAGATCGGCAAACAAGAAAATGCGATCTCAGTCTTCGCATATCGACGAATCAGGACCACGAAGACCGACATTAGATCTTGAACTGGAGAAAAAAGTAGATAGCCTACAGCTCTCATTCCCATCTGTCACTCGTGCTGAAATAACTCAGGCATTAGTGCGGGCTAACGGTCTGCGTGTCAAGGCAGCTAGCGAACTCTTAATGAGACGGTACTTAAAGCCTCCACCAAGCGAAACACCAAGCCAGAGTAAAGTAACTAGCAACGAAGTTTTGCATAGTAGCCCATCAGCATTATCAAAATCAACAAATATTGGAAGTACGGTACCTATTCGAGATACGAAGATGCAGATCGCAAAGTCTGCAAATGAGGAGCCTTCAAAAAACATGTTGAGGCGACGAAGAGTCATTGCTGTTGACTCCGACTCCGAAGAAGCGATATCGACTGACGACGGAAGCTCAGATGCAGCATCGGATACAGATTTTGCTCTTGACGACCAAATGGAAAGCGACAAACAAACTGTGGATTTTTTCAATGAATCTTCATATCAGGATATTCAGGATATTACGGCTTGTACTATTGAACAAGCGGAAACGATCATAAACGAACTTCGACCTTTTCGAGATATAGACGACTTGCAGCGAAAGCTCAAGATTACGAAGGGCTTAGGAGAACGTTTTATCAATGCGCACAGAGAAATGATGCAAGGATATTCAGCAGTCGATAAGTTGATTGATGATATTGAAAAGATTGGCACTCGAATCGAAAAGGTGATGCAAATATGGAATAAGAAAGAACAAAATGGGGAGGACCAATCTGTTTCAGAAGATGCGATATTGAAGGTAGCCATGGAGGGCTACTTATATAAGCAGCCTGACTTGATGAGCTCTGAAATCACTCTGAAGGGCTATCAAGTATTTGGCGTCAATTGGATTTTGCTGCTCTACAGAATGAAATTATCTGGAATCCTAGCGGATGAGATGGGCTTGGGTAAGACAGCACAAGTCATTGGATTTTTGGCTCAACTGGTCAGTCAAGGCAGTACAGGACCGCACCTTGTCGTTGTTCCATCATCAACACTGGAAAACTGGCTGCGAGAATTTCAAAAGTTTTGCCCATCCTTAGATGTTCGATCCTACTTCGGCAGCCAGGTTGAGCGAAGAAGACTACGATACGATCTACGAGAGGATACAACCTGGTCTATATTGGTTACTACATATCAGATGGCTACTGGAGCTGAAATGGACCGCAAGTTCCTCAGAAAGCTGAACTTTGATGTCACTATTTTGGACGAAGGCCATATGGTGAAGAACTGTACAAGCGCTCGATATCAGCATCTTATGGCTATACCAAGCTCGTTCAGATTGCTATTGACTGGAACGCCTCTTCAAAACAATTTACAAGAACTCGTTTCGCTTCTGACGTTTATTCTACCAAGTATGTTCAAAAACAACCAAGAAGAACTGACAAAGATTTTCAAAATCAGGCAAACAGTAAATAATAAGAAAGAACCGCCAAAGTCGATGCAAACAAAGGCCCCAGCCGGCTCAACAAACATTGCACAAATGTTATCCATGGAGCGTATAAAACGTGCGAAAAAAATCATGACTCCTTTTGTTCTTAGACGACAAAAATCTCAAGTGTACACCGATTTGCCTTCAAAACTCCATGTTCTCAAGCGATGTCCAATGTCGGATAGGCAGGCGGCCGTTTACAAAAAGGTCGTTGAAGACTCCAAGAAGTCGCTGAAGACTTCTGATAACAAAAGTGATGGCGAAATAGATATCATTGAAGCAAATAATGTTTTGAAAACCAGCGAAGATGCTTCTGTGTCAAAGCCATCTAAAGCTGTCAACATCTTAATGAATCTCCGCAAGGCCGCCATACATCCGCTACTTTTAAGAAGTATATACACAGATGATATTCTGCGGCAAATGTCGAAAGCAATTATGAGAGTAAGTAACGTCATTTAGGAAGGTGAATGTACCTTCGTATTTTCGCTTACACTAGCTTCATATTAGGAGGAGCAATATTGGGATTCTGAAGAAAAGTTTATTTTCGAAGACATGTCAGTCATGACCGATTTTGAGCTGCACAAGCTTTGTCTCGCTCATAGAACGATCAAACAGTGGGCATTGTCAAATGATGAAATTATGGATTCAGGAAAAGTTCGAGTTCTGGAACAACTTCTCACAGAAATGAAGGAAAAGGTGAGCATAGTGATAAGACGCCAATATCAACGACGAGTCACCGCTGACTAGAACTACCTTTGCAGGGAGACCGTGTGTTAGTATTTAGTCAGTTTACAATGATGCTGGATGTCCTTGAAGATGTCCTTGGCAAAATGGGCTTCCGATACTCTAGGTTGGACGGAAGCAGCAAAGTCGACACGCGCCAAGACCTCATTGATGATTTCAGTGCCGACCCAGACATTACCGTTTTCTTATTGAGTACCAAAGCTGGAGGATTTGGTATTAACTTGACTGCCGCAAAGTAAGTACTGATCCATTTTCTACATACTGACTTGAGTCACATTTATTGATGGTGCCTATAGCACGGTCATTCTTTACGACTTAGATCCAAACCCCCACAACGATAAGCAAGCCGAGGATCGAGCGCATCGTGTGGGCCAAGCGAGAGACGTGACAGTTATCCGACTAGTATCAGAGAATACTGTTGAAGAAAACATTTTTCAAATGGCAGAGGTGAAATTGCGCCTGGATCAAAGCGTTTCATTTGGGCGAGAAAACGAATCGGATGAAGAAGACGCCGATAGCGAACCAAATCTAAAATCTCTTGTAGAAAGTGCACTCCACATCTAATGATACCCTGTACAATACCAAAAATTAGAATAATGAACTTTGTAGAGCGTACTTTTATAACGTGAATGAAAATAGAACATGACTAGACTCGCGAGAATTTCTGTCGTCAAAGTCAAATACAGCGACCGAGCATCAAATACGGACGAGTACTTACGACCACCGCTTGCTGTAGCATCCCATGCTTTTAAGAATACGTTCGCGTTCTGGAAAGTGGGCCAAAGTGAAATGGAATAGTGAGTAGTCTATCTCTAAAAAATGGAGCGATTTCGAAACCGATGTAAAAAGTAAAGCTTTATTATAAACATCTTTTATGGCAATGATGTATATTGGTAACTGCATGAAGGCACTGCGTTTCTTTGGGTATACATCTACGATTCAATATTTTGTTGCTCGCCCCACTGAGCAACTGTGTCTTCAATTTTAGCAAAGAACCACTTGGCGGTCGAAGGTTCCGGAATGGGTATGTAGGGTTCCCCTCTTGCCGTTCTTGGTTTAATAAGAATTCCAGATTGCTTGAACACTAGACTCTCGATATCTGAAAAGTGTTCTTGCCATTCCAATGTGGATTTTCGAGTGTTAATCACCAAGATCCGGGTATTCGTGAGTATTGCGGCCATTTCGTTGGTGGTGAGTAAGCAATGAGCAATATAGAGCTCGCTGAAGAACTTTCCATTTTCCAAATCCTTCAGCCAACTTTGACCCAAAGCTTCTCGTTGAGAATATGGCTGATGGAGGGTATTGATTAGCTTCATCGTTAAAATATGAAGGTGTAACGGGGAGATATGAAAATACTTACCCGAAGAATGCCATCTCCAGCGATGTAACGCGGTAAACGAAGGCGATCAATGCTGTTCACATCAAAGAGAGTGGTGGTATTGCGAACACCTTGGCTTACGTTGTTTGCTAAGTCAAACATGCCAACTACAGGCTTGGTCACCACTCTGTAAACATACGCTCACATTAGTTCGAATAAACAATGATAAACCCCACTTTCCAAAAACATACCCTACTAATCCTCTGCCCATGCCAGTTACAAAGCCACCAACACCTTCTTTAGATGCACCTTCCATCGGACGTTTCTGTAATAATGTAAGTTTCAATAAAGGCGTAGTGAGTGGTGAGCATCCGTAAGTAACACATTACCACAAGGCCGGCTACTCCACTGGCAACGCTGGTGCCAAATTGATTAACACCTTGAGTGACTCCGTACATAGCATGCTTCGGGCGATTTCTGGTCATATTGGCTCTCCTACGATCTTGGAATTTGCGATCCATAGTAGCAACTGCCAGGCCTTTGCCAATACTGCCGGTGAACTTTGAAAAGCTGTCTGAGAATCCGAAAACGCTCTTTTTGAAGAACCCTCCAACTCCCTGTAATAAAACGTATGATGGCGCAGTAAGTAAGTGGGGGAGTTGATAAGTTTAAAATGCTTCAGTGACATACCCTTGCTATACCAATACCCAGATCCTGAGGTCGATCGCTCATAATGACACCTTGATAAGGCTCATAGAACAATTCAGCCACTCCAGAGCTTAAGGTATTAAAGAGGCCGACTGTGTGATAGATGTTTTTAGTAGCTGATGAGAGAGCTGTTCTTTGGTAGAAAAGACTGCCTACCTGGGTTACCAATGACATCTGCGGAACCAATAACTTTATGTATCTGGTATACGACTTGTTCGCCATAATGGTATGTCATCCGTTTGATTAGGTCATTATAACTGACTCTCATGTTTTCGGCCGCTAGCGCATTGAGTTTCACAGGTGCGTCCTAGGGAAAAGACATAATTAGCATTAACGACAGTCATAGTGCGCAAATCATGGACTTAATAGACTCACATTCACGCTGCCGATTGTCATAGTGAAAACATTAAAGACAAACATCAGTGGAGAATGGCCAGAGTTTCTATGAGAGATAAATTAGTTGTGGCTCAGAAAATGCAATTGCAATTAATGTAGTACAGCTTACCGTTCTTCCACTGGAGATGCATTGATCCTCTCAGTTCTCACAAAGGAAAGATTAAGCCTCATTGGTTGAATATTGAAGACTTCGAAATAGAGCTCTTCAGCTTCCTCTTGAACTTTGGGGTCAGGTATATCCATATCTTCCGAGCAAAGGATCCTATACAGATCACTTGTTAATATCACACCGATAACGATTAAAATTTGCTAGATCTTACTTTGGCTCTTGTTTTTCCCATCCAGGAACACTGAATTTCGAGAATTCCATCAGTCCGAACAAGAAGTCTTCATCAATTTCGAATGTCATTTCTTGCAATAGGAGAGAGAAATATTTCAGATAAAGGACTCCCTGAGAATTGTCCTTGACTTTGTCGATCGCAAAATGAAAAGTAGGGTATCCAATATTCTCAGTGTCATCCTTAGGGATGGCTGTTGGGTAGAGCAATATCGGGAAGGTTGAGCCGAAAAATTGGTTATCGATCTTTACGATGTCAACATTATGAGTTTGCATACATGAAGTTCATTGATCAATAGTGAATATTCAAAACAGCATTGCTTACCTGTAGCCATTGAATAGACACACGCAGAGACTGGTATATACTGGAGTCCGTCACCTTGACCTGTAGATCCTTCATTGAAACGTATGCCATTTCCTATCACAGAAGGTTAGCCAATTTCATTTACTTACTAGGGCATCTTTTCATGATATCTTTAGTTACCTGTAGTCTTTGGTTGATGATGGAAATACCTATGCCCTGTAAGTCGACTGATATCGTATAGTTGATGACATGTTCAACGTCGACTTCTTCGAAAGTTTCTCGAACACTCTCATCAACAATTGTAGACCCCATTGCAGATGAAGCCGAAGATTTGAGCTTGAACATGCTAGAGGATTGGTCGTAGTCACTCAGTCGAAGAATTTGCATTGGACCACGAGCCACAACATCAATGGACATGATACCCGGGTCACGTCTTGATTTTCGATATCTAAACGGAACTTGGTGTCCGATCTCCTTGATGTCAACTGCTCTTGTTCTTTCGCCAATGGCAAGGACAACCTTTTTGTCTTTCATTGACGGGAAATCCCAGGAATACTTCATAGTGGCACCTGATTTTAATTCATATACTTTTGGCTTTGTCCAAAGATTATAAACGGATGATTCGTCATCTTTGGTGGCACTCTCGCTCTAGTGTCGCGGTTCTTCGTCAATATAACACACATAGCATGGATTCAATCGGCTGTTGGAATGTGCTTACCTGCTGAAACAGTGATATGTCCACGGATGAGTCATTGATAATCAAGTATGGCCATTTTCCATTATCTCTGCTCAATACAATGAAAATAGTAGCATCTTCCAGCAATATGGATATTTTCGCGAGAAGAACCGGCACCTCCTCTGAACTCTCAAGTTTGACGTAGAGGGTTCCGATATGGTTGATGTTGAAAGGTGCAGACCACTGGCTCTGCAACCCGGATGGACGAATCGACAAATATTTGGATTTATGAGACTTTTGTAAGTCGTGGACTACACCTTTTCCTCCATTACTTAGGAATTGATCGTCTTCAGCCCCAGTTTCTTTGAATCGCAAGTCAAAGCCAAGGTTGTTTTTCAAAATGTATCTTGGGGTGATGGTGATTATATTTGTATGAAGAAACTGAAAAGTTGAGTTAGCATTGGTTTTCTTCAAAATGGAGAATGAACAAACTTGATGTCATACCTTTCCTTGTCCTTCAGTCACACTGATTCCTAGATACACTTCTTTGTCTCCAACCTTCGGCATACCGATTTCTTGTGTACTACCAACTGCTTCGAAACTTATTGGCTGCCATAATGCGGTTTTGATTAATGCTGTGGCTTCCACGTTAAGCTCTAGTATGATATAATACCTGACTCCATCCACTGTCCTTCAAACGAAGTTGTACTCTGTTTCTATGATCATCTTTTGGGTAGGAAAACATGTACACCGGTACAGCCTAAAATATATTTGTAAGTCGACATTTCCTCACAATCGTTAAATGAAACATATTTTGTCTTACTTCCGTCTGTTCAACATCATCATCGCCTTGACCAGCAGCTATTTTTGCGGTTTGCAGGAAGGGCTTATATTTGTAGCTTATTGACAGTCCAGTCTTATTTATGATTACATATGGTGCGCATATGCTCAACCGGCGGGCACCTGGGGTACCAGGCACATCCCTATGTCATGGTCAGAAATTTTACCCATCTTGATAAAACCAGACGCAATAAAAACTTACGAAAAGAACAGTTTTAGACGCAACGGACGATTATTGGAGTCGAGCAAGATCAATGTCTGTTCTGCTGCTATTTCATTGCTGCGATGACTGTTGATAACAACCAATTCACTGGTTTGATAAGCTGAGCCAAAAAAAGAAGAGGCATTGAGTAATCTTTGGCATTGAATATGAGGTTATACTGTGCACAAGCATACCTGTATCATGAACATCGATGGACATTAATAACAAATGTTTCAGGTCAATGATGTGAAGAGGGCTACGGCCGGATTTTTCCAATTCGGACGAAAAGTCCTGACCGGAGTCCTTGTCAACTACACGATAGGTGATATCAAACGGCAACAGGTTCTCAATCTCGATTGGTGGAGACAGTTGTACTTTCATGAAAGGATATCGTCTAGAAAACGAAAGAATTCATAAATATCCTCGTGTATCTTTTTGAGCAAAGACTATGAAACCTACTTTGAAGCCGGGTTCTTTTTATCAAAGATGCTGTTTACATGGAAACGAAAGCTTGGCGGGCCAACTTCTTCGTAGTTGCATTCAATACTATCTGGTGGCTTGGAAAGTGTTAAGTCAGACCAATGCATGGCTTTTTCACTCATCTTGTATCCTTCCACTAAGAGAATTAAAAGTCAAAGGGCAGCGATGTTAAACAACAGAGCAATCTCTGCAAACCGAAAGGATTATAATCATACCTTTAGGTCGGATACGGAACCAGTAATCGTAGCATTCATCGATAGGGACAGAAAAGTCAGCTTCAGGATGAATAACGGAAGCGTCGTGTATTTCTGTTCCTTTGCTGTCGGTAATGGTCACTTCAAGAGGTATCAATGTTCGATTTTGAAGTAGGAGGCCAGAGCGCAAGGTAACAACCTTTACATTGTCTACTATTTTGATGTCGACCACTAGTCGGTGTGAGATTTCATTGATTTTGGGTCGAAGGATATACTGGTGCTCTCCTTGTCTATCAATTGTGATGGCCTTCAAAGGCTCCCATTTCTTGTCGTCGAACCTAATTCCTAAATTATTATTGCCAAAGGTTGAGAGTTCCATCTAATATGTCAGAAAAAGTGATAAGCAAAGATTTTCTTTCGATACAAAAACGTGCTATCATCGTCCACAAACCTCTCTTTGCTTTCGCCAATCCGTGAAGGACCATGGCAGGTTTTCTCCATTTTTGACCTGGGTAAGCTGCTTGTTATCAGGTACATCGCGATATTGGCTATTCCATACGGAGATAGTGTATCCAGTTCGGTTTTCTATACGATAAGGTTTTAAGGAGCCACGAGCCACTTCGAACTGTTGCTAATGTGGGGGTATCAGTAATGTAGCATACACAGTCATTGGTAGTTCCATTTACTTACCTTATTGCCATTTCCGAGACCGTTCGAATAGTTCAACATTGATTCCACAAAAGTGTGTTCAACATTGATCTCCAATTTTCGTTTAGAGGACACATCAATTTCTAAGCTTTCGGCTATCAAGGCTCTAGAAACCTTCACATTAAAGCTCCAAGGCTCTATAAGAGGCTCCCAATGAGAGTTTTTGATGTTAAAGAACCCAGTGTATAGCGAGAACGACGAGTCGACCAAAAGCTAAGAATTTACATGTATTCCATTAGTACTTCATTGACATCTTTCACTTTGCCATGATCGAATGATATCTTACAGCCTTCGACCAATCGGACACGTTCACTGTAAACGGCTTCAAATTCATGTCCAAAATTGGCATTTCGTAAAGATCATCCATAAGAATGATCTGTATTCCCTGACTGTTGAGCTTGAGCTGAAATAATGGTGTGTTACTTGACATGAGATTGAACAGGTTTTGAGCTTTATCAGGTTACTTACTGTTTCTCTTGACATCACAATGTAGGGTTCATTGTTCATTCTTCGTCGAAGAACGCTAGTCGACATCACCGATGGTGCTTCGGTGTGGGCTGCCGTTATTTCCGAGATTTTGTCTACGCTTTCGTCATCGCTATTGTCATCATCTTCTTTGGAATCGGGAGGAGGACCAGAAGAGTTAGACTGACCCAAAAGCTCCAATGCTCGGTTCACGACAGTGCTGATGACTGTAATGTCCATGTACGATAGCTTCAATACGAAAGTCGTTAAATCGATCACAATACTGGTGATATTGTTGTTTGCAGAAGTATGGCTCTCCATGGACATGGATATCTCAAAGTCTTCAACAAAACGAATTGACGCTTCGGATTTCTTGTTCATGATACATAGGAACATTCCGATCTTGGAAACGTTGATAGTCATCAGTGCTTGTTGGGAGACCAGAATTTGTTCCGCAGATAAGATGATCGCCTCTGAGTTAGGTAAGGCCGGGTTGGCAAGCAGAACAATCTCAGGGTCAACGATGTTTATACGGTAGTAAAAAGATCCTTTGGGGGTTTGCTGATCGATGCTCTGAGCCTTGGTAGCGCGCGTAGCACGACCGTGGGTTGTATTACGGGTGGTTTGCGGTTTGGTAACATCAGTGGATGCTTTCTTTTTTTGAGTCTCTGCATATCTCTGAGCTTCGGTTGCTTGCTCCACAGTAAACGGAGCCATGAAGTATTTTTGCAAGGCAAAAATGTGATCGACAGACAAAATGATGTGCGGAGTATCGAGAGCTACGAGTAATGTTTGATCAGAACTTGGATTCGGAGGAGAAGTCTCATGACGAAGTTGCAGTTGAGGGCCATCGGTACGAATCCGATTCATTACGTCCCTAAATTCAGATTTGACATCAACTCTCGTGTCTCTGAGTACGATGGATTCGATCTGAAGTTCCATATTTGATGAAGAGTCTGATTTGTTACACATTTTGAAAGTCGTGTGTTCCAATGAAAAGCTAGCGAGACTCCATTTTGGCAAGTCTTCTTCTTTGATGATGGCTTCAGACTGGAATATTTCAAGTTTGATATCTTTAAAGTCGATATTCAGATCTAAAGTAGACCAAGGCTTTTCACCAGGCTGCTTATTTGTATCTTCCTTTGATAAAGCCTCGGATTTGACAACATGCTTTATCGTTTCACTGGAACGAGCATTAGAACCGTCGGCCACACCTACGCTTTGCATTGCTTGAAGTGCCAGTTGATCTGTGGCTTCATTTTCAAGTTCTTCTGTATCCTCAGGACCAGTTGTAAATGCTGAGGTAATGCTGTTAGATGTTTCAATGAGAAACTTGAATTGCCGTTCGGTAAGATTCATTTGTATGTCGGAAACGGCGCCGTTTACTTGAGTGTCTGGTATTAAAGTGCCATGAACATGGTTTATAGTGATTACATTGAAATCCAGGTGAAGCTCCTTCAGTATGTCAAGCACTTGCTGTTGTTCTTCCCCTGTTTCTTCGTCTTTCGTCATGAATTCTGACCTCAAGTTTATGGATTCTACTCTTGCTCGAATGCTATTCTCTTTGATTGTTACTGGAGATGTGCCTTCTGGTTTCAACTCAATTTTGGATTCTGAGAATTTGTTTTCTACCGATATCTCGCCGAGCCGAGCAATCATTTTATCTTGCGGCCGTTTTCTGTCCATTGACGGGAAGACAACAGTAGGAGATCTAATTCGAATATCGTAATGTAGTAGTGCCTCTGATTGCTGAATTTGTTGAGCAGAAGAAAACGCTGCTTCTCTAGCTGCGTCATAAACACCTTTCATTTCGGCAAACCGAGATCCATATTCCATAAGTTGATGTACAGAGTTCTCAACAAAGTTCAGTCGTAAGGAACCCATGCGTAAAAATATCAATTGGTCGTATCCCGGATAACGGCTGGCTTCTTTGTCGTAGGTCACATATCTGAAAGTTGCAAGTTCCTTTCCTTCCAGATACAATAGCTGAACATTTGAATGACTTGTCTCAATATCTTCATTTGGAGCCATAGGCCGATTGGTGTCATCTTTGAGTTCGAAATTGCCGATTTTAACATCTACACTCAGGGTTGTTGGTTTGACCAGCACAGATACATCTCCATGAGACAAACATCCCGTAGCTAGGCGGATTCCGTCATCATTCAAAATGAGATCCAAACTTTCTAAGCAAATTTGTACCTTGATAACCCCAGTGCCAGTTTGTTGCGGAGTGTTCGATTGTTCTACGGGTTTCTTAGACTCTACACTGGATGCGATCGACACTCTGCTCTCAGATCTTTCACGGCGATTCGATTCTGGAGTTGCTGGATTATTCTCCTTTGTGGGGCCCGTAAATGTTGAGAGGATGAAGTTGTACAACGTTAATATCGAACTTCTTGTCACGATGATATTGAGAGCAGAAAGTTCGACATCAACAGATTGGTCAATCTTGTCATACTCTGGACTCTTTGGGTTGATCTTCTTGTATTGCACATTGACTAAGTTCTTCTTTCCTTCATTGTTATTACCATCTGGCGATATCTTATCAGACGTGATAAGGTAGGTAAATTCATTTCCATGCTCCATCCTATCAATGACGCTTAAAGTTTTCAAAGAAACATCGACATTCATGTCAAACATTCTCTGCGTAAACACCAACAAGAAGTTTTCCAATACCACATCGCAGAGAAGTATGTCGCTCTCTGTGCTGTTAGAGTGAGCCTCTTTCAACGTTGCTTGCACTCGATCAATTTGAAATGACAGTGAAAAATTTGTTTGCTTGTACTCATTTGATACTTGGGCATCGTCATTTCCGCGAGTGCTTCTCATGCTGGAAGTCTTTGAACTGTCATGACTAGTGTATCCCTCTGTGCTCTGAACTGAATCTTCGTCATCATCTGAATCCTCCGTGTCGGATAACAGCAACAGTTCAGGCTGTGGTGTCTCCCAGACTGGTTTTCCAAAATAGCTTGTCCTTTTGCTGTTATCCATTTTACCCGATAGGACCATATTTTCGTCTTCCAATTTGGCAGCACCGTAATCTTGAACTGATTCTTGTCCACTAGGTTCATCATCAATGGATGGCACAATGATATCGATAATATTCATCAAAGTTTTGTATTTCTTGTCTGAAAAATTGATAGACACCAAAGGCAAATGACCGGATATTTTGATTTTAGTGAGCTGAGTGCGTTTTGGAACGATACAGATCTCGCACAAGAAATCCATATCAATCTGATCAATCAAGTGAGCATCTTCAGCACCGCTTGGATCATTAATTGCTTGGCGACTCTTGTCTACTGATTCTGCAATGAGGACTTTTGTTTCGGTAAGCTTGATGCTGAATTTGTCGTACACAAGGCTTTCTAGCTCCTTGAAGTCGTCTTCTGAATACTCCATGCCCTGCTTTGCGAGAACTCTGTCGATTGCTTCTTTTGGTGCAAGATTGCTCTCAACATTGATATGACCGGCATCGACAACAAGTGCCCAAGCATCCTTTCTTGTAACGCTGTACGGTGATGTAGGTTAGTAAAGTAACGGTATGTTTCCTAGACAACACTTAATCTATCTCGAAAACACCTACTCTACTGGAACTATAATGATTGGTGCATCCATATCCACTCTTAAGTCCAAAGTTGTGTGGCTCTCTAAGGCATACTCCAAGCCTGCGCGAGTTTGCCTTTTCAATCCTTCCAAAGTGTTTCCTGCCACCTCAATCAAAGCATTGACGGTTTCCATGTTAGTTTCTGGAGGCTTAAAGAAACGCATTACGTCTTTGATGATTTCTGGATTGTAAATAATCTCCAAATGATGCATCTTCACAGTTATGGCATTGTCAGCTCGTCCGTCAAGAGGACCTTTTTCGAAGATGACTGAAAAGAAAGGATCACTTTCCACAGTTCGATGCTCCCCTACATCAAAGCTTTTCTCCAATTCTTCTTGATCGCGTATGCTGATCTCCCTGAATTTCTTGAGCGTTAGTTAACTAATACATAATCAAATGTCCAGCATAATGACCTACAATACCTCGATTTCTGGTTCTTATTTTTGACACCAATCATCTTTTGGTATAACGTTCCTTTTGTTGAGCCGTCATATAGTCGTAGATCTCCGAGGGCTGCTGATACCTTGAGTGACTCAAGGTACTGAATGATATCGCAAGTGACTGTATCGAATACCAGAGTGACCAAATCCTGTGTTACGTTAGAGTGTGGAGATTTTCTCAAAGTAAAAGATCCACGTTTTAGCTTGACATGGATCAAGGCTTTCATAGTCTACAAGCAAGGTAATCAATGTTTTGCCGCAAAGGATAGTACATATAATATCGAAAACTCACATCTTTGGGCATATCCACTGCCATAGAAAGAGCAGCCTTATCTTCATTCCAATCTATTGCTTCGAAAAGTTCCTGTCGTTGCTGTTCCGTAACCTCTGCTGATTCAGGATCTTCATCGCCACCATTACTCTGTTTCTCAGACGAGCCGCCCCACCAGCTACTCAACCAGTTGCCAGCTTTTTTAGCTGTTGTCTCTTGAGTTTTTGCTTGCTGATCTACAGGAAAGAGTTCAGATTTCAAGGATTAGTATAACCTACCTGCAGCGTGGCTTACACAATGGATACCTTACTTATTGAAGCACGTTCTCGTTTAAGCTTTGATTTTGCCATACTCCGGTAAAATCGAATGTCTTCAAAGCTAAGCTTTTGCTCAAGCTTTTTGAGAGCTTCCTTTTGTTGTGCAGTGGCTCTTCCAAGTTCATTATCTACATGGCAAGAAATATACTGCTTTCGGTCGTCGCGTCTTTTGCGAAAATGATCCCAGCTCCATTTGTAGTTCTTCTCATGTATGTGATCCAATACTGCACGTTGAGCGAATTTGAAAAACTCCCTTGGGTGCGTTTTTGGGGTCTTTGGCAACGGGGGTCTCAGCGCTCGGTACTGATACAAGTTGAAGGAGGTCAGTCTATGTCAACAGTAAAGGGCGGCTCCAGCTTTACAAGACATATACTTACTTGTTGTCTCTTCAAGTAGGTATGGAAAAGATCTACCGTCAATATGGCATCTTGATATTGCTCTTCATCAACAATAAATCCCAGTTCTTCAAAAAGCATATTCACGTCAAACTTTGGAGTCGATCCACCATATTGCTTGCTTATTGTCACCTTTAATTGCGATGATGGTATTTGTAGAAGAAATGCTTAATTTGATGGCCTTCTCATTAGCGAAAATCAGATAGCATCAACTTACCTTGCCCGTGCCGGATACAGGTTTAAGTACGTATCTGTTATCAGCCTGCTCTTTATCTGGCTTGGATATCTATGCATAGGATCACCAGTTAGGCCATCAAGAGGACTTTTTCAACCATTGTCAAACATAAGTGCTCTCACCATTGCATAAAACTCTTTTCCAAAATCTTCAGGGCTAACTTTAGCAAGTAGGGGTGTGTCCGTATTCCAGTATACTGAAAGTGCCTCAAGTGTCGCCAACTGAATTAATAGAATGTTAGCTGTGTGATTACGAACCAGTACACCTTCTGTTTTGCATGGATATATTTGTACCATACCTTATGTGTAGTATTTGTCATTTCGCTGATGAACGTTGGTACCCATTCACCGTTAGTTGAAAGCGCACTAACTTCACTAAGTGTAACACCAGCCGCAAACGGGTGACCTGGATTAGAGACATTGTCTTCATATCGAACATGAACGTTCTTTATGGAGACTTGAACATTGTCGATGATTTTAGTCACCAGCTGACTCATAAATGAACTGTTTTTAGCATCCTCTTGAGCTGTGGTTGCTTCGGTTTCTGGTTTTTTTCTTTGTACGGAATTGGAGTTATCAATCAACTCTGCATTAGCCAGACGTTCTTGCTTTCTTTGCTGAGCTCGTCTTTCTTCCTCTTCCACAGTGATCTATTTGCCCTGGTCAATAAAGGTGACGTAGATATGGCCATCTGCCCAAACACTTACATTGCTTTCATTTCTGGGAGCGGCAAGGACATAGACGTCTTTGATATGCACTTGGACAGGTTTCGTTTTCAAATTGGACCATGGAATACTCATAGTCAGCTCTCCCAAATGTCCTTTTATGGTAAATCCATGTTAGTGTGAGGGTGTGCCTGCCAGTCTATCGGACGTGCTTTTTGCTCTAAAATCACCTCTAATAACATCAATGGGAAGGTCAAACTTATCCAAGGCTTCTTTCTTTAAAAGTAGGTTGTTGAGTTTCACTTCCCCTATGTTGAAAGTTCTGTTAGTATGCTCCCTTCAACTTATTGGCAATAGATCCACTCGGCGTACCACTCCATATTCCTATTTTCATTTGGTTATAGTTAAGGTTGGATATATACGCTCCCAAAAACGTATTGAGAAGCGTGGTGACCAGTGATTCTAACATTTTCAGTGATCGATGCAAAGGCTTGCACAATGAGCGAGCCACTTCGGCGTCCTGCTCTTTGAGATTTCCACTGCGGGCATTGAAAGAATCGCTGTCACGGCATAACCCGAAAGTGGAATTGTCACCTTAAGGTGTCAGATTTTAGACAGCCAGTGTTAACGCGTTGATGGAAGCATCCATTCTCATGATTTTATTCAATATGCTTTGTCTTTTCATTCAATAACTTGATGAGTATGTATAACTCAAATCTGGTAACTTCGTCCGACGTCCAATGCCGTCATGGTGTTCTCATGCTACCTCCCTTAAATAGGCAATATGATCAATCCAAGGCGGTTGCCGATTTTCCTACAATCTAGTGACAAGTATGATACTGCTCAGTTCGCATTTTATGTGCATCAATTGGCATTTCACGTACATGAGCCGAGTACGCATATACATAAAATGTTTCCATTGGAGTGAATAAGCTAACATGAAACCTTCCTGGTGTCTTCAATAGCATGTACTAATTATATAGATGCAACAAAAGCATGCTGAAGAAAGCGAAATGAATGCTATTCATAAATGACGATGATAAAGCATCAGTGAGCTTGAACTTTGAACAGCCAGCAGGAACCAAAACGTAGCGCGGAGAAACAAAATTTGTCATTTTCAAGCAAAATAATTGCCATGGCGAAAAGAACGTCACCTGCTTACTCACCATACAACACTTCAATTGACATGAATTTGCTGTCAAATCTAGTCCCCAAGTTTGGCCTTTCGTCATCCCATACAAGCGAGCCAGAAGAGCATTCCCACGCAGAGGAACCAGCTAAAGATCTCTCTATCCAAGAAGGTATCCTATTTTCGCAAAGCTACACAGATTGTAACATCTTACTCACTTCGTTTATAAGCCCAAAACCATGGTCAGTCTGTTGGATATGCAGGCGTCAAAGTCCCACCTAGTCATATCAGCTTGCCTTCCGATGACATTTTAAATGCAGGCTCGGTTCCAACACCGTATTCAGAATATCAGACACCAACTAGCAATCCTCATAGCTTGACTTTAACACCTGATATGGCTGGAGAAGGAGATGTATTGAGGAAGGAACGCCCGGAATCTCAGCCGTCAATTGACCCATTATCGCTTCATATAATTCGTCGTGTATCTCAACGAGCATTGCCAAAGGATGGAACAGAAGTGCAAGATATACAGGTGGCCAAACACTCCGACCAGGCCGAGAAGGAGAATCATCGACAGTCAACTTCAGATACCAAACCCAGTCACCAATCGGTAAAGAGTCTGTAAGTTCTAATTTGATTATGTGCTTGGTTATGTTTTGACGTATAGCTCCTTCTTACAAGTGCGTTAATAGAAAATCTTCGGTTATGAACAAACTTGGCACCAAGAAAGACCGAAATAAGTCTACGGCTGGAGGTGTCTCAGAGTCTATTGCAAGTGAAGATAGTGATGCGTCAAGTGTTTCAACTGCTGAAGGGCGCCCTAGTGTTGAATCTCAGAAGTCACATGGTCGTAGTGTTATAACGACAGTATCTTCTCGCAACGTTGGCGCGGCACCCCACGGACAGCCTATTGTCAAGGTATAGTATAGTAATATATATGCTGACAGTGCAATCGAGGAATATAGCTTCTCACCATACTCTATAGACGAGGTCCAAAATTAAGCCAAACAAAGTATTTTCTCGCATGATATTTGCTCAAACATTGGCAACTTCGCAGAATGATGAGGCAAATGGTGACTATGTCAATAATAGCAATCCCGTAACATCTGCAGTGGACGATGATTCTCTGGCTCCAGAAGAACCAGCCGGCGCAGTTTGGGTATTGAAGTTCAGCAAAGATGGTAGATATCTGGCTTCCGGTGGACAAGATTGTGTTTTGCGAGTTTGGCAAGTGATTGGAGATGACAGCCATGACAGCCAGCAAACCGAAGATGAAACCACCAAAGGAGTTCCCGTAGAAGAATCTATCAAAGTATTCGAAGATAGCCCTGTTCATGAATACGAAGGACATCAGGCAGATATTCTGGATATAAGTTGGTCAAAGGTGAGACAAGCTTTTCATTTAAAGCTATATATAGCGATTACTGACTAGTTTCTTAATGTAGAACAACTTTTTGCTTTCAAGCTCAATGGATAAGACTGTGAGACTATGGCACATCACTAGAAAGGAGTGCCTGTGCGTCTTCCAACATCTGGATGTTGTCACATCTATCACATTTCATCCTAGAGATGACCGTTTCTTCCTTTCTGGCTCGTTGGATTGTAAGCTACGCCTTTGGAACATCCCGGAAAAGAAGGTAGCCTATTGGAATGAGGTTCCTGACTCCAACATGGTCACAGCAGTCGGCTTCACTCAGGATGGCAAAATTGCTGTTGCTGGGTCTTACATTGGATCTTGCTTCTTTTACGAGACTGAAGGGCTAAAATATAACACTCAAATCACTCTTGACTCCAACAAGAGCAGGAACTCAAAGAAAACTCGTAAAATCACTGGTATTGAGTCCATGCCCGGTATGCCTCCCGGCGAAGAAAAATTGCTAATCACAAGCAACGATTCGCGCATTCGTCTGATTAATTTGAAAGACAAAGGGCTTGTGGCTAAATATAAAGGTCTGGAAAATCCTTCCATGCAAATTAGAGCCACGTTCAGGTACAGCAGTGACAACCTACATGTAATAGCCCAATGATGGATGTTTTGCTAACCCGTAAACTTTTCAATTAGTGATGATGGCCGGCAAATTATTTGTGGAAGTGAGGATAAGAATATCTTTTTATGGGAGACAGAACAAGCTGGCTTTTCACCATTCCATTATCTTCAAGATAGTCGATATAAAACAGCAGCAACACTCGGACATTTTGGCGAGCATCTTGTTCAAACGGCGGTCAACAGTACACACCATAATGGCCAACCTACACGAGTGTCCGGTTGGTTGAAGCGTGGCGGTGAAAAGGTCAAGGAGAAGTTGAAAGGCGGCTATGAATATTTTGAAGGCCATCATCAAGTTGTCACTGCTGCGATTTTCGCTCCCACTCGCACAAGACAGCTGGTTGCTCGAACGGGTCGAGACACCATCTACAATAACACAGTTATTCCTGATGAACCATCCAAGTTAGCCGCGACTGAGCCCAATCTGAACAGGTCGGCGAGCAACGCAAGCAACTTGGCGACCCAAGCTGAACTTGAAGCTGAAGAAAACGAGCAAGCAAGAAAGAATGCTCTAAACTATACATATCCTAATGGTCAGATCATTGTATCCGCAGATAACGTTGGTGTCATCAAAGTGTGGCGTGTTGACTGTGGGGATTACGCGAGTAATCATATTACACCTACAAACACCAAACAAGAGCACGTCGTTGGCAACAGCGTTCCTTTGCAACAATATGCGAGCAACAGTACTGATAATACAGTCAAATCGACAACGTTTTCAAAGCGGGGATTCAGTTCTATCTTCGGAAAGCACAAGTAGAGACTGTATAACTCCAATGCTTTTTACATATCGTTGTGAAATATCGCATTATGGGAATTAGATTCCTTTGTGCAAACCATTGTACTAATTAATTGAGTCCTGACCTTTTACAACATAACCCCCTGTATTATATTTCGGCAGATTGAAAGTTCTAAACATTTGCATATTTAAAACCGATTACTTAGCATGTATACTTTATTCGAAATAACATCAACCATCATACATTATCATTTATCTACACTATGGCTATGAAGACGATAGATCAGAATCGTCGACAACATCGCTATCTAGTTGTTCGCGCAGTTTTGTAAAGATATCTGAAATAAGCAGGTAACAAGCACTGCATTAATACTGCTGTCGGGTAGCCAATTGACGATTCTTCAACATATATTTACCTTTCAGGCTCATAGACTCAAAACCAGTGATTCTATTTCGCATTCTATAATACAATTTTCGACTAGCCTCACTGTCACTACCGATTCGGACACCATTAGCAAAAGAAACCTCAATGTAGCATAGTCATTTTTATCAACTTACAGCGTAAAACTTTTATCTCGGAAAGTAGCCCATGGTACCTGGGATTCGTGCTCCCAACTTCCAGCTTGTAATCTATATCGCAAAACAGCGTCAGTAGAATAGTAGTGACTCGCCGTTTTCTGAAGAGATCACCTACTTTCTCACGAGTTCCTGTTTCATATTCTGCCAGTTATCTTGATCAAACGTCGGCTTTTGAACCGTTTCTTCCTTAACATACGGGCTAATAATATGCCTTTGAAAGCAATTGCTTAATGGTCGAGTCATGATTGAAATAGCTCGTTGTGTCTAAGGCTTACCATTTATACCGTAATTGCAGAGGATTCCTAGATCCCTTAAATACAGTAGATACATATGTCCAAGATATATCCTTGTCGTTCGTGATATTCATCTCCGATTTATACTTCTTCACAGCTTGAATGAGCATGTTTTCTTCATCTGCAGACCATGGCCCCACTGTGCTCGAAGGATAGCAAATGGATCAGTTTGAGCTCAATGAAACCTGAGTGGTGATTATATCTGCATTGCACTTACAGTTTTGCTTTCCTTTTTCCCTATTGCCAATCAAACGATATCGGCCAAGGCAAGCGTTTGCTGTTCGGCTTAAAGCCTGGCTGATTTTAGCCCATGCTGGACCATGCTCCGTGACCATCCTACAAGATAAAGAAGACAGAGCATACACCAATTAGTGACAAATTGACAAAATGTCGATGACGAAAACTAACTTACGCCATAAGTTTTGCATCACTGTCTTCGTCCCATTGGCCCTGATAATTGTTTTCATCAAATATCCGTTTCGTGTGTAAGAAAATGTTGTGCATAGTTCTTTGTGGAAAAGCCCTAGCTGTTTAAATGCAATAGGGTTAGATGGGAACTGTAATATGAGGGCCGTTATAAGCACAGTAAAAATGTACCTAAACTCCACCAAAATTCTCTGTCTTTGGCAAAAGGCTCAGAAAAGAAGGAATTTTGCACGTCTTCAAACGACATTTTCCGCCGCTGCGACGCAAGATAGTCTGTTAAAATTGGCACGAGAAATTGACTCTTCTTCACCAACATCGTTTACATACCCTTGCAATCTTCTTCAGCCTCTTTTCTAAAATTCTGTTCTCCAAAACATCCCATTTTCCAGTCTTGACAGGCAGCCCTTCGCTTTCAAATTTCTTGACATCGTTCGCTTTATATTGGACCATTTTGGTGTGTAATTCGTTAAGAGGACCGGTTCCTTCATTATCAGAATCGCTATCCGAATCAGAGTCTGAAACGGAAAAGTCTGGACGTCTTGGAACGCCAATAGCACGCGACTTGTAGATTTTCCGAGGATCTGTATTTTCAGGGTACACTTTGACGCGATGTGGATATAAATGCGATGTTTGTTCACCGATAGCTACGACTTTTTCCTTTCTTCTTCCTCTCCTTGGCGCCTTCTGATTTACCGTATCCAGTGGCGGCGTTGACGATAATTTAACATTAGGAACCTCTTCGTCGATGACTTTTGATGCGCTATGTCGAACACGAAGATGTTCATTACTAGAGCACGGTAAACTATATTCTCTATTGATGCAGGATACTTACCTAGAAAGAATTCCAGCTGCTTCGTTATTTGCAACATCTGCTTTTTCTGCGGGTTCGGATCGCGTAGGCGTCTCTTTTCGCCGTTTGGACTCTTTGGCTTCGTCGTCCTTTCGTTTTCTTTTTCGAGCTTCTTTATCGCCGTTCTCGTCATCTGAATCCTTTTTCCTCTTGTTGCTCTTTTGTTTTGATTTATCTTTCTTCTTTTTCGATTTGTCCTTGAGGGATTTTTGTCCTTCTTCGGTCGCTGAAGCAGATTGAATGTTTAAATCATCATCTTGCGATACTCGAGAATTCTCCTGCTTTCCAGAATCGACAATTGTGCTTGACTTTTCATGGGATTCTTTTTCTCCTACTTCACTATCACTCATCTGTATCTGATCTATAAAGCGTTTGCATAGTCAGTTATGGGTGCTGCATATAAATATCAAATTTCACCGGTACGAAAAAGACCATCCATAGTCATCCATACCATTCTTTGGCACTAAATTTTTCATTTTCTTATGCTTTGATTTACTAAGCGCGGGGTGCCAGTGATCAGGTTTTGAACTCCCAGAATCTCGCGACACTTCCGTTGAGCTATGCCCTCTCGCAATGGTCGCATGCTTTATTGGCTCATCAGCAATTGGATTTTGATCAGTCAAGGAAGTGTTTTCGTGACTATGCTCTCTGCTTTTCTTGCTCTTCTTGTCCTTCTTTTTCTTATCCTTCTTGTTTTTCTTTGCTTTTCTCCTTGAATCGTCTTCCATGACGAACACAGTGAAAGTCGCTATAGGCACCTGAAGTGCAGTCAGCCAAAAAAAAAAAAAAAAAAAAAAAATTAGGAGGTCACAGGCTGGCCGAATTTTGGCCCAAAGCAATTTCTCTATGGTCAAGATGTGTGATAACATATCATCCTCCCATGAACACAAAATATAAATCATTGAAGGACAGAAAGTTTATCGCATAAAATAAATATTTTTAATTTAGTCTGAACTATGTCTGTTAATATCTCTGATAACAGGTACTGTCATTTAAGGGAAACCACAGTAGATGGAAGAACCAGAGGTTTGGCACACAGTGCCAGCACCGCAGTTCTGGACAACCCAGCCACCATTGACACAAGTCTCATATGAGGTGCTGGTACCAGCAGCCAGGCAGACCATAGCTCCGTTGTTGGCTGATGTGCAGGTTCCAGAGCCAGTAGGAGTAGCAGAGGCAGTTGTGGTGACAGCGGTAGTAGTAGTAGCCTTAGTGGTAGTGGTAGTAGCCTTAGTGGTAGTGGTAGTAGCCTTGGTGGTGGTGGTGGTGGTGGTTGCCTTGGTGGTAGAAGAGGCACCTTTAATAAAATGTTAGTACGATGTCTGTTTTACTCAAATTAGGCACATTTGAAGCTTACCAGTAGTAATAGCAGTAGGAGAGGTGTTTCCAGAGATAACCTTTTGCATGGCAGCGAGCAATTCACCATTGTCTTCGTCAACACTCCAGCAGAAAAGACCAGCGAGACCAGCAGAGATGGCATAATCAGCCTTGACGCCAATACTGACGGGATCGTCATATGAAATGTATTGCTTGTTGGAAGGGTTGAACAACCAGGGAGTTTGGGTGACGTTATCGAAGCTACGGATCCAGGGAGAAGCAGCGGTAGTAGGGGTAGTCAAAAGACCTTGGGAGCGCATGTAGGTATATCTCCAGACACCAGAAGCGGCCTGAGTGTCGCTGGAGCAATAAGCATCTTGCCAGGGAGCATCAAGTTGATCACCGAGAGGAGCACCAACAACACCGGGGTTGTATTGAGTAGTAGTAGAGGAGACAGTGAGTGTTTGAGCACGACCGTAGAAAGCAACACCAGCGGCAATTTGGCTAGCTGGTACACCAGCAGCAATCCAAGACTGCACACCTTCGACAAGACCGTATGGGTATCCATAACCAGGGGTGTTATGGAGAGGAGCGTTAGGACCACTGGTAGCGTTCCAACTAGAATGGCAAATAGTTAGTAAAAGGAAATGTATATAGCGTGATAGACCTGTTATATACTTACGCTCCATTGACATCTGAATTATAGAAATGGTGATGAAATTTTGTTTAGTTGTTTTCATTAATGATTCACATGATGGTATAGTATAAGTATGGGTAACTTACCGAAGGACATGACGTTGAATCTGTCAACATAGGGTGTGAAAGCAGTGGCATCAGGGACGATAGTGGCACCTCCCCAGGGGGTAAGATGTACGGCAAGAGTAAGTTCCTTATGGACAGTAGGGAAGTTAGAATCCAAAGCGGCTCTCATTTCCTTGACAAGGGAGGCAAAGTTGGTGATATCGTTAGCGTTGACAGCATTGCAGCCAGCACCGGTAGAAGTAGGGTATTCCCAATCTGAAGAGTATCCAAACATGAATTAATTTAAAAAGCATATGTTCAAGTAAAGTTTGCTAAGTACGTACCCAAGTCAACACCATCAGTTCCATATTGTTGAATGAAGTTGATGTTCCAGGCAATGAATTGTGCACGGTTTGCAGCAGTTGAGGCCATACCACTATGTTCAAAAAGCGTCAGATGTTTTGTCATTTCTCCTACTCACATATTTCATGCGTAAATGTACCTGAAAGCAACAGAGCCAGACCAGCCACCAACGCTAACAACAACCTTGACACCAGCAGCGTGAGCCAAGCTAACAAGCTTGGGGAAGCCGTACTGGACGGAGGCTGCGGGCAATAATTTAATCATCAGAGTAGTCTACGGGAACATGCTTTTTCCAATAATCTACTTACTGTCGAGAACACCGCTGTCAGCCCATTGAGGAGTGTTTCCTTGGTATTGAACGGCAAAGGCTGGCAACAAAGAAAAAATTTCGTCATGCTGACCCACTCTATGTCGCCCTCATATCATGACAAGGAACGATCTCTTACCGTAGTTAATGTGGGTGTACTTGGAGAAGTCAATGTTGGCTGGCAAATAGCGACTGTACAACCAATTTGGGAAGTATCTGCAAGGCACAAACATTTCATTTATTTTGTCAGTGACTATGTTTAAATAATATTAAAGTTGGGTTGGTTCACATGTTTCTAAACTCTTACCCAACAATAACCTTGTTAGTGGAGCGCTTGTGAAGAGGTCCGATAGGGGAGGACAAAACGTCGCTTGCGAGCAGCACAGCTGCGCAAGCAACAGAAACTAGAATAGAAGAAATCTTCATGTTGGGAGAGTTCTGATCCTGAGAACGTGGGTGAAGATTGTGAGAAGCTGCTGGGTGAGTAGCACTATTTATATTGGAAATTGAAAATGTAATTTTCATACATGTAATACCTCTTGTGTCTCATTGGTATCTGTACGTTACAATGCAGTCATTACCTGTGACCTATTTCCACCCATTCGTGTATCTGCAGGGACTCATGCGGAATTACGGCAATTTTTATTTTCATTTCTCAGGGTCTTTGTATAACGCTATGCTGTGACATGGAGAAATCCACATGTGGAAAGTAAACCCTGGCTTTGCTTGGCGACTTAGAGAACGTCCATGTGGACAAGCAACCAAATTGTATTACCCTTAATTTAGGACACAAGTTCATAAAGTAGGCGAAGTCAAATTGCTTTTTATTATGTTTACAATCGTTTGACAACGCTGCTCATCACTTCCTTTTGTATTGCAATTTGGCGATCTTATACACGAAAGTCAAAGAACAGAAGAAGTAACGCGAAAGTATTCTGCACTTGCGTATCATCGAATTCCAAAAGGACCTGCCGAAGATAAGCCTCGGTGGTGGGACCGGTATCTTGATGAAATGGTGGCTAAATTCATTTCTTGGAAATGATTATGAAAAGAGAGTGGTGGTTGCGCCATATTTCTAATTGTGTTCAAGGCTTGTGGGCCAACAAGTGTTGTGTCCAATCCTCATCGTAGCACGATTCTTCATAAGCATAGGACCCTGTATTTCTCACAGGTTAAAATCATCAGGGTAGAGGTCACGAAACGAAGAGTTGTACTACATTGTGAGGGTTGAAATATCTGTTTCGGGACTGTATGACCATTGCAGGAGCAACACTTCTTCAGGGTTCGGGGGCTTTATCATGGAGCGGAAAAAATCACCGTGTACATTTCGTGAGATTCGATTACAGGGTTACTAGATTACACAGCATGGTCAGAACATAACATCCCATTGTAAACGGAACGCTGAGCTTTTGCATACAGGTCAACCAAGGTAAGGCGTTCCATTGCCAGTGTGATATCATTTCCTCAGCCAAGTAAAGAAGGTTCATATCTTATTGTGATATAATGGGATCTACAAAGGGTTTGGACGATACGGTACTGTAAGGCTAGTCATGTTGTGAACAGATTTCTTTTTTGAAACAACAAAAGAATGATGAAAAAAAAATTAAAAAAAAAAAATTAATAAAGATTGAAGGAACGGAATCAAGAATTGTACAAAATGAAATGCTAAGATACAGGTGGGCTCTGCTTTGTTGGGTCAAAAGAAGGCAGAACAGAGTTGCTATTATATTTGATGGAGCTCCCAGGACAGGATTTCCTTATAATTTTTTTCTTTTTTTTTAGTGGTTTTTCAAAGCATCAGTGTGCTTTGAATATCACTGCGACGGCCATTGGTCGAACTGGTTTCGCCAATCAGGTGGGATATATGAATTGAAATCTCGAACTATATTTCCAGAATGCTGGTCTTGTCCGTACTCTGAAGTCGCAAATAACTGCTGCTGTGGGTCGGATAATGGGGTGACGTTGGGCTTTGGATCTCGTGGAGGATTTTTGGGTGGTCGACCGACAGGTCTGGGTTGCGAAGGAATTTTACCATCGTTGCCAGTTTTCTTGATGCTATTCTTGCGCGGTCTTCCAACAGGGCGTTTGACTGGTGGTTCTGGAAGATCCTCAAATGCATGTTCGCTGAGCACGCTGGAAGCACGAGACTCGAAGGCTTGGCTGGCTTCGCGAGACAACATGGTCTCGCTATCTGCTTGGGCTGAGCTGGCGATACTGTTTTCCCGAGAATGGCTGGCACTCCCAATGCGTGTGTCACTTGCATCCCTATCAATTAGTCTTGGTCGGCCGCGTCGCCCTCTATTGGTCGATCCTTTGGGTCGTCCCCGACCGCGACCAGTTCCACCACCTGTGGTGCCGCCTCGAGCGCCTCCACGACTACCTCGTCCTCTTCTACGACCTCGAGTATTGCTTGCTTCGGACTGTCCGCTGTTTTCTCGACCATACATTGTTTTTGCTCGTCGATTGGCACGCTTTTCAGGCGCATACAGTGTCCATTCTTCAATTAGCTTATCCTTCACTTCTGGCAATTCGAACCATTCCAAGATTTCAGTTGCACTTTGGCGTTCTAAGGGCGAAGTCTTCAAACAGCTGAATAGTAATTTACGGCTGAATTCACCTGGAACATCTTTGTTTACCGATTTTTCGATTCTAAAGTCATCTTCGACCATATAACGAAGACCTTTGATGTCGGTATCAAGAACACCTTCCCATGGTTCGGTTTCAGCAAATGTTTTCCAGATAATCACACCAATCGAGTAGATATCTTCTTTTTGAGGATGAATCATGTAGGGTAGTACTTCGGAATCAGATCTTGTTTTAGGCAGGGTTTGGATAGATCTAGAAAGCAAGCATGAATATTTGGGATTACAAAAATAGAGGAGCATGTCATAGAACACTACCACACCTATACATTTTATATCCGTGATCTGGCTTGCCTTTGACCCAAGGCAGTGCATCGCACCAAGCTTCCATTTCTTCCTGAGTTTCGGGAACAACATCACCATCGTAGTCACCTTCCATGCGTGGGACTTCGCACCACCATTGTCGTACATCTTCAGGTTCACAGAAGATGGCTTTTCCAAAATCAATCAAGAATAGCTCAGGTCGAAGCGTACCATCCTCAAGTTTTTCCTCAGGCATCTCGTTGACCATGATGTTCACCTCTGACAAATCTCTGTGAGCCAATCCGATGTCATGAATGGCTTTCATAGACAGCAACATCTGCCATATGACATGGTACTTCTGGTGCGCGCTCAATCGATGATGGGAATGCACGTGGGCATACTTTTTCAGGGTTTGTTGATATCTGTATAGTGGCGTACAGTCAGATATCGGTAAAATCATTGCTACCCAATGCGATGATAGTAATTCTTACCGAACCATGGAAAGTCCAATCACTTCACCTTCGTCCTCCTTGAGAACTTCCACCATTTGTCCAATATGTCGTTTGTTACGCAATTTTCTAAGATAGATAAGCGCCCAGGTTAGTTTATATGGATACCGTCGAAGACTTAACAAAAGACAGGTAGTACACTTACAGTAAGCAGACTAATTCGGTGATGCGTTGATACATGGTCATGTGGCGGAAAGTTTGGACCACCACAGTAGGGTCATTAGAGACGTAATACACTTGCTTGAAATAACCTTCTGCGTTGGGGAATGTGCTAACATTTTCCGTATACTTCTTCACATCGATGACTGAAATATCATTCTGTTCGCACACTAAAAATAATTTTGAAGTCGTTTAGCGAGTCGCTCTTATTCTTGACATAATTTACCATGGTTAACTTACTGGAAACTAGTTTCTCCCAAATTCCTTGTGACCGTTGCCTGTAGACGGCGCGCATCTTTTCGTCCTCCACTTGCTGTTCTTCTTTGGCTGCAGCCTCATTCTCATTATCAATGACTCTCATGAAGGTGATCGCTTCTTCCGGTCGAGAAGGCGTTGGAGATCTAGACTTTGATACAGAGACAACCTCTTGTGACAAATCATCGTCACCACCTCTGGAATATGAGCCATCCTCGTCCTCATCATAATCATACTCTAGATCGTCATCTTGGTCCATGCCTTGCCCCTCCTCATCGTCGTCTCGATCTTCCTTCTTCCCTTCCTGAATATCCATATTATCAGTTGCATGAGGCATTGCTTCTTGGGTGATTGGGGTATGTGTCTGTCCAGGAAGGGGTGCATCGATGGGAGTCATTTGTTTGCTTTGTTCTGGTGTTGGTTTGGATGCACTGGGACTTTCCGCTCCATGGATCTTTTCTGAAACAACTGCAGGTTGCCCTACCGAGGCGTCTATATTAGTGATGGTAGGTTGAACAGGAGCAGGTTTTACGACTTTGATATTTTTGTTCTTGGCAGCAGCTTCATAATCAATGATATCTTCTGGGTCCAGCGGTGCTCCAATCACTGATTTGACGAATACTTTGGCAATCTTGTTGTGGATAGCACTTTCTTTTGGGTCATGCGCTAATCGTGTTGTGGTATATAGACGCTTAAAGATCTCTCTTTCCATCTTCTCGGTTATGTCCGCCTCAAATCCTCGAACGATTTTCAGAATCTTAACCTTTATCCATGCTCTCGGAGCATATTCCGCCTGAGCAATTTTTTCGGGCCAGTGAAGTTGATCCAAATCATGTCGATTACCAAGAGGATGTACAAGAACGGCATCAGCTTGTACATGGTATAGACCTTTCTTGTTGGGTTCTGTGCATTTTTTGACAGTGGCGTTGATCAAGACCGTTAAGACGGCCTTTGGATCGCTTGCAGCAAATTCCAACATAGTACGATTCTTCGAGATAAACAGTCGTGGAAGCGGAAGTTCATTCACTTCCACCGTACCCCCATCCTCTCTATCCTTCATGGCCTTGATTGTATCGTAAAAGCTTGCATTGAGAATATCGAAAACTTCTGCCATCAAATTGGTGAAACTTCGCGCCCTTGGCTTTTCGCCAATATCAACACCTCGGATGACATAAAGTACGCTAAAACAAACAAAAGAGTGTAAGCATGATTGGTGATCAAAATTTGGTATCTTTTGAGAGACACCTTATAAAATTGCGCAACTTGCCTCTTGTTATCTGTCTGTAACTGTGCTGGTACATTTACGTCAAAGTGTTGTTCTTCGGCCGCAATTAAACGTAAATCGGATTCCCATTGCAATGTAGTGCCGCTAATTATAATACATGTTGAAAAGATTAATCATTCAATTGCTATGCGACGCTGGCTAAACTGACGTTGGCATTAACGTACCTATGAGCTTCCAATTGTTGAAGAGCATCAAAATAGACTTGCTTCAGTAGTTGCGCCTTATCTGCAATATCGCCGCCATTCTTGTGAAACGCCTCAGCATTCCTCCAGATCATCGCAATGTCATGATGAAATTCGTCCGTTGAGCTGTAGCCAGAGTTCCAAAGTCTATTTTCAACGCTTGACAGATCACTTGGATTGGTAATGACACTGTGGTATAAAGCCAAAACCTTGGGAACAGGAAGAACAAAGGGCAAACAGCATCCAGACGAGTAGATTTGATTCAGAATGTAATTGCACTTGCGTACAGATATGGTGTCCAGCATAGCATTGTCCGTTACAAACGAGCATTGGTTGATGGATGCTTCTGTCGCGACTGGTTTAACCGAAGAAGTTTGTCGAACCGTCGTTTCCGCTACATGCGTTTCCGAAAAATCATCATCGTCCATATCCTCATGCGCTTTCGACTCTTTGCCCGGCTTGAACTCCTTACCAACCTTTGGCTCTTTTATAACTAGCTTGATATTTGGCAGCCGCTTGTTGGATGAGGGTGATGCCGGCTGGTTCTGAGAGTAGTTTGCAAATTCTTGATCCACAGGAGGTGTGCTAGTAGGTGCTTGTACTCCATAGGGTGGCATTCTCGAATCTGAAGCCTCCATGGCATTCCCGTATAACGGATTACCACCATAATGAGGACCGGCATTCATGTTGGGAATTGTGTTTTGAACCGTGAGTCTGAACCGTTTTGGCATAGCTGAGGATGTCTCAAGCTGTCCTTCATCGTTTACAATGTTACTTTGCCTGTCAATCGGCATACCAAGGTTACCTCCAAATGAATCCCTTCGCCGCTTCTTTTGCTGCTCCTCCAAATCATTCTGACTTGGATACTGGTTTCCATATGAATAAACGTCGGGCTGCCGCAAAATACCGGCAGGTTTAGCACTAACCGGTGAAAATGTCTGCATATGTTGATGATCATCCTTTTGATGGTGATCAGGATACATGTAGGACGTGTCTGCCATATTCAGACCTTGCATGTCTTGACTATTGTCCTCCGCGATATATACACTGGCAAAGCCAGCATTGGGGTTGTGTGTCTGTGATTGTGGGTTGCTTGAACCATTCAACGATTGAGTCGTACTATTAGTCTGCAAAAGGTTGCTGGCTATGGGTTCGTACGGCATATCCACAAAAGGGTTACTGTCAACTTGCATTCGTAAAGGAGCGTTGGGCCCTTGCGAATAATGGGATGCGGTAGCAGCACTTTCAACAGGGCGTCTGGGAGAGCCATGTTCGGCATGAAGACCCAATACAGATGGAGTATGGAACATCTGGATAACATCATTTGATATCTGATACGAAGAAGCACGGCTAGTCATAGGGGATGGATCCTCGTCCCCCGGCTGTTGAGACGACGTGGAAAGCAGACTTGATCGGCCCCAATCAGCATACTTCATTCTTTTGCTGTCAACAGAAGCATCCGTTGGGTATCTTGCTATTGGACCATTCCTATCCTGCTTCTGATCATCACTCATCCATTCTTGAGGGTTCCATAAAGAGGTGTCTTGAAACATTGACAACGCACTTGGGTTAGCCATGGGCATGGAAGGATGTTTAGCTAAGCTATGTTGTTGATACGACTGCGATGAATATGAGCCCATGGGTACAGAGGTGCCTTTTGTCGCATTTGTAAAAACATTAGATAGCAATTTGGAAGTCTCTTGGATATCGCTGCCATTGGTAGCATCATGATCATATGCCGCGTGGGTCACGACTTTGGCTTGTTGTGGTTGCAGTTGTTGTTGCTGCTGTTGCCATTGATACTGACTATAAGGCGAGGCGTTTTGTGAGTTCGCAGAACCTCTATTTGAGTCAGCCTGATAGTCTGTTTGATTCATGCTACTGAGAAGTTGAAGGAACCAAGGACAAAGTGCAACCGTGTGGTGTAGTCAGAAAACCCCAACAAAAAGTATCTCTTAATAAAGTTTTGGTTATTTTGTGGCCGAATGGTGGGTTAGGTTGTTGAGATGGTGATCTGAAAGTGAATGTAGGCTGAATATTATTGCTAAACCCACAAGTACTTCGGCAAGGTGTGAGTGGTGGTGGAGGTTGTAGTAGTGTGCAGAGGCCAACGCAGAAAGTGCCTAACAAAAATTGTGTGTTTTTTCAAACACGGCTTGTGAGCGGAGCGAATGAGAGACAAGCACACAGCTCTGCTCCGACCGCCAACCAAACAGCTAACCCAGCAAATTTTCATTGAATCAAAACACAAGCCCAATCACTCAAACTCTAAGTGAAGAAGACCTTTAGGTGTAATCAAACCAATGCGTGTTTCCATATTATCTCATATTGTGACCTGTATCTCTTTTCAATGAACTGAAAAGGCGATGGTGTTCTCAACAACATGATATCACCACTGCATAAGCACTTACGCTCCAATCGTACACTAGTTTATGAAAGCAATAAAATGTGATATCAAATAATGACTCTTAGCATTCAGTGACCGAGCATGATGGTGGCCTCTAATGTCCCTAGAAGCTCCTTTTCCAAGCATCCCTTAACCTTGAATGATGACTTTAGTAAAAGTAGTCACATTGCTTTCCGTACCCCGTTCCTATCGACAAGCTCGGTGTCGTATATTGGCATCTCAACTACGTAATGACAGCGATACCAGATCTAAAAGCGCAAAAGTACGACAGGCAGCTTCGGTATGTGGTCACATTTCATTTTGGCAGATGTATCATAGCTTCCCACTTGAATGACTAAGCGGACAGCACCTTCGTTATCCCCGTTCCGATAGGTTATGGGCAGCCAGCGGCCAAGCAGCCCTGGAAAACGCAAACGTTTGCTTATTGAATGCAACCACTACCGGAACAGAGATTCTCAAAAATTTGATATTACCCGGTAAGTGTACCTTGGGTACTTGAACAGTATCCATAACCTCTATTAATAACAACAACTGACGTATCGCTTGTATGCAAAAGGCATTGGCTCTTTCTCGATTGCAGATAACGCGATAGTGAACCAGAAAGACGTTTCAAGCAACTTCTTCCTAGACACTTCCTGCATTGGAAAGTCAAAATCTTTAGCAACAGTCGAGTATTTGCGGGAATTGAATGAAGATGTTAAAGGACACCATGATGAAAGGGTAGGTGTAGGCGGTTGGATGTGTGATGCAGTGCTTTGTATCTTATTCCGTTGTAGTCTCCAGAATATCTTATTGTAGAGGAACCGTCCTTCTTTGATCAATTTACCATGGTCATTGCCACGAGTCTTAGCGATACCCTGGCACTCAAACTCGCAAATATTTGTGAGGCCACTAAGACACCATTATTCCTGGTTAAATGCATAGGGTTTACTGGCATGTTCAGAATTCAAGCTGGTGAAAATACAAGTAAGTTTTATTGCTGTTGGCGCTCTCCGATCTATGTGGTGTTAACTGATCTATGAATCAACTCACAGTCATTGAAACCCACCCGGAAAACTCTAGCGATCTCCGACTGGACATGCCATTTCCTACGTTGCTTGACTACGTAAAAGAATTTGATTTTGACAAGATGGATTCGTCTGAGCATGGTCACGTACCATTTGTTGTAGTGTTGCAACATTATTTGCAAGTGTGGAAATCAAAGGTAGGCTATTCACTGGTTGGGTAATTGAGCGAATTCTGGACTTCATTCATTAATATTCGTGAGCAGCATGACGGAAAGCTACCTTCATCTTATTCTGAACGAAATGAATTCAAGGAATTATTAAAAAAGGGTATGCGGAGCTATGATGAAGAGAATTTCGAAGAGGCTATATCACATGTTTGGCGATTAGCATCTACATCTGGGGTAAGTAAAGCAGGAAGGAAAAAACGGCAAGACCTGTGCTAACATATACTTCATAGGTTCCAAGTGAGCTACAAAGTATACTAAATGATCCAAGCTGTGAAAACATTACCAAGGATGTAAGTTGTGTATAAGAGCATGGCGGATATCATGTAGGCCAGCCAAACTAAGCAAATGTCGATCAAAAGTCATCAAACTTTTGGATTATTGCCAGAGCAATTCGAGACTTTGTTCAAAACGAAGGATCAGGTCTACTTCCTTTACCTGGAAAACTTCCCGACATGAAGGCTGATACCAAGGGATACGTTCGGCTTCAGCAAATGTATGTACAGATTGATGTAAATCAGAATTGCGTTCTTGGAACACGTTTTTGACCAAAGTGGTGCTCACTGTTCATATAGATATCGACAAAAGGCGATTGAGGACTATGAAGCAATTAACGCTAGAGTTCAAGGTCTCCTTACAAGTGTTGAATTACTATCGGATGCGATCGATTCTAGAGAAATAGAAGAATTTTGCAAGTTCGCTTCTCACGTGAAGGTAATCCGATACCGCACATTAGAACAAGAGTATCTTACCGAGCCAAATACCACTGCGATTTGTAAGTATCTCACAGAACAAAAGATGTATATTATGTAAAAAACTAATGAATATTCTAGGTCAATGGTTGGAAGAGAGTGATCCGCAAAACAACATTGTTCACTACGTGATGTTTCGAGCAGCAGATCTGTTTGTAAAAGAATACGGTAGCCTGAAAGGTATGTCATAGCCATTGCTGTTAATCTATTTGCGAAACGATAAAGTTACTAATTTTATATCTTTTTGATTGGCACAATGTGTAGACCGTGACGAAGAGGAGACAGTCAAGCTGTTGGAAGACTGCACAACAAATGTCTTGACATCCGTTGGCATACCCAATAACAAAGCAGTGGCATTGACCACCGACCGCCTTAAACCTTGTATCATCAACTTGTAAGTCACTTCCGTTGGATAGCTAATACCAAAGCCAAAATGAATGCTCATCCCAACTAATCTTAACTCTACATTCAGTGCTCGATATAACGGTGCAGAGCTTCCGAACATTGCCTCCTTAATGGGCGGACTTGTTGCTCAAGAGGTTATCAAGATCATCACTCGTCAATACATTCCTGTTAATAATACCTGCATTTATGACGGTATGAGTGCAACTACTGCAACCTATGTTCTCTAACTAGGCGAATTATAAAAAAAATAAAACGTTCGTAGCAGTATTTCGCATGCAACACTGAAAGTGCTTGTTTGATCCACGAGGATGTTTGACTTTTTAATCCCACAAGATACAATGAATACCCGTATGTGCGTGTTTCAAATTCATGCTATAGTTTCTAAGAATGATACCAGTCTAAAATACCTGGCTGTATATCTCTAGCTGAAGAGCCATCTCCACAATAGTATGATAAGTAGCAAGTAAGCAAGGTTGATCCAAGCTGCTATTGGCCGAATAGTAAGCCGTGGTGGAAAGACTGTCGAAGTCTCTGGAACAAAGCGTTGATACTGATTGATACAGTTAGTTATATGAATGAGAAGAATTTGGACGCTCATAAGACCATGGCTTACATATCTGTTGAGATGCCTGTCAAACCATACAACGTATGGTATAAGAATGGCAACTTCGTAGGATCGAACCATGTGCTCTGCTCGAGGACCAAGGGCTGGAACATCAAGGTTGCTGCATTTTCGTAAACCTTCTTGAACCTCCTTTTTGCCTTCAGAGCTGAGGAATCCACGTTGTCGAACTTGTTGTGAGATTTCTGCAAAGAGTGTCCGTACCGGTCCCTTCCTGGATTGGAGTTGCCTGGCCGCTGCATCATCATCGATGGAACCAGCTAGCGCTAAATGTTCCAGTTCAGCAGCTGGTATCTATTATCGACTTGTGATCAGTAACTATATCACATATTCACACATACCAAAAACACCGCTTACATTGAACATTGTGCCTAAAGATTGAGCTAGACGTTGCATTTCAGTAGCTTGCTTTCTCACACGTGAGGCTGCCTCAGGACTAAGCGAAGCACGACTCATAGGTGCTACATGTGATGTCGTAGCCACAATATTCCTCCAATTTGAGTCGCCACTACTGGATCCTGCTGCTTGTTGTTTTGGAAGCATTGAGAACCGTAGATATATCGATTGCTTCAGAGCCAATAGTGCATCGTCGATGGGATTCTTGGCGCTAGGCATATATTTCGAATACATCGTTGGCGGTGACCATTCAGGCCCTTCTAACACAGCCATATTAGATCGTAGTTCCGGTAAGATAGCTGAAATGGCGGGATCGACTTGAGCTAATATTGGGGATTGAATACCAAGATCTTGGCGGGTGCTTGTTTGTGCATTTAGTTGAGTCGTGAGAGCCTGCTCGATCTCAGATAGAAGTGGTACAATTCCTTCCAGTGAAAGCACATTAACCAGCCGAAGAAGTGAGCGAACTTCGCCTTTCACTGACCCATTGTCCCTGTATCTTGTTGCTACACTACGAATGACATAGTGGTACCGTGGTGCGTTTTCCGCGTATCCATATTTTGCAGATCTAAGCAAAAGTAGTTCCACGAGTGTATGATAGAACAAGAAGTTGTGTGCTATATACAGTCCCCATCCTTCTTCAATAGGTTTAGTTTTGTCGTCTGCCTCACTGCGAGCTGGATCTCCAAATCGCCAAGGTGCGGCCCAAATACTCCAAAGATTGACAATCTTGAAAACGCCGTGTCAGTACTTTGATCGTTTAGCAATAGAGCCAGTAAAAACCCTTACCTCCAAAAACGAGTCCTCTAATGGCCAGTTCTTAATCGCCTCCTTTAACCAGATATACATGCAATCTTTCATTGAAGTATAAGCGAAGGATATCACGTCAGCATTGGTATGAAATTTGCCCACAGATGTCGCTTTCCTGAGATCTTGTTGCATGATCGCTCTCGACAGTGTGGCAATGCAAAAAAGCACTTCATCCGCAAGCCTTTGTCCGTAATTTGGAATTGTTTCATTGACCCACACTTCAGAAGCAGCTTGAAAGAAAAAGTTGGATTCTTCCTTCCTTGCCTTCATCCCACCAGCCGATGTAGGCAATGCCCACGCTACATAGGCTTCCAATAACGGCGCGTACATTGTGTTTAGCATGCATTTTGGTTGTGGTTGTGCTGGTTTACTAGGAGGAAATGCAGGGCGCGCTCCAAATGCCTGGGTAGGAAACTAATATCCGCTTTAGATGTGGTTCGAGATGTTTGCTACAACTGGTGTATGTTGGTACTTACTGTCATATGAGGAAGTGGCTTTGCCATCTCTTGCTTGTAGGTGTTCCATATAGCGCCATGTAAAAAATTGAAAATAAAAAATTCATAGGCAGAGAAGGTGAGCTTGATGTCGGTGACACCCGTACTGGCTCCTGCTATACGGCGTCCCATGGCTGCTTGTGACGCAGAAAGTTGCCGAGAGGCATGGAACGGATTTGAGTTGTCGGTAAACGACATCTGTTCTGGAGAATAGGTCTGCATTCGGTCGGAATATATGGGAGGCAGGAGGTGATATGCGCTTGGCTTGAAGAATGCTTGGATGTTGGCCTAGAAATTGAAACAAAGAGATAGGTAAGAAATCGATAGGCATTCGACAAAGCATAAAAATGTAGTGGCCCTACAGGAAGCTTATTAGGGAGGATCTCATATGCAAAATGGCGTTGATATTGCATTTGTAAGATACACGTAAAGAAAGGACCGTTTGGCTCGAGTAGCTCATAGACAGCTTTGTCCTCTTGCTTTGTCGTCGCTATTTGCAACCATCCACTGAGGATAGAGGTAGATTAGAAGACAGGGGTATGGCTGCGGCTCGCATGTATAAGTTACTGTACCGTTTTGTAGTTGATCCAAAGATCTCTGCTAGAATCTTTGGCAGCTGTGCGTGAAATGTCTTTGCAATGCCGTTGCTAGCATCGATTATGATGGATGTGTATTGCGCAAAAAAGCTTTTCAATCTATTACACGTTCCTATAATGTCATTATAGTTGAGGGTGGTAAGATCTGCCATGTTGGGCTTGCCCACGCGAGAAACCAGCGCCAAAAAAATTATGCGCACACAAAGGTCTTTCACTCGAAGACTGGAAATTTTTCTCTGGCAAACGGCAGGATAGCGTGCTTCACTAAAGCACGGGCCATTTCAAAGTATAATTATTTCAATTGAGAGATCGATTCAACCAGTTTGAGGCACTTTTTAATTATTAGTGATTTGCCACTTGACAAAGGGTGTCGTGGGTTTCTTTTGGGCTTGGACGGATACAGAAGCAAAAAAAAAAAAAAAAAAATTGAAAGGGGTATTCTTTTATGTTATGAGAATCAAAAATGTCTATGTATATTACAGATAGTGCGTGTTTGTGCCATGCCGTCGTGTTTGCGTTGATGAATAACCTCGAGGATGTTCGTCATAAACGGGCTCACGGTAGCGCAGATTTTTATTGGAGGGACGGCGCCTGATTGGATTTGGTTCTCGAAGGGCAACTCGCGCAAGGTATACCCGATCATATCCTTCCTCATAAAGCTCATGCGAGCTTCGACGCGGGTATGATCCAAACGATTGCCGACGAGCCAATGGTTGCGCTCTTCGATCAATGTTTGAACGGCCGTATACTGCAGAAGAGCTATGCCGGGGAGTTCGGTGGTGGTAGTGAGGCTCGTCGTCATAATAATGAGATTCATCGTCCGAAAAATATTCACTGTCGGTCTCCAAATACTCTCTCCTTCTAGGCTTATGCTCAACTTCAGGCTGGCGACTGGACCAAGACTCTCGTCGATAATAAGGGATTTCTTCTTCTGGAAGTGCCGTTGCTACTCTGTGCTTCGGTCGTTCGCGGCTGCGACTGCGGCTCCGACTCCGACCTGGCACAGAGCGAGGAATGTGCTCCAAAGGCGTCTGGGAGATAGAGACTCTTCTCAAGTCTCCACTGGTTGGCCTTGCTGTAAGAGACTTGCGCCTGGGACGTTCATACACTGGTGGGTAAGGATCTTCGGATTCTTCTGTTCGAGGAATGATCCTGTGCCTTATTTCGCCATGCGTGGTTACTTTCTTTGGTATTCTTTGCCCTGGCGACGATCGTTGGGCTTGTCGATTATTGAAACCAACTGATGTCGGGGTGCTTTTACTGGGAGCTAGGTTGGTGGTATCTAAAGCACGTCGTAGTTGACCTTCAAGCTGCTTCACTTTATCAAACATTTCATCGATGCGTTTTTTATGTTCGTCCTCGAGCTTTTTTTGCTCTTTACGCTCAAGTTTTAGTTCGCTTAGCTGTTTTCGAAGCATATCGTTTTCTTGAGCAATAACACTAGCAACAGTTGGGTCATCGTGAGGGGAAGATAATTGCTTAGAAGTAGACTGCTGCATTATTTGTTGTGTTGATGAAGAATGCGACGGTGTATCAGCAGTGGATGTCCGCCGGGATCTCATGATACCACTGTTGTTGTTGTTGTTGTTATCCGAAGAAATAATAAAGTCTGGCTGAGGCGGCTTATCCAAAGAGGATTTTGATGATGATGGAGCACTCACGTGGATGGGCGACCCTCCGACAAAAGTGATGGTTTTCATAGGTGCGTCATTCAAAGGTTCATTGAGTTCCAGTATTCCTTCCAACTGTTTCATTCGCGCATTAGCGTCCTGCTCAAATCTATCGCTCCCTTCATCGGATTTCCCTTCAGAATTGGATGCGCTGGTAAGCGATGGTTCAAGTTCAGCTGGCGGAGTGAAGGCTGATTCCTTAGCGTCTCCATAGTCACTCTCACAGCTGTGATCCGATTCTGCATGAACAGGTGGTTGTGGTGTAGGTGTACGCTGTATCTTGGCGGGCGATGGTGTTGGCGAGTCTGCCTTTTCATACTCATTCTTAAGCACTAAATTACGAGTTGGTGCAATAGCGTGCATTGGTCGGGGCATCAGTACTGGGGGAGGCGACTTTGTGGGACGTGCCACAGCATTCTCGTCCGGGCTAAGGATGCGAATAGAAGTTGGTTCAGGTATTGGACGATTGCTACGAGGATAACCAACTTCATCCAGAGTATCCGCAGGCGATATGGAGCGGCCATTCTGGTCTTGAGGGTAGTGCATACCCCCCATTGTTGAGATCCCGAATACTGACTTCTTCTTCTTGGGTTTGTACATAGAATAAATGGTATGGCTGGCAAAGAAGAAGATCAAACAAAAGAAGCGAGAAAGTAGAAAAGAGGTGCCTTAAACGTGATGCGCTGATGCAAATCAGATGTCCAGCGTTCGTCTTTCCTTTTGCGGAATGATCTCTTCCATGCCGGTCTGTTTCGAGGATGTGATCGTCCTCTTTTCATTGTCATCAGAAAGAATAGAACGGTGTGGTTGAATGATGAAATCATTCAGAAATACGGATGTAATGTATCGATCATATTGCTAACAATGACCCAGTACCTCATCACGGCAAGAAACTCACTCCCAAGCGAAATCGATATCATCACAAGATCATTTCGTAATTATTGATTTTTGTATACAAAAGGCAATCGGAGGCTCAAAGCTCATCACACGAAAAAAAATGGTCTCGAGTTCTTTGCATTCTTCTTTCTCACTCGTTCGCCAAAATGGCGTTGCTGGACTCACGAACGATGACGGTCTCTCTGTCGTTATTCTTTTTGCCCGTACTGATTCTATGTGTCATTCTCAGTCTGCCATTGATCGCATTTGTTGTTTGTAAGTAGACAGTGTTTTTCGCCCATTCCTTGCCAGTTATCTAACCGGAATCTTGACATGCCCGTCGAAAATCAGCAACACTTTATGTTATAGCTTGGGTAGTATACCTTTATGCAGCTCAATCCGACACGTCTTTCAATCTTCCATACAGCCCAACTCGTATTTTGAAAGTGAATTATGCCGTTTTGCATATGGTTATTGGTCTGTTCACCTATATACCTATCGCTGGAAGCTACTTCATCTGGAGATACATCAGCCTCAGTACAACCGACTTTGACCGCATCATCAGGTAATGTCATCTTGTCGATGAACGACGTTATAATCCCTGTTGGATCTAATGTGTCCGGATTTAGGCGAAATATTCCATACGATGAGGACAATCAGGCTGCTCAATTAGATTTATATTTGCCATCGACGAAGAGCAGCTCTCCCAACCCAATAGTTGTTTTTATTTACGGAGGATCATGGTCTTCTGGTTCTAAAAACATGTACACCACCATGGCAAACACACTTCGGGAATTAGGTTACATAGTAGTCCTTCCTGATTATCGTAAATACCCAGAGGTGAAGGCGGATGCGATGTATCAAGATATACGAAAGGCTATCAGATGGGCTTATACACATGCCCATGAGTTCAACGGAGACGTGGAACAAATTCACATCATGGTAAGTTTGAAAGTCAGCATGATAGTTTGTTATGCTAATGCCCACTAACATCATCATATCACACTATATTTTTACCAAACAAGGGTCATAGTGCCGGAGCTCAGCTAGCCTCACAAACCGTTTTGATGGATGTAGTACGATTCATTCGTGCTAACGACAAGCAGCTTCAGCAAGCCAAGCGAACCGAGAATAGTTTGCTTGATAACGGAAACATTGACACATCACGAAATGCCCTTCCTAGAATCGAAGGCCTCATATTGTATGTGGATGAATCTCTATTATATCAAATTTAACATTGCCAAATGGATGAGAAATTAACCACGTTTATATTACCAGGCTGGCTGGTGTGTACAACATCGGCTCACATCTGGAACACGAAACCTATCGTGGCGTAGAAAAGATTTCAGCCATGGCAAGAGCTATGGGCGGTAATCAAGAGTCGTTCAAGAAGAACTCACCCATCACCCTCATTCGCCAGAATAAGGATATGTTTGAACATTCTACAGCTTTGACCAGCCATATGCCGAGAATTTTATTCATCCACGGTGAGAAGGATGCAGTCGTCCCAGTTCAACAATCCATCGACATGTACAATGCTCTTGGTGAAGTATTGCCACCGGCAAAGAGGGACGATGTAGATGTTAGAATGAGATTATATAAGAAGATGGGTCATGCCGAATGTGTCACTGGTAAGTTTTGTCATGGATAAATGCTCTAGAGATATGCTGATTGATCTGACATTTCGATCTCATGGTATAGCTCTTATGCAAAACTTGATGGGACGGAGCCGTTTCCGAAAGTCTCTTGCTCATGATATACGGGAATTCATTGAACTTCCACCATATACTGAAGAATGATAAAAGAAACATATTTGCATTTTACAACTCGAAAACCTTTCATACGATTACCACACTTTCCAACCCCATTTCCTTTTTTTTTTTTTTTTTTGACAAAAACAACCCATAAGCATTTCCGCCCATATATAACAAAATTGTAAATTTATATTATCTTCAATTAATTACTCAACAAGGTTTCTATTGGGACATAAGTCAGGCATGTTCTATAAGTCAAAGGGTTCTTCAGTGGTGAGATTCATTTTGAAATGTCTAAAAGCTATACAGGTCTAATTTAAATGGGGAATTGGTACAATTATGCGCTACTTGGATCGTCGGATTTGGATGATTTCAGCTTGGCATACGCTCTACTAATACCGTCTTCTCCACCAATGAGCCATATAAGTGTGGTTGCTCCCAGTGCGGCAGATACGGTGTGATTGCCAGTGCTTTCACCATGATGGTGGCTTTCGTCATCGCCGCCACCGTGGCTCTTCTGGCTTGATTCTTTTTCATTATTGGGTTGGCTTTCCTGAGTCGAAGCTACAAGCTGAGATACTGAAAGTTCGGAAATGGGTGTTGCCCATAAATTTCGTATTATGTTACTTGCGTCTTTCTCGAGTGTTTGCCAGTCAGTTGGCTTTGTTCTTGATGATTCCAGTAAACCTTCCGCTGTAACATCTGATATATTGATGGATGACAAAGAGCTATCTAGGTTATCATTGTTTTCCTTTTCGGTTGCTGAGGCGTTCAGCTCTAAAATGCGCCTACTGCCCCTTTGAGCGACCTTTCTGTCAAACGCATTGACCCATTGGCGATCGAATTCAGCTTCTAAATCGGCTCCCATTTCAGAAATTTCATCGTCTATGATGGTTGGAGAGACTTGCTTCAAATTGCTTGAGGAAGGACGCTGATCTTGAGTTGCTGATCTTCGCTTAAACGTCATGGTAGCTTTGTTTCCGTTCACTTTGTGTCCTCTATTATGCACTTTCATTTCGAAAGCTTTGATCCAGTTCTCGGGTACCAGAGTTTCGTCAGCCTGACTTTCCTCATAATTGATATCGACATTGCTATTTTGCATTGGAGGTAACTGTTCGTCAACATAATCAGCCATCATCTTCACGAAGCTCGTTTTGCTGATATGACTTTTTTGTTCAGGATGTTTTTCCAATTGTTCTGTGCGATCGCCAGTGACGGCGTTGACTGAATTAGAAGTAGAAATCACTGGTGGCTCTTCTGGATTTTCTACTTCCGTTTTGGAAGAACCAGCTTCCTTGGTTTTAAAGGTTATGTCATCGGCGATAGAGGTAACCGATGGAGTTTTTGACGCCGAACCCCCTGCCACATTTTTTACTGGGTCGGTGAGTGTGGACTGTGTTGAAAGTTTCGGTGGGGCTTCTTGCCATCCTAACAGCCTTGATATCAATTCTTCTTTGGTACCTTTAGAAGGCAGTTTTCTTTCCTTCGCTAAAGCTTCCAAATTTGCCTTCCTCAGTTTTCGTAATGAATTTCTGGACCATTGATTGAATGTAGATGCAGAAGTGTTGAAGGGAGATTGAGTCAACAGCATTACCGTAGAAGCATATTTATAATTATAGCTTCCATGCCTGATAGGCTTCACTCGCAGGAAGGAAGGCGCTACGACATTCAATAGCATGGCAAGCAGAAGTGAATGAGTATTTTCTGCCCAAATTTTTTTTTTTTTTATATTTGGTCAGTGTGTCGGGAAATTTCGTCAATGCAAAATGGAGCAGTCCAAATCTTGTTTTGACGTTTAGCTTTCTTTTTCTCCTTCACATGTGTATAAAAAATGGAGAGTAACCACGATATTGTACATCATGTGCAAGAACATGAAGATTATAGCTCCTTGACGCGCGTCGTTGTGATTTGCTTGGACGAAGAAACTTGCGAATCAGTGTTCCAATGGTCTGTGCATAACTTCATCAATCCGCAACTGGATATGGTTATTCTAGTCAACGTGCGACCCAGCGAACATTTCACAACCCCATACGGAAACCAAACAGACTATCTGATAAAAATTGCGGAGAGACACAGAGATGAAAGTCATGCTCTATTGAAGAAATACGGCGCGCAACTGACAGCAAAGAAGGTGATAACCGGTTTTTGTTTCGTAGCACGATAGACAAACCCGAACCACAATTGACCAACATTGTGCAGATTGCTTGCAAAGCCATTTCAATGCACGGTGATGCACAGTATGAAATCGTGTCAAAGGTGCAGGAAGTAAAAGCCGACGTGGTCATTGTCGGATCTCACGGATCTGGCTTTCTCAAACGGTGCGTAACATACTTGCTATCTAATGAAACATAACGTTTGCCTTTAACAAGAAACACTCTTCGTACAGGACTCTGATAGGGAGTGTCAGCCAATACTGCGTAAATCATTGCGATTGCACTGTGATAGTGGCCAAAGTTCCTCAGACCACCCCGCAAGACACCTCATCAACAACATGATTGTACCTTGCAGGTATCTGTTAACTTGGGGGTGTGGAAACTTTACAATGATCTGACTAATCTGATTGGATTTTTTTCATTCAAATAAATTATATGTCAAACTATTTATGTTGATACAACTATGCTTTAATACGTACAATGCAATTGACTGGTATGATGGTGTATGGTATAAGGAAAATTATGCTATACTGGTATTCGTCTCTGAAACGTTTTGCAGAGTGTATTCGCCTATATCTGTATCACCTACCGGCTGATACACATGTCTATATAATCTGCTGAAATAGCCATACAGAAGATAAATAACGAAGCCAAAGGTTGATATTCCGCAAGCGAATATGGCAGCATCCAGCATGTAATCGACGATACATCTCAATGTATAGAGGATCCAATGATCGCCAGCAAGTGGATCTTCACTAGAAAAACCAGTGGTCCATACCGCCCCTTTTGATGTGTTGAAATTTGAATTAGGATGTTTCTTCAAGATAATGCTGTCCATGCTAGGACCATTCGCTTCTGGGTTATCCAAGGTGATGGAATTTATGTCTCGATCCAAATATAGTCCCATAGAGAATTCTTTGACAGCCTTAAGATCACCTATCTTGCGCAGATAAACATATGTCTCCTCTCCATCGTTAATACGCAGCCGTAAGCCCCATCTTCGAGTCCAATAGTCGCCACATAGGGACCAAGATAAGCAGTCCATATATCGTAGGGTAAGGGTATAGTGACCTGGGCCAGTGATATTTCGGAAGGTCAAAGAGCCAGACTCAAGCGGATGCACTTTTCCAATAGCGATTACACGTGCGCTGGAGCTACAAGCTGGACATCCGCCTTTTCGTCGCGATAATCCGGATACGACATTGACAAGGGCCTCCGCCTCGTATAAAGTTTGCTCCACGTCCTCTAACTTGCTAGTATCGATATCATTTTGCATAATTTCAGGCGGGTAATGGTTTTTGCTGGCATTGCTTGTTAGACTATCAGAATATGGTATGGAGGTACCATTTGTCAACTTCAGCATCGTGCATCCGTGCGGTGGGATCGGACTGGACAACCTAGTGTACAATAAATCGTCTTTAATACCGTTGACAGCTCCCAAATCCATCAAGATCAGCGCACTTACATCATTCCTTCTTTCATTTGAGATGTTTTACCCGTCCACAAGTCTTCAACTTGAATTTTTTCACCATAGTAGTCAACAATGGCATCTGTAAACGGGATTTGCCGCTCACTTTCACCATAGTTCACTATGACGACGACGACTGACCCACCGCTGAGAGGACCGGTCCATATATCAAGGTTACCAGCGACGTGTACTACTCTTCGAGCTGGAACACCAAGAGAATCTTGCTAGAATCAAAATTTTCACATCATGCACGCCAAGCGCCAAGACAGACCCGAGTCAGTAAATGTTGCATGATCGCTTTAAGAGCCATAGATTCATTCTTACGTTCACACTAATGACCTTTCTGTTGGTCAAAATGTCATAGATCATATCTGACATATGAGTGAGGTCATTACCAAGAATCAAAGGCGCCTTCATGGCTGCCCACAAGCTGAAGTGAGTTCGAGACTCCTCTATATTTAGAGCACCGTTTCCAACCTATACATTAAGTATATTTTGGTTAGCAAATCGCTATTATGGGGATCGTTTTTTTTTTTTTTTTGTCCTTTTTGAAACTCACCTCAAGCATATCTGCAGTTGAAGATAATGTCATGACAAGTTTGTTTAGTTTGATCAATTGGTTTCGTGCAACCCTGACAAAGTGATTCGATCAAATCATACCTGGGTCTGCCCAATGACCTGGACCTCCATATTGCACTACTTGTGCGTGAACATCCAATATCTCTAACACTGATTCCCAACTAGCAATAATGTCGTCGTGCGTTCGAAATGCATGGCCAATTTCATCAGCCCATTCCCAAGGATTTTCTATAATCATAGCCGCATGTCAGAAGCACTAATACCTTCGCGTCATAATGCGACAATGGTGTATCATTTACCTGAGCCCCAATTGCAAATTGAAAAGGTAATGTTTCGACCAGTCGCTTTCAAAGCATCTCCCATGCGCTTATACCGCTCTTTTCCGGATATACCGTCCCGAAAGTTGCAATTATCGTACTACCGCAACCAGTCAATAATGCTTATCTGCGAATTTGCCATTGTTAAAAAAGACATAATAAAATAAATACCTTTAGATAGTCAACGGACCAATTGGCATAGTTAATCGCATCGGATTCTTCGTGTCCCAAAGACGCCATGCGTCCTATTTGAATAGGTCCCGGGTAAATAAAAAACGCCTCCGATAGTAGTCTAATTTGGCAACCCAAGTGAAACTTTTTCGACTGCCATCTATTTTGCCCTGATAAACATTAAAAATGCTCTTACCTGCGCACGTCTGGTATCCAGCACTAGAGTAAATTCCAAAATACAATCCTGAATGACAAAGAAATATTGCATCAGATGAAAGCATTTCTTTATCTAAAGCCTCTGTCTTATTAATCACCTTTGCTGTGGACGTAATCTGCTACAGCTTTTATGCCTTCAGGGAAAGCATATCTGTCGACAATAATATTACCATCGTAGTCCCTATCGTTCGACTGCCAGCAGTCATCAAGATTCAAGTATCGATAACCTGCGTCGAGGAAGCCTAGGTGATGGCATTAGTCTAAATGTGAAGCTTGCATTTAGGTGGATGATAGCGTCGTCCAACCAACCTTTGCTGACCATTATATCGGCAGTTTCACGAATAAGCCTTGCTTCGATATTACATCCGTATTTGTTCCAAGTGTTCCTATGGGAAACGCGTATAAGTGAATTGCGATGATTTGTAAGGACTTTTCAAGTATTTACCATCCCATGGGTGGCGTGGAACTCAAACCGTCCATAAGTGCTGCCACTTGCAAAGGGAACAGAAGTGGTAGATATAAGATTGGAAGCATAATATTGATTTTGAAAAGAGACTTGAGTCTCGATTAAATAGTCACTATCTATCAAAATGTAAAGAAAGGAAGTCGGCACACAATCACCTTTTGAATACAGACTTTAAAAAAAAAAAAGGCTGGATACTCTGCGGACTTCAAAATTTGCTTGTGACCATCCCTTCGAATAGCATCTTGTTTCTGAATACGTATTACAAGCTTAATCAGAGCAGCTGCCCTGCTTACATAAAATAACAATAAAGCAAGAAACTGAATGGTATAGAAGACATTTAATTATTCATCGTTTTTCTATTGAGATTGAAAAAGACTGGATATTTGTTAAACTTCAGCACATATAAAAAGATTACGTGGCGTGGATTACTAAGTCTTGCCAAGGATGCATGCTTCACTAAAACCTCCATCTTTTGCTGGAGATCCATTTAATCCATTTTGCGCAGTCAACTACGGCTTTTTGTCGCCGGGTCTAAAGCCACCACTCCGATCGGTGCGAACACTACCTCGGTCAGCTGCCTGTCTGAAATCGTGCGTATAAGGCCGTCCAAGAAATGTTTCATGGTTGTTACTATTGGTATACATCATTTGCTGTTTCATTTGATAAAAAAAGATGTTGGGTACGCCGCTCAAAATGCTTTCGGTGTTGGTTGTATGAGCACCAAGTTAAAATCACACTACTTCTATATTGTTCGGAGCAGTATGCCGACAATGATTGCCCCGATAGCATTCATACATGCACAAATCGCAAACAACATGGTCATGGATATAGAGTCCACCTGAAGGATTAAAAGTCAGCGACACGAATTTGCCCAGCATGCGTATTCTATCCATTCCGTCTTACCTGCCATAGAATAGCGCACACACCAATGTTCATTGGAACACGAAGTAAAGACATTACAGCCGCACGTGAATCGTTAGGTATAAGATTAGCCTTCAGAGAAGACATGACTGGGAAATATATACCAACTGAGAACTCGAATACATGATAGGCAGGAATAAGGACTCTGACCTGCAATACAGTAGCAGGTTAATCGGTAAAACGGTTGACCCGAATTACGAAGCTGACTTTTTCTACTTACATTATTGGTCCATAATGTCATTGCCCCGAAGGAACCAGCCGATATCGCCAGAGTCAGGGAAAGTATTGTACCTTTTGTAATGGACCAGTTAAATATTGACTTTCCCCAGATCCGATTTTTCTGCGTCAGGACGCGGAATATTTGTGAACCAAGCATGACAGCCACCATAAGAGTAGAAAACAGGTAACCGAATGGCACGTAGTCATCTAAACACAATCAGTTTTCTCTCTTCGGTAGTCATACCATTTCGATGGAATAGCATTTGACTGACCTTGATTCTCAAGCGCTTGCTCTAATGCTGGGGTATATAGCAGAACAAATATGTACATGGAACATTCAAATAACGTTTGAGCGAGCCCTAGCGAGAAAATTCTATTGTCTGTTCATCATGCGATAGGCGTTACTTCCTGATAATGAATCTCTTGATGCGCGTCATTCGTTTACATAGCAGATATTAACTCACCTTGAAAAAGAACATTGAGCCCTTCAGCAATTGTCTCTTTCAGTGATTGGCCACCCTACAGATATTGTTAGCTTAACGAACTTGTACAGATACACTGATACATCTCTTACCATGTCTTTGGTTATTCCATAGTTCTCTTTCCAAAGTACACTTATTAAACAGGCTCCCATTATTGAAAAGCCAATTGCGACCATAAATGGAGCTTGGATGCCGAGTGAGTCTACTGCCCAATTGGCTACAATCCCCGCGAAGATCGCGCACAGGCCATTACCAAAGGTTGCGGTGGCGAATAACCTGTCCAGCAGTCTCGATGGAAGTCCTAGATCTTGATATTCAGCTACAAGCCAGGTTTCGAACACAGTGAACAACAATCCAGCAGATAGCCCAGATAGAAGATGAGACACCAACAGGATGGGAAAGCTAAAAGTTGCAATTCGCAAGAATAACGATATGGACGAAGTAAGACAGAATATTAAGCACATTTTCTTTCTTCCCCACGTATCTGCCAAACCTCCCATGGTGGTTCCTGCGATGGCTCCTGATACAAATCCTGTCATAAATAGATATGCAATAGCTTGCATTGTATACCCATATGACTGGTAGAGTTTGTAAAGATAAGGGCCTGCGCGATAGTTAGTATTTCTGAAAGAGGGATGAACATAGTGCAGATCTATAGAATACAGATCTATACAAAGCTTTTCTTACCTTGAAGCCAATCTGACACTGATTCGGGTCATGAATCGTTAGCACTGTCACATCTCAGTTTTGCAGGCACCGTGCAACCGTTACGTTCTTACCCATAACTGTATAATACACTACAAGGTACACATAACTGAGGCGGTTAAGCTGCTTGTCGTCACGATTGGGCCTGTTGCGTCTCAGTATAGATTCTTCATCGAATGACATGCCAGGATTGGAATTGTGTAGGGGGGACAGGTACTCTACAGTAGCGCGACGGAAGCCAAAATTAGCCATAATTATAAGGGGATAATTCCCAAAATCAACTTCGAGAATCATTACTTATTTTCTTCGTTTCTCGAATGATTATTTGCTCTGCTTAATTTTTTCATTAATGCAATCGATAACGGAGCAAGCTGAGCTATAGCTCTCAGTAGCGAGAGAGAGTATTGACCTTGCTTGCACCATGAAGTTTCTGACACTTGGGTTAAAGTAGTAATTTCATCAGGCTACCATGAACACCAATGTACAATTTATTCAGCATACGCAAACAGCCAATAAATCTACTCACAATTGTGCTATAAGCTACAGAGTCTGCCTTAGGAAAAACCATATGCCTCGACCAATGTTTACATATTCATAATTTTACTTTCTCATAATGGTATCCCATCACCAAATACAATTTAAACGGACGAGGAAATGGTTGAAGTTGGCATGAAAAGTCTTCCTACAAAATGCTATGTTGACTTTATAGCTTCTATGTTGTATTTCTATTTATCCAGCCTTAGAGGGCTAATAGAAAACCAGTAATATGGCTGTGGACTTACAATAGGTGTATCGAACGAGTCTATATCGAGGCCCTTCGGATAAAGGGGAATCTAAAAGAACGCAATTTTTTGTAGAAAATGAGGAAACATCAAGGTATAATGCGTACGTTCGCCAGCAGTCGGTGTGATCGGTCTGACGTTCAGATCGCTCGGTTTCATGGTCAACTCAAAATAAAGTCAGCAGATCTGACCATTATCATTAAAGCCTCTACCGACTTTCTGGACTCTGTCACACTAGAGGAAGTAATTATGCTGCAATACATACTATATCTTATTGAAATTCTCTAGAGTGACAACCTCTACATTTACAACTTGAGGTATATTGTTAGAGAGGTGAACTCTATGACGTTCGCTAAAGATATTGCATTAAAGCATGAAAGAAGACAACTCCGGTAAACATATAAACATATATTTTATCCTAAAAAGCGCATTGCTTAGTTCGATGACATCTTTCTTTGCCGAATTTTATTTATCTCTTTCAACAAACTACTACTCCAGCTTTCTGATTAGCTTAATTCAATAGATTGTATGCCTATAAAATACTTGCTTATAGCAACTGTACCTACCGCCTCAGTCTATGACTGATTGAAAGAGAGCTAATCCTTTAGAGAGATTCGATGCATAAGGAAAATATGCCGTATGTAGCATTATTACCATATGGAATTACTCGCGGTACCATACCCCGGATTGTTATGAGGACTGGAAACCAGCGACTTTCCCTCGTTATTTTCATTTCTTTTCTTTTTATTATTGTAATCTTGCATCAAGCAGGGCGAGCATATATAAAAGTCAGCGTGTAAATTGATTAAAAATACCATTGGTTAAATGCAAAAATAATGAGAGGTTTCTGAAGGAAAGTGATTTAAAACATGAAGCTATTCAGGCGGATCTATTTTTCCATATAACCCGCGGCTGTGGGAAGTATGATGCAGCTGTGTTCAATGTGGAAGATCGATGCTTTTTTCCCGAGTATTTTTTCCCGAGTACAACGTTTATTACAATGAAGGGAAAGCTTAAATTTTTGCACATACTTGTACTAGACTTTGATTGGGTTCTTATATAAGATAATGATTTAATTTTTGTTTCAAACATCGCATCAAACCTAATGAAGTTGACCAAGTTCTCAATTCTCGCTGCAATCTCGCTGGCTATCACAAAATGTGGGGCTGTCAACGTTACAATCTCAGATGATACTTCTAACGGCATCAAGATTGATCCCGCTTTGGTCTCCTTCAGTATCGAGCTGGACCGCTGGCCAGATTGGGTAGGATCTTTGGGGAGACCGAACAAGTACACGCAAACGGTTCTGAAAAATGTTCAAGATAGGACAGGTTTTCCATCAGCTTTTCGAGTTGGCGGCAACTCTGAAGACAATGCAGTGTATGATCCACGTTTTCAGTATGTAAATGCTACTTTCCCGCCAAAGACGGATATTAAGCCTTGGCCAGAGGCTAGTAATATCAGTATTGGAAGGGACTTCTATCGTCTCTCCGGAAACCTGCTAGCAGGCACAGAGTTCACTTGGGGTGTAAACCTGAAGTATAGGAATGTAACGATTGCAGTGGAGGAAGCGAAGGCGATCATGGCCACCTTCAAGACTCTTCATCATGTCAGCCTATCCATGATTGAAATTGGCAATGAGCCAGATTTTTATTATACATCGGCACAAGCCTATGCAGATGAGTACGTACATAATGTTATGTTTACTATGCTGAAGCTCATTCGATATCGGATCTTACTGACGTTTCGTCTTGTGTAGTTGGCTGGAGATGGCAAATGCCGTCTCTGAAGCTGTGCATCTTGTCAAAGGTAAAAAGCCAACTTTGCAGGGAGCAGCCTTTGCAGGCACAAGCATAACAATGAGAAACTTATTGAGCACTGGATATGCCACCAATGGTTCTGGAGAGCTTTTAAGCACACTGTCTCAGCACCGATATCAAGGATCGTTCTGTCAAGGATCTGGAGGTTTGATCGCGGACCTTATGAATAAAAATCATATACGCGGAAATCTCTCCAATTATAAACCGGATATTGTTGCCACCAACAACGCCGGATTAACTTATGTGATGGTAAGCGGCGATCTCATTACAAAGGCAGTGAATGAACTCTTCAAATTAATTACTTTAACATCTAGGGTGAAACAAATTCATACGCATGCCACGGTGCACCTGGTCTTAGTAACACGGCTGGGGCAGCCATTTGGGGTGTTGACTACGTATTGCAAGCCGCCAAAATCAACATGACAAGATGTTATTTCCACAACGGCATTGGGTACAAGTACAACTTCTTTCAACCTATAGCTGGTGTTGGCGATGACGGTGTCAACAAGTCAAGTGTTCCACATATTATGCCACTTTACCATGTCTTACTTATTGTCGGTGAAGCCATTGGTAACTCGGGTAAAAGTACTCTTCAGGAACTATCAATTGACGAGACAAATGTATCAGGATATGGTATTTATGAACACGGCAAGCTAGAGCGCATTGTTCTGATCAATAGCAATCTGTACTTGAACACAGACAGTCAAAGACCTGTTGTAACTGTCAGTTTACAAAACTTACCTACCAAGGCGCGCATACAAGCCAAACGATTCACGACTCCTTCAGCCGATGCAACTCATGGATTAACGTGGGGTGGCCAATCGTTTGAAACGTCTTCTGGTTTGCCTTCTGGTCGAGTCGTAACTGAGACCGTGTCAGCCTCCAATATTACTATCAGCGCAAGTGAAGTAATTTTGCTTTCAATCCATTGATAGCTTTTCCAAAATACATACAACTTGGAAAAAAAAGTTATGCTCCAAATATTGGTAATGAATGATTTAATAAAATGACAGCTCACTTGTCGAAAGGTTGGAATGCTATTGATTATGATACATTGAACTATGTGGTAGTTGGCCACAGTGAAGCATGCGGCTGAGGTGGCTTCACAAAATTGATCTGTCTCTGTTATCTACACTATGTCCTGTAAGCGGAGGTCAAGCTCCTCTACAAATCGTCATACGATAGTACTTGTCGACCTCTTCCAAAAGCTCTAGGATCCATTTCTTGCTGAGTGGGGATAGTGCTGGAATGGGGGTGTCGGTGGCTTTCTTCTTGCGCAACCACTCCGTCTAAGGATTCAGTCATAAATTAGTCAACTACACTACTATTTGACGCTTATTTGATACAGTCTGTTCTTTTCTTACCTTCATCCTTCCAAGGCACATTTCCAAAACCGACTCGATTTCTTTCTGGTATCTTCGCACGGTTGACTGCAAGTAGTGAATACGGTTAAGAAAAAATTCATTCTGTCAAGGGTAATGAAGTGAAGCAAAGCTTTTACCTTTGATCCTATATCTACCAAGCTTTACACCATCCATTCTTTTGATGGCATAAAGTGCACTTTCTGTATCGTCGTACGTGATGAACGCAAAGCTGTGGGTGACTAAGTAAGAAACATGCTATACATCCATTATGTACCTCATGTGCTACTTACTCTTTTCCATCCACAGTTTTGATATCCTCTATGCGCCCAAAGGCAGAAAATGCATCTTCTAGTTGATCTTTGTTCACTCCGACCAAATCGCCAACATAGATCTTGGAAGGAAAAAACTCGGTGTCTATGTAACGTGCAGCAGCGGTATATGGCTATGATATGAGGTAAATCATTAGTAAATTAGCTCTGTGATAAGAGCACGAGTGCAGAGCCCGTCAACTTACATCACGATGCCTGTTGCCATGGCTGCGCGAACGGCTTCTGCTTCGAGGGGATCGGCTTCGACTAGAATATCGCCCTCTCGTGCCACTATGATGTACTTGGCCGTCTTCAGAGTGACTTCTTCTTCTTCGGCGTGGGTGACGATCATAGTCACTGTCATTTTGGCTATCATTGTCCGATTCTTCATGTTGGCCTCTACGACCGTCAGCACTGCTGTAATGCTGACGTCTCCTCTTGACTCTGCCGAATTCATCTACTTCTTCCTCATCTGTTGACTCTCTTCTGCCTCCTTCATCCTTCGGCCTGAAATCGGAGCGGGCTGGAACTTCCCCACATTCGATTGATCCAGTATTACCTGTCGATGACAGTACTCGCTGACCTGCATTGAAGTTTTCCGCCGACGATGCCTTCTGTTTTAGGCTCTGACCCTGATTCTTCACTTCCAATTGCTTGACGGCAATTGATTCTCCATTCAGACTCTCTGGCGATGGCATGTGTTGACTAGGTTGTTTTAAATTAGATTCTGTTACGGCCTACAAGATTTGCGACGCACTTGATTTGAGCATATTTTGCCTTACCTTGCATCGGAAGCAAAGTTAGTGGTTGCGTTCGTCAGCGTCGTACCCAACGTAGTACTGGATTCAGCAGTAGGACTACTATCCTTTGGCTGTTTGGAGGTGGAATTGGGCGAGTCATTTCGAGCCATTGCAGTGGCTAGCATATCGAACGTCGAAAGCTGCGGCTGCCCGCTTTTATCGGGAGAAACGTTCGTCTGTTTCTGTAAGGGCTCATGAGAATACCATTCTGAATGCCTATAATTGAGCCTTTATATTTTACCTTTAACTGCTGGAGCCTTTCCTTCTTCTCACGAAGTCGATCCATTCGTAAAGCTATGTCTATTGCTGCAGGTGGAACTTTCTTGGAAAAAAAAAAAAAAAAGGGCTATTGCTGAATCGTGACTGCTAAACATCTCTCAATGGCCCAACGCTGCATTTTGCCTCTCAACGCAGCCCGTGAGTGACTTTGGAACACCAAAGCACCAAAGCATCAAAATAATATAACAAAGCGATTCTTCCATATTTTGAAGTCTGTAAAAAAAAAAGAATCGTACATCGTTTTTGCCCGTTTTAAGACCCTTTAATGATATGCAGCTTGGATTTTGCCAGATTTATGGCTTTGCGTACGCATTTTAAATCTTTATTCAATCCCTCTAACATCTATATCATGGGCAAAGTCCATAATAAGAATAGTTTTATCTTGACTAACGCTGACTATTTTCGTAGCACTGAGCATAACGTCAAATACCCAACTTGAATGTCCACTCTGGAAATTTAAAAGACAGGCACCTGTTCGAATATCCCAAACGCGGACACTTTGATCGTAACTGCCGCTCACAATCTTTTCATCATCAAAGTGAAGGGCTCTGACCAAATCTGTATGACCTTCACAAGTCATGGTGCATTCGCCAGTATCTAAGTTCAAGGGTCCTGTTAATGGAAAGCCTGCCAAGCATAAATCGAATGAAAAAATGTGTATCATTACCAGCATCCCAAACTTTGATGCACTGGTCATTGGAGCCGCTGACGATTCTTTTTCCATCAAATTGAACGCAGGCAAGACCTCTGACATGGCCAGAGAATTGTCGTATGCATTCGCCAGTGTCAGTGTTCCACATTTTAATCAAGGCGTCGCCGGAGCCTGACACGAGCCTATTATCACGCAATTGCACAGCATTCACTGGTCCACGATGGCCTTGCAGAGTTCTAAGCGAGATGCCAGTCTCCTTGTCCCATATTCGAATGGTGGTATCTTTGGAACAACTGATAATGTACTTTTCGTCAAAACAAACATCTAGTACTCCGGCGCTGTGCCCTCTTAATCTATTGCGAGGCTTGAAAGTCTCCATACTCCATACTAAGATGGTGCAGTCGGATGATCCGGAGATCATGATATCTTTGTCGTATTCCAAACATAGAACACTTTTATCGTGCCCATTCAAGGTTCTTATACATTTTCGTGTTTCCATGCTCCATAATTTGATTGTGGTGTCTCTACTACCGGTTACGATTTTTTCGGTATCGAATTGGACACAATATATGCTGTCAGTATGGCCTAAAACGCGGAGATAGAAATGTTTATCAGCCGTAGGACACAAGGGGGGATGAAATGGCACGAGAGGAGGATCAGCAGTATATAGCACGTTGTGGCATGTACAATTGGGAAAAGTAGTTCCACCAACCTGTCAGATATGATGTTGTAACAGCTCCCTTTCGCCAGCGGTCTGCAATTCGCATTTGTCGGATATATAGATCTCGGTAGTCGACCCAGCCAGCGGACTGCGGGGTTTTCTTCCAGGAGCTTTGTAAGGTATATTTTCGTTTCCAAACCAAGTTGTCTCGACAGAGATGATGCCATCGCTTGGAAACGAGAGATGCGGAAACTAATGAACGCACGTCGTCGAGATGCATCAAAATATGACATGCTAGTTCTTGCGGTAACTGTGCCATAAAATCTAAGGTAGGAAATTTAGGTAGAATGGAAATTAGCGCCAGTCTGAACTCAGATGGTAGGTAACGTCGAAGGAGGAAAGGGGAAATTGTTCACGAACCGACAGTGGACTCATGAAATGATGGTTTTGCAACTTGAAAGAAGCCTTCATCGATTCTCGCTGATCGATCCACAGCTGCGACAGTTAGAGCCAAGGTATCTGGTGAGTTCTTCGACCATGTTAAAGACGTACTCCCCCGTGTCTCTGTAGGGGTTATGGTGCTGAGTGGCGGACATGACAGTGATGTTGGAAGGGTATGAAATACATGAGGTGAATGCTTTGAGGAAGGCGAGTGCAATGAGCGGTGGAAATAGCGCCACACCTTTTTTAGTGACAAGGGAGAGGCAGTCTTAGAGGTAGAAGGAGAAGCTGCTGGCGGGGACGACGTAACCCTTAATAAGGTCATAGTTTCTTCAGAAGCAGTGTATTATGTTGAAGGGGAAAGAGAAGGCAAGGCACAAAATGATGTTGAAGAAAGGAAAGGCTTTTTATGGATTCTGTTATGATTCGTTGCCTGATCAGCATCAGCCAAACGGAGGTTATTTGCCGAATTGTACTGTAAATAATGGGGTTATTTTTTCAGTCTGCTCTGCTCTGCCTGCCCGTGCCTGCTGAAAGTCTTCTGAGTCCCACCTTTACGTCTTCATTTCTGAACTCAAGATATAACCCATCGGATGACCCATCCGGATATTGGTTCGTCTCAGCCTCCGGCGCCAGATCAACCTACTGCCGACACTCCAATCCAACCGCCATCCCCATCCCAATCGCCTCCTCTTAGCGTTAAATCAGAAAGACGACACAGTGTCTTAGGTCATACCGCTCGGCGATCGTTTGGAGGCTCAGATGGTCTCAATTTATTACGACTACCTTCGCATCATAACCAATCTTCTGCATCCGTTAATTCACAAGCAGAAGTTTATACCTTCAATAATATAGACGACTTTGACATAAAAAGCCCAATAGGTGAGTCTTGACTCCAATGCCTGTACCTGTTGTGTATTGAGGCTGAAGTTGCTTTTATTTACTCTGCTCTTTAGGATTTGGTTCTTCAGCCGTGGTGTATGGCGCTGTTTTCAAGCCATTGAACAAGCGAGTTGCTATTAAGATGATTGATTTGGATCTATTTGAACGAAACCAAATCGATGAACTACGCGTGAGCATACCCAATCAAAGCATTTGATGCCAGCATGATCAAAGTCAAACGAAGAACTCGCAAAGTAACTCGCAACTGACATTTTAGAGAGAAACAGCCCTCATGGCCCTTTCAAAGCACCCTAATGTTCTCAGGGTATATGGATCGTTTGTTCAAGGCTCCAAGTTGTATATCGTGACGCCTTATTTGTTTGGAGGTACATTTAGCTCACATTTCAAACATAATCCCCCCTATCTTTACATCACTAACTAAGGAATATAAAATAGGATCCTGCCTTGACATCATGAAAACAGCATATCCAGAGGGGTTAGAAGAAATTAGCATCGCGACAATATTGAAGCAGGCTCTCGAAGGATTGATCTACCTTCACAAGAACGGCCATATCCATCGGGATGTCAAAGCCGGTAATTTACTAATGGATGATGATGGAACCGTACTTTTGGCAGACTTTGGTGTATCTAGTTCGTTGGTAGAGACAGGAGAACGTGGCGGTGTTCGGAAAACATTTGTCGGCACAGTAAGTTCAGAATATCTTCGGTCACAATATCTGTAAACAGGTGTTGATGACAGTTTAAATTCATACTAGCCATGCTGGATGGCACCTGAAGTGATGGATCAAGCCGGATATGACTATAAAGCAGATATTTGGTCATTTGGTATCACTGCTATTGAACTTGCCACGGGTCATGCTCCATTCGCAAAGTATCCCCCTATCAAGGTTAGTCATGTGCCAATCTTTGTGAACTTCCCTTATATTAGTCTAACTAATTTATTTAGGTATTGATGATGACACTTTCAAATGATCCTCCTACGCTGGTTCGAGAAAATACCAAGCACAAGTATTCCAAGACTTTCAAAGATATGATAGATCTTTGCCTGTACAAGGATCCTGCAAAACGGTAGGCATCTACAATGTTTCCAACTATAGAATTTGTTTGTGGAAAAGGCGTACGTTAACAAATAGTTGCCCACATATACCAGACCAACTGCGGAAAAATTGCTTCAGCATGTATTTTTTAAACAGGCAAAGAAGAAGGACTATCTTGCCAAAGGTCTCCTCTCCACGCTGCCAGCCTTGGAACTACGGACACACAGGAAGATACCCCAAAGGCACCCCACTGTAACCAAAACAACCACATGGGACTTTGATGCTGATGATCTTGATAGTAGCATCAGTGAGCCCCTAGATAGATCTCAGAATGCTACTGACGAGAAAGCTGTTGAAATTGAGGAACCGGAAAGCAATAATAATGCTGAGATGAAGTCTCCAGAAACTGAGGAGAAGAAAAAGCATATATCGTTTGGAGATGTAGTGGTTCGTAATCCACCACAACCTCATATGTCCCCAAATGCTGCAGCACATTCGCCCCCTCTTAGCTCGAGCCCTAAAGAAAGCTCAGAGTATTCTCCTATTGTTCCAACCATTCCCAAGAAATCCCGCTTCATTATTCAGGAGACTATTACTCCTCGGGATGGCTGCGAAATACCCAGTGCTCATTCATACAGTGGTAGCCCTCATCCACTAGTTTCCCCGCTTTCCGATTCTATTGGACGAGACGATGATTCCAATTCATTATTACTTGGACTTGGAATGACAAATTCTATGACACCTCCTCCATCGACAGCACCCCAAGATGTACCAGTAAAGAAAGGTCGCTTCAGCGTCAATTCCACACCAAGACACTCAATATCAGGTGAACCTAATTTCACCCCACCAAATGAGCTTCATAAAGATTTAAGCTTGAGTAGAATTAACAGCCAAGAAACCATTGGTAAGAGACCATAACTGAGTAAATGCACATTGGAAAGAATGTCTCTAACCATTTTCCCAGACCGAAAATCAAGATTTGAAATTATGCATAACCAGGTTCCTGGGTCACCAAATTTACCCCCAATACCAAATCCCACGACTCCTAATGCTCGCTACGAAAGTTATCCCTTATCTAGAGAAGGATCCCTCCCTCTATCTGGAGCTTCGTTACATAGGGAGGCCTCAGCCAACGCTCGAGTCAGCCGATTTTCTGTTGTGGAAAGGGAGCCCGATAATAAGGAAGAGCGAGATGTTAACCGGGAACAGAGTCGAGACCAAAGCCGAGAAAACAGTCGGGAACGTAACCTTGCTAATGCGAGCGCAAGCGATATTCTGCAGCTACCATCGCATCAACATACTCCCTCTACAGAATCCAGAAAGATTGGTAGATTTGAATTGACCTCTGGCGGGCCCTCCAGTCTTGAGGTCAAAGGAGCGGATGGTAAACTATTGATTTCATAGAGATATGTTTATCAGATTTCCTACAACAATTAAGCATTTATTTCATAGGGTTGCAGCACTTGTATGACTCCACTTCATCACATTCTTCTTTCTCTGGCTCGCCTACTACTTCTCCTTCATCCTCTGTATCTAGAGGACAATCCTCAAGATTGCTTGACCCACACGCTGTGTCAACAATCACTAATCAATTGGAGTTGCTTTGGAAGCAAAATGAACTACAACGACATGTCATTCAAGACCTGATGTTTAATATCGGTCTAGCCAATCAATTGCAATCCACCCGCAGTAGAAGTGTTTTGGAAATGTCGAAGGAAAGGTAATCAGGAACGTTTTTAGGTTGAGCATTACCTACCCAAATCAGCCTAACGCCCATATGCTTCTCTTCACACAGACCTGGTTCTCAAGATGTCATTTTAAGTATAGTAAGTATTTATGCACTGTAGTATCTCAGTTTTTCCTTGTAAGTGGCTCACATCGTCTTTAGGAATCGCTGAACCAACAAATGGATCTCTATATTCGAGAAAATGATACGCTTCGTCGCGATAATGACAATCTGAAACGGGATATTGAGCGACTCAGAAAGACTGTGCAAGCCGCACCGGCAACGAATAGCCGCTCAGGTACTTTGCCTCCTTCTCAGGACCCTGCTGCTTCGACGCCTCAAAAGTGAGGCTTAATAGTAGATATCTCTGAGGGTAGTCCGTTGCCTTAAACACATCTTACTATATTCTTGATAATCCCTCAATTATAATATATAGAAATGTATTGCCCGTGATGATAGATCATGAATTACAAATATTATATATGCAATACATACCACCTACTTTTCTCTAGCCCGATACATCTTTGATTGTTGACTCGCGGTTGAATGCGTGCTGGTCTATTATTCAATACATAGAGAACAGGCGCACAGCACCATCAGCTACAGCTTTTTATATTGGCGCTGCATTTCACAATCAGCAGCGGTATGTGCGTGCGTGGTTCCAATTCATCCAAATTGTCCCTTCTCTCCGTCACAAGTTAATACACAAATCATCGACCGAAACGATGCTTCATCAGCGATGGATCGCTTGCCCGAGATCGCATCTTGTTTACAGCTGACTTTTCAGCCATCTACCGAAGCTTCGACTGTAACCACCCCGCATGTTCCCACAAGTCACACCTTCTTACCAGTGTTATGTGCATTAGTGAGATAAATTTAGCATAAGACTGTGGAAAATTACATCTGATCTCGTAAATCACTTTCAGTATGTTGATAACTTCATTCCAAAAGCTACTCTATACGATTAAAACCATGGATCCTTACAACATCTGACCGACTTGCCAAGATGGTGTAACAGATGCTAATGGCCTGTGTAAAACATTAATCAAGTAATGAACATATATGTCTTTCATTGTAGGCTATGTCCGAGCTGTTGAAACTCCTCTCCATCCATGTATCACACGCCTCCGCTTGAAATTTCTTCAAATTGTTTAAACATATTACCGACTGAATGTCTTACTGATTATGTTCCTGGAGTATGCAGATGACGTTGTGTTTTTTAACAGCAACCAATTAAGCGTACGCTTAAAAAGATTCACTTCCTTAGTGCCAATTGCATACCACCTCCACCATTTTTTAACCGACCATGACTCCGTGCGACTCCGCATCTTACCTAGGTTTACCTTCTGTACGACACATAGAAACTACAATTACCGCTGTACATAAAAGGAAGATAGTTGACAAGACTCGGCATCTCTTTCTACTCCACAAACATGTCCCCCACCTCCACACTAACCACTCAAACACTGGCAGCAAGCTGGCAGCGAAATGGGACCATTGATCTAATTAACAAGGAACTCCCTCCAATTGCACCTGGTCAAGTTCTTGTGAAGGTCGCAGCGTCTGGTTTGTGCGGTACTGATCTGCACATATGCAGAGGCGAAACTCCTCATGCTGCTCAAAAAGTTATTATAGGGCACGAATTGTCTGGCTATGTTCATGCCATTGGTGAAAATACTGTGACTGGTCTCAAAGTCGGCGATCTGGTTGCGGTGGATCCCAACATTCACTGTCACGCTTGTACCTACTGTCGAAACGCCAAACCTCATCTTTGCCAGGCTCCTCAAGCTATTGGAGTTACCACCGACGGTGGTATGTCACAGTATGTGAATGTCCCGGTCAGTGCTGCATATAAAGTCCCCGAAGGTGTTTCAGCAGAAGTTGCAAGCTTGGCTGAACCGCTGTCCTGTGTCGTCCATGCCGTTGACATGGGCAACATTACAAGTGGATCCCATGTCATTGTTTTGGGAGCTGGTCCCATTGGCACTATGACAGTTGCACTGGCCGTTAGTAGCGGTGCTCGCGTTACTGTCGTCGATCCTCACGAGTCCAGACGTAAAGTCGCCAAAGAAACTTTTGGTGCTGCAGTCACATTAACACCCGAACAAGCCAAGGACATCAAGGAAAGCTTTGACGTTGTATTTGAATGTGTAGGAAAGCCAGATGCAATGCAGCAAGCTGTCGATATGGCCAAGGCAGGCGGTACCATCGTATGGGTCGGTGTGGCCAAAACTGAAGACAGAGTGTCAATTTCACCTTTTGAAGTCTACCGACGTGAATTGACCATCAGATCAAGCTACACAAACCATTTCTCCATGGAACGCGCTCTCAATTTGCTGGCAAATGACCAAATCGACTGGAGTCAACTCATTTCTCATACCTATTCGTTAGAGCAGTTTGATACTGCCTGGAAGGTATTCCAAAGCAAGACTGGCATGAAAATCTGTGTAAAGCCTTGAAGCGATCTTCAATATACTTGTGATAAATGACAATTGAAAAACAAATATGTAGTATCTTGATAATGGATATATGTGGATGGACTTCTAGAGAATTGGTATGTAGCGAATAATGAAATCTCTATGTGTTATCTCAATTAGATGGCTCGAGATAAATTTTTGTTGGAAAAGGCAACTGCCAAAATTGTTACAAACCGTTTGATCATGCTCTTAAGTCATATAAAATCTGTCGTTATACATCGAGAAAAACCTATATAGCAGCATTCGTTTACGCCTTATGCATTCCCTATTACTATATCAAACTGCAAGATTTGAGCGGGATTCGGAGGGTTCTGTGTAAATGACAAGTACCTTCGCTAGAGGAGAATTGCCTTGGAGTAATTGTGCTCTCAAGACTTTATTATTCAATTATGAAAATAGCGCTATCAAGCCATTGCGCTTTGAAGTGTTATTGAGGGACCTATGGGCTCATTTCAGCATGTCGGGCATGCTTAATGTGAAACATCGTAACTGGAACTTCCGCTTCATAACCAACGGTGAATATTCTGTACCTCCTCTCCTGAAGCCAACAATGACGACTCTCACACTAAAGTTTGAATACGCAATCTGATGAAATTGAAAACATCTATGGAACTAACAGTGACCTTTTGTTATCATTTGGCAGAGCTGCTGTCCAGATGGTTACCGTAATTGTGACAAGCCATAAAGCACAGAACAGACTGACACAGCGTGACTCTCATATCATGCGCACCGGACGGAAATATGAAATATTCGAAACATCGATGATTCCTTTGACGCTTTTCTTTCCAGAACTCTCTTACATTAGGCATTATGGCAGGCTTAGGAGCAACATGGAGTATGATGGACCCCACCATGCGTATATCAAAAGACAAACCGAGCATGCATCTACCAGTTTTAGAAATCCCGAAACTCGACGAAGATGATATAAGGTTATCCTTGTCATCGCCAGTTATGCCTTCATCGCCATCACTCTTTAATACAGCTTTCGATGCGTGGCCCAGTAATAGCCCAGATTCTTCAGTAATGGTCAGCTCCCCAAAAAGCGATGAGCTTGATGCCACTGAGCAACCGAAGAAAGAAAACGATACCCCACCAGTTTCAAAGCGCAGTAAGAAGCGAAACGCCAAAAAAGCTGCAGCTGGTGCAAACAACATGGATAAATCCGATGCTCCAGAATCCAACGCAAATGGCCCAAATCCTAACGTCGTCATTGAATCGTCCGGCGACAACTCTGCATCCAAGCGCCTCTCACCACCAAAACGTACTAATAGTCTTGAGGTTGGAAACCATGTACGGAACCTATTGAACGCCGAAGAAGTCCAAGGAGCCGTTCACGTTTTGCAGGAAGCTGCAAAACATCTTGATATGTCAGAAATTGGCAATGAGGATCCACAGGAACTAGCGTCGACTTATTCAAAGATCCTGCTTACACTTTGTGATCAGAAGATCTTGGACCTGGTAATGGATATATGCAAGTGCGACGACATCATCGACAGTATCATTTGGAAACTGTTTTCAAAGGTTGTTGCAGCAGGATATACCATGGATAACGAAGTTTATACGACCTTGGCAAATCTGTTTGTGCAGTACGATCATGTTGACCTCGCTCAGCAAGCTATTTATTCTTTGCCTCGACAACAGTGGGACACCGAAATATATAAAATAGCCATCACTCTCCATCTCTTAGCTCAACCCAGGGAGATACTTCAAATCGAGACTTTGTTATCTGATTATGGAGAACCTTCTATCGAAGTATTGAATCCCATAGCACCAACGAAGTTGCCACCAATTCAGATTAAGACTCCTCTCATGGACAACGTAACTGTTGATGACAAGAAATTACTCTTCTCTTTTTATCAGACGGCTCTGGATAGCAGTGGATGGGGCCGAGCCAAAGAAATTTACGAAAATGACTATGCGGAAAGACAAGGACGGCGACGCAGTATCGCAGCTGAGCAGCCTACGGCTCGTCGCAAAGGAATGATAGACTGGATTATCAGTGGGACGGAGAAAATGATGATTGATTCAAAAGACAGCGAGAAAAATGCTACTGAAGAAATTCAAAACGATAACTCGATGCTGTATATTGCTATTTGTAATTTACAATACGAATACGGATGGAAGCTGTTCGAATCCATGGGTAAAAATGTTGATCGCCACACAGGACGAATGATGATGCGCCTCTGTCGTTGCGCCTTTAATGCAGCTCCCGTAACCAGCGTATCGACCAGATTTAATTGGGAGCAGCGCGCTTGGAGAGTGTATGCAGTCTTCATGATGTCTGAACACTTTGACGTGCAGCGCGAAGAAAGCCATGCGTTTCTACGAGATATTTTATTTATCTGCGCCAATAGCACGGAACGTGAGGATAATATACGATACTCTAAAGCTATGCAAGTGCTCAAGCTTTTACGAAGAGAGAAATTGTATCAAATGATTGGCAACGAGGACGTTATGATGCCGATATTCTGTATATTACTAGAACAATGCCACGGAGTGCCTGACGTTGTCGTCACACAATGTGAAACAGCATTTTCACTATGGAAGGAAATGCAAGAAGCCAATATTAAACATCTCAAGGAAGTACAGCCGCCATCACAATCATTCTGTTGGATGATGTTATTATTCATCTTCTTGTCTGGAAAAATGGCCAACTTCCGAGATGTTTTAGTCTGGATGCAGGATATGGAGCCCTCGGAATCACTAGTTGCTCCCATCCAATATCTGCATGACGCTTTCCTAAATTGCAAGATACCAGACGACGCTCGCTGCTACTTTTCCGACTACATGTATCACGATACCACTATTGGTACTGACGCGGTGGCACAGGAACCTGATGGCCACAACATATCCATCAACGAAATGGGATTCAAGCAAGGCACCAACTCTTGTTACACCGAACGAGAAGGTCCAACGTATGGAGACCCGATTGCTCATGTCAAAAACGCATACAAAATGAGAAGTACTATTTCGGACACAAATGCTGTGCATGTTGCTAAGTTTGCTGCTCTCGGACCGCTTGTGGAAGTCTCATTGGAATATCGTTCGATGCATTACTCAAGTAGAAAAGCAAAAGCGTTGATCAGGCATTGCTTTATGGCATCAAAGAAGTAAATTTGGCGCCGTTTGGAAGGTCAGAAAATTAGCACTAGCTATTTTAAATTTTGTTACTTAACTACAGGATAAAGTGAATGTACAGTTATTAGAAGTACAGTGGATAAGAATGATGGTAGTTAGTGTGTAAAGTGGTAAAAAAGGCAAAAAGGTTGAACTGGTCGCCAATAAGATCTTAGGCTTGCTCAGGCATCGGTTGTAGCATAGGAGGGCTGTAAAATAGAGGCAGTGATTAATGAAAGAGAGCACAAAAGGTAACCCCAGTTTTTGCACAGTTTTTACAAACCTAGGTCTTCGGCCAGTCTTCTTTGCAGCCGCTCTCTCCCGAGCCAGCGGATGATCAGCGGGGGTTAATAGCTAGAGCACAATCAGTATCAAGATGTATAAAACACTATTCCATATACTCAAGGTCAATAGTTACCTCAAATGAACACAATAAGTCTTCATTGACACCCATGATGGCACCAAAATTATCAAACTCGCCGCAATAGTTGGGTGCCGAAAAGACAGTAACAAGCGACCGATCACCGAAAAACTCGTATCCATCTTCCACAACCATATGAGCACGACATACTAGCTCAAAGTCGTTCTTCACTAAGAACGCATCGATGACGCTCTTTCCAAAGCAGTAGCTAACCCCTCTATCACTGTCTTCCCATTCAACTACAGTCTCTGAAGGATCCGACCATAACAAGTCGTTTAGTAAACCGTAATCGGGAACATCTGTAGGACGTTCAATTGCTCTTATATCATCCATAGAATGCAGTGAGGGGCTAAGAAATGGTAAAATCAGGATGAGAGCTCTCAGTATATGGCTTGATCACTCGATGTGGCTATCTTACCTAAGCCCCCCGTGAACGCAAAAGATTTTTCCTGCTATTAAAGCAGCTATGGGCATGGTATTAAAACAGTCGCAAAATGATTTCCAAATCTTAACGTTGCACCTTCTCTTGCATTCATCATAAAAACCGTAAACTGTAATTGAACATACATATGCAAAATGAGTACCAGAACAAATCTCATAGCTGTCCCTCAAGTTACCGGTACTAACCTCTAGTGACGTTGGCGCACTCGTGATTTCCTCGTAACAAGAAGAAATTTTCAGGATACTTGATCTTGTAGCATAAAAGCAGTAAAATGGTTTCCAAGCTTTGTTTCCCTCGGTCTACATAGTCTCCCAGGAATAGATAATTGGAATCAGGCGGAAATCCGCCCTAAGAAGAGTTTTAGTCCATGTTGTCAGATTTAAAATACAAGAAGACATAGAGCAAGACATACCATATCAAACAGTCTAATCAAATCCGAATATTGGCCATGAACATCGCCAACCACTTTAACAGGAGGTGAAAGTTCGAGCAGTGTCTAATGAAAAAAAAAAAGGTCTTTTTGAGATAGCGAAGGAAATGCAAGATAAGTGCGGAGGGTAACCTTACCGGCTGAGACATAAAGATTTCGGAGACCATACGACATATCGCATTTATTTCGCTATTCTTTAAACAAAACGACTTCAATACCTTGTCGCTGTAGCCGACGTCCAATAGCTTTTGTATACATTCGTCAATATCAAGAGTCTTTCCTATTGATCGGAATGAGGTAGCTGTGAGTTGAGATTGCGATTGGACTGTGAATTGATTTTGATCCGTGGGTGAGGTGCTATATTCTTGCATGCCATTTTGGTCGCCTGCATTGTCTCGAGGCTTCTCATTTGGAAACCCTTGCGGTCTGCTGGCAGGTAAGGGGGAACCAAGGTGGTTATTCCCTGACCCTTTTAATATCGAAGAAAGGGAGCTAGCGGTGTTTGTACTTAAGACATTGTCTTCTGGTTCATATCCACGATTGTTGCGTTCTTGCTTTTTTCTTTTTGAAGTTTGATTTCCCATGCGCAAAGATGTGATGAATGAAAGGGAGAGAAAGAAAATAAAAAATGACTCGCTGTGCTCATAGGCGTACCTTTGAGAAAATTTCCATTTTGAGCTTCCTACATACGTCCTATACGTTTGGAACGACGAATCTACCCTCGGAAAATGCTTGACGCAGACTTCAAGTAGAACCCTACATTGCTTGATTCATGATTCCACTAATGTCAAGTTCAGAGTTTTGCACCCCCTTTTTGACCATCGTGTTAATGAAATAAACAATATCCAAGAACCTTTGGTAATATACATCACGTGGAGTACGGAGTACTTGACTTCATTCGCCTTTCCTATATCCCCTTTTTGGTTCTCTTCCCTTTCTTCTCATGTCAAAATTTGTATCCAGAGCAGGGAGCCATATAGATCAGCTACAAGAGCAGTTGAGCCGTCGAGAAACAAACGAAGATCGAGGTACCTCCATATGTCCATTTCATGTGTTGCTACACTCACATACTGATGACGATGGTATTGGTATATTACGCTAGAATCCCCACTGCAACCTGTTATTTATGACCTGGATGATGATAAAGCGGACTCTCAGCGGGACAGCGATGATGGCATTGAATATACCGACGTTGAAAGCTCTCAGGCCTTATCACAAAAGGATTGGAGAGGAAAGTTATCTGGGAATTCAGACAGCACTTTTCGTCGTGGGAAGTCAAGATCCGCACGACCTTCCTTACCCACAGTACAATCCGGGATAACTTCTGACAACCAGAGCCAACCCACAAGAAACAAGAAGCGAAGAGCGACCACTGCAAATTCAAGCTCAGACAGTTCAAAACTTGGAACCTTTGATGGCGTCTTTACACCAACTGTCCTTTCGATCTGGGGTATCATCGTCTTTCTACGATTTGGCTTCATCATAGCCCAAGTTGGAGTCATTGCAACTTTAATGATGTTCAGCGTAGCTTATTTGTGCGTCATTGTAACTTTTAATCCCTATTTGGTAGTAGCCAATTTGCTTGGTCACATACTAACACTCATGACCTATATCAATAACAGAATCAATGTCCTGACCACTCTCAGCATGAGTGCCATTAGTACAAACGGAACAGTACGTGGAGGCGGAACTTACTATATGATTAGTAGGAGCTTAGGGAGCCCAGAGTTTGGAGGTATGACTTTGCTATTTCGTCGGAGCTCAGGGGTCAAAGTCTACATTGTATTTATAAACCATTTACCTGGGACAGGAAGCATCGGTATTGTCTTCTGGATGGGTTTGAGTATGTCAGCAGCTATGAGTGCTGTTGGTTTTTCTGAGCCTCTATTAGCTAACGTTGGCGAGAATAGTGGTAAATTCCTAAATATTTTACCAGAAGGACAGGTAAAAAAAAAAATTCCTTTTCAACCGCTTCCAATATTGCACGCAAGATGCTGACCTATCACTCCAAAATACTTTGTAGTGGTGGAACTTTACATACGGAGCCATAGTGCTGTTCCTTTGCACCTTGGTTGCATTGGCTGGTCCTCAAGTAAGCACCCATTGCCATTTTTAGCTAGCGTCAGGCTCCATGCTCATCACCTCCTTACGTTAGGCATACGCTCGAACATCTCTATTCCTAGCTTTCTTTGTTCTATGTGGCACGCTTTCTATATTTGCTTCGTTCGCATTAAAGGCTCCGTTTATCGATGGGGAAACGAAGATCAGCTATACTGGATTCCGGTGGTGGATGCTTCAACGAAACATGTGGCCCAATCTGTCAAACGGGAACACCACAGCTAAAGTATTTGGAGTCCTTTTTCCGGCATGTAATGGCATTCTGGCAGGTGAGTAGTTGGAATACGTTTGAAAAAGGGTTCTCGTATCTCTGAATTCACATGTGCGCTTGATAGGTGCTTCAATGTCTGGTGACCTGAAAAAGCCATCCCATTCTATTCCCACTGGAACTCTCAAGTAAATGCCTAATCGTCGCCACTATGATGCGTGTTGATATCACTTACTTAAAAGTACTCATTTAGTGCTGTGTGGATTACCTACTTAACTTACTGTGCCATTGTCATACTCATGGGCGGATCAATTGACCGTCGGTCCATGACAGAAGATTTGAATATTCTGGAGGATATATCTTCCATGCCGGTTGTGTTCGCACTTGGATCCTTGGCTACTGCAATATATGCTGTTTTGGGAGGTGTAGTTGGTGCTTCCAAAATCATTCAAGCCATTGCAAGGTAACTATGGTCAAGTTAGGCTAATTGGCGTTATAAATCACTTTGCTAAACACTCTGCGTAGAGACAACTTGCTTCCTTTCTTACACCCGTTCAAAAAGGGAGCGCCAAAAACCGATACTCCTTCCAGAGCCATCTTTTTAACAGTGGCATTTATCTTGCTTGTATGCACTGCCCCTAGCGTTGATATCATTGCTTCTATGGTGACATTGACGGCGCTGCTAACATACAGTGTTCTCAACCTTGCTTGCACTGTTCTGAAAGTTAGCGCGGCTCCCAATTTTCGTCCTACCTTCAAGTATTTTCGATGGTGGACTGCTGCTGCTGGTATGGTCGTGGCAATCTGTACCATGATATTTGTCTCGCCTACCTTAGCGCTTTCTTCATTCGGTGTTGCCACGGCGCTATTTATTGTCATCCATTACACTTCGCCGCCAAAAAGTTGGGGTAATATCACCCAGTCCCTTATTTACCATCAAGTCAGAAAATATCTCTTACGTTTGGATACTAGAAAGGAGCATGTCAAATTCTGGAGACCGCAGGTGCAGTACATTTCACTTTGTTGATTCTTCTATTGATCAGTAATGTAAGCTGGTGTACTAATGTGTGGTTTCACCTAGATACTACTTCTTGTCAATAACCCTAAAAGCTCCATTGGATTGATATCCTTTTGTAATTCATTGAAAAAAGGTGGCTTATATATATTGGGACATACCATCAAGGGAGACTTCTCATCAGCGCTACCGGAGCTTAATCGTCAACAGACAAGCTGGCTACGCTACGTCGATGCCGCCAAGGTCAAGGCCTTTACAAATATAACCATTGCTGAATCGGAGAGATTAGGAGCAAGAAGCCTGGTGCTTGGATCAGGTCTTGGAGGAATGAGGCCCAATATTGTTATTATGGGTGCCTACAACATTAAAAATTACCGAGATCGACACCACGCTGCACAATCAGATGCTTCTGTGGAGTCATCAGCACGTTTATACTTGCCACCATCTAGAGAAAGCTCTCGTCAGCGCAACTTATACCTCGAATCACAGCTACCAGGGGATACAACTCGTGATGAATCGCCAATTGAGCCATGTGACTATGTAGCTATAATAGAAGATCTACTTCAAATGAACAAGTCTATTGGCGTTGGGTTTGGGTTCGACACATTGGAGACCATGGAAGCCAGCCAAGAAGAATATAGAAAATACCACAGAAATCATAAACGACCTCCTCGAAAACAGAGACGGTACATTGATGTATGGCCGATACAGGTTTCAAGCCCGGATGACAAACCATCGGATGATCCAAACTTCAAAAGTCCTCTAGGAACCTACACCATGATTCTACAGCTTGCCACCATCTTAAACATGGTACAACAGTGGAGAAAACAATATCGACTTCGTGTAGTCTGTTTTGTGGAACACCCGGAAGACATCCCAGAAGAGCAAAGACGCGTAGTGTCACTTTTAGAGAACTTGCGCATCCAAGCCGAATTACTGGTTGTTTCCTTATCGGAAAGCGAATCATTGAGCGTCGGTGTAGGTAGTAATAATTTTGTTTCAAGTTACACTGCGATTACACAAGGCAAGGAAGGGGTCAATGCCCTGGTGGATGCTTTGGTTGTAGGCACAGAATGGTGGCAAAACACTTGGAATTCTAATAGAACAAGGGATGAAAGCCACCGCCTCAGCTTGGATCTGAGCAGTACAAAAGCTATTAAAAGCACTAAGAGCATTCAAGATGTCGATTCGTATGGTGCAGAAACAAATACATATATGGATAGCGAGCCGCCTTCGGATACTGATACTGAACCTGATATTCCACCAAATGCATTTGCTCGATTCTCACAGACGCCTTTCATGCCGCCTGGTAGTTCACCCTTTGATGACTTTGAAAGAAGATACTCGCCACCTCCATTACTTTCTCGATTTACATCCGTCCCAAGCTCATTGACAATGCGAGTCAACTTACCAGCTGCTATTGGTAACTCTAGGGTACATTATGACTCTTCATCGTCGTCTGATGATAGCTATTCCAGTGACGAAGACGCCACCCCCGAAGAACCTGCTGACAAACACTATAGCAACATTACCTCCCGTTTAACTGAACCTGTGTTGGGTGCAATAGGCCTAGGAAAGTCTAAGTTACCCCGTGAAGAGGCTGATCACCATTCAGAGGAAGGCAGCCTTCGCAAGCTATTTGGCAAAGGGACCAACAGTTCTGGTTTAGTAGATTCTTCATTGGCGTCAGCAGGTAGTATGCAAGATTATGGATCAATTCAGAAAACAGTTACTCCATTGATATCGGCACCTACGAACGCATCGGAAAAACCCTTGGAATTCAACGACTTGCAGTCCAGAGCGCAGCATGTCATTATCAACGAACTCATGAGACGGATTTCACCATCTGAGCGTACTGCTGTAATTTTCTCTGCTTTGCCAGCTCCACTCAGTGGAACCCATGAGAGTAACCAAGACTCTATTACATATATCGAAAATTTAGAAGTTCTAGTGCAGGATTTACCGCCTGTCATGTTGATCCATGCTAATAGTCTAACGGTTACAATGTCGCTTTGATGAATACAATACAATTATGACTTTAGAAGACAACGATGTCTTTTATTAGAACCCTTTCAGTGAACACGTTTTCCAATCGTGGAACACTAAACCATTTATGAGATGCAAAGGTCTGCAAGATGCCTTCTTTGTTTACCGATTGACTGGTTTGTCCGCCTGAGGGCAGAGATCGAAATCAAATCGAAGAGCATGTGTGATCGTTTTGTGACATGGCTTATACAGGTTGTTTCCCAATACATATTCTGCAGTTCGCTTATACAAAGATGGCTGTCAGTATCAATTATGGCAACTAGGAGTAAACAAACGATGAGTGTCTAACCTTTGACTAGGCATAGATCGCATTGCTAGTATGAAGTATCGTTTGTATGCATGTTTGCGTTGGTGCGATAAAATTCTGCTCGAAAAGGATCCAATCACACACTTTATGTCGTTATTTCATCTCGGCTTGTACTTTTTTGAATCGCTTGTCCCAAGCCTGAAACACCGTGCCTCAAGGAGCCCAAATTCGGTATTGATCGACAAAACCTTAGTTTTGCATGCTCCACATCCTCAAGATAAATATCAAAGTTTATTGGTGTTCAAAGTTAATCTTTGTGACCAAGCGATGAAAACAGCGATATAAAGTTAATCGGTGATTAACGTATACTTTGATATTATATTAGAACTCTCTTGCATTAACCCTTTTCACTCTGGCTAAGACCTATTACACTGCAACCAGACTAGAGATGGCCACGACGTATTCGGTCGTTGCCACCTTCAACAACTTTCCATACTAAGTACAGACGTGGAAGACTCACTTCGGTCATTTGAGAAAGTTGCATTCTCAGATAACCAGCTTGCTTTGAGAATTTCTGTATTCATTAGCTTCTTATTTAGAAGTCAATTGATGAGCGACTTGAATATTGTTGGCATGCACAGGGAACCAAAAAGCAATTATCTTGTAGATCCAAGCAATGCTAAAGTTGCATTTTAAAACAGACCCAAATTTTATGATCAAAGCGTTGTCGTTCCAGTCCATGATAATTGTTTTGATAGTATGTATGTAAAGAGGTTGGAACAGTATCTTCCATCATTGTATCAAAATCGCCATCGAAGGGCTCCATTCACTAACCATAGCTCTAGTTCATACGTAATCATATATTAAGACCAGTCAGTATTGCATGAGTGCGAGTAGCCACTAAAACATTCTATATGGCATGACGCGTCCCACAAAAGTATCAATACACTACGTACTGAATATTATTATGATGACCAGAAAGCCAGGCTTATCTACCACCGATAGGGATTATATTGCATTACGATTTGTGGTGTTTTCACTTTATAATTCTATTTGGCTGATACAGCTGCGCATTTAGCTTTAAGCTATACAACATAAAGCCACTAAATCAATTTATGACCCAGAAAACGTGATGGCTTGCCTACTAGTAGTTTATTTACTGGAGGAGCTTCGTCATGCATTAAAGTAAACTAGGAGATTGCGATGATGGATAGTTACATCATGTGGTAATTTGAGAAAAAATTAAGGCATCGTTTAGACGTGATATGGTTAAGGCGGTCATTGCCAGGTGTTCCAACTGCCTGATTGTAACAGAGTGTGCGGATCCTAGACATTTCAGTGAGATATTCAAAACAAGTTGATGAATAAAGACACTTAGCGATACAGTTTGACAACTGAAGCACACCGCTTCCAATGGGTTTGATTGGCTCATTCCGAATTGTTCACATTATAACCCGAACGAGTGAATTGCCTAACAACAAACACAGTGTTTTGCTACCAATATAACGAAAAAGAGCCAATATCGCGTTGATCATCACAACATTCATGGCATTGCTAAGTACTACACTGACCCCATCGACACACCCACACCCAGTAGACCGAAGCCCAGCCCCTCTCCTTGCCCTTAAAATTCGGTGCTCAGACATTACCCTTTGAAAGTTATGACAAATTAGGGATTTTGCGCACCTCCTCCCAGCTTTTATGACAAGCTAAGAAGTAATAGAGCATTCCATTTATACTATAGCATGAGCTATTTTTGCAATATGGTATTTTCGCGTTCGGATAAATCTACTCTTCATGCTGTTATTACCAAAAAGTAAAGAACCGGAAGATACATTTACATAATTCGCTGAAGTACTTTTTTTCTTCATTTTGCAAAAGGGAAAAAAGGGAATTCAAGCGAAAACGAAGTGAGATACAAGCCGATCCTATCTTTAATTAGTGAGCCATTCCATCAATTGAACTTTTTGGTATCACCAGCCTAACTGCCGGCTTTAACAGCCAAAAGATGTACAGGCTTAGCTTAGCATCGGATATTATTCCAGGAGCATGGTTTTAAAATTAGTGATGTAGAAAAAAAAAGGCTGTCAGAAAAATTTCAGTCTGTTACTTCACCGGCCGGACTGCTTAGCTGTGATCGAGTGCAGAGAAAAAAAAATTCCCACTTCGGCAATTTGAGAGCACACCTTCTCGCTAACAATACAACGATAGAAAGGCTGTAAAAACGACCGATTAGCATTTACAATCTTTAAACAAAGACAGGTTAGGGGTTCTGTGACCATAATCAGGTATGTCATGCTGTAGTAAAAAGAAGCGCTCATCACTACATGAGTCGGAGTCATCATTTCTTGCTCATCCCATGGCAACAGACGCTAGGACGATCCGGCAAGGTCAAACCTTGATATCTATGGCGCTTTCCCTATTCTGCAATACCTGTTCCAGTATACAGGCGCGCATTATTTTGTCGTCCAAACTCTCCCCCGAACCCCCATTGAATCAGAAGAGAATCATGGATCATCTCCTATATGTGGTGTACCTTTTCTGGATGATTTCAATTCTGGCCTCTGATCTTTTATCAATTCAGTATATAAGGCTATAGCACCAGGGTCTACGAGGTTTTCTCTTGGCTAATTTTTTTATTCTCACATCAATCACTTTGTTTCATATATATATCCTTCTTTATCTCAGGTCCATATATCTTTTGTCTTCCTAGATAACCCTCATTCTATTTTTCATACAATGTCCAATTTACCCCTCACGCAATTTGATCTGTTAATGTCATGGCCTAGCAGCGAGACAAATATTCATCAACGGTCAATTTCAGTCTATGGAGAACTATTTAACCCTACCATACAAGAAGAAATGATTTGTCAACCAAACACTCCGCCATGCCTCCTCAATACTGGATATATGCCATATTCAACATCGGAGCCTCTTTTAAACTACTTAAAAACTGAGCAGGATCATTCAATACCATACCTTGAAAATTTAAATGGAAACATCTCTTATTGTGAAAGCGACGACGATAGTATCGTCAGCCCATATGCATATTCACCAAGGATGTCGATATCTGACGACACACCACTCTTGACTCCCGATGTATTTATGCCCATGTATGACATAGAATCAATCATGATGCACTATATGAAAACATTTGAAGAAACATCCCTACAAACCGCTTGCGAAACTACTAAGGACACTTCTTCTCATATGGTTCCATTGACTCGGAGTAATTTGATATCGGCTCAAGAAAATTTTTTATCACAACTGGAAAACAAGCAAACTCCAGTGGATACTCAAACTATCAAGAAGAAGACTAGCCGATCTCATAACAAGAACACTCTCACTAAATGCCCGTACGAGGGCTGCCAGCGAACTTTTCAACGCACACATAACTTGCGGACACATATGCGAATTCATATTCACCCCAAGCCTTACAATTGTTCACATTGTGAACGTTCATTTTCCAGAAGACATGATCTTGAACGACATGTTCGTGTGCATACTGGTGATCGTCCATACTCGTGCCCTTGCTGCGCTCGGTCATTTGCTCGAACCGACGCACTTCGACGCCATCTCAAGATGGAAGAGGCATGCAGGCAAAGCCCTCAGGTTCAAAGCTTGAAGAATAAGCGACGCTACGCTGACCTGTAAAAGCTTAATCAAATCTACAATATCTGTTCTGTACATAGTCCTTTTTTTTTTTTTTCTTTACAGCTTTGTGTTCTTTGCAATTACCTTGTGTTCTTCTTTTCCGTGGAGGCTTTGCCAATAACTATGAAAAATATCATACACACCCCTCTTTCCGATCATACCCTGCCTAAATAACATTAAAGTTCCACTATGATAATTTTCGTACTCTGTTGACTTTGTCACCTTTTTTTTTCGGTGGGTAGACTTTTCACGGGTGACATTAACGTTAAGATCTTGAGAAATTAAACTTGAACACTATACCGAGGCAAATAGGATTTGAGCTGTACCTCGTTCATCAACAGGAACCGTGAAAAATTGGTGACTCTATTTTGGCGTGAGGAAATGGGCAATTTTTGGATTGATGTTGGGCGTCAAGCAATCGGCCATGTGTTTCAATAGTACACCCATGTGTAAAGTGTGTAAATTTCTTGAGAAAGAGTTTGGGGGGGAGTCCTCATCTACCAAAACATCGAACAAACACTTACAAGTACTCTGCTGAATTTTTCATTTGGTGAGGATCAGCAGTAAACAATGAACAGGTTATGACGTCCGCTAAGAACGACGCAGTCGGCCTTCCTGTACATAACACAGCAAACTGGTTTTCAGCTGAATGGGCAACTGTTGATGGGCGCATGTGGAAATTTGCAGTGTTTGGTACCTCAACAGTACTTTGACGACAGCGACCTCTGTAAAGAGAAAGACAAATTCAGGACTTCGTTGTTAGCCAGTAGATATCGATATATTAAGTTACGCTAGGAACCTGATCTGTTGACACAGATGTTCTATCACACAATTACGTGTTCTCAGGAGAAAGTGAGAAAATTGACGATGTGCGATGCACCATAATGTAAAAGGGGGAGACACTTTGGAATGCGAAAGTGAAAATCACCATCGAATAGTGATGGCAATTTGTAATCGCCGATGAGATAACTGCCGATGAGAAAATTTTGAACGACGGACCTCATCGAGAGACAACGCTGATCATTAGGCAAATTGGGAAAGCCGAGAATGCGTTTCGAGTCCTGTGCCTGAGGGGGGAGGCGTCATTGGGCCATGTGCAGATGGGAGGTCGTGTTGTAACGCATTGTCGTGCAGGGGGAAAAAGGAGACATTTGTACTGGCCCATTGACATTGGTCTATGTTTCCTGTTGTCAAAGATACATTGATATGTTGTCCAGTGGCCCAGAGAGATGAACTAAAAGAACTGATAAAACACTTTGCCATTGTGCATTTCTGTCGAATATGAAAATTTCCCCGACTTGCCAGGAACAGTGAAATGTCAGTATATATTCTTTAGTGAAAAGAAAAGAAAAGCCAAGTTTTCATTTGTGAAAGACTGTTGACAAAAGTTCGAAAGGAAAAGCGCAAAAGTCCAATCTAAATACCCACCACTTTATATACAACCTGTTCGTGTGTTCAAGTTTTCAGCCCCAAGTCAACAACACACTGATCAAAACAGATTGGGCTCTGTGTGTTATCCAAGATCTACCTAAAACATTACATTGGGCCTTGTGCACTTTCAGCCATGCCCAATACGCAGAAATGATGATAGAATGAAATAGAATAAAAAAAATTTATGAAAGCGTTATGCAAAGTATGCCAAAGCAGTTAAAGAAGTATTCGTGAAATGATACAAAAGCTATGGTGGGGGAGAGGATTTAAACAGTACTAAAATTTGTGAGATGAGGGTTTGGTCCGTAAATGTCTCATGTTTCAAGCGAACAAAAGATTTGAGATGCTAAATGGTCTTTCATGGAGACGGCTTTGAAAAAAAAAAAAAAAGAAAGTATTGCACGCTGGTTTGACACCATTCGTATTTTGAGATTTCTCGATACGCCTTTCCATTCAAGCCCTCTTTTCTCGTCGAATAGCGTCTCGTGCTGCTTTTATCAGTGGAGCAAGCGTATGAAGTGGGTCAGCCTTCCGCAAAAATGGATGAGTAAGCATAGTATCTGCGCTTGGGCGACGATCTGCCTCAACATCCAGACAACGACCAAGGAAATCTCGAAAGACTTCACTCAAACTCTCGGGACTTTGCAGAGAAGGTGTTCCATTGGTCGCGATCAAGTAAAGAGCTCTTAGTGGATTCTCATTCAAGTACGGTGGCTCTCCTTCAATCATTTCGATAGCCATGATACCGAGCGACCAGATATCCACTTTCGGGCCATACTCTTTTCTTGTCACCACTTCAGGTGCCATCTAGCAAGAATACAAAAGCACATGAGTTAGGTAAGAGATGGGTCAAAGTTCACCACCAAGACGCCGTTGCTATATGAGGGACTTCCGGACATGAGTAAAACCTGTACTTACCCAATACGGGGTGCCAACCATGGTGGTTCGCTTTGATTGTGTTTCCCCAAGTCGAGCACAGAAACCAAAGTCGGCTGTAATGGGCAAAAAACGTGCCATGTTAGTATGGTGCAAAAACTGTGCGGGAGTTCACAGATCAACCAAACCACTTACTCAGTTTGATGTCGCCTTGAAGACTAAGCAAAACATTGTCACTCTTGATGTCTCGATGAATCACTCCTTGTGAATGCAAGTGTGATAAGCCTTGCAAAACTTCTTTGCATACTGCGGCAATTTGGCCTTCCATCATCATGTTGCTTGTCACCACATCCGTCAAACTGCCTCCTTCCATGTATTCCATAACGACCCAAAGGTCGCCGTTCCAAAGATACGAGTCGATGAAGTTAACAATATTGCGATGTCGAGATTCTTTCATAACAAGAATCTCATTGATGATTAACTCCTTCTTTGGTTGTTGTTTCAGATTCATCTGCTTGATGGCAACCGGTGTGATCTCTTTTGGGGGGTATGCTGTGAATACGCCTCCAGATGCTCTGTAAATTTCATCTCGTTTAGTTATATGCTCGATTGGTGTGCGCATCCCACCCAAATTCGATCATGCCTTACCCTTGACCAATCTTCAGCATATCGCGGTAAACAAGCGTAGGATCTGTTTCTATACATATGGCTTGCAACCTTTCAATGACTTGTGAATCTCGCAACGCTGTCTTCTCTGATTTGCGCACTCTCTGCTTAACCGTACCGGGTGCTCCGGTTAACGCAGAGACATCCAATCTTTCTGAAATGGGCTGTGAAGGCCATGGCTTTTCAGAATCAGGGGTCTGTAACTGTCGCTGAGCTGCAGCCTGCTTTGCCCTCTGACTCGCTGTTCTTGACAACTGCGATAAAGATGGAGAAATCGGCTTATGTTGACGAGTACTGGGGTTGACGGCATGTAGCTTCTGAGCATCCTTTTCTAAGGAATCAATAGATGAAGCTGGAGTAGGGTTGAGAGACTTTAGTAACGAGTACGTTGTCTTTTCAAGCCAAAAAAAAATACGTACATATTGGTGGTGGTGGGGTGAACACAGGTGATGATATTGGCGACTGCAATATAGTGTTTCATTCATATAAGCATCAATAGGTAGAATGGGCTTGTTATTCAAACAAATGTACAATAACTTACCAGATCAGGTGATTTTTCGGATATTGGTATACTGATGGGCACAGATGGATTCTGTTCGGGTGAAGGCTGGGTATCTACTCTAACTTCTGGGCCAGGAGATGCTCTAATCCGTGGAGAGCCAATAGGTGAGGGACTGGATCCATCCGAGTCATGGTTATAAGCATGGGCCTTTTCAAATTTGTGCCAAACAGCATCTTGTGGGTGATCATGCGTCTCTTGGTAGAAGCCAATCACGTCGAGAACAGCCTAATTGTAAAAATAAAAATAAAAATCAAATTCAGCTACTTTTGTCACACATAACTGTTGCTTGCCAATTATACATTTGGTTGGGAATTAATATTACCTGAGGATTTTGAACTTGCTCACGCTTACTGATGCCACTGTGTTGCAAAAGGGTTTGCCACTCCTCGGGCAATCCAGTGAACTCGCCAGTGTTGGCATTGAAACCAACATGAGTAACGTGAACAGCGTTGTACGGCCCTGAGATTTCCATTTCCTTGTTATAGTTCGGGCTGTTGGCTGCGCTTCCGTTGTTGGAAAGGAGATCTAAAAAAACGAGCGGCAAAACGAATAAATATGAATTAGCGTTGTGATCAAATTAATAATGCAAAGTAAGCTTATGTCATTGCTGGCTCTTCATGCTAGGTAAAATCGCATGGTCTTAAGAGACAAAAGAACCGAGGGTGTGCGCACAGAGCCAGTCAAAAGAGGCTCCGAGTGCACGTTCTACTCACCACTAAAGCTTCCAACAAATTTATCCAAGACACCTTTGAATGTAGAACGATCTCTCGTCTTTCCGAAGCCAGTGGCATTATTCGGGGACAGTCCATAGTGTTCTTTATCACTGGAATTGGAGTCATCACTGAGTTGATCACTGGAAAGTTTGTGGCCACCATGAGATAAAGAAGGAATCGGTTCAAGCGATCCATACTGAGCAATTGGTGATGTAGCTGTAGTGATATCAGATGACGGGGGTAGATGATGTGTGTCTATTGCTGGAGTATTGTACATCTTTGTAGATACTTTTCTTGATAAAGACGAGTTGGAGCGGTGGCCCCGCATTGACTTCGACGATTCCGACATTTGCGTTTTACTGTTAGATCTTGAAGGTGAAGCTGAAACGAGAGTTAGAGTCAGCTATTAAAACGTCAAGCGAGCAAATGGCAGTCCAACCCGGTGGAACCAAATTGTTTCATATGTTGCAGCCTTACCTTGCCGATTCCGTTGATCAGTATTATTTGTGTCGATATTCCCGCTACTTTCGCTTCTCATGTGTAAATTGCGAAGCCGAGCCGACATGGATCTTTCCAAACCGGAGCGTACGGACTTCTTGGAAGAAGACATGTATACAAGAATCAGTAGATGCTGATTGGAAAATTTAAATTCTGTAAAAGATTCTGTGTTCTCAGATGGAAAAGTGTGCTGTTATGCTGAGCTGGCTGGATGTTATGGAAGTGTCCTGCGTTTTTTCCGTTCAAAGCCAGCGCGGTAAGGCCTGTTCAAATTTCTGGGGACAGCTCAATTCGGCTAAAGCTGTCTTTTCAGCCTATAGCCAGAAAATGAGGCATGCCATTTCTTATTCGGCAGGTTCACTATCCGTCTTCGTCACAATATACCGTATCTGCGATCAATCCACAGAAGATGTCCTTTATTGCTTTAAAGTGGGCCCCATTAACGCCACAGGTAATGGAGGATGCCAGGACCGCCAGTGTGTTCAATTTGGAAAATGGTTTGGCGAATCAAAAAAAATTTCAAGCTCAACTAAAGTGGATTTTTCACTTTTCCTGTAACGTATGTTGCTGTCTCACTGCAACAAACATTTTTCTTGTGATTTTCTTGGTGAAATATATTGTCTATTCCCTGCTGTAACACTGAAATATTGTGGTTAAGTCAGTATAACAGACGCAGTCGACATCGGAGAATAATTATAGTTGCGATGCAATATCAGCTTGTGTGTATTGATTTGCACAACCTACAGTAAAGTTTATATTACTGAAAAGCCTTCGAGGGCAATTATATAAATTTTTGAAAGATTGACTTTCAAGCTGCCTGGAGTGGTTTTTTTGCTTGAGGGCAAAATCATCCGTGTGATTGAAATTTTTAGCAGCTGATGTTGTCTTACCAAGTTTATTTTTCCAAGTTTATTTTTCTGGTGCGGTTTCCCTTTTCAACACTAGCTAGCCAGACAGCGTTATGCGCGAGAGCTACCATCTGCTATGCAGGCGCTATGACCTCACGAGCCATGTAGCTTTCTGTCCGATAATAATTAATATACTCGTGTGCAGTTGTTTTATCGGCTCTCAAAACTTTTGGAACTCCTGCCAAAGCACTGGCACAATTAAGCCACGCATGCCTGCCACAGCATGCGTACCATCAGCGGACTCAAAGCCCTACCCAATTAATTTTTTTTTGATCACATCAAAAGCATTTGATTTATGGAAAGGGGAATGTTAGACTATATTGTAGGAGAGAGGAGGGGTGTTTTGGAATGAATTGTGAAGTAGTATGAGGAAAAACGAGCTGGAAAGAAAGGGGTCAAAAAGAAACAATCACCAAGGTAAAAACAACAAAGTAACCATGCATCATCAATAGAAAAAAAAACCCAGTAGAAAAATGTGAAGCAGAAGAAGAAAAAATGGTAGCAAACGGTCGGACACGGGAAATACAAAATGGAAGTAATGAGTATAACAATCACATAAAAACCGATTGAAAATTTTATGCTGCATTGCCGCCAGATGCCTCTCCTCCCTCTGTTCCTCCTTTCTGGGATTCGCCTTGATGTGCCATTAAAATAGCTTTCCAATCTTTCATGTACCTCTGACACCTCTCTCGTAGCCGATATTGCTTATCATCGTCGAATGGCTGTAAGCAAGCCGATTTCATAACTTTTCCGATTTTGGTTTCCTGTAATGCCCAACAGTTTACTAAAGCAAATCCTTTTTTGTTGTCCTAGCCGATGTGCTTACGTACCTTCAGCAGCCGGTAGTTAATGGTATATCCTCCAATCTCCGTGAGTACTTGATCTATCTTTGCATAATCCTCAAGTGGTATTTCGCTCTGTCATAGACGCATTTAGTCCCTGCATATCTCTCCATCCAAACGATATGAACACCCATTTTCACTTACTGGCTTTTTCTCGTACACCAACTTTTGAAGCTTGTGGCGAATATGGTACAGTTGCTTTTGATGTTTCTTATGTTCCGAATCGGCGTCATCACCAGTGATGTCCATGGGTTCTGATTTCTTCAATGCATCCGAGGGGCTCGACCCCTCCCCTTTCTTCCCCATTAACGGCGATGCACTACTACGTTCACTGCGGTGAGATCCAACTCCCATCGGCTCATCATCTGATTTCCGCTAAGTACCCAAAAATTCAATCGTCAGACGCAGTACTTGGTCCTGAGCACCACCCCTTCATATACACTTACCAACTTGGATGGTCGATCGTGATTGTTTCCTTCTTGTACTTCATTGTCATCCTCATCCTCTATGATACGACTTCGACGCTTCGCAGGAAGCTTGTCGACCTTGATGATCGGCTCTTCGTCGTCATCAATATCCATTTTCTGACCTGATCTTGTTCCATTGACCTTTATAGGTTTTTTCACAGGTTCAGCCTTGCCCTTTCTACTGCCTCGTGTCAAAGTTTTCTTCACGGGTGTTGCCGGTACATCGCCACCTTCATCGTCTTCCTCATCGTCCTCTTCCTCCTCCTCATCTTCCTCATCCACCTCCAATAACGAAGGATCCAGCGCCTGACGAACCGCTAATTCCAAATCTTTTGTCTTGAACTTCTTTGCCTTCAGGTCACGTTCCACTGCGTCTGCATTGAAGGGTCTGATGGAGTCAGCTCCAAAAAATCCACTATGAAGATGGAGAAGATGAAATTTGTTAAGAAATCATCCCACTATTTTCCCAATACACCGCCAATTCCATCCCGCTTGCCATGCTTCTTTGCCATACCACATCCGAACCAGTATACCCAACAATCCATATGTAGATCCATCCGAAACCTCCATCAGCCGCAAAGTTTCCCCCAGCCAGCCAAGCCAAATATTCACTTACTAGTCCTTTGACCCAAAAAAGAAAACCGTCCACAGGGGACCCTTTGATTTTGACTTTTGCTTTAATACCGTCGCCGGTACATTGGTGTCCAACTCGATCTATTTCCATCCAAAAGGTAAGGAGTGGTTAGGAAAGCAAAGATTCGGATTTTTCACCAAGGCCAAGAATTTGGACTGGGGGGGAGCGTGTAAACTTGACAGTACACGATCTGAACAAGTCTACAGCCGATATGGCTTCTTCACCAACGAAACACTAAGCTTCAAACATGAACTTACTCTTGCCGGCCACCAAGGATAACCTTTGAGTTTTGCAAAGACAATGTTACCTGGCGCGTAGTCTGTCTCACTTGCTTGTTGTGGCATTTCCTTCCTTGTCTACGTAGCCTTGCTTTCCAAACTTAGATTGAGCCACTTGACTTTCTTGATGAAGACTCTGCTGGTGAAGGGATGAGGATATAAAGGTGATGAGAGAAGAAAAAAAGTTTTTGCAATGGTGGTAGAACTGCTCTTTGAGGGACACTGGGGCGGGCGGCTCTGCTTCTGGTTGAGCTGAAAAACCGCTCACGTGTTCCCAAAACTTGTGACGTAAATATAATTGGTACTCCGGTAATTGAGGCAATGAGTCCATCTTGATTTTTGTGTGCGCGGAGATTTATTTATCCTAATGGCTGCCGCGCTTTCATTGCCAATTTCACACAGGATTCACAGGGAAAAAGTGTCTTTCAAGTACAGATTTTACAAGTGTCTTCATTAAGAAGGTTATAATTCATAATACAGGATAATAAATTTACAGTTGAGGCTGTTCCTCGTAGCCAGATGTATAATACTAGAGCGAATGTTCTTGGAAGACTATGGTTCCATGATACTAAACAATAAGTGTTGCTTCTAGCAAGCAGTAGCTCTTTGCGACTTGGTTTTAGGATATAGTCCCGTGAGTCTCTGTTGAGTTTGCTATCTGCGTTTGCAATCTGCGTTTGCGATAGAAACTCTTATGAGTATCTGCTCAGATTGCAACTTGTTCTTTGGCGACATGCTTGGTGGCCAACGATAAAGCAATCAGAGCCGTTGATTATCAAGACTCGAGAAAAGTGAACATGGTGAATTTTATCCTTTTGGCCATCCGATAAGATGCTATGTACGGAGGAAAAGATGGAAGAGAGAGATTGTCTGTGTGAATGCATTTGGTTGTTGTTATTGGATAAGTAGGTAGGTAAAACTTCAAGCTCTCGCTTATATATGTTTTCGTTGACATGTCATGCTGGCTACTCTCAGCCATATGGCTTATGCAGTTGAGCCTCCGACATGGCTTACAACTGTCAATCATTTGTTTGTCCTCCTGCTGTAGCTGCCATTTCAAGTTTATATGTGACGTATCGATGCATACAGAAACAGATAGAATGCGTAGAATTTCAATACATCCTGGCCGTCAGCTCTGTTCAGATAGATGGAGATGTAACAGTTCTCTTGGTATGGGGTATAAATATGACAGAGTGTCTTGTTTACAAAGTAACGTGAATGAGTGGCCAAGATTGTACCGTAAAAATAGCTGCGGCTGAAATAAAGTTGTGCCCTGACCTGGCCAGTGACAGCTTGACAAATGGCCATTGGCTTTGTAGCAGACAACGTTCCCCCCATTGGAAAATACAATGCGTGTGCAAAGAAAAGGTTTCTTGAAAGTTAATTCATTATGAAATTTAGGAATACTTTTGTGCATTTTCGTTAGGGTAGTTGAGGGGAATTGATTGATTGCATCATTGATGAGCACACATAAAGGGAAAATAAGGTCTACGTAGTATTGACTGTCGTGAGTACAGGGTGCATCGGAAATCATTTAAGAAAACATGACATTCTTATTTTTATGAATTAAAGCCCGTAACCGATCTTGAAGTTGGGCTGCCTCTTCGTTGGCTGATTGAATTTCACGGTTGTTCGATCTGAACGTTATATTATCATGGTATTCGTTGTTGTTCATCATGTTGTGTTCAGTACTGGCTTTACTGTTTGAGGCTGATGACATGAGCGTTTCCAATGATATCGGTGAAAACCGCATGTCTCCTGCGGATCGAGGAGTTTCTGGTCCATAAGGTGAAGATTTTGGTGATGACGCTGTGGACACTAATCCAGGTGGTGTCGTCGTAAATGAAGCACCGCCTTTGTCATTTGGAATCATATGGGAGAGGAGCTGCAAATTACCCCACCGAGCTTTTGACGTATCGGCCGCCGTATCGGAGCCAGCCCCGACATTATGGCTATTGGCCTGTTGCATACGCGGTGGTTCTCTTATAGAAAACGATGGTGAGACAGCCATGCTGTTCAAATAGTCCGCAATATCGGATTGTGATTCTGGCTTTTTGCTCCGAGATTGTTGAAGGTTATTCTCCAAATTTTGAGTGTCGCCTCTCATACCTTGGAATACTCTTAGCCGTCGACCTTCACCTCTCGTTTCCGAATTGTTAGGTACTGATGACAGCGTGCTTTGCTCCTTCATTGGCACAGTAAGCTGATTCAGCAGATGTGCTGTTTGCTGTGGAGATCTCTGATGCATCATTCCGAAACTTCGCACTTCATGCAATGGTGATGGTTGTTGGGAAGCTATTAAAGCAAAACAATGGTAAGAGAAACGTGAAGATCACATATTGTATGAAGTCAAAAAAATAGAAGTTCAGCTTACCCTCGTGCATATCCGAGGAGAATGAATAATTGGAAGGCGCATTTTGAAGTCGGGGGGATGTTTGGGGAATATTGGCACCATTCAATACTGCCAAAGGTGATATCGTAGACGGCGGTGAAATGACTCGTGGCTGCGTCGTTGGCATCTCAGACGGTATCGTGCGATACTGGCGAGATATTCCTGGCGGTGCATTCAAATGTTTCGATCGAGAAGCTTGCTGTTCAGCGTTTGATTGTAATGCCGACAATAAAGCAGCACTACGAACTGACATGTCGGGTAAAGTTTGCTTCGCTGACATGTTAGAACCTTGAATGTAAGCTGTTGCCGTTGATGCAACTGGGCTGCCATTTTCTACGCCACTATGAAGAGTAGCCTGCTCTCTCCATTGCGGTCGTTGTATTGCACCCTTGGTGAGCTCCCTGGCCAAGCTATCTTGTTTGGATGATGCAGATTGAGTAATCGGCTGGTGTTCCCATGGATCGAATGTTGGTTGCACATTAGCTGTATTATATCTGATGTTGGATTTCAAGAAAGCGATTCCAGTAACCACTTCTTGGTCTTCCTGAATATCTTGTTTCTTCTCCGGCACTCTCGCTTCTTCATGTAGGCTGCTCACTCCAAGAACGGTGAATTCAGCTTCTCCATCTGCGCCAGGTACAAGTATATCAGTTGCATCCATGCCCAGCACGAAATAGGTCAGTGGATCAACAATCTTCGGCGTTGATCCTAATTCTGATGTACCATCGTCGTCTCCAGTATAATCTGCGTCAGTGTCCGCATCTGCTTCTTGTCGAAGGCTATGCGGTCCAGCAGGTATTCCAGCGCGTTGTACAATGCTTTGCTCGGCTTTTTTGGTCACCTTCCTATCAGACTTTAATCGGTGGCTAGGGTTGCTGGCTTTCTGCGCCAAAGCAACAGCTGCGGCTAAAGACGGACCAAAGTTATCAGATGACACGTCTAGATCTTGATTATCATTGTGATGATGTCTAAACGTTGGTGTAGAAGACCCACTGGCAGATTTGGCCCACGATGCTGTAAGAGGCAAAGCAGGTCGAGAAGGCTCCGCAGCGTGATGGTCGTCGAAATATGATTGCTTGTACTGTTCATGTCTGGCAGTTGGCGTTTTATAGGGAGTACTAACTACAGACTCAATGATGTTCAATGGCTTATGGCTGTGGTGTATAGAAGGAGATGATATGGGAGAATTGTCGGCAGATGAGAATGAACGATTTTCGAAAGCGTGCGATCGTGGGCCGAATTCAGCTGACATTGAATCACGCATTTTATGTTTTCTGAAGGAATCAATTGTTAAGATGATAATGGAAAGCATTCGACATTGTAATTAATGTTGAGTGTAAAGACATACCCTGAAGCCAACTCTTCCTTTGATATACTATCAGCATCATCGCCAGGCTCATGTAGGTACATACAAGCGGGATTTGGACAGGGAATATTTCGAAGGTAGTAGGTACAGTATTTAGTTGTTCCAAGTGAAGCCCTAGCATACAGATGTCGTTAGCACTATGATTGCATGCAATTGATCCACATTTTGTATGAACACAAACCTCAAAATGCGACCGCCAACCATACTCCCATCTACAGCTTGAATACATCTCATGGCCTCTTCTTTACGCTGATATGTTACATATATGCCAACGCTAGGAGGTAGAGTTGCGGAAGAAGTCGATGATGGTAACGCTGGTCGCTTATTGATTACCAGCTTCGAAATCTTTCCATATTGACCAAAGAAGTCATTCGATCGAATAATCTGCAGATCAAAATAGATGTTAGCATATATTGTTCAGAACGCTAGAAAGTTATATCATACAATGGATTGATAGGCACCTCTTCTGTAGCGTACTTGGGATGCAATCCGATTACATAAGCCAGGTTCTTTTGGATGACTCTCATGTTCGCTAAATGTTTGCGATTCGCAAGCTCCATCTCTTTTTGCTCTCGCTCTTTCTCTTTCTTTTCTCGTTTGAGTCTTGCAATTCTGTGCAAGAGAAGTGAAACATAGTCAGGTTACCTATGATCGCTCCGCAGTTCAAGGGGCTAACATCAGATACATACTCATCTGAACTAACAGGCTGGAATTCTACAGATTGCTCGGTATATTCTCGTCGACTGCGGTTCGATTGCTTAGTAAACAAAATGTAAATGGATGGGACCAAGTGCTCCAGCTCAAACTCACCAAGCAGGACAACGTCCATTTAAATTTTCTTTGATATGATGCCAGCAAAAACGGCAAACCTACGGTTTTACATTTGTTAACATAAGTGAGTAGTAAAACAAAACTTGTGTGGAATCTCACCTGATATCCGCAAGGGCAAGGTCTGAAGTTTCGATCAGCAACGTCCAATTCTTCCATGCACAAAGGGCAATCGAAGTCTTCGTCATCTGAGTTGAACATGATGGCTTAATTTTGGGGAAGGCTTTATCTTTTGTTGAAAAGGTTTCGAGAGAAACTCTCAATGGATATAGGAGGACGTGGTCTGCTCTTCTGTTTCAGTTGTCTGCAGGTGAAGATTGTCGACTACCGCTGAACTGAAAGCTAGTTTGTGCAAAGAATTTTGAAAACAAAAAAATCTCTGAAATGTTTAAGCGCCGGTGGCCGTTTTCGAACACAGAAGTACTACTATGCTTTTAGATTTTTAAGGTACAGGAACAAGTCAAACCTTCCACGCTAATAGTCTAAAGGTGTTCATAAAGTATTCTTTGACGAATATTACTCCCACTTACGCAATAGCTGTAAGTAAATAGAAGTTGTATTTGAGTGCTATACTGTGCCACTATATAGAGTTTTGGTCTGCTGTCGGGAAAACTTGGAATTGTAATTGGATAGACAGAAACGAAAGTAGAATCGAGTGTAATACTTAAAAACAAAATTTTATATCACGAAGTATAGAAAAAGCTCGGCAACAATTTTACTAGTAGCAATTTTTATTGCCTCAATGATCAATTATTTGAATACGCAATCCTATACTTTCAATATGCCCTATACATGACAGACAAGGCGAATGGAAAGGGGCCATATTTCGAAAGTTGAAAGCCGACATTTGGATTATAATATCATGGTGACTGTAAATAATCTCATTCTAAGAGGTCATGCTTGAGAAGATAACCGTAGTCATCCCTCCAGGAACTACTTATGATATTGGGCAGGTAGGGATGCCAACTGACATCTCTTGTACAAGGCGTAGCGTCGTACCCAAAAGTATAAGAGTAAGACCGACGTTGTCGATATCTTGATTGTCCAATGATTTCAGAAGCATCCAGAATTTGATTTACTGAACCATCAAGATTATATATCTATCAAAAAATTATTCAGCAATCGCACATAATTCATTACGCTTGCTAGATAGCTACTTACATGTGCACGACCATCGGCAGAACCAGAGTATATATAGCGCTGACCAGTATTGGATGGTGGTGAAAAATGACATCGTATTAATGTCCTCAAAACCTTGTGACCACGATAGGTCATAACTGAAGAGTCTTTTGTATGTAGTCTTGGAACACCTGGATAATTACCACGGCGATAATCAAATTCGCTATCTAATCTCGTATCCTCAGCTGCTCTTGAAGAGACCATTGTTCTGCAATGCATAGGAGTGAGCGGCTATTCGACATAGGGTACTCTATGGTAGAAGACCTACCTAATGTCCCACACTTTTGCACATTGATCTTTTCCGTTAGATACCAAGTATCGGCCGTCGCCCTTAGGTGAAACGTATGTGATCCCTTCCGTGTGACCGACCAGTACTCCTGCAGCCATTTCTCCATGTAACGTGCGTCTATCCCATACTCGAATCGACATATCATCAGAACCAGAGATGAGAAGGTTGGATCCATCGTCGGCAAAGCACACAGCATTGACGTCGCCATAATGACCACCTGCAGAGTCTATCACCTTTTGTCGCTCAATGTCATATAGCAAAATAGATCTATCTTCCTCAGAATCAGCAGAAGATCCTGCAACTATCTCCTTGCCGGAACGTGAGAATCGAACAGACCATATCTGATAAATAACGAAGTTAGTGCAAAATAATGGGAAAATAAGAGCAGGTGGAGACCAAACGTACACATCGGATACCAAGCTTAGATTCGTTAAAATTTAAAGCAATAGTATTATCATTATAGACATCCGTGCTGGCCAGCGTGACATATGGTGTTAAAGAGCTATATGCAAGCCAGCTGTTATCTCTTGACAGGTTAGCATCTGGGAAAGTGAAAAGTTAAAAGTAAATTCAAAGGTTTCCTAATTGTACATTTTCAGTTGCCTCTATATACCTGTAAGCGTCCATTGTCCAGCAACAGCGTGTATGGCTTTCATTTCTTGGAAACTTTCAGGGTCAGTGCTGTCATAGAGATGGACCATGAAGTCTTTTGTGCAAGTGTAAAATAGTGACCTTTGCAATAATGAAGGTCAGTCGATATTCTTGTTAAATATTTTGATGTCTCTACATACCCATCCTCAGAAAACTGTCCGGAATAAACCTCTGCATCATATTGCTTCATTTTGGTTGCATGCTGCTTTGGTACAAAACTCTGTAACAGAATATTTTTAACTAGTGTTGGTTTTTAAATGAGATTTACTTGTGAAGACTTACTCTGCCAAGCTTGTTTCGGCTACCACGGTAATTTCCAGACATTTCCCTTTCTCTTAAATTGGACGCTATATTTGATATCTCATGGCGACGTCCATTTTTTCGATATCCAAATACATCGTGTTGGCCATAAACACCATCGGGTTCTCCAAACCATCCAGACTTAGCAAGTAGTTCGCCACCGTTTTTTCTCTGCTTGGCGTCGTGCTCTCTAAGTTTTTGCAAAGCGGCCTGCCTTTGACTTGGATTATGAGTGCGATGAATAAATTGCTGCTGTCGTTGGATAACCATACGCAGAATCGCATGGTAGGCAACTTCCGAACTATCTTCTTCTTCGTCATCATCATTTTCATAATAATCCTCATCATTTTCATCGTCGTCGTCGATAATATCAAAATCGTCATCGATATGATATTCATTCTCTGGAAGATAATCTTCATCGTCTTCAACTTCTTCTTCTTCATTCGTATCATCGTCATCATCGTCATCATCTCCATCATGGTGCAATGCGTGTAACTCGGCCAATTCCTCCATAAGCTCTCTTGCATCCTCACCGTCAAGCTCGCTATCACTGTCGGGTAGGAGGGCGTCACTAATTTCATCATCGTCGAGCTCAATGAAGTAGCCTTGTTCAACTCCTGTTTCCGTGCTTTCCTCATTTGAGTCACTCGACCTTTGTCTATGAATTTGTCGCCTTCCTGAACCATCCCCGTTCGAATGGCTTACGAAAATAGTGCTGGCATGATATCGCGGGCGGTCGGAGCTGCGGTTTCCGTTAGCATGCGTATCATTCGAGCTGTAATCGACCGCAAGGGGTCTCGACGTTACGACTTGTATAGAATCTGAATCTTCATCCATTTCATCACTTGAGTCCGAATTCATATTCTCTTCATCATAATGTACGGCGTTCGACATTATCAGGTCAACTAATGGGTACTTTGTTCTGAGTTCCGCCGATTGTGCCCCGCCTTTTACGCCGGTGACTGGGAAATGGAGAAATTACAGAGTAGTCGTCGCCAAAAAGAAACCCTCCTTCCGAACTTGGGTAAACTGCGATAACTGAAATAATGAAATTCATAAAAGGTTTAATGGATGGAACCACTTGGTATGGCTGGGAGGTGAAGACTGAGGTTGGGTTGGCCATGGTTCGCCTACATAGAGCCGAAGCGTTGGCAACGTATGTAAGTTGGCGTGAAGTAGATTCTAGAAAATGACATTTATTTTACAATTTCTTCATCTACCCGCTCAATTCGTTACAAAGGGCATTGACAAGAACATGGCTCTCAGCCTCTATCAATCCGTGCGCTAAAGGATGTGAATTTCGACATTGTTTGGTTTGAGCATAGTCAGCTGCTGTGGACCAGTCCCTTTCCATAGTCCAGATATCCCATACTTCTGCCCCCAGCTCCTCTGTAAGTCGCTTCCTTGTATGCATTTCATACTTCTCTATGCGGTCAGAAGTTAAGCCCTCCTTACCACAACATGAATATCGAAAGCTTCTGTATATTATTGGCACAAGTGAATATCGGTGCTTGAAGTTTTGGATAAGCTCAGTAAGTCGGTCGTCGAATTGCTTGAAAGTCAAAAGTCTAATGTCACGCAACGGAAGGCCAAGTATAACCAATCCTGGGCTCCAGAAGTGATCTTTGTCGTTAATATAGTCAAGATAAGAAGATTCAAAGGGATCCGCCATGGATTTGCTAGGTTTTATAGCTCTGGATAGTCCTCCAAACTTGATAACAGTAATTTTGGGATCAATCTCTTCCATCGTGGCGGTGTCGTTGAGGCTTTCTTGCTCAGCATAAGGTGATTCTGGTGCGTGGTCGACCCTTTCACCAGGAAGTACGCTTTCGCGTTCTATGGATAGATCCAAAAATTTGGTATGATTAACAAGCAGAAGGTCCAGATGGCCATGGGCAGATTTCATCTTCTTCCAGTCATATGCAGGATCTGCACATGAGCACCTTTCCCTCCAAGCATCCTGTCTACTGCACCATCGACCATGGCTCCAAAACTTTCTAAGGTAGACTCCTCTATCTTCATTGTCGATATACCAATGAACTTTTTTTGCAGTCCGTTGTAAACATGTTCGTATGGCTTGTAACTTCATAACCTTGTGCCTGCATTCATAGGGTACCCATGCAACCTGATCGTCGTTTCTTTGTACGGTGAAAACGGCAGACTTCTTCTTCAACGGACGCATTGTTGGCCCAAATTCGATTTTCTCTTTGGCAACCCATCGACCGTTGTGATCTGAGCCATAGCACAAAGGAAGACTCAGTCTTGACTCGAGACTCCACTTGTGTGGTAAGCGAAGTCCTTCAACAAGTACCATATCTTGTGATTTCTGTATTCTCCATGGTGTGGTTGAGCCCTCCAGGCGTCTTTCCACAAATCCGTCAAACTGGTAATATGATGCGTCATACAATTGAACCTCTGCTTCGTAGATTCGAAACGTGTCCCTTGGTAGACTGAAATTCGTTTTTGCCATGTCTCCGTCATTCATATGCCTTCGATACCCGGCCCATGGCTTCATATCAAGTACCTTTCGAATCCCTGTCACCTCACTGTATGCCCAAACGACGAGAGTATCTGCCTCATCACTATCATTCAATTTGACTGGGGGAAGGGGAGCTCCGTGATTTTGACCAAAATTGGTTGGAGGTACCGCCACTCGAACGCAAAATGGCTGTCCTGGTTTAACGTGAATAGGACTACGCTTACTGACGGCCGTTAGCCACAAGCTTGCTGTCGAGTTGAGACCCCTCAAAGAAAAATTGGTCTTATCAAAGTATCTAGTTGGCACAGGAGTGTTGGCACAATCATATTTCCTCCATGTTGCGGTAAATTTGTTCACTGTTATGCATTTCGTTAGTGCGAGCAAACATACTTTCCAAAGAATCATCTTATAGTTTACTACCTTCTGATAGCTCCTCCGTACTTGTGATAATTGCCGGTTGATATTTGTACAATAGTAACATGATTATACATAGCAGCGTTACAGAATAGCCGATTTTGTAATTGTGGTGACGATATCTGATGCCACGTAATTTGCATAGATTGAGCATATAAAGGTGTATTTTGTATTTTTGAGGGTAATGTAGAAGGAACGAAACGAGGGTAGGAATAGAGAGAGAAAAAAGTGACCTCTTGTTTAAATACAAAAGCCCTGAAAGGGCATAGGGGCATCCCTCCTTTACACATTACGGAGACAAGAACAACCAAAATTATAGCAGCAAATTACTGCTCAGAGGGAGAAAAATATAAAGTTGTGTGGCAATTCGCCTTCTACAATAGCTATATTTCATTTTTAATTGCCATCAATATATTCTACATAAAGTTCAAACCAAGGCCGAGTTGGAAACCACGTTTAAACATGTCACCTCGAGCGACTGTCAGAGGTATACAGAAATTAAGCTCCAATCGCGCTACACTATGTCGATATATGATGCCAAAGCCGACTGCAACACTTGGTGACGCGGTCAGTGCCTTTATGGTGTCTGATGTGCTTGTTCCTGTTTGTTGTATTTGAGCTATATCAGATATGGTGTCCAAAAAAAGAAAACCCTGCAAATTGTGGACGTATAAGCTTACCAGTTTTCCAAGGGATGAGTGAGCCTGCATTAACAAAAGCGTGTCCACGCAACGGTTTATCCGCAAGCTTTGGTAACGGAGTGATCAAACTAACACCTGTGGCCCAATAAGCATCTCCACCTAAACTGTCCTCTGCATTGTGAAAAAATGATCAGTTACACTTTTCCGAGCACCCTAGTGACCATCCCTAATATACATACTTTTGTCTCTCGGGCCAACACCACAGGTTCGGAAGCCGCGAATACTGAGCGGTCCACCAAGCATGAATTTATCTGAAATATTAGCCTCCTTGTCATTAAGTGTTGCCAATAGACCACCTCGGACGTTAAGGCTAAGAACAATTCCAGGAGCAATTGCTTTAGCTAGACCGTTTTCGTCTCTTAATATTTCCCCACCGCCATGCTGACGAGCAATCGATGCTTCCACTTCGTGCTTAAGGTACTTGGTATCACCTATTTTGCCAACACCAGCCAATTCCTGGGTAAAGCGGAGATAATATCCTTTTGTTGGCAGCAACATATCATCTCGTCGGTCGCGAACAAAAGAGTGAGATATAGATGACTTTAAGGAGTGTCCTGCTTGATTGCGGATGCTATAATATACTATTTTAATATCTCGCTATGCGCATCGTTGGACGTAGAGACATCTTACCTCAAAGACCCGTTTTCAGCAATTCTATCAATAGTTCTCCAAGAGAGATCGTAGGAAATTTCATGGAATCCCCAATTAGACAAGCCCTGATGTAACGTGTCAGACAGATGTGCTCTATTCAAAAAGTGTGGAAGACAATGGGGAGACCACAATTATCATACCTTAAAGCGTGCTCCAATGCCTCTGACAAGTTCTTCGTGAGAGCTGAACATCATGTTGTTACGCACAACGCTATGAGCATTGACATCAATTCTTGCGTCGGGAGAAGCATTGACTGGTCGACTCAAACTGAATTGGAAGGCAGAGCTGTTTCGAGTTCCAAAGGAAGCTGATGTTTCTAGCATTTCAGCGCCACCAAAGACGTTGCGAATCACTACAGATCCATTCTGCATATCAAATGGGGTCAACACCAAAGTAATCGACATGACGAATTTCAACGACTGCTTGAACTTACCATATTGCCTTCACCATTTCCGATCTCGGTACCAGTCTTCAAAAAGAAGCGACTCTTTTCTTTGACACTAAAAATAACATCAAAGGCATCTTTGGCAGCAAAAGGGTCCCTAGAAGTATCTAGGATGACATTGACACTGTCGAATATGTCCAACCGCTGAAGTCTGTCAGCAGTATGTTGCACATCGTTAATAATGTCAGCAATCGTCATTCCGGTAAAGGTATTGGATGTAGCTAGCTTCAAAAAGGAATCACGGGTGCGTTCTGTTCCGAGCACACGCAATGAGTGCACATGGCCAGGCTGTGACGCTGTTGCATTCAGCTGCAGTTGAGATGTTAGGACACTATCGATTACAAAAGAGTGGACAATTATCACCTACCAGTCCGAACATGCGGAAGGCAGCCTCTTCATATGACGGTGGCGGAGGCGCACTGGCAGAGGCGCGTTCCTTGTCGTCTTCCATTGCTTATTAGTTTAAGCTGTGCAGTGCTTTCAATGCCGCTGTCCTCTGGTCCATCTTGTTTGAGCTTCAATATCACGTGCAATATTAACCGTCACATTTTTCTTGCCTTGAACATTTTTTGCTGGCGATTTTTTTTTTTTGTCCAGATCTACTGTAACAAAGATTTCAAAATGGTAGCAGCTGGCGCAAACCCTAACCGCGAAAAGGGTGGTTCAGCCTTAAAGCGACTGAAGAACTCTTTGAAGACTGCCGGTATCATTGGCCAAACCTCTAGAGCCAGCTTATCGAAGAAAGACAAGAAGAGAGGAAATCCAAGCGAAGTTGGCAAGCATGACCGAGCCGAAAAGCTGAATCTGATCAAGGGAGAAATGAATCCATTTGAAATGAAGGTTACAAACACAAAGTTTGAAGTTCTCGGCCGTAAAGTCAAGGGTGCTGTCGGAAAGCCAGCGCTGACGAAACAAGTTGGTGAAGACAACGTAAGTACTTTTAGATTAGTATACTCTCCTAACACAATATACTAATCAGGTCATTGGCGATTACAGCGAAAGAAAACTCTTCTTAAAGAGATGAAGAACAAGGGAAAGGCTGGAGGAATTGTGGATAAGCGATTTGGAGAAGAGAACCCTAATTTGACACCTGAAGAAAAGATGTTGGAAAGATTTACAAAGGAAAAGCAGGTTAGCTAACTTTCTGTCGTTCTGACATGTCCCTTACTAGTACTGACACATATATTGAATAGAAACAAACACGATCGACCTCGCTTTTTAACTTGGATGATGATGAAGAAAACTTGACTCATTATGGACAATCTTTGGCTAATATCGATGATTTCGACGAAGCAGATCTAGAGCTCAGTGATTCTGAAGACCGCGGTGTCATTGACCCTAACACAGTTTCACGCTCCCATTTCGGTGGTTTCGGTGAAGAGGAAGAAGATATGAAGCACTTTGACCGACCAAAATCGAAAGCAGAAGTTATGCGAGAAGTCATTGCCAAGAGCAAACTTCACAAGGTATGTCGAATCTGCCCATTATACTTATATGTCTTTTATCAAGCTTTTCTAATTTTTTTCTCCAGCTTGAAAGGCAAAAGGAGAAGGATGAAAACGATGATGTACGCAAAGACTTGGACGACGAATTCGAAGATCTTCGGGGATTGCTCGACATGGCCAAACCAACAGCACGACGACCACTACCTTCACAAAACTCAGTTTACGGTAGAGTGGAAGACGAGAGAAAAGATAAAGAGTTGGATGAAGCTGCTCAAAAGGCATCGGCTCCCACTGTGGAAGAAGATGAATATGAAGATTATGACAAGTTTGTGCGAGAGCTTGCATTCGATCAGCGAGCAAGGCCATCTGACCGAACAAAAACTGAAGAAGAGATTGCTGTTGAAGAGAAAGAGAAGTTGGAAAAGGCAGAAAAAGCAAGAAAACGCCGTATGGATGGCCTAGACAGTGAAGATGAGAATACTCCTGAATCAGGTCGCCGTTCAGCAAAGGGCCCCGCCAACAAGAAGCGAAAGAGAGCGCCACAGGCTGATGATCTGGACGACGATTTTGAAGATCAAGAAGGCCTTGAACTTGGTCATGGTCTTACACTTGAAGATATAATGAATGCAAATGGTGTTGACGAAGACGAATCTGAAGAACAAGGCGAAAGTGAATCCGAAGAGGAAGAAAGCGAGAATGATGAAGACGAAGGTAGCGCTGATGAAGATAGCGACATCGCTGACCTTGAGAGCTCAGACGAAATGGAATTTGGCGAAGATGAAATGAACGAAATTGGATCAAATGGTAAAATTGTCAAGCAGAACGGAAAGAAGACGAAAGCAGCAGCACCAAAGAAGAAGACCACTTCCGATAGCTATGAAATTCCCTATACGTTCGAATGTCCTTCCGATCACGTTGAATTCTTAGAGATTCTCGAAGACATTCGTCTGGAGGACACTCCTACTGTTGTTCATCGTATCTGCGTTATGCATAATATAAAGGTTGCTGCTGAAAATCGGCAAAAAATTGAGGTACCTATCTCGACTTTGCAACTGCTTTTACTCACATTTTCACTAATGGATTGCATTACTAGAAATTCTTTGCTGTGATTGTCGATCATATCGCTCATCTTGCCGCAACTGAGTCTCCAATGCCTGTTAAGGTCATTAGCCGTCTTGATCAGCAATTGTTTAATTTGGCACAACAAATACCTCAACATGCTGCTTCCGTCTTTATTGAACGACTCACAAATGCTCAGAACTCTTATAAGGAGCAACTATCTGTTACATCTCAGTTCCCAGACATCAAGACTTTAGTCACTCTCCGTACACTTGGCCATATTTTCCCTACTTCGGATTTCAGTCACCCAGTTGCTACACCTGCAATGCTATATATGACTGAAATTTTGGCTCAGGCAGAGATACGATCCGAAGTCGATATCGGTCGCGGTCTATTCTTGATCCAATTGTTGCATGATGTAAGTGGTACACATTGGCCTCATTTTTTTAAAAAAAAAAAAAAAACTTTTTTGCTCACAATTTCATTTTACCACAGTATCAAATATTGTCTAAGCGCTTCATACCCGAGGTCTTGAACTTCATCAACCTATCCTTATACTTACTCGCACCAGTAACAACGCAATCGAAGATAACTGTCGCCTTCCCGCTTCCTGAATATGCTCGAAACCAAAAACTTCACATTAAGGAAACGAGCAGCGCATCACCTCAACCACTGAGTGCATCAGCGTTATTGACAGACAAACTCGGTCGTGACAGTGTCAACGCTGAACAGGTACGAATTTCTTTGGTGGTCGCCCTATCCAAGGTTTTAGAAGCATACATGCAATTGTACAGTTCAACTGCTGCTTTCGTTGAAACATTCGAACCATGCCTGAATGTTCTTGAAGCCATGAAATCTGTTGATAACTGGAATGAGGATGTGAAGGTATGCAATCGGTTATAACTCTTTGATAACCACTGCCTTAAAGTTGCAATTTTTCTAATTATTATGCCTCTTACTCAGACAAACCTCATCAATGTTTACGATCGACTCAAACGACAAGTCAAATTTGGAACCGAGAAGCGTACCAAGACACCGCTTCGCATGCAATACCATCGCCCTGTACCAATTGCCCAATATGTGCCCAAGTTTGAGGAAGGCTACTCTATGGATCGTCATTACGATCCTGATCAAGAACGTGCCCAATTCAACAAGCTCAAGGCACAAACTGCCAAGGAAAGGAAGGGCGCTATTCGTGAACTTCGCAAGGACAATATGTTCATGGCTCGTGAGAAGCTCAAGACAATCAAGGAGAAGGATGCCCGATACCAGAAGATGCTTACTGGTGTCATGACGGTATTGGAAGCTGATCAAGCTGAAAAGAACGAACTTGAGTTCCAGAAGAGGAAGGAACAAGGAAAATTCTAAATCCACTTTCAATCATTTCTTTGCTGTATTTTTTTTTGTAAAGCTCAGTTCACACCATTTTTTGCATATGCCACACTAACCCAAAATTAAAATAATAGAAGTTTGTTAGAAACAATCATGAACACATCGATGCAATGGTTGCCGGTGCGAAACGAGAAGAAAAATATCGTTGCCGGGTATGCACAATGATTTCCGCCATACAGAGGTCTGGTTTTGACATACAATGATATTTCAGTTTCATTTTATAACACACGCAGGGGTATACAATAATAATTATCAGAACATTCCTATAGGGTATGATATATGAAGGTATTTAAAAGGTCTCATCTCCATTAGGGCAGTTGTCCGTAGCGTGAAGACCATATTCCTCACAGTTCTCGCAGTACTATTGAAGAGTGTGAAGTATAAGTATTAAGAATTCGTCTTTAGGTGAGCACACTATGGATATGACTACGTACCGGTCGATCACTGTCTGCATTACTACTTGTGTTTACTCTCTTTGTCTCCGCAGCAAAATCAGCCTCGCTCAGCAAAGCTGTACAGCTAATAATATCATGGCCATGCTGTTCACAGATTTCACAATAGAGTGCGTCATTCGTCTTCTTGGCAGTTGCTGGAATGGGCATGGATGGTGCTTTTACTGAGGAACTGTTCGTGATGGAAGCCTTGCGTTCATAAGACTTCCCGTTACTCCTGGCACTGGAATCTTTGATTTGAATTTTAAGATCTGATATTTCATCCCGCAATCGTTTTACAGTCTTTCGCTCTGATTCAACGGCTTCTTCAAGATCAGCCTCCTTGAAAATCTTACTTTCAATCAAAGACTCTAGCTCCGCAATGTCTTTGTTGAGTGCATGAATTTCTCGTTGTTTAGTGCGTTCTAAATCACTCAGGCTCTGTTGTATCTCGCGGATTTGTGCGGCATGCTGAACATTAATGCGGTCGAGTTGCGTTTGCTTTTCGGCATATTGCTTTTGGAGAAGAATCAACTTTGCGTTGTCCGGTGAGGAGTCAGACATGGCATTGATGTTTGCAGTTTCTTGACCTTGAGTGTCATTGTCATCAAGACCCATTAGCCCTTCGGAGTGCAATCGCTCCACTTCATCCATGAGCTTTAAGCACTCGTTCTCCACACTCTTATGTGCCTCCAAAAGCTTTTCGTATTCAACGTTGAGCTTTTTGTTCTCGTCGCTGAGCGCCTCCGCTTCCTTCTTTGCGCCTGTTGCTGTGTGCTTTAGTGAAGCAATTTCTTCTTCGTATTTCTCTGCTTTGTTCACCAACTCCTTGATATGTCGTTGATCGTCCTTACTAGTAGTTGTTGATTTACTCGTCGAAAGTTGAGCAGCTTTGAATTTTTCAAGTTGTTCGACAGTTAGTGCCAGCTGCTCCTTCTGCTTTACTACCATCTGATTCTGAGCTTCCAATTTTTCAACTTCTTGCTGGAGATTAGCAATGCGCTGTTCCTGCTGTTGTATAGCAGCAGACGAGGAGTCTGCGCTCTTCGTAGCTTGTTCGGCTTGATCCTTGGATTGATGCAGTATTACTAATTCTTGCTTTTGCTGCTCTAATTCACTATGAAGTTTAGTGACAGTATCTTGCAAGTTTCTGTATTCTGCCTCTGCTTTCTTTTGTGCTTCAAAAGCGCCTCCCATGTCTTCTAATGACTTGTTTCGCAATTTACTAAGCTCCTCGTAATCTCGTTCGGCATCTTGAAGACGAGTTTCCAAGTTGTTTTTCTCAGCACTCAGTTTTTCGAATTGCTTTAAATTTTCTGTCAATTTCTCGTTTTCCTGTCGTAAGAGCTGCTGCTGCTGTTGCTGATCAGTCAAGCTCTGCTTGGCGCTGTTAATGTGTTCCTCTAATCGCTTTCGCTCAGAGTCCCATACAAGTTTGATCTTTTCGACTTCTTCATCCTTGCCGCCTTGACTAGCATTAACAAGTTGGTCTATCTGTTTTCGAAGATCGGTGACTTCCTCCTGCAACTGTTTGATTTGGTCTTCCTGGTGTTCAATCTCATCTGAATGCTGTGCCTTTAACTCGTGTATGGTAGATTCGTAAGCTTCAATTGCGTCCAGACCAGCAGTTCGCAGTTCGTCTCGCTCGACATCCATCATCTTGTTTCTGCGCCTTTCCTCAGCAAGCACAGCATTCATCTTCTCCATTTCAATTTTGTGAATTTCGACAGAACTTTCGTATAGCTCGATACTTTCGAATCCCGCTTTCTTTAAATCCTCCACAGTCTGTTCCAATCTTCGCAAGGAACTTTGATGGTCTTCTTCGGTTTCAATCTTATCCGTCATACTTCGTTCGAGTTGTTCCGATAGTTCGCGCTTCTCTCTTTCAAATCGACGCTTGGTTTCTTCCAATTCTCTGTTCTTCTTTTCCAGCTGCATCTTGCTTTCGCCAGCATCGTCAAGTTCCCGAAGGCGGGTTTCGAGCTCAGAGATCTCTTCCAGAAGACGGTCTTTGTCACGCTTCTCTCGTTCAAAATCACTCTTGATGCGACGAATCTCTCGCTCCTTTTCTTCACACATGTTGCGATAGGACTCTACTTGTTCAGACATGTTGTGCAAGAACATGTCCTTAGCACGCATTGCCTCTGTCAAATTAGCCATTTTGTCGTGAACTTCCTCCATTTCGGCTTCCAGTCGTCGCCGTTGGTCATACATCTCTTCAGAAAGCCCCTCATCCGTGTCAGTCTCTTTAGATCTGGTGAGAGCTGCCTGCTGTGCGATGGCTGCTGCAGCATTAGCTTCGGATACCGCTAACTTTTCTTCCAGCTCCATAATTTTCGAATCTAAACGACTCTTCTCTCGTTCAATATCATGAGCTCGATTCTCGGCATTCTCACGCTCCGCAGTCCATTCGTCGCGCTTTTGGTTGAATTCCTCGGTCTGCATTGTCAGCTTCTGTTTACTCTCTTCCAATCGAGCTTTGTCAGTATCCCATTTCTGTTGACTCTCTTCCAGTTGAGACTTCAATTGGTCGACAATCGCTTGATGACCTTCCAGGGTAAACGTGACATCTTCTGTATCACCGTTTTGTTTATGTAAAAGCAACGATTTCTCCAAGATTTGCTCAGCCGACTTATTTTGAGCATTCTCCAGCTTCAAAAATTTATTTTCCGCCTCCAAAACTTCAACTCGCAGTTGTAATTGTTGTAGTCGCATTACATTTTCATCGGGAGCTTGAGATATGGCGTCGCCCAGAAGTCGATGTAGGCGGTTGTGCAATGCTTCATCTTCGCCGCCATCTGTAGATGATACATATGAGTGTCTACTGATATCAGGACTCTGTGGCGGTGGAGTGGGAGATGCTATAGCTGATGAAGTGGCCGAAGCTGTTGATATCCGACGTGCTGCACTACCCGGTGGTACATGAGATTTTCGGGAAATAGGCGTAGTAGTTCTACTGGCATTTGTGGACGATCGTGTGAGAGGTGTGACGCTCTTTTTAGTCCTATTGATCATGTTCGTATTTGTACGTCCTTGGGTAAGTTGATTTGCCGTCATGCCCAAGTATTTTGATGCTCTTGAGCCACTTGATATCCGTGCAGCTGCTAGAGCCGCATTATGAGCGGATGCTGTGCGTATAGGAGGACGATCACTGGTGTTACTGGCCGAAGATGCTGAGCGTTGCCGTCCATTATCCAGGGATCTATTAGAAGGCGAATCTGATCTAACTGAGTCGGTATCTGGTTCCGACAACGGTGTTACTTTTGTTGAAAGTAGAAAAAGACCGGTCTGCGGCGGGCATGTAAAATAGTCAATGCTAAATCATGCAACCATTTCGTTAGTTGAAATAAGGCCATTGAAATATATCAAGACATTTCATATTCATGCACTTACCCACTGACGCTTCCATCGTTTTTTCCTGTACCAACTATATCTAATTCAACGCCTGCCCATATACCAGACTTGAACTCAGTTGGTCCCAGGAAGCGCAATGTACCACAAAGCCCTAGAGAGTGCATAGCGACTCGTTGTCCGATGCGTAGCTGGCCGTCACCTTGTGAAGTAGCTACCTTCTCTGCTGCTACTGGTCGACGACCACTGCTTACAGAAGATACACGGTTCAGAGCTTTGGTGGATTTCGAAGGCTTTGGAGAAATGGTGGTTGCAGAAGACGCGATTGAAGATCTCTGTGGTGTCGTTCTACCAGAAAGTGATGAGGCGGTTGAATACCGGTTAGATTCTTGGAACATCTCATCCAGTGAAGCTATTGAGGTACGAGTGGTGGTGGTGCCTCGCCGCAACGTAGTTGACTTTGATGTTCTTGGCTGAACGCTAGTTGGATCTGAAACACGAGAAACATTGGTTGCTCTTCGAGTAAGAGACGGCGGTGCCGTCTGTTCAGAATACCTATCGGCATTCGAGCTTCTTGGAAGGGTGCCGTATGGATTTGCTAAACGAGAGTTAGGAGATGGACCTTTTGGTAATCTCGACATTTTGCAAAAGAAAGGGCAGGTTGCACAGGCACGTTGAAAGGGGGCCGTTGAATAAAATTGAAATGACAGGGACAAATTCTCGACTTTTATTATGGTATTCTTTACTTTAAACAGGTTTATCACCAAACAAAATGTGAAGGTCGTCTAATGTGCGCTTTTCATCCTTGCCGGAGTATAATCCATTTGCAAGCACCTAACGAAATGTCGGTTAGTAAAGTGTGGTCATCTTCCGAGGTGCTCATCTCAGTACACTTACACTTTTTCGTTCCTGGATTGCCAGAATCTTCTCCTCCACGGTTGAACGCATGATAAAACGCTTCACAGTGACCTGTTACAATTCATTAAAAAACTTGAAAAGCAAATTTTATAAATGTTGTAGTTTCACACTTACTTCTTGCTTTTGCCCTAGTCTATGTACACGGTCGATCGCCTGGGCTTCCGTAGCAAAGTTCCACCATGGGTCCTGTTGATATTGTTTGTTTAGTTGGGTATGCAAACTACAATAAAGCCTTTAGAGGACAAATAATTACCATCATGTAAACTTTGGAAGCACAAGTCAAATTCAATCCAACTCCACCAGCTCTCAAGCTGATCAGCATGACTGTAATATCACCCTCTCGAAACTCCTTCAAAGCCTTTTCTCGCTGTAATTGTGATTGCGTGCCATCAAGGCGGGTAAATGGGATGCCCTCTATAGTCAAAGCTACTTCGATCAAATCGAGAAACGTCGTAAATTGCGAAAAGACGACGGATTTTATAGGCTCTCCGGTAGAAGTCTTTTCACCCAAGGTTTGCCTTAAATGTCTAAGAAGAGCATCCAGTTTGCTGGAAGTCTTGAACCCGTCAGATCTTCTTATATTGAATGTTACTGTTTCTTTCTTTTTATCGCTTGCAGCCATTCCAACTGCATCCGAAATATTGGACTTTCGCTTCTTGATTACTTCTAGCAAGTTTGCCTCCGAGATTGGGCCGTGCCGGCAGATAGGGCATTCGCCAGGAAGGCCGTCATCTTCTCTTTTCTATAGTGAGCGCACATAGTATTAGATCAAGTCATCATGCAAGCCACCTTAATCATACAAAGTGCATACCTGTAGGTAATCTAGAACACAGGCCCTACATGCCATATGCATGCAGGGCATAAGCACAGCGCTTTCCGCACTCTCAAAGCAGATAGCACACTCTGAATCACCCTCTTCTTCTCCTGTCTGCTGTGATTTTAAACGTTGCAATACGTTTATACCGTATGTATTGTTGTCGCTTGCAGAATCTCCTGGCTTAGCATCAAGACTTGTACTGTTTTGAAACTTTTCTAAGAGTTCTTCAAGCGAGACGGAGCCGCTCTAAAATATAGGCAGTCATTAGCGCTGACGTTTAAATTTACCACACACAACATAGATCCTTACCGCTGAAAGGACTTCTTTGTCTATACCATCCTTGACAACGAGATATGGATGGCACGAAACTTGCCGTAGCCGCATTAAAAGTTGAAATATAGATGCGTAATTACTAAGAGCCTTGCCAGCTGCACAAAAGTAGGAAAACTTGGTTTTTGAGTCCGTGAACAAAGAATTGTAGATGTCTTGCTCTTCCGGGGTAAAATCCAGATATTCAATATCGATCTGCTTTTTCGGTAAAGTTACAAGTAGATTCCCCTGAGCGTCACGCATGGTCTTTGTACGTCGAAGAACAATGGGTTCAAGAACTGTTTGCACAACATCGTAAGCGCGCAAATCTTTGTTCTGGAAAGGGATGGTGATGAAGGCTCGCCAGAAACTGTAGTTTGACCTATGAAACATAAATCAGCGTTAACATAATAAATTTACATCTGTTCGTAAATTTTGGTTCGCAATTACACTTACCAAGGCTCGTGCTTTAAAAAGTGAACGAGAGCGTACAGATCATCCAGTTTGTTTTGAATAGGTGTGCCCGTCACAACCCAACGTCGGATCGCACTCAACGCTGAACACGCCTTGGATGTCTTACTCAATCGGTTCTTGATATGGTGTGCTTCGTCTAAAATGATTCTCCAAAAATCTACACTATAAAGGCCGCTTTGCAAATCTTTTGTGTTGCTATCAGAAAGCCATTCAGATAAAACAGTTCCATACGTAGTTATGAGAACGTCAGGAGCGGCACCATTCCAACTTTGCAGTCGACTCACTAGGCTTGAGTCTCGTGATGTGCCATAATATACTTCCACCTTCAAAGTGTTTTCTTTTGATCCTCGTAGAAATTCATCGCGCCACTGGCCCAAAAGCGACATAGGACATACGATTAATGTGGTAGGTGAAGGCAGCTTGGAAGAGTTTTCTGATGACTGGAAGGGGTTTCTCGGTGGGGAACGTTTACCAAGTGTTGGCTCCTTTGATATTGTGGGTCGATTAGCGTGAACAATGCTTAACATTTCAATTGTTTTTCCAAGACCCATTTCTACAGTACATGATCAGTGGATTAGAATAGTCATATTTGCAGCTTCATTTCATAATCAAAAATACAAACCGTCAGCAAGAATGCCACCTCTGCATGCCGATTCAGCGCTTTTAAACTGTAAACTCATCTCGCCAGTGAAAGGATTTATATAAAACTTTTCGTGCATAATGCTGGCCGTGTTCCATGGATCGGATGGAAACCGATATTCCTCCCATAAAGGGTGAAGGGAACCAGTGTGGTTGTTCGAGCTGTTGTGCATATTCTCCTTTCGCATCATCCACGACAAAGCCTACATGTATGGGTTTAGCAAAAAAACCCATCAGACCATCAAAAACAATAATGCGCTTCCAATTCATTACCTGTTTTTGATAAGAACGCAAGTTTAGCGCAATGCCTTCAGGAGTCTCCATCTCGTCCAAATTTGAATCCATCATCTGAGCCTTTTCGTACAATGCATCCAGTCGATTGTCTGAAACTTCTTTGACCTCCTCTTCGGACGATTCTCCCTCTTCATCGTTCGTGCTATTACTATGTTGCTGATCATCTTGCGCTGCCGACTGGTTGATTAGCTCTCTGACTTTTTCTTCGCCGCCAAGGATTTCGTTGGTTTTAGAGAGAGATGATCGTACTGAAGAAAGACCCAATGCTTTGAGCAATGATAGTATCGCCAGTTTTCGCTCTTTCATTAATCGCTCTGAATCTGTTTCGGCGCCTTTATCAAATATAGGCGTCTTGGATGATGATCTGTGAATTCCTAGCATAGACAGCTGTGCTTTATTGCTAGCATCAAAAGCTGCGAAAGCCTTTGGGGTAAAGTAGCAGCTCAGCTGCACTATGATATCGTCGCCAGTAGAAAGTACAGGGTTGCAAGATATAACGGTGCCATAAAAGTTACAGACCTCGAAATCGAGTAATTTTGAGACCCATTTAGACACTTCGGAAGGTAAACGACCAAATTCAACGCCTTTGCTTGTGATGAGGCGTACCACTATATTTTCCTTTGAATTTTTTGCCGTGAACCGTGCCTTTTTAGTAGGGACCATGTTGGGCCGTACGCGATCTAGCGCTATATTATCACCTTCTTCTATTGGACTTTTTCCCTTGATACTTGACCAGCCTGCATTGATTGTCAATCAGATCTATCTAAATGCTTCCATATGTAAAGACTGCATACTTACCAATTATCATGATATCTCCAACATAAGATCCTGACCTTGAAGTAGCTGCTTCTTCACTATTGCTTAGCGACGAGTTATCCTTCACATCAATTACATTCGTTTTGACTTCAGGTTCTGTAACTTGACTTTCCCAGAAAAGATTGGCAGCTGCTTCAAGATTGCCGTTAGATTGCTGATAAAGGTGCGCCAAAGTCTGGTCATCGGTTTCTGGAAGCACCAATGGCCGTAGTGCCTCCCAGGCGGGAGGTGCACTAAGGCTTTCTAAACCATTGGAGCTGTCTGCAGATTCTGGAGCCTCTAGAAAAAACCGCCGTTTCTTGGGTTCCGGTGAAGTGGTCATGACAGATCGTGATCGAAAACCATGTTCGAACGCGCAGTCACTGCCTTTTTTTTTGGATTTTCCAACGCGCTCTGCTGCCATCGAAATTTTGTGAATTAACGCGTTCACGGCCGATATACGTTGACGAGCGTACGAAATATGGCAACCAGGAGACTTGTACTTTAAACCACAATACTTTTACGTGGACAGAAAAAATTTGCAAAGTATCTCTTTAAGCTTCATGAAAAAAAACTGATCACTGATTGCCTTATGACTGGCTTCATTTACCTTATCGTTAAATAGCACATTTCTCTTCTTTCCATCAAACGTTCGAAAAGTAATCTCACACTGCTTGCTGTTTGAGCATAAATCTATGTATCTTTTGAGCTTAACTTTTATCTGTCTTTTTCGAAAGCATGTTTGTGTCTTCAATACTTGAGTGAAACTAAGACCAATTTTCGTTAATATTGTATATTACAGACTTCAATGCAAGTGAAAAACTAAAGGCTTTACTAAATTTCTGTTAATCTTATCATCGAAAATATCAATTAGATAAATATGTAGGGCGAATCAACGAACCCGCATACCATCAATAAGACGCGAACATCTTCGCGCATGTTCTTTTGCTTCGCTTTATGAAATTAAGTTTCAAAACATTTCGATGAAATCGATTAAAATTTACACTATAGCAGCTGAATGACGTTCTTGAAAATATAGAATGTTGAAAGTAAAATAATTGGGACTTAATGTTATATCGAGCCGCACTACCAAAGGAGAATAAAATGCTGCTTCAGACAAATTCTATGCAGTCTATAGCTTTGAATTTCCACCTTCCTTCCAAAAAATACATTAATGTAATTTGGAGTTGAGCTCTTTAGAGAACAAAATCCTTGTGTTCATCTCAATTATGGTTCTACATCCTCTCTAAAATACATAAATCAAGCATTGTTGTTGTTCGCTATTTTCGCGTAACATTTTGTAAGCGCTGATATATTCGCCCCCTTTCACCATAAGTTCCTCTGATGGGGATGTAAAGTCACGTAAGTGACCCGCAGTTTGAGACTTAAAGAGAAAAAAATACTGTTTATTCAAATGTATCGAAACACTTATAGGTTTCTCGACCCACTTTTGCTAGTGATTGCCGTTCACTGCGCGCTTTAACACTAGTTCTTCTTCGGTGGCCAGCTTATAGCTGCCATTGCCAAGACATGCTAACACCAGGTGCGGAGAGGTATTAAACTTGGGTGCCAACTTGCCTGCATCCCTATGGAGCATCCTTGGCACCTTATCCCCGACTTCTAATTTGCTCTTTGGGGCCGCGGTTTGGACTTCCAGAGCTTGAGACATCTCGCGCTCTGGAAACGTGCAGTGATTTCCTGATCAGCCTTCTCCACGGCTTTGACGATAAGCCATTTGGTGAAGTATTCAGGGGCGACCAAATATGTGTTGATTGCCGCGAATTGATGTTGGCAGAGGGCCAACGTAGTCCAAAGCGAACCTTTCAAAGATCTTTGCGACCAGAAAGTTGTGAAACATCTTCTCTTTCTTCGGAGCATCAGCGAACAGCTGGCATTCCACACAATCGCTATCCCCATCGCGGCATTTAGATTCGTCACTCTTTCTGAGCGTACCGCTTGACGCAAGAGTTTTGGATTAAGTCCGTTAATGAATTGGTGCAGCATATTAGCCTCAGATAGGGACGCTACTCCTGTGTCCTTTTCGACACTCTTGTCATGTTGGACTTTCTATTGACGGAAATGGTTGTTGTAATCGCGAGCCGCTTCGTTCGACTTCTTCTTGATCGAAAGTAATTTCTTCAGTGGAACGTACTTGCTCATTTTTGGCCTGAATCGTTCCACGAAGGCAGAGGAAAACTGGTCGAACTCAGTGAACTTTTCGTCATAAAACCAGGCTCTCACCTCTGATTTGAAGAACGTTGGCAGGACCATTAGCTTGTCCATGTCTGTTGTCCAGTCTTGCACCTTGGCAGTAGATTCGAACATCCTCAGCCAGTATTCTGGATCCTCCTTACGAAAGTATTTGGGTATTGGTAATGATTTCATGGTTACAGAAAGTGTGAAATCGCCGATATAAAACCAGGATTTTCTTGAGTCTGATAGGCTTTGATATTTTTGGGGTCTTATCCGAACGAGTGTGCACTTTCTGGTAGAAGGCACCAAATGTCGTAGTAAAATTTAGTTTGATAATAGAAAGAGAAATGGGTACAATATTCTTTGATATCAACAATGTATCAGAAAATATCTTTTTATTAGAATTGCTCTTACAGATAGCCAAAACTAAGAAAAGATCTCCCGCGAGTTTATTTCACTTCTAGGGCACGTCTTTATGCTACACCCGCTGACGACGTCAGCAAAATCAGTATTGGTATATAATCTGTTGTAAAGATTATATACTTAAATTTGTTGTGTTTGGGTTTGACTTTTGACGTTTTCCACAATGCTCGAATAGTCTCGCTTATAGTATAGCGCACCCCAAATGCAAAAAGGGTTTTGGTGAGAAAATTACAATGCCTATCACATCCACACAACCCCCCAACCCCCCAACCGAGAATGGGTCAACGGGTGCGATCGAAGAAGTGCTTCAAGTGGTCCGAATGCACATTCTTTAGGGCCAAATCGCTATTGGCTATGTTGAACCTACTGGAGGATAGGGCTTCAGTAACCCTGAAGGGTTGGGACCAGCGTGGTCGAAATTTTTTTGACACCGCGGACAACGCGGTGTGTGCCAACGGTGCCTTGAGTAGAACAGCGTCGCCTACTTGGAAACTGGGCTGGAGGTGTACTGTTAGGTCTATGCTCCATCACCTTTTAAGCTGCTGCCTTCATTTGTTGGATCAGATGATTCTTTTGATCCGATGTGGATTGCTCTTCTTCTCCTGCCCAGGTCTGCGGGTAGTATGGGTCTCGTCCGAAAAAGAGGAAGTGTGGAGTCTCCTTTGTGGTTTCGTGGACAGCGCTATTGTAGGCCCAGCGAAGGTGACGTATTCATCTATCCCATGCTTGTCCGTCTTGACAATAACTTGCAATCATGGTTCTCAGTGTCCGCATCATTCTTTCAACTTGCCCATTGGAGGACGCATGGTATGCAGGAGAAAATATGTTTTGTGAACCTAGCTGAGACAAGAGTGTTTGCAACCACGCACTGGAGAAGGGTGGACCGTTGTCCGAGAGGATCTCTTTTGGGACCCCATGCCTAGTAACAAAGTTGTTCAACAGGCATTCAGCGACTGTTGGCGCGTCTGTTTTAGCTAGAGGGTACAATTCCACATATTTTGTGTACGTATCCTGAACAACCAGTATATAACAGTTGCCGTTAGTTGTGGGTAGTATGGGTCCAAAGAAGTCCATTGCGACCCTTTCCATCGGAAATCGGCCAGAAGTGTCCTTTGGTATGTCCTTAGGTTCCGGCTTGTCCTTTGTCTCTGGCAAATGAAACAGGTCTTGATGTGCTGCTTGCAGTCCTGGACTAGCGTTTGCCACCAAAATTGCGCATGCAGCCTTTTGTTAGTTTTGGTTTGGGCAAAATGGCCTGAGAGTGGTGAGCCGTGTGCTGTTACTAGCACTTGTTGTACCAACGATTTTGGCACAACTTTTAGGTTTTTCCATTGACCCATGTTACGGTTGTAGGATCTACGGCAAAGGACATTGTCTGTCCCCACTGTGGAAAAGATTTGGCTTGACCCAAAGATTGCAACGCGTCATGCATGCTGACTGGGTTGAATTGAACCTTCGTAGTAACATCGTTGAGCCTGCGAAAGTCTGTAACGAGGCGATTGCTGCCATCAGACTTCAGCACCACTTTGGATGGAAACCCCCACTCTGGAAATTGGACTGGACTGACTATGCCATTTCGACGCGTCTCCTCCACTTCTGCGTCAACTGCACTTGCTTGACTTGGTGTATTTTTCTAGGTGGCACCAATACGGGTTTGGCACTCGTTACCTCCACTCTGAACTCTATGAGGTGAGTAATTTTTGGTTTCTTCGGATTGACTGCTATGACCTCTGGGAATTCCTTCAACACCGCCTTGACCTCTGGTTCTATAACTTGTTCTGGCACCTGGGCTGAGGAAACCATAAATGTATATCACGTTTGGCCAGTGGGAATTTTCGTACTTTTCACCATGGAATATGACCGTATCCGTCCTCGAGTCAATTATTCCCGGTAGCTTCACCATGCAAAGTCACGTGAGTGACCTGGTAGTTTGAGACTTGAAGAGAAAAGAATACCTGTTTATGCAAATGTATCGAAACACTTTTATTCTATGGTTTTTATGTGTGAGCTCAACAGGAGAAAAGTCATGTGATGTTTTCACGTGATCTTTTCACTCCGAAAAAAGCTTCTCGATTGAAACTAGCAAGTAGGCCGAGGGATAATCTATAGAAAGACCATGGCAGACAACAATGCGAAAAACATAGATCTGGACTCTCTCCCTTGTAAGATTAACGCATATATTTTCTAATGTCCGTTTACAGCTCACTTACCAGCATGTTTAGATGTCGATCGCGAGCTTGAAATTGCTGGAATGAAGGACAAAGTCAATTTGTTGATTGAGCAGGAAATGCGCAAGATCTCTAAAAAGGATCGGGTTCATTTCCCTAAAGATATCAAATTGTTTGCTGATGACGAAATATTGTCCTCAGAATGGGCAAGAACCAACAAACAGCTGTCGATGCCGACTCTTGACCTTTCTCGATACGATGTTGCACCACCTGCGGCAAAGGATAAAAAGAGCGTGGATGCATGGGAATCCGCGATAGACAACTCAAAGGCACAGTTGGAGGCACAAACATTAAGGTATGTAGACTAAGGCGCTCGTTCAAGAATATATTCGTATCAGATACTAACACGACAGAAACCAGATTATTCAACTTAGAGTTATTACAAAAGTACGGAGCAAATGCCTGGAAAGTTCATAATTTCCAGCTGGAAGCATATCTTAAGCAATTGAAGAGCGATGTGGAGGACAAAAAGAAGCAAATACTGGACCTAAACAAGCAGCGCAAATTTGAGCAGACGGAAGGAGGCAGCTCTTTGCGCGATCTTGAATCAAAATGGTCTGATCTAATAAGTCAAACGCTCCAAGTCGAGGTTGCTTGTGCTTCTCTCGAAAACGAATTGGAGGAACTGAAGAGATATGAAAACAGGATATCCAGTAATCAGTGACACTATATCTTTCTGTGTAAATAAATATTAGTGAGTTGACCAGGTGAACCTCTGTCTTTACTCCGCGCTTATATGGATTTGATTTACGTATAAAAATGAATTTGGTCATAGTCTTACGACAAAGATGTTCGTCACCGCCCTTTATGTTTTTATATGGTATGTATTTGTGTTGGTCATTGATATGCAAAAATGGCGCGCTATTGATGTCCCCATAGAATTTTCTAGAGCCAAAATACAAACTACCTTGTTGTTTTTTTAAAAAAAATAAATATGGATCTATACATAAAATTCATCAACACTCCCTTTGTAGTACTACAAGCTATGTTGGTATCCATGGCACGTTCGTGAACTGAAGGGGTATGATGGTCACATCCTTGGGCGGTGTCTCAAATGTCTCTGATTTTGTGCCTCAGCTCGCTCGGACGCTTGACGTTACCTGCTTTGGAGATGAGTGTGATAGGTACGATGATGGAACTATATGACAGAATGATATGTGTTACTGAAAAAGGAAGCTTTTTCCCTCTGCTCTCTAGTGTCTACCAAATTCTCGCAAGGGAGAGTGTACTATGCAGGAGAATCGGTGACATGTACCATCACATTTACGAACCCGTTGCCGACGCACTCAACGCCACCAACAAATAGCTCTTCCACGAATTCAAACCGAAGACGAAGCTCTGTCCGTCCTAATGCTACTCATATATCTCGGATGCAATCACCGACTAACCCGTCACACTCATCCTCGCCTCTGGTCAGGCATAGCAGACAGATTAGCGGTCAACACTCAAGATCCCAAAGCATGACCTTGTCCTCTGACACTTTGAACTCGAAAGACTCTAGCTTACCGCCTAGGAATGGTACATCGCATCGAAGAACAGAGAGCAGCACCAATAGTCTGTCGGTTTACGATAATAAGGATGCTACTGTGAATCGGAAGACTGCCTCATTTACGGATTTGGCCACCTCGACTTTTGCATATTTCACCGGCTTTTCAATTAACGATAAACAAGATGAAGAGCCGGATAATAATTATATTGATAAAACACTGCAAGAGGATAGTTATGAAAAGAAAGGTGAGCAGTATGATAATTTCACGTGCTACTCAGCATTTAACTGATGGTAGGATATCAGCCAATACAGCATCGGAAGATTTGCAGTTACAAGAAGAGGATGAAGCATCAGAGCCATCACAGGCTATATCCATAGAACTTGGATCTATAGACACCGACACACCCAGGTCATCAATAGATACACAAAGCACGTACATACCACGTGAACACGACAGCCGTCGTAGCAGCATCGATTCAACTGCGTCGTTTTCAAACCATCCTCACTCTCACATGTACGGCACGCCACGACTCAACTTTATGATGAAATCAACTTCCACGCCTTCTTTACTAACAAAGTCAGAGCATCTGTTATGGGGGTTTGCTCAAGTTGTTGGACATTTTGTCGTGGACCCAGCCATGGTAAATGCTAGCGAATTTGCCCAGTTGAAGAACCGGACAATGTATCGACCAGGTGGTGGTATTGGTGGCGGCGGAGGAATGCTGGGCCGGCCCAGTGGAATCCGTCAACCAAATAAGATTGGTAGGGTTTATCACTTGGTCAACCAAACTCACAGGCAACGACAAATTAACGTAAATTTATGTAGATGGCAACAGTATACCGGTCTTTTCCACCCCTCCCTCTATTTTGTTTGTCGATCTCGATATTCTTCCAGGAGAAAGCAAATCATGTTAGTTGACAAAAGTTGAATCTCAACCCCTTGTAAGCCTATGATTAACAAGCTCCGTTCAAAACGCTTAGATTTGTACAAAATTACATTGCCGAAAGATATTCCTCCATCACACAAAGGAAGATGCATCCGGTTCAATTATCATTTAATTATTGGCACACAGCGAAGCTCAGGTAATGGTGGAGCTACAAGCAACACTAGCATGGGACGTGGCCATGTAGTGCAAATGCCATTCCGTGTTTTGAACCATGTCAGCGCCGATGGATCTCGGCCTATATACGACCTTATGAATCCCGTAGTTCTATACAAAGACGAAGCCAAAATCGAGGCACAGGACTCCGATACACCCAAGGCATCTACCACACAAACCAAAAATCACTGTCCGAATCCAGGTATTGTGTTATGAAAGATGAGATAATGAGTGCGGAAATTAGGCGTACTGAAACAAACTCTTAGAAGATGATGCCTCTCGGAAGGACTTTTTTGCTTATGTAGACGAGTTGGTGAAATCGTCGGCACCAGTCAAGGCGGTCAAATCGCCCGAGTCAGAATCAAGTACAGCCAAATCCAGTAGTCCACCTCTACCCCATGCTGAAATTACTAGGCGAGAGAGTGATGTGTACGATGAAAACGGTCAGGATGATAATGAAGAGAATCGGCGAGGCACATATATTACGAAAGAGGGGTTCATGGAATATACTGCAGAGAAGAACTGCGCGCAAATCGTTTCAGATGTAGTCAGAACGGGACACAAAGGTCAGTATTAGGATGCTTTGCTTAGTGGGTGGAGAGTGACGGGATTATCAAACACATTGCTAACACGTAAAGCAGCCATGTATGATATATGCAAAAGTAATGTTAGAGTCGCTTATCTTCACCTGATGAAGATAACACATAGATTAGGAGAACCCATCATGGGAATGTTAAATTTTCACAACTGCGATATACCAACATACCACATTAATATCACTCTCGAGAGCTACGAAGAAATCGAACAATCCATAGCTCTCAAATCTCCACAACAAAACAAGAAACTCACAAGAAAAATCCACTCTGAACATCATGAATTTTGCTTGAACTCTCAGCGAGTAGCGTTTTCGCTACCTATACCTTTGATGGCCACCCCTGATTTCCATACCACAGGAGGTAAGATGTTACCTTTTGTCAAATCAACACTTGCACTATGGTTGCTAACGCGGGCGCACTGTATTTTCTGCTTGTAGTGAAGCTGAACTACTTTTTACGCTTTGAATTTCTTACCGGTGTGCAACAGAGTGCAAGAACGGGTGCTCCTAAGGCAGTTCCTCCATCATACTTACCAATCAATGTGGATGAGCGACACAAGCACTATCAAGCTGTTCAGGAAGTGGACATCAGTAGCTTTGACTGTACCATTCCAATTAAAGTGTATGGCGCATCTGGTGGAGTTGACAGAGGAATGTATGGATGGTCCAGTAGTTTTGTGGTTACGGATTGAAGGGTCCGACAATAATAAATTAAAAAAAACACCGTTTTCCAAAAAAAAGCAAAGCAAAAGTAGACGATCTATGATGTATAATGTGGCAGACATGAATTGTTATTGTGAGGTGAATCATTAAAAACAGAAATGGAAGGAAATTTTGGGAATGAAATTGTAAAAAACCTATTCAAAGTGAACAAGGAAGAGCTTACAAATGAAACAAGAAAAAAAAATGGGTGGGGGGATAATACGATGACCTGTCCTAGTTTACTTCAGCTTGGCTTGATTGGCAGCTTCAGCTTCTTGTCTTGCAGCTTGAAGGACATCGTTCAAAAACTGTGAGGTTGCATCTGATACAATGGGAGCATTGGTAGGAACTGATGCTGCAGCAGAAGCGGGTAGTGATGAGCGGATTGAGCTCTCTGTGATCACAGGAAGCTCCTGCTTTCTATCTTGTTCTTGCATATGCGATGATCCCTCCCCGTTATCAACCGTTTGGGCCTGTCCCACTTGATCGAATTTGTCTGATTCTTGGCTTGCTTCCTCCTTCAACTTGCGGTTATGCTGCCGAATGGCGTAATATACATCTTGGTAGCCAATTCGTAATTTGGAAGGAATGGCAATATTCTCTTCATTCATAATCTATAATTCGAGTATGTTTAACGTTGGCTACTAATGCAAAAAAAATAAAAAAATGTAGGGTATTTCCATGATTGAAATAAAGCAATCTTAATTACCTTGAACATTATTTCCTGTTCTGTTTTCAGGAGTTGTTTAATGCCTCTCCAATCCATACCCTCCTCCACACGTTGTCGAATCCACTCTCGAGCTTCTTTATCGATCGGTGTCTTGGCTAAGTCACTAGGTGTTCCAGGTTGATGTCCAGTATGTCGCCAGTGATATTTGATTTGCACTACCTCTGGGGTAACCTTCTTACAAGTCACAGTGAACATCGCCTCACAACCGCACCTAATGCTGGTAGCGGCCTTTCTCTGCTTGGCTTGTGATGTGTAATGACCACGACGATGGCAACGGAAGACTCTGTAGAATATATTGGTTTGAGGTCGGCCACCTGTTCCAGTTGTCTTTCGTCTATACGTGTATTTGGGAGTTTGATCGTGAAACTTGCAAGCGAATCTTCTTTCTTGGTCCGTCTTCCAATTTTCCCACTGATGGGTTGGCATAGTAAGCGTAACGGGACATTCTTCTGCAAAGTCTGTTGCCGGTACGTGAAGTTTTGATGAGAACGACTGATCTACAAGCTGCGTTTGCTCAAGTACGTCGAGTTCGGTATTGCTATTTTGTAACGCAGACATATATCGAGTATTGCTCGTAAAAATAAAAGGCCTGAAGGGAATGCAGGAAAACGTGGACTGCGCCAGGCCCACACCTGCTTTAGGATCACGTGTGTACACGTCATCAACATTTCCACCATTCAGAGCTCAAGATTTTGTGATGACGTAAGCATAAGGGTTAAAAAAACGATGTTTGAAAATGCTCCAATTGTCAGAGCTTGTGAGCAGCATGAGGACCTTCCTGCAGCTAAAGATAGGTCTCTTAGAGTTAATTACTTTGGTAAAGTTTGTACTGATATCTCAAAATATGAAATAAACTAGATGTGTAACTAAAAATAGCGTTGCTGATTCCTACCTATGTGTTCATAGAGCAGAACTTGAAGATGGCCTGATGTTCAATGCAGGATAAAGAAACCATCAAAAGCATTTGGCCCAAGGAAAACAATGGGCCTTGTACCAATAATTCCATGTTCCTGGTGATGTTGTGTAGTTCTTTGGACGATTGATTACATTAACCTTTATTTTTATTATCGAATTACACAATTCAGACCGTGTTCAGCCTATGCTTTTGTGTTTGTGACAAACAGTAATTCATCCATCAAAATTCGTGCTCGCTGGCAGCAATTGTTCAGGCTTGCGGTGTTCCAATGCATGCCTGACAATTTTTTTTCTTCAAAGGTAAACGGAGCGAAAATAAGTTGACAAATAGTATGCCCGGAGCAGGAACACTCCAGGATGGCCCAGCAGTTCACGCAGAAGTATTAGGCAACATTCAGAGTCTCCTGGTTGTTATCAATGAGCCCTTCTTTCCTGATAAATATACACTGACTTCCACGAACTTACTACGCGATCAAACCTCCATTCTCCCATTCCCAACGACTGTCTACCCTCAAGATTTCAAACCACAAAATGTCAATGAAAATGCTTTTTCAGTTCGACTGAGGTTGGCTCGAAGTATCACGGTGACTCATGATAGCGAAAACTCTATACTGAATGCCAAAGACTTGAAGGATATATCGACCATCAAATGCAGAGAGTGCAACGCGACTCTCAGCAATAAAGCATTTCCCGTTGTAAAGGATCTACCTTCGGAACACTGGATGGAACTGGTAGAATGCTGGATCTGTCATGAAACTTCTGAGAAGGAACACAGTGGCAAGTTACAGCCCATAATGGCGCAGCCGAACTTGCTTCTGGTTAGCAATACATATCTGCTTTTTCATCCGGAAGACATCCAAAATGTAAAACTTGACAGCCATTGTCCGCCTGTAAATGTAAGTCCAAAGCTATTTTATCTGTTTTTAGCTAGTTATGGATCTAAAGAAGGCCTACGAAGTTGAGCTTTTCTTCTTTGGCCGATACAAAGATCCTAGATCAAATTATCAAATGGAATTTGCACCTTCACGGGAGCTTATGACATTGATAGCCGGGAAGACACCTTGCATCAACACAGTACCTTGTGTGCGAGCTACTGCCTTTGGCATACATGAATATAACGGGAGACCAGCTATTCCTTACTTACAAAATTACTATATCATACAGTGGGATAATGTGATTGCCATGAAATGGATACCCATGGTTTGCTCAGCATGTAACTCGGCGGTTGGTGAAAAACAATATCGAGTGTCACATAATGAAAATGGTAAGTATACTCTGGGTATGTCTACCGGCAATCAAATCAAGGTTACTAAAATGTTCCAGGCGCAATACCGAATGCAGAAGCTATAAAGCTTTACAAGTATGCCGTACAGATCACTATGAAAGAAAACCCGGCGGATACCTTTCAATTTGATGCGTCATTCCAACGTTATGTAGCTATGGATTTTATTGAACTGTTCTCGGCACATGCAACCTATAAATTCTTGATATATGATCGGTCGGACGAAAGTATACATGGACTGGTAAGTAATACTACCAAAAGACGCATCCATCAAAGGTCCCTTGAACTAACGAATAATTATAAACAGATATGGGTCTTCAACCCCGATATCCAGGTGTACAACTCAGTCTCAAACATTGGCGGTGGATGGCAGAGGGGTAAGAGACTGATGTCTTTGATTGTGAACGGAATTTTTCCCTGTTTTTGCTGACTCAAATCCTGATGATTTTAAGCTATGAAGGTGTTGTACATCGATAATGAAGTAGATACTGCTGCTGCTTCTAGGTAAATATTATTTGATGAGCATTCTGTTCGCTTTTTAGAGCATTTATTCATTTCTTTGTTGTCATCAGACATATAGAAAATTGGAAGATAGACAAGTCGGTGGATAAACTCACTTATCCAGGCAAATATTGCAGGGAACTATTTGCAAAGCTGGCCGAGAATAACCTCGCTATACCAGAACATCTGCGAAAGGCACCTGCTGGCAGTCCCTTGGCAGATTTTGGGTTTGCTTACTTGACGCGCTGAACAAGCCATTGTACATATCAAGAATAAAAAACTAGAATTACTTTGCATAAATTTTTTTTTCCGGGTGACATGCTGTTTGTGTGTGTCAGTGCCAAACAACGTACTGTATTGCTTATCAATTTGTTTCACAAAGAAAAAAATAATTAGACAAACAGCAGGTAATGTATGACTACAAATTTGCTGGCTGTAAAGAAATACCTTACCAACAGCTGTCCACATTGCGGATTTTTTGTACACTGTTGATGTTCTTGATATTGCAAGGGCAAATGAAGCATATTCTGAAACTACTTCCACATCTAGCCTCAGCCGAAAAGCACAGACCACGATGTTTCTCCTCTGCAAAGAGCAGGTGGACTACTGGATAATGTTTTATTAAGCGACTGTGAAGTCATACTCTCTTTCACCGAGTTTTCATTTTTCTCCCTCTTCCTTTCCTTCCTTATACACTTGTACTTTACTTGTACGACTTGTCGCCTCAAATACCTTAAACCTTGGGTAGAGGGAGTTTTCACTCTGTCATGGCTATCATGCTACCAATCGAGATATTACAGATTATATTTCAGCAATTCAAACGACAAGCCGATTTTAGCGTCTTGAGCCGAGTGTGTCGACAATGGCATGTTGTAGCAACAAGTTTGTTATATCGATGTCCAACCTTAGAGTCGGAAACACAAATTAAATTATTTTGTCAAAGCTCAGAAGGCGCCAGAGCATACATCCAACAACTTGACTTCTCGACAGTCAGTTCGTGGCTGACCGACGAGATTTTATTATGCTTGATACCTGAGGATGCAAATAGCAGAGCCCACAAATCAATAAGATCGTTGGGCCTAGCGAACTGCAACCGATTATCTTGTCAAAGTATATTTGCTTTTTTGAAGAGTTGCTCCCTTGACCATGTACTTCAGGAAGCGGTATTTGCGAACTGCCTGCTGTCAGACCAAATCATTTCTCTACTATCACAATCTCGATCAGTGCGGAAACTGAACATTTGCAATACCATGATCCAGCCATGCGTTGATATGGAAACATCACATTGTCTTGGTCCATTTGCAAAGGCGTGCGAAAATCTCGAGGAACTTGACATGTCATTTTGTGCTTGGGTTGATGAGCATACCATGGATACCATCTGTCGACTGCGACATCTGCGAAAGCTCAGTATTCGGTGGTGTCACCGAGTACCCATCCAATCCATATTTCACATTGTTCAACACCTTTCTTCCCTACAGTCGCTGGATGTTCGCCATGTCAACGGCGTTAATCACCCGGACATCATACGCTTCGTATTGTATTTACGACCTAGTTTAGGAGAAGTTCATTTCACACAAGAGCAAAAAATCATGACTTGCGCTAGAAGACTTGCCGGCGGAGACGTGGAAATGGCAGTGTCCGGCTGACTTGACATAGAGCTTTTCAACATGATGCCCGGACGAGGTTCGATTTTGACTGTACAACGTTTCCCTTACACATATAATCCCTTGTCATCATCAACCATCCGATAGAAAAACCGAATGTGTTTTCGTACTTGCGCGTTATTTAAAATAATGAAATCTTTGTTTTTTAAAATATCACATTTTCTGCAAATCATATATATACAATCGTTCAGTACCGGGTAACAGGAGGCAGGATAGCCGAAATTGTAATGGGGAGGTGGTTCTATTGAGATGAGCACGATAGGCAGAACGTGCGTTCTATATGGCTTGAATAGCTGAAGGAAGGAGAAAACGATAAATGGTATTTCCTAGATTTGCGATAGTGCCGGATGCACTTACTCTATGGTGGAACACGTTCCGCAGAACTCGTTATTGCAAGTTGAGCAGTGTTGTCGACAATTCGAACAGATTGCGTGTTCGCAAAAGTTGCAGGGCTGCAGTGAATCCATCCTGTTGCATCTGTAACATCGAGATGAGTATCCATTTGTCGCGCCGTGGTTTATCTGCGCGTTCATTAGCATGTTGACGGTTTGATCTAATTCAAAAGCGCGACGAAAGCAACCATGAGTTTGCCGTCACAAGAAATCAACCCCGATTCAAGACATGCCACTGTACCATATAATGCATCAACATTGGTATCGTATCTAGACTTTTGCTTCAGCACATTGACTAAATTTCCAAATGGATTTTTCCGTTTCTGTGGTGAGGAACTCATGTCAGTAGTATAAAGCTCTGTGCGGGAAACATTGACCCACGCGAGATTTGCTTTTTCGGAGCTGAAACTCGTACTCTCAAGCTTTTGGCTTGAAAATATCACAAACGATTTCTTTAATTTTACACAAATTGGATTTTTTTAAGCTTTTTACAAAAAAGAAAACCACAAAAAGAACTACTTAGAACGATCGATTTTTTTTTCTTTTGAAAAAAGAACATTTTTACTATACAGTTAAAATTGTGCCATTACGTCATGAATTCCTACAAATAGATTGGTTGTAAAATTTCTTCGTTAGAATCCATGCGACTGAGACCAATGGAATGTCCTCTCGTCAATATAGCGGGAGTAGTATGAGACCTGTGCATGAGTGGTGGTTCATTACTCGTATACAAGGCGGAATTAATAAACTCGTTGTGAGAGACCTGTGCTTCTAAAGTTGCAATTTGGGAAGTAGACGGGACCGTCAGGCTTATATCGTTATGGATCATGGGTAACGGGCTAGGTCCAGGTAAAGGCGCATAGGCAGATATTATTTCACCCTCATGAAGATGGTGAATCTCGGCAGCACGAGCTAATTCGGTCTCCCGCTGTTGATGTTCGATAAGCTTATTGATATATCGAGCATAGTGGATGATGAATTCCGCTTGACGCATTGTTTCAATGGATTTCGGGCTACGCCGCATTCGCACATATCGGATAGCTCGTTCAGAAGTATGACAAAATCGACTTTTTAACAGCCAGCAACAGGCGAACAGACCGGCTCTACCAACGCCTGCAATGAGAGGAAAGGAAAGTCGGTTATGGTACTCCTTGAGTCGAAGATCTCGGGACAAATAAATCTATAAATGTCTTTCGTCAACTTACCACCGCGACAATGGGTCAGCACATTTTCACCTCTACTCATCTTTTCTGAAACCAGATCGATGACGATGTCTATCTCCTCAATGGTATGTGGGCAGCTGCCTTCCATCATTGGAAGGCGAAGAATTTCGATATTATTTTTCGTGGCCATTTCATAGTAGCGGGGCCATGGCGCCCCGAGGAAACTTAGTTCTGCATCATTCAAACAGCTAAATAAAATAAAAACACACAGGTGTTAGCCACAACAAACGAGTCTTGAGTGTCAACCACGAGACAGGCTGGAGACACAGGGTTGAGAATAATGTTACACACACGTACCAAACAATTGTGGTAATGCCGAACTGGCGATTCAGCCTGGCAAAATCCAAGTCTAGATCTCGATTGATAGCGGCTCTACCACGAACAGGTCCATTTAGTCGAACCTTTTTACCGGGACACGATGACAGTGCGAGGTTCCCGAAGGCTTTCGGGGCTCCAATCGGTTGTCGGATTTGCTGCAGTTCAAGCAGGTGAAGAGAGGGTTGTGAAATCGTTAAATCGTACAAATCTATTCTGTCGGGTAGGCCTGAACTAGATAGAAAGGCCATATATTCGATTGGTATTATCCAGCTTATACTAAAGAAACACATGGATGTTAACATTTTGGACATTGGAGTGCAGTTCTCCTAAAGCCCAGAAAGACGGGAAGAATCCACTTTACTTTATGGGATGTGATATGGAGTTTTTGGGCACGAATGGTAGACCAATGGACGGATCGACACTCGACTGCGATGAATAGTGTATTATCGAATCCATCATTGACATGGTTCGAGTTAAAAGTAAGAAGTCATTGGCCAAGAGTGAAAAAAGTAGAAGTGGTTCAGTTTATTGCGCAGTCACACCGGGCACAATCTGTGCGGTGAGCTGATTGGTATTTTTACCAGTCATAGTTGAAACGATTCAAAGCCCCAGCTGAGTCTTGCATGTCTTTCTGTACTTTCTTACGCATATAAAAAATGGGACAGTCTTTACTAGTGCAAAGAACATCTTGGTGAAGTGATCCTTGGCATCGCTGACACTGCGTCCACAGCCTTGAGAAGCGGATTTCAAGATCATTCACCGCAGAAAGTTGCTTTTGATACAGTTCTCCTACACGCGATCGACAATGCTTGCAGACTGCAGAATTATCTAACGCCACAATAGAAAAATAATGTTTAATAAAATCGTCCTTTTAGTGAGCTTTCAGCGAAGAGGAGTAGTTTGTACATACCACCTTTAGGAAGAGGGGTCTTACATCCCATGCAAGTGGCGGTCTTAACTGTAAACTTCATAAGACCACCAACGGTTGGAGTTGAGATATTCACCGTGCGAGTGTGTTCTCCAGCAACTATTATTGGTAGTCAGGTTAGTAAATACGTATCCAAAACACACGCTGTAATAACATATCACCCTCGTATGTCCCCTCACACCCCTATTCAGTGGGTGTGGCTCTTGCAAACTTACGAAGTGATTCCGCTTTATCACCCAAGATGGGTTCGAAGATTCTCATCAAAGGCTTGGAAAGTTGGTTATCCAGATAGTATTTCGTATCAATTGGTATATTGTTCTCTAGAACGTATATAGGATCTTCTGATTTCTCGTACGCAGCAGCGCCTATTATGGAATCAAATTGATAAGCATATGATAGAAGCTATATTTTGACACTTTAAGACATACCTTTAGCGCCTTTTATAATAACATATGCAACACGATCTCCAAGAGCTGGCGCGGACCCTGCATCACGTTGACGCATACGTTCAGCTAGTTCAACGTGAGCTTGTTTTCCTGCATAGTCGGATTTACTGAGGGCTTTAGTGATAACGAGATTTGAAAGATCGACCTTGTTTTGTAACAGGTCCGCGATGGTCCGCTTGACGAACCTGAAGCACAAAATGGAGATCAGTACATGAATCAAAGCTGTTCAGTGGGGAAACATCTAGTTACTTACTCTTGAGCTCCGTTAACATCTCGATCAATGAGGAGTTTATGCAAGCATGTTTCGATCACAGTTTGTACCAATCGACAATTATCTCTTCTTACGGTCTGCGAAATGCTGTGTTGGAACGATAGGAAGACAGGAAGATATATATAATTTATACGGCCTTACCTCAATACCCTTTGAATCAAGTTTATCATACTTTTTCGGGTTTGTCCAGTACAGACCAGCATATCGTTTCTTGTTGATGAGAAGATATGGGAAGTAAACTTTTTCAAACTCCAAATTGATGGGCCGAATAAACTCTTTAGTCACAAGCTGTGAAGCAATGGTTCCTGTTTTAGCAGATTTCATAGGTTAGCCGTCGAATAACACCTAATAAACAGACCAATCTGATTCTTTCTTACCAAGCTCCATAGCTTCTTCCAAGTTATCGACGCCAAACTTGATCATGACCGAATCGGTATCTCCATAAATAACTTGCGCATCATGCTTATATCCATTTTTGATGTTAAAGGTATCTTCGACAACTTGTTTAGTTTTCATGATCATCTGTCTACCGTAAGCTGTTGTACTTGACGAAATTTGCAAACATGGCAGCTTTCCAATCGTTGCACCTGTGAAACCATAAACAGAGTTTGCACTGATCTAAATGTCATTGGTATACGTTAGTATTCAGGCGTGACCCGACAAGAGGACACGAAGGCCTAACAAACCTTTAACGCGAGCTGTCTACCGTCTAACACAGCTCGCTTGAATGGATCTGTTTCCTTTTTTAAATCTGCCTTGGCTCTTTTACGTGCTGCAAGGAGTTCTGTCAGAATTTCAGGAAGGAGTCCAGGCCGCCGATTTGACTTGACGAAGAAATCTAAATAGAAACATAGATTAGGAGCTGTGACACAGTACGTTTGTACTCTATCAGATCAAATTCCGAGATTACCATTGTTTGGTGTAATTATGTAGTCTTCATCTTTGACTAAATTAAGTTTTTCAATTGTACTAGAAGATACCAGTGTGGTATAGCACAAATTATGAGCTTGCATAATGGATGGATACAGGGAGCTGAAATCCAGTGTGGCAATTGGAACGTCGTAGTATCCTTTAGTTGGCTCAATGACAGTTGCACCTTCATATTGTTCATCGCCCACTAAAAGAGAACGCCGTTGTTAGCTTCCATGGACACATACCAAAAATTATATAGCTAATATAAACATACTCTCAGTACGAATGGCGGGGATAACCAAATCTTGCTCCAATGCCTTTCTATACAGCTGAGATATGACCTTGATCTGCTGTCCACGTACTAGCACATAGTTGAAAGGAATACCCGTTACACGAGCCATTTCAGTATAGTTGTATAAACACATCAGCTTGTCCATCAGCCGCAGAGGAAGATACGCATCCTGAACAATTAGAAAAATGACCGGTCAGTTTGACGGCCATAGAGCCCAAGGTTGAATGCGTAGTTAAAACGTTTCCTCACCTTCAAACAGTATACTGCTAATCTTCTTCGAGTTTCAGCATTACCATTTTGCAGGTCTGTAATGATGGAATGATGTACGTCTTCTTTTTGTTCGCCTAGCATTGGGTTAGAGGTAAGTACACGGACAGTATAGAAGGTTACAGGCATTCGTATATCATGCATACCTAAAAATTGTGCACAAACAGAATTCAATGTATATGAACGAAGCTTGTAGTCACGTTGCATAACCTGCAGCATGTCAAGCTGCAGTCTTCCTTCCATGTTGATTGCCTTATTCTCACGCGTGCCATATGCCTTGGATGAAAACTTCGTATCCTTGGCTTCTGTCTTCACGCCTAAAATTGTATGTTACTACATTGTCGAACGAAAAAAGTAGCAGCGTCGTACCGACACATACCTCGAATGCGACCAAGAAAAGGGAATTTGTCGACGCCTAGATGCTTTGCTCTGTCCAGCAGATATGGGAAATCGAAGTTGCTAGTGTTATAGCCTACAACGACATCTGGGTCAATCTCAATTACAAAGTCTCTCCACTTTTGTAGTAGCTCTTTTTCGTCATAGAATTCAAGAGTATGTGTTCCGACAATATGAGCACAAGAGTTTAGAGTAAACACGTTGCGAATGAATGGTTTTGTTTCGCCTAATGAAAGAAAGTCGAGTGAGCGGTCGATTGAAAGCAACGCATTGATAGTGCCATATGCTTACCTTGTATTTTCACAACTGTGGCAATCTGAATGACTGGATCCACTTCTGGTTCTGGGAAAATACCCTTGCGTCCAGCACACTCGATATCAAAGCTGAGAACTCGTAGCGGAGCAATGTCACTCCACTCGCTTTCCGTAGGATGGCTGATAAACTTGTCATGACTTTTTTCAATCATGCGTTAATGGGATGCTCTCCATTCAGTCATACGTATTTAGGTCTGATAATACTTACAGAATGTCAACTTCGATCTGGGCGTGCGACACGGTATTTTGCCTCATAGAGTAGGTTCCGGCCGGTAATTCGATCCAGTTTGATCCAGTGACCTGATTGATATGATCAATTGTTAGAAATATCAGCGCAGATGGCAGCGCAGAGCAGATAATATACCTTGCAGTCAATCATAAAACGTAAAAGATAGGCCAGATTGCTCTCATAGGTGGTTTCTGCAATAACAGGCTTATCGTAGCCGGGCACAGTGAGTCCTGTTTCAAACTTCGCTCTGGCTTTAGCAATTGTCTTTGGTTCGTTGACAGTGATTTTGATGAATGGTGATTTGGAATCTCCATGATAACCGTATATACTTTGCTTGAGACATATTTCAACATTGACAATGCTGCCGGTTATGCCCAGGGATGAAGTAAGTATGCGCTTTAGAGACTCTACGTGTGTAGGTAGAAATCCAACGGGCGCAGGAACATAGAAGTAAGGTAGGAAACCATGTACATGGCACAATACACTATTACCGTCCTGAATGAAGAAGTGCTGGTGAGCAGACCTACAATAACTGTACCAAACTGAGATGGAAAGAAAAAATTGTGCCTACTTTTGTTACGCCGAAGAATCTAACGACGGGTCGATTTAACGTGTAGTCTATATATTCATCCGCTTCAATTTGCTGAAATACTGAAGTTACACCATTAATATCACCGTCTCTAAATATTCCATTCAAAGCATGACATGTCCCAAGTACCTAATTTGTCTGTGGCAGGGTTAAGCTTCGGTGGTGGACGTCGTGCCCATGCTCTCTCCGAATTCTCCACTATAAGACAACCAAAACGTGAATTAGACGATGCCTCATAACGAAGAAGAACTTTATGCGACAGTGAAACTCACAAGTGCTGCTCTGCTCGTCAGCTTCGGCAAAGTTGTGCAATGTGTCTTCGAAGGCCGATTTGGCAAGGTTGGGATCTCCAGTTTTGCGCTTCTTCAAGGACGTTGCAGGGTTAAATGGTTCAACTGACACTTCAATATCGTCTGAGGCCTTTGACGACTCATTCTCGTTCTGTCGTTTTGGGTTTGCTGCTGCTACCATTGAGAATGAAGAGTAACGTTGTTGAAACTGCGGCGCGTATCGAATTATTTTTTTTATTATTTTATTTTTTGCCGCTTTTCAAACGCGACTCGTGTGACAAGCAGTCAATCGCCTTGGCCAGAGCCGTTTGGTTTGAACTCAGTGAAGAAGAATTTCCTTCACCTGCCAACTTCATGCACACTAGATGTTGCTATTTTTATTCCAAGAAGATGCAACAGATACCTCAAGATAAGAATAAATTTAATGTGGTAAAATGGTACACTTTACTTTGACACACTGATTGGATTAGTCAGACAGCCAGAAGTTGCAATGATACATTTGTATTGTGGTTTACCAAAGTAAATTGTTATTCGAATACTGTATACAAGGCACTATCGTTACCAGTTTATTATACATCAATAATAAAATTTTACAATATTTACATGAAATCAGAATCATACGAGTTGGTAAGGTGAGCCGAGTCAGATGCATGCGAGTTCTGCGAAGTCGGTTGATCTGTAGTTAGCAGACGCTCAGAGGGTTCAGTCAAGTCAAGACTATCTTCTTCTTCTGCTTCCTCTGCATTATCTAAGTTTTCCAATACACGCTGGAGGTATCTAGGTCGGTTTGTATGGTTGAAAATATTATTCGATCCAGTGGATCCTTTTTGCTCAGGGCTGATGAGGCTCTGGCGGTATATTGCGTACATATTGGTAGACGCTGGCCGATTGGTATTTGGAGAGTTTGTCATGCTACTTGACCCAATCGTGTTATCATCAATGAAAGAATCTATAAATGATGATCTCTGATCATCTTCAACATCACTAGAAGCCCCTTCACCAGACTCTGAAGCTTCTAGGTCTAGGAATGGATTGCGTTGTCGAAAATGAGCGCTTTTGGGTAGCTGAACTTTTGGAGCAATTCTTCGACCCGATGGTGAGCTGTTTGAGCCTGAAGGTGCCAAGGTATTGGTATGTGATGGTCGGAGAGGCGAAGAAAATGCATCATCAGTTTGTGACGAGTACAGAATACGTTGTCTTCGTTGAGCGTGTGTATGTCTATGCTTTAGAGGTGAGGTCTTTTGAGACATTGTCCCCACGTTTGACACGTTTGAAGAAGAATGACCATGTTCAAAGGATTCAGCTAGCAGACTGGAATCTTCAGGCTTTTCTTCAGGGCTGGCTAGTAACTCTTCAAACCCATTTACCTTTCGAGATTGTTCAGCAGGTAGCGATGATGAATGCATGTCATTCATTGCGTCATCTTCACCATATCCTACTACTTCATCTTCATCAGACACTCTGTTGTCACTTCGACGAGGGGTGTCATCCAGAACAGGCGTATCTGAATCAGAGCTGAGCGCGATAACCTCTGAATAGTTTTTTACCGAGCGAAAGGGTGGCGATCTTTCAGCAAGGGTATATCCTCCTTCCAAATCAAGCTTGTTTTCCAGTATAGTGAGATCCAATTCCGCAAAATCGAATTCGAGGCAATCTTCATCGCTATCAGAGAAGTTGTCACGAGGAGGTTTTGAGTGGCCATTGTTCTTAAAGTAACTCGCTGCATCATCATTTTTCGACATTGGAGTTGGTTGTTCGATTGAATTTGGCTGGTTTTCATGAGAAATCGCGAGTCCTGTATTGCCCTCTTCAGAGGAGAGGTCGAAAAGGTCATCGCCAAAGTCATCGCCATTTGCAAAGGACTTGAAGTCAACTTGTTTACTTTTGGTATCATCTAATTGGTTGTACCTTCTAGGATCATTGGGAAGAAGAAGAGCACCTTCGTCTGTTTGATATTGTAAGTTGTCGTCAAAATCCATATCATCATCGTATTCCTCAACGATATTCCGCATTTCATCTTTCTGGACCTCAAAGGTTTTTCCAGTGGCTTTATATTCTTTGGAAAGGTACTCTTGTAGAGCTTCCTCAATGGCCCTTAGAGATTTCCCGTTCTGCTTTGAAAGTATAGACCATCTGTTTAATAAAACACTGTGCCCCTTACTTGAATATGGAGTAGGTCGTGATAATGAGGTTATGCGGCTACTTGCAACGTTGCGGACAGAGTTCAGATTGGCTTCTGCTTCGAAAGGATATACTGGAACAATACGATCGTTAAAAGTAAATTTCATATGACTTGATGCTTCAGTTGACGCCTTTTCGTGGCGGTAGGAGGAAGCCCGTGTAGCTGATTCCGTATGAGACTTGATTACTTGTTTGATTGGAGACTCCATGAGATTCTTCCCAAAAATACCAGTGTCATCCGATGAAATGAAAACGAACGAAGGCTTATCGTGAGCACCATCCTGACTACCTTCTGCAACATCAGCATTGGGTTTATCACCTATGAGCAAAGGTCGCTGAAGATTTCGGTCAGGAGAAAGCTCAGTAGCCATGATGACATCTTGTAATATATCATCTGCCAACTCCATTTCATCCTCATTAATTTCTTCTCGTCGAGGAGAATCATTCATAAAGGAAGGGTCAGGTTCCGTTTCCTGAGCAGCCGGTGTTGGAATAATCTCAGCACTAGAATCATCTAATGATTTTACGTTCTTTCGTCTCTTTGGAATCAGTAATTTGCTGGTTGTAGCAAGGCTGGAAGTCATATCAAAGTCATCGTCGTCATTTTTATCTTGTGAATGACCACGAAGTCCATTTAATATACGACGCTCCATTTTTGAAACCAAGGACACAAACTGAACGGTTCTGAATGAATGCGAGATCTTGGTGTTGCTCAATATTGTTTGTAGCGGGGTATATTTGTTTTCTGTCAACCGTTTTCTTGGATGCATCCATTCTGCCAGAATGCTTGTATCGGTTTGATTGTTGTTTTTAAGTGGTTGAAGGTATCGTCGTCTAAATTCATCCTCTTGGGAATCTCCTAAAGTACCATCACTCCGGAATTCATCAACTGTTTGATTCCGCTTTCGCTTTCCAATTTCTGGTTTCTTGTATTCGCCAATGCTGAGAACCGTTTTGGCAGGAACAGGTTTAATTCCATTTGGAAGAATGACGGGATTAAAGGGGTAGTAGTTGATGGCATCTCGTCGCGCTATCATGTCCTGTACTCGCTTGTAGTTATCCTTTGCTTGCTTATATTTACGTTCTTCCAATTCTGTCAGTAGTAAGACGCAACGTCCTTTTCTTTTTCGGCCAGTTCTTCCTAGTCGCTGGATCTGAAATGGTGCACGTTATAGCAATAGTCTAAAGGTATTTAAAGATTGTGCCTTACACATACCATTCGAATGGGAGAACTTTGCGAATCATAGCAAATGATTAAATCAACTTCTCCAATATCTAGACCCTCTTCTCCGATTGAAGTCGAAACGAGTACGTTAAATAATCCCCGCTTAAATTTGCTGATAACCTACCATAGAGTGTGAAATAGGTCAGTCTTTCTTTACGGACAAGATGCGCAATTGACCAACATAGAATTGAGGCGGCCTTACCTCTTGCTGCTCTTTTTGGTTCAAGCCCTTTGATCCTTTGGACTCGGCCTGCCCAACAAAATTGGTGCATCTAACAATTGGTTCATGCTTTGACAAAAACGTGACAATTTCGTTGACAGATTCACGTAGTGAAGAGAATATCATGATACGAGTATCTTCTACTTGATCATTGACATCCTCATTGGGTCTGTTCTGATCAGATTGGGTAAGGTGTTGCAAGACAGCGGCAAGAAGCTTATCCATCTTGGGATGACCAATGTAGTCGGGCTGCTCGTGCATTCTTTCCAAATCACGCAATAGTTTCTTTAGTTCTGGATTTCGAGCAATGGATATCTTTGACTTGGCGACGTGTTTTCCTGAATCCAAGTCTGTTTGAATATCTGTGATGGTTGACTTCATGCTTCGAACAAATGGACCGGTTCCATGCTGACATAGTAAATCATGCGCTCGACTTAACACATCTGCGGCAAGAAAACTACTGAAAACGATATTTTGTATGGCCTTGTTAAAATTCTTCGAGTTTGTTTGCCATATGCCACGAGCTTGCATGAGCATATAAGGTGTATTTCGATCAGGATCAATGTCATGGATCGCTTTGAATTGGTGTAACGATTTCAAAACTGGTAAGAAAACAGCCTCTCGAAACGTTGCTACAGCTTTTGGAAGCATGCCAAAGCCCCCTTGCATGTATGAAAGACTGACCACAACGGTTTGAATAGATTTTCCGTGGCTAAATTCTTGTATATCTAAGGAATCCTCGGTGCGTATTTGGATGTTGCTGATAAGCAGGTTATCTACAATCTTTTGCACGGCTTGCAGGCTCGTTCCCGGGGTGGCCGTCAATGCCAATACCCGAAAATCTTTGTGGCGATTCTTGATCTTACGCACAGCAACAGCATAGGCATATCCTCCAGTGGCTTTGTGAGCTTCATCAACCACTAAGCAAGCTAGTTTTTCAACTGGGAAGATATTTTCGTTGAGGTCGTTTTGCAAAATCTGTGGCGTAATAAAGAATAATCTTTTCGAATTCCATAGAGTTTTTCGTTTTGCTGCAGGCATTGCACCGGTTAATTCAGCTGTCTGATCCTGAGGGACACCACAAATTTTGAAGCAGGCTTCGATTTGCTGATTAACCAAAGGCTTGGTGGGGGCCATAAAAACGATTTTCGCAGTAGGGAACCAGCGGAAATAGTTGTACATAACCACAGCGGCAATGAATGTCTTTCCCAATCCAGTTGGCATAGCAACCAAGGTATTGTTGAATAGGGCACGCTGTACGATGTTGAATTGATAATTTCGGATGGGGTAGTTGATGGGATACACCCACGTAGTGCAAGCTTCGGCATCAAAAAAATGGGCACATTGTGCATCTTCTGGTGGTGGAGCTGGAGGAGCCTGCGGAGCCGGTGCATTCGTTACAGTATTGAAAGAGAAGCCAGAGCCACTCTGTCGATTAACCGGTGAGTTGGAAGGAGGATTTGGACGGGCGACCGCAACGCTCCCGCTGCTGGAGCCTGATTGAGAGAAAAAGTTATCCATTCTACTTTGATGTTGTCGTTGGGAACCGGATGTAGATCTCGGTGATGGTTGATTGCTAAAGTGTTGCTGCGGTGGCATAGTCTCCGTCAACTCCACAGCTTTCAGGAGCAAACTTTCGTCAAAATCAGCAAACATAGCGTCTTCTGCTTCTGCTGCCGCCGCCAACAAGGCGGCCTCATCAATGGTTGAGTCAAACTCGTCGTCAGAAGTTGATCCCGTCATTCATGTCGTGATTCCAAGCAGGACGCGTGCAGGTGGTATCTTTTCACCGCGAGAATTCCGTTCTTTTTTTCTGGGTGCAAAAATCGCGATCGAAATAAAAAAAGTCACGACAGAGGCGACAACGAATAAGACGCTTTTTGCAGCCGATCTCTGCCCAATGTCCAAAAAGCAACCAGAGAGAGCAAGAGCGCACAAAAATGTATACGACATAGAAGCACAACAGAAGCATCTGCGACGCCATTTAGAATCATTAGAGCGAGACAATCATCAACCGCTGGACGATGTTGAAGGACTTGTCAGCGTAGCTTTAGCACATATTGAAGACGATAACTCAGGTTCGCTCGTGATAACGCGATGTCAACTGCATGTCTTTACTTATGTCTTTTTTAACACCTATTTAACCCGGAAAATTTAGGGCGAAAACGTCAGAAAATATCGCGAGCCAACCCATTCTCCACTAGGCAAAATTTAGGCGCCTTGATCATAGAAGCAGTAATGTATCGTCGGTATCCAGACAGAATAGAGTTTGCTGATTTTACTCACAATGCACTCGTCTATAGAGGCTAGACCTACTCCCACCCGACATACCAACTTATTTGACGTGCAATGCAACTCCGTCACAATACCCACCTCGACAATTTTGCTCTGTATGTAGCTTCCAGAGCTCCTATAGATGTAGTAAATGTGGAATGAAATATTGTTCAGTCAAATGCTTGAGAACACACGAAGAAACGAGGTTAGTTGACTAAAGAAAAGGAAAAAAATATTACGAGCGACTACCTTGCTTTGGCTTTGTGATACTAACCACTTGCCTAAACAGATGCATGAAGTGGACCATATGACTTGTTGAACTACAGCGTGATGGAACAGGAAGTGACCCCGTCATTTTCTGTTGGAGACATAAAACAACTGTAATATAGAATGGAGTGGTATTCAACGCTCCAATGAAATAAAATTGGGCTCTAAGAACCAGTCCATGGTGGAAACATATGATTAGTCAGCTCAACTAGCCAGTGCAATCTGTGCAGAAACAGGCAAATGGCCCATGGGTAACGTAACGTCGCCACCAACCTACATTGAGGGTTACTGGTGCATTATCAACTCTCTGTGGCATGCGACATCAACTGGATGGGAATGCAGCAGCGTGGAATCATAATAAATAGTATGAGTTCACGATGTAGATAAAAATGCGCTGTACGCTGCAGAGGAAGGAAAGCGGGAAGCGACTGTAAGGTCTATTAGCTAATAAAGTACAAGATGGTCTGATTCCTTGCGCACGGACACATCCGATTCAGAGGCTATGCGTTGTAGTATGTTCACAAGCACGCATTTATTGAATATGATATTAAGACCAATAGCATAGCGTTGAAGATATTGGCTGTAGTTTAGCAGACTGGACCCAGACCTCACCATTTTGCCAGCTGGCGACCGATTGAAATGCTCAACCATGCCTCTGTCGGAGTTCCAACGGGAAAATCACCCAACTCAAGACCCACCAAAGTTCTCGGATTTCCAGGATCAAAAAAATCGCTATGTCTTGACTCAACTTCATTTCATGGATGAGATGGTCTATTGCCTTTAATAACATTTAATATAGTGATGTTTACGTAATTCAGCCGTCGGACATCCGGCTCGACAAGTGGGTTGGTCAGTCAAGCTGGGGTGCTAAAAGAGTTGATCTGTGTCACGAAGACAAGCAGCGCTTCCATTGGCCTGGAATTTCAACGCAACTTCTCTCGCCCTCTCTTGTTATTATTTTTACTGCAAAAGGACCCTTCTTCTCTCTCTTCTGGTTGAAATCAACTTTCTCAATTCCCTATTTATGAGCAGTGACCATCGAAATAAGACTTTATCGCCTCGGTCACATAAAGCACTCCCTCCGGCGATAAAAACTCCTAAACAAAGTCAATTCACATTGGGCATTCACACTAGCTCTTCTGACAAAAGCAATGGTGGTCAATCTTCGTCTACGCAATTCCATTCCATCACACCACAATCGTTCCAACAAGCTTTGGGAGTAGGAGATCCCTCAAATCCAGCATTTCATTCACGACCAAGGCAGCGACGTCCAGGCTTCTCATGCAACACGTAAGGGACTTTTTATATTATGTATTTTCGATGGCTTTTCTCACCATCGATCATGTACTGCATATAGATGCCGAAAGCGTAGAGTACGTTGCGACAGGTCTCACCCTGTCTGTAATCGGTGCCGTGGTAAACGAACCTGTACCTATCCTGACACAAATCGGGCGAGGAAAAAATCTTCTCAACCTTCCAGCTCTGAAGATAGCCCAACGCATGAAAATCGAATAGTATACACCATTCCATCTCGGCGGCCTGTAACACCATCAACTCGTGCAGTTTATCGAAGTTCTGCCTCTCCATCGCCTCTTTCGCCGAGCCTGTTGGCATACCCTAGTCCAAATACACCTGAGAGTACCACATCAACACCTAAAAGCTCTATGTCACCCATTGTCCCCAATGCTCTCTTCAAACGACAACGACGACTAAGCTTCTCGTCGGAAGAAGATATAAAAACCCTTATTACGAACAAAGAAACCCAAATACAATTGCATCAAGATTCTCATGAAGACTTGTTAGTTCAACTCCTGGAAGCTACTGGATGGGAGATCTATCCAATTGGCAATGGTGTCGTTCGTTTCGAGACCAACATCGGTAATACCGAACAATTGCGAACACTCATAACCAGGACCCTGGATATACTACATGACAAAGGAAATGCCATGACCATGCCGGTTCCAGATCCCTTCGGATTACAAAGTTCGGCCGATCGCCGCACGCAGCTTCAACGTCGTTTGCCACAGGGCATATACCATTTATCGCTGTTCGAAAGACTTTCTATGATCACGAGGCCTGGAGCTTGGCATCCGGATATGAGCAGTACCCCTCCATTTCAGCAACTCTCGACAGACAAACATATCATGGTCATCACTCCCAAGCATATTCCGCATTATATTGGGCATTGGTGTGGTTGTGGCTTACCATTTCCCATTATTCTTTCCCCCATAAAGGAAATGAAAAATGCTCCACATAGTCGCATCAAGAGGGACAGGCTGATATCCATATTGAGCTACATGATACCCCATTATTGTTTCTGGCACTCATGGTCACCACTTGGCCATAGCGTCCACTATCATCGAGAGTGCGGCAAAGAATACCACAAGAATGCACAAATATCATGTGATGATCCCTGCGACTTGAATCAGCTATTCCACCTTTTGATGAGCGTGGCCAGAGACTATGATCGAGGCAATATGCAGTCAGCTTATCTCACCATGGGCATTACCATTAGCCTATGCTTCAATCTTGATTTACATAAACGCCATGGCTACGACCGCTACACGGATCCTCACGAAAAAGAGTTTGCTAAAAGGATGTTTTGGTCATTATGGTGGTTTGACACTACCGTTCCTCAACTATACAGCTCGCCTGCTGTCATTGACCCAGAAGATGTCACCGCCGAGTATCCAGACATTCTCACCGACTACGACCATGAGGAGCGGTTGCAAATTAAGTACATGCAACTGGTTCTTCAATCTAGACGGCTCAATCGAATTCTAGCCAAACGTATGAAAGACAGATCCGCGGATTTCGATGAAGAAGATGAACTCGACTTTTTATTTGAACAGGATCAAGAACTTCGGTCATACTATCATACGCATCACTCGACCCTTGCTATTCAACAATTGCAAAATATTGCCATCATGCAAGATATGTGGCGAAGGCGAACTCTCTGTTTATCCATGGCCGACTACTGTATGAATTGGCTATCGTTGTATCAACGGCATCTGCCTTCTGCAGCTCGCACAGAGCCGCTGTCAGAACTTCATAATTTAGCGTTGCGTATATGCTCTGAAGCGGCTGACATCTTGACCGCCCTGTTTGATGCCTGGTTCAGCGCCTGCGGCCTGAATTTTGACTGTGTTTTCCGCCCTTGTCTTTTCCATTTCTTGGGTTCTATAACTATACATAAGGTAAGAAACGACTGCTGGGGAATATGATCTACTACCAGTATGGTTGCTAATCACTTCCATTCTAGTATTTAATTGTTTGCCCTTGGGTTTCCCGTGATCGAGCTTCGAAATCAATTCAGTCCGTCAAGCTCATGCTCAGACATTACGTGAAAACCCCTATGCAAAACTTATTCCCAAAGTCTCATATTTATATCGACATCAAAGACTTCTTCAAAAAATTCAATATTGAAGATGACGACGATGATCAAATTTACTGGATACCTATATATGACAGCCTGTGGAATAATGCCGATATCGACTTCCACATCTTGAACAAACCCTATGGAACTGATTCTTGAAGCCCTGTGCGCCTACTTTCCATTGCTGGCCAATGTCCCAGTTTACAATTATCCCACCCCCTTCGTTATAACATAACATCATAGATGAGCCACTATTGCAGTAGTGTAGTAGCTTTTACCACGTGTACCTTTCTTTCTCCTTTCTTTTCTTTTTTCAAAAACCTGCCTGCCATTTAGTTTCGTTGCTTGGTCAACCTTGTGTTTGTACTTGCCAATGTACAATATTCTTCTATTCAGTATACTCCTTTTTCGACATGTTCATTGTAATAAAATCCTCTGTTTTTTCATTTCATTTCAGCATGACTATGATGAATGGTGATTCTAGAGGAATAAAGGATGTGAAATTTTCAATCATTGCAAGGTAGATTTGTTATAAAAACATATATAATGGAGTGAGTGGGGGGAGGATTTGAATGGTATTACAAGGTACAAAAAAGGATGATTTACATATATCTATTGGTTATTGAGAAGAAACCGGAGCTCTATATAATCGTAGCATCAAGCTGGAACATACAACGCTGACGCTGGAGATGACCATAGCCAAGCCTGCAAGATACGGTGGCAAACCTTGGCCGGAGGCTGGAAAGATAACTCCAGCAGCAATGGGAATAGCGATAATATTATACAGGAATGCCCATAAGAAGTTTATCCGAATTCTTCGTACTACGGTACGAGACAGATCATACATAGTAAGGAGGTCCGAGAGGTTGTTCCTTATAAGAACAATGCTTGCTGCTTCGATGGCAATGTCCGTTGCTGAACCCACAGAAATACTAAAAAATAAAGAGATACGCCTTAGGTATTGGCATTTCACTTTGGTGCCCTACATAACGTGTCAACTTACCCTACATCCGCTTGAGCCAGTGCTGGAGAATCATTTATACCGTCTACGGTAAAGAAAGCAAAATAGATGGTTTAGGTTTCGAATACAGTAGAGATTCATTTATCATGACAAATGATACTTACCGCCAATCATGGCGATGACACCTCTTGCAGGCTTAGATTGACCGAGACGAGTCTTCTGTCGATTCACTGCCATAGTCTTTCTTTGCAAGTTTTTAATCTTGTCTGCCTTTTGCTCAGGTTTCACACCGGCGAGCACACAACCTTCATCGATGCCGATTTGTCTAGCCACGGCTTTCCCGGTGATGGGATTGTCACCAGTAATCATCCATACTTCAATACCACTAGCACGAAGACTGGAAATGACTGATTTTGCTTCGGGTCTTGGCTGGTCGGCAATAGCAATTTGCGCTAACACAATTGTACGAGAGGTTTCACAGCTTCCTTGGGTAGCGCAGTTGCAAATCACACAACCACACTCATTTTGACAGCCTTCAGCCAAATTAACATAGGATGGCGGATTTTCAGCGGCCTGTACAGGACTAATGGCAAACATGACGATTGACATTCCTTCGCCTTGCCATTTTTCAAGTTCTTGACGTCGTGAGATAGACGATGCCTTGCTGTTGTGCTTGGCAAGGTTTTCCTTCATCCATTCTTCATTGCCAAGGAATACGTTGTAGACGTTGCTTGATGCGCCGGTGATCGATGATAGCTTTTCATTGTCTTGACGTACTATGATGGTAGCAGTAATGCCACGACCAGGTGTTTCCTTGCTTTGCATAAGATCAACGCCTTGAAATAAATCTTTTGAGCTCTTCTCCTGAGTCTCTGTTTCTGAAGCTGGCTTATTATCACCGTCGAGAGGTGTAGCAGAGCCAGCAGCTTCCCCGTTGGATCCACCAAGTATTGCTTGGGCCTTTTGCTTGATAGCATTGGACAATGGATGATTACTAGCTCCTGCGACACGGCCAAAAATTTTCCACGACAGCAAGGTTTGCGCTTCGTTTGTGTTTCCATTCTGATCTGGCAGGATCCAGCTGTCTCGAACGCTTGGTTTTCCCGTGGTCAACGTGCCGGTCTTGTCAAATGCAATGGCTGAAATTCGATTGGCCATTTCGAGTGCATATCCACCACCTTTCACAAGTACGCCATGTCGTGCAGCTACACCTGTGCCTACCATGACCGCTAGAATGCATATATTAGAACTCCATTTTCACTTTCTTGCGACGTGTGTTGAAAAACAACTTACCTGTTGGACTAGCCAGACCAAGACCACAAGGACACGCAATGACCAATACCGATACTGCAAACATCAAACTGAAGATTTCCTTGGTTTCACCCATCGTGACCCAGGTTGCCGGATATACTTCATAAATTCCAAGCACCTCCCAGATGATAAAAGTAAAGATAGCCAATAGAATAACGATGGGAACAAAGATGCTCGATATTTTGTCTGCCATGACTTCAATGGGGGCTTTTGGGGACGCTTGAGCATCCTGGACTAGCTGAATGATCCTAGATAGAGTAGTGTTGGAACCCACGCGAACGGCTCTGACATAAATTTCAGAGGTCATATTAATCGTTGCAGTAATAACATCGCCTGACACAGCTTTGGTGACAGGAATTGACTCTCCAGTAATCATAGATTCGTCAAGAGTACTTGTGCCTCTCCAGATTTTTCCTAAAAGCGAGCGATTTCAGCGTTATGTGCTTGGGCCACTTTCATCAAATAGCCAGAAATGCGTACTTACCATCACATGGAATGCGGTCTCCTGCTCGTACCTTTAAGATATCCCCCACTGGTAAAATAAAAAATTCATAAATTAGATTATAGGCTATCTTCGTAAAAACAACAAAAAGGACGAAGAAACATTTTACTTACCTTGGATGTCTTTGGTATCGATCTCTGACTCTTCTAAAATCTCTCGTTGTCCGGGATCTGTCTCTTTTTCTTCATGAGAAACAGTAACCAAAATGGCTTTTTCCGGCTGTAAGTCCATAAGCTTTGTGATAGTCTCTGCCGTTTTCCCTTTGGCAAGTGCTTCTAGCCATTTTCCAAGGTGAATAAAAGTAATGAGGAATACGCTGGTTTCAAAGTAATTCATGGGCTCGGCCATAGTGTTGGGCTTTGCCATAGCAGCCGCCACGGTACCGACGGAAGCAAAATATGCCACAGAAGTTCCTAGTGCGACCAGAGTTTCCATATTGGCAGTGTGGGCATACCTGAGAGATTGATACGCCTTAATATAGAAAGAGCTGCCCAATATGAATTGAACTGGTGTACATAAGATGAACAAAACCAAATTGGCAATGGTTAAGTTTGGCACAACGTCCTTGGAAAGATGCTGGCGAACAGGGTTGGTAGATGGAAGAGCCATCATAAAGACCATGGAAATGAGCAAAACTGGAATAGCAAACAGAAGAGACCATAGAAATCGATTTCTCAGTATTCGCTCTTCTTCTTTCATCCGAGCTTTCATTGCATCTCTCTGATTAGATTGATCTTCGTCCGGCGCCAATTCGGCCTTATATCCAATTTGCTCTATTATGTTAACCAGATCGCGAGATCCTATTTTGCTGGGGTTGTGCGAAATAAATGCAGACTTGGCTAACAAATTGACTTGAGCCTTGTTTATTCCATCATGCCGTAACAAGGTCTTCTCAATGTTAGAGACACAGGAGCTGCAAGTCATGCCCGTGACAATGAGTCGAGTGATGACCAGGTTTTTATCGACACGTTCAGATTCGTTCATTTCGTCTTCAGACCTCTCCATCTTGGTTATATCGATACTTTCAGCCGAGAATCCAAGTTTCTGAATAATTCGTTGTATCTGCCGCTGAGTCGTAACGTTTCTGTCGAGCTGAAACTTCACTTTACCCGTTTCAAATGATACCGAAATAGAATTTGAGATTATACCAGGAAGTTCCTTCAAAGCTGACGAGACCTTCGTTTCACACATGTTGCAATACATCCCAGTCACCATCATTTGAACTTGGAACTTGGCACTAGAAGTTGCAACTGTTGCACCTTTGCTAGCCATATGGATATCGCTCGCCTTGTATCCTAATTTCTTGATCTTCTTTGCAATCTCCTTGGAGGATAGGCTGCTATTTTCCATCTTGAAGGCAGCATTATTAGTTAAAAGATTGACTGTAACTGAGTCAGGCATTACACCATCCCAGGTCTTGATATTCTTTTCGATGGTGCCAACGCAACTAGCACAAGTCATACCAGAAACTTGCATGGAAACTACTTGAACAGAATCATTGCGTGCAGAAGAAATAGATATTCCGGCCAGTGATGCTTCAGAGATGTGAGAAACAACCTTATTAAGGCTGACAAAGCTGCTGCTGTCATCTTGGTCATCCTCCTTCGGTTCATCCATTACTTTGGGCGGAAGGAGATTATGGATAATCTGAATATTATTTGCTTCATATCCTGCATCATCGAGCCTTTCTGTAATCAATTTCGGTGTAATGGCATCGCCTTCAAAGACCACCATTCCCATTTCAGTGTGGAGTCCAACACACACCGAATCTGGGACAGCTCCGGGTAAGTTCTTCAGTAATTCTGAGACGGCTGAGGAACAACTGTCGCATGTCATTCCAAGAACTCGAAACACTGCCTTCCTAAGTTTAACATCGGTCATACTTTCGTTGTCCAAGGTGGAGCTTCCAGTGGCCGGCGTACTAATGACATTTTCGACGTCGTAACCTGCATCTTCGATCACTTCTCGCATAGCCTCCAAAGACGTCTCCGTACCATTGTAGAGAAGAGTTGCCTCTCCCTGATCCAAGTTTACTAATACGGATTCACGGATTACACCAGGATGGGTCGAAAGGGCATTTTGAACTGTGGTTGTGCAATGGCTACATGTCATGCCTTGAATGATGATGTGAGCAGAGCATATATCGGGTTGGGACTCTGAAAGTGCTTTCTTATTCCAATCTGTAACCTCGTATCCTAGATCATCTATTTTCTCCATAATGGCATCCACGACATTGCCTTCTCCAGATACCAATACTGTGACTTTTCCGGTTAAGACATCAATGGATATGGATTCAGGCTCGACGCCTTGCAATCCTTGAATACCATTTCGTATTGTGTTAGAACAGTGTTCGCATGTCATGCCGGATACACTTAAATTTAACAGATTCCTGTGCGATGGTGAACTTGATGGATTTGTCGAAGAAATGGGCATTTCTACACTATCGATGTCGTAGCCCGCTGAGTCTATGGCATCCCTGATAATATCCTCGTTTGGGTGTCCAGGTACGTAATCAAACTCGGCTTTATTTTCTTCTAGATTGACCACAATGGAATCCTTTTCAATACCGTCAAGCTCAGAAAGAGCACGGGTGACGCTATTGACGCAATGTGAACATGTCATTCCAGAGATTCCAATTCGAGCATGTTCCAGATCAGACGACGAAGCAGCCAAGGTAGGCATGTCTAATTGTGGAGTTCCAGCATCATAGCCTAATTCTTCAATTGCTTTTGATATCGAGTCCTTATTTACTTGAGTCCCTATGTAGTTAAATGTAGCTTTCCGCGAGTCGAGGTCGACTTGGATCGATGAAACGTCGATGCCTTCTAGTTGCGCTAGACCCTTCGTGACTGAGTCTGCACAATGCTGGCATGTCATTCCATGGACAGCTACGGAAGCTGTTCTAGTGAAGTTTGAGGGTATCGTCATTGAATATGTGTAGTTATAAGTACATTGAAAGAACAAGCTCAACTTATAATTTTATCACATTACTGCCAATTGTTCAAAAATGTGACTTTCAAGGTGGCGAAAATTGCTCATGCGCACTTTGTGCGTCAGTTGGCACAACTTGCTCAGGTAGTCATTAGAAATCAAAGCCAGCCTGAATATCTCGATTATTTGTAATACATGCCAATGGTTATCATTAGGCGGAACGGGCTTGTGTCTCATAACAGATTGCTGTTGATTGTATGCACATAGAATTCAGCATTCAAAAGAGCAAGTACGCCGGCATACACACCACAACTGCAGCTATGGGTGTACCTTAATACGAACCATCAACCACGCATCAATCCCAAGGAATACGACCTTAATTTGTAATATGACGCTGTTGCACTAGCTGATAAACACTGTTCATTGCTAGGTGAATGTCGTCGGATGCTTGAATTGAATCTCATCAATATCTCGCTATCGTCCTAACATATCATGGGGCATAGTTTTCAAACCGATATTTTCTCGATGTTTGCTAAATCCACACTGCGGTAATGGGGAAAACTTTTAAAAAAATTTATTTTTGAAAGGGAATTTGGGAAAGGAAAGCAGTGGGTTCACCTCTTTGTGATAGATACAGAGGTTGAGTACCAACGCAGGTTGGCCTAAAACCGTTTCATGTTGCCACTCTTCTCATACATGCGATATGCTACGAACATGCCACCAACAATGCCAGCGGCAGCAATCATCTTGAACAAGAACCAAAGGAAACCACCACCACCAGATGAGGACTTGGCCTTCTTGCCGGTTTGGGGCTGGAGGAAAACGGATGAGTATGTTTACGATGAATTCATAATACTAATGGGGGTATGCTACTCACTATTGGCTTTTGCTTTTCGATTGGAACAGGAATTAACGTCTTGGTGGTCACGGCAATGATATCATGGTTATCTATTGGGAACGAGTAGAGTCAGTTTTTGCGTCAGCCTGAAAACAGAATTATCCCTCCCTAACGTGTTCGTACCTGAGATCTCTCCAGTGTGTGCGGTGAAGCCGAGGTAGACCTGGTCGGGCAACTTAACGTTCGGGACTTTAAAACACTCCGTCCATTCATCCTCCTTCTCATGTTGAAGCTCCAGTCTAAGATAGTTGTCCTTGTAGAAAGTCAAACGAGCTTTAGTGACCACTGTTTTACCACGGAAATCAGCCTGGGTTGAATTAAAGCAAAATTAGTCTCAGTATAACACTGCAGAGCCGAGCCCGAAAAAGGGTTTGCTTTACCTCGCAGCCAGCTAATTCGGTTGATGAGCCATCCTTGTCGTTATCATAATATTTATAACCGTCACCAAGCATAGCTTGCACATAAGGGAAGGAGTGTTTCTACAAGAAGAAAAATGCGTACAGTCAGTCAAAGCAAGTCCAAAAAAAAAAACAATCCAGATCAGAAGTACATCCCCAACGTACATGAGATCTTTCGTTATCATAGGTATCAAAGAAGATGCCAAGACCATCAAAGTTGTTGACGGAGCCAAAGACAGGGCCGATCGACATTCTCTGCTTCGATAACCAGAGTGCGAAACCGTCACCAAACAAATGACCGGATGGGCCATCGACGTTGTATTCGAGCTCGATCTCGAAGTTTGCTGCAGTCAGGGGCTAAATCAAGAAAAATAACATGGTTATGGGAAAGGTCGGTATGGTGATTCCATGGCTTTCAGTATGCCCCTACCAGACGAGACCACAAATATCCGACTTGAGAAGGCCGATTGCTTGTCAAGCGAACATGCTTGTTCGTGTTGATGACCTGGTTGTGCATTACGTTTAAAAAATGACTGATTGCTTTTTCGTTGCTGCTGGAAGATGAACTGCTACGTTTTACTTACTGCATCACCGCCAAAGTCGAACCATCGGTTCTGCAGGTCGTCATCAATGTAAGGAGGATACAACGAGTGAGTTTGTAGCGTGATGGCCTGGTTGGTGGATTGTTGTGCAACAGTCATGCCAAAGGCAGCGCCCAAGGCTAGTAGGGTAGTCTTTAAATATAACATGATGGCTGGATCGAATCCTGCACTTCAAGAAAGTAATACGCAGAAGGAATTGACGCGTGGCAAGCCAGGGATGTCCTGCAACAAACAGGCGGAGTAAGTGAAATGATTGGACAATACCAAATTTAATTTTAACGTAGAAAACCAAAGGGCCATTTCAAATGAATAACGTACGTGTTTATATGCACTGATGAAACAAGGTAGTAGAAAACACAATGTGCTCAAGTCGATAAATAAGAATAAAGGTAGGAAGAGAAAAAAAAATTATGTATATTCTATGTTTTCTTTAGGCCCATGATGATGAAGAGCAAGCTGCTTGGTTTTCATATTACAAAAAGATATGGATCAAGATGCCATTAATTTTGGGCTCGATTACCCTTCAGGTAATCGTAGATCTTGATACCAACTTTGTCGTCTTTCACTTGGACCATATATACAGCAGTTGCTCTAGTGGTCTCATTCATGAGTCTAAAGGTGATACGTTTGGTATTGCCAGAAACACGTTCGACAAAATTGCTTTGAATGAACGTGTTTACCAATCGCTTGCTATCCTTCTCACTCTCAATGTAAACGTGAATACGCTGACTGGGTATCTGCATTGAGAGTCGAAGGCCAGCATTACCCAGATTGGTCCAACTAGCGTGTTCGTTTTGCAAAAAGATTTTACATCGACATTGCATGACGGGTTTGGTGGTCTGTGGTCCGTCTTCTGGTTTCCGAATGGACGCTGCTCCAAGGGACGTGGATCTTAAAATCGGCGTGTGGTACTGCTCTTGCTCTTCTTGACGAGTAGCGTTCATGACCTCTATCGATGTTCGGTGTAAGGCTCCGGCTAGTGCATGTGCATCCCTCGGGTCGTTACAGTGCACAAGATAATTTTCTTTACGACCGTTGCCCATGTCGATACCAATGCTAACATCGGTTGGTGCTTCTTGACGACTGGTCATATTCCTATTGACCCATGCGTTCAAGTACATGTGATTGGATTCCTTTATAACAATGGCCAAGCAAGGTCGGTTGGCCATGGTCTGTCGAATTTCCGCAATACATTGACCTTCCACTGCCGCCCAAGAATTATCCTTCCATCGAAACACATCACAAGGAGGTGTTCTATGAGTGACCTCTTTTACGGCAGCCATAGCATTCGCAGTGGTAGGGCTACGAGGCTACCAACAAAGCATCACAAAAAAAAACAAACCGATAAAGTTAGGCAAAGGCTATCATAGCGATGAAACGCTTTCAAAAACTTTGACTTACGCTGCCCAAAGGTGATCCGTTATGAGGGACATTTAAAAAGCTATAGCCTTCTTGCGATGGTAATGGAGGTAATGCTTGCTGTGGTCCGCCAGGTGCACCACCTCCTTGTGGTCCATGAGTCGGAGATCGCCGTAATGAAGGGTCTTGTGGATACATCATTGGTCGCGGCATAGGGGGCATACCAGGCCGTGGTTGCATAGCCAAAGGAGGAGGACGATGGCCCATTGACTTTGATGGTACAGGTGAATTCATACCAAAGGGTGGTGGTCGTTGATTAGGAGGAAAAGGCGGTCTTGCCATCATCCCTGGCGGAGGGAGTGGACGTGAATTGTACATTGCTCCAGGCGGAGGAGAACTTCCAAACGGCGGAGGAGGATGACCCATATGCCCACCAGGAGGAGGTCTATAACCAGCAGCAAAGTTCGGTGGTGGGGGGCGTGGACGCATGGGTGGTGAAGACATGCCTGCTGGACCACCACCAGCGGAATTCAGCATGGTAGGCGCGGAATTGATGAACATTGGATCCGGTGAAGGTATAGGTGGTAGATTTTGCTGGGGACCAAGATGAGATGTGGGTGCCGACTTGGATGCAGTCAACATGGCAGGAGCATTATGAACTGCAGCCTGCATGGCAATGGGAGCAACAACACGATCGACTTCAATGGGTTGGGAGAGCAAAGGCACTTCAGGGACTTCAGACACCGCCAACTCCATGTTGTGGACCGTGGGTGGTGGGATATACCCATTACTGACAGATTGAGATAAAGGTGGGCCGGAAGACAATAACTGGACTCCAGGTGATGTCGGCAATGGTGATTCCGGCTCAAAGCTTCTTCTTCTATGCGACAAGCTGGTTGGTGTTGCTGGAGGCGGAGAGCTTGACAAATTACTGAACGTATTATCATCCAATTTCAATCTATCCAACTTTGGCAATTCCATGAAATTGGCCCTGGAAGGCGACTGGACTGGACTCGAGATATGAATGGATTCCAATGTGTGTGACACGGCTGGCTTTATAAACTCGTGGGTCACAGCAGCGCCTGAATTCGACGGTGCTGGGCTCTTCGGCATGGGAGGCAACTCAGGTGTTGAATGTGGTTCGGGTTCATCAGAGTACATACCAAAGATGGTATCTCTGGACGGTGCTTTTTCAGTGCTGGTATACATATCAAAAATGGTGTCACGGTTGGAATCCGACGCAGCATTGGATGGGAGTGAATGTTCTTTGCTAGGCGGAGACGGAACTGTCGAGTTCTTTGGAAATGGAGCAGGTGGCTTCGCAGCACCAGGCATAGGATAGTTTGGAGCCGGTACGGGAGGTAAATTCTGTTGTCGTGGTGAAGTTTTTTCCAACCACAATGCTTTCACAGCTCGCGAATCCGTTCTTAGATGCATACAGTCAGTGTTGCGGATGGACACCTGAATATAATATTCGCCAAGGCTCTCTCGTTCCGGCATCAGTTGCCCGAACTGAACATGTTTCAAAGCAAGGGGTGGAAACACAAGCGAGTACATGTAGTCGGAGCCATCATTTCGAGATTTGACCAGCTCATCACGGTTCAAACGTTTGGCGACAATGAGAACATCAGACAACAGAAAAACATGAGCTGCAATAGGTGCGATCGTATTTCCAGTGGCAGGAAACAACGTGAAATCATCGTCAACGATAAGAGTTCGTGGAGCACTCGAAAGTTGCAAGCGACATTTCTAGTAAAAAAGAGTCAATATGTGGTTCCAAAAACATAGAGCATGCATTGCTGCTTCTCACCTTGGGTTCTCTTGAGAAAACATCGACAGCAGTGGATGCATCAATCATCTTTTCAAGATCAAGGATAGCACCTTGAGGTTGGGGAGGCTTTTGCATCGGACTATACGACGGTGAAAATGTTGTGTTTATGTGAGGAACATTGGGCAGTGATTTTTGGCGACTAGGAGGCGATGCGATGATATGACTAGGTAGAGGCGAAGTCATGGCTCGTGTGTTCTTCTTTGCCATCAGCATGATTGTGTCTATCCGTTGATTGGCTTGAGCCAGTAGTTGGTGATCAGACCTCCCGGGCTCAGTGGTCTCCAATAGTCGCTGTGTAGCGGAACACGGGGAAGTCCGAACATTAAAATGATTGGATGATATTCTGATCATAAACAGATACCATTGCACTTACACCATATAAAATTTTGTAATACAGCATTCGTTGAATAGGAGCATTCACAAGCGATTCCATGGTGATCTCATAAGAGTGTTGAACCGACAGTGCCTAAAGACTAGAATTTAGTGATCTAGATGTAGGAGGGGTAGCAAGCGGATGGACCTTACATATAATGCTGCCTTCACAGACGGCCGCCCAACAATGTCCTGTCGATCATTGAGGTTGCTGATAAAACTTCGGGAATAATTGGCATATGGAGCTTCCATTTCATTGACCTAATGGGGGAAGTGACAGAATAAGTCATACAGGAAAGTGACAGAAGAACGTGGTAGCGTGACCATTGCAGGAACGACACCTTACCCATTGCATCAGCACATCTCCCAGCTCACGGATTCCTTGAGGAGAGGCAGAAATTTTGATCAAACGCTAACCGTAAGGTTAGTAATTGGGGGAAAACATGAAATGCCGCCACCCATTGTGTGGGTTGACTTACTGTACAGAATCGCTTATTTATCTTGAGAATATCCTGGGCATGTTTTAATAATTCTGTAAAGTCGGTCGAGCGCTGATCGTTGGACCATATGGGAGCAATTTGCTGTTCAACAGAAAGAAGGTGTCAATTCCGAGGAACCCAAAAATTGCATATTTCAGGGCGAGCGATATATACCGTAGTAATAATTTTGAGAGTATCAAGATACTCTTTTTCAGTTTCAATAAGGTCTTTGAGAGGATTTCCAGAGGCATTTCCAGAGGTGGGTTTGGCAGAAGAAGGAGTGTAAGAGGACTGAGGAGTCGAAGCGCTACCCACGGCGGAAAAGCCTGAGGACGATCCAGACGCAATGGTGGAGGCTGAAATCATAGAGATGAAAGGAGGGAATGGAAGATTTTGAAGTAGTTAAACGAGTGAATGTTGGATTGTGGAGATGGGAAGGACAGGAGTGACTAGAACTGCTGGTGCATGAAGACCAAACTGCAGCTACGATGCAAAAGAAATCCTGGAGTAAAGAAGATTTTTTAAAAAATACTGAAGGTGGACGGTGTGCAACACGCTGGGTAACACAAAATTCAAACTCACAATCAAGCACAAATTTGGTGAATTCTCATTGATCACGGATTATATTTACAAAGCATGAACGCGACTAATGGTTTCTCCCCAGTCGGTTCTAAATAGAAAAGCTGCATGATCAAGCTTTGGCATTAGCTCACAATCCACTTTTCTTGCCTTCAAATAGTGAAGGACGCGTTGGCTATTGATTAAATTGTCATTTTCCGAAAGGAACACCTTCAAATCTCCTAACGGTATACTATCATCACCGTATCGCTTGATGTAGGCCTTTCCGTCCTGATTTCCAATGAACATCATGTTATCGTTCCAGTCGAATCTTCGAGCAATGTAAAAGGCCGTGTACAGCTCTTGGGCGGCAAAATAACTAATTAAGCGCTATAAAAATAGATTCACTGTTGAAAATCCCGTTCGTGTCTGGAAATAAAAACTAAGGGGAAAAAACCATACCTCATTGGGACTTGTCGGTGCACGGTGGACGAAATTATATGCGAGATCGCTATAATGTAGTAAGAAGACAACAGGGTCCAGCAGCGTCACACTGGCAACGCGTTCGGGTATATCCTTTACCACCCAGTTAACAACGCAAGTTCCAAGAGAATGTCCCATGAACGTGGCCTTATCATATCCATGAATATCCAACATTTTGCGTATTTCGTCCACAAGTTCATGAGAGGTAGGAATAGCTTGGTTGATGTGCATTGAGACGTAAGGCATTTCGACGAAGATAAGGCCGCGATGTTCTCCACAGTGCTTCAACAGCTTTTTGATAAACCAGTTATAGCACATTAGGCCAGCCGCAATTCCGTGAATGAAAACGATAGGCGGTCCTTTTGTCTCAGCGGTGGCCGGTCGATGCCAGTGCACAATTTTGCCGCCAGGTGATGGCATCTCTCCGGACATTGCTTCTGTGATAGACTCGACGTCATCTAATAATATACTTCGCCAGCTTTGTTCTCTGCTACCGTCTTCATAGCGATTGAAACCCAATTGCATTAGATGATAGTCGAATATATACGTCAGAACGTAAACAACTCCGTACAGCACCAAAGGGCGGTAAGTGGATCGGATAGGGTCAAGATTCAACCGGATGCACTGTAACCGGGCATTGTATCCGCCTGAAATCTTGGTTCCTAGTTTTTCGAACGCAAGCTCTAGTAGCTGATCCAATTGCTCGGCATGCAGTGGATTGGCTGACACGCGTGGCATACTCTTGCCCCAGAACGCCCAAGCTAACCTGAAAATGTTGAAAGATAGGTAAAAGCCCATTAGCAATGTTGAATATCTCGCATAACATCAATAACATTCATGAAAATTTTTATACCATTCCCGAATATTCCCTTGACAAATTTCGTCTATATGAGGTCTTCGCAAGGTACCCTTTTCTCGAAACCATCCAGTGCACCAATCAATAGGATCGTCGATAGTTTCCAGACATTGATTGATGAGATCCCATCGATCTTCAAGGCTCATATCCGGTATTTCTTGATTATACTTTTCCAGGCGTCGTTTTGCGAGAGAATAGTGTATGAAAAATATAAGCTCACATATCACCCAGCTATGAAAGACGCTGACAACAACGGATCCAACGGCGGAGTTCGTGGGTAGGATATGGTATATGAGGGGTTTGCCGTATAGAAAAGAGAATGCCACATAGGACATTATAAAGTATAACGGAATCTGAACGAGGTATACAACCAAGCGTACCCATATTCTATTGAACAGGGTGTCATTGAGCATTTAGAATGTTGGCCTAATGGCGAAGGAATTTAACAAATGGTAAAGGTATTAAAAAAAAAGATACGTCAGGTGAAGTCCCCATTTATGGCCGCAAAACCGTACCGATTTAGGTCCAATCAGGCATAAGGACTTTGAACAACTGACGGAGATAAAGCTTTGAAATCGTTTCCATTTAGCCCTGACAATCTTCAGCGAACGTTCAGTCAAGGAAGAAATAGATGTCAATGTGAGAGGCTAAACAAAATTGCTGATCAGTTACTAGAGAAATGACAGTAGTCCCCTGCATACGGTGCTGTCGATCAACAGCACACCCAAGAAGTATCTTTTTTCTAGCACTGGAAATTCAATTCCTGGCTGAGCTAAATTCGGCAAATGATATCATAGCGTCACCGGCTTAGTCCTGCTTGAGCATATCTCAAAACCAAGATCATATCGAACGCTATCGATCATACTATCTAATGATGAACTATCGATTTGAGCCTTCATCATCATAAGTACATCATTTAGAAGTATATCTTTTAAGAGCTATTATATACTTATTTTCTCACAGTCTTAATACCATGTATACCAGGTTCAACTGACGTTGCACTAAGTTACTTCCAGGTAACACCATTACGGAAAGAACAATAAGAGTCATTGAATCTGGGACAAATTGTGTATTATTTGTACTTACAAAGTCTGCGGAATCATTCTCATTTTATTATCCTCCAACTCTTGCAGTGTTATGATACAATGTGAAACAGACGTTTGGCGACGGCAGGTGGCGTATTTTTCATACTGTTTCAATCAAATTTACTGTCAAAGAAGTTTCCAAAAATGTGGTACTTTCATTACTTTAAAGTCACTAATTCACCTAATATTTATTTGAAACGTTTATCTTATGCTGATTGCTGTATCACAATTGATCGAATACAATAACATTGCTCTATACAGGTTTCTATCCATGGACAAATAGGTCATGATCCACCACCCGGTCTTCTGAAATTTTCGACCAATGAAAAACGATTGTAAATCGGTTTAATAGCTTTACAGCGAGAATGTTTGACTTTAATGCGGTGAAGACATTTCACCCGATACTGCCTAACTATCTGACACATCATTTGCAAGTTCCTGGAACCTACAGTAACCCAAATGAGTCCGAGAGGCTATACCAATAAAACATGAGTTAGTTGATATAAACTGACATCTGTAAACAAGCGTTTCAATTTTATATAATGGCTACTTTTGTGAGAAGCATGCGCTATAAAAATGTATTTTTTCGAAACATAAAATTACAGAAATGCTGTCTGTCCATCATAAAATTCCATTTCATTTTTATGTTATTTGGTCACATTCAGTCAGAGGAATATGTGTACTACGACCATCAATGGCTCTGGAGTTAATTTTACGATGTGAGTCCGTGTTCGATCAAGGCAAAACGGATATTCGGACTTCACTTGGACTACCAGGTTTCAGACAGTAAATAGTGACTACCGTTTGGTACAGTGTACTCTCTCATTTGGAAGTGACCAGGAGCACATCTGTATACTCTTACGAATAAAACGAACTGAAACAATAAAACGAGGTATACCAAAGTTTGGGTTTATCAATCGTGAGCCATGAAATATCTAGCAAAAAGCCAACCAATGTATACATCAGGTACACAGAAATCAAAAATATGCACCTGGTTCATGAGCCAAGAAATGGACACCATTCTTGACTCTGTACTACTGAGTTGAATGATGATTTGTGTGCGCTGTATGGTGCTCCACATACGGAAGGGACTGCCATCAAAAGTGTTTACATAGGTTAAGTTAATGAAACGAAAAAGGAGTTCCCTGCTGCAAGTCTAATAACAGCGCATGATAGTCGTAGCCAAGGTATTCCAGGTGCAGTTTTTTTTTTAGCGTTGTCCACTCCACTCTCTTCCCCGAAGCAAATTACATATATGTCACTCGGCTATCGATAACTTGAGAAATTTTACCTAATATGCTCAATAAAATTAATCCAGATGCCGATCAACCGAAACTAACATCTTGTGCTGACTGACGACTTTAACGTCTTCTTACTGGACTTGCTTCAATGGTTCGAACGACATTCAAGACGTTTGTGAAGAGCTTCCGATTTCAATGAACCATACCGTTACAAATGATCATAGAGCTGCAATGCAAGCATTTCTTCATTAATGACGATGCCACAAGTTTTCTTGGCAGTTAACAAAGAACGGAACACCATTCCATGCATTGCTTTTGGTCATCCGAAACCTCTACCGAAATGGAAAATGATAATCCAGCATCTGTGTGTACCAGGGCTAGAAACTTTTTACGCAAGCGGGCGGCTAATCGCCAACGTTAATTTGCCAAGGCAATTTAACAAATGGATACTGGAAAGGGCCTCCCAATGGGGGCTCCTTTTATAGCGGAGCCCAGGTTTCTTTTCTGACGACCCGCCCTGGCAATCCGTATAAGAAGACAAATCATACTGTTGCCTTGACTTCTCCTTTTATTTCTTTCACCATCTAAAGTATGAACAAAACGATTTTTCTAGCGTCGATTTTATTTTTCGTTGGAGTTATCGCGGACAAGTTCAATATCACCTCAGTCAGCTTGATGAATACTGGCTGTAGATCTACCGTGCATCCAGGAAGTCTAGTTACCGTCAACTGGCAGACGACAAACCAAACCCTTGCTAGTCAAGCTACTTGCTATGTATCACTTCGCAGAGCTGGAAACAGAACTACTCTCGTAGAAGACAATGGGACTGGCTCACAAGTGCCTTGCAATCAAGGCAATCTTGTATTTAATATCTCTACTTCCCCAATGACGAACACATTTTATTGGAACCACATGAGAGTTGTCGCAAGAGTAACCCAAATATCACCATTTTTCGGCCATAATGACTCATGTTCCTTCAGGTAAGTTCACAGCCAGCACGGTTTGGCAATGGGTTTAAAGCACCAGTGTTGTTAACTTCTCTTTTTCTTTTTTTTTTTTTAAAAAAAAAATCGTTAGTGTCAAGGATAGAGCTCCTGAATTATGTCCTATGTATCCATGCAAGGTTGCACTCATTGCAACTTTAGTACCGGTTGGAATAATGACTATTATTGGCTGCTGTTTATGCCATCAATGCTGGCGAAAACCATGGCGTGTTTTCAACAAATCGACCAGTCAAGAGATGATCCAGCCGTCAAAGTTCCTTGCTACTTAGGTTATCGGATGTCAATAGCTATTTACCTTCTTGCCCTTTTTCTGTTTCAGGAAAGAGTGACTAATCCCCTATCAAAACATGTATACATTTTTGTAGGAAATCATTAACGTATATTCAACCTCGCACTTCAATGTTAAATCACCAACACACTATTCAATTCTTTAGAATTAAGGCAGTACCCTACAGCAGGATCTGTAGGAAGATTTGATTGAATAAAATGATAGATAAACAAAAAAAAAATACAGGGCGGTCATCTAGAGAACGTGAATACTTTTTTTTTAAACACTTCCTTCAGGGGAGGGGTGAGGCCAGTTTGGAAAATACTTTTCCTTAGTACAAAGCTGACTTTTCCGGAAATGTTCTAAATGGGTGATGGGCTCTTCTAGGCATTGAACGGGTTAACTGATGTTTGAAGGCGTGCATCCTGTTGCATCTCTGTATAAACAACAAGATCCATCTGTAAGGATAGATGATGTACGTTGTCGATTTTTAGGAGGCAGTGATTCCCCTAACATCCCTTCATACAGGGAACTTCTTTGAGAGGTAGGTCAGAGCACGTGACTGAACATCACGTGGATGTACCGGAGCTGCAACGGGGATGCCTCATAGTCAGAGAAGACTCGCATTCAATGGCACACCCTCTGTTTCCCATAATCCAAAATGGTACGTAACCCATCCATCCATCCATTCCATCGAACGATGAATCCATCCATGAATCCCATCTAACCAATGTAATACCTCCATGGTATGTGTTTTTCAATAGGCCAAGCGTACTAAGAAGGGTGTGTACAACAAAAAAAATTATTCCATTGAGAAATGACTGCAACCATTCAATTGAAAGCACATCAACTAAATTCACTTCTTGTATTTCAACAGTCGGAGTCACCGGAAAGTACGGCACTCGTTATGGTGCTTCTCTTCGTAAGCAAGTCAAGAAGATGGAAATCACACAACACGCCAAGTACACTTGCACTTTCTGCGGCAAGGTAAGAATAGTTGCCACATTTCGATCACCGAGATTAGAGTAATGGTTTCCAAGCGACCCACGCAAAGCAAGAAATACATTGTTCTCTCTCGAGTGCCGTCAAACACTTTGCAATTTCATTCATGTTAATCACTTTATTTCTCACTTTAGGACGCTGTCAAGCGCACTGCTGTCGGTATCTGGGAGTGCAAGGGCTGCAAGAAGGTTATGGCCGGTGGTGCCTGGCAAGTGTCTACCACAGCTGCCGTCACCGTCCGCTCTGCTGTCCGTCGTCTCCGTGAAATGGCCGAAATCTAAATGGGTTTTTTCCTCTTTCATACACTGACCAACAAAATAAAAAATACTCAATATCAGCCAATGTTTAGTGTGGATGACCCACTGTGACGCTTTATGTAGAGATGAAAAAATGAGATGGGTGGATTCTATGGCGGTTTGAAGATGAAGTATGGGAAGCCTTAAAGTCAGACATGGTTATTCTTAGGCTATCATTAATACAGTTCTATAGAGTCTTGAAGGAACGATCGTGAGAGTTTTTACTGTTGTGCAGCCTTCTTGGAAGCAAGTTTGGCAAGCTTCAGCTTGTCGAGCTCATCTTGCGCAGTGCTGTAATAGCGAAGCCATGGGTTAAGTTAAACTCACTCGCTTTAGCAACAACTGAGTAAGCAGCACTTACTATAGGTTCAAGCATTTGTTCATAGCTTTGTTTTTGTCGCGACAACTCCAAGCAACTGTAACATTGTGCTCCTTACTGCAGTCGACAAATTCTGGTATGAAAAGCGGTTACTGTTTTTGAACTACATGTAAACGTTAGGATCTTTAGACAAACCTTTAATGGGAACTTCACATTTCTTAAGGGCATTCTTTTTCAGCTCTTTGAAGCAATTCTCCTCTTCGGCTCTGGTAAGTGCATGAATGCCCTCGGTACGATCAACGAGAGGGTTCGACATTTCTGATTGTGCTGACTTGCCCATAGTGCCGTTGTGTGTGGTCTAAAGTGGGAGGAGTTTTTGTGAGGGGAGAATGTGAAGCAAATTTTTGTGCCTTCCAAAAAGACTTAACACGAGCACTCATAAATTGAAAATTGGTGCAATCAATATTTAAGGTGATAACTGTCTGACGAAGTCAGAACTTTCCTTCCATACATTGTCTTCATCACAGCACTGGCTCTTGTCGCATCAATTACAGAGATAAATGAGTCATTCTGCCAAGTTTGGCATGTTTATTAGTCGTGGTATTTTGACAGCTTCCGTGGAAGTGGATCACTGTAGTTATGAAATTTATGAAATGTACTCTCTAATATTGATCTATAACAATGAAGCCGTATCAAATAATTTCTAAATGTCTCTAACGACCTGGGTGCCAATCTCCCAATGTTTATCCACCCACTCCCGTACAGCTTGACGCAAGAGCTAATGACGAAAGAAAATTGGCAAGTAAGAAAGTTCGAGTTAGAATTAGGCAAAGTATCTATTGATTCCACTCATTTCGTTTTACGTACCTTTGCTTCGGGTTCAGTTAAAAAGGAATGGTCGCCTTCGGGTATAATGACAATTTGATGGTCATCGTCTTGACGAAGTTTGCTATTCTTTCCAACATGATGGTGGAAATCCCAAGCACTTTTGACAGGAACAATGGAATCCTGATCGCCATGGACAGTGAGTACCTTTGTGACAACAGCGCCTTGATCATTTCGTAGCACAATGTCTCGAACGATGGACATATCAATCGCTGACCGTACACGCAAGTCTTCCTCCCGGACAATGAAAGTTCTTTCCTTTTCTTTCCCATACTTGAGCCACTCGAACCATCCCTGCTCTTGAAGCAGCTGCATATGCTCTGGCTTGAATCGGAAGCTCGGTGCCTGAGTATGATCGTAACGAGCCGAAACATTGATGATGAGCGGTATATCGTTGTGGTGTGTGGCATAGGTCAGCACTAAAGACCCAGCTTTAGAGTGCCCAATTAGCCCTACAATAGTGTATCCTTGCTTGCGTAGCTGTGCCAAGACATATTTAAGGCAAACGTACTCGTCGTTAAAGTTGCCATACCGAGTGATACCGGTACTGGTGCCCATGCCGGGGAAGTCCAAACATAAATGAGGGTATTCAGGACATAAAGCCCGAGAGAGATTGCGAATAACTTTGCTGAATCGGTGGTTGAGCATTCCGTGACATATAACAACCAAAGGTTTGAAGTTATCACTGGCATCGGTCACTGGATCCGGCAGTGTGAAATGACCAGTCAAGATTTCGCCATCAGGCATGGCGAATGACACTGCTTCATTACGAGTTCCGGGCTCTGCAATAGGGACAGGCAGTACAGCAGGGGGAACATATGTACATTGATCAATCTCTGTTAGTGCTGGCGGCATAGGTATGATATGAATATAAGAAAAGTAGGTTCTGTGAGAGTTTTAAAAATTTAAAATAACATATTCCGAATGACTAACTGTCATTGTCTTCCTCGCCCTGTTGAGCCATGGCTGCCTCTGCTTCATCCACCTCATCCTGAGCAATCTTTTTACGACGCAGTGCCTGTTTAGCCAGATCCAGGCGACCGGCTCTCTTGAAGATCAAAGCACACTTCTTGTCCTGTTCTATTCTGGATCTGACGTTGTTGAGGTATTGTTCTATAGTAAGTCCGCCAGTCTGAACTTGTATCACCAGCATATTCATCTTGATTTCCAGCGCTTGCTTTTGATCCATCAAGTGCTCTGGTACGGTTCCATGGCACGCGGCAATAGCTGAATTGATCAGTCCAATCTCATTTTCAAGCACCATATTTGACACGATGGAATCCGCACTAAAAACACAAAATAGTGAGCCAATGATATCAAATTGAAGGACATCCCCCCCCAAAAAAAAATAGCACATACTCATTAAACTCAGCCTCAGCCTGTTCAAACTCGCTTTCCTCTTCCGTGGCTGCAGCTTTCGGTGGATTTGCGACGGTTTGATCAATTTTACTGGAAGTCGGCTGCGGAGAGGTAGGCTTGGCAACTGCGTCTTCGGTAACGGGCGCCGTAGGTGTGAGCGGTTGAGGAGGAGTACCGACTTGAGGTGAAGCGATAGGCGTGGGTTGATAATTGGACATTGATTGTGGTATAAGTTGAGCCGAAGCTAGTAAAGGATAAATGTTGGAATTATATTCGTCAATGATCAACCATTTGTCTTGCTTTGTTGGAATTTCTGTGTCCATCAATGCTTCTGATAAGCTGATCTCGACATGTAACATAGCGCCTGTCTTCTTCTTGTTCTGATCCATAATCTAAACAGAGGATAGCTCATCAGTTTAAAGCAGTTGAACTCTAATAAAAGAAATTTGCCATGAGTCTATTCAATTACCTCCAAGACGCCGCCAACTGTTGCGTTGTTCAATAGCTGATTCATCTCAAGAGTCACCTTTCCAAGCAAAAGTGGTCGAGGCAAGAAACCGTAGGAATATCGCTTGTGATAAACCTCAAAAGTTGCTTTCTTTCTCTGCAGATACCTCATAAATACTCGGTTATGACGTGTGATTGGTATGGAAGTCTTAAAGTCGAAATCTAGTCAAGAACGGTGGTTGGTTAGAGCACTGGTTTAACAAAGGCTGGGTATTTTCAAATAGTGTGATGCGTACCTGGATTGGCGCCTTTAGGAGCAGATGGTGTTTGTCCTTTGCCAAGGTGAGCTTGTGGCACATTCTCAGGTGGCCAACCTCCCAGATCCCACTGAACGTAAGCTTCAATGTCTTGAGCAGCCGTCTCCAAACTTTGTAACTTTGTCGCCTTCTTGATATTGATAACCATCTCGTTGCTTCCAATATCAGGATGAGTCTCTCGATAAGCATATGTGACGTTCTGATAGTGAAACCTTGGTAACGGTGCATTCGTATTTTCTGCCGATTTCAAAGACACTGAATCTGCTGCGAACGCTTTGGCAAGACCTTTAAAAGCGTCTCCAAGCTTGACACTACCGCCTGTCTTTCCTCTGTTCTGAAGTTCCAGATTGTGGCATACATCTACTTGGTAGTTGAGTGTCTTTTCGAGTTGCGCGAAATCAGGAAGGGTGCCGGTACTGGACGCTAATTCCACTTCTTGTACATGTCTTGGTTTACCTGATCCAAGATCCATATCAGGAGGTGGTGGTATCTTGTTACGGATTGATTTGGGGGCAGTTAATTGTTTATTCTTCACTGCTACAGCCGTCTGTAACACCTCCTTCGACACTCGAATCATCTCTTTAGCCACAACAAGATTTCCTAAATCCTTGTAGTGTATAGCCGCTTGCTTATATTCTTTTTGCCGTACGATCAGTGTCTCTAACATTTTCTGTACTTCGGATGAGTCCGCCGCCGCTAAGTTTGATGGAGGAGTTTGGTTGGCGCTTGTTTGACTCAATGGGGCCGTTGATGATGGTGACACTTGGGCTAATGGGGGAGGTGCATCAGAATGCGATCCTGATTCACCTTTATCAGGTTGCACGGGCGATGGTTTTTCTTTTGGTGGTTCATACATTCTATCTTTTGCGGGAAGTGGTGGTGTGGGAGTACCAGATGGCTGACTTTTGGGACTTTGAAGCTCATTACTCTGGCTAGGTAATGGTTCTGACGGTGTTCGGTCTGGTTGCGGTTGGAGACCTGAATTCCTTGATGGTTCTGACGCCAGTTGTAACGTATCGTCTTCGATTGGTAAATCATCGCTTTGTAACTCCTTCAATTCTTCCTTCCTGGCTGTAAATGCCTTGGATTTTCTAAGTAAATCGATTGCCGATGTCTTATCACCAGCACGTTTAGCAGAAATTGCTGCTTTTTGGTATTCTGTTGCATATTGTGATAAGAGCGACAAATCTGTTTCCTCATACTTAATCATGAAGTCTTCTTCGCTGCCAATTTCTTCTGTCGCGACCGGTTCAGTTTGCGCTGGACGCTCTGGTTCGAATTGCGCGGTATCGTAGGTCATTTGGGTGGGAGCGGGAATGGTTTTTTGTATGGAAGCCTCGTGACTCATGCCTTCTCTTGAAGCATTCCAAGCAGTTGGCTCAAGAGGCTTCATAGATGTATTTTCATTGTTCTCAAAGCCTATCTTTGAATTGTCAACGGTGCTTGTATCTATAAGGTCCTGATTCTTTTGATTCGATTGTTCCTGGCGCATTCCTTCCTCGGCAACTTGCTCCTGTCGACCAAAACCATCTGATACCATATCTTCATCGCCTGCAGTCGGTGGAGGTGAGTCAAGCAAATAATTTGTTGCTCTCTCCAGATCATTATCAAACCGTTGTAGGGCGTCAATAGATTGTCTTTGCGAAAATCCCATAGCCATGAGTTGGAGTGCTTCGTCATTTGGAGGAAGCGACCTTGCAGTCTTGTGTGAATCGTTCATAGGAACTTTCTTAAAAGCGATAGACTGCTGAGGTTCTTCGCCTGTTAGTGGTAATGGCTTTGCTGCTTTTAAATCCTCATCAGCAGCCTCTGTTGCAATCTCTGGTCCACTGTCCCGCAGCATAGATAGTTCACTCTACGAATGGTCTCGTCAACTATTGGTCACCATGATTTTTGGTTCGTTTTAGTACATGTAACTTACAAGTAGGTTAGGATCATTCATGTCGCTTTCATCAAAGTCAACTTCGATTTCCTCATCCTGCGCTAAGCGAGCATACGAATCGATGTCCACTTGATCAACGCCTTGGACTGGCTTCGGTTTTGCCTTTGGCTTTCGAGGCGCTGAAGAAGTGCTTAATTCTTGTAATTGACTCTATATTGATGAACAGGTGTTTCAGGTCAATACACCTTCACTCAACTCCAAAGAATCTTATATCAAGGCACGTTAGAGAGGAGTCCAGGTTGCTTACCAACAAGTCGGGATCCATTTCGTCCGCACCGTCTTCCCCATCCAGGTGGACGGGGTCATTCAGCAGATCGCTAAAGTCCATGTCATCGATGCTATTCGATTTCCCACTTCTACCAGCAGATTGTGGTTCCTTTGGCGCTTTCTTCCACGAGAACATGGTAATGACGAAGTACTTGCTGGCCAACTCCGCAAAATCCGACGCTGTGAAAGTGGAAGCGTGACCGCTAAAAATTTCTGGCCACCAAGAATTTTGCTTTTTTCTCGACCTTTGCCATTGCTACTACCATAGATGAACGCTGCCATGGAGGACAAAGAAAGCGTAGCTCCTAAAGGTGGGTTTAGTTTCAGACGAAAATGTTTATTTACTTGATTTTATTCATTAATTTTTTTATTAGCCAACGTTGCCTTGGAGAAAAGAGTCTATATTGGCGGCTTGCCCAGAAGTATGACAGCAGACGATCTACAAAATCGATTCAAAATGTTTGGAGAAATCTCGGACGCAAGTATAGCTAAGGATACCGAAAATCAATGCCGTGGGTTCGGTTATATCACGATACAAACGACCACAAATCAGTGGACCAAATGTCTCTCTGTGTACAATAATGCGAAGTGGAAAGGAGGAGTCATGAAAATCGAAGATGCTAAGCCAGAATACAAAGAAAAGCTGGAAGCAGAAAAGCAGGCACTAAGATTGAAGCAAGAGAAAAAAGAGGAGAGAGCTTCCAAGAGACGGCGGAATACCGATGCAGATGGTTTCATTGCAAGAGATATGACTCTGGTTAACGACAAGAACGTTGATGGACGGAAAGGTTGGAAACGAGGACGATACGGAAGAGCGATCGCAGTAATGCGATTGCAAAAGGACAATGGAACCAAGGCAAGTAGCTTCGCTGATAAGGCCATTGCATACCAATTACCAAATCTAATTTATATCTATTCTTTTCAGTTTGTTTTTGATCCATCGCATTACAAAAATAACCTGCTAAAGCTCTACGACATCAAAGTTCGCATGAAACCAACTCGAAGCTTGCCAATGTTTTACGAGGATATCGACGATACCATAGAGTCATACGATCATGCTAGTGACCATGATGATAATTATGCCATGCAAGAAGATAGTGAAAATGAAGACGAAGCTGTACAGATCACAACTAAATCACCTGTATTACCGCCAAAGTTGACAAAGGTAAAGTTTGGTTGCATGTTAATCCGAAATTGCGCGTAGTCGCTAACAAACGTACATTATCAGGAACAAGTGAACGAAAAGAGATTACAGACCTTGGAACAAAGAGAGATGGAAAGACACGAGGAGAAAGAACGTATTGCTGCAATGCTAGCTCAAGTTGAATCAGGGAAACGAAAGGATGGTCACATAACTTTCGGTGACGATGATGAAAAAGCACCGAAAAACATAGAGCATGACAATGACAGCGATGATGTTGTTGAGCAGCATCAATCGAAAGACGCTATGAAATGGATGTTTGACTCTGATGAATCTGATGACGATGATACCCCAGGTAAGTTACCAAGTTTTCCATGCACTATACAATGGACTTGATAGATTAACACTTTCTGTATCTAGCCTTAAATATCAATCCAGTGATGGAAGGCGAGAAAGGCAGAGAACGACTAGAATTACAGCGGACGTTTGGTGGTGATGAGCGTTTCAAGCTGGGAGCTGATTTCATGGACGACGACAGTGACGAAGAGGAATCATGGAATCAAGCAAAGCAAGAAGATAACCTTGCTCGAGACGAAATAGCGGCCGAACTAAATCAAGAGAAGTCAACTTCACTTGATGTACTGAAGGCCATGTTCGGGGAAGATAACAGAACAGTTCTGAGGTAAATACATGTCTGACGCAATTTTCCATGGAGATCATCAAGTGTTAAAGCTATTCTTGACACATTAGGGAAGCACCAAAGTCTGCGGGTTGGACACCTGGATTACGTTTTGATCCCGACGAAGAGGATGCGGATTTGCTTGTGGATACAACGCAACCTGAAGAATCCCAAAATAAGGGTAAGTTGAAAGGCACCAAAAAAAAAAAAAAAAAAAAAAAAAATGGCTGGCAAACTAATCCCCTCCATCCACGATTATAGAAGCAGAACTCGCTCAGCAGCAAAAGGAAGTTCTTCCAGAAGTCTCGAGTGATAAGCATTTCCAAGTGAATATCAATTTGAAGCCACTCTTCACACCAGGTGCTCAAGGTAAGCCAATGGTTTTTTGTCTTTGTGTAGTCCACCCGTCTTGGTGCTCACCCTCTGATGCTTGTGACAAAAATAATTGCAGAAACGCCATTTAAACTTTTCGGCGGGGATTCCGAAACGGAAGAAGAAGAAGAAGAACCTGAAGAAATAGAAGACGAAGACGATGATGATTCTGCTGATGTTGTTGACAGTAAGATATTGATACATACACAAGAAGACAATACAATGCCCGCACCTGCCGTCCTTCAACGACAGCAGCAAGTCATGCAGAACGCACCCTTCTTTTTCTTCCATTTTGGAAATCAAGAGCTATCCAAACGGTAATTTCAAAACCAATATTAGTCAATTATGTATTTCCCGCTTATACTGATTATGATTTTTCTACAGATCAACCTATAAAGACGACGGTGTATTTATGCGCACGGACTCAATGTAAGTATCTGACCGCACGGTTCATTACGTGGGTAAACTAAAAGTTTCTGATGCGTCTACTCAATTATAGGGAGAAAATCACTGCTACTTGGGAGTCTGTCCGCCAAGAATTGACTCAAGTGTTCAAGAAGAAGCACAAATCCGCCACCAAGCTGAAGGCAAAGATGATGAGAGCTCAGCCCAACGGCAAATAGGTTATTTGAACGGGTTAAAGTAAAAAGTGATAATCCACTCTGGTGGATCTCTTCGAACACATACCGAGTTTGTCAATGCACCGTATTACTTTATCTTTTGTGCGACCACGCGGTTTATTTCTTTGTCCCATTTCCAGTGAAATAAAACGGCTGTAAATATCTCTTTACCTCTCCCCACTTAAGCTGACGATATAAGAGAGTACTTGCAAAGGGGATTGCCCATATAGTTGAGACTGGTAACTTTTGATCGATTGATTGTGATCCACTGCCTTTGAGCCAATGCCCATGTTGGATGAAGCGGCCATAGCTATAAGCGCTTAATTCACGGCCTGTTCTTTTGTTTCAAACGGAATACAAGCAAGAGTAGATTTCCCATAAGCTTAAAACAGAATGAAAATGAGGTGATTTTCTCAGTGTAACACCTTGAACAATTTAGCGATAGTTTACTACCGGACAATTGCCTATTATGATCTCACAAAGGCTGAGGAGATAGTATGGATCATATTAAATGGCTGATACATAAGCTCTCAACGGCTAGCCAGCATAAGAAGTGAATGTCCTATCCTGCTGACCAAAATGCCTATTTGCAAATAAGAGCGCTGCTTTACTTTTAACGGATGTTTTCGGATATCTTTCCTTTATTTTTACAAAATATCTGTTTGACTCTTTCGCCAATTACTGTATACTTAAAGCAGCTCTGTTCTAGAATGTCCCCTTCGAAAGATTTGCAAGAACAACAATTCGAGATTGATTCTTCATTGGAGTCTTCCTCCAAGCTTAGTAGGAAAGACAGACAAGTTACGGAAAAATTGAGACCTCCTAACGCATTCCTTCTCTATCGTTCTGAAAAGCAATCAACCCTACGTAAAAGATTGAATGCTCCATTGCCTCATGATATATCGCGTATCGTTTCTCTATGGTGGCATGAAGCTCCTCCTGAAACAAAGGAATACTATCGGTCGCTATCCAAAATCAACGCTGCACGACATGTCCCAAGGTTATCTTAAAAAAAAAAGGCTGTTAGACAAGGAAAATTTCTGACCATCGTTTTTTTTTTTCTTTGTTTAGTACGGTTGTATCTACTGGCAAGCTCAATAGGACACCAAGAACGCCTAAGGTTCCAAAGCAGCAACTACTCAGCATGGGTCAGCTTCGAGTAACACTACCTAGGTATCTGAAGTTTGTTCGAGAAGCCAATGACGCCATCCGTCCGACCTGCGTGTCCAAGAATGAAATCCTACCGTCTTCATCACCAACGGCATTTCCACCGACACCGTACAGGTCATATGCATCATTTCTATTTCCCATTCAACATATTGTGTGCCACTGTCCTACGTGTGAAATACCCATCTCAAGCATAGCAAAAGCAATCGCTGAAGAAGAAGAAGGAGAAAAAGGAAAGGAAACAGAAGATGATGATGTTGTTGACTATATTGATGACGATGCCGATGATAAAAATGAAAGATAAACTTTGCAGTATCCTTCATGATTTTTATATATCAATGATTCTTCGCCCTGGCTGGCTGACTCAATTTTACTCACTAATTACTTACTGTTCAATTGCTGTAGAAAAATCACACGTAGACACTCTGTATAATCGGGTCCCCTTTGTAATAGAATAATAAATATACATACTACTATTTCTTTATTGGATATGTGTCTTGCTTGGGAAGTTTAATACACTTACAGCATTCTTACAGACAGTAAATACTGTACTAGGGTATCTGCTGTAAGGCAGTTGATATCTTATCAACTTTATATGTTACATGAGCCACCTACTAAGTGAAAAAGTGTGTACATTGGAAGACACCTTATTGGCGTTCCATTGCTTCAGGGTGACCTTTTTCGAGATCAGGATTAACAGGATCGGCGGGAGTATCTGGAGTTGGTTGTTCGGTATCTCGACCAGCTGCTTGACCAGCTGCGCTTTGCTTTTCATCAGTAGCCTTGGCCTCGCCAAGTGACTTTCGGAGAGCAAAATGCTGGATACCCAACGAGCACAAAAATGACATTCCTCCAAAAGGCACCATGATGATGAAGCACAATTTGAGTGCATCAACATATTGCTGAATGATTTCCTCGTGCTCCGTGCCTGACAGGGAGTTGACATATTTAACATCATTGGCGGCTGATTGTACAGTTTCAGGACTCAAATTGAGCGTCATCAGCCCCGATATCAGCCTATTGTTGAACAGTGTACCGGCAATAGCCAATCCAAATACACCTCCTAATGTTCTAGAAAAGTTTACGAAAGCTGTTGTAACAGCCATGCTGTTGTGAAAGACTGCATTAGTTTCATTTATCATTAGGTTGTGAATCGAATAGAAGCTTACTCTTTGTATGATACTGATGCTTGGGCGGCAACAATGAGGGTTTGCATGCAGCAGCTAAACCAGAAAGATAGTGTGTAAGACTTAAAGTATACTATGCTTATACATCCAAGATTAACATAAACTTACCCAAAACCAACACCAGCGACGAGCAAGTAACCAATCTGCTCTCCTCTATTAGAGTAATATCCAAGCATAGTGATAAGACCAGAACCAACGGTGATAAGGCAGGTACCTATCCAAATCCATATACGGTATACACCTGTCTTTGCAGTAAGAAAACCCACAGAAATATTACAGAATACCACACCAAGCATATACGGCAATAGTTCCAATCCAGCCGCTGTAGCACTGTCACCTCGTACAGCCTATAAATTTCATGAATCTGTGAGCATGGATGGCGGTAGCAGCATATAGAAAGCTATGTATGAGACTTTACCTGGAAGTAGATGGGAAGGTAGTAGATACCAGTGAAAAATGCCATACCGAAGAAAAAGGAGGTGGCAAAAATGAGAACTGGGGTCCGCATACTGAATAAACGCAATGGGATGACAGGGTTGGGAGCAATCCATTTTTCCAGAACCAAAAAGAGAATCACTAAAACACCTCCGGCGCAATACAGTCCAATGATAATTGGGGAATTCCAAGCGTATGTGATGCCACCCCATTCAGTTGGTAACAGCAATGCTACGACAGCAGCGACCAAGAGTAAAGTTCCCAGGAAATCAACTTTCTTTAGTTTTTCCATGATAGATGACTTTGGATGTGGCAAATGTAAGAAGAAGACAATGACAGCCAGTGCCACACCACCTAAGATAGACAATTGAGTATTGGACGGTATATACTTTTTCACGATCCAGATGCTTACCAATGGGCAAATTAACATAAAAACACCATCGCCAGGATGCATGATCCGTAAATGCACCACCTAGCAGAGGCCCTATAACTGATGCAATGCCCCAGCACGCACCGATGATACCCTAACGTTGGAGAAAGTCAGTAAGTTATTCCAAAGTCATGTCAACAACGGTTCATGATCGGCTACATACCTGGTATTTTCCTCTCTCACGGAGGGTGACGATATCACCAATGACGATCATAACCTGTCCATTAAAGATAAATATTCATCTTCTTCATCTGTTCGCTCTCATCAATTAAACTTACCGCTGCTATGATGCCACCACCACCAATACCTTGGATAGCTTTATGAAATATAAATATCATTGCGTCCGAACCATTAAAAAGCCCTTTTATATGTTGATATCCACTTACCTCTACATATAATAAGCATAATCATGCTCTGCGAAGCTCCAGACAATATACCTATCCATAATATGCCATAAATACCAGACAATGATACATGGAAGTGAAAAGCAGACCAAACTTACTTCCAATTAAGAATATGATGTCTGCTGCTAGTAATGTTGGTTTACGACCAAAAATGTCTGCCAGCTTATGTAAAGAACACTTTCAGTATGGGTATCAATTTCGTAACATTATCAAATATTTCTGTTTACCTTTCCATAAATTGGCTGAAAAGCAGTCGAAGTCAGCATGTAAGCTGTTCGAGCGCAAACAGCGGTGAGTTTCCATAGGCAATACACTTATCTGCCATAAGCAATTCATCTTACCTGTACCGACCCAGCTGATTTGGTTTAGTGCATTGAATTCGGAGGCAATTTTTGGTAACGCCGTCGTCACTTGTCAATTTAGAAATTGTTTAGTTCACGTTGCATCGGAAGATCAATGTGTACAGGCTGCATTTACCTATAGTTTGATCTAGGGCTGCCAGCAGTACACTGAAAAACAAGCTGCAATATTTGCGATGTTAATATCCCGTACGCTGTACCTATCCTATAGAGTCATCATTCATCATAGTGTCTTACCCCAAAAAAATAAGGGCAAGCTTTAAACCTTTTGGTCGGTCCTCGTCGCTAAGGGCGGTGGGATTATTTGGCATGGTAGGGGGAGGTTGTGGACAGCTGACTTCCGCAGTATCGGATGACGAGAGATCGCTGTTCTCCTGCTGAACAGGGCTGCTGGGTTTAGACATCGTGGGTGATGAGAATATAGCGAGGAGAAGAGAAACCAAGCACTATCAGAGAAATACAGAACACACTGCCAATTTTATTCGAAAGCACGGATAATTCTTTCCCATGCGGAAAAAGTCTTGTCCGTCAGTAGCACGTCAAAAGTTTCAGTGAGAGCAAGCAAAGCAAATTTTGACCATTTATGGCCATGGTTAATAATCAAGATCGGTAGGCGTTAAAAGATCTTGTCTTGATCGAGAAGGTAGCTATAGCGTGCTGGCTTACGCTGGAAAGCATGCACATTCAATGTCTCCCATCATTTAACAAAGGAAATTGAGAAGCTGGCCAATATGCTCCAAAATACAGCCGGACTGGCTGTTTCATGCCTCGAAAAGAGCACCGATGCAAAAAACCAGGCTTAGATATGGAAACAGCCGTAGGGCCCCCGTGATACTCTTTCCGTGGCTCTTGCATATGAAATTTGACCGATAGCGGTGGATGCCCGGTCCGCATCAGCCATTGAATTCAAACAAAGAAGTGCGAAAAGGCGATGCTAACCTTAAGCCTCATGAGAAGGGATGCCGTATGGTAGATACTGTCAGCTTGCCAGCTAAACTTTTACCTAGGACACAGCGGATACTCGGATCAAATCAGTAGATCATATCCAACGATGAAAGCGACAGCAGACTTCAACCTCTAGTCATAGATTCAATGTCTTCCTATGTCTACTTGGATTTATTTTGGTCCTGGATTAGTCCAAGATAGTGTAGGGCCTTTTTCATGTGTTCAATATTAAGTTGATGTGACTTGCTAGCTCGTCCGTACTGGCACGCATGTTTTGCTATGGCGTTTGTAATCAAGCACGGTCTGTGAGTGAGTATTTAGGGAATTTTGACCTCCGATCCGCTTTTGACAACCTGACTGACAGGGTATTTTTCTGCCAGACCACGCTTTTACCCTCCACCAACAAAATGAACGCCATTCGCACACTATCTCGACCAGCATCACAGGCAATTAGAAGTAAGTTGTTAGTCGCAATGGTACGAGTGTTGTATCAGTTGCGGTGAAATGGACGTCCTGGTTTGCTCGCCAAATCTACTTTGGCTACTTCCACGATTACTAACAGGATAATGTTCATTAATAGCTGCCTCAATCAAGCCTTCACTCTTTCACACCTCTAGTGTCGTCAGCAGCGGAAAGACCATTGAAGCTACCGACAAGACTTTTGCTGACCTTGTAGAGAAAGCAGACCACCCTGTCATTGTTGACTTTTATGCCGAGTAAGTAGCTGACCGTGCTGCTCGCAGTGCTTCAATTGTTTTCTAAACCATGGATGTTATAGGTGGTGCGGCCCTTGTAAAGTGCTTGGACCTATTCTTACTAAAGCTGTTGCCGACAACAAGAAGGTGACCCTTGTTAAGCTTGATGTGGATTCAGCCATGGATATTGCTCAAAAGTATCAAATTGCCGCCATGCCTACTGTGTTTGCTTTCCAAAACGGCAAGGTTGTTGACGAATTCGTCGGTATGCGCGACAGAAAGTTTTTGACTGAATTTGTCAACAAGCACGGCGACAGACAATAAGTACGGGTTCCAAACTCCATTAAACATTACAGCCAAACTTAGATGGCCACGCTCAAACCAATGTAGAAATTACTCACTCATCAATGAACTCGTAGTCAGACAGATTTATAGTGCGATTTCAATAAAATGAAATATTATTTTTTCGTCATACTACTATAATGTACAAGTTTGACAAATCTAGAAAACAAACGCTCTAAAATTGAGCCAAATTCTAAAGGATATACGTGCTGCATGCTGGAAATCAAATATATGCGAGGATGCGAGATAGGAGAAGGGGAGGGGGAGTCATCGACACGACATTTACGCCCATACGTCTTCTTGGTAACGGCCCTTGCTTCGCAGGTCCTTAACGTATTGTTCTGCCTCTTCGGTTGATTTTCCACCGAATTGCTGGGCAAATTCTATGAATGCAGTTTGCACATCCTTGGCCATTCTCTTGGCGTCGCCACAGACGTAGATGTATGCATGTTGCTTGTCAAGCATATCCCAGACTTCGGAACCGTTTTCACGAAGTCGATCTTGGACATAGACCTTCTTATCAGTTTCACGAGAGAAGGCATTGATGATACGGGACTCGCCACCGAGAGTATCAAACAATTCAGGCCATTCATCTTTGTACAAATAGTCTTCGTCAGAACGTCGGCAGCCGAAGAACAACAATGTTTTGCCAACGTCTTTGCCGTTGCGCTTTTGGAAAGCTCTTTCGCGAACGAAAGCACGATGAGGTGCAACACCAGTTCTATGAACAGAATGGAGAGTAGTTAGTATTCACGCTTTAAAATCGGGCTACACTTATAGAGCACTTACCCAGGACCAACAAGGATAACGGGAACACTTGGGTTGCGAGGCAACTTAAAGTTAGACTTGCGTACATGAACAGGGACCTTGACACCGTCCTGGTTCAAATAAGTATCACGAGGACCCTTAGTATAGTATTCTGGGCCGCTTTCAACATTCTGAATCTCGGGATGAGCAGCTTGGTGCATGGCCCACAGATAGTTGGTAGCGACACCGTAAACAGTGCGATCGGGCGTTGATTCTGGAGTATATTTGAGGGTGACAGCTGTCACTGTGATGGTGTTGGGGCTTTCCAAGGAGGATGAGGAGATGGAATAGTAGCGTGGCTGAAGACGACTCAAACTCTCGACGATAAGATCGAAAGGAACATCGGCAAAAGCACCAGGTGTACTATCAATGGACTCCAAAACCTCGCCAAGATTCTTGCATGATTCTACGACTTCACTTTTGTAAAGATCCTTATCAGAAGCAAGGCTCTCCAGCTTTGACTTGGTTGCTTCGGAAGTGGCATATTGAGCGATGGCACCCAAAACAGGTCGTGGAGGAGGCGTAGCGATGTCAAGATAATGACGGAAGATGGACCTGTAGGTGGTGGGAACAGGGAATGGGTACTTTTTGGGGGCAGCGGGATCGATCGCTTCGACCTTGACGGCAACGTCAAGTTTGTCGATCAAACCAATAGCCTTTACCAAGCGGCTGACTTCGGTTTCAGAGTTGGTAGGCCAGATCGCGATATGATCGCCAGTGAGATATCGAAGTCCAGATCCGGTGATATCAATATCCAAGTGAAGGCAGTGACGGTCTGAGCTCGTAAACAAGTCGCGGGATTGAATCAAGGCAGGGAAAGGCTTCTTGGCGTCGTAATTTGATTGTCTGAAGCAAAAGTAAAAAGTCAGTATAGTGTTGAAAAATCGAGGGGGATATAGGGGGGAGGCTGCCCAAGCAAATAATGAAGGGTCCCGCATTGCTTACGTTTTATCTCCAAGTTCACCCAAATAAAGATCCGTTTCACTGACAAATTCTATTTCTTGAGTGTGATAGGTAGCTGTTCGTTCCGCCTCTCCAATGGCTGTCTCCGAAACTTCCATGACCTCACAGAAGGCAGGCCACATCGCTTCTTGCCAGGCCATGAAGTCTTCTTCCAAACTTCCATCATCGTCACCTTCACCACATTCGCCAATTCTTGTAGCACCAAAAGCTGTAAGCTTCTTGTCAACTACTCGAATGGCTTCATTGAAGTGCTCATACGTCTTGTTGCCCAAACCAAAACCGATATATCTCAAATTCTTGAGAGGTTGGCTAAGGTCTTCTGCGGAATCGGCTTGAGAAAACTGGGGGGTTTCCTCTTGGTTAATGAAATCCCAAAAAGGTACAGCGTTATCGGTAGGTTCGCCTTCACCATAGGTGGCCAAGACAAAGATGGCCAATTTGTCAGTGGGAAGCTCATCCAAATGCTCCATGTCATATTCTTCCAGATCAGCGGTCATAGCATTGACATTGTACTTTTGAGTACATTCCTTAGCAATACGTGAGGCATAGTCTTCAGCAGTTCCGGTTTGAGAGCCATAGAAGACGATCACGCGACGGCTCTACAGTAAAAACAAAAAAGAGGTTAGGGACCATTTCGATTAAAACTAACTGATATATCAAGGGAGGTTGTCAAGCTAACGTACCTGCTGCTGCATGACTTCCACAAAGTTACGGCTCTTCTTAGGAGCTGCAACAGGAGTCTGCTTCTTAGTAGATTCCACCTGGCCAGTGGACCTGATGGGGGACTTGGTTGATGTAAAAAGATGGTTCCTGGCTAACCATGCGAGTGTGCCCAGACTGATAGTGCCAATGGTGCCAAGCACAAACAGCGACTGGGGGTCCAGGACTGTTGCGGTTGTGTGTGTCATTAAAAGTTGTTAATGGTAGAGATGAATATTTTATTGAGAACCACGTTTTGAAAATTGAAATAAGGCATTTTTTTATATAATGATTTTTGGCTCGATTGGGGGCGGAATAGTAGGGCCGAATTGAGCCGGGCGGGCCGTTGATACCAAGGCAGGCAAGAAAAAAAAAATCCGTCCAATCGGATCTCACGGCCAACAGCAAACCAAACAAGTGTCATCCGCTTTGGATCCAAATGAATCATACATGTTTCCTTCCGTGCAGCTGTTAATGCTCTACTGTGAAAAATTGTGTCTCTATTTTTATTACATTGGAATGGGCCGCAGTTTCTACCAGTTGTAAAATCCTTTGCCGTTGTAAATAGGCTTATTCTCTACCATGGAGGTCCACACCTTTTTGTTGTCGTGCCATCCACGAATATTGCGCTTTTGTTCTTTAGAGGTTTCTTGGGATGGAGCTTCTTTCAGAATAAATTTAATGTGTGCCTCCTTATGATGCATAATACCCCAGCGTCCGCGCCCATGAGGCTTAATGCGCTTGATATATCGCCCCTTGCCTACCCAGGCTTGGGACACAACTAAGTTTTCAAAGCCTTTTTGTTCCTTGGCATTCTTGTTGGCAAATGCGAGGTTGTGGAGAACCTTATTTGATATACGTTTGTGAGAAAACTCCATTTGCTTTATAGCATCTTCCACCTTAAGATTTCGAAGCTGTCGTGCAATTTTGTTGAGCTTTTGAGGACTAGTTTTAAAATTGGCAGATGCCCATCGATACTACGGCGTAGCAGAAAAATTAAATGGGTTAAATTTGAGGCTTCGCAGTAAACACACATCGAAATTAGCTCATTCATAAAAACATACTTCTTTTTCTTCATGAGGTATAGCTTGTTCGGTGACTTGCTCTGTAGCTTTCTTATCTGCTTCCAAGTTCTCGAAAATAGATGAGGCGCCAATAGTTGGTCGGTCACTTGGTGGTAAATCAGCTAGTCGCTTTGAGCTTGTATGAAGTCTGATGTAACGATGATAGTTTCGCTGATGATTAATTGAATCCTTTTATCAAGTTGGTAATATTTCATTTGGACTGTGTGTATTGCTTACTTGCATGCTGCCACCATAGTAGGTGCATGTTGGCGAGCCAAGGGGAAAGGCTGCAATGTCTTGAATGCGCTCACTATAAAGATACCGTTGGTCAATCAAACTTAATAATGCTGTAAACATATCGCTAGATGAACGCTGAACCGTACCAAGGGATGTTATTGATTTTGACGACATGATTCCCAATGTTTGTTACAATAAACACGATCGTTGCTATTCAGTTTTCAAAATTGTTTTTGTGACCGTTTCCTGAAATTTCAATCGTTGCTCTGCAAGCTCCGCCGTAACCCGCAACGGCAAAATCAAAGGCAAACGACGATCGTAACTCAACAGATACTTCACCATAGAGCAGGCCACAAGACTGCTGTTACTGATTTAAGATTTCAACCAAATCATGTATTGCATTGTGTAATCAGGTAGAGCACGGTTGAAAGTAACACTGTAGGCAACTTTTTACCAAATCTGTTCTTCCAGATGCGCTGTTATATAGTCTTCATAAACTTTACATCGGTCTAACTTTGAGTGTAATGACAGTGTATTTAAAACAATGTGTGATGGAAATGTTGAATCAAAAGAATGGAATACAGTGAATAATTAAAAGGATGCCTTGATTGATATCTAGTGCCAACAAACAGGTTGGTCGATACGTTGTTGTTGTCGAAACTGACGTTTATCTAAACCTTTGCCCTTCGCTTAGCTTCTCTCTTTCTCTTTCTCTGCATTCTCTTAAATGACATCTAGGGGAGAGACGTTTAGGTTAATTAGGGTATGCTTACAACACAAAAGTGGATATCATGTATCAACGTGTGATCTTGTAAATATTTTCGTACCTTTTCGGCCATTTGTTCTAATCGCTCCTTCTCTTCCTTGATCTTTTTACGTTCCAATGTAGTTTCTCGCTTGCGCTATTGTTATTAAAAAAGCTATTAGTATTTTGTCACAACTAGACCAAGTGCACAATCATTTCCATTCCACATACATCTTTTTCGGCTTGCTTTTCGTCCTTCATCTGCTTCTCGAGAGCTTTGACGGTTTCCTGCTTTGTCCTCTCTTGGCTGCGTTGTTCCCATGACTTTCTAAGCTTTTTCGACATTTGAGCTCGGTGAGTAGGGGTTTTCTGCAGCTTCCAATTTTTGCCTATAGTAGGGTGCGAATGATGAGCGATCAAGATCAGGACAATGTGCAATAACCGAGATTGGGCACCAACCTGACACTCTCTTTGTAATGGTCTCCACCTTTCCGCCAACTGCTTCCTTCAAGTCCAATTTGGTTGCTGCCTCTGTCATGATTGTGGAGGGTATGGTTTAGCTCGACAGTCCAGTACTGGATAAACTTTTTTTTTTTTTTTTTGGGACAAGGAAAAGTTGTGCACGTGATATGTGAAAGTGACTGGATTTAATCTTTCAGCTCGGGTACTTGGCAGCTTGCCAGTAGCAAGGAGACTTGCTGATAGAATATCGCGTGCGATGGAGAAAGACTCTCGGCAGTTTCGACAATACCAGAGTCCTACAGCTGTTGAAGCTGAAACAACTCTCTACTACAAGCAGCTTCGACAAGTTAATGGCCAACATGCGCCTGTTATAAGCAACATCCCGGGCCTTGATGAACTGTTGGCAATTAAGGCAAACCTTGAGAAATTACTTCCTCTTGCTGACAACAGACTTCGACATTTTCGAAAAGACGCACAATTTATTGAGAAATGGAGGAAAGGTCGCGAGGTTTCTGATAAGCGAAAGGAAAGACTTCCAGATTCCGACAAGAAGTCGGGGAGTAAAAAGGATGATACCTCAAAGTCGAACGATAGAACACATGTGAAGGAAGAATCAACAGGTACCTGGAATGGTTTAAATCTTATGAATGGAACACAATGATTTCTGATTCATTGTACGCTCTAGATCATCTATACCAGTTTACTAAGCCTAGTAATGGAACACAGTAAGTCAATTCTAATTACAACCACACTTTGGCGTGAGAACGGCTCTAATTATATTCAACCAAAGTGGAGCCAATGAAAACGGAAGCAGAAAAAGAAAAGAAAGAGATGATTCAGAAAAAGGTGAAATGGAAGGTATGTTTCATAGCCAAGGAAGCGATATAACATTCTTCAAACTTCATGCCCGCGACATGAATTAACTCATTATAATTTTGCAGACCCACCTGTTGTCAAAACCAAGCGACCCGATAATGATACGCATGTGGAGCCAAAGATAAATGCTCCACCGGCCAAGAGCACTGGCAGCCCAGTCGTACCAAGAAAGGTATGTTAACATTCAACTCCTGATTCAATATAATTGGTATTGACTGACTTATGGTCTCTTCATTTAGACGAGTTCCAAGGGTAAAGAGAACCCAAAGCCTGATCGGCGAGAAAAAGAGAATGGTATTTTCAAGAGCCCTGCTCGAGCAAATCATTCACAGCCACCCAGGAATGGCCAAAAGACAAATCAAAAGCCGAAGGTCGAACAAATTGAGGTTGATCTTATTAGAGTCAAAAGTAAAGACCAAATACCAATTCAAACATTTTGGAATGCCATGGAACCATACTTCAGAACGTTCTCTGAGAGCGAACGAGAGATGCTTTTGGAAGAGGTGAGTATTGAACGCTGTTCGCTCGATGGTAACTTGCCACAAATTGTTAATTACCGGTTCTGCTTAGGGTGATAATGTCAAGCCATATTTAATACCACCGCTCGGCCGATACTACTTAGATACCTGGGCGGAAGAGGAGAGAATGCTAGTTCCTTCGTTTGATACCTCTCCTCGGCACTCAAGATCACCATCTGTAACTTCGGCTCGCGGAACATTTGATACCAATGGCTTGCATATGGAGAGAGCACGGTATTTGGAGTCACCCGAGTCATTTACCGACGATCACTTCGGCCAGCACGACCTGAGTTGTGGTTCATTGACTGAACGACTTATCAGCTGCTTATTACGAGAGAACCTTCTATCACCAGAAGAGATAAATGGTCATGCAGACACAGATGCCGACCCGAATATGGAAGAAGACGACGATGATATGGACACCACAGAAGCAACTAATGGCCAGCCTACTATAACAGCAACTGAGCCTATTTTCTACCCACCTGAGAGAATTCTTAATTTCGAAGATAGACTGAAACGAGAGTTGCGTTATGCAGGGCTCCTTGTCGAGGATGATGTGAGTACCTCATTTTACACAGTGTCAAACACGGCTGCCATATCAACTACTGACAATTTTATTATAAGATTGATTGGGACTCACGAGAAGACGACGAAGTTTGCGCAGAGATGCGAAAACTTCAAAAGGATTTGAGAGAGCAGGTAAAGATCAATGTCGGTAGAAAGCAAAAGCTGTTGAAAGTTGTAGAAGGTCAGCTTCAATATGAGCAATACAAGCAAATTCTGGATGGACTCGATGGCCAAGTGGAGCACAGCTATTTTAAACGATACGTAAGTGTATCACCACTTTGGCTGCTTTTCCATTATCTTGCCTCATTGACCACGATCATTTTGATAGCAACGATTTCAAAAATCCAAAAAGAAAGCCGTACCGGTGCTTCCCAAGACTGCTCTATCAGATAATGCATTATATGCCATGGAGAAACGCAGGACCTGGATAAATTCCATCGGTGCTATTTTTAAGGACAGGGATATGGTCATGCCAAAGACTTCGATCTATGACGAGCAAGAATTGGTAAAAACCGAGCAAGATAATAGTACAAAGGCACGGCATTCTCAATCATGACCATGGGGTCGCCAATTTCTGTACCTATTCGAACCCCCACAACTAGCAAATCATTGTCTGCGTGAACCCGCATACCACGCATATGTATCTGTAACATATTATATCCATCACTTTTGTAATAACTATTTAATAGTAAAGTCAGGTTGAAACGAGGATGCTCTCTAGTTAGCTAAGCTAATTGGATAAAACTAATGCAGGAACAGCCTTTCAGAGGTTTTAATTTCCACGTGTTTTCAGAAGCAACGCACGATACGTGACCATTGCTGCTTCAACCTCGCCTTAATCTCATCATGAAGGCTATCCAGGCAACGAACATATTGAAACGTTCCTTCAAACATATTAAGTGATACCATATTGCTGTCTCGAGCGATTCAGATTGAAAACTAAATTTTGCAATCTCACATATTACTCTATGACGTTTCTGTCATAGTGTTGTTCGAGATGCTAAGTTTGTCTACATATCGCTGCAAAAGACAATGGAAAGCGAGTTAAACGTGTATGTTGGAGCTGTTTCGTGTTCAAATACCTGAGACATTCTCCCATCGCTGACCGAGATCCATCAAACCTCAAAGAGACTCATCCGATTTCCGTTCTTTGAATGCTTACAAGTCAATGCAAAAGGTCTGTAGAACCAATGCTCATACTATCCTCGTGTGTGCAAAAATGTTTATCGTCAAGCGAGTTGATCAATGGGTAATGATGAGAAGGTCAGAATGAAGGAAGGGGTTTACGAATTTTTTCTTGACTGGCAAATTATCCTTGAAATCGCTTTGCCAACAGACTGCACAGATTTTGTTGGTCTATTAACCGGCCGTTCCGACCCATGCACTTTCATATATTGGCACGACTGTATACATGGAGCCACAGTTAAATAATCTCTCCCTGCCTTCCCAGGCATCCAGCGGTCAAACCTCTAAAGGAGATCGCAACATTTCTCGCGAAGAAACCGATCATGCCAGTGTCGTCAGGTCATTACTTCAAGATCCTCTGTTGAGCGATCTCCCAGAGAATGCTACGCTAGAAGAAGTCCAGACGCTGATAGCTATAGAAGAGGGAAGAGCATATCGTATACGAATTAAACGGAACGCCATGGAGGACGTCCGTAAGTGTATACGTTTTTGTGCATGAAAATTTTGTATAAAATTCCGTTACTAACACGAAGATGGACCAGCGCTGGTAGTCAGCCAAGCTACTAGTGTGAAGCAGATCAAAAATCTCACCGAGATGACTTTGAAGCGGATGCTCCGTAAGCAAGGCATCAATAGATCTATAAACTGGTATGATATCTTGGCCCATGGCTACTATGTTTGATTTAGATCTAAGTCATTTTTCTTTATAGGAAGTACATTTGGCGTACGCACTGCCTTGTCCTGAACGGCGAAAAGCTTCTAAATGATAAAGCGGTAGTCAGTTCTTTAGGAATCAAAAATGATACAGTTTTACACTTTGAAAAATATATTGAGCGTCGAACGAAAACCAAAGCCTCGAAGCGACGACTATGAATCCTACTACAAGCCAACTGGAGCATATCATTTCGCATATGACGTCTGGATCATCATATACCTTCAGACAATATGCTATCCCATTAATTGTCAATCACAAGCATTTTTCATTTTATGCAATACAGTATTGCACCAAAAATGAATAAAAAATAATAATAATAGAGCAGCGTAGTGCAGACGAATCATGATCGAGATCCTATGTTGCTGTTAGTGGTAGCGAGATGTACTGTAGTTATGGTTTCTGTATAGCGAGCAGTAGATCGTAGAAAGATCAGTAGTTGTAGATGTCGTTTTATCCAAACCCCTATCATTCTAAACATAGCATATTCTTACAATAAAAGGTGTCCTTTGAACGAGCGAGTAGTACTCATTAGATGAATATAGTGTGCTTTTACAATGAATTTCCCTCGAAATAAACTTGTCCAGAAAATTCATGAAGTCCATCAGATATCCGAACATGAGCCTAGAGATGCTATAACCATTTTCTCTTTATTTCACAGAACTTCCAGATGACAATATAAATTTCTTGGTAAAGGTATAAATGGTCAGTGATGATATCATGTAGTTCCCTTCAATCATACCTTGAGCCTGAGTGTTGAGAACGGAGGGAGAAGAACTCTAGGCTCATGTTCGTTCAGTTCGAGAGGACTGAACTAGTAATCATTGCAGGAAAGAATGCAGATTGTAAGCTTTGTTAATATTCTATGTCCTTTCGATCGTAAGCCTTTGAAGCCATTTTGATGGCACCTATTACCCAAACATTTCGATGATGCTGCCCAGAATAGAGTTTCAAAGCTTATACAATATACAAAGGAACTACGATGAGAGCTATACATTACTGTGAAAGAATCAAAGACGATATGGAGAAGGAGCTCTCTTTCTTCACTGTTCAGTTAAGGTATTGGCAACAAATCATCGAAGAGTGCGCATAAATCCTTATTTTTTTTCGATTGAAAACTTTCATCCATGGCAAACAGAATGGAGATATTTTTGACTTTTTCCTCATAAACCACTGTAGGCTACATGACCAAAGTTGACGATACTTCGTGACGAACTAAAAATTTCTCTATCGGAATTTCTGAAGAACTTTGGCGCAGTCTTGCAGCTCCAACAGTATTCGCCTAAGGTTCTAGTGTAGCAAAGATTCTCAAATATACATGGCTACATCTGTTTTCTGCTGAAGCAACGGGTACAATTTGATGTATTTGAAATAGACACATCAAATAATTTGATTACATCCCCTTGTACTCTCAAGACTCCCTGTCAGAGGCCACAATTATATCCTTGTTGTTGGTGTCAACAACACAAAGAAAACACAAGGCGCCATATGATAGATGCTAAAGTGATATAGCTACAGTGGTAACCCAAAGAGGTGGTGCGATGTTCAAAAGGCTACTGGTCCCTTAGGGTCACAGATCTTCACATGTGTAGGCGATAATAAGGTAAAGACCACCGACAGGGTAAGCATGCCAAGTATACCTGATGTGGACACCGAATCTGTACTAAATTAACCATGGCTAAGTCCATATATGCTTCCCCGAATTTGACATTTCATGGTCTTCTCATACGACATAACTGGAACTGCTCGAGGCTTTTGTTCGTCTCCGATAGGTCTTTTCCCCAGCGTTATGCAGTATTATGCTACTGTGATATAATGAAGTTTGTCCCGTATCTTCGAACCAACCCCTTTATGTTAATTGACTTCTATTTTTTAAATAAAATGGATGCAGGTGTGGAGTGAACTGGAGAGTCCGTGCACATCGGAGTGGAGGACGCGAAATTTACACTACTACAGAGCAAAAAAGATCATGAACTGTCTATTCGAAAACATCACTTCGAGCACTAATAGTACACTCAACAGCTTGTCTGGCTCTGAACCATCACCAAATTCATGCATCCACTTCATCGATAATGCCTACGTCAATGAGAACAGTCATAATATGACGTGGAGTCCCACCATTTGAAAGACTATAAAAGACCGCCATGTTAGCTGTCTCTTGTTCCTTAATTCTTGCCAACACACTCGCGCGAATGGTGCTTATGCAGGATTTGCCACCCTGTCCAGCACGCCCCTTGGCTCGATCCTAATTCAGGCGTCTTACCGGTTATTGGCAACATCGTCGCTAGCCTGTCTTAGTTTTGTTTAGACCTCCCTGTATGGGATGCGCTGGAGGACGCTCCAGTTGCTGAACTTGGGGACCGCTAAACAAGAGGGGAATCTTTTTTTTTTTTTTAAAAAAAATGCATATAAAAACATAAAGTAGTAGTAGTAGTAGAGTAGTGTATGTAGCTTTCCCCTCTTGTATATGATACTAGTAAATTAGAATAGATCAGTAGTTGTAGTTGTAGTTGTAACTGTATCCAAACCCCCTATCAATCTTAGTATACAATAGTCTATAATAAAGTAAACTTTTAAACTTGAACTAGAGATTGGTATCCCATTCAATGTATTGATATAGCGAGTTTACCATGAGTTATAGAAAGAACGAATAAGCTTTGAAAGCTATGTTTTTGAACAGCTTCTATGTCCTTTCGATCCAAAGACTTTAAAATCAATTTTGATGGCACTTCGTACGTAAACCTTTCAGCGATACTGCACAGAAGATATTATCAAAGCTCCTACTACTCACAAGGGAGCTATAAGGGGAGCCATAGATCATATCATCCTTTGCTGTAGAGAAATTATAGATGAAAAGAAGAAGAAGCTCGCTTTCTTTGCTGCTCAGTTACGTAAAAAGAGTTGCCCACAAAATCATCGAAAACTATGCATACGTCCTATTTTTACTTCGCCATCGTAAAACTTCATCAATAATAAACAGACTGGAGGAAGTTTTGGTTTTTTTCCTCCATAAACCACTGTAAGATACATGATCGAAGTTGACGATACTTCGTTACGAAGTAAAACTTTCCCTATCGGAGTTTCTGAAGGACTTCGGTGCAAGTATTGCGGCTCTACCAGGTACTAGCTTGAAGTTTTGGTATAGCAGAGATTCTCAATACAAGTGACTACAGCTACTTTTCTGCCGAAGCAAAGCGTACGACTTGATGTATTCGAAATAGACACATAAGTCAGTTGAGTAGATTCCTTGTACTCTCAAAACTCTCTGTCGAAACTCAAATTTTATTCTTGCCATTAGTCTCAACGATACAAAGAAAATACAAGGCGTCACATAATAAATGTTAAAGTCATGTATCTATAGTTTTGATGCAGTGATGAGCTTTCAAAAGGCTACCAGTCTCTTAGGGTCGCAGTTCTACCATAACGTTGGCAACAATCAGGCAAAGACTACCAACAGGGTAAGCATGCAAAGTATACCTAGTGTGGACACGAAAACTGAGCTAGGCTGACCATGGTCAAGTCTACATATGCTTCTCTGGATTTGATGATTTGTGTTCTCCTCAAACTACATAACTAGAAATGCTGGAGGCTTTTGCTCGTCTTCAAAAGGTGCTTTTCCTCCATGTCATACAACATTATGGTACTTTGATATTATGATGTTTTTTCTCGTACTTTCTAACTGATCCCAACATTTCGATTTACCCCCTTTTTTACGCAACATAAATGCAGAATTAAAGTGCTAGAGAGTCCGTGCACATCGGAGTGGAGGACGTGCAAGTTACACTTCTGCGGGGCAAAGATGACCACAAACTATCTATTTGAAAACATTACTTTGACCACTGACAGTACACTCAACAGCTTGTCTGGCTCTGAACCATCACCAAATTCATGCATCCACTTCATCGATAGTGCCTACGTCAATGAGAACAGTCATGATATGACGTGGAGTCCCACCATTTGAAAGACTATAAAAGACCGCCATGTTAGCTGTCTCTTGTTCCTTAATTCTTGCCAACGCACTCGCGCGAACGGTGCTTATGCAGGACTTGCCACCCTGTCCAGCATGCCTCTTGGCCTGATCCTAATTCAGGCGACTTACCGGTCATTGGCAACATCGTCGATAGCCTGTATTACTTTTCTTTAGACCTCCCTGTATGGATTCTCTGGGGGACGCTCAAGTTGCTGAACTTGTAGTGCTTAAAAAGTGAAAACCGGTAACTCTGATTACCGGTTACTTCTTTACTTTTCCTCAAGTAACATGGCTAGTATAAATGATAGGCAGCTATTAGGTCAAATATTTCTTGAAACACAAGGGCTAATACACTTTTTTTATTCCAAGATATAGCTACTCTGAACGCATTTATACTGTCTTCTCAACATCGCCCCTGTACCGACCTAATGAGTAAACTGATATTACCCAGACTTCTGTCAGAAACGTCATTGTCGAAGCTGTGCTAGGTAGGAACCAATCACTTTGTTCTAAGGTTACATAAAACCTAACATAGCGTTTTGATAATACAGGTTCTGAAGCTAGACTTAATTATCTCAAGTACGCGGACCGATCAACGGATTGGCCTCATGGAAGACCCTCAGATGTGTTATCTGCGCCCAGTGAAGTCGCCGATTCCTTGCCCCCTGTTCTAGTCGAAGTACAAAACACAATTGACGTCAACTTTGCCAAAAGAACCATCCAATATTGCCTTGCAGTTAACGAACAATATGGGATCTCACCAATTGTCGTTGTCTTCGGTATACATCCTACAAGAATAGCCAATGATTTAGTACAAAGCGATCAGCTACCATACGCGAAAGAATATCCTTGCAAACCATGGGCTAAATCTTTCTACGTCTTGGATCCTATCACTATCCATAGCCATGTTCAAAAACAACCAATGGAACCATTAGTTGCAATAGAACGATTTCTGCACAGGCAAAAAAGAACTCTGTTGGACATGGGTAGCAAGGAGCGTGCTGATGAGACCATTAAAATGCTGTACGCAATTGCAAGAGCGATATCCGAAAGCATTGTCACCTTGGAGGAACGAACTATCGACGTCCTTTCAAATGCGTGTGAGCAGGCACAAGAGCGGTTCCGCAAGATCAAGGAGGCATGCGATATTGAAGATGTGGAAGAGCTGAGAAAACGCACAAGAGAGTATGCCGAGGACGGCGATATGCACATGGAAAACTGCAAGAGAAAGCTGCAACGCACACTTGAATTTGTATCTACAGGTCTGCCAGAAGAAGCAGAAGAAGATGGACCGTCTACAAGTGAACGTCACGAAGATATCTTGCAAGAAGAAGCAGGAGAAGGTGGACCGTCTACAAGTGAACGTCACGAAGATATCTTGCCAGAAGAATCAGAAGAAGGCGGACCGTCTACAAGTGAACGTCACGAAGATATTTTGCCAGAAGAATCAGAAGAAGGCGGACCGTTTACAAGTGAACGTACCGAAGATATTTTGCCAGCTTCAGATCAGCCAAATACAGTATCGCCTGATTTTGCTTTTGTTGAAAACTTCAGAAGCACTCAAAGAAGAATGAACTGGGGCGCATGCTTCAATGCTGGAAGAGCACAAGATCTGTTCACATCATATAGAGACTCTAAAAGCTTAAATGCATCTTTTTTTAAAGCACAAAAACATAAGCAATAAATAATGAAGTTTGTATACTGGCAACTCCGACAACCGTAACCTCTTTTTTCCTCAATAACAATATGGTTCTTTTTATTTTATTTATTAAATCAGCGGTAGCGACATATACTTCAAAAAAAGAGAATGATGTATTGGGGTGTTTTTCCAAATGCTTGGATGGTAGGGCAGATTCTACCGAATATTAATTTATTGTACTTTTTTTTTTGTGTATGTTCATTTTACTGGTATTTCAAAAGCTTCAATATAGAACTAATTATTCAATGTTGATTTTGGAGCTAGCTTGCTGCGCCTTGGGAACAGTAATGGATAGCACTCCATCCTTGTAAGCAGCCTTAATAGCATCACTTTGGACCGAGGCAGGGAAAGAGAATGATCTTGAGAATGATCCAGTTATGCGTTCGTTGCTCCACCAGTGTGGCGTTAGGTCCTTGTCAGAATCTTCTTTAGCAACAACGCTAGACTCTCCAGTCTCGTTGCTGACTACATCCGTGGTAGTGGCACTTTCCGTCGTAGCTGCAGCTGGCACCTTGTCGCCGTGTTGAGCGCTTCGCTCCATCTTGCCTCGTAAGACTAAGGTATTATCTTGAAACTGAATGTCAACATCCTCTTTGCGAATTCCAGGGAGTTCTGCTTCCAAAATATAGGCATCCTTGGTTTCCCGAATATCGGTGGCCGGATAGCGCATTAGAGATTGCATGGAAGGGAAGGCGTTTCGGCGAGCGACGTTGAACATAGGTTCCTCGAGCAGGGCAAAGGCTCGAGAAGCATCACGGAAGAATTCTGGGAAGACTCGATTAAGTGACATTGCTTGGTAGATTTTGAATTATACAGATTTATTTTGCTGAAGAGAGTGGTCTTTTTATACCTTTATGCCAGTAAAGCCGTCTGGCGGCGGCTGGTAGCCACTGGCAATTTCTTCGAAAATTCTATGCCATATATGGAAATTTTATTTGAAACAGAATATCTAGCATGTTCCCGTTTGACTCATCCTTCAACCCACTGCGGGCTCACAATTCTTCTCGAAGGGTCGCCAACTTGCTAGGCCATTTTTTACCGGTTGTCTTGATCTCCGTTCTTTTGCCATTGTTGATGGCAACGACTTTGTCGCCAATAATTTCGAGCGCAGCCCGATGTCTGCCGTAAGCTTGGGATATTCCGACATCTATGAGGATAGCTTTGCCATCACAACGAGAATGTACCTTTCCGTCACGTTGTACGGTGTGTCCCATTACCATCCTATCAGCCTATTATAATGAATGAGCCAAAATTAGTATCTAGTTTGAAACTAATGAATCCCTTCCTCATACAAAAGTATATAACCACACTTACACCTAGCATCTCTAGGGCTGTTTCCAGCAAAGGACATTCCTCGTCTTCAGGTCCTAGGGCGTACCCTCTATACCAAGTTGGTCCATGTCCACCAAAAACTCCTTCGTCATCACCATATTTTCCTTTTGACTCCATATATTCCAGAAGGTGCTCATGCACGTATGAATTGATCCAGTCCAAGCCAGTTCGAGAGTCAATGAAGGCAGGGTGAATTCCTCCATGGCAAAATACAGTTCGGTTGACTATGGCAGTCATATTGAGTTGTGTCAGATATCTGCCAATGAAACCGTCAGCTTCAAATGCCTTGACTCGTGCCTCGAAGCTGCCAAATGTTTCAACGTCCTCAGGATACACATATCGCCAGTCGCCTATAAGATTCATAACCTCGTGGTTACCAAGCAGAGGAATAGCCTGGCCACCAGCTTCGTGGGCTTCGTTTCGAATTCGCTGAAGCATATCATATAGCCTAATCGTATCAGCTCCTCTATCGACGACATCGCCCTGCCAGTTTTCATACAATATGAAGTTAGTACTATTCATTCCCTCCACCTATTATGTTACTTTTCACCATATATATATATATATATACCGTTTGAACAAATATAGTGTTGTTCCCCCCTATCCATTGTGCCTTCTCATTAACAACGTCGGCCATCTGCAGAACTGAAAGACTATTGTCATAATCGCCATGCAGATCAGCGACTGCAACAATTCGAATGGGATCTTGACATGTTGCGGGGAGAACTACACTGGCTAGTAGAAGAAGGTACTTGATTGCCAAGAGCATGGTTATATACTGCTAGCTGTGCCTAAGAAAAAAAGGTAGGGTGTGTCCCCACTCTGCCCAACTCCGCGCGTCCACTAGCCTGAACCAAAGCGTTGATCAGAATTGAATATAGCAACGTGGTTTGAACACCAATACATACTTGCACCATCGACGTTATGTTATTGATTCATATCATGTCTTTGACTTGAAGTTTGGTTATAGGTTACGGCCATACCAACATTTGTATCATGCTCATTATTTGATTTATTGTTCTTTTCTGGTGGACCGCGATACTGAAGCAAAAATTGGGTAAAGATTCTTGATAAAAACGAACTTTTTTACATTGAAGACATTGTCATTTTATAGTTTACGGTTCAGCAAGATACTTTCCACTAGATGTTTGTCTGTGGACAGCATCGATATGGACCCAAGCAACTTCATCTGTCTCAGTATCGTCTTGAACAATATCCACCTTGGACACAGAGATACCTGGGCTAGTGAACTTGACGGCAATTGCTTGAGGTGTACCTTTACTTTGTGTATCGAACTTAGCCATCAGCTTCTTCTCTTCTTGCTCTTCATTGGCAGAAATGGAAAGGTTGTTGAGGTTCCAGAGGATCTTTTGGCGTTCCATGCTCCATACGCATGCTGGCATACTTTGGGCACTGGTCACGCCACCGTCAACGGATGCCAAGAACGATACGTTTTCTAAGGTGATGTTACCTTCACCGATGGAGAGGCCTTGTGCGCTTCCGTTGTATTTGACTAACAACATCGACTTGGAATCTTCCAACTTCCATATGGGGCGAACAATCAGTGGCGCAACAGATGCTGCACTTGGCCCATCCATTTTAATCTGGTACTTAAGACTGACCACAGGATTACCAGCTACCTTTGAGAACATATCAACGTTTAGTTGGAAAACGCCATTATGTCCATCTACACTGCTGATATAAGATGGATTAGGTGCCAGTCGTTCGATATGGTCGATGTTGATAAGTTTGATGCATAAAGGTTTTGATGGAGTTTGAGTTGGCCTTTGATATGTTAAGCTGATTTCTCCCGTCACCACAGACTTGGTTACCTCGCCTGATCGGGTTAATACATGAACTGTCTCAGCAATGTTTACGGTCACACGAGGCATCTCTGCTGAGGCGTTGTCAGTGTGGTGATTAGGGGAAGCTACTGAAATAGATGTGTCATGAGAATCGAGTTCGAAAGGATTGTCTGTGCCCTTTTCATCCGTAGGTGCTTGGTTATCGAAGGGGTTGAGGCGAGGTGATATGAAGCTACTATTGGGACCAGTTGTAGCAGCTTTGAGATGGGTATCAGCAAACTCTGCCGAAATGGGGGAACTGGATATCTTGTTGATGTTTGCGATTTCTAAACTTGAGGAGGATCCACCAAATTGTTGTAAATTTCCAATGTTATTACCGAATTGATTGATCCTGAGAGTTCTGTCAGGAAGGTATAGAGGTTAGACGGTTGTCAATAGTTACGGGGACAACGATCCTCGCTAACTTACTCTCGGCGACCACGCAATCGCTTTGAAGCAGCTGGTGAATTTTTCTAAATTATAAATTAATGTTAAGGACAGTTGTACTTTGCATATGGTGCTCTTTTGATGATCCACATGTTTCCTAAAAAGCAACCCACCTCTTTCAGCAAAGTTGCTACTCTAGTCAATGCATGCGTAGCTTCTGCATCCTCTTTCACAGTCTCATTCATAATGTCCACTCGGAAGCGGTTTGTACTCATAATGCTACTAGCGTCTTCATTTTCGTCAGCTTCAGCTTCATTCAAAGAAGAGCCGCCAGCAACTTCTGTCCAAGGAGTACGATCAGGAGGTGGGATAGAAAATCCCTCTGCGTCCACTTTAGGCTGCTAATGGATCTCAATTAATGCCCAAATTTCAAAGCATCTAACACAAAGCGGCGTTGAACACTTACCATGGGTGGTAGTGTTCCGAGCGTACTCCAGCTCTCTGTCATACTGGGTGTTGCGCTTGGTTGAAAAGAGTTTAGTGCAGCGGCATTATCGAGCGCTTGGACAGATGACGATTGCTTATCGTTCGCTTCATCAGGCTGGGAGATCATTGAATGAGACAAATTACTATCGTTGTAAGAGTTCTCTTGATCGCTGGAGATATCCATGGTATTGCCATGATTCATATCCAACGTAGCCCATTCTGCAGCATGATCTGACGAGGTGCCATCAATGTTGCTTCGACTTATGCCAGCTTGAGTTCGTCGCCGCAAAGATTTCAAAGCATTTTTCACTGTAAATGACGGAAGGTAAGTAGATTCAAGAATACTTTTTTCAATCAGCAAAGAACTTACATTTTCCAGCCCCTTCTTTCACGCTGTTTTTACCATTAGTAGTAACTGATGCCGCATCGTCACTTGCACGAGCACGTGGTTCTTCCTGAAGGAAGGCGGGTTGAATATTAACGGGGAGATCAAGCGGTTCCGGCTCAGAAGGTGGGGGGACGTCAGTGGTGGACAATGTCAATTTTTTGAGATGAGTGGTGAAGTGGGCAGCAAACTGGTTGATTTCAACTTCAGTCTCTAGAGAAATAGCCGCTACCATTACACTGTCAGCATATTCTACACGTTTTGCCAGTTGCTCTGCTTGAGCCTTTTCGAACGCCTGAATCATTTCTTTTGCGGCCGTGAACCGCGCTTCTTCTATTGTTTGGCAACAATCAAAGTATGCTGGTCCATCTTGGGACCAATGTTGTTTGAGCTCATCCACAACTTGTCGGTAACCTCGTAGCTTCATGTTAGCCTCCTCTAATTTCTTGCCACTTCCAGCTTTTTCGGCGATTTTTTGATGTTTTTGTAGCTTTAGTTGAAGCTCGTCGTATTCTTTTGCGTGCTTATTGATAGCAGGCTCCATCTAAATTAAAATTATAAATATTCGATTGTTGTATTGTATAGAAGCTTTTTCGAAGAATCTCTTACATGTCTTATTTTTGCCATATCACTGTCTTGATACATCACACTCCTTAGCGGTTTCTCGACTTCTTCGGCGATTCTATGTGCTAATTGACCATGTATGCTGGATACTTCTGTGATTTCGTCCGACAGTTTGCTCCACAGCGGTAGCATAGTGCCTAATGCTGACTTATCGGAGATGAAGATTTTCTTAGAGAGCTTCACGAGACTCTTTGCATACTGGTCCTCAATTAATGCTCTGGGAAGTTCAAGTGTCAGCCCATCGCATTGTTTATTTTACGATACCTGCTTTCCTTACCTTTCTTTGAAGTACTCTGCCAACTCTTCATTTAGTTTTTGACTTTTTCGTAATCGCTGTTGAACAATATCTATGCCGTCTTTTGGTTTTTCCGTCTAGCGAATACGAGAAATTAATTAACCATATTATATAATCCAATGACTAGACAGGCACTAGCAGACGATGAGACATGTTTCATTCTCCTAGTACCGAGCACAGCTCCTATCTAAAAATTATTGCCAGGAATATGAAATAGAAACATACCAGGAATGTTTCAGCGAATTGCCTGTGTTCCCGGGCGGCCGAATGCTGGTCAAGCTCGATGGTCATTTTGGACGATTTGCGCTGACGCCAAAGTTTTGGAGGTGAAAAAGGATGGAGGGATTATATTGCGTTATAGATTAAGATATACAATGGGCTGGCTGTATCAGCTCAATCTAATCGAAAAAAAGGAATGGAGTGCGTAAAGATGATGGACCCAGGCTATGACTGCCCACCAGCGTATTTTTGGTGCTCCCTTTGCAATCTCAGCTCGTACTTGATGCCCATAATGGTAAAAATAAGTAAAATAGCTCTCATACGTTCACCTTATCATTTTATTGATTATTGAAAAATCATTTATAAACCGTTTTTGCGTATATAACGAAGGGTATGAGAATGGCGTTGTGGTGTAGGGTATAAAGTGAACAAATGGGGGTTTCGGGAAGATGGATTCCAAGTGCGACACAAAGCGGGAAGAAAAATTGCCTTTTTTTATTATGAGGTGGGGTGAAACTGTTTATGATCTACCATTCTCTCTGAATTACATTGTAATGGCAAGTGCTAATGAAAGTGGGCGTACCCACAACATGCCCTATGTGCGAGCATTCTTGGTGAGTATGAAGCTGAATGCATAGTCACTGACTATGAAACACCTGGAAACTCGCTTTTTAACGCTCACTACTCGTCATGGCTTACATCAGACCGAGAATCCAGAAGTGGGTCTAGATATATTATCAAATCGATATAAAGACGCTCAAAAGCTGGATACAGAATTAGCTGACTATTTCAAAGAGAGGTACAGATTATGATTTCATACAACTCGACTTAATGGCAGCTGTTTGAATTATTATTATTACAACTGGGCATATATTTAAAACCAATTCTTTTTCCTCATCATCTAGAGCATCCATAGAGGATCAATATGCTAAAAGCCTCGTAAAGTCGTCGAAGAAGTTATTTATGTCAGATCCAACAGTGCTAGGGTAAGTGTACTGGCAATGCCATATCTTGCCCCGCTCCTCTCTCCGCACCGGCAACATGGCTAACGCTACAACATTGTGTAACCTACCTATAGGAAACTGGCACCAGTTTGGTCAAAGTTGTTAGATGAGTTGACAGAGACCTCGAACATACATGCTGCGTTAGCGCATTCCATCATGGCTGAAATCGAAGTGGAGATGAGAAATCAATCTCAGAGATATCATGCACCACTACAGGTATGTTCATCGCACGGTCTACAGCGCAAAGGGCACCTTACGCTAAAGCCATTGAATCTCAGATGTTACAGCATGGCATGAGCGAATTTGCTACAAGCGGAAAGAAGAACAAAAAGGTGGGTATTATTTTGCCCTATTTATATATTTTCGTACAACAAGCCAATTGATTGTAATGTTACATATGTGTAGAACAAGAAAGGTCTGGATCGCACAGGATCTATTCTGTTCAAACGGGGAACCAGCGAGAAAAATGTACTTCAAAATCAGGCAGAATCGACCTGGTCAGTTAAAGGTCCAGAAATCCTCTCAGTGAGTTCTCGTCGACAGTATAAGTAAATTTTCCAGTATAAGGGAAGCTTACTAAGATTGCATATTAGGATCTCCAAGTGGCTGACACGCGGCGGCTGGATCACGTCAAGAGGACTATTCAAAAGTTTGAGGAAATTCAAACAGAGCACTTGAAGCAACAAATTAGTGTAAGTTTTCTATGTAATTGTACTTATTTGATAGTGTACATGGCGGCTGATCTAAATGTGTAAAATTGTACAGATGGCGGATACAACATTGTCTCTTTGTATCAGTTACGATGTAGAGGAAGAAGTGAACAGTTTTGCTCAAACACATGGAAGAAACCTCAAAGTGCTACAACCACGTGTCCAAGATTCCATTCAGAACACACAACCAACCCCAACGAGAACTGCTCCTGCAGCAGTCCCACTTTCTGCTCCAGCCCCTGCTCCAGCTCCAGCTCCAGTTGCTCCTCCAAGTACGACTCGAACTCTAACATCAACTTCAGTTCCACAACAACCAAGTCCCCAACTCCTTCCTCGGCCAACAGGCACTCTATCCAATGGAGCTCCTAGAAAGTCTTCAAACAGAGATAGTAAATGTAAGTGATTGCTTTGAACGTTGTGCAAATTTTAGCATTATTTATGCAAAGTGATTAACATCTCCTCCAGTGTTCTCTGCCCTGACTTCGATACGACGAAAGCCAAAGGCCGAGAAACTCAATGACACGCCTAGCGACTATAATTCTCAAATGGAAATCATCACAGAACCACCATCTCCAGGCCGGCGACAAATAGAACAGGCCGATTCCCGCCAATATTACACATCTGCCAGGAAGCTCAGTGATACCTCATTACCTATCCAATCACCATCCGCAGTACCTGTTGATGAACAGGGTTATTCAGTACCCCCAGCAACCAAATCTCGGATACCAGATTTTGATACAGGAGATAATGTGAGTGATGGATTGTTCGATGACGAGCAGCAACGGTAAGTTTCTCAGCACCTCATATTTGTGCAAAATTTTGAAACCAATGGCTTACATGTTTGACTCTATAGTGCCAATGTCAAATACCACGTTGATATAAAGCAAAACACGGTGCACGAAGAAAATGAGGAGGACAACCATACACTGCAAAGGATGGCTTCAATGCTAAAAGAGGTTGGTAAGGTAATGAGAAATATTGGTTTCAGCAATGTTCTAACATATTCAAAATATTAGAAAAATTCAAGCGTTCCACGGCGTCCTCGAGGAAGGCGAGAGTATGTATTATGGCAACCAGCATTGAATTATTTTTTTAAGACTACAGTAACATAACGTACTTGCATTTTATTCTATAGCCCTGCTCGTAATAGCACACTTAATGAAAGATGGCCAACCGATGCGTCGCTCAATGTCGCAACCCCTCACGGCGTGGTTCGGGACGCATCAGTGTCGACGTTTGATTCTAATAGTTACAATCCTTTCTTAGCTTCCTCTGTGGAATCACATCATTCACCCACATCTATGACACCCTCTTCATCAGTTTCGGCTAGCCCGACTATGGGATCTATGGAGCTTCCTGCTATGCACTCACCATTACCAACTGTTGAGGAATCTTCATCACTTAGTCTGGCTGCTTCTATTGTAGAAACTGTGAACCTCAAGCTGACTAACGGAGAGCTTGAGCAAATCCAGGTCATTGGAGAAATCGCGTTGCAATGCAGTGGACCTGCAAATACTGCAGATATGTTGGTGTTCCGACTGGAGAAGCAAAACAATATCGAAAGCCTCTTGCCGAACAAAAATATATTACGTATTCTTAACGAAGAAGAAGGTATTTTTGGAATTGGTCGAGCTGAAGCTTCAGCATTGCGAGGAAGAAATGTTGTGTGCTTCAAGTACAAGTTAAAGCCGTCCAGCATTAGCAGCAACGACGTTTTACCTATTAATTTCATTCCAGCCTGGCGCGTGGAAGAAACTTGTGTTAAGCTAATGATCAAGTACCAAGCAAATACCAATATGACAGCAAAACACGCAACTCTCTGGGTCAAACCTGGAAGCAAGAATGTTACATCAGTTCAGAGCACGCCTCAAGGTACATGGAATCCTGAACGTACTGTTCTATCTTGGGATGCAGACAACATCAAAATGGATGGGTCCTCAAACCAACTTCTTGCAAGATTTGCCATCACCCCTAACACCACTACAACTCAGCCAATGGTGGCACTGACCTTTAGTAGCGATGGACCCAGTGCCTCCAATATTTCTATCACAACTATCGAACAACCTATGGAAAGCAATTATCATCGAGTCCAAGCCCAAGTAATTCACCGGACCCTGCGATCAGGTCGTGTGATTGGCACTTCTTAGAGATATAAATTTATCGGTATTGACCGACTAAGCCAATGGCCCCTAAGCCATTTTATAATAAACAAGCGTTCTTATAATTATGACCCTTTGGAGCTCACACTGTAATGTTCGGACTGGTAAACGCTGCATGTGCTACTTTTGTGACACTGCATGATCGCATAAGGTTATTCACGTCATTTTAATTTTAAATACTGGATGATAGGGTGATCTTGCCATACTAAATCGGAAAGAAGGAAATAATATGGTAGATCCTGCCAAACATTTTTTGCTATGGTTGAGGGTGAATTAACAGTACCGTACTCAACATGAAGAAAAAAGTATATCTTTTCAAACGGTTTGTGGGATGGATCGGCGTGTCCCGCGTACCAACTCTATGCCGCGGAAGACAGCGTGAGTATCACTGGCTTGGCGATCTTTTCATTGGATTCTACGCTGTTCTAAATTAACTTTACAAAGGCAGACAGCCAGTCATGAAGAAAACGTGTTCCCTCTATGCCAAAGCGAAGTTGGATAAAAACTAGGCATGCATACTATCGGTGAGCATGAGAAACTTACAGCATCACTACTGTGCGCGATAAGGTCACTGGGTATATAAGGCATACTTCCCCCTTAGCTGGACGCTTGACTTACGTAAAGTGTTCAAGCCATAAGATGAACTCGCTATCATTCGCATTTCTCTAGACTATTTTGTGAAAGCGAGGGTCACTTTGGATAGTTTCTTTGAGCTATCGTGACAAACCCAGAGCTATATTCCACGACGGCCGAGGCATCCTAGCGTGATCATCGATGGTTAAAGTTATTTTTACCATAATTGGATATGCGAAAAACCATAATATGTGGATCCTAGACTCTCCTGTATTGTCACGTACGCACCTGTTTTTCCTGACATAAGCCTGATGTCAGGGTACCGAACGACCCTATTTAAACCGAGATCAGTCTCCATATGTGAACTCATATACTTGTTCCCAAAATGACTATCGCTTCAGGAACTGCCGTTAAACTTGTTACCAACCCAAACTTCAGACCATCTGCCTCAGCTCAGATTTATCGTGTAGTGCAGAATAAACTTCGTCACTTCAATCATAACACCGTTGTCAGTATCAAAGCTGCCATTGGTGTCTCAGCAACAGGCGATGTACCGGTCACAGATGATGGCACTGACGTTGAATACTACGCAAACGTATCCATTGGTACTCCCAAGCAAAACTTCAAGCTGGATTTTGATACTGGATCCAGTGATCTGTGGTTCTGTAGCACTCTTGGAGACTCCACTGAGTCTGGAAAGAACAAATATGATCCCACAAAATCAAGCACATACAAAAAGGACGGCAGACCATGGAAGATTTCATACGGCGACGTAAGTAGGACTTCCTACATCATGCCCAGCAAAATGAGCTGCATACCTAACCTTGTTTCTTATCTTTCGTCCTACTTTGGCGTCGCGTTCAAAATATAGGGCTCAACATCCTCTGGTGTTCTAGGTACTGACACCCTGTATCTTGGAGATCTTGCCATAAAGAGTGAGTTATTAGCTTGTGAAATTTGAGCGAACTAAAAAAATGTATGCTTAAATTTCTACATCAACCTAGACCAGACTATTGAATTGGCAAAGACCATCTCGGACTCTTTTAGCTCTGGACCTATCGATGGTCTTCTTGGGTAAGTGTCATCGTAGACGTGCACCGGTATTTGGAATGGCTTACTGAGTAGCATTCTTTCTTCCTTCAGCTTGGCTTTCGACACCATCACTACTGTGCAAGGAGTGAAAACACCAACCGATAACCTGGTTTCGCAAAACTTGATCAACCAACCCATCTTTGGAGTGTTCCTCGGCAAGGAAAAGAATGGAGGTGGTGGTGAATATATTTTTGGCGGCTACGATGAGTCCAAGGTCGGCGGCACATTGACGACCGTCCCAGTCGACAACTCCCAAGGGTTCTGGGGTATCACTGTAGATGACTTGGCTGCTGGAAGCACTTCAACGGGTTCATTCTCGGGAATTCTGGATACTGGAACCACTCTTCTTCTTCTTCCTCAACAGCAGGCTGATCAAATCGCTCAACAATTTAATGCCACTAACAACGGTGATGGAACTTATACTCTCCCAGACGACACCTCTAACTTGTCCGACTTGACATTCACTATCAACGGTGCCACCTTCACCGTTCCCTCTTCTGACTTGGTCTTCGAACAATATCAGGGAAAGGTAAAATATATACAGCTTTAGTGTACGAGACCTGTTATGAAAACTAACGGCTTTTCTTTTAGAACATTGCTGCTTTCGGTTCGGCTGGTATGGATTTCGCCATCCTTGGTGACGTCTTCCTCAAGAACAACTACTGCATTTTCAACACCGCTGACCCCAGTGTGCAAATTGCACCATTGGCAGGCGATGTATAAAAACTATATCTAACAAACATATTTTTTTGCATGCTCTCCAACATGGATATTACTTTATCTAAGGCATGTCATATTATCAATAAAGTTATAAATGAGTATTGAGAGCACATGCCCAAAGCGATTCCATGGAACATTGTTCCAAGTACCTTTGTAAAGGAATGATATACGGTTCATGCAGACTGATGATCCATTCCCTATTGTTTATTTTGACCATGCACATGAAAATGAGGATACCCAATCTTAAAGTTATGGCAAGATCTGTCACTGCGCCAAGGGCGCGATCATCGAGACCGCCTTGAGTAATGTAAAAACGAGGAATTGATTCAAATCCGATTGTTAATGTTTTCTTAATGTGGAAAAAGAAGATGTAGCAAGTTCCAGCCGTTTTACGAAGGTTCTGTTGTTCCTGGCACAGCCCATTTGTTGTTGATGTTGTTGATTTCGCGTAGTCGAGTATTTTTTTTCAGCAATGTTACCAATCCTGTCTATTCTGTTTATATTATGTTTATCTCGTTTTGAGATGCAAGAACAACATAGGACAGTGGATGCAGTCGCATTTTGAACTGTATTTCGTCTTCCACAGCAGCTTTGATTGAATTGCGGCGTTCACCACGCCTACACTCCCCAACTGCCTTATAACGATTGTCACTTCTGCTACCGACGATATCCAAATCGATTACACGGAAGCAATAAGAATTCAGCTCATATCATTCATTAAAACCATGATAACTTTTTTTTTCTATATTCAGGAGCTCGTATATACAACAGTAAGCCTACAGATAATTCTACTCTAGTTCCGGAGCCTCATCGCCCCATATTTTTTCATTGATGATGGAACTAACATCGGTGATTGGGATTCTATGTTGCTCGGCGGTATCGCGATCGCGGATGGTTACGGTCTGGTCTTCCAGAGTTTGGTGGTCAACAGTGATACAGAAAGGTGTACCAATCTCGTCATGACGATAGTATCGCTTTCCAATGCGTAATTTCTGCGCTTCAATCACTGTGTATAAACCTTGGCGTCTCAATGATCTCGCGACCTTCTCAACATATGGCTGGAATTCTGCGTTGCCCGTAAGAGGCATAATAGCGCACTTGACAGGCGCAAATCGAGGGTGTAACTTCAATACCGTTCGACTTTCCTTACCAGGTTCCTGAACTTGTTGGAAAGCGTCACAGAGGAAAGCTAACAAAGCGCGATTGAGACCACATGAGCTTTCTATAACTGTGGGTACAAATCGTGTCGGTTCTTGAGGTACTGAAGTGATAAGGGCTGTTTCTTTTAGGTGAGACGAGACGATAGGCTTGTCTTCGAGTACTTCGAAATTTTCACCAGTAGCCTTCATATGTTGCGTGAGATCGTAGTTTCCGCGGTTGGCAACACCTTCCACTTCTCCCCATCCCCATGGGAACTTGTACTCGACATCCATGCAACCCTTCGCATAATGAGCCATTTCATCTGCTTCATGGTTCCTGGTCCGAATATCCGCTTTGTTGTTTGCGTGCTCCAACCACCAAGCAAGTCGATCCTTCTGCCAGTATTGGAACCATGCTGACGATTCCCAGGGTGCTGTAAAATATTCCAGTTCTAGCTGTTCAAATTCTGGAGTGCGGAAGATAGCATGTTCTAATCTGATTTCATTTCGGAACGATTTTCCCATTTGAGCAATTCCAAACGGCAATTTTGTTTTCATCGTTCGCATAACTTGGTTAAAGTTGATAAACACTCCTTGGGCAGTCTCTGGTCGGAGATACACGGTAGAAGGACGTAGCACGTTGTCGACTTGGTCTCTTATTGTTCTAGCATCTGAGGTATCGTTTTCTATGGTTGTTTTGATGACTCGGTCGATTGGATCAATAGGGTCTAGGAATGTCTTGAACATCAAATTGAAAGGTCGCTCGTCAGTCAAAAATGGTGAGTTGGTAGCTGGCTCTGCATATCCATGATATGGCATTGTGAGGTTTGATCCCGAGATGGTTTCCAAAACAATGCTGCCAGATGGTTTACCATACGTTGTGGTTGTCATTTCCTTCACATGTAACAACACTTCCTTTCCTTGCCGAGTGACTACAGCACCAGGAGCAAGTTCGTTTTGAATCTTTTGTTCCCATAACTTTGCTGTTTCCTTATCAGGTGAAATAATGGATATCTTGCCTGAAGATTGACCCTTGTCCTGTTTGAAGTTGATTGGCGGTGCCTTGTCTGGTCGGAACCGCTCTTTTGTTAACAAGCAATCCACCAACGCGTCTGTAAATTCATCAACGTGCCCAGAAGCTTTCAAGACATTGTGTGGAGTGACGATACTGGTATCAATGCCGACCACATTGTCACGAAAGTAGACATTCCTCCTCCACCAAGATTGAGCAATATTCTTCTTCAGCTCTACACCAAGCGGGCCATAGTCATATGCACCTCGAAGACCACCATGAATTTCGGCCGATTGAAAAAGGAATCCCCTTCGTTTGCATAGATCCAGTAGCGCACGGAATCTTTGTGCCTGTGCCATTTGACCTCTTTCACTTGGATATTGTCAGTGGTCAAAATAAAATTCCAACAGTACTGGGCCCTGGAAACGGCAGAATTTCGCAGACCGCAAAAACCGTGCAAATCCGTCAGGAATCCAAGCCACCCACAGCTTCAACTTTTGAGCCGGCTGTTAAGCAAAGTATCGTGAGAAGGAAACGAACACTTAAACGATATTGTAACGCATCCTATCACGTCCGAGACAAAGTAACGCAATATTTAAATTGAATCAGCTACCTTTGACGACGGAATGACCGAGCATACAGACAAGAAACCAGCCCCATTACCCAAAGGCTGTGAGCTTCTTGAAGTCCTGCAGTACCAATGCGAAATTGGTCCGGCTCAAGTTATATGCAATCCGTTTGTCCGAGTGTTTGCAAGGTATGAAGACCTTACGTGTGTACTCAAGATGCTTTCCGTTCACCTCACTCAACTTCCTACCCATTACTTTACAGGTGTCAAGGATCCCCGCTTTATGAAGTCACGCCAGTCGACCATGCAGACGACCCTTTATACTCTACGTAAGAAAAAAAGCGCCTTTATGTGTTTGAGCTTGGTCGAAAAGGCATGCACCATTAACAAACCGTCTGCAGGCTGCAACATGCGTCCGGGAAGAAGGTTGTAGAAGACCTGAAGACACCTCCTGGGGTAGTCGCCGCTGAATCGGAGAAGCCAAAGGCTTGATTGCAAGCAATTATGACATACCAACACCATCATGTATATACACAGTGATCGAATCGCAACGCGCAGACACAGCAATTATGACTATATACCCCTAATAGAATCTAGAATAAAAAGTTGTGTACAGGACATTTGGTCCAGCCATTCTACCGAGCGTAACCTAAGTGATGACCAGTAGTACGAGCCAAATAACGCTATGACCGACGTGGTTTATTTCGACAGCATTGGATACACAGGATCATCCAGGTGCAGACTTGTTTTGTAAGATGTAGCCGGATGCAGAAGTACAAGCACTTTGAAAGTTTGACAAAGCCATCCTTCATGCCTGGATATTTTCCGGACACGTTCGATCGAACGCAAGCCTTTAATCGATGCAAATCTTGTGATAATTCCAGGCTCCGTCATCAGCGAGCATAAGCGACCATTCCATAGCGAGCAAAAAGGTTCTCAACGACTGGAAGTTTCAGGTGCCGAAATACCGAATAGTTGACATGTTTGGTCGTTGTTAAGAGGTATCGCGAAAACAAATAAACGCGTCTCAGATATGAATATAATGGACTTGTCAACATTGGAAAATAAAAACATCCGTATTCTGAAAGGCGTTGCTCGGAGCGTGTTTCCTAGCTTCGATCCCAAAACTGTGATCATCTCACTTGTGGAAAGGTCAATGTTATGTGGCATACGAAAAAAAAAAATTAATGTGGACAACAGGCTGACGTGCTGCCTGTGCGTAATGGGAACTTTTTTTTTTAAAAGTAGTTATATCACTCACTATCTGTGCACAGCAGCGAGTGATATCAATTGGCGTCATGAGAACAACCCCCAACATGAACTTTTTATATTGTATGTTTTGATTTCATTTCTTTTAAACAGTCCGTTTTCTCTTTCATACTGTCATACGTAGAGCGGCTCTCCAACCGAGATTCTTTTTTTCTTTTATCGTTCGCTTCATCGGAGCCGACAATGGGTTGCCACCGTTCCGTTTGAGCAACAAAAGGCGTTACATTGTAACATTTTAAATTTCGGTCGTGATACCATGGGCAGCTGAGCTGGACAACGCATACTGACTATAACGGGATGTACACTCGGACAGAATTCCGTAGACTTGTGGTCAATGGCAAAGAAAAAATAAATATAGCGCCTCGCGTGCCGCTCCGACGGGCCCACTATGCTGCGACTAAGACCAAGTTTCATATGTTGTGGCCGTTCGGTCGCGATGATTCCATTCAAATGTTCTATGCTACGCCACATAGTTAGGTTACATTTTCTCGAGCGTGTGTTCAATATCGCAGTAATACGATGGATGATGCATTGGCCAATTGAACATTCTATGCGGACGCTTCGGATGTTGGGATTCCGTTGGTCTTGCCATACTGTGTTACTAGTTTCCTTTTCTGGCCTACGTAAACAATCTTTCTGTAGGGACATGTTCCCCCTACAACAAAGACTGTGAGCTCTGCTGATCAGGCGGGAACTCTTTTCTCGAAGCAACCATGTCTTGAGAATGCATGGATGGGCAATAGGTGGGGTGTGCTTAATGTTATGCTGACATGGCTCCGTCTCCGATGTTAAGTTACATAGGTTGATGGAAGGACGAAACTTTAGACCATCGATACCCACAGTATGAATCACGTAGGCACAGTAGTAAAAGTGGAACTTGAGCGTATCGGACCACATCCCGTCGTCTGCTTGAACAGGTACAGTAAGGTTGCACAAACGGGTGGCAAACGAGGTGTCCGTGAATTGTTGTCATTGTGATCCTGCCTGTCGTACCGCTGAATTTAGTAATGTCCCTACCCTGCTTGGGAATCTATGGAAGACGTATAAAATGACAGCGGCTTCAGGGCCGCCAAAAGAAAGAAAAAAGGAAGCGACCAACTTTTTCCTTCCCTCACATTTTCCTCTCAACCTTCTTCTCTTCACTTCATCGCGCCCATAATGACTCTCGACGTCCTTTCAACAGGCTCCGATTTCCTTTTTCCATCGGCCTCCCCTGTGCCAAAACTAGTGGCAGACCCCACGCCGGCTCAGAATTCTATTGACTGGGCTAGCGAAGAATATTTCAGCACGGTATTGGATAAGATCCTCAAGCCAGAAAATATCCGTACCTTGAATAATTTCGTCGAGAAACCCCCAACTTCCCTTCAAAAGAAGTCAGAGTCTTGCTGGCATGACCCATTCCTACTTGTATTGGATCCTCCCCGTGTCAATATTGACATTCGCGCCGCTCTCAAGGGTGCTCTCTCTGCTATTGATAATGAAATGCAAGATAGTACAAAGAGTAAGTTTGGTATTGACGATTCATGGAGAAAGGAAACGATTGAGGCTTTGGAGGAAGACAAGCCCATCGTTGCACCTAGCCAAGCCATCTTTTATGATGAGCTATTACCTTCCCCCTGCTACTCTACCATCTCCGAGAACCCTATCATCGAATCTTCATTCGTGTTCTCTCCCATGGCTTCCGTCATCGAGGAATCCATGATGTTCCCTATCGCCCATCACACACCATTACCCACCGTTCAAGAAATCCCAGACGACATGGTGGCACCCAAACAACACAACACCAAATCTAAGATTGTTAGCATGATGAAGAAGGTGAAGCAATCTGTTAGCAAACCATTTGTGAAGAATGAAACTCCAAACCCTTTCAAGCGATTGTTCAGTAAGCGATGGTAAGATGGGAAAGAAGCAAAAATTGGATATTCGAAGCACGTCTTCGGATTGAAAAGTGTGGACAAAACGAAAAATCTTTGAAAACCGACACCAAAAAAAACTGAAAGTTGAAAAGAAAAGAAAAATGCCCCATAACAAAAATCATCATCGCATCATATCATCAAAAGGCAGCACAATGCTGCCTTGTTACAAAACATACAATCCCTTGTAATTATATTCATATCCTATACCAAGACGTAACCTTTTCCCTCTCTCTATTGGAGCCTTTCGAAAACACGCGGATGTACATATTTATTCTTAGCTCCTCTGTATTATTGATTTTCTCATTGCACAATAAATTATTTCTATGACCCAGAATATGAGTGTGACAAGAGTATCATTGGGTGAATGAGTTCGTAAAGATGACGAAAAAAAACTTTCATTTACACGGTCCACCCAAAAGCGTGCCGTGAAGAGGATTTGATACAATCGGTACATTATGTTATGATATCACTACGTTCTGACCAGTCCTGCTGTCATTACACACGTTCACATGTCATCTAACCTCGACGTCGGCGACTTTGCGAAATGACTTGCGACCCGGTTACATCTGGATCGGAGAGTAATCCAAACATATCGTCGTCACTGTCATCAAGAGCAATGGCTTGCTGCGGCTTTGCGGCTGCGGCTGGTGGCGGTGGTGCTTGCCTAATGGCCGAGCTTGGATCCGTGACTCTTGCTGGTGGGCTGCGGCGGTGGCTGGTGATCCCGATGGAGGATGTAGATGCTTCAGCCGTAGGTTTAGGAACATCTGTTGTCTTTGGGTTACGATTTGTGAGCTTAGTTTGCCGTGGCTTCCTGGTAGGTGGAGGGGATGGTGAATTAAATAATGGGTCATCCGAGTTATATTGTTCGATGTGATCTTCTTCTTCGTCCATATGTATTGGTTCTGCTGCATTTGACGAGCCTCGTCCTCGACCGCGACCACGCCCTCGTCCCCTACCTCTTGCTCGAGTCGACGATGAAGCTGCCGCTGTCTTGGTTCCACCGGTACGACCTCGTTTTGCTGAAGTTTGTCGCGGCCGTTCTTCATCCGATGCGTCACGTTCATCATCTTCATCAGCGACATACTTTCTTTTCGCCATAAGGACCCTGTCACCGGCAGCATTTTCTCTCGCGTACGCTTCCGCCCTTCTCGTTTTGTCTCTGTTGGCTTGAAGCCTCAATTCTTCCTCATTCGAAGCTTCGGTTGTCTCCAAACTGGTGCAAAGTCGATTAACTGATCCGTCCACAAATTCTTTGATAGCATCTCGATCGTCTTTATCTATGAACATTTTAACAGCATCTTCAAACTCTTTTTCGGGAAGAACATCTAGATCAGTGAGAAACTGTTGCACAAGGTCTTCCACCTTGACCAGATCAAGTCGTTCAGGTATGGCGGCATCCAGATCGTTGAGCGCAGGAAGCGACGTCTGCGACTTCCGACCCGTTTGTACAGGAGCTTTTCGTTTGCGATAAAACTTGAGGACATCCTTGGGGTTGGCAACTTTGTCGACGAATTGCTGTCCAAAACGATGAGGATTGAATGCTTCATAGCCTCCTGTATATTCAACTCTCAAACGTATTAAAGGTAGTGGCATCGGAGGGACATCAGTGGTATCAGCATGAACTTCTTCCCATTCGATTTCAGCTTTTCGGATAAGCTCGTCCACTGTTTCGACCAGATACTGGTGACATTTCTTCATGTCGGATGGCGCCAAGCCTTCGACCGAGTTCAAAACCACCTCTGCCATCTGGAACGGTCGAACTGTCTTTAGACGGACTTTCTCCATACTGAACTCCAATTTGTTGATCTGTAATATAGCAACATGTTTGGGTCGAGCTTCGCCTTCGGATAAACTAGTTGCCACAGATGAACCAGGCTGAGATATTTGAAAATGATAACCTTCACTTGAGGGATCAATCTTGCATTCATGTTCGTGACCCCAGATGACCAGATCCAGAAATTCATCCAAAAATGCTTCGGGTATATAATTCGTACTGCTATGCATGATTCTGTTCTGATGGAGGACAAGTAGATTGAACCATTCGTCAATCTGCTCTGCCGGTCGAATAAATCGTACATCTTTGTTTCTCCATATTCTATGTAATCGCTCATCTCTTATGTTTCCAAGCCCGTACAATGCGAGCTTAGTGTCACCTTTGGTGAGCAAGATTGGCTGCACATCCACTTTGTCGACTGTTGGACATTTACCAAAGTAATTGACTAGACCAGAAACAGAAAGTAGATCTAACGCGCAAAGATTGCCATCTCCAGAAGGGTCATCATGGTTGCCGTGAATAGAGAAGATAGGCATTGAAACATTGTAGTTTGGATCGAGATAATTGGCGCAAGAAAATTCGTCTGGAAAGTTAACAGACTGGTCACTGGCGATGTTGATTGAGCAAGGTTTATCCCCCATACAGTATCTTCTAAGTAATTTCATCATAGTATGTAGGCATTTCCTTGATGGTCGGTTGTCATGGAATAGGTCACCACCGAGAAGAACCATGTCAACTTGCTGCGCCTGGGCTAACTTTAAGATTTCTTCAAATGTCTCAAAGGAGTCGTCGGATCGTATAGGATCTTTCTCTTGATATCCAACATGGTTATCTGTGGCTATAAGAATGCGTAGCGTGTCATTCTCATTGCGTTCATTGCTAGGCATTGGGCAGGTAGTGTGAAGGTACGCAGTCAAGGCGCGCAGAAATGAGTAGGAGCTGTATTAGCGTGACTGTGTCCTGCAGATCAAAGGGTAAATTCATTTTCCTTCAGTTTGAATCATGGAAGCACAGTTACTACAACACGGTGAAGCCACCACTTTGATATCTTCAATGACTTTCAGCAAGTTACCAATTCCCCATTCTATACCAACTCAACGACCTGCTACGCAATTCACTGCAAAACACAAGATCTACTCACTTTAAACTTGTCAAGATGTCGCAGATAATCCCATTTGCGACTACTGTTGTCAGTTTCATCGCACTAACAATGCAGGAATAAGACTTCATCTTCTTCACCATTAATTCAAAGCCACCTACTGCTTGTCTTTCGTAAGCTCAAATAGTACCAAACAACACCTCTCATGTCTCATCAACAAGCACAAGCGATAATGTCCGCCATATTGAGACTGCTACGGCCGCTCAATGCACTGCCGCACCAGTCGTATAGCTAGAGGTGAAAAACAGACCTTTTCTACATTGATCAATACCGGTACGTAGATTCCCTTGCGAAAGAAATTGTCTTCCGTCACTTTAACATTCATTACGATCAGTCCAACACTTAGCAATGTCAGGATGTTAATAGTATTGCGATGAGCACCAACGATATTGTCAAAGTGTCGTTCTTCGATCGCACTCTGACATGGCATGTTCTCCCACAGCTGTCGCACAATTTAATAGGACTCCATCAAGATCCTGGGCGGTGTCGTCAAAGGAATGATAACACCGTTACATTTCATACGCCAGAACCTACCATATTCCCAATCGCAGCTATAAATTCACCAGCCTCGACAACGGCACCAGTTCAAGCACATGTACCACAGGATCAGCTCGCTCAAAAACAGAACACCCTAGCAAAGCATGAAGCTGTTTTCGCAACAAATCCCAAGAAACCGTCCATCATGTACCTCATCTCATTTACCGTTGAAACCGGGATTTCCGACCCTATCTTCATTCCACCTCGCCACTAACAGCCTATAAAACAAGCGGTTATCGATGCCGAGGTGGAAGAGATGTGCTGCAACGGCATTGTCAGTCATGTGGTTCATCCCACTGTGGGGCGCTCCGGCAATGACTGTTTCAAACCCGATGGCTCCCAACGCATCGTGGTAGACTACACCCGGATTAATGAAACTACGGCACCGATCAACTTCAACCCAATCAACATGCACGATGCCCTGCAGTTATTGGGTTCCGCAAAGGTATTTTTGACCCTGGACTTGACATTAGGTTTCTGGCAGATCCCAGTTGACCCAGCGAGTCGACACCAGACAACACTTACATGCAGAGCTGCAGTATTTGCATACAACGTCATGCCATTCGGCTTGAAAAATGCTCCAGCTGTCTTTCAAGCTCTGATATCTCGCGTCCTGAGAGATCTTAAGTGGAAAACTGCCTTCGTTTACGTGAATCATTAGTTGCAGTAGAGCACTTTTTTACAAAAGCAAAAAAGAACTCTGTTGGGCATGGATAGCAAGGAGCGTGCCGATGAGACAATACGACTGCTGTATAGAATTGCAAAACAAATATTTAAAAAACGATATCACCTTGGAGGAACGAACATTCGACGTCCTTTTAAATGTGTGCGAGCAGGCACAAAAGCAGTTTTAGAAGACCAAGGAGGCATGCGGAATTGAAGATGTGATAGAGCTTAGAAAACGCACCAGAGAGTATGCCGAGGACAGCGATGTGTACTTGGAGACATGCAAGACAAAGTTTCGGCGCACGTCTGAAGATGAGTACAACAAAGATCCCTGGCCAGCTTTAGATCAACCAAACATAATATCGCCTGATCAGAAGCGGCGAGAGATAAGAGAAGCAACATATCCAATCTCAGTGAGTTGGCGAGCACACATATGTATTTGCGAGCTCAACTCCAAGCTCGATTGTTTGTCCCATATCTGTGAACTAGCAAAAATTTGAATCACTCCGTATCAGTATGCCACTGTGGTCAATGAAAAAGTTACTAGATGCAGAGACAATAAAAGATTAGTCTTTGTTCTCAATGCCTACAGGCGAACCGAAAGTATTTGATTGTAACCAAACCAAAAAATTTTCGGTTTGCTTTTTGGTTTTTCGGAACACTACTTGTAGTTAACAAAAAAGTTGACAGTGTACCGCTCTTACTCTGCTCCTCAATAACCACACTACCTTTAATACACTGGTATTAGATATGGCTTTCAGACAAGCATGGAGATCAAACGTTCGACATGTAACAAACTTGTGTCGAACATGTGAGATTCGAATGAATTACCAAAGCGCTACACGAATCCCACATATCTTCCGCCGCGCTCTGAATGGTGACATAACCAAGTATGGCCGACAGACGTTTTCCACCATATCCACCGACACCCCGTCTATTAATGTAGATGTAACCGAAAGTTTTGCTGGTTCACCGCAATCACCAATTATACCCGACCAAGAACCTATCATGCAATTGGAAAACAAGCGATTGGATGAAATCTATAAAGAGTACCAAGAATTGTCGAAGGAAAGCAACTCATTAACCGAGCAAGATTTTATCAACCTAATGAACTATTGCAAAAGGAACTCTTCAGCGCGAGCACACAAGTTTTTAGAGAGTTTGGTAGACGATATACAGAAGATTGCTCCAGAAAAAACATCACTCGTCACACGTGGCTACAATATGTTATTGCAAACATATATCCACGATAATCGCTGGGACGATGCAGTCACATTGGTATCAACTCTAATGAAAGGAGGTCGTTATTATAATGAAGTTACAATCAATACCATGATAAGCGGTAGTTTAAAAACTTCAACCATCAAGAATTTACATCAATTCATAGCCTACCTTGAAGAACATCAGCACAAATTGACCGACTCGAACGTCGATAGATTAATCAAAGCCTGCCATCTTGGAGGAGACGTTGAATCTGCTATCATCTATTTCAACAGAGCGAAAGCGGACCAAAGTGAAGTTGGAAGCCATGCGTATCAAAGTATGATATATGTCTTGAAATTAGACAACCGAGTGGACGAAGCGCTTTCGGTGTTTAGTGACATGGAAAAATCTGGGATCCCAGCCACCGTCGGTACATATCACATTTTACTGGACTTGTTGAATTGCAATCAGCGATCAAAAGAAATGGAAGATATCTACAAGCGGTTTCAGAACAGCGGGTTAACGCCTAACATCAGTATCTACTTGGCCATGGGGTGGGATCTTCCCAGAGCAATGGATGAATTGACGAAACAAGGTGGACAACTACAAGTCAGGGATTACAACACATTGATAGTGAGAAGTATACAAGATAACAACATTGAACAAGCCATCTCTTATTTTCAAATTATGCAAAAGGAAGGCATCCAAGCTAATCATGTCAGCTACAGCATCATCATGGATGCTCTTTTGAAGAATCGTACTGGATCACAAGCTCTGGATATGTACGAGCATATGATTAAGAGCGGAGTGCAGCCGGACACGCATGCTTTCAACACCCTACTTGCTCATCACATCCAGAATGACGACCGCGTTGAATGCTTGAAAGCCTTAGATAAGATGCACGAAAAAGGCTTTACACCTGACGCTCGGACTATTAACTTTTTAATGTCTATTGTTCTATCGGATGGGAAGGATGCTCAGAAGGACTGCGAGTTTTTAATGAAGCTGTTTGCTAAACTGAAAGAAGTTCACAGCCCACCAACCGCCAAAACGTACAACCACGTTTTAAACGGACTCGCGAGATTAGCCTTGGAACGACCGCTCACACCTAGCAATAAATTCAAGATCACCAAAAACAAAGGAAGCGTTCCGTTGGAGCTTTTACCAGAAAATGCCATTGAGTTGATGAGAGAGCTGTACAAGCAAATGTGTAGATCACCACTCAAGTTCGCAAAGCCCAACTCTACAACATACGATTTGTTGATTTGTTCACTTATTGACGCCACGCAGTACAGAGCAGCCATGCGACTATATGAAGATTCAAAAAGGAGCAACGTGAGCGTTGGAAATGATGTCCTTGTACGAATACAGCAGGGCCTTGTCGAATCTGGGATGGATATGCAAGTGATTCAAATGTTCTATGACCATCGCCATAAAAAATCACCCATCAAGGACCCTAGATACTACAATTCTGTTCTAGATACCTGCAGGCGACTTGGATTGTCAGACACATACCAAGAGGTGCTTAAGGAGTCGGAACAGTTGACTGGAATAAGCTTAGAAGATAACTGATATAAAGTAGCTCAACATGGCGGCGTAAATTGTACATTTGATGGGACTTGGAAATGAAATGGGAAACATATCCAGTAGCAAGTTTGTCAATGAGGAAATAAGGAGCTATCAGTAATTTAGTTACCTGTAACCATTATGTCAAAAAGTTACCGATACAAAATAAACGCGTTATGAGCAATCAGAGCTATTGGTAACCATCGAGTGAATGAGGGACAAGGAATTTACTGGTAATCCTGTTGTCGGATTTTGCACGGGTTTACAATCAAATCACAATTGACCTCAATTATGTACAAAGAACCATGGAATACTGCCTTGCAGTTGACAAAAAACATGGGACTGAACCGATTGTTGTTGTCTTCGGTATACATCCCACAAAATCAAGCATAGCCAATGATTTGGTACAGAGAATCAGATACCATTTGCGAAAGATTATCCTTGCAAACCATGGGCTAAATATTGTACATTCTGGACCTGAATCTCAAGATCTACCAAAAGAAGCAAAAAAAAGGAGCGGCGGCATCTACAGTTGAATACAATGAAGATCTTTTGCCGGAGATTCAGATCAACAACACAAAATCGCCTGATACTACTTTTCTAAATTTCTAAATTTCAGAAGTAATGAAAAGAAGATATACTGGGGCGATTGCTTCAATGCTGGAAGAGCAAAACATCTTTTCAAGTCTTATATAGACTCTGACAATTTGAAAGCTTCTTTTTAGAAAACAATAATAAGTAAGTTTCTTGTGATCAAACCTATTATGATGACTTTGAAGGGATAAAAATGGAGGTATTATAGCCATTTTCAGTCATGAAGATGTGGTGTGCTTCATCATCTTGATTACGTGTACCTGCCACTCAAATAAAAGGTACAAGCAAGCTATATGGTCGTGCTGTTTAATCTCTGCCGAATGGCCGAGGGCCAAATTTTTACTGGCAAAGATTTATATAACCTACACTTCATTTATTTTGAGCCTTTAGTTCATGACAAGGTAAATCGATTTTACGTTACAAACGGCTAATCAGCTTTGACATGTTGCCATATAACTTTGTTATCAAAAATTTCTACATACCACTTGCCAGTGCTTGCGAATGTATATTTTGGTACTGGCTTATTATAGCTATTGTGTTCCGGAAGACATATGATTATCCTATTTCAAAACTTCCATCCCCGAAGAGTCCAATGGCAAAAGACTTGTTGGATGTCATGTATGCAGGATAAGTATACATGCTTTATCAACCAGACAAACCTTGTGCGATGTGGCCGCTATTTTGGCAGTGAGAGAAGTGATATCTTTTCTTCATATTAGATGATATGTTGCTTCATTTTAAGTACAATTTGTGAAGAAGCATTTGAAAAGATGAAGAAGAATATCAGCGCAGTAACTTTCAGCAATATTTAAACTTTCTTTGTTCGTTCGAAGCTCACTGCGCACGTGATTTTCCATGCCAGTCACATCGCTGTAAAAAAAAGTTTCCCAAAAAAAAAAAAAAAAGTGTTTGCCAATTCCTCTAACAATATGCTGCGTACAATGTTAGTTACTCTGCCCTTCTCATTCGTATTGATATCAAGCGTACTAATACCATTATGTTTTACATAGCAAACCCAAGAATGCTCGATCAAAGAGAGTTTTGAGAAGCCGAGAATCAAAAGTTGAAGAGAATGGCAAGACTGCCATCTTTGTTCGTGGATCACAGACCAGTCAAATCGTCAACGATGCTTTGAAGGATTTGGTAAGCAAAACAAATACAGCCTTATTTTACCGCTCTGTGGGTATCAACATATGCTAACTCTATTCCCACAGTATTTGCTTAAGAAGCCTGATGCTGTTAATTTCACAAAGAAAAATCAAATACATCCTTTCGAAGACGATAGCAGTTTGGAGTTCTTTTCACAAAAAAACGACGCTTCATTGCTTGTTGTTGGTACTCACTCCAAGAAGCGACCACACAACCTGGTGTTCGCCCGTATGTTCGATCACCAAATCATGGATATGATGGAGCTTGGCATAGAGTCAGCGACAGCTATGAGCCAGACCAAGGTACGCAAATTGAAAAATTCGAGTCAGACGTTTGATGTGCATTTGAAAACTAAGACATTTTTGTAACCATTTCAGGGCTCTAAATGTGCAGTCGGCATGAAGCCTTTGATGGTTTTCAACGGAGAACTTTTCGACACAAACGAAAACTATAAGAACCTCAAAAATTTGTTTACCGACTTTTTCCACGGTCAAAGCATCGATGCCATCAACTTGACTGGTCTTGAGCACGTTATTACAGTCACCGCTGCACCACTTGAGGGAAAGAATGCTGGTCTCATCTACTTCCGAGTATATACAATTCAATTGAAGAAGAGTGGTGCCAAAACTCCAAGAATTGAACTGGAAAATATGGGTCCCTCATTGGACTTTAAGATGCGACGAATCCAATTGCCCAAGGCTGAATTATGGAAGGTTGCTACCAAGGTTCCCAAGGAATTGAAGGTCAGTGTACAGCAAATGCGTTCGTTCAAATGTGATTATATTTTTCATCTTCTTAACATTGGGCTATTTTTCATTTATACAGCCAAAGAAGGTCAAGAATGTTGAGAAGGACGAAATGGGCGACGTTTTCGGACGTATTCATCTTGGTGATCAGAACTTGGAGAAGATTCAAACCAGAAAGATGAAGGGTTTGAAGAAGCGAGGTACTGAAGACGACGAAGATGAATCTGAGCCATCTAAGAAGGCAAAAGTGGATGAAGATGAAGAGTAGATCCACAAACACCCCCTTTAAATCTTATTTCTTTCACTCACAATGCTAAAATACCACACGCTCGTTCATGTACAACGCCTTGTCATTTTTTCATCTCACTCTCTTTAAAAATTTCACTATACATTTTTTCATTCATTAAAAGTAATAGAAAAGAACGGTTTGGTTTGTTCGTAGAACTGATGTGGGCAATCATTTATGACAAAGTAATGCATCACTACTCACATTCAGCTAGCTACTCATACAGCTTCGCCATGGAAACTGGATGGCAAGTACCCTGTCACAAGCTTGATGGTATCTAGTTCAACATGTCGCCATACCAGCCTTCGGTGGGCCGCTTTCGCTCCACGCCAGGAGTTTCCTCGCAAACTTTTGCCATGCGAAGAAGTAATTCCTCGTTCCACCACTCCGCCATCAATTGCATACCAACTGGTAATCCTCGAGCGTCGAAGCCTGCTGGAACTTGGACGGCCGGAATACCAATGAAGTTGGCCAAGAAGGCATATCGCATGGCATCCGAAGTCATGGGGTTGTTACTCATGCCATAGGTCAACAGGGATGGTGACAACTCTGGCGATGTAATAGCTGTAGTCGGGGTCAAAATCAAATCGATTCCTTTGCCGACCTTGGGTTTGAAGAGATCCATCACATGCTGCATGGATCGAGTTCGAATCTGCTGGGCACGAACATAGTCCACAGGCTCTAACGTATCAGCGACAGCGGCTAAAATACGATTTGAGTACAGCAGCTTCTGGCGTGCTGAAGAGCCGTGCTTCTTAACATAGTTGCTGATCTCAGTTGAGATAGTGATTGCATGAGCTGAGCAAGGTAATGAAAACCTAGTTTAGAAGATTGGCGATAATAGTTCACTTCAAACTGCTCTTGAACTTACCATTTCTTGCTTCCTCTAGTTCTGGTATTTCAATGTTTTCAAAGGTAGCTCCCAAGGATGAAAAATATTTCTTGAAAACTTCAATGCGGTCATTGATAATTGGATCCATCACCATGTTGTTCCATTCAGGAAAGATACCGATCTTGATTCCCTCCAAACTCTTAGAATTGCTATAATTTGCAAGGCTGACGGGAGGCTGCATTAGTGTTGCTTGATCCCGGCTATCTTTCCCGGCTACTATGGCATAGGCAAGAGCCATATCATCTGCAGTAGCGGCGATAGGTCCGGAAATGCCAACAGTAGGAGCCAATGGTTCTAAAAAGATAACAACTAGTTATTTGGCTATTACAGAAGTACAAGCAGAGGCTAAAGACATATAACTTACGAGCTCCAAAACCAGAAATTCTAGCATGTGTAGCTTTTATACCATACAATCCGCAAAAGGATGCAGGGATTCTAAAGGTAAAGGGTAAGTGTTTCGGCTTAGAGTACCATCTCAGTTTCCCTAAAGTATATTACCTGATAGAACCGCCGCCATCTGCACCAACAGCGATAGGAAAAATGCCCGTGGCAACAGCACCGCCACTACCACCACTAGACCCACCGCAAGAACAATTCAATTTGTAAGCGTTTTTGGGAGTTCCTGTATTGGGGTTGACTGTGAAGGTACTGTAACATCACGTTAGTTCATAGCAATGGGATTTCAAAATATACCGGCAATACTCACTCCCAGCCGATTTCATTCATGACGGTGTGTCCAACAATGATGGCTCCTGCATCTCTCAGTCTCTGAACAATGGCACTATCTTCATCAGAAAATATACCAACGTTGATCCCAACAGTACCAGCTCGAGATTCGTATCCTTTGATGTCCGATTCCTCTTTAATTGGGATGAAAATGCCGTCCAAATCACTTAAAGTTGCGCCGGTTTTATAACGCTCGGTTGATGCGGCTGCTTGCTCACGAATAGAATCCTCATGGAAAGACCTCATGAAGTTCATAGATTTGCTATCCTCCAGCGCTTTGAGAACGCGCTCAGCCATCTGCATATATCCAAAATGTCTGGTCAAATCATTGATCTGTTCGAGTGGCCACTGTCAGAATGATTTTTTTTACCTCAGAAGGAGTGACTTTGCCATCCTTATACGCTTTGATATAGTCATGATAGCTCAAGAATGGCGTACGGCTAGATTCAGACTCCAAGCTGGTAATTTTATTTTCCTGCATGGTAGTAAGTTAACAAGTAATTCACGCTTTAGCCTAAAGATTGGTCGATGGGCTTATTTACCTGATGATCAATATCTTGCTGAAAGAAATTGTATTGCACGGGAACAGGTACGGTTGTTATCACATCCGATAGATCGTTTCTCTTCCTAAAATTGTGTAATCCTCCGTCGGCTGCGATTTTGTTTGTAACAAACGGTACATTCTCCAGCACATTGGTAAGGAACACCAAGGTATATCCGCTTATGGCAGGTGCTACAACTCGGCTCACAGGCTATAAAGTTTTGAAGCTTTTAAGAGAAGGAAAAAGCGTGAATATAGTTCTGTAAATGTCATATCTTACTGTATCTTTCACGTTAGGCATTGAAGTAGTGATGGGCTGAATTACCAAGCACTAATGATATAAGAAGATGTTCTTCGCGCACTCTTCGGTGCAGTTCATTGCCGCTATTTTCAAACTCCGTGTCATATGAAATTTTCGGTAGCTGTGATGTGCGTGTGCTTCCTTTCCCATGGTATTACTTTTCAGTACTTCGGAAGATATGAATACAATGCATCTGTGTCATCTCACCAGCACTTCTAGCTCGTCCATGATTTCCTGTAGGTTTTTAATGGGTGTTGGACAATTGTGCGTAAAAGGATATACGGCATCGAGATATTTATTTTAGAGTATGGCAAAGCTTTGATTTAAACATTAAGGCTGCTTGCTGACAGCGGCTGACACACCGGTTTTGTCAGCCCTGACCAACTCTCAGACTCCGCGCAAAATCAAAAATCTTTTGACTCACAGAAATTTTTCGCGGTTCCTGATTTTTTTGTTCTCGCTTTCGATACTTACCACATGGCATCAAGTGATATCGGCTCCACGAAAGAAAATGGATCATTCAAGGATCAGGAAATGGAGAGAATGGATATAGACACTCCAGATTACTTAGATCCAAAGTCAAAGAAAAAATTGGTGTTGGTTATCGCAACGTAAGTTCCTGGATGATCGAAATGATAGATCGAAATTCGGCTCAACTGACGCTGTTTGTCATATATAGTCTTTGTACATTATCCTTCTTAGCGGCTTTTGACAACATCCTCATTTCGAGCAATATGCCCACAGTGGCTTCTGCTTTCAATGCCTTCAATCTGTACAGTTGGCCTAACACGGTAAAGTTATCTACACATTAAGTCTACATGCATATCTATCCATTTCTGAACTCTATTAGGCCTTTTTGTTGACAAGCGCAACAGTGCAACCGCTATATGGTGTATGTGCCAGTGTTTTTGGACGACGAAGAATGCTGATACTCTTCGCTATATGCATGTATCAAATCGGGACAGTGTTGTGCTCTGCATCTCAGAACATGGTCATGTTTATTATTGCTAGAGCTTTTTGTGGACTGGGTATCGGTGCCTTTGATACACTGATGAAGATTGTCGTGGCGGGTGAGTACATTGAATCGTATGTTACGGCTATAATTTATCCTCTTCCCGGAGACTGAAGGTTAATCTGCTGTTAGATTACATTCCGCTTAGATATATCGGTAGATATCAAAGTTACCTTGGTGCAAGTTGGTCGCTTGGGTATATTGTTGGAGGACTTTTAGGTGAGATTCTAGCTTCTGTGAGAAAATCAGCTACTGTGCGTACTTATTCTGTGAATAGGCGGTGTGATTATCTCTCAAACACAAACTGGATGGCGAAGCATATTTTTCCTTTGTGTAAGTCATTCGAAAAAATTGTCTTTATTTAGGTTATATGTTTACTAACGACAAATGCTTTTTTTTTTTTTTTTGGTGGCCGTTAGCTCGGCGTGTAAGTGGTATTGTATCATAGTGCTTGGAGATGCACAGCGGAATACTAATGCGAACTTAATCAGAGGGTTTATTGCCTTGATCTTGACCATCGTCGCCATCGAAGAGCCCACACGAAATACCATGTCCATGCAACAGCTTGCAGAAGTAGATCTCTCTGGTAGTGCCATTTGGGCTGTGGCTATTGTTTGCTTGGTGCTTGCCTTGAGTTGGGGTGGAAGCACATACCGTGAGTACAAATGCATGCAGCTGCCTGGCAATCGGTTTACCGGTGTTAACAAATTTTTCTTTTCAATTTAGCTTGGAGTTCACCAAGTGTTATTGCCTTACTGTGTATAGCAGGTGTTGGGATTATCGTCTTTGTCATCTGGGAAGTCAAGTATGCAAAGCAGCCTATTATACCCAAGCGTCTATTTACCAACCGAAGCACTGTGGCCGTATTGGTAGCAGCATGGTTATATGGAGGCTGTTTCCAATCGCTGATGACCTATGTGCCTCTATACCTCTCTGTCATCAGAAAAGAAGAAGCCATGGCCACAAACCTTGAACTACTTTGCCTTGTATTGGTCGCATGTTTTGCCAACATTCTCACCGGTTTGATTATTGTGAAGACTGGCCATTATACCTGGGCCATGCGATCGTCCCTTGTCATACTCAGCATCTCGTGTGGACTGTTGACTCTTCTCAAGGTAGACAGCAGCAGAGGTCTCATTGTTGGTTTAATGATCGTAACTGGTGTTGGTGCTGGGGGTATCATCAATAGCGAAATCATCACGGCACAAGCGTCTGTTGCCTATGAATTGTAAGTACTACCCCTCAATATCCCCCAATACGCTGAAATAGATATTAACCGCACTCTTCAACCCCCAAGTGTGCCAATAATTACACCGCTGATGACGTTCTGCGATCAGGTTGGTGGTATCTTTGGTATCGCCATTGTTGGCTCGATTCTCTCCAACCAGCTCTACGCAAATATTGCTGCGCTGAACTTGCCTGATGTCTCAAGTGCTCTAGTTCGCCAAAGCTCATCCTACATGGACGCATTGCCGGAACCTGCTAGATCAATGGTCCTTAATGCCTACGCCAACGCAGTGAATACTAGCTATTGGGGATCAGCAGCCTTTGCAATTGTCGCCTTCTTAGCAACACTGTTGCTTAAACATTACAATATGAGAGAAGGACTTAAATAGTCTGATTGAAGCTTTTTATTATTATTATTATTATTATTTTGAACAATTGTCCATCCATCGCATACCTTTCTTTTACCAGATACCTTAATTGTCTACTACTAAAAGACTGGTAAATCGCTTCTGTAATCAAACCAAAAATACCGTCATGTTGTAATAAAGCTATTGACTTTCATCTAGTGGATGAACGCATTTCAGGGGACCGAAATTATCGCTCTCACACAAAATGTCTGGCTCACTTGCGTCCACGTATTTCACCATAACTGTAGCTGCCATCTCTTTACAAAATTCTTGCAAAATGATGTATCCTGTAAGAAACTCCGGCAGTTTCGCAAACGGATTAGTTAGAGTGATTGGGGTCCAATTTGCTCGAGGCGGCGGGTATTGAAAGAATGCAGCTGTGGGAGAAGATGGCGCTGTCGATTCTGATGGTGTCGGCGATACCGGTGGACTTGCCACTGAGTTGAACAGTAATTGCGTAAAGCTGGTTCTTCTTGTTATTTGTTTGTATATGTTGCTTTCTTGTTTGACTGGCTCGGCAGAGGATGTTCCAACTTGAAGCAATTCATGCTTTCCCTTTTCTTTTGTTACGCGTAGTTTCGTTTCAAATTTTGGAATGGTCCTTGCTCGTTTAAGTGCTTCTAGAGTGACCCTTTCCAGAACACCGTGAATTGTCCGACTTTCTGGTTTCTGTTCAAAGATAGAACTGTCATATTCATTATATGACAAGTCGTCATTTCCAGAAGGAATGTTTTGCCAGCAGCAGACAATCCAGTCGGCACGTTCGTCGGCAATGACCGCTACCTTGCCTAGTAGTCTGGTAAGCATTAAGCTTTTAGCGACCCCAGTCTCACATATCTTGCTCGTTGCATCGAATAATGCTGCTAAGAATGATCCTTCGTATCCACAGCTGGATGGACTTTTTTGATTACAAGATTGCTTGAAGCTATCGAAGATAACATGGTTATCTTTCCAAAATGTATAAGAAAGTTGAGACATGTTCCATCGCTCCATAGCTTCGAGAAAGTAGTCGTCCTCCTCATCTACTAATGTGGTGAGAGAACTTGTAGAAGAGACTGATTGAGTATCGATCGACCGCTGTAAGGTACTATTTGCTTTGGACGAGGCACTAGGTATAGGTGAAGCTAATGTATTCCTTCGAAGGTCTATAGAACTTCTTTCCTGTCGAATGCTTTGTTGGTTTAGACTACTACACGAACTTCTACGTTCTATCTGCTTCTCGCATGGCAATAAACTAAGAAATCTGAAAGCGCAGAGTTTTAGACTCGGATCAACGTCATTATTGATGTGACTATTTTACCTTCCAACTAGCCATTCTGCTTTTTGTTTAATGTCTACAGGAGGTAATTCACAGCTATCCTCTGTCGTTTGATCATCATCTCCAGAGTCATTTTCATTTGTTTTGCCATCTGAATAGTTTCGGAGCAACAGGTTGCATATGACGAATTGGTTGTGCGTCTCTATGATGGTGTCAAACAATCGGATAGTGACCACTGATAGCTGTAATAAATTGTAATATAATTACTTGATATGGGATCATCGTTAGAGCATCTTATTTGCTAAATACTTACCGATTCGTCTGAATCTGTGATGCGATTGATCAGAACCTGTCGAAGTGTTATCCTCAGATTACTTGAATGTGAACTCAGGTCGATGTCGCCATTGCCCTCATTTCCTATGACTGCAATGGTAGATGGTGTGGATTCTGGGAGCAAATCAAGAGTATCTCCACCATGCTCTCCAAGCAAAAACAGCATGAACAAATGCTGTAAGCTTCGATCTTTTAGAGACCGAACCATTTCCGTTATTCTGACTGTGGTGATATGAGTGATCTCTTGTTTGGAGGAACATAAGGTCGAAGTCAGAACTGGCTGCCAGAAATGAGTGTATAAATGAAAACCAATGGATGCACTAAGAATGGGACTTGAACGTCGCATAACATCATTTAAGTATTCCCACAGGGCAAAGAACTCGTCCGTTATAGCCTCTTGGTTCTGTTGACTTGTCAATAATTTCCAGAAATGTATGTCAAATGTGCTATATTGACGCTTCCTACGCTTTCCTGAACAAGGAGCATTTAAAGAAGGGTATATGGAGACATCATTGAAAACCAGTGGTGTGCACGATTGGACTGGGTATTTTGGTGGGTATCGGAAACTGAGTTTCGTATTCGGAGTCCATTTGAATGCAGAAGAATCATCCAACGTTGTCGCAAACATCATTGCAAGTCTATCTGCCTTTTGATAATGTCAGCATACTGTCACCAGAAGAATTCTAGATCCAAATATTTCCCTTACGAGTGTCTCTGCAAATCCAGAGTATTCCACAATATAGCATAGGTACTCAGGGTCGTTATCCACCATTCTCAGAGCAAAGAGAACTGCTTCACGTGCGATTTCACTTGTTTCCCCAGGAGTATTGATAAAATCCAATAGCATTGAAAACATAGTGAAGCGAGGCTGTCATTTTTGGAAATATTTCGACAAATATGATAATTATTAGTTAAATTCAATGATATAAACGGGCTGAAGACCATATAAGTCGTACCTGAATAAATACGTTCCAAGCTAACTTGTCTGGTGCCGTTAAATTTCGACGCTGGATACGGTTGTCCTCTGTCGATTTCTCTTTCCAAACCTTTTCCCCAAGACCGCTGCACCATCCACGCTCAAATAGTATGTCCATCATAGCTTTACTATCACGTAGCCGAGATATGACGGATCTAAGTAATCCTACCAATTCAAGAGACACTTCGGCTATGGCGTTTCGTCGCTCGACCGAAGATTCACCTGTATCTGTTTTGGAGTCTGCCAATTGGTTGTAATGATGGGCTATTACTCTATGTGTCGATTGAATCAGCTTTTGGAGCGGAATACAAATGCTGCGAGTGTGTAATTCGCTGGCCGGCACATTTATTATAAATGTTGAAAAAAAACGAAGACAATGTGTCCGCATGCCATACGGTGTCTATAACATATCGTGTTGAGTTAGTCTTTGCTGTAGATCAGTCATGTTTGTAAATAAAGGGTTCAACTAACATCGGCTTTGGCAAATTCTGCCAACTCTTCCAAAATACGATTTTCGACAATATACTGAAAGCAGGCATTTGGACCTGATGTATCTATTTCCTCACAAAGCAAAGTTGCCATTCTTTGCAGCTTTGTTGGAATACAGGTGCTGGCCATGAGATCATTGAGAGGATCTAACTGGCAATTAGCGAATGAGATGCTGGTAATGCAAAAGGCAGGGGGACTCTACCTTGTGTTGTCTCATAATATTGTACAATACTCTTCCAAGCGTTTTGGACCAACACTGGCGGTTCACCTTTTGGAGCTCGCGAACTTTGCAGGAATTTTGTTAGAAACATAGTAATGATGTTGCATCTAGTACACTCGAATCCACTCGCGTAGGTCCCCTATAGACGGCATGCCCCTGGATTTCTCTAGAATGAAGATCAATTCACTGTCAATTTAGCCCCTTTTGCCAGTAAAGCGTGATGTCTGTTGAGAGTTTAATCTGATTGATACGCATAGCACTAGATGACTTTTTTTATCTCATCCATTTTTCTATCCTGTAAGAATGCACTCTATGCTGTACACGTTGTTAGTCATTCTAGATAGCTACTTGCCATAGCTTTCTCAAAGCCGCTGTCATGTACCTGCTGTTCGCTCTATTGCTCGGTAGTGCCAACGAAGCCATCAGCTGTTAACTAAAATGTCGTAATTTAGGGCCTTGGTTGTCATTTTCAAACAATTTGGTGTATTGCTATAATGCATGGCAGCCTCCTATGTTTTCAAATATCTTACCATACCCGGAATAACCAATCGATGTAGTAACCGCGTGCGTCAATTTCCCCACACTAATTGAAGCGATCAAAATATGACTACCGCGGTCCTTATGTCATCACCGAAACCAAGATGAACCTGATATTTCAGCAGCTCGGTGCTTCTTGGTCCTAGATGTTGTAATATCGGGTTGACGAACTTTACTTTACAGATTAGCCGTTTATGCACAGCCATTTTATAAATCCTATAAGTCAATATGAATAAACGTGTAAGTGAGAATTCAAAAAGTTACCATTTTCACAGATTCATAGACCTATTCCTTGCTAGAATGAGTGCCATCACTTGTTCTTTGGCTGACAACTATCCACTGGTTTTCCAGACCATATTTATGTTCTCAGAAGTATGCCACGCTTCAAAGTTCTTCAAACTTATTCTCTACAATGGCATTACGTTTTTCCATCAAGACCTACACATCCATGGTATATGTCATTGAGCGGATCAAAAGGAAAAAGTCGTTATTGTGAAATGTGGCTGGACACAATAACTTCTTAACTTCACTTCACAACTTTTTACCTCGTCAAGCGAGCTCGATGATTATAAATGGCCAATATGCCACAGCCTTCATTCCCAAGTGCTGCAATGTTGTTTGGAGCTAACCGATGACGGTGCATGAGAAATAACGACAGGATTTTAAGTTTTTGTCAAATCCGCAAAAATCAGACCTTAGGTAACACATGGGCCAATTCCAAAGCAATATTCTTTGGAAGGCAAACTAAAGTCCTAACCAGTTCGCCCAAAAATAGTGTATCAACTATGTGATATCTAGTATACAGCAAGAGATTAAAAATTAGTTGTTGTTGACATTACTCCTTGTCTTCTCGAACAAAAGGTGATTGATGGCATGGTTAAGAATCATATCATCAATTCGACGCAAGGTTTTGTGAGCTGTTCAATTTCGCATGAAAATTTTGGCCATTCTATAACGCACGGAACGTTCCGGTGTATTAAGTAATCTGGGATGAGCTCTCCAGAAGATCTCCAGGTGTCCAGTCTATAAAAGAGCTCGCATGATGATATATTGGATTTAAGAACTTTTGACTAAATATGATCACATCACTCATTCTCGCTTCAGCATTGGCTTTGGTTCCAACTCAAGTGTTGGCAGCAGATAATGGATTGGCCATTACACCTGTAATATATCATTGCTGTTATATGATTATTTCGTGACTTATTATTTTAACAGATATTTTCATAGCAAATGGGTTGGAATACCTGGAACAAGTATGGTTGCAATATTGATGAACAACTAATTCTGGATGCTGCAAAGAGCATTGTTTCTTCTGGGCTCAAGGACTATGGTTACAACTATGTTATTATTGATGACTGTTGGCAAAAGAATAAGCGTGAAAAGAATAAGGAGCTTCTCCCCGACCCGACAAAGTTTCCTCGAGGTATGAAAGCACTCGTGGACGATATTCATGACATGGGCCTCAAAGTTGGCATTTATTCTTCGGCTGGAACTCTGTAAGTATCATCTTTTTCAACCAGTCGAAGAATAGACTCCAGTATTGTATGCTAAATTTCAAATTTCAATTAGTACATGCGGTGGTCATATCGCTTCATTGGGATACGAAGAAACTGACGCCAAAACCTGGGCCAAGTGGGGTATGGACTATCTCAAATACGACAATTGCTACAATCAAGGACAGAGCGGTACACCCAAGCTGTCTTACGACAGATACAAGGCTATGAGGTAAATCAGGTCGAGAGCATCAAACTTTTCCGCGTATCCCAATTTGGCTAAAGCCCAAGTTTATGTAATGTGTACTGTTGCAGCGATGCATTGAACAATACCGGTAGACCTATTCTGTACTCACTCTGCAATTGGGGAGAGGTGATTATTATTTGGCAATATATTAGCAAAGCACTTTCTTATGCACACCTTCATTGACGAATTTTATACCATTACAGGACGGTCCATGGAATTTTGCATCCACAATCGCTAATAGCTGGAGAATGAGTGGAGATATTTATGATAACTTCAATAGAGCTGATCCAGCATGTCCTTGCGAAACTTACGACTGTCTACTACCTGGATTTCGCTGCAGTGTCATGAATATTATCAACAAAGCTGTTGCTGTAGGCCAGAAGGCAAGAAGTGGTGGCTGGAACGATTTGGACATGCTGGAAGTTGGAAATGGTGGCATGTCGCATGAAGAATATCGTTTACATTACACTATGTGGGCCGCGCTCAAGTCACCATTGTTGTTAGGCAACGATGTTACAAATATGACATCGGAAACGAAGGAAATTATTATGAACAAAGAAGTCATTGCCGTCAACCAGGACTCTTCATACTCTCCAGCCGTTCGAATGTGGGTCAAAGGGGACCAGCAAATGTTTTCTGGTAATTTAGCGAACAACACGCAAGTAGTCATCCTCCTTAATGCTGGCGATAAAGCAGCCAAGATGACTGCCACTTGGGACGACATCTGGTTTTATTCTCAACCTCATGTGGATGCCTCTAAATCCATTGAAGTTCGTGACCTTTGGAAAAAACAAAGCCTGGGTAACTTTACGGATCGTATCAGTTTAGATGTACCTGCACATGGAGTTCGTATGATCAAGTTCATGGACTCTGCTCAAAGCTCTTGAATTCTACAACTTGTTTTCCCATAACACCCAATTCAATGTAATGAGATAAAAGCTTAATAATTTGCTGACAATAGGGCAGGAAAAATGCCATGAACAGTTCAATAGAAGCTACTTGTCTTGAAATTGAAAGATGAAAATGACAATGAATGAGGCTAGCAACAGTAGGTTCGACAGTGAACAAAGGTTTGCTGTTGTTGTGAACTCCTTCTCCTACATTGCAGCAGAAACTGCCAGTAATTCTTATATCTGTTACGATATACTTTTTCTCAAAATGAGTATTTGCTTTTTGCACTCGCTTCTTTGCATTGAAGGTAGCGGTGCCACGTGCATATCAAGTCGTCGAAGTCATGTGATTTACTTATTACATAAATTCGATGCCAAATTGCTCCATCGAAGTTTACATATTATCTGCTCACAATCCATCTTACTACAATGGCTCAGATAAGGACTGCGGTAAAGGGGCAAGAAAATACTCGAAATGAGCTTTCCATAGAAGATGATGTCTTGGTAGAGAGCAATAATGGCTCAAATATCACTATTTCGTTACAAGATATTTTTGCTATCAAAACCAGTGATAATGCATTCGTTGTCAACTACGCCAGCTATCCCACAGCGACTGAGACCGCTGAACCTACGGATAAGAGCTTAAGGCCCAAGACGGTGACTCGAGCGTTGAATGTGAAACTTTACCTACCACTGGAAGGTGTAGACGAACCTGCTGCGGCTGGCTATCTCAGTCCCGGTGACTTTTTCGACGAACTACAAAAACGACTTCAGATTAAACCGCTGGCGAGCAACACCAAAATCCATGCCATACTAAATCCTGTGTCAGGTCTTCGTCAGAGTCTTGAAAACTGGAAGAATATCATCGCTCCCATGCTAAATCTGTCGGGAATCGCAGACGATAGCGTAGTTTTGCACACAACCAAAGGCGTGACGGATGGCAATAGGCTTGCGAAAGACCTTGCATTGAACGTACTAGCTAAATCCGAAAATCCCATTATCCTCCTTTGTATTGGTGGAGACGGAACACTTCATGAAGTGATTAACGGGCTGTCACAGGCGTCGGTAAAAACCAAAGTACAGCTCGTTGTGATTCCCACTGGGAGTGGCAATGCATTTGCCAATGCACTCGGAATTACGGATCCTGCTGACGCTGTACTCCGACTACTACGAGGAAATCAGCAGCCTTTACGAACTATCCGCGTATCCATTGGCAAATGTCCCGTACCCTACGACTCTCAGGACTGGCATAACCATGTAGAATTCGACCGCGTCGACCACGACCCCAGAATCATGGTGGTATTCAGTTTTGGCTTCCATACCCAGATTGTATCAAAATCCAATTATCTGCGACCTTTCATGGGGAATTCTCGATTTTCCCTTGTGGCAGGATTTTTGTTGTGGTGGATGCCACAATATGGCGGACGGCTTGTTTTAGATGAAGGAGCTCAGGAGTACAACGCTGAGCAACAAAATTGGCGTACCGCCAACGACAAGACCCACATAGATGGGCAATATACCTACTTCCTGGGATCCAAGATGCCTGAACTTGAGCCAGGCTTTCGCATAGCACCTTTTGCATCGACCTCCGATGAACATGTCGATCTAGTTCTTCTACGAAATGGAACAAGCGATGAACTGAAGTCTATCCTTTACAAGGCGTTTGCAAAAGGGTCTCATGTAAATGAGCCGAAATTGGAGTATTGGAAAGCAAAGGGGTTTCTTCTACGTGTACAAGACGCTGCGGAAGTGTGCTTAGATGGAGAAATCCACAAAGTGCCTAAAGGAGGAGTGGTTAGATTACAAGTAGTGCAACCTTCTACTGAAGGCGAGATAGCCATTGATGTTTTTATGTAACTGTCATTGGTTAAGGGGGTGTATCAAAATTATTGTCTCAAAAGCCGTTGAAGCGTGCCTGTTGGTGTATTTTATTTTTTTCTGTCTTCGGAGAGTGAATCGATCAAAAACGGTGCTTCTTCGTATTTTCTGTGTTTGAAAACTTTTTTCTTTCGTTTTACTACATATCCATGGACCTTCAGTTTTCCATAGACCAGCCATTTGGCATCAGACTATATCCTTACTTTGAACAGGTCTACCAGATCATCACTGGTAGACCTGCAAATACCTTTGTATTTGCACCTGGTGTCACGCCGCTTTCAACCAACAACGAAGGTAAGTTTGGTTCCAGGAACATTATCCATACCTACAGGCTCTTGATTGGAATGCTCATTCTACAATGTAGTCCTCTTTGCATGTGTGCTCTATCTTGTGGTTATCTTCGGCACAGCAAACTATATGAAGTCCTTCAAACAACCCATACCACTGAAGGCAGTCTTTATGTTACACAACGTTTTATTAACCGGTGCTTCACTTGCGCTACTTCTCCTGTTCATTGAGCAACTGACACCTATCATTGCACGACATGGAGTTTTCTACGCTGTTTGCAACGACTCTGCATGGACACAACCCTTGGAATTGCTGTATTATCTTAATTATCTCGTAAAGTACTGGGAATTGGCTGATACTGTGTTCCTGGCTTTGAAGAAGAAGAAGCTTGGTATGAAGATTTAAGCCCAGTCATTGCAATGTTCCCCACCACTTCATATTGACCTTGCCTCCTCCAGAGTTTCTACACTACTTTCATCACAGTGCTACCATGGTGTTGTGTTATACTCAATTGTGCGGAAAGACATCCGTGGTAGGTTTTTTGAGGGGTGGAACATAGGGTCGACATTCAATAAGGCTGACTTATTCTACTCTTTTTTATTTAGTCGTGGGTTCCAATCACGCTGAATTTGGCTGTACATGTCGCTATGTACTATTATTTCTTCAGAACGGCTGCAGGCGCTAAGATTTGGTGGAAGCAGTACCTTACTACCATGCAAATCGTTCAATTCGTCATCGACCTTGGCTTCATTTATGTTTGTAGTTTCTATTATTTTGGATACGCTCACTTCAACATCTCCACCAAATGTGCCGGAGAGGATGTCGCGGCTGCATTCGGATGCGGCCTGCTTACGAGTTATCTCTTCCTCTTCATCAACTTCTACTTCAAAACCTACAAGGCAAAGAGTAAAACCATGAGCAAGGCGAAGGCTGTCAGCTCAGCTGGTCTTGTGACTGTGGAAACCAAGGAGGGGTCAGGGCAAGTCCTGAATGGCGGGCAAAAAAAGTCAAAGAAGAGCAAACGTTAGAATGAATCTTATTAGCATTATTATTAACCTACCATAGATTATCCGATTTTTGTAATTTGTTTTTTCAGCAACCGTTGTCTAAAAGTCATGTCATATTTTTCAATGGAACTCATACCAAGCAATGAAACATGTAAAGGAGAGTTGGGGTTCCCATGATAGTTTGCTAGATGACTTGGTTTAAAGACGTTGTTGCTTGTTACAGGGTTGCTCCAATCCGAGAGTCGCTGACAATTAATATTAAGGCTGTACACATCTGTCAATCTCATCACTGATTGGCCTTATGGCAAGCTCTGCTCGGACCCCAGAATCTCGCTCAGTCCGATTCGGCCAATCAAAGAAAGCAAAAATTAGGCAATGAAAATTGCGCCATTGCAGCATCTCGTTTTTTTTTTGTGTATAAGTTGCTCGGAACGTAAACCACATCTTCTCTCTTATTGTCTCCCACCTCTTTTTGTTTAACCAACACTCCTTTGTACATAAGCATTTGTCATCGTACCGACCCAACTTCAACGAAACCGGTACTTTATCAAATACATCATGTCAGTACAAAGTGGACGCCGCTTGGTAACGGGCGAATCAACTTCTGCAGCCGTTGCTGTCGCCCTCAGTGAACAAGTGTACACCACTAAGCGCGTCGCAAGCGAAGCCAACGTTTATGGAACTCAAACTCAAGTTCAAACTGTCAAAGCTGAGAACGACCCTGCTTCCAGCTTTGTTGGCACATTGAATCAGAACAAACTCGGCTCTGCCTTGATTTCATCCGACTCTTTGGTATCCGCCATCCCTCACCTGTATAACATCGCTTCAAGCCAGTCTTCCTTTGTTGTCCATGTGTCTGCTGAGAATGACAAGAAAAAGAACACTTTTGGTGATTTCTCCAATGTTATGGCAGTCAGACAAACTGGTTTCGCTCTCCTCAGCTCTTCCAGTGTTCAAGAGGCTCAAGATTTAGCTGCCATTGCTCATTTGGCATCCATCAAGTCTGCTACTCCCTTCTTGCATTTCTTCGATAGCAGCCGTGTTGCCCATGAACACACTAACATCGAGCAGCTGACAAATCAAACTTTGGCTAACTTGATCTCCAGCGAAGAAGTCGAGGCTTACCGCAACCGCCCCCAGCAATCTAACAATGAATCCACCTATGCTCGTTACAAGCAACGCAAGGCTCAAGATGCCCAGGAGGACCGTGTTGATGTGTACAAGGTGGTTGAAGAATCCATGGTACAATTTGCAAGTGTGACTGGCCGTCACTATTTACCTTTGGAGTACTCTGGTCACCCTGACGCCGAAAATGTTATTGTTGCCATGGGTGCTGGTGCTACCGTTGTCGAGAGCACTCTTCAAGCTCTTCGTGAACAAAGCGCCGATGCAAAGATTGGTGTCCTCAAGGTTCGCCTTTTCAGACCCTGGTCCAACGCTGAACTTATTAAGGTTCTTCCCGCCTCTGTCAAGAACATTGCTGTCTTGGAGCCCTCCCACGATTATACTTCCACCTGGAACCCCGTTTTCTTGGATGTTGCGGCTGCTTATCAAGCTTCTCAAAAGGAGGAGGTTGAGATTGTCAGCGGTCAATATGGTGTTGACGCTACTGATTTCACCCCTGCTATGGTGAATGCTGTTTTCCATCACCTTGCTTCCGGCAACCTTAAGCGCCGATTCGTCCTTGGTGACAGTCTTCCAGTCTCCCACAAGCACGCTATTAACGTCACACCTGAGTCTACCCAACAATTTGTTGTTGTCGGAGATGAAGCTGAGGTTTTATCGGCCTTCGATCAGTTGAAGGACAAGAAGATTCAAGTTTATACCGTCAAGGAGAATGGTGCTTCTGTGTCTCACGTCAGAATCGCTCATGCCAGCACTTCTCCTGTTCCTTCTTTGATCGATCATGCTGATGTTGTCATTTTGCTTAATGCATCTGCTAACGTTCCTGCTGCCATCGCTACTCTCAAGGCCCATGGTCATGTTATTATTAATCAAACTGCTGATGTCAACACTGTGAGCGGAAGTGTCAAGAAGGCTATTGCTGCCAAGAAGGTTAATGTCTATACCACCGATGCCATTGCCCTTCTTAAGTCAAAGGATGTTACAAAGTTCGATGCCTCCAACAAGGTCGATGCTTCCAGCTGGTCTTCTGCTAAGGCTGAGGATGTCAAGTCAGTATCTGCTGCTAAGGCTGCCGTTAAGGAATCCGATGTCCTCGAGACTCCTTATATCAAGATGTTGGACCAAGTCTTCGGTGAGCGTTTGTCTATTGCCAACGGTATCAACGCTGCCTCTGTCTGGTCTCCAGATACTCAGTCTGCCAACGCTTCCAACCCTGAATTCGGTTATGGTAAGATTTTGGCTCAGAACCAACAGCGTGCCAAGTTCTTGGCTGATGTTGAGCAAACCCTGAACAACACTGAATTGCCTGAGGCTCTTCATAAGATTCTCTCTCAATGGCTTCTTGTTGCCAAGAGTGCTGGATCCAAACCCCAACAAGTCACTGATGCTGCCACCGCTGCTGAAACCGTTCTCGAACAATACCAAACCGAAGCTTCTGTTCAAGCCATCATCCGCAACAAGGAATACCTCTTCCCCAAGTCCAACTGGTTGGTTGGCTCTGATTCTTGGAGCTACGATATTGGCCAATCTGGCGTCCATCACGTTATCACCTCTGGCGAGAATGTCAACATGCTTATCGTTGACACTACTCCCTATTCTACTGATACTGAGCGTGAGCAGCGTAAGAAGGACATTGGTCTTTATGCCATGAACTATGGTGCCGCCTATGTCGCCTCAGTCGCTATCTATGCTTCATACACTGGTGTTCTCCACGCTTTGATCGAAGCTGACAAGTATGATGGTCCCTCCATCGTCCTTGCATTCCTTCCTCGTGTTCACAACGCTGCTAACCCTATCGAGATCCTTCAAGAGACCAAGGTTTGCGTCGATAACGGTTCATGGCCTTTGTACAGATGGAACCCTGCCTTGGAGTCTGAGGGCAAAGACCCTTTCGCTCTCGATTCTGAGCGCATCAAGAAGGATTTGGAAGCTTTCCTTGACCGTGAGAACCATCTTTCTGTTCTCGTTGCCCAGCAACCCGACTTAGCCAAGACTCTTGTCAGCTCTGTTGAAGCCGTAAGTTGAGATTGAATATTCTGGATTCATTTCCTAGTGGAATATAAATTAACCGGGGGGGGTTTTTTTTGATATTGAATAGGATGTTAAGAAGCGTCATGAGCAACTTAAGAGCAAGGCTCGTGAAGATTATGCTAGACTTTTGTCAGGTTTGTCCGGAAACGCCAACGGCCCTCCCGTCACCATTCTTTTCGGTTCCGATAACGGCAATGCTGAAGGTTTGGCCAAGAAGCTTGCCACTAAGGGCAAGTCTCGTGGATTGAAGGTCTCCCTGATGGCTATGGACGACTTCGCTGATATCCAAGAACTCGCCAACGTTACCAACGTTGTCCTCATCGTCTCCACTGCTGGTCAAGGAGAGTTCCCATCCAACAGTCGTGAGTTCTGGAAGGCATTGAACAACTTGGCTGTTGGTGATATCGCCTTGCAAGATACCAAGTTCGCTATCTTCGGTCTTGGTGACAGCCATTACTGGCCCCGTGAGGAAGATGCCGTTTACTATAACCGTCCCGGTAAACTCATTGACAGCCGTTTGGAGATGCTAGGTGCTGGCCGACTTGTTGCTGAAATCGGTCTTGGTGACGATCAAGATGCTGATGGTTACGAAACTGGTTTCCAAGCTTGGCAACCCGAGTTGTGGAAGGCTCTTGGTGTCGCTGATGTTGGCACTGATGATGAACCACCAAAGTTGACTGACGATCAAATGAAGATTGACTCCAACTTCTTGCGTGGAACCATTGCTCAAGATCTTGAGGATGAGTCCACTGGTGCCATTTCCGAAATTAACGGAAAGCTCTTGAAGTTCCACGGTTCATATGGTCAAGATGACAGAGATATCCGTGAAGAGCGCAAGAAGCAAGGTTTGGAGAAGGCTTTCAGCTTTATGATCCGTGTTCGTATGCCCGGTGGTGTCTCTACCCCCCAGCAATGGTTGGTTATGGACGAGCTTGCTGAGACTCATGCTAATGGTGCCATCAAGCTTACTACTCGTCAAGCTTTCCAACTTCACGGTATCATCAAGAAGAAGCTCAAGCCCACTATTCGTGGAATCAACCAGTCTCTTCTCAGCACTTTGGCTGCCTGTGGTGATGTTAACCGTAACATCATGATGAACCCCAACCCTCACGTTCCTGAAGTCTATGATGAATTGAACGACTTCGCTAACAAGATGATGGAGCACTTGGCTCCCAAGACCAATGCTTACCACGAAATCTGGTTGGCTGATGAGATGGTTGCTGGCCATGCTGTCCAAGACTTTGAGCCCCTCTATGGTCCCACTTACTTGCCACGCAAGTTCAAGATTGTCATTGCTGTTCCTCCTAACAACGATGTCGATATCTTTGCCCACGATCTTGGTTTCATTGCTATCATCAATGATGACAAGACTCTTGCTGGTTTCAACGTCACCGTCGGTGGTGGTATGGGTATGACTCACGGAAACAAGAAGACTTATCCTCGTCCTGCTTCCGTCATTGGTTTCTGTACTGTTGACCAGGCTGTCGATGTTGCCGAAAAGGTGATGACCACTCAACGTGACTATGGTGATCGTACCAACCGTAAGCATGCTCGTATGAAGTACACCATCGATGACCGTGGTCTCGATTGGTTCAAGGGTGAAGTCGAGTCTCGTCTTGGCTACAAGCTTGGTGCTGAACGCCATTATGAATTCACTGATAACGCTGATCGATATGGCTGGACTAAGGGCTTGGGTGACAAGTGGCACTTTGGTATGTTCATCGAGAACGGTAAGGTCAAGGACTGGCCCGATCTCCAAATCAAGACTGGTCTTCGCGAACTTGCCAAATGGCACAAGGGAGACTTCCGTCTGACCCCTAACCAACATCTTGTCATCGGTAACGTCCCTGAAGCTGATCTTGAACGTACCAAGGCTCATTTGGCCAAGTATAAGCTCGACAACTTGAGCTTCAGCTCATTGCGTTTGAACGCTATGGCTTGTGTTGCTTTGCCCACTTGTGGTCTTGCCATGGCTGAATCCGAGCGTTACCTCCCCACCTTGGTTGGACTTTTGGAAAGCACCATTGAAGAATCTGGTCTTCGTGAAGATGCTATCACGATACGTATGACTGGTTGTCCTAACGGTTGTGCTCGACCATACCTTGCAGAAATTGCTTTCGTCGGTAAGGCGCCTGGAGCGTATAATGTATACCTTGGAGGTGGCCACAAGGGAGAGCGTTTGAACAAGTTGTACAAGGAGAGCTTGAAGGAAGAAGAAATTCTTGCTGAGATCAAGCCTATCATCAAGCGATTTGCTCTTGAACGTACCCCTGGCGAACATTTCGGCGACTGGGTCATTCGTGCTGGATACGTCAAGAAGACCATTACTGGAACAGATTTCCATGAATTGTAAATCCAAAAAAGTAATACTCCAAAACTCATCATTTAACTAGACATTTTTGTTTTCTTCTTTTCCAATACCGTTACATAGTTTTTCTTTCAGGCTTTCCCATCATTATTAAAGATGATTTATACATTAATATGCTTATGTGGTTCCAAGTGAGATGTTGTGAGATTTAGGCGTAGTAAATTGAGAAATAATGAACTGTTAGCTACGCTGTTTTCAAGGACTTGCAGAGATTGGAGATTCTGATCACCTTGAAAATTTAACCCACGGGCAATTTTTCGGTACTTCCACACAGGATTCCTTACTTCGACATCACTCCAAAATTATGGTGCCATCTCTCAGGAACCGCCAGAAAAAGAATGAGGAAGCAGTTGAAAGTGCCTCCCATACAGAAAATTCTATTGTAAGTAGAAATATGTTCGGTTGACAGTGGATATTGAAGCTGACGTTTTGAAACGGAAAGGTGAAGTCCAAGCGCGCACCTGTCTCAAAGGAACCGAAATCTCGAAAGAAAGTGAAGAAAGAGGAATCAAAAGACAATACAGAAAAAAATGAGGAGGAAGTCGAAAACGAAACCGAATCAGAGAAGAAAACGAAGACAAAGACTAGTATCAAACATGAGGCATCGGCCGACGGACCAGTCAAGAAGGTGAGAAAAGGCAATTGTTGCTACACAAGCGTGTCGCAGTATCCACTAAATCTTTCTCAGATTGATAAAGAGTACCAGCATTGGCTAATGAAAGCAGAACCAGATAGTCGAGTGGTGAAAGATAAGGATGTCAAGTTCAGGTAGGCATAGTCTCATCTGAACTGTCATTCTAGCCAAAAATCAGTGATGATAATACCCGACATCACAAAACAGCATAGATGATCTCAAGGCGATGCCAAAAAGGTGCATTTATTATATGATTGCTAAATTCTAGAGAAAGCAGCTTTCTCACCCAACTTCTTTTCACTTAGTACCTCGCAATGGGACGGCGTGGTCAGTAGCTGCGCGTCAAAACTTTGAGAACCTTTCATATTGTAGGAATGCTAAATTTTCACTTAACTTGCAGCGTAACTTTGAGGCCAGGAACATGATGAGGGACAGGATGAAAGTTGGTCATAAGGTAGGTTGATACCTCTGGGATAGATTATACTAGCTTCGTGATGTTCCAACCAGATGATCGCTAGGTATTATTTTATCACTCCAATTGTAAACAGCCTGGAGTAGCTGGAATAGCAGAGGTGAGTTGAGAATGCCAAACCGCGTTGAGATAAACTCGCAAATTTACTTAGTATATTCAAACAATGTAGATCGTAAAGGAAGGCTATGTAGATTGTAAGTATTGTGAACTACGATAGGGAACTTATCCACCTTGAATGCTGAGCTTCTATGCCTTTCAATGACATAGACACTGCCTTCGATCCAAAGCATCCTTACTTTGATCCCAAATCGGAAGAATCAAACCCCAAGTGGTACATGGTATGTAATTTCGTTCTACTAATAATCAATCTCACCACTTGACTTATTCAATCATGCCAAAGGTGGATGTCAAATTCGTTCGAAAACTCAATAGGTTGATTCCTCTCAAAGAACTTCAATCCTACAAGGAGCTGAGTGACATGGTGTTGATCAGGCGTGGGCGTCTTTCAGTGCAACCAGTCAGTAAAGAAGAGTACGATTTCATCTTGAGTGTGGAGAACAAAGATGATGACTAGGCAGAGTGATGGCCACACAAGACGATTTCTATTCTATTTTTCGCGAGCTTCCATCCGTCTCCATTACCTCTTTATTGTTACATCTGCTAAAATTGGATGTCATTCATAGCGATTTGGCTGTATCTCGAGCCTTGATGGCAAGGATAATGGTCCATAAAATAATATGTAAAGTAGCGGTTTTATTATTATTTTTTGTTTGCCGTCTTTTTCTCTGAACTATTGGCTCCTGGAGCATTGTCAGAAGATGTTTGGCTAACATTTTGCGATGTTTTGAAAGATATGACATTGTTTTGTTCCGTAATAATGGCATCTTCCGCTAACTGAAGGATTAAGTGCGGTCAAGGAATGCATTAATATGTTGAGTCGATTCATAATGTGTATATTCCCTCTTTCTAGCACATTACCTTTATACCTCCCACTGTTTCAGCATAAAGGTAATACTTGTCTAATTCTGGATGGACAATTTTTGCAAACTCTCGAACGGTAGTTCCTGGCCAAATCAGAATACAGTCTCTAAAGGCGCCGCCCTTGTTAATGCCGCTGAATTGATAGGTGTAAGTTAACGTGAGATCGAGTAATTTAGTCGAGGTACATCGACACCAGACACTTACGTTCCGCTCGAGAAGTTTGTTATGCTCTTTACGGGATATGCAGGTATGACACCTAGCATATCGACTGCTCGCTTGAGCACCTCATGAACACCGGTTGAGCCATAACGGTACAGAACAAGATCTACCAGAGATGGCATTAGCGGCTATTAAGATTTCATTTCCTCAATCACTATTGTAAATTTCCTCACCTTGGACCTTCTCGATACGCCTGTTGTTATGTATAAACGGATATAGAAATAAAATGAAATGGTGAGCAAAACATTGAATGCTAGCTTACTCCATTCGCGGTAGAACACGGCCTTACGTCCTCAGTTTATCGTCTAACGGCTTTAGATCAGAGTCCGGCTATTATCAAATGAATGGTCAGTGCAACCAAAATATGAACAGCGAACAGCATCAAATGCTCACCAAATCATCCTTTGTGTCAACGATATCTGTTCCTTCCTGGTAATTTAGATATCTTTTCTTGTGCATGTCTCGAAGGAAGGCTTCGGCCAGAGCACTTGTTAAGACCAGAGTATTCTGTTTGATACACAGTTAGCACTTTGCATTCAAGTAATGTCTATTCCCAGGGTTGAACATTTTCAGTGGCGCGCCATACTTACAGGATCGTATTTACGCATAATTTTAGTGATGTTTTTATCTGCGTCTGTCATATCTATTTTGTTTAAAGCGACAACAGTTGGAAATCGCTCGTCCAAGAATCCGTCTACAACCTTTCCTATCATTGCATCATCCCACGTTTCTAAAGGATCTTTGATGCCAAGCTTATCCATAAACTTTGCCACAACAGAAATCGTAGATCCGTAACCTATATGGTACTTTAGTCAATGGCTTTTGGATGTAGAGCTTCGCAAGGTCGTAACGTTCTTGTTTACCTGAAAATTGTGCCTGCAGTGTCTCTATAGATGTTGATTCTAGAAATAATTATTAGCTCTCAGATGATTATATGCCGACATATTAGTATTGCGACAACATGTTATACTTGCTTGTTGCAGTGTGTCTTCTAACGATGTTGGGCCACTTTTTTAGCAAATTATTGAGAACCCAGCTGTGAATCTCGCTTCGCAGCCAATCTATATCATTAATGGGGTCGTAGCCCTGTGTAACTTTTCCACTAGCATCGGTAGTTCCGCTGACATCAACGACGTGAATCAAAGCATTTGCGTGGCGCAGATCGTCGAGAAATTGATTTCCTAGGCCCTGACCTTCGGATGCACCAGGTACTAAGCCTGCTACATCCAACATTTGCACAGGGACATTCCTAATACCATTTTCGCAAGTTCCTATAATTTTTTTTAAACCAGTTCAAGCTGCTATTCGATTTCATTTGGATAATTGTCACAGAAGTAAGGTGCTTACCATGTCGAGGTTTACACTGACTCTCCTTGCCATACTTTTTGCACGGACAGTCGATGGGCATGTAAGCAACACCTTGATTTGGTTTGATAGTTGTGAAGGGATAGTTGCCTACATTAATTGTGTTTTAATTGGTTGGAAAGTTGTAGGATTTAGATTCGTCCCAGTCGAACGATTTACTTACCGACTTTTGCAGTTGCATCGGTAACTAATTTTGAGCGATTCCAGGTCAGTTAGCTATTTTGTAGACATATCAGCGAAGAAAGTGATCAAACCTGAGTTCAGAAAGGACGATTTGCCAGCAGAAGGCTTGCCAACACAGGCAAGCAATACTTCTTTGACCATGGCAGAAACAAAAAAGTAAATTCAAAGATCTAAACGTCGGAGAAGTATCTTCGGAGAACTGATACGTTTTAGCGTACTTATAAACCAGCAAGAGCAGACGATTTCTTGTGGTGAACTGTTATAGTTGTAGATCCCGATATTGTCTGAGGGTTGAAATCGTTGCTATATGAAGTATCCTGAGTGGTGGTAAGAATGACCGAAACTGCAAAAATAAAAGTGAGGTCGGGCAGCTTCTATAACTTCTCCGTAACTTTCTTACCTTCGCACCTAAACTAAGTGCGGACTGTTCTTGGTCGCAGTCGACGCACACTACACCTATTTCGATACCATTATTGTTCACTTTTAGTTGAGCACTCTTTTATAACCAATGTCAGCCGTCGCAGCTCATGGACATCAAGCGACGGCTGCCTCCTCCTCCCCCTCGCCAAACCAGACGCCGGAGTACATTACACCGCCCGTTCCGAGCGATTCACATTTGTGGTATGGTGGTGCTCACCAACAAGGATTGCGTAGTACTTTGACCAATGAACCTGAGCACATTAACGTATACCATCATGAAATTGGCAACCAAACAACAGACATCACTCTGTTTACAGCGTCCATGACTGGGAACCTCGCAGTGTTACAAGAACTATTAAGGACACATGACCCCAATATCACACAACCGTCCACTGGCTTATCTGCACTTCATTATGCAAGCTCAAGAGGTCACATTCAGTTGGTGAATTATTTGCTGGACGACGCTGGCGCCACTGTCGATCTGGAGGATAGGGAAGGAGAGGCATGTGTTTAATATATTGAATTTACTTTTCCTCAATTCACTCTTTCTAATATGCTTAATTTTTCAGACAGCACTGTTGAAAGCTGCATATAATGGACATACCGACATTGTTGAGGCGCTTATTGAAAAGCATGATGCTAATGTTTCGCATCAAGACAAGGATGGCTGGTCAGCGCTTCATAATGCATGTTCATCCAACCAGCCAAGTATAGCGTCAATACTATTGGACCATTATGCAGATATCAATATTATCAGTAAGATGGGCCACACACCTCTCAGTAAGTTAAATATCTCCTTTATCAAAGATTGGCAAGCACCGGGCTAATATCATTGCAGTCAATGCTGCGGCGAAAGGAAGCATTAACATGGTCAAGTTCCTGCTGGAAAATGATGCTAATCCGTTGATGAGGAATAAGTTTGGAGAGACAGCTTATGATGCAGCCGCTGCTTCAGCATACCCATATGTCTGCGAACTACTGGAAGAGGCGGAGAAAGAGTGGTGGACTGGTAGACATCGAAGCACAAATGGTGCTATCATTGATGTTAGCGAAATTACTGAAAACGCTGAGTATGAACCCCTCAAATTTCATGTAACCATCCCTATCATGCTCTACGAGAACCAAAGGGCCCAATCTTCATTCATCGGCCTAACGAGGCCTGACTTTTCGGCCTCAGCATTGCTAAAGCATGAATCACCATGGACCAGCTATCCTGGTAACGAGCCAACTCATAAACAGTTTGTGCAGCTACCACCTTTGTCATACAATCCTGGAGGCTTAAACCAAAGTACTTGGTTTTGGCTGAGCGACTGGCATGTGGACCAATCGCACCCTCTGGTGGACGCCATTACTGGCTGGCAATACAGCAAGTCCTTTGATACCCCGGATGAACAGTGGCTACGACACCAACCTGCTTCAGGAACAAATTGGGTCCGAAGAAGACGTTGGTTTCGAGTGATGAAGAAAAGAGTTGATGTGGAAGGCGCTATGCAACCGGAGACTGTAGAGAACGATTACCTAATGACCGCAGAATCAATATTTGGAACCACCAATAACGAAAATGACACAGAGGACTTTAGTAGAGAATGGAGGATACACATTTATAATCAGGCGATAAGAACACTGATCGATGGTGTCAAAGGTAAAATGAGCGAACCACTAGAGCGGTGAACCCTATTTTCCATCCAGCTGATGTCTAATGCCTCTCCATTAGATGACCAGGATACGGAAAGGCGGATTAAAGCGCTACAGCTGATGCAAACATACATTCAAAACGCAGAATTACTAGGATATGCATTTGAAGACGTAACTGAAATGCAGTTTAATCAAGAGACTTCAACCTCGGTCTCCCCGCTGAACCAATCCCCTTTTCAGCACTCTAATCCATCCCCCACCACCATTACGCCATTAAGAACTACATCGGCCGTATTCCACACCCCGTTGGTAGCGCCAACAATGTCTTCCGTTGCCGAAACAAGCCAATTAGAAGCAAGATACAACTTGTTGGAAAATTTGGAACGCTCATATACCCCGAATAATAGTCAGGGACGACCCCATCGCCGGTCTAGGCACAACAGTCAAAACACATTGACCGAAAGGGCGCCTTCTCTTAGCAGAGCAAGCTCATACCTCTCACAATCGAGTACGATGAGTCGACCTACGAATGCCTGGGAAAAAGATGAAAACGCTACGGACTGCAGGCGATGCGGTAGATACTTTAGTCTGCTGTTACGGAGACATCATTGCAGGTAAATACTTGGTGGATTCTGAATCATTGCATGCTATTAGTGTACTGATCTTTACATGGTTTCAGAATGTGCGGTTTGGTAGTTTGTGATCGGTGTTCCATGAATCGTGCACTGCTCACTGCAGATCAAATTGTTCATGACCCGAGCATTTCTTCGGAACAAAGGGGAGTGGTAGCTTCGATGCCCCAGAGGCTATGTGACAGTTGTAGCGTCGAGCTGCACACCCCTCGCAACCGGCCTTCCATTAGTAGTGTCAGTCTACCACCTAGCTTGCGGAGGTCGATGAGCGCTCAAAGCGTTATGAACGAATGTCCTGTATGCGGAAGAAGGCTGTCCTCTGTCGGGAGCTCCAAAGGCGACCAAGAGCGTCATGTACAAGATTGTTTGAACGCGGAAAACCCAGTAGTGCAAAGAGTCAAATATGTTTGTAAGTAGGGAGACCTGTTATGAAGCCTATGTCCGTTGATCTATTTCATGCTCATAATGTGGTACCGATTTATTCCTAGTGTATCGTTTGAAAGATGATTCAGCATTGATTGGACAAGAATGTACGATTTGCTTTGAAGACTTTACTGAAGGTAAGGAGCAGCTCTTTAGTATTGCACTTATTTTTGCCCTCTGTCTAAAAATACATTCATAGGCGATACGGTTGCAAGACTTAATTGTCTTTGCTCATATCATCGCCATTGTATACACGATTGGTTTCGAAGAGGGAAAGGATGCCCTGTCCACTCTGCTGATTGATTGAACCTTGTAATGTAGTAACAGGAATAAAACCAAACAGTTCACAACCGTATTTGAACCTTTTCAAACTTTTATTTATGCACACAGTCTAGAAACTGACACTATCAATCATAGTTCCCAACGCCATAACTAGATTGGTACTCATTACATTTTCCACACTCTCCTCTAAATGACGCTTTGGATCTTGTTTACCGACGTGTCGTGTCTTGAGCTGTTCTGCTGTCATTGTTGATTCCTCCTGCACTGACTTATTGTAAGCTTCCGCCAGCGTAAGCATCTGCGATACGCTCTTTTCATTGATCTCTGTGTGATCTGTGAAGTTTGGAAGAGTAAGGCCGTGGGTCCAGTTCTTCTTGTGAAGATTCAAAAGCATCTTCTCCTCCAATTCGTTTTTACGGTAGTTTATAGCAATAGAGTAGTAGTGGCGGTTGAGGCCGTGGATGAGAGCTTGAATTGATGGCTTATTCAAGTGACCGATATTTGAAGTTGTTTGTCGTGGCTCTTGTCCAAGCATGACAGTTTGTGGGTTGATCAATCGGAAAGCATCAATGACGACCTTTCCTTTAACAGACTGGATGGGATCGACGACGACTGCTACTGCTCTCTGGTTCAACTGTTCGAAACTCTATAATGTGATGGAAATGGTCAGCAACCTTGTCCATACTCTCCACTATGCTGCCCTCTTCACTTTAATGCAAGCATACCTGTTGTGTATTGATATCAACGCTGGACAACCAGCATCCGAAACCTGGATGTGAGTGATACCAGCCAACTACCATCTCTGGTCTATGTCCAAAAGAACTATTAGTAAGCGTCACCATAACATATTGAGAGTTTCGATTATTAACATGTACCTTCCGGTCTGCTTTAACATATCTAACATTTTTGTCTGGAATACGGGATCAACTGCTTCGACAGATACACCGGTACCGCTTTGAGGCATGGCAAAAACGTCAATGACGCGGACTGTGTAGTCGTCAACAAACTCTCCAAGCATCAAACCCATAACTTCCATTGGAACACCTGCTCGACCTGTAAATCGGTTCATGGAACGCAACGTTAGATCTTGGACACATTTTGATATATACATTCAATAAATCTCGCCGACTAACCATGCTTGAGCATCTGTAAGAAGATATATGTGAGTCATTGTGTCAATGGGAGCGTCTCGGCTTGTGGTTAACAAATATGCACAAGTACCTTTAATAAAGCCAGTGATGAGATATAAACCATTTCAGCATTGTCTACGGTGGGGGTGTCCATTCCAGGTTGCATTCCCTGACCAATGCCTGCTGCGGATCCGAAAAGGCGCTGAAGTCGTTCCATTATGTACTATTTGCAGATATATGTGGGTTGAGGTATCGAAAGACGTTCGCTCCGTTGGACCTGAAGGTTAAAGCTGATGACGTGTGGCGGACGCGTCTGAGCGAGTACGAAACGTCACGCTCATTTACATGATGAAATTCAACATTTTAAAAATTTGTGGCAATCTCTTTACCGTGTAGGAAAGCCGTTGATGCGCCAGGCACTGAAAACGCGAGAGCACCATCGCAATGAGTACGTTTTTACTAGTCGATGATGGATTTAATTGCTGGCAGTAATGCCGTGACATACACTCGGGTGCCCTTAGTATCGAACAACGCCAGCTATTAGATTACTAAATAATGTATCATCTATTGGTTTCAAATTGCCTATCACATCAATTAAAGGTGAATGGACACATTATATCATCTCAAGCCCTTTTGAATCAGTATCAAGGCCATATAGTATGCTTCTTCTACTTTAATAAAGTAGGATCAACCTACCTGACAGCCAACCCGAACAAAAAAACGCAACAGAGTCCGACCGACTGGATTTTTGAGTGCATTGTCTTTCGTTGCACGTTAAAACAAGGTTATCAAGACTTGGTCTATTATTCCTTGTTGTTCACCTGTCATTTATCATGGAAGTAGAGGATCTGACGTCTGTCGAATGGAGAGACACTGGATGGCTAGAGGTAGGCTATGTAATCTTTGTGAATGTGAACTCATCGCGAGCTGAAAGTAACCAGACACCATGTTGCAGAGATTCGGTGGATTCCACAACCGACAAATGGTTCTTGATTACTTTGCCATGTCCCCATTCTGGGATAGACAGAGCAATAATCAAGTTCTTTCTATGCAAACGCAATTCAACGATTTGAGACAAGCCGATTCTACAGAGGAAGCGCTTCGGTCTGTGTTGACAGTTATACGTTATCGACTTCACTCAAAGCGGAAACTCATGCTTTTCATTTAATAGGAAAATGACTGGTGTTGAGTTTGCAGTTGTTCATGAGCAGCCTCCCGTCTATGTTATACAAAAACAATATCGAAGAGGTCCATCGCCAAATGATGGTAAGTGGCTCTATATCAAAGGATGACCGGAAAACGTATTACTCAAGCTTGGACAATACGTTTATATAGTCACACCAATCGCAACATATTATATAACTGGTGCAAATGTGTATCAATCGCCAACAGTGTATTCAGTGATTGCAAATAGGCTGTTGACCAGTCTATTCCATGTAAATAGCGCGTTTCAAGATGCACAGAGTATGATGGAATACTTCCCTGCAAAGGGATATGGATGGAAAACGGCAGGTGCATTGAGCAACGCACAGAAGCAAGGAAAAGGTGGTAAAGCTGCTTCTTCGCAAGGCTATCTTAAGGCGCAAGAAACTCAAGAGTTTCGAGGTTGGATGGAAAAGGCGATTGATACCAGTGCGATGAGAGTTTTACAGAAGGAGGCTACATCGCAGACAGCTGAAGGTGGCGTTACAGCGGGTGGGAAAGGTCTGGACAAGCAAGGGTCGCAAATGAGCTCACAATCATCACAGCAAGGTAGATAATGGTATTTTACAACGCTAGTGCATTTGGGACTGCATTAACCTTTGATGTATTTTTGGTCTTTTGTATAGATCTATCCAAAACTAAACGACAACGGCGCAAACAAGAGGATGTTGCTGCTCATGCCAAAAAGAAGAAAAAGGCTGCCAAATGATCAATGGGATGGTGTGTACACAATGGGTCACAGTTTGTCAATACAGTAACCAGTACGAACAAACATGATGACAAGGCATGCTCGTCCATTGTAGAACTTAAATTATGGACCACCCTCTTGTAATATAATAAACGCATAAATCTGTATAAGCTTCCTACTGCTAAGGGGATAGGTAGTACATACACACACCTTCTTGTCCTCCTTATAACCAAGCTTTTCACGTTTAGTCCTTGATAAGTTCACTCACCCTTTGTTTATACTTAAGGGATTGAGTGGGGAGTTATAGCCGCACACTTTCACAAAGTTGGGAAGAAGGTAATGATCGGCATCTGATTTATGGCGGGAGAACGCAAGCATTCAAAGTGAAATGAAAGTGCTGCTTCATTGTGCTTGAGCAGCTTCCCCCCATCGTTGCATGACGGAACCACCATCCCGCTACTTTCCAATCTTGGTCTGCTGTGACTTTAATGTTGTGTCTAAATGCCACCCATTGCCGTTTCAACTGGGGGGGGATCTCTCTATTTTTCCATGGCCATGTTGAAATACTGTTATGACGAATACTTGATAGTTGATCCTTTTCCTTCTGATTGCTTCAGTGCAAAAGCCCGGACGGTGCTTCCGTCACTGATGTTATAGCGTGGTTTTGTTTGGTGCCACTGGTGTACCAAATGTCACACAAGCGCCCAATCGAAGGCCATGTCGGAATGTGATATCTCAACCTGGCAACCAGACCGGGGGTCAGTTGGCGTCATGAGCACCAATAGGTAACTGAACTACTTGAAAAGGATTGTTTTCGCACTACCTCGGTGCACGATTCCGTGTGAGCTATCCGTATTTCTCGTTCTTTCCAATATCTCCATGAAGTGAGTCCTGTACATGGATGATGAACTCATTTGTGCTTCTAAGAGGATCCTTTGCTCGCTATCGGGACATGAAAAGTCTCAAATGAACAGACGAGCAAGGTGAAGCACTTCCTTGTACGGAAAGGAGAGGGGGGGGAGGATAGGTTGAGCAAAGTAGTACAAAAAAAAAGAAAACCAAGTGCCGCAAAAGCAAAATAAATGTCTCCTGTCGCAACGCATTTTCTTTTTCTTTCTCTTTGAGCCATTCCACCAAATCTTTCATTTGCCGCAAGAGGTTTTCTTCACTGAAAAGTCTCTTGTCGCTTTGAGTTCCGTTCACTTAACAAAACTTTACGAAAAGGAAGAAGACCCCCTCGGTTGACGTTTAGACGCTTGCTTGCTTGCCTCCCTCAACAGTTTTCCCCTTGTCCCTTTTGAAAAACCTGTCTGTCTTGTCTTGCCTAGTCCTGCAAACCCACATTCGTTTACGAACCCGAGACATACTCCATCCTCCTCCAACCTTTCATTCTGTTTTGTTAGCGAACGCAAATGTCCAACTACCAAGAACAGTACTACCAAGGCCCCCGCCTTACATTTAACGATAATGCCTTGAACTCTCAAGACCAAGAAATGATCTATTTCGATGACGAAAGCAACTGCTACGAATACAATGAAGCCATGTACGAGCAGGAGAATGACATGTTGTATTATGAAGATGACATGTACTACGAAGAAGAGCCTCAACCTGAAGCTAGTGGTGACTCACAGCAAGAAGACCAGGATGCTCTGCTCAAGTTGATCGTTGGTGTCCAACAGTACCTCTCTGACCTACAGAACGCTGGTGCTAACAACCATCAAGATTCTCCCCTTTTGGAGCTCCAGTACAAGATGTATACCTATCTCAAGCAACGTGCTTGTGAAATGGGTATGGACCTTGATGAAGCTCTGGAGCAAGCCATGTAAAGCTCATGCCATGGTGGTACAACTGCTTTCGAAATTTATTTTTTGGGGCTTCCCACTTATAGACCATTTGACTTCTTGTTCGTTTCTACTTCAAGGCTAAATGATGTAGGGCTTGTGAGACATCGCTCCCATTCCCCTTTTCATTCATTCCCTTTTGAAGTCACACTTCTTTCTGCCTTTCAAATTCTATTGTTTTCTTACTGGTTTGGTCGTACTACTTCTTTTTCTTTTCCTTTTCCCGTTTTTATCAACATCCCCCCCCACTAGTACTACAAGGATTGCTTCTGGTGAACGCGATCTTATACTCTCTTTCACATATCACAACCTCATCATTTTCATCATTTAGGCCAAGTTTACTTTGCCTTCACATTTTAATGGAGTCCTTCACTGGATTACTGTATCCTCTTATGAAAACCTTATGGCCACCAGACAAAACATCTGTAACAAAAACCCCCCCCCCACAAAAAAAGGATAAAACGTTACTAAATCAAATAAAAAGAATGAAAATCTGGTTTATCAATCTTAACCCCTTCGTTAAAGTGAAAGACGCGTTCACCCAGTGTTTCGGTGTCCGCTTTTTATGGCCACGGTGGGGAGCGCGTTCTGCCCAAGTGACTATGACCCCCCAAACAAGGTAATCAAATCTGCTCCAATCTGCTTATCTCAAGGCGATACAACCTTTAGGTTGATTCAGCTTATCAATATCGAAAATGTGTGGAGAGAAAAAATCCTATACCTTAGTCAGACTTGGTTGCGGTAACAATTCAACCGATCTCCCAAACTCTCACTGAAAGCGGCTACGCTGTCCCTCCCACCGAACAGTAGACTTGAAAATGTTTTTGCAAGACCTAGGTAAGTTGCATGCGATTCATCTTTTTTTCATCTCATTTATTCCGTACGCCATACGAGTAGCTTGGGTTGCTTACAATATCGTAGTGAGGCTAAGTAGCAATGGATGTCAGTGGCACCCAAAATACCGGGAAAATGTCCAGCCATAGCGGCTATAACGTCGAACTGAGCTGAGCCTTTTTTCACGATATTCATATCAAGTTGTCCTTTTATTCTTGTTTGAAAAGTAAGCTGGTCATATGTTGTGAAGCTATTGCCACCATTGGCCTGAGCATCAAGGGAAAAAAAAAACATCGTTCATCGCTCAACTCCGCTAGCTACAAAAACAGAATATTGGTGGCATTTACATGTGCGACCTTTGTTCTCGTTTCTCACATTGCTTAACTGTGCTTATCGCTTACAGCATATGGAGGATGATATACAGCAGTTATATGTCAAGCAGCTCAAAGCTCAACTGTTAGAGAACACCCATGAAGCAATACAAAGCTTGATTGCTCGATACCCTGATGAATTTGACTTGCAAGCCCTCATCCCGCTTCCTGAAAATTCATCAGATAATGATAAAAACAAGAGCTTTCTCGAGTTATACCAGAATACCCTCGAGGAATACAGAGATAACGATGTCGATTTTGATATACATTGGGTAAATAAGGTTGTCCTGACTGTCATATTCCCCCCCATAGCTCCAGCTAACAAAGCTGTACTCTATAGCACTGGACGTTACCTTGGCGTCAGAACACGTCATATAAGATTCTAGCAGAGAGTTACGGCCAAGAAACCGTCATTACTGCCGCCATTCCACGCTCTCGCAAAGCCATTTCTCAAATATATGAGGATGGCCTGGATCAATACATGCGGTGGTTCCCATGGCGATGGTTCTCGGACATTACACTGATTGGCGCTGGAGGTTTCTCTGCTGTCTACTTCGCTGTTCTCAAACCACCCTATGAAGTTCATGACAGCGTTGAGGACCGCATCGTAGCCCTCAAGGTGGTGGACGACAAAATTTTAAACGAGGTAATGGATTTCAACCACTGTCAGGCTTTTGACTTTCACCCTAGGCGGTATCCTTGCTAATAAACAGTATAGATCGCCGTCCAGTCAAAGGCTTTCAACCCCGTACTCTTCCAAGGGATAACCGTATGTGAATCTACCGGCGACATGATGATGATCATGAATTTGGCAGAGGGAGGTAATCTGGAGGATCATATCAAACGAGACCCACTGGCTGATTCAGAAATGGAATCTATCGTCAATATTGCTTTACGGCTGGCAATAAGCTTATCCAGTCTTCACGACGACATTGGTTTCTGTCACAGAAACATTCATCCTCGAAATATCATTCACGCCGATTCAGAGTACTTTTTGGTGGACTACCGTTATTCCACCCCATGTGAAGAGGCCACGGCCATCACCCGAGCAAGCAAGGCTCACTATGGCAGAGTACCCTATATTGCTCCTGAGGTTCGAAGAGGACTATATACTACTCGCTCGGATGTCTATTCCATGGGAATTGTGCTTTGGCAGCTGGTCTCCAAGGTGTTATTCCCTGCCTCAGATGCTCTTTTGGAAGATCCACATATTTATCGAATTGAACCTGTGCCTGGAGTACCAAAATGGTTTGAGGTGAGCCCCTTCCATGGTTCGACAACGAATAAGCGCAGGAAAGAAAGATTAACCCAGTTTTTTGTTTCATAGGCCTTATACACAGCGTGTTTAGAGCCAACCCCTCAACATCGACCCAACGCCACCGAGATTTTAGCCACACTTACTCACTACAGCAAAATCTCGGTGGACGAAGAAACTGACGAAAGGAAAATGACAAATTATGTCGCCGAACGTCGTCTGGCCTGTCAAAAGCATGAGGCTAATCTATATCAGAAATCAGGCGCTAAAATACGACCTGTCACTGGTCTCTATGTTCTGAGCAAACTTCCCTCGTTTGAAGATCACATCAAGCTAAGTTTTAAGCGCTCAAGGTATAGAACCCCCAATGCGAAATGATAGCGATTATTATTGGTCATAATATACATATGTACATACTTTTTTTTGTTCTTTACCTCATAACGAAAACGAAAAACAAGAAATAAAAGCTAAGAAACGACACTGCTTCTTCCTCTTGATTTACCAAAAAGTTTTGAGTATGATGGAAGACTTTTTACGTCTACACCATGGAAACTTAGATTAACGTTGTGATGATAGTAAGACATTGAGCAAATACAACTCTCACTGATCATGGATTATGCTATATCGTCTATAGATACTCTCATTCTATTAGTCGGTAGTTCAAGCCAAGCTTTGAGGGTGGCCTAATTTAACTTTCACTTTCAACAGGAATTTCTGGATTGCTGTCAAACTGTACATCGCCCTTTTATGTTAACATCTTAATATTGCATTCTCTATTTGTTTGCTCGAAGCCATGTTGACGCTCGCTTATTTAGTGGAAATTTGCCGGACGACTGCACAAAGGAAAACACTGTCGACCAATTGAATTAACTGTTTGATGCATAGTTACGAAAGCTTTTACGATATTTTTCACGTCAAGCGTTGCAAAATAACTGATTTCCATATGGAATATCATCTCAGTGGCTTTCAGACTGCAGGTTTTTACTTTGCTTACCTCAAATTTCAACCATCGACGGCCCCTATGAGACGAAGCCTTCAGGACCATGCTCTCAAAATAACTTCTACCCAAAACAGTTGGTATTGATAACTCAGTACAAAGCCTAGGTAACATAATGAACATACGCGAATCTCTGACAAAACAAAGCCGTTCTCGGACAAAGTGCTCAATATCAATTATATGATCAAAATTGATTTTTACCTCCCAAATTGTGACGTTTTAAATATTCGAACAATCAACTGTCTTCTTTGAACGGGCAGTCATACCGCCACTTCAACAGCAAAACATCCCGACGACAACAATCTCTTCGAGGAAAAAAAATCATGAGTGGATGGGATAATTCTAATGCTGCCCCTCAATCCAATATTGATTGGAGTGAAGGAAACGTCAACAACAACAATTCGTATGGCAATGACCGACAATCACAGCCTAACAGAAGGATAGACCATGGCCCGCCCCGTATGGATCGTGGCCCTCCTCGTAGCGCCCCTCGGTATAACGATGGCGGCTACGGTGGAAACAACTACGGTAACGGTGGAAATAACTATGGTAACGGTGGAAACAACTACGATAGCGGTGGTAGACCACCCCCGTCAAACTACAAGTGGGCCTCGTCGAAGAAACGTTATGAGTGGAAGCCATCTTCAGATGATGCGGATGCCATTGCTCCTAGAGATGAGGAACTTGAAAAGGAGCTATTTGGTGAGGACAGCCACGTACACACCGGTCTCAACTTTGACAAATACGATAGCATTCCAAGCAGTGTTCGAGGTGATAACCCGCCAAGCCCTGTCGATAAAGTAATTGAAAATCTCTTTTTTCTCTTTACGCGGTCAGCCTAACACAATCTAACGTCCTTTGCAAACACGCAGTTCGAACAGTGTGATCTACATCCTGCCATGAAAGAAAATATCAGACTGGCAAGATATACCACACCTACTCCAGTCCAGGTAACATACTTATATTTTGTCAGTTCTTTCGCGGGTTCAGCATTTTGTCATCTAACCACGCCACCTACATGTAGAGACACTCAATTTCAATAGTTACTGCAGGCAGAGACTTGATGGCTTGTGCTCAGACCGGTAAGTATGCGTTAGTTTTTTGGCTTTGGTTCAGACTTGATCTCTAATGTAATGTGTCTTAGGCTCTGGTAAAACTGCCGCTTTCTTGATCCCGAGTTTGTCAGCCCTCTTTGGTAAAGCTGGTGAATTATGTCATTCTCGCCCTATGAACAGCTTTGCTGCTAAGCAATACCGTGCTGAACCTTTGGTCTTGATCTTGGCCCCTACTCGTGAATTGTGTACTCAAATCTTTGATGAATGTCGTCGTGTAAGTGTCAAGCCATGGTAATACATATAAGAAATTCTTATGGATTAGTTTACTCACCAACGGTTGAATGTACTCCACAGTTCTGCTACAGAAGCCAGCTTCGTCCTTGGTATGTTTTACTTTTCTGCTTTCCGAGAATCATAGTAATCATCGTGGCTGATTTGATCCCCTTTATAGCGCGATTTATGGTGGTGCTGAATCCTTCCCTCAAAAACTCGAGCTTGAGAAGGGCTGTGATATTCTTGCTGCTACCCCAGGTCGTCTTCAAGACTTTATTCAAAGAGGCAAAGTTGGTTTGAACCGAGTCAAGTATTTGGTTCTTGATGAAGCCGATAGAATGTTGGACATGGGCTTCGAAAGTTCCATCCGTGATATCGTTGAACAAAGTGGTGAGTTGACTAGACAGATTCTTGCCATGTTGGCAGCTCGGTACTGACTGTTTTCTTTTTTGTTATCAGGTATGAATCCTGACCGTCAAACCCTCATGTACTCTGCCACTTTCCCTCGTGCTATTCGTAAGCTTGCTCGCGATTTCTTAAAGCCTGATTATCTTTTCTTGAAGGTCGGTCGTGTTGGTGGTACCACTACAAATATCACACAAAAGGTTTACTGGGTCGAAGAAGAGGAAAAGCGTGAACGCATCAAAAAGCTACTTTTGTCTCAACCTCCCAGTAGAACTCTTATCTTTGTTGAGACCAAGCGTGGTGCTGATTCTTTGGATCAATACTTGTATGACCAAAGCTTCCCTACTACATCCATCCATGGTGATCGTACCCAAATGGAACGTGAAGATGCATTGATCGCTTTCAAGAACGGAAAGTGCCCCATCCTGGTTGCTACAGCCGTCGCCGCTAGAGGTCTTGATGTCCGTAACGTCATGCATGTTGTCAATTATGACATGACCAACGATTTGGACGAATATATCCATCGTATTGGCAGAACTGCCCGTGTGGGTAACTCTGGTCTGGCCACCACTTTTTTCAACGACCGAAACCTTCCCATCGCTACTGAATTGACCAAGGTCTTGCAAGAAAACAAGCAAGAGATTCCTGACTTCTTGAAAGACTACATGACCACCGACCTTACCTTCGCCGAAGATATGGACGAAGACAATGTCGAACTGCCCAGTTATGCTAAGCACGGTCTGCGTCGTGGTGGAGGTTTTGGCGGTCCGGCTAATAATGACGGTCCCAACTGGTTCGATCATAACAATAATGATAACTCACAAGGTTACAATAATAACCATAATCAGGGTTACGATAGAAACAACAACTCGCAAGGCGGCGGCGGTTACAATGATGGTTTCGACCAACGGCCTTCCTATGGCGGTGGTGCCGACTCTGGCTATGGTACTCCCCGTCAAGGTCCTTCTGGCGGTCGTGAGGGTGATTGGACCTGCCCAACTTGCAATGGTAACAATTTCTCTCGTCGTACTCAATGCTTCAAGTGCAACGCATCACGACCTGAAGGTACTGGTGGTTATGGTGGTGACTCTGGCAATATGTATGGTGGTGAACGACGTCGCCCTGGTCCTACCCCTGGAGACTGGGAGTGCCCATCGTGTGGCGTCAGTAACTTTGCAAGACGTAGCGAATGTTTCAAATGCAATGCCCCGAAAGAAAGCCAATCTGGTGGTAACGGCGGTGGCGGTTACAACAGTCAGCCTGCTGGAGAGGCATCTTGGGATAATAATAGCGCTCCTTCTTGGGATACATCTGCTAACAATGCAACTGCCGACCAAGGTAACGGTTGGGGGGCTAACAAAAATGGACCTTCCAATGATGGCTGGGACTCTTCTGCTGCTGCTGGTGAATGGGGGGCTAGCCCATCTCCCGCTGGTAACGACAGCTCTTGGGGTGCCGCTCCTTCCGCTGAGCCCAAGCCTGCTGCTCAGCAAGAATCGTGGGGTGCCTCTCCTTCCGCAGAGTCCAAGCCTGCTGCTCAGCAAGAGTGGGGTGCTTCTCCTTCTGGTGAGTCCAAGCCTGCTGCTCAGCAAGAATCGTGGGGTGCTTCTCCTTCCAAGGCTCCCGAATCCAAACCTGCCCAGCAAGATTCATGGGGCGCTTCTAACCCAAGTGCTTCTGGAAATGCGTCTCCTTCCATTGATAACAAACCTGCTCAACAAGAGTCTTGGGGATCGAACGGTGTACAAGATGTGACCAAGGGAGTTCAAAATATGAAAGTTCAATCTCCTAGCGGAAATGATGGATGGGGAGATACTGCCAAGTCCTCTGGAACTGATGGTTGGGATCCCAATCAAACACCTTGGTAAAAATAACCCTCCCGCCTCACCTGAACAATGACCCAAATCATTGTTGAAAAAAAAAAAAAAATTGAAAAAAAAACGCTTGTATGTATGTTGTAGCAATATACTAAAATATAAGGATATGTTACATTTAGATCTACTCATGCGGTCTCAATCGACACACTTCTTTCCAATTTCTACATCCCTTTCTTCATTGCTATCTCCTTGCTTATCCAGAACAGCTTGCTCAGGACCAACAGGAATTGAAATGCCTAGAATAAAAAATTAGTATTCGTCACTTTCTCTATGATCGCTCGGCCCAATCGTCTTTCCCTCGTGTGATTGGCTCCGTCCATTATCACCACGACCATCACATAACCATTTTCCTTTTGAGCACAGGCAATGATAACCGTCAAAGGTACGATGTGGGGAAAATAATGAATTTGCATTGTTACAATCACAGTTGTAACAACCGTGATGGAGGTAGGACTGCGTGCCCAATAATGAGAGAAAAAAGGCAGAAGAAAAATACACAGGTTGAAGATTAACGAAACGAAACGCAACGTAAAAAGAAGGCAGAGAAAGAAAGAGAAATGCCCAACAAACAACAAAAAACTTTTCTACCAGAACAAATAGGAAACATAGCAAACAGTAAAAAGGGCTTAAAGAAAAGTGAGTGCCTGAGTCAGGAACGCGTGAGTGTGTAAAATGTGGTTGGGTGTGTGCCTCTAATTGAGAATGAAATCCAGTTTCGATTTGGTGTTGTTCTTGCGGGACGATTCTCCAGTGGCCTTGTCATCTCCTCCCTCGATGACCTTGGGTCTCGCTCCAGGCGATGTCTGAGCTTGTGAATAAGGTGGTGAATGCCCTTGATACGGTTTAGCAGAACCAAAGGATCGTCTATACTGTCGATGTATATCATCTGGAGCGACCGATACATTCACATTACGATCTTGTTGTTGTGGTATCCCCACTGTTGGATACTCCACCCTCGATCTTCCTGGACTCGACATAGTGCTATGCTGTAATACAGGACTACGGTATGCATAGGATGGGTAGGAAGTCTGACGATACGGTGTTGTCATGGCGTGGTCTCGCTGCTGAGGTTGCCTATTATCAATGTGTCGGGGATCGGCTCCTCGAGTCACGCCGCTACCTGGGCTATGATACATGGTAGACGACGGATTCATATGGGGTGACACATAAGCCGAGTTTGCTGGTGCATACTGTTGCTGATAATGTCTACTCTCAGGTGATGACATCCCGCTATGCGTTGACGAGTGCGGTGAGTTGGAGTGCGGTGACATATGGCTGTGATGTGGGCCATACATTTTTGGTCCCAACCCCATTGATGCAGGGTCTTGCCGTGAAGGTACCTCCATGCTTGACGTTAATGCTTGTACCTGATTACCATCCGCTCGATAATTAATGAAATGAAGTGCATTTCCTGTCTGAGATGAATACTGATGAGAATATCCACTGTCCTCCGACATTCGTTCAGACCCTCCTTGTCTTCCATTCGGTGGATGAGGAGCTTCTTCATCAGACGCAGGCTGTGCAGGTGAATGTAATATCTTCGCGAAATCAAATGGATTGGGTCTCTCTGTAGGTCGCTCGTTACTTGACGGCCGCTCATGGCGTGGTACCGAGGGTGAATGTGTACCTGGCCTGGATGATAGAGACGTAGCCTCAACATTGTTATTTAATAGATCAGCAATACTACTTGGCTGCGGTCGTTTGCCATGATAATATGCGCTGTAATCTTCTTGAGAGGGTCGTCGACTGGGAGGTGCAGAAATCGAACTGTTTCGATTGACCATGGATTGCCTTTGGTCATGAGGCACCATTGCTTTCTCGTCAGAATTACGTCGAGGGGTATCATACATTTCGGACGGATTAAAGCCTGTATTCCTAGTGGCATATGCCTGGTATGGAGATACTGGGACCGCAAATGTTGATTTACTGGTGGGTATGGTATAAGGTGACGCTCGTTGCTCCCACATTTGTTGATGCCTGACAGTCGCTGAAGACATTTGCATTGGAGGCGAATCATGCATAGCTTCGTATCGTCCTGCTCGAGTATTTTCAGGCGGATGATGCGGTAAATAAGCGTTTCCGGTGGTTGGCTGCTCGTCAATCTTCCTCAACTTTTGCGCTTTTCCGGAGGATATAGCTTCTTGAGATGGTGATTGAGTTCGGTCCATTTGAATAGTACCAACATTGCCACTCAATGACATCTTCCTTCTGCGATATTCGCCAGCCTCTGTTTCAGCATCAGACATATGTTTTCCATTATATGATTGTGGGGGAGATTTAACCATAGGCTGAGACTTGATTGGCGGTGGTGCGGACAATTGCTGCTGTTCTTCCGTAGTTTGAGGTAAAGACGACTTTCGAATTTCTTGCGGTGAATGATTGGAGCTGGATGGAGAATCCGATTTACTGCGCTTTACATCCCTGTGATCAAATCCAATGTCGGCCCTTGTTAAAACGGGATTGGTGTGCAACACTGGGCTATCGATAGCGACTTTCATGGAGTCAGATCTCTTCTTGCCTTGGCTCCCCCTAAACTTGGGTGGCATCTTTGATTCAATCATTTGTCGTAAAGTCATGTCCACTCGAACGGGTGCACTACCAGGTGTTTCATTGTCTTTCACAAGCCCACTTGAGGTATCCATTGCATTATGCGGGCTATCGTTTGCATTATCTGACTGTGAAGTTTTCGGTTCTTGTTTGACGACACTGTCCGCCGACATTGGCTCTGTGTTCGTAGATTTAACTGATATTTCGTCAGACTGTTTACGAGCTATATTAAACTTGATGAGAGCATCTTCCGAGCGTTTTCGAGCATCATGCACAGTTTGTTCCTTCCATTGGGGAGATTGTATATTTTTCATTGCATGTGCCTTTTCTTCCGCAGCATCTGAGTCTTCCATTAATGACATTGGATCATCCAACGATTGCTTTCTTGAATTGATGTCATGAGGAGATAAGTCTTGTTCTTTGACACTATCAGCAAGTGAATTCTTCCTTGATGCAGGCATATAATCTATGCTAGAAGTTGAATCGCGATGGCCTTGATGAAACGATCGCTTTTCGGTATAGGTGTCAAAGGGGTTCGCCGATGGTGACATAATGGCCGGCGTAGCAGCCATTGGGCCACCGGAGAGGGTTTTGGAAAGGTTTTCGGTAGTGATCTTCATGGCGGCATTTGGGACCTTGGTGACAGGCTCAGGCATGGGGATACCTTTCTCGCGCGCTTTCCAGGCAGTTCGAATGTCTTCCATATGAGCAAGCAATTGCTCCTTTGTAACACCGTCCTGAATACTTTTGAGTATCTTCTTCACCACTTGCTCGTCATTTGCTAACTCTTTATCGTCTCGGAACTTGACAAATCTATCCGTTCAGAATATTATGAGTAAATTTGCATATGGAGATTACGGTTAAAAAAACAAAAAGGTGCGGCATTTCTTACCTCCATCCGCCCTTTCGTTTCGTAGGCGCATATCCTGGTTCAACAATTGTAACATTCCATTCCGGGTCATACCGAAACTCTCCAATTTTACCGTCTGGAACGCTCTTCTTCCATCTGGTTGTGAAATGTAACATTAGGCATCTCAGGCTATAACAAAAAGCTCCAGGCGATGTATTCTAAAAATCACTTACTCAAGTGCTGTTTCCGTTTCCAATTGTAAATGATCATAAGGCTTGTAATTTTTTCCCTGTGCTACAACTTCCAAAGAATATATCGGCTTATGCTCTTTGCTCCATTTCACTGCTATCCGAAAGTCAACGGTATTCAATTCCGCCGGTTTCCATTTGAGCCTGTATCATGGGGGAGATTAGCGGATATTACGATTGGCAACGTTAGCAACGCTAGACGAAATTGCTTACAGTTTTTCACAGGTGCCAGTGGTGTAAGGTAATTTAACAGGCGTAAATATAACACCATCGCTTGCGTGTTTGAGGCGAGTCATTTGATCAAATACTAGTGCCAATCCATAAGACCGTTCCATCTTTTTCAACTCCACCCTAGTGAATCAATCCTGTCATTAGTATGATGTCAAAACCCACCCTGTCGAAAAGCAGAAAAGAAACCTCGCATACTTGAATGGTGCACCTTTTTTGAGTGAGTTGTGAAGCGGCTGTATCACTTCTTGTTGTAACATCTGGGTAAACACATAATACGTCAGTACTTTGTCACATCACGATAATGCAGAAACCTACTGAACATACCCCTAAGCGCGTACTAAATGCTCTTTGCGTAACAGATTGCGTATTGACCACCATCAAATCAAATATTAAGAATCGTAACGTTTTGTTCTAAAAAGAAAAAGTATTAAAGCGCCAGTTTAGATGATGGCAACATGCATAAAGTGAGTTTGGCGTACCTTGTTTTCGTCAATGTCCATCACTAGCTCTCCATCCATGAGGGTTTCATTATGGTATTCATTATCTTTTCCCCTTAATGGGAATAATAGATGGGGAATAAAGAACCACGAACGGTTTCGGTCCAGCTAATAGGCAACGTTAGATTACGGTATAAAACAAGCTTACAATAACCGATACACGTACCAAAAATGTTGCGGGCCCTTTTGGTGTTTGTGTGGCAAACATCAGATATCGTACACCATCGCTCTTCTCACATACAAAGTAATCCTCTCGTTGAAGGTCGATTAAATGCTTGGTTTCAAAGCTAACAGGTTGAGAACCAGGAAACCTATATTTCAAGGGCCAAATGAGAATTTAAAGAAAAACGTGTCAGTACGCCATACGCTAATGAATATATCAGAGGAAAAAGGAGGTGAATGGCGAAGGCTGCACATTGGAAGTCGTGAGTCGGTAATGCGGACTGACATGCAGCATGGTGAAGCTTCGATTCGTTCAAGATTTGCATGATAACAATTGTTGCCGCCATGTGTTTCGTTTGATGATGATTCTGATTATGATTCTGCTATTGGGTGACAATGAACTGACGCTTACCCATCGTGATGTATCTTCAACAATTCTTGAACTCTTCCTTGAAGAGTTTTTGAATAAACAGGATCAACACGTTTTGCAATTGAATCATTTAGAATATCGTGAGGTGTTGAAGTGGCCGCTGGAACGGACTGAACGGTGGGTGCCAGTCCAGTTTGCTGTATAGAGGCCATGCAAAAGCTCAGCTGATGTAGTTATTATAGTTACGGTCAACAATGTTTTCGTAAATGTGAGGGTGAATGTCGGGAAACTGGGGTCAGATTGGTGATGAGCCCGAGAAGTGTGAATGTGCAATTATATATTAATGGCGACAGACTGTGTTGTATGGACGATGAAGGATGAGTTTCCCAGTGCTAATTTGAGCGTACAAAAGTGTATCCAATACGACAACTGGGACTCGATTAAGCGGCAACTGATGCACTGCAAGTGTAGGTGAGCTAGGAGCGGAAATACCTTTCGACACCACACAGCAAATTGGTACTTTTGCCAGGCGTGACTTTCAAAAAAGCTGCTATCACAAAATTCTGCTCATTTGCTGCTGCATAAAAACTTTTTTTTTTTGAGAAAGGGCTGTTGTCTGCAGCTTTAAGACGAACTTCGTAGATAGAAGAAGGTTATATGCTTTCATTTTCTTCATCATATCAATAATTTGTGTATGTGCGAATACAAATGGCCAAGAAAAAGGCACAGTTCGAAATACTGAATGTGGCTGTACCAAAATGTGGACCTTGTTTTTCTTGGCCTTGAAAATTCGAACGATGAAAAGGTTTTGCTGTGCCATAGCCTTCTTATCATTCAATAGACATACGATAACATCACAGAAGCTGAATTTAGCATTACTTCAGACATCAGCGAATGACACATAATCAAAGAACTAAAGGTTCACTTGGAAATTGGCTAACTACTTCGGACGCCGTGTGCTACAGCGCTTGACTTTTAGAATTCTACCACCCAACTGCATTTGACCTGTTATCTCTGTAGTTTCCTTCAATCTGAAATTTTAAAACATTGACTTGCACATATTACCGGGTTGATCGGAACAACTAAAACTGTCGTGATGAGAGCATGTTTTAATGGTTAAGCTCAGGAGAAACATGTGTAACGTGAAGGAAATTATTATATGCAAAGGACTATAGCGTAAATACATAATGTACGATGCATGGTAAACGATATTACCATGACTGTCTAGAACTCATGGTTGATGTCGATAACTTGTATTCTCGAAGGCGTTTGGTATAATCTGGCATAGCTGAGCCCCAGTTTTTGAAGCGAACTACCTATTGGGACAAAGAGTGTAAATGTAAGTAGCAACAAACGTCCATATATGTAGATGTATACAACGTACCATGCATGTAGCATTATCCTCTGTACCAAATTGCTCTGATATGTTGACAAGTGCCTTAGCAGCTTCCTGAGGTTCATCGTATTGCTTCACCTTAGGTTTTATGATTAATACTTTGGAACATCTGCTCTTATCAAAGTTTGTCACTTCAGGTACTTACAAAGTCAATGACTTCCTGGTCTGTCATTACTGATGTGATACCATCTGTTATAAGCACCTATTGATTTACTGTTAATGAACTGATCATTCCCTTCGCCATTTAGACGTCGCAATTTCTCTTAGTACCATGAAAGCCGCTGGGTTATTGGCAGTTATTGAATGTCGTACGAAATCGGGCTCAGCAGAGACACCATATCGCTTCAAGCCAGTGTCTCCAAAAGCTCTGCTAGTTGCAAGCGCTCCCAAGATCCCTATGTAGAAATAGCTTGTCAGTCAATAGGAAGTCCAGCCTCATCTTCTGTAAATCACTTACGGTCAGCTCCCCATGAATCTGTCATGACATAGCCGGCATATCTTCGTAGTCTATCATTTTCAAACGAATTTCCTGGATGATGATCACCTGTGCTAAGTGATACCACTTCCCCGTTGGATGCATCACAAAGCAAAATTCTATTGACGTCTTTGTCAGACAATGTATATACACGACTAAGACGAGAGAAAGACCCCTTACCGTGTATCACCAACATGACCGATCAAAATATCGTACTGTTGACTGTCCCAAAATGGTTTTCTATCCTTTGTCTGTACAATGGCAACGCTTCCTGTTGACCCGACTTGATCAGGCTGTTTGCCGCTAGAAATATCCGAAGCCTCCTCTTCTCCTGCGCATGAAGCATCGGCTTTCAGGAACGATAGCTGAATTCTCTGCTCAGGTGTTAGAGCTGATCTATTATTGACACTCCCTAAAGGCTCTCCTGTGTCTCTATCTGCAATGTCCTTAAAGACATTTGGGAGGCGGTATCTCTTGAAGTAGCCTCCAAATTTCTTCAAGCTGGCAACTGTACCTGGTAGATCAGCGAGCGTTACGTTTTCAATTAGATTATGAAGGTTATGGGACAACCTGCGCTTGTGATGGTCAGTGTGGTGTGACATTTTCAATATGACTTGTTGCGACTACATACCAATCCGACACTCTGCTGCCACCATGGCTGTTAAGGAGATGTCAGGTTAGCCTCAGATCAATAGAAATTCAATGATTCTTCACTTTTCATTCTTACCCATCAAAAATTCCAACATAGAGTCTCTGTGCATCAATTTCATTCACTCCACCTCCAGCTCCAATGGACAATGATTTGATGGTATAGCGATCCTCATTTGTTGGCCGAGTGCCTCGAAAGCTGGAATACCCTATACCAAACCATTAGCGATGGCGTATAAAAAAAGATACGTAATGCGCCATTATATGATAACGTACCTAGTATTTTTCGAGCTTTCGTCAATGCGACTCGAAGCTTGTTACCTGTTTAAACCTGTCAGTACAATAACGAAACAAGTATCGAGGCTAAAGTGTCCGTTATTACCGTCATACGTTTGTACGAGATAGTAATCTAGGCTGCATCGACGATCAGAAGAAGAGAATGCTCGAAGTCGAAATGCAGGGGAACTACATGCGATCCGTGGTCGAACTGCATTTAACATTTCAAGCTATGACAAAAAACTGTGGGTATCAAACGTGCGGGTTCCGAGGAAATTTCTGCATTCAGCTCTTTTCTGGGACAGAATTACATTTTTCTTTTTCTGGCATCTTACCCCAACTCTGCAAAAATCATCTATGATATATGCATTCTCAAGACATAATACTTCAGATTGAAGGTACATTCAGAGGTCAAATCTTGATTTTATCATCCTTTTGTATTCATGCAAACTGTCGACAGAGTGCATGCAAGAGTTGGAGACTGAATTTCACAATGACGGCACTAAGAATAACAGTCAAATTCTCACGCGCCTGGCAAATATTGCCAATGACATAAATGGTATCAGATTCTCTGATACTACTGCAACTAAACTCTATGCCATCGGTAAGATTCCTCTGCAATTGGTAAAGAAGAAAGATGGCACAGCTAAAAATCCTGTTTGCTGAAGGCAAACGGTTATTCGATCTGTCTAAAGATGCGCAAGCTCTGTATGGACGACATTTAAATTTTAAAAGTAATTTTATTTTGACCTCAACCTCTTGCTCTGAAACAGACATGAAATTAATGAAACACAGTTCTCGACATCGGCTACACTTTCATCAAGGCTACCATTGCAAATACGGACCTTATGACTGAGCAAGGTACTGACATATAACGTATGACTGTAGATGAACTTGTACGAGCGTTAATCTCATACAATTCGAATTTGACCTGCAATAGCAACATTACAAATATTTGAGCTTGCCTGCATCTTTGGAAAATCGAGTCTCGGTAAAGTTTGTTCAAGTAGTATGGAAAACCGTTTAGATCTGATTAGTTATTTTGTAGACGTGGGTGAATACGAAAAAGCGGACCAAACCTTCAATGAAGCTAAGGATGTAAGTATTATCAATCGAATCGTTGGTGACTGATGCTTGGCTGACACTATATAGCTTCAAATTAACACATGGAACTTGAATCCTGAAATTACATCGAAATACCATGAACTACAGTTCATATTGCATTTCTACCTGGCGGAAATGGTGAATACTGCTGCTAGCATTTTACCTGTCAATATCTGTGCATTAATTTGTATTACAAGTACCTGTCTATGAACAACAGTCAAGCTTGTAGTTTAATGGTCGACATTGCAACTCAATGTAAGGCTGATTACATTATTCAGTCTAATATAATTTGATGGATGACAAAGCTATGTCTTAGATATCAATGAGCTCACAACAGCTAAACAGGTACGATAATTTCCAACTAAATGCTTTACACCTCGTTTGACACTATTGAAACTTGACATTATGTCAATAGGTGCAAGACTTGTGTGCTATCTGTCTGCGAGCCATCATTTACTGTTTACGCAGGAACAACATTGAAGAAGCATTCATTTGGAGTAAAGTCAATTTCTTCAAAGTGGAAGACAAGGCACTAGCTAGTGGAGGGGTACTAGCATCTTCTTTAAGAGTAAGAATTACTTCATATCATCAGATTGGACGTCGTCTTTTTACCAGTATCATTGTTACCAATGCCACGTCAGATTCAGAACGCTAAATTACAAGGTACATGCATTCTCGTATTCTCACCTAATGACATCGTCATATTTATTTGTATGGAAAAGCCAGTATTCTGTTGAACTATGATATGCCAAAAGCAACAGCATCAAATGACATTGCAGGTTTCCTAAAATCTGTCTCCAATGTAAACTTTAGCTTTTAACCAGCAGTATGTATGGCTTATATTGACAGTACTTCAAGATATCTGTTTCAGACATGTTGCTGCACTTGATGATATTGAAGTTAAAGATGAAATACTTTGGTACAAACGTTGCAAGTCTATACGAAGGTATATTTACGTGATGCTAAGCCAACATTGATATGAATCGGCATTTTTATCTTTACATTTTAGCTTACCAAGATGCTATGTCGCAGAGTCGGCTGACAGACAGAAATGTCAACATGTAAGTGCTCAACGATAAATCATATACGCGCGGTAATTAAGTTTTACTTCAGCCTTGTTGCTATTGTGGATATGGTCAAGATCGATGTTGGGTAACAATGAATTCCGTCAGTGCTTCCAAATTGCCCATGAATATTGACGTATATTTCCAATCCCAGGCCAGAAAAGTTATTCCAAGGGTTGGACCAGCTGATTGTAAAGAATGCTGTACACATTGGTCAGTCTTTGCGTAAAGAAAACTTTGAAACGATTCACATTGTCAAATTTCAAATCATCGGTATGTGGTGTGAAGGTGATCCCAAGACAGCCAAAAATATGATTGAGCTCGCATATGAAGGTAGCTACTATATTGACAATTCCAAAAAAAAAAGCGCAAATAAGTGAAATTTAATGATCAATGTTTCAGCCATCCATAGCATCAAAAATGATTTGGAAGATGTGACAGTTTACAGCATTTGCATGGTAAGTCCTGATTTTGCTCTAGAAGGAAATATTTTGTCTCATCGACGTAATTGCAGATTTTATGGAAATATGGCGATCATTTTATTCGGGTAGAAATTGATTGCTGCATCAATAGGTGGATAAAAAGGTTTTCTAATCCGTTGCATCAACTTAGGTAAAGGCTTATCGCACAGCGGCATTTTGTTTCGAATGTACGGAGACACTTTACGATTCTGATGCCTGGGGAGATACAAATTTGATGATGTTGCGAAGGTAAGATCATCAAGTAGAATAACGCATAAGATCAGAAAGAGATTGTTAATGATTATATAAACAACAGAAGGCTGGCTTTATGTTACTATGAGAATGAGCAGTGGGATTTAGCGGAGGAAACTCTAGAAAGAAATTTACTAAGGCATCCTTCTGAAAGAGAAGCAGTAGATATCATTCTTATGATACAAGCTCTATTAGCAAATAACGAGCTTATTGAAGGTACGTATGTAGAATCAGGTTCAATAGTAAGGTAAATTGCTGACACTTTAATGATAGCATCGGCTTATTTACTGTGCCTCCCTAAAAGCAAGGGCTACAATATCAGCATGTCAGACTTCATCACAGATGTTCAGAAGCACTTGAATAATTATACTCTAAATTAGTAAAAGGATAATGCTTGCTCGCTTTTCAGCTTCGTAATACTACACATTATCTACTACACATTATCTACGCGTATAACCAACAATTTCTCGGCGTTGCGGCATCCTAGAAGTTAGATCCAGTGTTTTTAACAGCTACATGTAGCCCGTGTCTTTTCAGCTCGTGACATGATTGGGGACAATGCTGAGAAATCGCTGGATCCATGAAACGAATCACAATTCCACCAACTGCTATTGTTCTTTTTTCTCAATCATCGATTGTACCCATGCGATTTTTTAGGGTGAGACCATGAGGTCATACGACACTTTTTTTATTTGCATGAATTTTGATAGTTATAAAAGGATGAACGCCAGCTTATCGCCATACTGAACGTACGCTTTCTCATCATGATTCTTAGCAAATTGCCCCGTCCAGGACACATTCCCGTTGAAGTCAAACCACTTATCTTCATCGTCAGCGCCGCAGTAACAGGTGAGTAATGCAGGAACATTGACTGGTCCAGCTTGGGTTGCAACTTAATATTTTCTTTGAAGGTGCCCTCTTCGCTTCTGCCCGTAAGCTTGGAACTGACGATTCTCTTCGCAAGAGAAATGCTTAGCATATAAAACTATAACTGAAATCAACGGCTAGGCATGACTTCGTGAAGTAATTTAACTTGCTACTTCCAAGTTACATGTTTATCGAGAGCAGCGATCCTGCATTTCCAAAAGCCACTTTGTAAATAAACTCTTTAAACCTATCTATACTACGTGGATGATAATGTTAGATTAACATGCAATGAACCACGCAGATAGGATATCTGCATCATTTGTCCAGAAAAGACATTGGCAAGATGGAATTGAAATCTTGTACCAAGCGCTGCGTAAGCTAGAAATCCATGGCATCCAACACCACAAGATCAATTACCATGAATGGATTACTCAAAACCCAAGGTACCAAACATTGCTGATCCACCATAGCGATTCCCGTAAGATGCACTTGTATATTTGGCCACGCTGTACAAAGGAAAATGGTGTTATATAAGCCCACTCCGAGTAGGGATCGAGGAATGATGCATATAGCTATGAGAAAAGTGCTTGTAAAATCAGATCTCAATATTCCTCATACTATAGTATTGTAACCCGTGAAGAGAACAAAAGGAAGCTCCTGAGTCGACCACAGTAGCAATAGGAGATTCCCCGTATTACACCCCCCCTCGTGTTGATAGGTGGCTACAACAAAGGCATTTTGTCATCGCTTTCACAAGTACAAAATCAGCCGAAGTTCGAAATTGTGAATACACCATATTATATTATTATAGGACGTGTCGAAAAAGATAAGACTTTAGGACTAGCTAGTATAGCTCTCATACTGCAGGGAAGAATAAAAGGATGTTCTGGATACTGCGAGCATGCGGATGATCCTCACGTGACCTTTCAATATCCAAGTTTTTCTCTCTTTTATGCACCGCGACATTCGGAGTGTGCCTTCTTTTCTCCCAGAAACTCAGCATCTACATGTGATGGCCAAGAAAGGGTCTCCATTTGAAGAATATGACATGCTAGAGCAGATTGGCAATGGCTCCTTTGGATCGGTCCATAGGGCACAGCATAAGATTGATAATCGGATTGTAAGTGTTTGCTCCTTGAGATGCCAAGTATTCGAGCAACTACACTCTAGTATTTGGAACCTCCTGACAGTATCTGAAGCAACTTTTATCAAGCGCTTATCAAATATGTTTGTCATTCATTAGGTTGCTGTCAAAATAATGAAACGAAAATTTAATAGCATATCAGAATGTGTTAGTTTGCGGGAGTTCAAGGTCTTGAAACAGCTCTCGGCACATCCGAACATAGTTCAACTATATGATTCATACCTCAGTCCCAACAAGGAGTTTTATTTCGTCATGGAATACATCAATGGAGGTAACATGTACCAGTTGATTAAATGCAGACGAGACGCTGAGACCGAGTTTGCGAGGTGGGAAATACGAAGTATAGTGTAAGTCAGCTGCCCATTCATTTGTACAGCAGAAAATGGTTGGTGCACCCATCAGAACTCACTCAGTTTCATTCGGTAGCTATCAAATACTTTCTGGTCTGGCGCATGTACATAAATTAGGCATCTTTCATAGAGATATGAAACCAGAAAATATCTTGATTGACAATACCCCAAGCCAAGACGGACAGCACTCCAAAAATATCGTTACTGTTAAGATTGCGGACTTTGGACTAGCTCGTGAAATGAAGAGTCGGCCCCCATATACAGAATATGTGAGCACGAGATGGTATGTCAAGCAATCTGAGTATGCTACCTTCCCTTGATTGAAAGTTTATAACGGTATTATAAATACAGGTACAGAGCTCCAGAGGTCCTGTTGCGATCTAATGCTTACTCCTTTCCCGTCGATCTCTGGGCTGTAGGGGCTATGTTTGCCGAGCTAATTACTTTGCGTCCACTGTTTCCTGGCCAATCTGAGATTGATCAAGTGTTTAGAATTTGTGAGTTACTGGGAAGTCCTAATCCAAGTACAACCTATGTTGGAGGAGTGCAGCGGCGTATGAGCGAAAAGAAAGCGAGCCCAGGGTTCGCTAGAAAGCGATCCGAGTCAATCAAGGTTGAATCTCCAACAATTAGCACATCGTACACCTTACCTGATAATGCAACCCCTGTCGGTGGAGGCGAATGGCGAGAGGGTGTAAAGCTGGCTGCCAAAATTGGATTTCAGTTCCCAAAGGTAGGTGCAGCTTGTTATATTGGATGACATTGGCTTCTTTTTCAAATGCAGACAAGGCTAATAACCATATCACATCAAAGATATCTCCCAAGCCACTCATCTCAGTACTCCCAAATGCTACCCCTAGTATGCTTGATTTATTGGAGCACTTGATGTACTACGATCCTAAACTTCGACTTTCTGCCGAAGCAGCCATGTCACATCCATTTTTTTTGGAAGTAGAGGAAACGGACGAACAAAACTCACCGGAAGGCACAGGAGGATCAAATCAAGAGTCACAAGACCCCGATAACACGTCTCCTGAGAAGAAGGAAGGACGAGGGCTTGAAAGACAAGGTACCAATAGAGGCATAGTCATTACAGACGAAACGCAAGAAGAGAAATTACAACGATCTCATCAGCGATTGGCATTCATAACCGAGAATGACCATTTGATGCGTAGGGGAAAGAAGGAAAAGTCAAGCAATAAGACAGCTTCCACCATACTTGGCAAACGGTCTGAAGGCAACATGGCAACTGCCAACCGCGGCCATGGAAATGCAGATATTACACCACTATCTCTGCAGAAGTCTCCCGTAAAAGCACAATTTGATCTACCCGCCATACCATTATCACCATTTGATTTCTCAGAAGGATGGCCACCTCAGCGGAAAACATCTATTTCCTCATTTACGGATGGCCCCATTTTGACTATAGACCCAGCCAGTGGTACGGTCACGGAAGATTCGATTGTACTTGCTGCATCTATCCATGGACTACTGCAAGACATGATACCACTATCCGACGACAGCCTAATGAAGCAAACACCTCTCAAACATTTGCCATCTCATCGGAGCCATACAGATCGATTTTCAGCTCCATCTTCCTATCAAGAAACCCCGCTACATCCTAATTTGCGACCGAATCGGCGAGCCCTTTCCTCAGAGGATCGCCATCTCCAACAGATGGTTCATGGTGAAGGAAATATTGCAGAAATCCAAGAATGGCGGGATACTGATGTCCGCAATATGGAAACCCAACGTCATCCCTATGGTGAACTACAACATCAAAATGCGTTCTTGCTCACAGCAAAGACAGGGAAGCCGACAGAGTTCAAAAAGCAGAATCAACGACCACATTCTGATATATCGCATAGTGAGATAACGATAGAATCACTTTCTGTCAAGCGATACAGCGACGCAAATACTCCTTTCAAGCTCTCAACAGAAAATATACCACCTCCGCCTCTAGGCGCGCCGCCACCGATGAATAGCTCAGCATCAACACCTTTGAGCTCCGTGACTCGACAAGGAACATTCCGCAAGTTGGTTGGCCGTACAGGCATTCAGTCAGCTCATCGCAATCCAAAGCCTTCGTCTTCAGTCATTCCACGTTCAGCGACATACGAATCATTGCAAACATCTTCCCCTTTCGTAAAAAAGCAAGAAAGAAATCGTATTAGCCACCGGTTTCGTCAGGCAACCTCTCAAGGAGAATCTACAAAGCACCATTCTACGGGTGGAACTTCCGGCTTTTTCAGCTTCAAAAAGTGGTCTCCTGGTGTAGTGAAAGACAGTATTGTACATAATCCTTTGCTAAGACAGGATAATACAAATCCTCTACATGAAGACATCCCATTTCAATCTAAGATATCAACGTTCGACTTGCAAGCACCGCCAATGATGACCCCATCTGCACGACCCTCCGAATATCATTTTCGTCCTCATTCTGTGCCAACGGTAGGGCAACAGCCTTCTCCCTTTGAATTACTGATTGCGGAAGAAATAGAACAGGCATGGGCGCCTCAGTCTCTCCGTTTACCACAAGTCGCCAGCAGTTTACCTCAAGATCATCGCAGATACCTGTGAACTCCAAGAAAGTCTCATTCCCAAAAAGTGCAGTTGTAATCGTTATTGCACGACAGACCTGGCTGTAAAAAAAAAAAAAAGGCAACATAATCAATTCTTGATAAGGAACATAATGTGAAGATTAGCAACATTTGCTTCCAGATATTTTGAACGAGGAGAGTGAATTTGCTAGTAGCTTGTAAATAGACTACAGATACCCTCTCACTGTGATACCGCGAACGATGAGAGAATAGATAAACTGGGTTCGTCACTTCTTCCTGTGATGAAGTGAAACATCCTTTTTTTTTTTTTAATTGTTTGTATTCTATGAAAAAATGTTGACAAGCAAGAGCTGATTCAACCTTTGCAGTTTCATCCACAGTTGATGACTATATTGAAAACACCACTCGCATATATTACAAGTGTTCAGAACATGACGCTGAGAGCGCCGACTTTTTGTCTGGAACAATGCAAAGTTGCCCTGGCTCTCATATCCAAATCGGTATTGAACTCCTGGATGGACTTCAGCCTGAAACCCCATAACGAACCTTGATAGCAAGGAGAATGCCATCAGTGCAGGTCCAATCTGGATATGACTAAATGCCTCCAAAGCATAACCATGGATTTACAAGAGGTCGTATTGGGAGCGCATATCATATCACTACCATTGTATGTTGCCTCCATGCCTATAAAGAAGTGATGACATGGCCAATTTCTGCGTTTTTTACTTGCATTCAAAACAGCGCAAGAGAAATTCAAGACGAAATCATGCCTTAATGACGATGGGTCAATTTATTGCTGGTGATTTAGTTTTGCCAAGTGCTTCCATGCAGTTCATTGCGCTTGATGTACACGGAAACATACTTATTACCTGCTTTCAGCCGTGATTACAACTGTTATATGAATGGATATAACTACACAGATGGAGAGGAAACAGTACGCTTTATTCCTCAAATATGTCATATTCATTTACAACAAATACATAATCTGTATATTTGACTCAACCGCAGCACATGCCATTATGAGCTTTACGATACTGTCGCTGACCCCACGGTTGCATAGAAGCACGAAGTGATGGCCACAATCCAAATGGCATTTCCTATTCAGGAGAGAACGAGCTTTCAGCTGATTTAGAGAGTTAACTCGCTGTGTTGTAATTGGTAAAGCGAATATGGATATGTCCTGCTCCTTTGGAATATGGAAATCTTGGTTGCAGAGGATTAACCCCTTCCCCGATAACTTCTAAATCTCCTTCAAGGCACTTCCCCTCCACCGAGCCTTTCACAACTGTGCCCGCATGAACTAAATTTGGTTAAAGAAGTGGGAAAAGTAATGATTTAGATGGATGACCTCTTTCCATTTCATCTGACTCCTTCATTCCTTATTGCTAACATATCACTTACGGCTAAATATCCGCCGAAACCATATATGATTGTCACTTGTTGTCTCCGAGCGTTTTTCTTTCCATTACAGATACCACTACTTTTCTGTTTGTTGTTGCTCTCTTCTCTGCTATACAGATTGATACTCCTTGAGACCTCTCGTCATATTCTTCAATTTTTTTTTCATCACATCACTTCACCGCATTCATGTCTTTAACCCGACGTCAGAGGCAGAGTTCCATCATGTCTGAGAAGTTCGCAATTCTCAATGGTGAACTTGAAAACCATGAGAAAGATCTTGAGTTTCAGCAGTCTCAAATGGAGCATGCAAGTCAACGAGAACAAGCTTATCGTAAACAGCTGCTGCGATACCAAGCAGACCTAGTGAAATTCGAAAAAGATTGTAAAAAGAAATCAAACTCTGGAGTTTGGATAACGGGGTCAGAGCATGAACAACTCTATATGATTCGGGCGAGCATAGAACGAAATATCGAAGATACCAAATCTGCTTTGGAAATTGCTACAGAAACATATCAAACGGAACGAGAAAATCGTATAGCCAATATGCGACGAATAGCAGAAATTAAAATGGCAATGCTGTCTCTTGAAAAGGACATGGCTCGACTCCTGTCCACCATGCGAAAAAACGTTCTAGTCCAATGCATCGACGACATTAGACATAGTCGTTGGAGAAATGTTGAACCATCTCTCAACCGCTTGTACCTATAAAATGTACCTAGTCATAATCATTCATCTGCCTCATCTTTTTGTAAAACAAGAAAAATGTAAACTCAATAAATTTATAACATAAAAGTCACTTTTCCAATGTATCATCAGTGCTGCTGGTTGAAAAAAACTGGGAATTTACATCGATGGTGAATTACCTGCGTTCGAAGAGAGTCAGTCACTTGCAAGTAACATTGAATTCGATCATGGGCAACAGTTCAGCTTGCAGCTATGTCAGTTCTTTTATATTTTTAAAAAACCGTCAAAGATGGAGTTGCGCTACTGCAAATATGCGTACTCATGTTAGACCGCTTTGATTCATTTATATTCACTCGCAATTTCTAGCCCTGCTATTATCCTCAGCGGCTGTCTGTTCCGCATCAAATTCTGAAATACTGATACACAACGGTTAATCTGTATGGTGTGGGTTTCTCAGTGTCGGGAATTCAAACCATGTTAAAAATTGGCAGGTTCACAATTTTTTTTTTTTTTTTTTCTGAAAGCTAAGCGATCATTTCTTACAGCTGCATCAAACATGGTCAAGCTTTGCGTGATTTGCGAAACTGAAAGAGCAGTATTGAAAAGACCAAAGACTGGACAACAAATTTGCCGATCCTGCTTTTACCATGTTTTTGAGACCGAGATCCATCATACCATTGTCGATAACAAATTGTTTAAACCTGGCGATCGGATAGCCATTGGTGCTAGTGGTGGCAAAGGTAAATCACCTTCAAAGCAATCACTGCATGCCAAGAGGTATATAAGAATGAAGTGACTGACAATCAATGATAGATTCAACTGTACTAGCCCACGTCCTCAAGACGTTGAACGAACGATACAACTATGGTCTGGAACTGTACTTGCTTTCGGTCGACGAAGGAATTACAGGCTACCGAGACGACTCCCTGGAAACTGTCAAAAGAAACCAACAACAATATGAGCTTCCTTTGAAGATTGTTTCATACAGTGATTTATATGGGTGGACTATGGACGAAATTGTCAAGGAGGTGGGCTTGAAGAACAATTGTACTTTTTGTGGTGTATTCCGAAGACAAGCTCTCGATCGTGGCTCTGTTATGCTTGGAATCGATCACGTCGTCACTGGACACAATGCAGATGATATAGCGGAGACTGTACTCATGAATAGTAAGTGGCGCCAGCTTCTGAAAAGTGTATTCATGTACTAATCGCCCCATCCAACAGTTCTTCGAGGAGATATTGCAAGACTTGGACGGTGTACAGAAATTATTACAAAAGGAGAAAGCATGGTCCGACGGTCAAAGCCTTTCAAATATACCTATGAAAAAGAAATCGTCATGTATGCTTATTTCAAGAAATTGGATTACTTTTCGACCGAGTGTATCTATTCTCCAAACGCATATCGTGGTTATGCAAGAACATTTTTGAAGGATTTGGAAGCAGTTCGCCCAAGTGCCATTATTGGTATGTATAGATAATTTATCTGCAGATATGGAGAAGGCATTGCAGGAACTTGATGGACTAATATTGGCTGTTGAATTGTATCAGATATTATACACTCTGGTGAAGCTTTTGAAATCAAAACTGGTGTCAAGATGCCAGAGCAGCAGACATGTACTAGATGCGGCTATATCTCATCGAATGAGCTTTGCAAGGCATGTGTGTTACTTGATGGTTTGAACCGTGGTTTGCCACGACTTGGAATCACTAGAGAGCAAAGAACAGTAAGTTTATGGTAGTTTGATGGAAACGCACGCATATCATTTCACTAATACTGGAAAAACTACCTTAGCGGCACGACGAAGCCAAAGAGGTCAAGAAGACCGGCGTGGCACAAATCCAGCATTTTTCTGACATCCAACGTGCCGAAGCAACCCCGCCCATGGCCAATTCCAATATTAAAAAAATAGACATCTCATATTAGATACCTCAGCCAAGAATGTCGTCGACCACTATAGTAAATCACATCATAGATTGTGCAGTAATATGATAATGAAGTGTGCTATTTTTATTGTGATTTTATGGCTGCAAGGGAAACGGAAAGCAAAGTGCTGCGGGCCAGCCTAACCGCATCGCTAATTACAGTCGGTAAGATGGTTAATATTTAAAAGTCGTCAAGGCTCATTTCATTGTCCTTCTTGATGAGCTCTAACATGCCGGGGGGCATAAGGGGCTTCTTAATGGTTTTCGATTGACCATCAACGGTGACCTGCTTTTCTTCAATGATGTAGCGGAAGGGCATGGTGACGGATTCACGTTTGGAAAAGAAGATCTCTGGGTGATCGATGTATGGTATCTCGTCCATTGGAACTGCGCAAAATAACGTTAGTTGGACTTGTCCACGAGATCGATTCTTAATCAGACGTACGGCTTCCTTACTTTTGTCAACAACCACGCGCTTGGTGACGTTCACGGCGGTGTCAGTAGTCATTTGAACTGGTCCCAGGCGTCTGCCTTCGAACCCCAATTTTCTCAACTCCTTGGTGCGATCTAACATCGAGAGTTAATATACTTTCGGTGTACTAGGGGATGCAAAGCAGTGGGTATGAGACGTTACCTTGCGGTGGATCATCGCCGAGAATTCCTCCAAATAAGAAGTATTTAAATTTATCACCATCTTCAGGAGAGAGCTCTTGCTTTCCTTGAGGGTCCAAGAGACAGACGTCCTCCAACTTTATGCCAGGAATGTGCAAAACGTCTTCGGAATGACAGTGAGCGACCTTCAGTTCTTCGGGCATATTGGCCTTGCACTCGTCTGATAGACCAGAAAAGTACAAATTGTCAGCACCAACGTTGGTAAGCATATGTTTATATTCCAATGTACACCATTCGTGCATGCCATCCTCGAGGTGCTCTATAATGAAGGACATTTTTAAGCGCTCAATTACACGTCGAATTCAGAACAAAGTTGTCAAGTCAAATTTAGGCCTAACAAAAAAAAAATTCGGACTGCTTTTTGGCCTCCAACGCAGCATTTCAGGATGGAAGCATCTTTGATTTTTGGAAAAAAGCCCTTTAATCAATTTTTTGTTTTTTAAAAAAAAAAAGCAGCTCTGAACTATGGTAGAGTAAGTAAGGTAAACAATTTACAGTGTGAAACTTTAGTATACAATTAGATTATTTCTAGGACAGTGAAGTCTATGGATCACCAGCCAAAACCTTGTGCTTGTTGTTGTTGCTCCGCTTGTGTTTCTACAGGCAAGTTTGTTAAAAATGGTTGTGATCTGGCGCCTAAAACAAAATTACGAGAGACACGTACCTTTAAATGCAGCCAATCCAATTAAAATTCCAACGACCAAGAACATTAAGCTGATGAAAAACCATATCACACCCCAAGCACGACTCGACATGCAGCCTCCTCCACAGACTTTGGCAAACTTGGAAGCATCCGATTCGTAGGCTTTCCTAAACACCAGGTCATCCAAGATGTCCCAAAGACAATAAAGGCTAGACATAACCCTAGATTAGAAGAGCTTAAATTAGTACGAATTCCAGGAGGTCCTCAGTATCTGATGTTGAAAAAATTAAATGATTTAGTTACCCGATGAACAAGACAAAGTACTTGAGTCCAGCACCGTGAGCCAACCACCATAGGAAGATCATCAAGCCAATGAATACAACGCCGATAGCTCGCGTCAGCCAATTCTTAGCCCACCACAACGTGAAGAGTAAACAGACACCTAGGAAAATACTAGCAATTTTGGATGCCAAGATGTTGAAGCCGCACATGACCAGGATAGCTCCGATTAAGGAGGACCCAAGATATCCAGCAGGCAGGGTACACGCTTGAATGCCACCTCGCTATGCAGAACAAACAAAAAGAAAAAAACAAAGTGTAAGCATTTGTCCTGCCTGAGCATTGCTACACCATGTCTGGAACATTCCATTACGTACCATACGAGTTACACCACCTTCATCTGGGTCGATTTCTATTGAGTCGATTTTGGCGCAGGTACAGCAACCAACAGCAGCATGTGAGAACTCATGTAAGCCCACAGTCAGTAGCTATTGGAAATGAAGGTGTTAAGATAGCGTACACAGAGCTCGATAGGGTGTTTTTAAATGCATACCTTGAAAGGTGCCAGAATGATCTTGGCTATAGGCATATTCCATAGTACCAGAATAGCGGCTATGTAGACACCAATAATGATAAGTATGATTCGCTGGTCGCTAGTAGGAGTAAGTCCTGTTGCTGCCTGATCTGCGACATTCTGGCGAGCCACAAGATAGTGATCGTACTGTGAGTCGGTGGCAACGGGTGGCATACAAAGCGAGAGGGGAAAGAAAAGCAAAAAGCGAAAGGAGGCGAAAACTCGGCGACGGTTTATTATCCAACGACCAAAATAGAAGTCGTAACAAAACAAATCTGCACTAGCCACAAACAATAGTGGCTGGTTGGGCCTCTTGGCAAGAGGTTCCAGTTTCCCTGACAAAAAGTAATCGCTGAGTTGCCCACTGGTTGGCTAATACACGTGGTTGGGATGAGAAGACAAGAGGACACTGACTATTTTCTATGGTCATCGATCAACAGCGCCAACACTCAAGTACTGGTACTTGATTAAAAGAAGACGAAGATGGATCTATCAGATTAATTAGACAGCCCTGCGATAGGGAAAATAAACCGGATGTAGTGACAGCCGGCGGAATAAATAAGCCTGGAGGAGAGCCAATGTTATGCAAAACGGATAGGATGGCAGAAAATTTAAAGGATAGTTTATGAACTGACGTGTATGTACTAAATGCAAAACTAGTAGAGTGAAGGGGGAGTCAAAAAGTGGCATGATCGTTTTAATCGATGTCTGTCAGCGACACCGTCGGATGTCCAATAAATTTTATAAAAATGTGAGCGGCCGGTTTTTTATATTGCAAGTCATCGTTCTCAAATTACTCACATTGTAAGCAGAACTATCGCCGATTCTCGTGCTTACCGTCAACATCTTTCACTCATTCATATCCATCTACAGTGTATTGATCAACAATGAACGCAACTTCCTATGACAATTTGTCCTGGGCTGAAAAGCACTGGTCTGAAATGTACGAAGGCCGCAACGAAATCGTCGTTACCGGAATGGCCGCATTCGTGATGCACGAAGTTGTCTACTTTGCACGCTACCTCCCCTTTTTCATTTGCGATTTCATTCCCGCTTTCCAGAAGTACAAGCTTCAACCGGTAAGTATTCTTCTGTTCCTTACTTACCATGGTCGAACGGGAGGTTATCATCATCTTACCCGTGGACCATTTCGGGGCAGGCCGTATACTAATGGGACCGCCTTTCTTGTTACAGGAAAAGGTCAATGTTAGCGCTGATTACTGGAAGTGCGTCCGCCAAGTCTTGTTCTGCCATTTCTGCTTTGAACTGCCCATGATTTTCTTCTTCCACCCTATGGGTCACTTGTTTGGCATGAAGATTACCGAGGTTCCTTTCCCTAGTTGGTGAGTCTACCCTTCGACGCTGTCAATTATGAATTTTTTTTTTTTTTTTTGCGAACCACCAAACTCATGCTTAAATCACGACTAGGCAAACAATGGCCATCCAAATCTGTGTTTTCTTCTTCTTTGAGGATTTCTGGCATTACTGGGCTCACCGTGCTCTTCACTATGGCCCACTTTACAAGCACATTCACAAGCTTCATCACGACTACTCGGCTCCATTTGGCATGGTGAGTACCAATAGCAATTGAAATATCATAGCTCCCAACATACCCTAACTTATATCTCAGGCCGCTGAATATGCTCATCCTGTCGAAACTATGGTGCTTGGTTTGGGAACTGTTGCTGTGCCTCTTATCTGGCTTATGATTACCAAGGACTTGCACATCATCACCATGTTCGCTTGGATTGTTCTTCGTCTTTTCCAAGCCATTGATGCTCACAGTGGTTACGACTTCCCTTGGTCCCTTCGTCAACTCCTGCCTTTCTGGGCTGGTAGCGAACACCACGATGCTCATCACCAACTGTTCATCACCAACTACTCTAGCTCTTTCAGATGGTGGGATTACATTTTCGGTACTGATATCAAGTACCGAAACCTTCGCAAGCGTCAAGCCTTGGCCAAGGCAAAGGCTGCTAAGGTCAATTAGAACTGACTAGCTACCTATCCCATTTCCTTTTTATTGCATGCCAGGGCCCACTCTCATCCTGACCAGTATATAATTTTGCTTTGTTTCTCTATAGATCGGCTCTTACTTGGCTGTAAAGCTCTTAATAATACATGATATATTTTTATTCATTGACGGTATATGTTGCTAAGGGAGCGCAAATGGATTTGGGTAGGAAGGTGTGCCTTGGGAAGGTCAAGTGATGCATAGGTGCTGGCAAAAAACACTGAAATAGGCATCGTTACCAAGTAACCGCGTGCGTAAACAGATGTGTGCAGCCCATGTTTGTCATCCGCAGCTCACACTTGTGCTAGCCTTTATGTTGTCTTTACGCCATGGTTAACGACTGGTGAGGATATTGGCACGCTATTTGATTCATAGACATACATCTCTCCCTCACATTTGGCCTTGGATATCTGCAATTATGGTACGATGTGGTATGAACCGAAACTTGATTTGGGTACATTTGATTTCGTCTATTTAGAGCTTTGCTTTTGTTTACGATATATCCATTATTCAGCGTCTTGTACGACGGCATGATTGATAATTCATTGCCAAGCTAATCTCTCTATAATCCATGAATAGTCAAACATCCAACCGTGGTTTTCATTCGATGGGCAACGTCTCGATTTCAAATTGGCCGTTTAGACGGCGGCGATATAGGCACAATAGCGGGTGCCCGCCCTGAGTTGAGTTACACAAACATGACACATTGTGACTGTTTATTGGCCGTGTAAAAAAAGTGAGTAAAACGACGACCTTCAGGGAAGTTGAGTATAAATACTGTATGTTTGTTCGGTGTTTACAGACGCTGTCAACAAATCAACAAGATAAGCGCAACACGAATAATGCCCTCACAAGTTGCCGAAGAAACCATTTATATTACCCTTCGTGACGGACGAAAGATCGTTGCTCGCCCAACTGACCGGAACATAGATAGAGAAACCGTTTACAACTTCCGTGTCGAATGCGGCTGGGACATGGACAAGGTGGACGACTGGTTTGACATGGTTGAGAATGGCTTACGTCTAGAATACCTGGCGATTGGAGAAGACGGTGAACCAGTGGGTATGATTGCACTTGATTTAGAGGTAAATATTGGAGACTATTCCCTCTTGCGCATTCTACCCGTTTGAGACCAAAATGGGGCAAAGTTTCCTTACATTTTTATTGAATTATAGGACATGCACTATAAAGACGTTGAAGTAGCATCTCGCGCCACCAAAACGGGATGTGTGGCAAGCTTATACATCGCAAAGTCCAAAAGAAAGGGAGGTGCGGCGTTGGCTCTCATTGAATATCTGGAGGTACAAGCCAAAGCAAACGGCGTTGAACGGATTACCATGAACACATTGCCTCATAATGCAACAAGTAGACACATCTTTGAAAGCTTAGGATACAAGAAATTCAAAGAGGGACTTCGCTATAAGGACCCTTTTTCCGAGGAAGTATTAGAGGCTGTATATTATCGCAAGCAAATACAATAGTCATGGAAGTCGAACTATTTGATGCATAAAGTTTTTTTTATTAAATGCTTTTCTGTATATACAATAACGAGAATGAGTGTGTACTTTTTAAAAAAATGTTACAAGTGATAAACTTAGACCCGGTTAAACCTGGTTTGGCATAGGAGGGCCATTAGCAACATGATCGACTGAGCAACGTAGATTGGGTGAGGGTATGTACGACATTTGTATCACCCTATCTTATTTTTTGTTACATTGAGGCACCGATGGATAACCACTGTAATGGAGAGCCTTTTTCGTCGGTGCAAGCCAGCATACCAAGGGTTCTGCCCGGAGCTTGGTGGGTCATAAACTTCAATGCGGGTATAGGAGCATTCATGGGAATAACATGGAATGGGTCGGGCGAGTTACCTCGAAGCGACCATAAGCGAATAGTATGATCATCCCCAGCGACAGCCACAACATTAGCATCGTCTATTACGTCGAAACCTAGAGAACGAGTGTGCTGATTCTTGTGTCCATTAAACCTTAATACTGGCCATTGCCTTTGATGGTAACTTGTGTGGGAGGAGGTTGTCTGGTGGCCCCGCATATCCCAAACTTGGAGCGAGCCGTCCATGGCGGCGGCAACGATGTGGAACGACGACCCAATTTTACGAAGATGCGTGATAGGCGATTTATGCTGTATGATGTAAGGGCTGTGTCCACGTCTTGCATCAATTTTACGACGATCCACTCTTGCATCGAACAGCTTGATGCGACCATCACGACACCCTCCGAGAAAAACATTGGGTTGTACGGGGTCTATTTGTGCAGTCAAAACTGCGCTGTTGGTAAAGTAGGAGGTGGTAGGCTTGCCATGGTTGAAATAAACTGCCTGATTATCTGTCCCTAGTACAGAGCGTGCAACCTCGACCTTGGATTGGTCACAACACCAAAACGAGCCCCACGAAGGTACACTTATCGACTGGATGACCCCGCCTGGTCGCAAATATGGCGTATCTTCATGCTCGGGAAGGTCGAGTTTGATAAACGATACTTTTGGAGCATCCAGTCCACTTCCCATTGTGCACACTGTACACGTATCATCTGACCCCATACTGATGCAGGTAATATCTGAACTGTTTGGGGAGAGCGTCAAAGCTTGTTGCTGAAAGCCATGCGCTTTTGAGACAGTAAACATTGTCTGTGCCGTTGAGCCATTCGACAGCCCGAGCATAAGGTGATTTTTGGTTGGATGGATGTCCAATGCCGTTGGGTGGGCCGTGGCGGTGGCTGCCAAAGAATGAATTTTCTGTGGCGGTCCCAGAGTGACTAATAATCCTTGGTATCCATCTATCTTGCTTTGAATAACCGATCGACGTGCTTGAATTTCTCTTTGGTAGCAGTAACGTGGTAATTTGGTCACGCAATAAAGTTTGCGCTTAACTGGAGCTGGTCGTGGTTGCTGCTGCTGTTTTTGAGCCTTTTGATAATTCTGCCGGCTGTACGGTCCAGTGGGCATCACTTTGAAATATTTCTTCTTTTCCCGGTCATAGTAGTAACCCGGAATGTCCATGACATGCTCCCCATTGGACATTTTGCAAAATGTTTTTTTCGAGATGTCTATCGTCCGGAAAGACGGGTGAATCAAATTCGATGGACTTGAATTTGGTCAGTCAAATAATGCTGACACAGTCTTTTTCCCAATTTTTAAGATTTTGGAAAGGGTGGAAATATTTTTTCTCGACTGTCATTTTGGGGAGTGGTACGAGGGTGATGATCATCACAGAGGAAATGAAGTCACACGTGACTTCACCAAAAAGCTCTTTGAAAGTTGTGGGGTAAAAGGTTGGCTGGCTTGCCGCAAAGCCGGAGGAACAGTGACACAAGGGCCCGCGAAGGATCGGGTTTCTGCAGTTGGGTTCAAACCGTTTGGCAGGACGACATCAGCTGTCCCAACCATTATAAACCCCGCTTACCCCGCACTTTCTAGTTTTTGTTGGGTTGCAGTGTTTGTTTGGCCGGCCACTTTAGTTTTTCTGGTAGATTGTTATTTGGAATGCGTTGCTCTCCCCCCAACCCATGGTATGTGGAGTAAAAGTTGTCACCATCCATCACTTGAGAAAGGAGAGGAAAAAAGTAAATTCTAGCATTTTTTTGGCTACCAAGGCCGGAAAAGCCGCAAAATTGAGTGTAACTGTTTACCTCCACAAAAAGGGCGAGAATTCAAAGACAGACCGATGCGCTACTAGCCTCACTCGGAAACGCTGCCTTTTGCTTCGTTTTTTTTTTCGACTGCCTTTGCTTCTCTCTCTCTCTCTCTCTCCACTTTCTTTCCTCAAACTCTCCCCCCATCTCCTTGTCATTTAACCCGAAAGAACCTCTCCACACACCCCCCCCCACTCTGCCCATCTTTCTCTGAAAACTCGGAATGGTCCAAACCGCTACTTACTCGACCTTTCCTTCGTCATCATCCTCCTCAGCAGTGTCTGATGCTTCACGAAAGAGAAAGCAGGATATGCAGTATCCTATGGAGTACCCAATGTCATCGCCTCCACAGCAAGCTGCTCCTTGGTCAGAATTTGTTTACTCGAGTCCAAACTCACCCACCACCTCGCCTCAGATCACGCAACATCCTCATCAAACGCTTGCCTGGTTGGAGCATGGAAATAATAACTATACTCACTTTGACCCTATGGCCATGTCTAATTTTCCTATCAAGTCAGAAACCATACCCGACCGCCGTCACTCGCTTGCTGTAGGCGAATTTTCTTTCCAATCTGACCTGAAGCAAGACCCTCCAAAGTTTGATATGAACTTGCAGCAACATCATTTGCCTACACCGCCTTCTGCTGCTCATCGTCATCCGTCCAATGATGACAAGATGAACCTTCATATTGATATGTCCTCCAAGCAGCCGCCTCAGTTTGCCACTTTTTCATCGGCCTCCATGCCTTCGCCATCCACACCGGCCTTTTTTACCTCGGCTTTCTTGGATTCTTTAAACGATAATGCAGGGGACAATGGTGTCACCGCAGCCCACAATACTCATGAGTCGGTTTTTTCTTTCAGTATGGCCCCCACTTCCAATACTATCCAATTCATGAACCCCAACGATATGTTAGCGCATGCATCACCAGAGAATATGTTGAATGATATCATGGCTGAAAGCGAAGACTTCGTGTTTGACAACCATCACACCGTAACGCCTTCCGCTCTATCGTCTGATAACCCGTTTTATCAACAGTCCGCTTCTTCCTTTTCTGACCTTATCATGCAACAAGATCAGCAACAGCCTGTCTCACAATCACTGCATCGTGGCTCTACTAGCCGTTCCTCAACGTCGTCTTTAGCAAGTAACTTGCAGCAACAACATATTGGTGGTGCTAATGATATGGGTTTTGCTGCTACCATGGATTTTGGGAATGGAGGACGAAAAATGTCCAGACTGCAACAAATTTCTCCTCCAGCTTCTCCTACGCATTCTTCTTCCCTATCAAATACATCTTCTTCTCCATCTCCGCCAATCACACCAATGCTTCATCAACAGCAACAACACCAACAAGCTTATCAGCAAGCCTTTCACGACGGACCGACTTTTCAACATCCGACTATTCCCGAAGAAGACGACGAAGATATGCTCTTGAATCAAGCGGACTTTGCTGGCTACCTGCAGCCTAATGGATTGGATGATCCACTTAAATCAAAGAATGGCATCGTATCAGCTCGTTTGCTTCAGAGTGCTAATGTTGCCCTGCTTCGACCTTTGATTCGTCACTATCTTCAATCTCCCAACCCAGCGGCTTCTGGCGAGCGAACTGTGGTTATTCTGACGAGCAAAGTGGCCCAAAAGAGCTATGGAACTGAGAAACGGTAAGCCAACCAAAAAAATAATAATTTTCTATGTGTGAGAGGACTTTGTTATAATACCTGCGAAGAGGTTTATTACCAAAAAAAAAAAAAGGTCCAGGTCAAAATATGACACTAAATGCTGTATTATTGCCTTTCAATATTAGCTTTCTTTGCCCACCTCCTACAACGCATTTGATCGGTGGCAGCTGGTGGACACAACAAATGTCCGATAAAGATAGTGGTCCAGAGTCCCCGCCATCCGTGACCGTCAGTGCTCCTAGTATGACGGTTTGCATCTCGGGCGAATCCACTAGCCACAAGGGAAATTTAGAATGGCACGCTCCCAACGGTTCCGTCATGGATAGTTCATCGGTCATTACCACTCCGAGTGACCCTGTGGTGTCTGGAAAATGTGTTTCCAAGCAGCTGTATATTAATGATGCTGATGAAAAGCGAAAACGTGTAGAATGCCTCGTCAAAATTCAACTGGCTAATGGCTTTAACTTGGGAACTTTGGCTAGCAAGGGCATCAAGGTCATCAGTAAGCCTAGCAAGAAACGTCAGAGCGTTAAAAATATGGAACGTAAGTCAAAGCTTTAAGTTTTTCAAAAATAGGGTTCGGTGGTTTTTGCGCGTTAGTACCCTTAGTCATCGAGGTTCTCATCAATCACGTGTACTCCTTTGGGGTGGCTCTCTCTCTTACAGTGTGTATACATCACGGCACAACTATCTCGCTATTCAACAGAATCCGTTCGCAAACTGTTTCTACGAAATACTTGGGTGTTTCCACCACCAATGGTACCCCTGTGATGTTCGCACAGACATCATCAGATTGGCCTGGAGCTGACCATAACCAAGCACCTCCAAATGGAGCTGCCGCTGGTAATGGAACCTGTTTTGTCGCGAGAACTAGCTCATGGGACCCGTTTGTAATCTGGGTGGTCGACACTACTCGTACTGGAGAATCCAACCATAATGAAGAGCCTTCCACTTTTCCTCCTCCACCCGCCATCGCTCTTCGAAATCCTTCCGGCAACCCTATCCCTATCCACTATAATCAACCTGTTGTCTTACAGTGTCTATCGACTGGACTTGTTTCACCAGTTATGGTTATTCGAAAGGTGGACAAGGCTTCTACCGTTGTAGGTGGCGCTCGTGTAAGTGACGGTGGTCCTGGACCCAATGGTGTTGGCTTCATGGCTGGAGGAGAATACGCGGATGAGGCATTGGGCGATCCAGTATCACAACTTCACAAGATTGCCCTTCAAATCATTCAAGATCCTTCCAACGCTAATTGCCCTGTGGATATGCGCAGCCACCAACACCCTAATATGCCTCACGCAACACAACCCATCACCTATTTAGCATGCTTGAATGATATTGTCGGTATGCACAAAACCACCGAGCCTCGTCAACCGTTAGCCAGTGCGATGGCTATGATGAGCGAAGCCAGCTCGTCTCCTATCCCTATGCCCGGTATGGCGGCATCTTGGACCGATGCCCAGCAAATGTTTGGTATTTCGTTTGGCAGCCCTACCGATGCATCCAGTGTAACTTCACAGGAGAATGGTCGTGCTGTGCGCAAGCGTCGCGTCTCCTGCGACACTTCTGGCAAAAATGTTTCCACTGCACCTCCTGGAAGCCGTGTGTCGACTTTGGCCAACAAGGGACGACGACGTGTGAACAGTCTTAACGATGTCGCCAATTTCAGTGGTAGCTCCGACGACATGAGCCCAAGTGGACGTCGTGGCAGTGTCAGTAGCACTGCAAGCGGTGGTGCTGGACCTAGTCAGAACGGCGCTTTTTGGTCAGAGGACGTTACGGATGCTGCTGTATGGACCATTGTTGGCACTGGTAAGTACTTTTGGTAAAAAAAAAACACCACCGGAAGTGAAAATGCAGACACTGATTCTTTTTCCTTGGCTCTCGTCTAGATTGTGCAACTTACACCTTTTGGACTCCGCAATCCACTTCACCTTTCTCATCACAACACAACAGTGAAGTCGCATCGCCCGTCACTCCGTTCCCATCCATTTCGCATTTCTCTACCAGCCTTGCTCCTCAACAGCAACGTGTGATGAATGGCGATATGGGTAGCTTGACTATCTATGGCGAAAACTTCACGCGCGACCTAACTGTGTGGTTTGGTGATGTCAAGGCATCTCGTACCGAGTATCGCTGCAGGGAGATTCTCACCTGCTCGGTCCCTGACAGTCAAGAATTCCACGACAGCGTGGGACTTTCGGACTACCACCATCGACAACTTCGAACCGATTCTTCTGGAAAGACGACGGATTCGCAAATTGGCTTTGTTGACCAACCACGAAAGAAGGTCCCTATCCTTCTTGTTCGTGGCGATGGTGTGGTCTATCGTACCGGCAAGATTTACGTCTTTTAATTATTTCGTCCTCCTCTCCAGAAGCAACCCACCACCCTTTTTTATTTAGTTCCCCAAAAAAACACTCATCCCATCCCCCTTTGTCTATATATTCTCCTCAATGACATCGTGCACCTGGCGTGAAACAACCGCTAAAGAATCAATGTCGTGTAATTTTATTCTTCCCTCCTTCTGTGCAATTTTGTTCTGTGCTTTGGTATTTTGGTGATGTTTTCATTCACCCCACTTTTTTTATTTCTCTCTCGGTCTTCTTTTTTCTTTCGTTGCTCTTTCATTTCGTTGCTCTACCTACCTTGAAAAGACTTGTACTTGTAAATGGTGAAATTCCTTACATACTAAATCAAAAATCCCCTCATTCATCCCCAACCAATTCGTCTGGTAACTGATTATAATGATGGTTTATTATAGGACAATGAGTGTCTATATTTCGAAGGCAAAGCCGTTCACGTGAATGAGTGAAATCGTGCTACAGAAAGTGATGTAAAGAGGAAAAAATGCAGGTTAAAAAGAAAAATGGATTGTTGACAATATGAGTTGGAAAGATGACGAAACTCAGAGCTTAACAGATGAAGAGCGTCTGGAAGACCAATGGCTTTAAACGAAAAAGAAAACAGGGACAGTACCGGTTAACTTGAGGTAGGTGTTCAAACCTACAGCGAAAAGAAGAGCGACGCAAATAGCGGTAGGACCAGACATATCATCGAAAGGACCAGCGACACGGGCATTGATAAGCTCGCGACGTCTGTAGTATAAGCCCATACCGTACAGGAAGGTAGACAAGGAAACAAGGGTGTAGACAACACCACTGATACGACCAATAGTGTCTCCAGCATTGAAAAGAGCAATGGAGAAAGTGGCGAGAAGGGTGGCAAATGACATCCAAGAGAAATAAGTACGCTCGTTGGCAAAGTACACCTTGGGTTCTACTCGCAGAGGAGTAATGACTTTGGCGGGTACCTTAACACCTGGGGGGAGAATAACAGGCTCTCTAACGATTCTGGCAGGTCCTTTGATGCTACCATCGATCTCACTGAAGAAGTGGCTAATCTTATCAAAGAAAGCTTTGGTCATGGCATTAAGGGGGGTCAAGGTTGTTTCTAACTCCTCGCCAGAGTAAGCAGTGTTGGACGAAGCGTCCGACCCATCGGGCAACAGGGAACTGCGCTCATGAACGGGTGAGCCTCCAACGCTCAAGTATCCTTGGTCGGCGTTGCGACTCATATCCTTTTGTTTGCCTTTATCGCTCTTGGGAATAGCTCCTTGCGACATAAGCATAGGGAGATTGTTGACATCGGTGTCAACATAAGCCAACCAGAAGGGAAGGAGAGCAACACGTTGATCGAAAATAACAGAAATACCGTGCACAAACTTTGTGAAATTGTGTGCCTCTTCAACAAGATCGCTTTCGGAGATGTGCTGCACCCAGCTGGGTAACTTAGCATCTGGAGAGGGCAGTTCCACCTTGATTTCCAGCTGAGCATATGGGAAGTGATTGATCTCTTGGTTGTCGGTAACGTTGTTGAAGGGATAGTTGACATCAACATCGGGACGATGCCACTGTCCTTCACCTCTGCGAACCTTTTGATCATTGCTGAACAGCTGAGAGTCTTCACGAATGAAGCAGATATCTGTGTCCAAAGACACACGGACAGATCGGTCACCGGGCACTTGGAAAGCAGTTCTTCTATAATTACTTCTTAGGACTGCATCCAAAAAAAAGTAGACGAAAGCAAGCCGAGTACGATTAATAAACATGGTAAATCCCACTGTCATAAGAGAGAAAAACAGATCACTTACCAGGGGCCAACTTGCGATCAAGTATGTCGGCTTGAAACTCGTGCGCCAACTTTTCAAAAGCTACAGCATCCTCTTCAGTCTTGCCTGGGTTTGAGCGAATCTTCTTGGCCGTCTTGACAATAAATGTCTCATCTCCTTTGATGAATCCGTCAATGTACTTGTCCTTGATGACAAACTTCTCACTCTTTTCCGATACAGCATCACTTTGCAGAGTACGCCTTTCGAAGATGATTTCAGGGTTTTCTTCGGCGGATCCGTACCATCTCAAACGCAACATTTGAGAGCCTGGGGCGTTCTCAACTCTACCAGAGTAAGTGTCCAATTCGCTGTTATCAAAGTAAAGCGAAGAAATAGGGGGGTCAATGTCCTCGCCCTTGGTAGTAGAGTTGTTGTACACCAATACGGGGAGATGGCGCAAGATTTGTGTCTTTAGCTCCAGGATATCATCAAAATGAACAAAGTAACGCAACACAACAGTGGATTTTCCTTCGTCCTGGCCTCCAGGAATCATTGCGTTGGCAATATAGCTAACAGGTTGGAAGGACATGGTGACAGTTCCATTACGGATCTTGTTAAACAATTGAGACAAGTGCAAAAGAAGGGAATCGTAATTTTGGCGCCAAAAATTGCATTGCTTGATGCGAACCATAAATAGAGGGCGCAAAACATAAGGCGTATGACGATCGTGCTTCTTGACAAGCTTGATAATGGCAGTATAATTGATCTTTGAAAATCGAGCCAATCGGTTGATGTCGTCGGCAATCTGATTGATTTCTTCTTGAAGCTCAGTCATTTCCGCCTCCGAATTCTCGCTAGGGATCAGACTTTCAATTGCTTGAGAGCATGTTTCGATACGGCTTTGGATATTGGTTAGCTGAACCTGGTGGAACGCATTGACCTATCATCATCATCAAATTAGATTGTTTGCTTTGCATGAAGCACTTTGGAGAAACTTGTGCTTTACCTTTTCAAGATCCTTGTCCAACTTTTCGACGAAGTCTGTCTCATTCTTTTCCGTGAAAACGCCATTGTTAGAGGCAATGCGGAGATCAGCCTTGAGCGAGCTGTACGAAATGTAGTACAACTGCCATTCCGGATAAATAGCTTCTTCTATTTGACGACCAAACTTCATAGGGGCTTAAGATAATGAAGGAAAAGGAGAAAAGAAACTGGAACGCTGAGACCAGACACAGCGGTCGTATGTAGAAAAAAAGAGAAAAAAAATGGCGGTCAACGATTTGATCTTTTTTGTTTCGCAGAAGAGAAAATCTTTTTGGCTGTCATGGCCGGTTTTGATCATTAGTTCGTACGATTTTAGTCAATTTGATGAACGGTTTAGTATCTATTTACTTTGAAGATATCTCATATTCGTTGTTTTGATATGCATGTTTGTCATCGTATTTTCTTTTATTTTTACTGAATAGAGGTTGGCGGACGATGCTTATCGGCATTTTAATTCGGCCAGCACGTGTGGTCGGTAACTTAGATTGACAGGATGAGAGTGGCCAAAGAATTGAAGCTGACTATGAACGTAAATCTTTCCACTTTGTTTCTCAGCTGGCAACACATCTACCACATAGCACTGATGCAGGCACGGCGCGATGTCCCTTATTTCAATGTCGACAGCTCTCTGTAAACGTGCTGTTCGCTCAACAAGAATTGAAAACTGGTCGTATCTGCATGGCCATTGATAATGGGAAATGCTTTTACAGTCAGTGTATGATGAAAAGTCCTGTTGAACCGGAATGAAGAGAGCTTGGTGAGGTATATCGCTTTCATATTATCAGGTCAGCTAAGGTTTATAGATGAAAACAGGCATAACTATGATGCTGTCTAGGATGAAGGTTCGGAGTTTATGGATAGGTAGAAATGACCTTTTGCACGTTCTAACAATCTGGGGACATGATTGGCTGAGTTTACAAAGATTGCCAACGTATGTGTGTGTTGAATGGCTGATGTGCCTTAGGGGAAGTTACCGTTGAGCTCACAATGGGCGAAAGTAGCCCAAAATAAATATAATTGATTGTGTACTCCCTCGATTTTCTTGCTTCTTAACCTTTTTTTTCCCTCCATTTTCATCCTCTTTCCTTTCACCCTTGGTTCATCATCAACCATAGGGTTATTCCTAGCCCCGTAGCAATGGATCACCCGGCGCTCCATATGAACCACTCTGACGACCACCGTCAAGTCAACCACCTAGTTTCTGGAAATAATAATCGTTCACTTGATAACGAGAACCAGAATGTTTCAGACTTATTCGATTTATCCAATAACATCAGCTACCTTTTCGCTGAAGGTTCAGCTCACAACTATGCATCCTTGATACCCAACTCGGGTATGCCCAACTACACTTACAATACAGCAGGTGGCTCAGGAGACGCAGCCCAGCAAAGCCTCGCCACAGCAATTAACGACTTTTCGACACCGTCCCGAATCGATGATATGCAAAAGACAACATCCACCGCAACGCCAGCAAGAGATACGTATGCAAACAAGGAGGTACGTGAAACAAAAAAAATTGATTTTATCTCCATAAACAACTGAAAGTTATACTCGGGAAAACTAACCTGCTTTTTTTTTTCTTCTCCCACTTCTTTGCATTCTCAGGATATGCTTACGCCCCTCATGTCACCAGCTATGACACCGTCGTTTCACGGTGGTCAACAATCCGAAACTACCCATATGATGAGTCGAGAGACACACTTTTCTCCGTTGGCGTCTCCCGCAATGATGCCCCAGACTGACGCGACAAATGCCATGAGACAACCCGATCAAGTTCAGGAATATATGACAATATCCAATGAATCCATGCAGGAACATTACCAGCGATTAGAGGAAGCTAAGATGGCTTTGGAAGAGCAGCTTTGGAAGCTAAAGAGCAAGCAACCGACCACTCCAGTATATAATAATCCTAGAAAGCGACCTAGTCCAAACGTAAGCACCAGTCAAGCACAATCTCCCGTCCCAACAGAAACCAATCAGTCCATGGTGAATACCTTTTCGACTGCGACCAAATCACCACGCATAGATCCAACCAATATGCATCAGGAATCACAACAACGTATGTCGCCAGCTACACCAGCTTCCCTTATGAAAATGTCAATTTCACCCACCTCGCGCGCAGCCAGTGGAAAGAAAAACAAAAAGCGAACAGGGTCCAAGACACCGATCGCACCAGTCTCTGGGATGTTACCTCCGCAAATGCCCTCACCATCCCTTCAACCGACCGTTTCATCCTCTGGTATCCGCCAGTTGCATTCCACACCACCCAGTCTAAAGCCACGTCTGAATTCTATATCCGCGTCACCACGAACACTAAAGCCTCTCTTGACGAGTCCTACCATGACCCCCACATTTGGGACCGCGTCCAATGAAGAAGCCGCTCGAATCCTGGCTGCCAAATCCAATTATCAAAACCTGCGAGAAGGCAAAACGGCTGCCCTTGGCATTAGCTTTTCACCTGGCATTCACAGTGGTATCGAAATCAGAAGATCAGCCCACAAAGCAGCTGAACAAAAGAGACGAGATAACCTTAAAGAATGGTTTGATCGACTTCGAGTTGAATTAGAGGATGGCTATTTTGACACACTGGAACACATGCAAGAAGAAAGAGAACAATCGAGAGAACGAAAGACCGAAGACTCCAAAAAGGCGCATACCCCCAAGACAGAGAGAGACAATGCCGACCATAGTGAGGCCCAGGGTACTGGAGACTCTGATAAATCTCCTGATGATGAAGGCTCAGTTGGATCTGGCACTTCCGGAGCCAAACAGCCCATGTCCAAAGTGTTATTGTTACAGTATTCGTATGAGTATATTGTTAAACTCAAGGGCGAGCTTCGAGAACGGGATGACAAAATCAATGATCTGGAATCTACCATGTCCAAACGGTGACAGATGCGTCTGTCAGACGAAAAAAGCAAATGACTGAAGTAATTAGCGGTATTCTTTCAGCTTAGTTTAGTCTTTGACTGATTTTTCAAATGTACAAAAATATAAATGTGTTGTGATGAGTGATTAATTATCTTTGTTTTTATTATTACTTAAATCTTATAGTCGTCTTTTGATTGTTCTGTCTTTGGAATGTACGTATCATGGCCGCGGTCACGACCGGTCTGTTAGACTTATCGGCTTCATTTTCAACTGTGATCATCTGTAAGGGCCTTCACATCGCAAGGGGGCGGGGCAAGGAAATCTTACATCATCACGGTCGCCATAATGCTGCTTCTACATAGTACGCAGGAGGTGTTTTTAGCATATAATAAACTAAAGCAATCATATACCAAAGACTTAGGTGCAGCAGCTACCTTTCCCGATGAGAAATGACATACCCCTGGCAAGAAAGGGGACGGCACTAGAATACTGACGCTATTTCATTCAGATCAACACCCTGCCGTTCACTTCCGTCACGCATAGCTCTAGAATGTACTAAATCCATTTCACTTTGATCCAGCAAAAACTAGATACTTGCCAGCTCATCAATAGCTTGTTTAACCATATGCCGGCAACATGTCTCCATCTTTCGTTAGCACCACCACATTTACCTCTGATGTAGTGCAACCCAAATTTTCTTTTCTTTTTTTTTCTATCAGTTTATTCATCTACATCAAATTGCTCCATGGTGCTAGTGACCATCGTTAGCATTTCGAAGAAGGAGGTTGCAGAGACGCGAAGCATTTTTACAGATGTACATTCAAAGTCCCTAGTGATATTGGCATGAGATATACAACGTTCCGGCACTTTCCCCTCAAATAATAAACATCGGCAAGTAAACTTACACTATGAGCTTATCACCGTTCGCCGTCAAGATGCGTTTGACTTGATCTACCTTTAGTTCTTTGTCGACGGACAAAGTTTTCTGAGCAATGCTTGCTAACCGCGGGGTAGGAAATGGAATTTCCAAATGTCTAGGATGCGCGTGAGCAAAAAGATCAGTTATGGGGATGTGGTTGCTATACTTGGCCGGCGTAGGAAATGTACATACAGAGAGTGGCCGAAGGACATTCTCGTAAGCTGAATGCAGTTGGTTGGAAGAGACAGACGAACTCGAGTTTTTTTTCTCCTTCTGCCTCTGTGACTGACCTCGAGTGGGCCAGTGTGTGCGGTGGCTGCAGTCAGGTCATATTTTTTTTTTCCAAGTGCATTGTCCATCTTCATTCCTCCATTTCTTCTCCCCCCCCACCCCTCCTAATTATCCAATAACCACACTTGCACCTTGTGCTATCGGGCTTGACTATTGTCATTTACAAGAGTAAAGTATGACTAGAGGACATCAAAAGGAAGCAGCTAGGTAATGAAATAATCATAATGGCCATGGCCCCGATGGAATAGTCTGATAACTCACCTCCTATACATTAGAGCTAGAGCCGCTAAAGAGGCTGACAAACATAAGGGTGGAAAGAGTCAATTATCCGCTCGTGCCGCAGGTAACCAGGTAAGGCTTAGGATTGATTTAATACTTGTCTTTTATGTGCAAACACTGACCATACGACTTAGATGAAGTGCCCCAAGTGCCTTACTCCAGTGGCAAACTATAAACTAATTCAACAGCATATGGAGGTACGCTAACTATATTCCTACCTTTAATATTCACTGAGCTTCCCAACCTAGCTCAAGGCATTAATCTACATATCCCTCATTTTCAGGCTAAGCATCCCAAAGAGACCATTCCACCTGAAGAAGACTTTGCTTAAAGAGAGTCTCATTCCAATAAAGAAAGCATTTGTTATTTATCTAAACGCTTTAACGGCGGTAAATCCCTGTATTGCATATGACGGGCTTGATGTACATTGAAAGCATCTTTAACGCAAGTACCATGTGAAAGCAGCGAATCTCATCTTGTATGATCTATCCATATGTCATCACAGTACATACGATATGGCAGTAGACCAACGGAATTGCAGCTTGAACTTCAGCCCCACTCTCGATTGGCATGTTTAGCATGACGGAAAATGTCGGCTGGTCGGCCTGTGTGTGGAACAAATACTCGGTTCTGCTGCATTTCCGTTGCACCTATGGAATTGAATTGGTCAATGGGTCGAGTGTCATGACGAGTATGAGTATTGACAGCCACCTAGGTATGACACGCGATCGTGTTTGCTAGTTAGTGTACGGAATGTCCAAATTGAGGACCGGCTGCAAAACCTACGGGAGCTGGATATGGCAAGTTTGGAAACTGCTGAGGTATGCGCTCACTATGAAATGTGGCGAAAGGAATGGAACCGAACTCTGCAAATGTCGGATGACATATTGCAGCCACTGATGATGCTGATTGTGGTTTAGATGCGCCTATCAGGTAATTCTTTTGCACAATAGAATCGAGATTTTTGCGTTTTTGCATCTCGTACATTGACTGTAAACAATCTATCAGAACATGGTGGTATCACTTGAATACAATTAAAACCAGTCTCATACCTGAAGTTTTTGAAATTGGCGGTTTTTTTCTTGCAACAAACGAGAGAGCTCGTGGACCTTCGTTCTAGCCATGTTCTGTTCTTGTTGTAACGCTAGATATAGTTCAAGCCGGCCAACATCAGCTTCATAGGTTGTGATTTTACCAATAACAACAACACAACAACATCTTTAATTGGTTCAACCATACCACGATTCTTATCCTGTAACCCTAAACAAATAGTCTATGAGACAAATTCGTTTTCCAACTAAGCACTTCAGCATGACATTTTACCAGCAAAGTTCGCAGATACTTCTTGTTCCAACACCCCGGTACGACGTTCAGCTTCTTTACAACGATCATTTGCGCTCTTTATCATGACAGAGCTAACGGATACATCTTGTGATAATTGATGGACGTAGAACAACAAACCTCGGCTGCAAATATCCATGATCAGATCAGGAGACATGCCAGCCAAGACAGCCTAGGTGAAACAATACAGCATGACCACAAAATAAGCGAAATTCCGTTTACTGTCCCCCAAATCACATAGCTCGGAAAAAAAAGTAAATGGCTACAAACGGTTTTGTATTCTTCGCTAGGGTTAAGATCGGTTACAAAGATGTCATGACTTGCTTAATAGATGTAGTGTTACTGTTTGGAAAATAAAAAAAAGTGGATGTATGCCCACATGATGAATTACCTGTCTAGTAGTGGCGACTCACATATCGGACATATCATGACCTGATTGAATGCCGTCTCGGCACAAGGCATGCAAAAGATATCTAATTTGTTGTTGTTATTTTCCATGCTTTCAACCCATTATTTGGTAATCTTTGGGTAAGAAAACTGCATTCATACGTGCGCAGGATGTAACACATGCCTTGTGGACAGTAACACATTCGTTAAGAAAATTTAGGATCATCTGTTAGTGTTCTAATGGGGCTGGAAAATACCTTCATGTCATGGGTTAATGGCTGGCGACACTGTACGACGTTACAGTGAAGTTCGTAAACTGACATGGGTTCATAAACAAAGCTAAGGCCAAGCGTATAGTGATTTACGGAAAAAGTATTGTCAGCGGGGTAAGGGAAGAAATGCGTCAGGTACGGTAGCGCCTTAATTTCACTGAAGTCCCGCCATATTGTAAAACTGAATTGAAGACTATTTCTTTTATGCAACAATGAGCCATGGTTGTAAACATGCTTTCATCGGGTGTTTTCAATAGTAGCTTTAGTAGCGATAAATTGTTGGAATATATTTACTACATCATTGAGGTAAGACTCAGCGGAGAGACGAGCTCCCTGACCACCAAATGAGCTAAAAAGCGGGGAGGTGTCAGTAATAGCCAGAGTCCGATAACGCTCTATATTGGATAAATGAGCGGAGTATGCCTACTTGAGGTCCAGCAGAAACTGCTCGCAACTAAGCCGTCCGCAAGGTATTCAAATTTTCTGTTAATGCTGGCATTTTCTACCATCAAAGTTCGATGCCATTTTAGCCACCTGCCACCGTGAGGAAAAAAGAAAGAGCTCTGACACTTCACGAATTTGCTCACCAGAAGTTGCACGTGCATAGTATCACCGCAACACACTGACTATTGCTGGTGAATCCAATAGGTGAAAATTTTCCCAATTTTAAGACTCCACTGGCTTTCCCTTGTCTTTACTTGGTTGAGAGCTGCTTTGTTTTGTATGGTGGGCTGCTGTGACCTCGGCACGAAAGACTGTGTCTTTTGCGACGTGACCCGTAATAACGGATTTAACATTGTTTATGAGGTAAGGGATCAGGATAAAGGAATTTTTTTTTAGGTGACTATAGAATAGCACTAACCCTTTCATAGGACAATGAGGTGATAGCATTCCATGACCGTTCTCCAGCCTCCAAACTTCATCTACTCATAATACCAAGGCAGCATGTTGGAACAGTTAAGGATCTGAAACCTGAACATCGACCATTACGTGAGTTTTCATTCATTTTTCTATTGGACATTAAAAAAAAAATTTAAGCTTTTTTTCCTGGGTGTTGACACTGGCGTTTTGGTAGTGTCTAAGATGGCTGAAGTTGGAAAACACCTGTCAATGGAACATAATCAGGTGCGGATGGGGTTTCATGTTCCACCTTTCAATTCGGTCAATCATCTTCATTTGCATGTGCTCAGTCTGCCTTTCAAGAATCTCTGGCGCAAACTTAAATACCAACCGAGTATGCCATGGTTTGCACCAGTCAATGACGTGATGACGCATCTGGGAGCGTAAACTTTTCCCAACTTAAAGCTCGGCCGGAGATTCAATAATAAAATTGGGCCCAACTTATCCTTTCCTTTTTTAAAAAACTCTTTAGGTATTCTTTACAAGCTTCTTTCTTTCCTCTTTATCGCTTCCTTTTAACATCGCCCCAGATACCATCGTGCTCGATCTCGCACTCATATCTTTTATAAAATACAAAACGTAGGTATACCCTATATTCCTTTAGATCTCTTCTAAAATATGCCTTGGGGTCAAACCGAAAAACACTGGCCTAAACCCTTCCCCCAAAAAAAAGTCTCTCCACTATACTGACTGACTTCTGTCGTGTATATTCCTATCATAGCTTGTACACAACGTCTCCCGTGAAATACCCTTTATAACAGCGACTGTTGTTAACGTCCAGTCTTACGTCGAATGTCGGTATTTAACCACTTAAAAAACCTGATAAGACAGGGTAAAAGTGCGGTTTCTACTCCCAGTAGTGAATCTAGCTCGGATTTTTCAAACGCCACACGCTCGCTCGTTGGAAGCAACCCAACACAAAAGCAAGCTTCCAGAGTTGAAGCTGCGGCTCGAATGGTAGAAGAAGAGCGTGAGGCCAAGAAACGCATTCCTACCTACGCTGGTTTAGAACGCTACAAGCTACTTAGTAAAATGGGAGAGTATGTGTCAAAACACATTTAAGATGTGGTTGGTAAATGTACTAAATATGTTTTATTGTTTGCTTATTAGTGGAGCGTTCTCAGATGTATACAAGGCCGTCGATGTTAATACTCTACAAAAAGTAGCTGTAAAGGTCGTGCGCAAATATGAACTCAGCCCTGTTCAGGTAAAGTACTTGTTTTAAATCCTTGGCTTGGGGTGGTGGGGCTTATTCGCCTTCTGTCTCAGTTCAACACATTTCTTTTCGAATCGATGGGGGGTAATGATCATTTTCAACAGCTGACTGACAACCTTACATTTATATTTATATTTTATTTTGCCCTCCCCCCCTCTCCCCCAAATTTTCGGCTATTCCACAGAGAGCGAGCATTGTCAAGGAAGTCCAAATAATGAGAAATCTCAAGCACACCTCGATCGTTCAGTTACTTGGATTTATTGATACAAAAGAGGTTCGTACTATTGCTTTTAGAAACTCACTTTTAGTGGTATTTTTTTGGAGACTACGCATGCGCTGGCTGCGTGACCGGATTCATCCCCTTTACACAACTTGTTGCATAAAGCGGGTGTTCTCCGAGCACAAAAGCTATATTTTCAATGTCACGGGTTGTTTCCCATTTTTTTTTCTTTCTCCACTTTCCTTTCTGTTCTACAAGACCTTAATGATATGACAGCATGAGACTAATTATGTCATTTCTCATTAGCATTACTTCTTAATTCTTGAACTGTGTGAAGGCGGTGAATTATTTCACCGAGTGGTTCATCTGACATATTTTAGTGAAGAACTTTCTCGCCACTGCATTGTTCAAGTGGCCAAAGGAATCCATTACCTGCATGAAGAAAAAGGGATTGTTCATCGTGATATCAAGCCTGAAAATCTATTGTTCGATAAAATCTCGTTTAGAGATCGCACCGTTCCATTGCCACCGCCACATCCCGACGACGAAGATAAAGAAGACGAAGGTGAATTCATCGAAGGAGTGGGAGGCGGTGGCATTGGTAAAGTCAAAATCGCCGATTTTGGACTCTCCAAGGTGATCTGGGACAAGCAGACAGCCACGCCATGCGGCACAGTTGGTTATACAGCTCCAGAAATTGTTCGTGATGAACGCTATTCCAAATCAGTCGATATGTGGGCCCTCGGATGTGTTCTATATACCCTACTCTGCGGATTCCCTCCTTTCTATGATGAAAGTATTCAAGTTTTGACTCAAAAAGTCGCTAGAGGCGAATTTGAATTTCTCAGCCCCTGGTGGGACGACATATCATCTGATGCCAAAGACTTGATTTCCCATCTACTCACAGTGGATCCGGAAGAACGTTATACAATTGTCCAATTTCTAGATCATCCCTGGATAAAGAACGAGGTGAGCGTAGTGTCTGAAAACAGCGTGTTGTATCACTTGATGATTTTTGTAGCACACACTTACCCGCTTTAGGAGCCCGTTAAGATTTCCCGCGCTAAAGACGCTGGCAAGGTGGTGAGCGAAATACAGGTTCCTACAATGGTTGAACCCATGGCCGAAACGAATACCTCAACTACGAGTCTTGGAACCTTAAAGATGACGCCACTTTCTCCTGAAAAGTTAACAGAAAGCGGTCGTGCTTCGCCACGGCCCAGCCAAGCGGTGGCTAACAGTTCGACAAATATAGTAGACCAGCCAGCTGACACTGATGTCCGTCCCCTTGTGGCCTCTCCCACCATTACTTCCATGAAGGAAGTATTTGATGTCTCATATGCTGTGCATCGTATGGCTGAAGAAACTGCTCGACGAAAAGCTCTGGCAGCCGCCCATCCAAATGGTCAACCAGCAGCCTTATCGGCTATCCATGCCATGAACAACATTGATGAAGATGACGACGATGATACTTATGGCCTCACTACAGACAACTCTGATTCATCTCAGAGCGCTGATTCAGGCGAGGAATCGGATCAACCTCCTATAGCGCAACCTGCTCGTGTGGAGATGACAAACAATGTAAAGCTGCAAATGGACAATTTGAGGCTGAAAAATCCACCAACACAACGGCTACAGCAGTCTCAGCGCGAGAGAGTGGCTGCTAATCTCAAAGGGTCGGCTTCACCCAAACCTGTAATAGATCGTGCGTCGACCAAATCCCCGAGCAAGAAGAAAGCGGCTCCGTTTGAACTCAAGATGGGAAACGCTACCTTGTTAGAGAAGAGAAAACAACGTCAACAAATGCCGGATATTGCATCCGTCAAAGGATGATGTTCCATTTACGCTTTGAAGAGAGGAAACCAAAAATGCAAAAAAGACCGTAATCCTCAATTCCATCACACACTCAAAAAAAGTTCCACCCACCCCCTGTTTCCATTGCTTCTGTAATAATTTGTACAATTATTCATCCCACCTTCTTGACATGCCTCCCCTCTCTTCTTCCGTTGTGGTCAAAATCATATACCATCGCTAAAACCCTCCATCTGTCACTTATCCGTTTTCTCCTTGTCATCTTCGTCTTTAGTTCTTTCTTCATTTTGACTCATCCATCACTGATTGCTTTATAATCAACTAATGCCAAAAAAAAAAGACCTTACTTGTCGGTCGTGGTTATAATGATCATATCCCTTGTGTACTTCCCAGTTTACCGGGTCTAGCCGACCATGTGAAAGCTTTAAGGGTGGTAAACATTTGGTTGGTGGGGGAATGTTAACGTTTTATTGTTGCTTTCTTTTTCTTTTACATATGGATGGATTATGCTTTAGTTGGTTGAATACAATGGAACATAGGATTACCTCTGATCACCTAGACTACTTGGACCGTTCAAAATACAGATAATAACACTGAGGAATAAAATAATGAGAAATCGAAGCCATTGAATCATAATGTCAATTATGCTTTCTGAATCATCCATAGGATTGGTACCAGCCGAGCTTGTTCCAAGGATCCTCCGAATATCTCGCCGAAATGTTTTATCATCGTATCCCCTATTAAGTAAACTAAGCGTTTCATCGAGTACATTACGCTTGCCTTCTTGTTCCTTGCAGTTTTTCAACAGTGATCGTAACGCTACCTCTGTAGGGGATGGAGGCAACATTTCGTCATAGTATGATAAACGAGTATCTTGCCGACTGTACCTTGATTTTATGGCCACTCGCTCATCTACTTCGTCCTCAAAAAACTCTTCATCATGGACGATAGTAGATGCAGGTTTTTCTTCTTCTTGCAAATAATTAATATCGGCGGCAGCATTTTTCAACTTGAGTTCAGAGTCAACTACAAGTGACAGAATATTGTTGTTCTCAGTCTGCAGATCTTTTATTTGCTGTTTGAACTGGTTCCAGAGGTTGTCTGCACTGCATTCGGTTCCCTCGTTGGATGCTGTTTCCGACCACTGGTCATACACCTGAGTGCAGAAATTGGCGTAAGAAGTTGATGACGCCCTGCGGCTGGACACTGGTGTCGCTGGTTGACTTTTGAGATGCAGCGATGGTTGTTCATGGTGATCTATCTTTGACTCTTGGTTTCTAGCCAGCGATGATACATTATCGAAAAAATCATCTTCGCCTGTGCGGTCTTCTGATATCTCCCTGTGATCCCTTAGGTATTGTTGTATGTCATGAAGTAAACCTGCATCTGTGATACCAAACTTAATCCTATTGATCTTTTTTTTTTTTTTTTCATCCTCAAACCGTCTGCTTCACAATCTTCGCTCTTACCCTTGGAATGATGGTTAAGTGAGATATATGCTCGCTGTAATAGATGCAAATAAGAATCTGGGTTGCTTGACCATGTAGCCACGGGTGACGAAGGCGGCGAAGATAAGCCAGAGTCAAAATTACGCCAGGTATCGGTGAGATAAGTAAGAGGTTTCCGGTTTGACGAGAACGGATATGGATGTGCCATTATAACATTCAAGACAGGGCGGGAAAGAGAATGATTAAATAGGGAAAAAGGGGTATTATGTGGAAAGGGGTCAATACGATGTGACCACGATCGTACGGTATAAACCTATGTGAAAGGTGGAAAAGAAGTAGAAAAACCAAAGGGAAGAGAAATAAAAGGTGTTGTGAACCAGGTGTGAAAAAGAAGAAAGGAAGAGAAAGAAAAACCAGCAGATTTGAGATTCCATAAATCAACAATAACAAAGACGCTGCTGCTTTCAATGACTGAGTTTTCACACCACCACCGTTGTTTTGAACAGTGCCATGCATCCAACTTCATTGTATACCAGCATTATCCGCCGGTTAGAACTGCTGTGGAAGGTCAATATCTGTATTTTCTTATCCAGTTCAATCGCGGAAAACATTAAAAATAACCAACCGTATTTAACTAAGCTGTCAAAAGATAGAGCCCAGTCATTGCTTCAATAGCCTACAAATGGACGGGTACACAAAAAACAAGGGACGTAGTTTACGCGCAAAGGGGACTGTTTTTCTCTCTCTTTAGTATTTTAATAACCTCGAAAGATGAATGGCATATGAAAAGTAAAAAGAAAAACATTAACGGAAGCAAAATAAGAAGGAAAAAAACAGGTTGAGAAACATTAGTAAAAATACACCTTCCTTTCTAGCAATAATAATCTGATGCAGTTTTGGTTTTGATTATAAGAAATATGGGCTGATAAGAATGTTGGTTTAACAACCATTACAGCTTTTGAGACGCATTCCTTTTACAGAGAGGTGGGAAGATGCATACGGTCAGCCATGATGTATGACAGCGTTATCAGTTGCTAGCATAACTTGATACTTACATTGCGTCCAGTTGCATCTTATAATACTTGTTGATATCGTTACGCTTGAGCTTTTGGGCGGCGGTCAAAAATCCGTTTTCTGGCGTCCATTCCTCATGGCTCAACTAAAAAATAACACACATGTGATTAAAAAAGGGCAGCGCACAAAGGGATAACGGGGTTGTGGTGACTTACGTGAATGTCATGCAACAGCTCCGAGCCTTTGAGGCCACCCACTTTGGCTTGCTCTAACAACAATCGCAGAACCTCCTTTCGAATGATATCTGATTTACACAGCTGCTCCAAATCGCCTTCAATTTCAAATTGTTCCGCCAGTTCCTTGATCCGTGGTTCAACAGGGACAATGATAGCAACTGGCTTGGGTCTGAGAGAATCTCCGTACACGCAGAGGTTGTTCACCACCAAACAAGACTTGTAAATACTTTCCAATTTCTCCAATGCAACTGAAAAAAAATATGGTGTAACATCCAACATGATCAGTATGCGCACACCTGACCTGGATGCCCTCCCTTGACCCCTTTTTCATTATTCTACTTACTGTATTCGCCATTTGACAATTTCACAAGGTTCTTTGCGCGGTCAATGATGGTAAGTGTTCCATCCTTGTTCAGTTCACCAACATCGCCGGTCCTCAACCAACCATCCTTCATAATAGTCTCTGCCGTAACATCGTCACGCTTCCAATATCCTGATGTGATGGAAGGTCCGCGTACCCACACTTCACCTTGAGGCTTGGGTTTGTTTGTGCTTTTGTAATCAGTATCGGGAACGTCAACAAGCTTGATCTCACAGCATGGAACTGGAGCGCCCACTCGACCATAGTGAAAGTTTTCTGGCGTCATGATGCAGCACATTCTAATGATAAGTGCGGTTAGTATAAACTAGAATTTTCTTGACAGCAATTTTTGCAAGCGTCTATGCCCATTACTCACCCTACTGACTCCGTCATACCGTAACCTCCCAAGATGGGAGCGAGGCATACACTGAGGAACTTTTGCGTCTCCAAGGAAATGGGAGCACCACCAGAAAGTCCAAATCGTAGACGGCCGCCAACTTGTTCCTTGATCTTACTGAAGATGAGTTTGTCTAGAATTGGCGAAGGTAGTCCACGCTCCATCAGCCAAGCCTTTGTAGTGAATGCACGTTCGAACACCTTTCGCACGGCAGGGGAACCGCTATTGATAGTGTTTAGAATGCCTTTGCGAATGGATTCCCATACAGTTGGCACTCCCGTGAGAATAGTGGGCCTGAATTCCTTGATATCACCTTTGCAGTTTCGGACGGACGCGTCGGTCAAAGTGCGAACTGTACCATATCCAAGTGTGACACCCCAGTAGAGACACAAATTTTCAACCAAGAATTCCAGTACGTGGGCAAGTGGGAGATAAGCCATAATACTGTCATGCTCATTAATCCATTTTCCAAGCAACTTGTCCACACCACCAACTTGAGGAAGAAAGAATAACCGTCATCACCACCATTCATTCCCCGGTGTCAAGTACACAAGTTCAGAAAACTTACTTGCAGCGACCAAATTGGCGTGCTTTAGAATAACACCTTTGGGATTACCGGTACTTCCAGAGGTATACATGATGCAACAAATGTCCTCTGCCTTGGGCTTGACAGGAGGGCGGGGATATTGTCTACCGAGGGCCTTGAGTTCCTTTAAACTTATGATCGAGCCAACCTGGGCTTTTACCTTTTCCACAATTTCCGGCTTAGCTTCCCCGCAATATATCACATGCTTGAGACTTGGGCATTCTGGCAGAACTTTAAGTAGAGTGGTAAGCAAGTCTGCATTCGTGAAGATGGCTTCAACTTCTGTTTCATTCATAGAGTGCAGGAGACCACTCTCTCCTAGGGTATCATAGGCCGTCACAATAGCTATGCTCTGTGTAAAGGCACTGTGGGCGACAAAGAGCCAGTCGGCACTATATAAGGAACATTCGAGTTTAGCTAATGTGGCACTGGAAAAAAAAGAAGTAGTGTACAACAAGAGGCATGACAGGCACTAAACCTTCACACTGCATAGTTTTCTCACCTTGTAGCCGCAAAGATTTCCAATTTGGAACCTTGCTTTAGGCCAAGCTGTACAAGACCTGCACCAATATCGTGGGCAATTTCAGACATCTTTCTGTAGCCCACATATTGGAAAGGAGACATTTGAAAGTACTTCCACTTCTTCATTTCCTTATGCTCCTCTCCATTGATGATTTTAACCACCTCCTTCTCTTCTTCAATGGTATCTTCAACGTATCTGAATCCGATGGCTTCTTTGTCTCCAAATTTCTTTGCACTGTTTTGCAGTACGTCGTAGAGGGTATTTACATGATCTGCGGGCTTGTCAATGACCTTGTCCGTGGCGAGAGTAGATCGTCGAATCAATGACTCTCCCGCAGGAGCAACAATGACTGGCTGTGAGTGTGCCTTTGGCATAGCAGAATGAGAGAATTGAAAGGAAGGAATGATGAAGAAAGAAATTTTATACAGGCACAGGAAAACCTTTATGATTTTTCCATGATTAATTACTCCGCGCGGGTCCAATCTTCACATGCTTGTGTACCCATAGTGAAAAGCTTTGAACTTGGCCGCATGTGAATTGTCAGTGCGTTATCTAGCGCTTTGATGATCTGGGGAAAGAGATATTTGATGATGGAGATATAGGAATTGTGAGGGGGTATGTTCAACAAATCGCCATGCCGTGTCATAATGTTACAAATGGGCCATCAACGTCTTTGCTGAGTTATTCATGCTAGTAACAACCACCCACTAGTCTCCGCAAGCGTAATTCATCCTAGCACTAAAATGACCAGGTAGCAATTTGTCTGAGTACAATTCGTCTATCCAAACATAGCCCTAGTGTACGTACCTTTGGAGGTAAGGCGCCGTAACAAAGCCAATATGCACAGACATGGTAAGGTACATGATCGCCATGGCCTTTTTGGGATCAAATATCATGGTTGCAAATGTAAAAAACACAAGTCATCCGAAAACATGATCATGTACTACTCACGGAAGTGAGATGGATTTGAGTAGATTTAATGCATAGCACACTACATATTTTCAATGCAATGCACGGTAGACCAGTTGGGTAACATAACACCCTTCATGGTCAGAAAAGCATGTGGGATCTATACATTGACCGTTCTTGTCAAAGCTCACATCCAACCATCTTCCAACAAAGGTCATCGCAACCTATCACAAACTGTAACTAGGTGATTCGGAGATGGGCTGCCTCTGTATACAGACTAAGCATGTTATCGATAGCCAGTGGATACAGCGTTGTTGAAAATGAATGTCGGCATTGAACTTGTTTTATCAACGCAATCTTGTAGCACGAGTTTCCTAGAAAAAAAAAATATAAGGTAAACTCCATGCTGTGGGAATTAGATTCACAGACCTCTCAAGCTTATTTTTAAACACCATGGTCTCTCATTGTCATCTTCATGCCGCTTTCTTCCGAAGCGAGAATTCTTGAACTGCTTGTCGTACGCCATCCTCCATGACAAACATGAATTTATTGAGAAAAATAGATGACAAGCGGCTAATACAAAATTTTAAGGGCTACTAATTTGAAAAATGTTCCTTTTTGGTTTGCAGTGCCTTGCACCACCAGATATGTCTAAACCGATTTGATCGCCGTAACCCAAAGAGTGACAGCCTCTTTGCCAGATGGAGATGGACCAAGAGTAATGAAGTGGCACATTTGACTTGGAATGTACATAATTGCAACTGTCATGCCATTTCGGACAGAAACGTACAACACGTTCGCAGACTCTCATAGTTTGGAGATATATAACTGTAGACTTAATTGTGCCACCCTTGTCTCGTAAGTAACTGCCCTGAAAAATGATGCAGGTAGAATATGCAAGGTCATGTCATCTTATACGATGCTGATGGGTAGAAAGGATAGTTGATGCTCAAAGTTCGCTTATGCAGGATACCGAGGCTCATTCATTTCTGTTCCATCTTCATGCGGTGGGAAATAGAAAGCAAAGCGAATCCTTGTCCATCCAGCTTTTTACGAAATCAAACGCTTAACAGTGTGACAAACAATGTCATAATTTGAAGAATAAAAAGTAACTTTGTTTGCGGTTATAACTCGTCCCATCTCGCTTGGTCTTGAAAACAAGTACACCTTAGCCATCTATCAGAATCACCCCTTTCAATAGCCGAAGGGTGGCCAAAACGACATATCACGGCAGCAACATTACAATAGCACCAAACAGCAAAAAGGCAAAATTTCCCGAGTCATATACAAGAAAAAGAGTGCTTTAAATTCAATATGATGAAGGGATCAGCTCTAGATAACACTGTTCTCGTGAGGGGCGGGTTTGACGGTGACAAGACTCTCCATCATCTTTGCGATGACCTTTTGCTTGTTCTCCTTGTATTGCTGTGCAATTTCTTGGAGCTTCTGCTCAGTTTCCTCGTGCACTTTGCCTGCGTCGCCTGACTCTCCAGCATGCTACAAATGGATAACGATGAATGACTAGACCACTGTCTCTGCGAGTAAACTATTAGACACTGACCTCTGAAATAAACTGTTGGTATTCAGCATTCTTTTGAGCTTTGATATCATCGATCTCCTTGGTTGCTTCAGTACGAGCATCCTTCAGGCGTTGAACGCGGTCTGTATAAGACAGATAGTGGAGTCAGTACGGCGGTGTCTTTGTCAGAAAAAGAAAGCAGACCACCCAGATGTGTTCTACTGTTTCTCAAAGGGTTGGCCTCTTTATGTGCTCTTACATTGCTTAGCCTTCTCTACAATCTTTGCTGCCTCTCGCTCTGCCTCCAGGAGGGTATTGATTCCTTGTGAGCTTGATGCAGACTATAGTTGCGGAATGACGTTGTAATGAAAGATAATGGAAGGGAATCAAATCAATATACTACTTCACGCTTATCAATGCTTTAATGTGCATAGCTTGCTCGCTACATAAACTTACCATTGAAGAGTTTATGTGTGATGAAGGAGATTCAACACGCTGACGGACCATGAACCGCCAGCTCTTACCTTCAAGCCACCCTAGATCACATGTTTGACAAAACCAGCCAGCCAGAAAATCCCAAAAATTTCAGCTGTAAGGCTCTCTGCCATAAAGTGTCGGCCCACACGACCATTAAGTTATCAACTTGCCTATGCTGAGACGCTTGCAAATGAAGCGATAGTTTTCTAGGATATATGAGGCTTTTTGAAGATATATGCTGATCTTGCGTGTATCGCACGCAAGAACACCCGTCTTTAGGGTTGATGTCAAAATTGTGATAGAGCATCAAAACATAGCTCAACTTTCACTCATAGGCCCTTGGGGCTTTCAATGACTAGGAGCCACTTTGGCAGTACATTTTCAGAACCAAACGCTCACTAATTCATTCGTTTCGTGAAAGCGTAATGACAGGAAGCACTTTTTTAATTTCACCAGAAAGAGTCGAGAGGACGCTAGGTTTCACTCTGAAATCGATTTGGCCAGACTTGATTCAGCACGCCAGGGCCTTATGTACTGTCGCTACGACCTGTTTAAAAGTATTACCTGGAAACCAGCATAAACAAACTTCCTCAGTAGGAAATCATGTGCGGTGTCCAACCGACGCTAACGAACCTAGTTTTTAGCAACGATGACCCCACGCTAAATATGATTCATGTGTTCAGAAGTAGTCATCGCTACTGAATTGAAATCATGCTTTGTGGAACCCACCTTGGACCCAGCGGTGACGGTTGTCATCCGGAAAAACAATTTGTTCACTGAGTGGCCATTGTGTTTTTTACTTCCATTGATGAATTAATAAAATTGGCATATTTATACACATACTGCTTGTGGAAGCCAGTTGTGGACATCAAATCGATGGCTGGTATTCGTCTTGCAATTTGTATACTTTGATCTGATAATAAATGGAAAGCAGTTGAATATGATTTTCTCGCACCTTGATGTCACCATGTATCCTGAGTTGTTTGTCGTTAGGCCAGACTGACCATACGGTGGACCTTCAGCAAGTTGACTTTTAAGACAAGGTATTAATGGTGCAATGTTCATTTGTAAAATAGAGTGACATAGACAATATCCTTACAGATGACTGCCAAGAAATGGAGGATATGACGTTTGACAGCCGAAAAATGACACCAAATTACCATTAGTCTGATCGAGGCTTCATGTCCCCTTGTTCGAACTTCCTCCTGTGTCTGGTGATTTAAATGTTGCATAATTGTAAAACTCAGCCCATCATATTTTGCATAAATGAGCTTTTTTGGTGCAAAAGGTGTTATAAAACATTATTCAGAGTGAGACTTGACGGCACTTGCTCACCTGAGTGATCAGCAGCTGCTGTTAAAGCTACCATGCATCGTTGGGTAAGTCCCAGTTGGCCAGTGATTTGACTGGAAGCAGCGTAAGCTTGTGGGTCGATTTCAATATGCTTTGGGCTGTCCACGGTTGTTGTCCTCTAGGCCGGTCTAATTATGGAAAGCTTTTTGACTGGCTCAAAAAAATAATGTCTTGCTGGTCACGCGGCTGAACGACCATCCAGTAGTGTCCTGAGCGCTAAGCGGGGTCTGAATATCGAAAATACGTTTTGAGAACCTCCATTGTGGAGCCACTTTGCCTCCTTCTTTCCCAGTTTTACTTTTCTCGTTTTTTTATAACTCTAAAGAAGCTCTTTTGAACTTGATCTTTCATATCATAACACTGATTCTTATTCAACCGTGATGTTCGAACCATCAGTAAGTTATTTCGCTTCTTGCCACACTCCGTACCCCCTCATTCTCCGCCTCTGCTTTGACCTTGCGCACCTCTGAAGGAGAGACCTTGCCAAAAAAAAAGGGGGTGCCTTAAAAGCAGGAGGTCTTTTACAGTTAATGAGAACGTGCCAGTGATAAGAAAATAATAATAGTGTTGCTCACGCAATCTCTCTGCATAGCAACACCAATCCAGTTCGGCTTGGCAAACTGTAAGTTGTCGAATGGCTAACCCAGTGGTTTGTCAGCCAGCCTTTTGACGACGCCAGATTACGTTTACTTTGTGAACTGACTCTTATCCTCTCTTTATTTTTTCAAAATCAGTTGAGCCGATCTTCTGACCATTCTAACAACTGGAACATGACCGCTAATGGCGACGACTCTAGCAGTGCTGGCGGCAAAACCGATATCTTTTCAGAAAGTTCTTCTATCAGTCCGCCCAACACTCCGGGACCCAGTGCTGCCGTTCCCCCAATCAACTATGTAGGCGAGCAAAATTGGTCCTCGTTCTTATCCACCTCGCAAAAATCGCTATTTGATCTGCCTTCTCCTGACACCCAGTACGAACCTAAATTTGCTAACTTGGCACAACAACAACAACGACGTACTAGTGTAGAAAATATTTGGAATACTAGCTCCCAACAGCCGAAAACATCTTCCATTTGGTCGGAAGGTCTCCCTAAGCAGGGTTTGGCTCCCGTTCTGCAAGATTCGGCCTTCAGTAAAGACCCGCCGTTCAGAACTTACCGTAGTTTTTCGCAAGCCGTCCCAAATTCCGCCAAGCGGGAACCAATGTACCAGAACTCGCTACCAATGACTTCCGAGGAAGAAGAAGTCGAATACAACAACAGTTCTATTCGATCCATGTCGTCTGGTGCTGTCCTGGGAGGTATTCTGGATTACCCCAAGTCGTCACCAAATACAATCTGGAGCCCTGTGCCACATGTGCAACGTGACTCAAGATTCAGCGACATGCACCCACATTTTGCAGAACAACCTGCTTATCTTGACAATAGTTCTATGGACCCGTTAAGACGATTTTCTACTGTCTCTGAGAATTTGGATATGTACAAGTCAACGAATTTCCTCGACAGGTAAGGTGTTTTGTGAAAAAGTGGCATTTTTTTCTTGGCAGTCAAACATTGAGCTGATCTGGTAATTTACATAGTGCCTACGCAATAGCAGCCAATCAAAGACGCCATTCCGTTGCAGGAACCTTGAACAAAGGTCCAAAAGACGTTAACAGCATGCGCCAATCATTCAATGACCTTGGCTTAGAAGACCATAGTGTGCCTTATCCGTCTGCTGCCAATCCGAACTCTTTAATGGCTCCTAGTCAGCACGATATGGTTGCCATTAACGAATACTTTGATGACCGCCGTACAATGCAGCAAGAAATGGGTAAAGGCATTCCTCTTCACCAGGTACAGGGAGCGCTCTACACTGTGGAATTTAAGGGTACTCGTTCAGATACATTCTATGTATCGGAAGCCGATGCTTTATCTGGACTTCATCCAAGATGTGGCGATCTTGTCATTGTGGAAGCTGACCGTGGTAAAGATCTTGGTACCGTGGTGACCGAAAATGTTTCCAAGGACACGGTTGATAGCGTTGGCTCCAAATCTAACTCAACTCGCGAAGTGTATCCAAAACGCATCTACCGTTTGGCCCAACCTCAAGAAGTATCTCTACTCGCAGTCAAAAAGCAGGATGAAGAAAAGGCACTGTTTCTTTGCCAATCGAAGATTGCTCGTCTCAACCTGCCAATGGAGGTTGTGAGCGCTGAGTATCAATGGTAAGTTACTTGTCAACTTATTACACAACATGGATCGATTGATGTATTTATTTGTTCCTGTCATTTTAGGGATCGACGAAAATTGACCTTTTTCTTTATTGCTGATCGAAGAATCGACTTTCGGGATCTTGTACGTGATCTCTTCAAGACGTATAAAACCAGAATTTGGATGTGCGCCATGAAGTCTGTAGGCGACTCACCGGATTCTTGAGGAACTTTCCCTTCTCCTTTCCAACACAGCAACGCAGGAAAGTTCCATAGAGTTTAGCTAGAGCATACTGCATAATTTCAGTTGGTGGCATTTGAACCACCCTTTTCCCATTAGACTGTAGAAAAACTTACTCTTTTATTTCCCTTTCTCTGTACTTTTCCCCCTCCCTCTTTTTGTTGCAAAAAGAATAAAAATAACATATGTGTACATGGTAATACAACGGAGAGCCATCATGTAATGCAGCATCTGCAGTTCATGATACTCTACATGATAACCAGTCTGTTACTGGCGTCTCCCCGAGCCTGATAGTGGCTGCGTGTACCCCACAGATTAGTTTTTAGCTTCTACGGTGCCTTTCCCGTTTGCGCCGAGATCATCTTGGACCGAGTGCATGAGAAAGCAAACGGCCAGGAGGTCGTGGCAGTCGACGAAAAACTTACAGTTTCAGTTACAACATACCGGTTTGGATCTACCAGTATATATGACTAAGACTCATTTCTTGTTTAGGTTGTTAAATTATGGCAAATTGGACATTGGAAACTGAAATAAGGCTGACTCCGGAGTACCTGGTATGACTATAAATCAATAGCAAATTATAGTGTTGTCGTCGTGACTACAGCAAACCAGCTTCCAGTTGGATGGAACTGTCGTCAGATAGAGGTTCCATTCTATACAAGCCCGTTTACCTCTTTAATAGTGACAGCAACCTTGAAGCATATGCGTAGCAGTTATGGGATTGTAGCCTTTTTTTTTGGTTTTTGTAGCAAAAGGTCTGTAATGGAAAAATTGCTCTACTCTCAGAGGGAGGGTATTGTGACTTTGGAAAATTCTCATAAGAAAAAAAAAAAAAAGTCGTTGTCCGACAGAACTGAACTTGCAAGCAACCTGTCGGCCACATGAGCACTGCTGCAACAAAATCTCGGACGGCTCCGTCCTCGAATTGGAAGAAGTTAGCTACAGTAAGACTTTTCTCCTGTATTATTTCCATGTACCATAAGTTCCAGTCCTCATTCTTTGCTTTCAATAGACATTGCAAAAGTCAGATCAAGTCACAGGCAAGAAGCGAAAACCTTCCACACAAACTTCAACTGCTAACAAGAAGGCAAAAACAAGGTATGCTCGGATATTGGTGCAATCAATGTGTTTAATTTCATTTCCTAACTTCTCATCTTGTATTCGATTTTGTCAGTCCGGCATCAGCTGCAACAACAGACAAAAAACCGCCAGCAAAGGACAGTCTCTGGTTTGCCGATGACATTGATGAAGATGATTTAAAACGTGCGTATGGAGGTGGAGAAAAAATCGTGAAAGAGGACATTGTGAAGACTATGGATGCCACGACGGGTAAAGACGCAAAGTAAGTGATTTTCGAAACTAGCTGTGCCAATTGTTCGCCTGGATCACTAATATCTTTTTTTTGCGCTCTTTAAGGCTTGGGAAATACGTTGCTATCGATTGTGAAATGGTTGGTGTCGGACCAGATGGCGAAGAGTCTGCACTTGCTAGAGTCAGTTTAGTGAACTATAACGGAGCGGTTCTTATGGACGATTTCGTGAAGCCCCAGGAACGAGTGACCGATTTCCGTACGGCTGTTAGTGGTATCACTCCAAAGCATCTTGTGAATGGTAAGCACTTGTAGAACTATTAGACAATTAGAGTACTCTCTAATCAAACCCCCCCCCAATAGCCATCTCGTTCAAGGAAGCACAGAAAAAGGTGGCGGAAATCATCAAGGATCGTATCTTAGTTGGGCATGCTGTTTACAACGATTTGAAGGCGCTCATGCTGGATCATCCCAGAATTCTCATCCGCGACACCAGCCGATATAAACCATTCCGAAAACACTCCAAAGGTCGAACTCCAGGTTTGAAGTTATTGGTCAAGGAAGTCTTGTCCATCTCCATTCAGTCCGGTAGTCACTCTTCTGTAAGTCTTACGTTCAATGTAGATATGAAAGCAGCTGATGGCACGTATGTATACTAATTAATTGGGACATACTCTCTTAGGTGGAAGATGCTAGATTCACCATGTTGCTATACAAGAAGGTCAAAAGTGACTGGGACCGATCGCTTGGTAGTCAGAGAATGAAGGAGATGAAACTCACCAAAGGAATCAAAACGAAACAAAACGGCAAGACGGTAACCACAACCAAAACCGTAAGCATGGCGTCGGCTACAAAATCGGCCAATACAGCCGCTAGTGATAATGAAGATGATGACTAGTTAGTGGTCTGTCATCTGGATGTTTAATGTATATCAACTGTAATTCCCGCCCAGCGTCTTTCTTTCAATTGTACAAAAACCAGCATTCACATATCTGGACACATTAGCATGAAACATGCTAATAATGATATGAACAAATAAAAAAAAAAAGAATAGAATAACCAACAAACAATAATACGATATGCTATTTTTGTTCGGAAGAGGTGACGAAAGGCAACGTTAGAAATGACAGAAAAATTTCGATAGGCAAAGAATCTTAGAGGCAATAAAATCGCCACTTGAGTTTTGGCTTGGTGACGAAAACATCGTTACGGGTACATAGCATCTTTTCAAAGTATTGAAGGCATTCAAGGTGTTCAATGGAATGTAATCCATCAACCAGGATAACCTGGCTCAAGGTGCAGGAGGCTAAATTTCGGATATGCCGTCGTCGTCGATTCAATAGCACAGCAGCCGGTCTGTACCAGTTTTGACATACCTGAGTGGTCTGCTGCAACTCGGACGTGGAGAGATATGAAAATATATTGAGGAGGATATCATCAGGAAGTTGACTTGGCAAATTGCTGTTGGTCGAATCGAGGATCTTGCATTTGGAATCCATTGGCGGCGGTTGCTGGGTTTGCTTTCTAGGTATGTCGTGGGATCGTTGTTGAGGAATTCGAGGCATAGCAAGATCACCTAACCATCGATTGAGCCAGGGTCTGGGTGATGGGTTTTTTATCATGGATAGCCTCTAGAACGGTTGAAAAGAGTCTTAGTTAGGCGGCTACCCTTCAGACGCGGGGCCGCCGATGCACCCTGTTATATACGTTGAGGAGAAGTCGGGAACGACGACGATCAATCGCTGACCACTACAGTTTAAGGCAAAGTTCGCGGGGATCCTTTCCTTGCCGGTGGGGTTGATCGACTACAACCGTGGGTAATACAGCAAAAGGTCTGCTGAAAAGTTGAATCACACTTCCCCCTGACGAAAGTGCAAGGGAAAATAAAGGTGCCACATTGTTTACCCCACAGATGTCCCTCCCACCCGGCCAAATGCAATTCAAATGCCAAATTAAAAAATATAAAAATTATAAAAAACTTAAAGCCAGTGCAAACTGCACTCTGTTGCTGTTCATTGAGGTACACGTCAGGGTCGTGGCGCAGATTGGCTTCGCTGAGTCATTATTGAAATATTGACGGTGTTCAATCAGCTTTATCTCCTGGCATACGAAATACAGACACCTTTTCCCATACTACTTTTTTGTTGGCTCGTTATCGGTAGGCACCACCATGCTACTGTTTTAGAGCCACGACGGCGCAGAACAGAAACGGTATTAAAACAGCGCCAGGTATCAGGGCAACTGGTTGACATAAGGGATTAAGCATGCCCAAAACATCGAATACGTTTGAAACAAGCCCACTGCGCCCAAGGAAGAGATGCTCAATCCATTGCGTTGAAAGTAAATAACCACACGTTCATCGTTTTTTGTCATATTAATATTCCTAACAGCTGTCAAACTGATTATATCGCATCATGATACTCTCAAAATGCTAACACAAGATCGAAGTCACTGATTGCTGATGCCGACAGATAAGTAGGTGTCCTAAAAAAAATTATATCCAAACTGTATCTTTGCGCGATAAGTTCTCAATACAAAGAGACAAAGGAGACCCCCACACATGGCCATTGGAAGGCTTCGATGCTAGTATTAGCGTTGACATGAGATTATTGGGAATTCCTACCTCTCTCCCGTAATTATATCGTGAGAAACCGGGTGTCCATCCGAAGTATTCCCATTGTTGTCTTGTTTTCCACAGTAGACTACTTACTGTGATCTGTATATGAAGATTCGCTGGCAAGCGAAATCTATGCGATCGAATAAGGAGTGCAGTAAGCTAGGCGATTGTCAGTGAGTCACCCTGGCAACAGTAACAGATTCTTGGGGTCACTGGGACTGCTTTTCAGATCAACAGGTGTTGGTTTTGGGATATACCAAAATCATCCGAAGGTGATATCTTGCCATTTTCAATATAAGATATATATCCTCCCATTGGTTTTGCAGAAAAAAAGCTTCAACTCAAGTGAAAGAACAGTGCAAAGAGCGCGGTACTGAAATGCATTGCATGGTTGGGGAGGCGCCTTGCCCTTGGCCGCGGTCAACATGCCATATTGGGCAGGCTAGCAGTCACATAGTTTTTGGTGTCGGTCCTCGGGGTTTGGTGACGCGACGGTCTGAGTGATGTGTGCGATGATGGGCATGAAAAAAAAAATATAAAAATCCCTAGTCTTAATCCAACCGCTGTTTTCATTTCTCTTCAGAAACATTTTTCTTACTTAAATATGTCTACTGTCACCAAGGTTCACGCTCGCCAGATCTTCGATTCTCGTGGTAACCCCACCGTCGAAGTTGAGGTCACCACCTCCAAGGGTGTCTTCCGCGCCGATGTCCCCTCCGGTGCTTCTACTGGTATCCACGAGGCTCTTGAACTCCGTGACGGTGTTAAGGGAGACTATCTTGGCAAGGGTAAGTAGGAGATGGAATAGCAAAGGTATGCATGAAAACTTTTTACTGAGTCAATCCGGCTATAGGTGTTCTCAAGGCTGTTGAGAACGTCAACAAGGCCATTGCCCCCGCTCTTATTGAGTCCAAGATCGCCGTCACCGACCAAAAGGCTATTGATGAGTTCCTTCTCAAGCTTGACGGTACTGAGAACAAGAACAAGCTTGGTGCTAACGCCATTCTTGGTGTCTCTCTTGCTGTTGCTAAGGCTGGTGCTGGTGACAAGGGCATTCCTCTCTATGCTCACATCGCCGATCTTTCTAACTCCAAGCGTCCTTTCGTTCTCCCCGTTCCCGCTTTCAACGTTATCAACGGTGGTTCCCATGCTGGTAACAAGCTCGCTTTCCAAGAATTCATGATCCTTCCCACTGGAGCCTCCTCCTTCACTGAGGCCATGAAGATTGGTTCCGAGACCTACCACGCCTTGAAGAGCGTCATCAAGAAGAAGTACGGTTTGGATGCTACCAACGTTGGTGATGAGGGTGGTTTCGCTCCTAACATCCAAGAAGCCAAGGAAGGTCTTGATCTTCTCGTTGCTGCCATTGAAGCTGCTGGCTACACTGGCAAGGTTAAGATCGCTATGGATGTCGCTGCCTCCGAATTCTACAAGGATGGCAAGTACGATTTGGACTTCAAGAACCCCAACTCTGACCCCGCTGCCTACCTCACCGGTGAACAACTCGCCGATGTCTACAAGTCCTTTGCCGACAAGTACCCTAGTAAGTATCGTTATCTCTTATCGGTGTGACCAGATCATTTTGCATTTCAGTTATGCGGAGATCTAACGTTTAGATTGTGGCCATTCATTGTTCTGACTTGCAAATTTTTTTTTCTTTTCCAGTCGTTTCCATTGAGGATGCTTTCGACCAAGATGACTGGGACAACTGGACCCACCTCCGCACTACCTCTGAGTTCCAGCTTGTTGGTGATGACTTGACTGTCACTAACCCCAAGCGTATTGCTACTGCCATCGAGAAGAGCGCCTGCAATGCCCTTCTTCTCAAGGTCAACCAAATCGGTACCCTTACTGAGTCTATCCAGGCTGCTAAGGACTCCCAGGATGCTGGTTGGGGTGTCATGGTTTCCCACAGATCTGGTGAGACTGAGGATACCACCATTGGTAAGTCAACTTTTTTCATATCAGCTCCAAATAAACACTCCATCGACTCAAACTAACGCGATTCATTGCCTCATAGCCGATATCGTCGTTGGTCTCAGAACTGGTCAAATCAAGACTGGTGCTCCTTGCCGCTCTGAACGTCTTGCCAAGTACAACCAACTTCTTAGAATTGAAGAGGAGTTGGGTGACTCTGCCATCTACGCTGGTGAGAACTTCCGCAAGGCTCACGATATGTAAACACTTTTTCGCACTGCAAAAGCCCAAACACTCGCGCATGTCATATGTTGGTCCTTGTTGGCGTCATCTTTGAATGAGCAATGACAACTGTAGATAAAGAAACATTAAATGTATGAAACAACTTCTTTCAGACTGTGGTGTATGGGTAGAGGATTATTCAGCATGGCGTACTTTGGTTGGGCGAACTCGAGTCACTGCAAATGAACTACGCCTTTAAAGCCTGCGGGCCGTTACCTTAGGTGAAAGAGAGAGAGGCAGTATGTTGTTTATCGGAGATGTCTAGGACATCTTGCCATCTTTTGTTATAGACTGTTTCGTACGTCAACCCTTTCGTCGTCTGAGACTCTTCTAGCAAATCTTTTTTTACCTCGCTTATCTACCGAAGATCGGCAAAATCGTAGCTAAAATGCTACTGCGTCTAAAAAAAAAAATTGGGTCAATTTGCATAAGGTGTCGGGAAAAGTAACAAGCGCATTTCATTGGGAAATTTAGGGCAGTCCCAAACTCCAAGCTCAGTCCTCTTGCTCTCAAGATTAACGCTTCATGGAGTTAACTTATAGAGAAAGGTAAGCGATCCGTCTTTCAATGTTCAGTGAAATAGTTTTAGGTTACTGATTATCATCATTCTCAGGGTTGAATACTTTAAAAAGGCTCTTGAGTATGATCCTATAGAGAGCGAGTTGCTACCGCCTGAAGAAGCGGTGATTGACATGGCTTACTTTCGGGAGGCATGTTTTCAAGGTAAGCAGGGACCCTATGTAGCTGATCATCATTCAAGGCAGTCGATTTATCCCATTTGTTTTATGGAAATTAGGCATTCCAGACGAAGCTGGCATTCGCTCAAAGGCGTGGAGGGTGTTATTAGGGTATTTACCAGCCGATAAGAGGAAGTGGAAACAAGTGCTGTCAGAACAACGAAGGAGCTACTATGTAATTTTCTCGTCTTATTAACGGTCTTTGGTACGCTTATTTGGCTCACTCCCATTGATGTTTTATAGAATTGGGTATCTGAGCTGCTCAATGTTCCTGGTGATGAACCTCCAAGCGCTGACCATGTGAGTATGACTCGTGCTAAAGTGATATTCCACACGCGCGGGCCGCCTTTCTCCCCCCCCCTATGTACTTGGGCTCATTCTTACCTTTCTATTGGTTCTAGCCTCTTAATTCTAAACCTGACTCTAAATGGGCAGTGTATTTTCAAGACAATGCTGCATTGGAACAAATTGATAAAGATGTCCGACGAACGTTACCCGACTTTGCATTCTTTCAGCTTCCTGTACCCAAGAGTCCCCTCAATCCATTGTCTCCTCCCATAGAAGAAGAAGACGACAATGATGAAGCTGCAGAAGCAAAAAAGGAAATGGAAGGTGGCGATGACCAAATTGACAAGTCTGGTCGCCTATTTCCCTTTGGATTGGGTCGTCGACCACGTTCATCTTCGACTGCATCACGCAAATCGACCAAGTCAACAAAGGGAAATCGGTCACGGTCCAATTCAAAGAGTTCTGTCAAGTCTATGGGTACTGGAGTCGATTCCAGCGATCCTCTCACCAAAATCTCCTCCCCTTTGAATATGGTGCGTCGATTTTCTCATGCGCTTAAAGGTTCACCAAATCCACAACAAGATATAAATCGTCGGCTAGATCATCAGCAAAATCATCAAAAAGAAATTGATTATACCAAATATGAGATTTATCCACACATTCTTAATCGACGCAGTTTGTTTAAGCGCATCGCTCATTTGAACAAGGATTTTGGAGCTAGAGAGCATCAGGACATGAAAAAAGCGAAAGCCAAGAAGGGAGGTTCATCGCCGATTGAGGATGGTTCCGAGGAACATTTGAAGGTCGATAACTACAAGATCCAAGATTTGCACTGGGAAGCTATCGAACGCCTGTTGTTTATTTACGTCAAATTGAATCCTGGTGTAGGCTACGTCCAAGGCATGAATGAGCTATTGGGACCTATCTACTATGTCTTTGCTCAAGATTCAGATGATGTTGAAGCGCAAGCCCATGCTGAAGCGGATTCCTTCTTCGTGTTCAGTCTGCTTATGAGTGATGTACGAGATCACTTTACCCGAACTTTAGACCATGATGCCAACACCGGCATCAATGCTACTATGACAAGAATGAGTGATCAGCTAAAACGGTTGAACCCTAAGCTATGGCGTAATCTCACCGTTGACAAGGAGATAAAAGAACAGTTCTATGCATTCCGATGGATCACTGTTTTGTATACCCAAGAATGGGATTTGCCGGATGTCATACGAATATGGGACTCGCTGTTAGCTGATCGTTGCATGCATACATCGTCCAGTGCTACGGCATCGCAAGGCATAGATCGGTTTCAATTTCTGTTGGACTTTTCCGTTGCCATGGTTCTGTAAGTGATTGAACAATATGTCTTTGCCCATTTCTGCCGTCCAAGTGATATTTATACCGCTGCTACAGATGTGTTACGGACGAGCTTCTGGTAGGAGATTTTGCGGAAAACATCAGGCTGTTACAGGTTCGTTGAGATACATGTTTGTTCAATATTGTTGCCATCTACTATGACTAACCACTTGCTTAAAACAGAATTACCCAATTAGTGATCTGCAAGTGGTATTGAACAAAGCATACGCCATTCGAGAAAAGAGAATGAAATTGGAAGAAAACGGAGGTTTCATGGCAAGAGATGCGGATGACCGAGCTTCCATTACATCGGTAGACTCGGTCAATCGACTAAAACACCTCTTTAATAGCGAATCTTCGCGCGCAAGTTGGGACAGGACGCGAAACTCGCTGGACGATATGTTTCGTAACTCTTGGGTGGGTAACGCTGGAAAACGCGGCAGCATGCTCTCTGTAGCAACTACAGAGAGTGCTCCACCGGACATGACTAGCCGAGCCAATGGAATGGTACGAAATTTAGGCAGTCGGTTCAGCTTGATTGGCAGACGCAGTGCAAACAGCTTAAATGAAGCGGACTACCCCGCAAGCTCATTCCCCGCTGTCAAGAAGGATGTGCAGACTCCTCGTACCACCACCGGGCCCTCCAAGCAAGCCAACGGACCCTCCGTGTTTGAGCGATTCTCTAACTTCGTGGCCAACAATCACAATTCCCCCCTCAATGAGCAGCCGTCATTATCAACTAGCGAACGCTTCAAACGTGATGTTGCGCAGCAACTAGGTCCGAACCCTACATTGGAGGAGGAAGCTGCTCTCCAGGCTTCTCTCGCTGCACGCACCGTCATGCACGACCCTAGCCGCCAGTACCGTAGTCAAGACCAAGGCTATAGTGGTCTCATCTAAGATTTTCTCTTAGTCTCGTTACTGTCTCAACCGACATGGAGTTTCTCGCTCTTGCTGTACAATAGTATTTTAAGATATTTTTCTTGTTGCTATGAGCTTACGCCTATCTTTGTGCTCTGCATCATACCTACCGCGAGCCATCTCCTTTTCTTAGCTAGAATGTATAGTATGGTTTGGTCTATTTGCTCCAACTTCACATGACATGGATACCTTTGTGTAATGAATGACAGCAGGCGCTATGCTCACGGCCAACAAGTGCGAGACCGACAATATGATCCTATTCCACTTGACCATATATTATTAATGATAGAGCCCCATGGACTATAAGGCATCAATTATAATATACTTACTTGTTCACTATTTTGTTATCTTTCCAACTCATTATTTGGCATATCGCTATATCAACGTCTTCACATGTCAGTCTGGTGATTTTTTCAGTGGTGCAAAGTGTGGAGAAGCCGTCACACAAAGTATGCATTAAACTACGGCAAATTTCAATTTATCCCTCTTTACCCTTGCTCTTCTTCTATATCCCCACTCCAAATGTCCAAAAAGTTCACTGTTGAGCAAGTAGCTGAGCATAATAGCGAGAGCGATTGGTAGGTTGCTAAAGAATGGCGTCAAATCGTACAAGTCGGCGTTATTTACTATGGCCAATGTCCGTTAACATAAATTTCATGGGTTTACCTCAACTTTAGCTGGATTATCGTTCATGACAAAGTATATGATGTAACCAAATTTTTAAAAGAACATCCAGGTAGGCATTAATTCTTTTCTTTCGTCAAACTATTCTTTTACGATGCATTTTTGTGTTCATCCAATTCAGGAAGATAACAACTTAATAATTACGCTTTTACCATAGGTGGTAAGAAGGTACTGCTCAAAGCCTCTGGTACCGATGCCACAAAGCAATTCGATGCCTTCCACAACAAAGGAGTTCTTGATCAATATGGCCCTGGTCTACAAATCGGCACCATTGGTTCAGCTGATGCTGATAATGATCAAGATGGAGAGGAATGGTCAGTATCGCCTGTCGCATTTGGTGACCCCATGTGGCACACACTCGCTAGCCCATACTATAACGATTCCCATCGTGCCCTACGAAATGCTGTCCGTTCCTTCGTTGACAAGGAGCTTACTCCTTACTGCCATGAGTGGGATGAAGCTAAGCAATTGCCTAGAGCGATGTTCAAGAAGGCTGCAGAAGCTGGTATTCTTGCTGCTGTGATCCAGAATATTCCTAAAGACCTGTGCCCTTACGACTTACCCGGCGGTGTCAAGGTTGAAGACTTTGACCCTTTCCATGGTATTGTTACTATGGATGAGCTTTCTCGATGCGGCTCAGGTGGTGTTGTTTGGTCTATTTGTGGAGGTAAGTCTTACATCTAATCTGCATAAATTCGTTTTGCGATGCCGTGTACCATGACTGACACAATTGAAAAAAAAAAAAAGGCCTCGGTATTGGATTGCCGCCAGTGATTCAACACGGTAGCGACTATCTCAAGAAGAAGGTTGTTCCCGCTTGCCTCGGTGGTGACAAGGTTATCTGTTTGGCTATTACTGAACCCACCGCTGGATCGGATGTTGCTGGTCTAAAGTGTGAAGCCCGCGACGAAGGTGACCATTATATTGTCAATGGTGAGAAGGTACTGAAACCTTTTTATGTATTTTTTATCTAGTCTGAAAATTATAGCACGAATTTGACACCTATCTATCTCCAACACAGAAATGGATTACAAATGGCGTTTATGCAGATTTCTTCACCGTCGCTGTTCGCACTGGTGAGCCAGGTTTCAACGGAATTTCCTTGTTGCTTATTGAGCGCTCTATGCCAGGTGTAAGCACTCGTCAGATGAAGTGCTCTGGTGTATGGCCATCGGGTACAGCGTATATCACCTTCGAAGACGTCAAGGTACCCAAAGAAAATCTCATTGGAAAAGAGAACCGTGGGTTCAAGTACATTATGCAAAACTTTAACCATGAACGAATGGGAATTGTCATCCAAGCCAACCGTTTCGCGCGCGTATGCATTGAAGAATGCATGATCTATGCTGACAAGCGTCGTACCTTTGGAAAGAAACTGATCGATCATCCCGTCATTCGTAACAAGTTGGGTCACATGATCCGTCAAGTCGAGGCAACCCATGCTTGGATGGAAGCCATGGCTTTCCAAGCACAACAGATGCCTGAAGAGGAACAAGCTATCCGATTGGGAGGTCCCATTGCTCTCCTCAAAGCGCAGTCCACTCAAACTTTTGAGTATTGCGCTCGCGAAGCTGCTCAAATTTTCGGTGGTTTGGCATACACTCGCGGTGGCCAAGGCGAAAAGATTGAACGTCTGTATCGTGAGGTCCGTGCCTATGCTATTCCTGGAGGTAGTGAGGAGATCATGATAGATCTTGGTGTACGTCAATCTAAGAAAGTAAATGAATTCTTCAATGCACCAAAGCTGTAGACGTCTATTCTTTCGCTAAAGACATAGTGAACTGCCCTATGAAGAAATTAATCAATAAAAAAAAATAAAAAAAAGAGAATATTGTTCATTTTGGAAGCAAGATTTATTCGATTGAGTAAGACTGTAACCTATATATGTTTCCTGTATTGCTATGCTTAAGATTTGATTAATACTGTTGGTTCGTGATCAAAGAACAATGATTAGCGACGTAAAGCACAGGGTAATGCGGGCTTCCGCTGTCAGGCCTACATTTAATTTCACACAACAGTACAGAAGCAACCAAAGCTACAGGGCAATTGCACTTGCTTGATTGTAATAAACCGAAAACGAACTGATATAAAATACTAACATCGGCTGCTCTTTCATGGCCTTGCGAGTGATGTCTCCGCTGTCTCTCTGGGCAATATTAGTAAAAATGAATTTATGGTACCGCAATTTCTATGGACCAGCACTTTCTCCACACGTGTACAACTGTGCCATCCCAACACAATAGTAACTTATTTTCAGGTCAGCATACGGCACTAAGCGGACATCAACCACCCGAGCTTGTACATGCCTAGCCCTTTCTCAGCGTCTGCATTATGGAGTTGTACCGTGTACGTTCCGGCTATACAATTGCATATATGAATATGTGCATGCTCTTCTGTTGCACACTTATGACAACAATGAATAGCTGTACATTCGCGTCATTCTCTTATAACTGTTGGGTACGCTATTGTTGTTGATCTAATGTTGAATATTGGCTGCTCTTCGAGTTTCATTAATTATACGCTTGAGCTACATCATTATATTTTAACACAGCATGGTCTCACAGTCATATGATATGTACAACAAGATTTTGACAACGGGATCAAAGATGAAGGCTGCGATATCGTTACCAATGTTTATGTCAAAGAGTGATTGCATCTCCATTGATATTCATCAGTCTCTCAGTTAGACAGTTAATTTATCGATGGTCAGATCGTTATAGCTATGGAACAAACCGCTATTCATCTGCTATAGCTGTTGGAGGCTCTGTGGTGGGCTATGCTATTACCCTCTAAATATTGAGTTCAAATTTCCCAAGCAGTTGGGGTGAGCGTTATCTTGACTGTAACACTGACACGTGCACCTGTTTAGGCATCAAGATCCAGCAGCTCCAATGGCTGTCCTTCTCTCCGCGCACATGAGCCTTCGTATCCACTTGGACAATATGGTGTACTAAATTGTTATGATAGACCTTACCTTCATTTCTACATGTTTACCGTCATTTGCCTGCCAGTATCACTAGTTTGACCCGCCTGAGATCCCGGGTCCTGGTTCACTTGCTAGCCCGCCATCCTCAAAAGACACGCACCAAACTTTTTTTTTTTTTTTTGAAAATTTTTTTGGAGCCCAGCTATACCCCATCCAGCATCGGCCAATCATAACGTAGAGCAACAGGAACTAATAGCTAAAGCTATAAAAACGTAAATACAAAAAAATTTGAGCAACTCCCTGTCTCAAACCAAAACTACATCATGTCCTACAAAGTTGCTGACATCTCACTCGCCGCCTTCGGTCGCAAGGGTAAGTAATCTTATTGATCAACTAGAACGATCTATGTGCACCGCGTTTCTCCGTGCTGATCCAACCTGTCATCTACTTGTTTTTAGAATTGAACATTGCCGAGCTCGAAATGCCCGGTCTTATGTACTTGCGTGAGAAGTATGGTCCTTCCCAGCCTCTCAAGGGTGCCCGCATTGCCGGTTGCTTGCACATGACCATCGTAAGTGTTTTTTGTAGGTCAATCATGGTTATTATAAGAAGGGAAACTGACTGGCGCGTTTTCACCGTTTAGCAAACCGCTGTCCTCATCGAGACCCTTACTGCTCTCGGTGCTGATGTTACCTGGTCTTCCTGCAACATCTTCTCCACCCAGGATCACGCCGCTGCTGCCATCGCTGCCACTGGTGTCCCTGTCTACGCCTGGAAGGGTGAGACTGATGAGGAATTCGTCTGGTGTATCGAGCAAACTTTGTACTTCCCTGATGGACAACCCCTTAACATGATTCTCGATGATGGTGGTGATCTTACCAACATTGTCCACGAGAAGTACCCCCAATTGCTCGCTGGTATCAAGGGTCTCTCCGAGGAGACCACCACTGGTGTCCACAACCTTTACAAGATGATGAAGAACGGTACCTTGAAGCTTCCTTCCATCAACGTCAACGACTCCGTCACCAAGTCCAAGTTCGATAACTTGTACGGTTGCCGTGAATCCCTTCTCGATGGTATCAAGCGTGCCACCGATGTTATGATTGCTGGTAAGGTCTCCGTTGTTGCCGGTTACGGTGATGTCGGTAAGGGTTGCGCTGCTGCTCTCCGATCCTTCGGTTCCCGTGTCATCGTCACCGAAATCGATCCCATCAACGCTCTTCAAGCTGCTATGGAAGGTTTCGAAGTCACCACCATGGAGGATGCTGTCAAGGAGGCTAACATTTTCGTTACCACCACTGGCTGCCGTGATATCATCGTTGGTCAACACTTCGAGGCCATGAAGGATGATGCTATTGTCTGCAACATTGGTCACTTCGATATTGAAATCGATGTCGCTTGGCTCAAGGCCAACGCCGCTTCCGTTGAGAACATCAAGCCCCAAGTTGATCGTTTCACCATGAAGAACGGTAACCACATCATTCTCCTTGCTGAGGGTCGTCTTGTCAACCTTGGATGCGCTACTGGCCATCCTTCTTTCGTCATGTCCAACTCCTTCTCCAACCAAGTTCTTGCTCAGCTCGCTTTGTGGACCAACCCCGAGGCCTGGACCGTCGGTGTCCACGTCTTGCCCAAGAAGCTCGATGAGGAAGTCGCTGCTGCCCATCTTGGCAAGCTCGGTGTTAAGCTCTCCAAGCTTTCCGATGTCCAATCTGACTACCTCAGCATTCCCCAAGAAGGTCCCTTCAAGCCCGACCACTACCGTTACTAAGCGGTGGATTGTACCATATCCCTATAAAAGAATGCCTGGAATCTCTTTATTGGTTTGTTGATCACCTCTAGATTGGGTGGTCAGCTCGTCTTTAAAAGAAGTTGCACAAAAAAAAAAATGAAGTAACAAAATCCAATTGTAATATAGCATCTCAACATGTTTTCATTTAAAAAATAAATAAACCGCATTCAACATGTAATAACTCTGGTCTACTCTGTGAAGAATAGAAAGCTTTTAGATCTTATGGCTGATAATGCAAATGATGGATATTGACGGTACTCCCGTTAACACCTGCGCCGCACAAGATGGGTTGAGTCTCTGGTTTCAGCGACATCCTTTGCTAGGTTTCACTCCATGATTGCGAAAGATTATTGAAGCTGTTCAGTCAGCAAAGGTTGCCGTTCGGATGACATAATGATGGAAAATCCCATTGCGGATAGCTGATTGTATCGGGAAAGTGCCTACTGTCGTAAAAGGTATACTGCGAAATATGAAAATCCGTCAGCACCACTAAACTGGATCGGCGACAAAATTTTGCATTAATAAAAGCCCGTTTCCTATCCTATGAGATAAAACGTGTACTCTTTTCCTTTTATCCACTTCCGATATGGTCAAGAAGCTTCAAACCATTGCCACTGTAACGTCTTCGACGTTTACCGAGAAGACGTTCGAGGTCCCGGATCTTAAACCTTTTGAAGTTTACGTCAAAATCCGTGCTTGTGGTGTCTGTCACACTGATTTGTATGCGCTGGGCAACAAGGATGTCGTTGCTGGACACGAGACTATTGGTGAAATTGTAGAGTTAGGTTCAATGGTGGTCAACTTCAAGCCTGGTGACATCGTCGGGTAAGATGGACTCTATTCTTAACGGAGGGCAGCAGCCGTGTAGATATGGCGCTGTATATCTTTGCTGACTGGCTTTGTTTGTTTTTCAGGTTTGGCTACCTCAAGGGTGCATGTTTTAATTGCGAACAATGCAACTCTGGTAACGAGATTCTGTGTCCTTCTCGAGTTATCTTTCCGACTGGCTTTGGTGGATTTGCACACGACACCGTGTTCGATTCCAGATTCTGCTACAAAATCCCGGAGGGAATAGAGCCAAAATATGCTGGCCCTCTAATGTGCGCTGGTGCAACCGTTTTCACTGCGATAACAAATTACGACGTCAAGCCGACCGATCGTATCGGTATCGTTGGTATCGGAGGTTTAGGCCATTTGGGTCTCCAATTTGCTCGTGCATGGGGATGCCATGTTGTGGCTATTTCTACCAACTCAGTAAGTTGTTGAAGCACTGAGAATGTCGGATTGATCTGCATACCAACTAAAGGTGTTTCTTTATCTTAGGCCAAGACCGATGAGGCCAAATCTTTCGGGGCATATGAATTTTGGAACAGCAAGGAATTTTCACCAGAGAAGACCGCCTCGCTCAATAAGCTAGATTTCATCCTAAACACTGTAAGCGGCGACTTACCATGGGACCAATACCTTACGCTGCTAAAGCCCAATGGTACTCTGATCAATGTTGGAGTCCCAGAGAAGCCGTTGTCTTTCCAAGGCGGCCCTATGATTGTTCACCAGTTGAGAGTGGTTGGTTCACTGGTAGCCAGTCGTCATCAAAACGCCAAAATGCTCGAGTTTGCTGCAAGACATAACATTCGTCCCAAAATTGAAGAATACCCCTTGGTAAGTGAAAAAGAAAGAAAAGTGAAAGGTTTTGAATGATAATCAGATGGCTATGTTTCTTACATTATAATCGCAATAGACTGCTGAAGGCACTACAGAAGCTGTTGCTGTTGTTGCTCAAAACAAGGCTCGTTACCGAGCTGTTCTAGTCGCTCAAAATTAAAGGATACCAGCAACAGGCATTTTTATATTCGCTGTTGGAGGATTCTTTTCCATGGGTTGTGCTTGCATAAAAGGTAGCGAGTAGGGATATTTGGACTAGTGAACTAGTGACATGTACAATTAATATCAGAACATTGAATAATAATAAAAAAGAAGTAGAAAAAGCCATTTTGCCGCATTAGGTGGTACTTCCAGACTATGGGCGATAGGACAGTGTCATGTCGCCCACATTTCTATGGCCATCATTGTTTGGGGTGGCGGCACCTCCTGAAGATGCGACGTCAAAAAAAGACCATAGCAGACTCATTGAGCTGTTGAGCCACAGTTGACATGCCATCTACAGAATGAAGCTTGTGCAACGATACAAGAAGGTGTGCATCGCTTCAAAATGATATGTTTTCTCAGTGACATTCTTAAATTTATTACCTCGTGCTACAGTCAGTGGTCTGCTTGCATCGTGGAAAATTTTTTTTGAAATTCGATCGCCGGTGGACACTGCCTGACCATTCACAGCGCACCCGTCACAATTGGAAAAGAAGATATAAAAATTTCGTTGAAAGGATGACAAATGGTTCAGTCTACATCTCCCCTCCAAGACTTCTCTCCTCCAAACATGGGCAAGACTGTACAGGCCATCTCCAACGTCAGCGAGACTGAATTCAAGGAACAATCTTTCAATGTACCAGACCTTAATCCATTTGAGGTGTACATCAAGGTGAAGGCCTGTGGGGTATGCCACACTGATTTGTACAAATTGGTTGGTAAGACTGATGTCGTAGCTGGCCATGAGACAGTTGGTCAAGTCATTGAAACTGGATCCCTGGTCAAACACCTGAAGGTTGGTGATATGGTTGGGTAGGTAAAGCTTACATGCGCAATTCGAATGACTTTACATGATTTAATGAACCCAAATTTCTTCATGTTTATCCTCATTATTTACTTGTAATGGCTACAGCTTTGGCTACTTGAAATCGTCTTGTCTGGATTGTGAGCAATGCTCTTCTGGAAACGAAATTCTATGTGCCGAGCGTGTTCGCTTTCCTGAAGGATTGGGAGGATTTGCCCACCAAGCGGTGTTCGACGCCCGATTCTGCTACAAGATACCCGAAAACATTGAGGCAAAACATGCTGGACCTCTCATGTGTGCTGGTGCTACTGTTTTCTCTGCTCTCTACAACTACAATGTTTCACCTACCCATCGTATTGGCGTTGTAGGAATTGGTGGTCTTGGGCACTTGGCTCTCCAGTTTGCAAGAGCCTGGGGCTGTCATGTAGTGGCTATTTCGACCAACTCGGTAAGTGATGGGTGGCAATGAATGAAGCAATGTGAGCTATGTGTGCTAACATAACCATAAACCCAGAACAAAGAGGAAGAAGCAAGATCTTTCGGAGCTCATGAATTTTGGAATAGTAGTGAATTCTCAGATGAGCAGCTTGAAAAACTGGACAAACTTGACTTCATTCTCAACACAGTCAGCGGAGATTTGGCTTGGGATCAGTACTTTTCTCTGTTGAAGCCCAATGGCACTTTTATCTTGGTTGGCGTGACTGAAAAGCCAATGACTTTCAACGCTGGCATCTTCCTAGGATATCAATTGAAATTCGCAGGTTCCCTTGTAGCAAGTCGTAACGTCAGCAACTTAATGTTGAAGTTCGCCGCAAGACATAATATCGAACCTCAAATTGAGGAGTACCCTATGGTAAGTGCAGAAGGGAGCTGACAATGGACGATCGCCTACCTATAATTGGCATTGTAGCACAGTCTCTAACCACCTTTTTCGTTATAGACTGCTGAAGGTACGGCACAGGCGGTACAAAGAGTTCGCGATAACAAGACACGTTACAGAGCTGTGTTGATTGCTCCAGAGTAACGACAAATTAGACAAGAAGGAGAAATACAAGAGGGGTCGATGCATCGGCGTGTAACCAAAAAGAAAATGGGAATCAATGGCGTTTATTTATTTTTACGTATGGTGAGGCCAACATGGAAAATATGTCGTCGATGTAATGTGGCAATAATAAATAAAAAGTAGGTGGTTTGTAAAGATTTGGCCACTACGGCGTGGAAGAGTAAAAAACGGTATGAGGAGAAAATGGCAAACGCTTGGTTAGGCAAAAAGCGGGTCGTAAGGAGACAGCAAACTTAAACAGGTTGGCGCACAAATACGACCATGATCGGCAATTCTGGTGGTGAAGCTGTTGTGGTTACGGGCTCGCGGTCTTATTTTCCTAACGAGCCATTTCTTTTTCACTTTTTAATCTGCTTCAAAAACCCCCTTCCCCTCTTCTCTCTCTTCTTTTTCTGTTGTTAATCATCTTTTCATTTACTATTCCCTTCACTTCCCTCGCCTCGCTCTACATTGGGAACGCTGTTTGACCATGTTTTCTCCAGACAAATGGGAGGTTCTCTCTGAGATTAACAGCGTGCTCTGCATCACAATCGTCTGTTTCTTCCTTGGAAGAAAACTCTCTTCACAACAAGGTCCAGCGCATTATGCCCGTATCCTTGTGCTATCCCTTTTCTCGGTATCCTGGGCATTCAATTTGATTTCAACACTTCTTGTCAGCACAAACAACAACAACATCTTATCATGTAGTCTTAGCATCTTCATGTGCATCACACTCTATGCCATGAGTAAGATTCTAATATATCTGTTTCTCATCGAAAAGGCAAGTTTATTCTATCGATATATCGATTTTTCTTTCTTTGAAATGCAGCTCGTGCTTTTTTTTTTGTGCTCCCATTTCGCGCTGTAACATCAACATGTGTCACTAACAAATCTTCTTTTAAACAACAGATTTATGTTGTTGTATCCAATGAACAATCAAGATATGAAAGCAAGCTATATCGTATCAATATAGTATTGTTGCTACCGTATATTGCTATCTTTATACTGATGATCGTGTACCGCACTGCTTATATCATGGACGACGGCACCTACTTTTGTCACATCGGTTTGGGTTTGCCTGCCACATTATCTTTGGTGGCATATGATTTCTTTATCACAACGTATTACACACTCATGTTCTGCAGAATGTTGATTTGGCCTGCCGAAGGTGCATCCGGCGCACCAGGTACTCAGACATCACTTCGTTATGTTGCCAAACGCAATCTTGTTGCTGCTGTTGTCGCCTTGATTGTCTCCTCCGCCAATGTGGTGATTCTAATTACCTTGGATGGTGTAGAGCGTGGTCTTGTGTGCTTAACTTCGTGCACATTGGACGTCACCATAAATGCGACTGCCATCTTCTGGGTTACTTCCCATCAATCTGAAATCGAGCATCTGAATAGACAGAGGCTGGACCGCAAAGTCAAGCTCGAAATCAAGCAACATCAAGAAGTCATCATCATGCGCGAAATTGCCACTCGTCTATAAGTACCAACCCAACGTCACTTGGTCTGGTCCATCTCAGATAATACTTTTGTTTTGCCATCATCAGTCTTTTTTTTAATCCATTATCCATTTTGTTCCCCTCCACCCATTCTTCTTGTGATTAGTCTTCCTTTACATAATTTTTTTTTGTGTGATAACCTTCTTTGATTTACACCTTTCAGTCACCTCCTTTTTATCCATCGACTCTTTTCCTTTTTTCTATTTTTATTATTTCATGCGATGTGATTTGCCACGACCTCTTCAAAAGAAAAACAAAAAGATCGCAAAATAAAACTCCCACTATTTTTTAACTACTTGTATAACATCTTCATTATTCACAATATGGTGTAAGCCGACTCGTTGTGGATTATGTTTCGCTGATGCTCCCCACACCAAGGCATACTTGAAGTCTTCTGCGAGCGATCGATGGATTGCATGACAGCAGTGCTCAACCGTAGCTCCGTTTCGAATGATCAATCCGTCACTAAAATCGGGTAACTCTCCTCTCTTCTTGGTGTATACTCGCAGCAAGTTCAGATGCTTCCATATTTGTTCGACAAGGTAATCAAGATTGAGGTCCTGTTCGCAAGATACCACAACCGTATTATCTTGCCTTGCAAGTCGATCGACTTCTTCTATCGTGATTTGATCAATCTTATTGTAGCACTGAAAATAGATGGAAAGTTGGTTAAAGAATATCACAATGAGCCTTACCAGCTCGCTTTTCGGCGTATGTTTGACCGCCATTGTGGAGAAGGATCGACACTTACATATATGCATGTTAGATACTTTCTATTTCCAAGCACAACATCAATAAACTGATCGACAGTAATGTCTTCGCGGATCAGCACATCTGCATTAAATATTTCTATGAAAAGAAATAGTTTGTTACTGTTGAAGAAACAGGTTGGCTATATTAGTCCTTTGAACTATACTTACTATAATCGTGGAGAATGTGCTGCACCATCTTTTCATTAATTTTTGTCAATTTCACTGTTGCGTTGATGGTAATGCCACCTCCAGTCTTGACTTTGAAAGCAACGTTTGGTCTGCCTTGATTGAGTCGGATGCCAACTGTTTCCAATTCTCGCTCCAACTGTGCTCTAGAGGCAAAAAAAAACATTTGACATCAGCAAAGAAGAAACGTAACCTCGTTCACAGCTCTCCTAGATCTGCTTACTTTTGCTGCTCACTCTTGGTAGCATCAAGCATCATCAAGACAATGTCTGCCGTCCGTGCAACTGCAATGACTTGTCTACCTCGACCTTTGCCTTGCGACGCTCCCTCAATGATACCAGGTAAATCCAGCAGTTGAATCTGAGCGCCCTTATATTCGATTTTACCAGGGATGCACGTCAAGGTTGTGAATTCGTACGATGCAGCTATAGACTCCGTCTTGGTGAGCTTGGAAAGAAGTGTTGATTTACCAACAGAAGGAAAACCAATGAGCGCAACACGAGCATCGCCTGATTTCATCACATCGAAGCCTTCACCCTAACCAAGTCGAGTTGTGTCAGTACAATCTGCCCCCAACCGTGCCAATCTCGTTCCAATTCGAGCCCATTACCTTTTCTGATTTCGTTTTGGATCCTTCTAGCAGCTGGACACGATATTTCGCAAGTTTAGCTTTGAGCAGACCAAGATGGTATTCGGTGGCTGTAAACATAGAATAGACCATGTTAGCTAGGCAATCATAGCTATGGCTGACAGTTTCGAGATCTTACCCTTGTTCTTTTGTGTACGTTTGATTTCATTTTCAATGTCCTGGATCTTTTCTAGAATTCCCATGTTGGCCACAAATCACGGTCAATAGTTTTTGAGATTTGCGAGTTTAGAAAATTGTAACAAAATTTCGAGCCAACCGCCCCTGCACGTGAGCAGCTCACTGAGAGAAAAAAATTCCAGTGTAGAAAATTTGCGCCAGCAGGCAGGCACCAACCACTCTAGCAGGCCATTATTGCAGCTACCCGAAGTACATCATATTATATAGGCTTAATAAGCAAGCTAATTACATCTCGAAATGTTAGCTCTCATTTATCGAGACAGATCAATTCTTGAGCTGTAACGGTTCGCTAGATTGTTATGATTCATTGGACCGATAGCAATAGAATACTTTTGAAATATACGAGCTTACAACTCATAGGTGAATCCAGTTAATAAATAAGAAAAACTCCAGCGACGCTCCTTTCTAGACTTACTAATGCAAAATGTAAGAATCATAAACCGCAAATTTATGTTCACCCTTGCCCTGCCCAAACAGTTTTGTTATAACTTAGTTCTTTTAAAACCTCAGTGACGATACTATACTATGTGAAACTGCCAATCTCCTTCTTGGAGGAGACTACTATACGGCATATTTTTTTTGTGGATTGACAAATGTAAGGGACCCTCACAAATCTGCATAATATATATTGCCATTTTATTTTTAAAGCAATGCTCTTCGTTCTCCTCCTTCGTGGCCTTTGACCTCAGGATAACCTGGCATATAGTTTTGTTGCTATGAAATTGAGCAAAAAAATATATGTGAAATTGGTCTATAAATTGCATTTGTCCACCAAGTCTTGTATTTTGCTTGTCCTGGATTAAAACTAAAAAGTTTTGTTTTACTTGCAAAGTTATGTGTTGACGTTCTGGCCCATTTGGTAGATCTCCACTGCAGGGTGGTATGATGCTAATAAAGGTTTGGGATTTACACGCCAATGAGCATCACTTGGGTTGGATGGCAGTAGCGGGAAATGCCATTAAATACTGAGACAAATAAATAGCATTGGATCCAAAAAGAAGCACTCATACAACTTAAATTTTTGACAGTTGTTACCATTCTGAGACGCAACCGAAAATTGCGCAACAAATACGCAACCATAGGCAAATTTATCTTCTCCTATAATGTTTATTTTTCGCTTTTCTGTTTTAAATTTTAGCGGTAGACATGTACGCACCGCTAAAGTTTAGTACTCGCCCATGATGACTGATGAAATCTGAGTTGCTGACACATCGGTGCGTTAAGAGTCACGTGAGATTATTCATCTCTGCTGACTTTAGAGTTGAGTAAAAGTACTTAAAAGTCGCCAATTTTCGCCAAATCCAGTTTTGACACATCACATCAATTTCCTCTACAATGGCTATCAAAGTTCTTGGTTTGGCTCAGTCCACTTGTACTCTTCGCGTCGTCGCCGTCGCCAAGGCTCTTAACATCCCCCTTGAGGTCGAGGCCGTTGATTTGGCTAAAGGTGCCCACAAGTCCCCTGAATACGTTGCCAAGTACCAACCTTTCGGTCGTATTCCCGTCTTGGTTGAAGACGACTTTGTTCTCTACGAATCCCGTGCCATTTGCCGCTATCTCGCCAACAAATTCCAAACTAAAGATACCGTTCAGTTGATCCCTACTGATCCCAAGGAAGCTGCTTTGGTTGAGCAATACATCTCTGTCGAGACCTCCGAGTATGGCTCCGCTGTTGGCAAGTACGTTTTTGAGGTCGTTTTCAAGCCCATGAAAGGTGGTGTCACCGATCCCGAAATTGTCGCCAAGGCCCGTGAGGAAGTCATTGCTGCTCTTAGCGTTTACGACAAGTTCTTGGAGGGTAAGTCTTACCTCGTCGGTGAGAGCTTCACTTTGGCTGATATTTGCCACCTTCCCTATGGACATTATGCCTGCCAAGCTGGTTTGGCTGATGTCTTCGATTCCCCTGAACGCCCCAACGTTGCCCGCTGGTGGAAGACCATCACCAACGAGGCTGCCTGGAAGGCTGCCCTCGGCCAATAAATGCTTTCAATTGTTACATAGTTCCTCTCAAAATATAGCACACCTGTTTCTTAATAAATTGTTGCTATGATAAACATCTCTTTGCGAAAAAACCGGAAAGTTGTGACGATATGAGTTACTATGCGCTTGATTAAACCGGCATTGCAAAACATGAAAGTTATTGATCCCACTGGAGCCCTTCAGTAGACAAATGTTGTGTAACGTCTAGACATGGTATGTCAAATCCAATTTTTTTTTTGGTATTGCAAAAGGCGCTTACTATTTTATTCTCAATGATCAAATAATATCAGTGTCGTTTCTATAATGTTATATACAGTCTTCAATCTGGCTGGTTAAGGGTGATAGCGAGAATGGGTGATTTCATTTGGTTTAAAAAGTCTTTTCTGGGCGAGCAGTAACATCTTCAAGCTTGCTACCGAGTTTTATAACGTTATGACGCAACACGCGAGGGTCGACACGAAGCTTCTTGCCCAACTCCTGAACTGTTGCTGGATTAGCGTCGAAGTGCATCAACCAGTAACTGAAAATGGGTGGGGGGAAGGTCACGGGTAAAGTTAGTTATGGTCATGCTCGGTTGCAATACGAGTTCAAATATGACAATGGCTACATACTGTCCAGAGTTGAAGTATTGTTGATGTCTCTTAATTCTGTGTGGGAGGATTCTGCTTCCCCAGTTTTCAAAGCCTCGAACAACACCGCCCTTGTCGAGGACTTGTACGGCTGAAGTTTTGAGTAAATCTTGCAAGTTATTCTGTGCGAAATGCGTCAGAGTTGATTCGGGTTGAATTAAACGATTCCTGGAAACAAGTTTCTCACCTTGACAAGATTGCTTCGAGCTATGCAGACCAATTCGTAAAAGGGCATAATGGACGACTTGTGTTGAGTGAATGATCAAACTAATCGTAAACAATTTTTTTTTTTCCAATAACACTTACCAAAATTTGAAATCCCGATCAATCTAATGTGTGGCCGCTAACTTAAGGCACGAACCAACTTTTTGATCTTTCGCACCATGAGCGAACAACAAAGTGTTTTATTTGTATGCCTAGGTACGAAAAGAATACTACGAAAGATCATTTGAATATTCCAGCTTGACTGACACTATCATGCCAGGTAACATTTGCCGATCGCCCATGGCTGAAGCGGTGTTCGCCCACATGGTCAAAGAAAAGAATCTATCAACCGAATTTGCCAGCATTGACTCTGCTGGAACAGCTGGCTATCATGTATGAAGGGTTTACATGAGATAAATGACTAAAAACATTAAAGTATCCAAAGTAACCATCCTCTTCCTTCGATTGATAGGTTGGCGAGAAGCCAGACTCAAGAAGTGCTGCAACTTGCAAAAAGCATGGTGTTCCTGTCAACTCCCGAGCACGCAAGGTCAGATCCTACATATCAACGTTTGCAAAAGTTGTTCAGTGTAGATTAATCCAGAATTCATCTTCACATTCAGGTCTCAAAAGCAGATTTTTCAAAATTCAACTACATTTTGTGTATGGACGAATCCAATCTCTCTGATCTAAAGGTAATCTCCTCTACACTGTTTCAATGAAGGTGAGAAAAATTGGACGTATCAGCTAAACAATCACGACAGCATATGCAACCATCGGGATCAAAAGCAGTTGTTCAATTGTTTGGAGACTTTGATCCTAAAGGCGAGAGAATCATTCGTGACCCATACTACGGTGGGGCTGAGGGATTCGAGCACAACTTCAAGCAGGTTACCCGAGCCAGCGAAGGATTCCTTAAGCATCTCAACTTGTTATAGACACGGCAATGCTTTATATACATTTGGGAATCCTAGGGGTTTTTATTTTCTTTTAGTGTAGACATAAACATATCTAGACACATCTATGAAGCGAAGGAAAATGGATTATAATTACAATAGAGACAGATTCGGGAAAAACTTCCCAAAAAGCTTTTTCTTTTTGTTCATGTTGTTCTTGTAGTGAAGATAAACATTGCTGGAAAAAAAAACATCTATAGGCACAGTCGATTACAATCGTCGTGCCTTCTTGGGTCGGCAGCCACCGAATGGAACAGGAGTGGCGTCTGTCAATTGCTTGCATGAGTTTCCGTAGGTGGCAACAAAAGCTTTGAAGGCAGCGTCTCTTCCTGGACCGAAACCCTTGAATATAATATGATAGTTGACGATTTGAAGATTCTTCTCCTGCATTTTCGCGATGAGCTGAAGAGTAGCTTGATGAGCAGCTTCATAACCGCTTCTCGCTGCCTTCTTAAATCCGGCAGTACCTCCAGAGGTAGATGCCAGAACCTGACCCTTTGGGCTGGTGAGTGTCAGAATGGTATTGTTGAAGGTAGCGTTGATGTGAAGGCGGTATGGTCCATCACCCAAGTACGAGGTGCTCTGCAAGTATGCTGCGACGCCAGACATATCGAATTCTGGCTTGTCAGTCTCAGTTTGCTGAGCACTGCTGCCTGGCTTGGTTATGTAGTCGAATCGATCGCCGAGAGAAGATTCGGGTTTTGCAGATTTGGCATCGGCGAGAATATCTTGCAGGGACGACAAAGTGTTGCCGGTACTGTCATTGCTTACCCATCGGGTTTGTCGGAATCCATTTAAAGCAGGTGTAATGTTGGATGACTTGTAACATGAGCTAGCAGCGCGAGCTAACGACCACATGTTGGAATGTTACAAATAGCAGTGTTATGTTTGGACCCACGACAAATTTATCTTTGACTTTTTTGAACCTGGCCAAAAAAAAACACATCAGGTAAATGACCGTCACAATCACGTGGAATATGGCAGGCTCACCAATTAGCCATTGTAATTTCCGTAAACCCTTCGCGTTGCCTTGGAAGAAAAGCTTATAATCATTAACGATAACTACTGTCTTCATTCCAAGCTCAAATAATGACAGTGACCTTCTAAAATGACGTCAATTGGCTAGAGTGAAGCTTGCTGTTATCCTTATTATATCATCATCACCCTGACCAGGTATTCCTTTCTCTTCGCTCCATTGAATCATTCCCTGTCTGATTGCAAAATCTGTACGTGAAAAACGAATTTCTTGCTGTCGTTGCAAAACACATAATAACCTATCATTCGCAAAGTCTTTTTAGAAATAAAGTAAAAACAATTTTTGACTGATCTTTAAGGCGTATTTAAGTTTCCTTCAGCCAGGGGGTATTTTTATTGTATATTTGTACAAGGTGGATGTATTTACTGGATGTATTTACTGGATGGATTTTGTCAAGGATTCCGTAATCATGGTATTAAGTTGGTTCAAGACTCTCTGACATGATAGTAGATCACTATGTAGGGAATGGAAATTAGCGCAGAATTCATATTTATAACATAAGGACTTCATGAATACGTACCTGACGTTCATTTGCTCTAACTCGCACCGGCCTTCAAGTGCTTTTTCAAGTAGCGAAGCGACTGGCAGCACTTGAGCACCTTGAGACGCATTATCTGCTTGTGCACCATTGCTTGGCTTTGGAGAGCATGCTGCTGATTCATCCGACTTATCATCTTCATCCGATTTCGTTCGCTTTTTGGGGCTAGCGGTCAAGTCCACAACAGCGACATCTTCATTGACATTATTCCATGTGCGCTTGTTGTTTGGTGTTGTGGCTGCCTTGGCACTAGAGCGGTTGACTATGTTACCACGAGGTAAGGTTTTGGTGTCCTTGGAGCCCAGTGTTTTCTTCGAGGGAGTTCTTTTAGTACGTGTAACTTGCTCGTCAGTTGAGCGACCGTTCTGGCGTTGAGGTGACATTATATTGCTAGCAAGCGTGCTCATTGTATCAACATCTGGTGGGATGCCATTTTCTGTATTTTCCATTATACGACTAGTACCATTATCGCCGTGAGGTGGGATATTCATCACCACATCAGCTCGTGTGGGCGGCGTATCGAGAGCCATCTGTTCTAGACTGGCGTTTGAAAAGGTCTTTTCCTGTGATATGCTAGTCGTGCTAGGAAATTGATCTGCTTGTTGGGACGCATTTAAGGAGTCTACATTTTGCAATGTAGTACCAGCCAACATGTGTTCCGAATTGCTAGAATTGTCTGTGGCGGACGATGTGTTGCTGGCATCTGACTGTGAAAGTTTGGGTCCACTCTCTGGTGACGAAGTCGACGATAGACTTGAAGTGTTTGAATGTCTTCGATTCTGTCTCGTGGGGGATGAATGTCCACTCTTGATATTCCTTTCCCCTTGTGTTATGGTTTCGAAAATGCTGGCAAATGATGCGCTTTCAAGGACAGCTTGGCATGACCTTTGTCGTTTGATTTGCTTCACCTTCTCTATGAAGGGGCGGGAGATAGCTGCATCTTGGGAACAGATTAGATTTGATGTGCACTGAGCCCAACTCTCTACTGTTTGATCATCAACTGGCCATTGCTCAAGTAGGGCCATGATTGACGACATGAAATCAATCACCTATTTCGCAAGAGTATGTCAGCGATTGGGAAAGGGTATGTGGCGATGATAATGTATGACGACTTACGTATAGTTTGATTCCATCGGGTACAGTGGTCTCACTATCGCATAAAGCCTTTTGAAAGCAAGATAAATGCCGTATGGCCACCGCCACCCGTGTCTTGACATCAATGTTGGTTAACGACATGCACTTCAGTACATTAGAGAGATAGTGATTCAGTGCAGCTGCCAGCTCTGGAAGGCGTTCATATGGATCCAGCTCAAATTGAATGGTCTTCGCAACCTGCTCTTGCACTGGTAACATTGCCAACAGTATACTGGGCCTGGGTAAACGAAATATATGCTCAATGCTCGTATCCAGTAGAACTACCATGAAAGGTTGCATAACGTACCTATTGGCAGGGTCGAGTTGCACATCCGGTTTCACTACAGATCCATTTGATCGATCAGGACTTATCTGTGCGAGCTGTCCCATACAGAAATCAAGCCAAGAGATGACACTGAAACCAGTATTTAATTTCAAGTAAGTTTCAACAACATCATAAATTGAAACGTACCTGGATGAAATTTTAGTGGTGTCATCTGTATACAGAATTCGATCAATGTTGGTGCGCAGGTGTCGAGCAATGTCCGTCAAGCAGTTTGGCATAAGATTAGCAATCGAGTTGAAAAGACCCAACCAGTTGCACATAATTTTTTCGCTATGTTTACAAAGTAGTATGTAACTGTACAGTTCTGAGTGCTGGGATATGGGCCTAAGTCGAAAAGTTTAATAAAAGGTCGTTATCCCTGTCTACGGATGAGAAGGCACTCAACCTACCTTAATGGATAACACAGCAGTCTCGCGAGTGCCTGTTTGATTTCTTCCGTTTCAGACAGCGAACATTTGGCACCGTGCAGGGATCCTAGCTCGTGACGAATACAAGAAGATGCTAATGAAAGTATTTTAGATATAAGTCGCTACACTGCATTGTTTGGAATCTGTATCTTACCCATTTTGAGTTTCAAAAGCAGTGCTTCACGAAGGTTTTGTTCTGGAGAGGTGGTGGGATAAATGGGGACAAAGTCGGACTCAATCAGAGTAATAAAGTCCAAAAAGCTTTCTGAAGATTGCCGACAAGCTCCGGACAGCTCGCAAATGGTTTCAACATATTCCTCGTAAGCTTCTTGTGGATGAGAACTTATTCTAGCTACAAAAATAGAAAGACAGTACACTGTATTGCGAAAATTGTGATGAGAACCATGTTATCAACTTCAGCAGGTTATTCAATGCAACATTATGTCTTACCTATTGGCACAAACTTTGTCCGCTTGAAAGATTGGGCCACATCATTATTATCAAAAAACTCTTCGCTTAGAGACAGCTCAAAAGATCGAAGTGTAAGGAAATCTGGGGATAATATGTCCATCATTGCCTTGAGAAGATGTTTGAAAATAAAGAGCCTGTCTTTGAATCCTACTAACATTTTATGGAGAGAATTACTATACAGATCGAAATGACATGTTTTCAAACCATATCACAAACCTGATCGACTGTTGTCTGCTCCTAGGATAACATATGCTAAGAATTCCAAACATGTATGGATGGCATCAATGTACGCGCTAGATGGACGGATCTCCTTTTGGTAGAAGGTACGGTAAGTGCGTATCAAAGCCTGCCAGGTTTCCATATATGATTTCTACGGTGGTCGACATGGGTTTAGCACTTCCACATGCAGGCACGTCTAATATTCCTGATCACTATACCTTAATTGTCAAATCAGATCGGTTGTCCAGTTTGACAACAGCATGCCCAACGCCAGCTTTCAGAGCCTCTATAATAACTTGTTGATGGTCGCGAATGAGATTGGGTGATATAGGTAGTACATCAGTTGCTTGGAGGTCCATTCCACGGAAGAACACATTGACGAGCGACATCCGGTTAACTTCTGTTAAACGCACTTTAGCATCAAATGCAACGAAAGTCTCAACATCTGTTCGAAACTTACTTCGATTGTGTCCTCCCATCAAAGCAGCAAGGGTGTTAAAGAGCATATCCAACACCACCGGCGATTTGTCTTTGGAAATCAGTGATACAAAATCTCGAACAACAGCATTGAACACAAAAGCTTGAGTGAAGTCTTCGTTGCAGGCGTAGACAAGCGATATCCATGTCCTCGTGGCTGCAATTCTCACTGATACATGCTTTTCCTCCTTCAACCTGGATCAAAGAGTAAATAATCGTGTATGCCTTTCGGATGTAACCTTGATCAACCCCACTTACCCTGCCTCCAATGGAAGTTTGACTAATTTCAAGCGACTTTCGTGTAAGATATGGTTGTTCAACTTAAAATTGTAGATGAGGGAGCTGAAAACAATTCGGATTTAGCCATTATTTACGAGTCGATATCGTTTCATGCCCTACTCACCTCCATGCCTTGAAAGTGTTGATATTTGAATCGCTCCTCCGACATTGGAAACTTTTCTGTGGCAAGCAATCTCGGATCAGTACAAGAAGATTCACACCAGTCCGTCATCTGCAAAGACTTACCTCGGCAACTCTAATCATGCCATTCAGATATCGGCTTCGATGCAAGTTGGTGCCCATGACCATAATCATCAGTGCCCATATTTGCATAATGTCATGGTCTGAATGACAAAGGCTTAAAACGGAGCACTTCGCTATTTGCTCGCTCATTTCAAATACTCACCTTCCGGAACTTCCTCTATAAGCCTCGTCATCTCCTCAGTGAATTTTACTGCATGATCTCTCAAAAAGACCTAAAGATGTGATGAGCGGTCTATACATAATTTAGAGTTTATGAGCGCAGTCGTACCTGAATGGAAGAGTTCAATATGGTAGGTTCACCCCAGATTTTCGGCAACATTTTTGTCAAAATGACGGCTGCTTTCCTTCTCAACGGAGATATTGAATGAGTCAAGCACTGCACAATAGTGATGAAGCAACAGCTCGCCCACGTAGCCCATCTACTTGTATCTTGTGTAAATATGATATCCAAAGCCTGAAGTGTGAAGATGGTCAAAATGCATTCGTTGGAAAGTGATATAGGATGGTAATACAGATAAAGCTTACTGTGAGCGCCTCCATTTGAGCTTTGGCCGATTTCAACCGCGGATTTAAGGCCGATATGGCAGCTTTTGTGATTAAAGGAACATGGGGATCCAAAATACGCTTGCTTACTCGTTGCATCGCTAGACACCAAATACAAAGGGTATAGATGCTCTATATATGCCATTAGCATCTTTTGATACGCACTGCAACAGAGAGTGTCGGTTTCTCACCTTTGCCTGTGTTTCATTAAGGGTCTTTACAATAGAATTAAGGGCTGAAGATACATCTGAAGCTGCAGTCGAAGGAAGTTTCCGGATATAGCATTAGTTGTTACCCTTATACCTGGCATTAATGACTAGCGGATAACTTACCTCCAAGTTTGCCAACAAGAGAACTATAATTGAGCATAAAACCTATACACCTTACTGAAGTTTGTTTTCTGAAAAATGACAAGCCCATCAGAACCGCTGATTCTATATCGCTTCTATATGCAATAAGTTTACATACATAACTATACTGTCGTTGGATTCCATATCTTGAAGGCAGGTTTCAAGGGCGGATCGAACCATGCCTTCAGTAACGCTATCGGCATTTGGTTCCTGTTTGAGCGCTCCATAGAAGGATGAATATGCGTGCAGTCTGTCGTCTTCCCTGGCCACTAACAGTCTTTGAATATAGATGTCCAAGCTGGTAGTTGACCCGTCACTGTTGGCTATGGAAACGGCGCTGCTGCTATCCAACACAACGGAAATTTCGTTTTCTGGATTGTATTTAACTGGAGAACATGTCGCTTTCAAAATGCTCCTCGGTGTGCCAGTTTTTCCGTTGGATGGTGGCGTACCAGGTCGAGATTGAGCATTCGATGGACCCAGCCGAACTGGTGAGAATGCAACCTTTTTAGGGGTTGGGCTTGAAGAGATTTGTGGATTCATATCTATTCCACGAAAATACAATAGCAAAGCAAGTGCCTGTCGAACAAACCACTGCCGGATCTCAATTTTGTAAATAAGAGGCTGGCCAAAAAACGTAACTTGGAAACTTTGCGCACTACGCGTGAAATGGACGCGACTTGCACAAAACGCTGGAAAATTCCACAGGCAGTCACAGAGCAATTTGATACACCGTTGCCTATCATCCCAGGCACCGAGAAAGCACTACCCCACCCTGGGAACCAGAACAACTGGTGGCCACCCCATGCTCTCAACTTCCATTAAAACATAGACTATACTGTTATATTGAAAAATTTGAACATGTATTGATTTGAACAAAATTGACACTGATCATATTTACATTGGTCATTATTATGATCCATCCAAGAGGCGAGTCATTATTTTACTGATTACGAATATACGATTTTTTGACAGATGAAAAATAAATGTGTGTGTGTGTGTGTGTGTGTGTGCGTGTTTTAACATTCTAAGTGTAAAAAAAAAAGGGTAGGCAATTAGTATATGCTGAAAGGAACTTGTAACTCGCTGTCTGTACGTGGAACACCGTCTGTACATGGAACACCACCTAGCAGTTGCTCGATATTCCATCAAGATGATGCAGCTATACTTACATCCTATTGCGACAACATCTTTATGAATTTGAGTTTGTGACTAGCTTGAAGACCTGGGTGGTACAACGCCATGTTCGCAATCGACCAGATAGCCTGAAACATTCAGGGCACCAGCTATGTCGGTAGAAAACCGAGTGGGAATAGCAATAGTTTGGTGAGCTTGACTGAGACATTTTTTTAGCAAAAAAGACGAATAGTGAACCTGGAGTGTGAGCACTTTGTGTTTGATAACCATTGTTTTTGTTGTGGTCCGAAAGCGGCAATGATAGAATAAGGGAAATTTGGCAAAATAAATCTATTTTGATAAATGCCCGTGCTTTCGACCATTTTATTACAAGTAAGAAATACTCATAATAAGGTTAAATAAACTTCTTCATAGAATACAACTCCTAGCTTGGGAGTGAATGAACAGCATAGAGCTATGACATGACGTTGGCGATATGCTACAAGTCAGGATTAGACAAGGATACTCAGGGATCGACCGAAAACAATCGAAGTTGTACAGCTGACAAAGTATAAATTTTGATCAAGCCTATTGCCCCCACTCTTCCTTACTTCCCTTTCCTCGCCATGTGCGAATTTTGCAACTTCAAGTCGAGTCCTCCACCTCCCCCACCTCCTCCAGAAGAAGTAAAATCAGTGAATGTATATCATGTTGACTTTGTCTGTAAACGCTAACGATTTGATAAATGCGTAACAGCCGCCACCGCCGCCGCCAACACCTGCTCTCCCAGTCTTACCGCCAGAGTACAAATTTTACTTCTATTCCAATGGCCCACCAGCGGAACCAGGTGCTCTACCTCCGCCGCCTCCACTACCACCGGTGGAAGTAGTCGAAGAGAAGGTAAGGGTGATTCAAAAGGACGGTGTTTATAATAGAAAGATGCTAAAATTGATCATAATATATTATCAGCCTGAGCCACCAAAGCCCACCTGGTGCTCTCCAAGACAGCCTGAAGCAGAGAAGTGTGTCATAATGTAAAGCGAGGCTATGAGCAGCAATACCGTCAATTACAGTGTACTTTTTCAAATATGTATAATTTTCAATCCATGTAATGTATCACAATTAAACGCGCGAATTTACAATTCCGTCTCCTATGTGGATTGGTTGTATGTGGGAATAAGCCGATAGTTTCAGTTTATTAATACTTTGTTATAGTTAAGCATGCAATAGATGACGCAAGATGTTTGAAAGTGAGGTTAAGTGTGCAAAATGTCTAACTTTAGAAAGTGAATGAGCTGCTAGTGATTGGGAAATGATAATGTAAAAGTGCATTTATATTCTTGTTGTAGTTTCCTCTTGCTCTTCGTCCACTAGGTCGACCACTTTCGGGTACCTGTGACTTGGTTTAATGCGCAAGCTGGCTGCGAAAGTAATCAAAGCAAGCATGGAGAGAACCCCGAAAGAAACATGGGGGCGAACTTTCTTAGGAATCCATGTGGCGTGATTGGAATAGTCCCATAAGATACCGCAAATTGCTGGCCCTATAGCACGGCATCCACTAGAAACGCATTGAGAAAATCCATTGACTGCTCCTAGAGTATCCATTCGAGGTGAAGAGTCGCTCACAATGACCATCATAGAGGTAAAGGCAATAGTGGAGCATATAGTCTTGAGAATAAGACAGGCGATTAGACCAACCCAGACCCATTGTTTAGTTTCGTATACGCCATTGAAATTAGGAACATGATACAGGTAGCGAACAAATCCTTGCAAGAAGTCAACAGCAGCAAAGCAAGGCAAACAGAGTTGGAACAATCTCAAGATGCCAAATTTGCCAGCTAGTCGTGGCCAGATAAATAGTTGCACAATCAAAGTCATGAAACCGGCAACTGCAAGAGAAGCACCGATCTCCTTTGAAATAAAGCCCATTCCTCCATTGTTTCTAGAGGTCGATAGCCATAAAGAATACAGTTCTAAACAGTGGATGTTAGAGGAAACATTACAATTTTTACCATGCATGAGAGACCTTACCATCATAGAACACTCCGTGTAAGGCAATACATCCAAAGGCAGTCGACGCCAATATGACAGGCTGAGTGATAGCTTCTCTGAAGGTGGGTTTGCGTTCCGATTCATGAATGGTCGGGGTTGGCGAGCACGTTGGTGAATGCTTCTTGCCGTTAGGAAAAGTCGAATAATTGGCTTCACCCTGAGACAAAAGCCTCTGTTCTTCATCTTGTTTCTTTTTCTTGTCTTGAGGGCGTTTACCCATAAGGGTCTCCTCTAAAAACAGCATTCCAAAGATCCACCCACAGAAGCAGATGCAGGATGCGATAAAGGATGGCAAGAAATAGCGATACGTAGTCAAAAATTCAGTGATCCAGCCCAAATTACCAAATACAGTTGGATAGTTCTTCACAGGATCTGCTAAAAAGCCACCAAGGACTGGGCCAATGACTGACCCAAGTCCAAACATGAAGGGAAGTAAGGCAAACGCTTGTGCACGATCGGCTTCCGAAACGTCAATAGTCAGCTCGGCGATCATAGACTGTACGATATAGCGCATGTTAGCATCTTTCTGGCACAAATGCGGGGTGTATTAGCTCATATGTTACCTTTAAGACACCATTATTTCCATTCTATCGATTAAAGAAAAAAAAAAAAAGTGTGAGTCACTTTTTGATATAGCACTTGGTTCCACAGAAATTGCGAATCTTACCAGGACTCCACATAACGCACGGGAAATGATGGCCCAGGCGAAAGACTTGCTAAGGCCAAACAAAAATATACTGATCATGGTACCAGTCATTCCGAATAAGATTACAGGTCGTCGACCAATACGATCCGAGAGCATGCCCCAAGGTATGCCTACAAAAGCGGGAATCACATGACATGGAACGGTTAGGAAACCTAATTATTTCATTCATTGCTGACGAAAAGTAATAGGCCACTATAGAATCTCTCTTACCTGTACAAAATTGAGCAAGTGCGAACGAGCTTGCAATCCATCCTACAGAGTACCCAGCTCTCTCTTCCGGTATACCAAAATCACGGACAAGGAACACAACGTAGGGAAATATTATAGTAAAACAGATTGGCTCTGTTCATTCCGAATGAATATAGAGTTTTAAATTATGAGGATGATGTATAAAAATTATATGTGTACATATAAGTATGAGTGAAGGTTGGTCAAGGTTGAATTAGAGAATTGTGTAATGAGCTTTCATTTCAACAAAAAGTGAATCCGCAGTACTCACCTGAAAAACGACAAATACAAATAATCAAAAGCTGCCTCCATGGCAAAGGCTTGTATTCTGTCATTCAGAAACTGTTTTCGAAAAAGCGAAAGAGAATAGGAACGGAACAAGTGAGAACTTTCTGATTCAACTTTTTTATATAAAATTGAATCAGTTGGGCCTAAAAGATTTTCCATTGAACACCGCACCCCCAGAATAGTAATTATGAGTGCGAAGCCTATTACCATTGTTGTAAAGAAAAGACCTTTTCTTGATTGTAGTCCGTAGCCAATACAGCTTAGCCTTTGGTATTTCTCAAAATGAAACCTGAATCCTCCCTGCAGTCTGCAATTTTAATCAACTCATTCCAACTGACTAATGCGTAGTTGGGGTATATTCTGGGAATTACTTTTCCCGTCATGCGCTACCGTGAGCAACAGTATGTCACAAGGAAATTTTCAAAAAGTCTTATAATTTTGAAATGAGAGTCATTGTTGGGCTCAACCACAGTATTTATATTGTCTGCTTGGTGGCACACGCCAATTCAAAGAACTGACCGTAGCGATAATCATACATTGATAAGATATGTAGTTAAGGCAATAAGTCATCCCCTTTCTCCCTTCTAATCTGTAATAAAAATAGGACTGTGGTGGGTGTACTTTCTCAGTAGTGACCATCCTCTCTCAACTCATAATAGGTGCACAGGCGATGTTCTAGATTGAACATGTGCCGCGGTATGCTGATTGCTCAGTTACTCCGCTGTGTTTTTTGAGCATGTATGCATTAGGGATGTGCGATACAGGTGATAACAAACGTCTATGTAATGCATTGCTAGTCGTGCTCTGGCAAAATTCAATTGGAAATACTTTACTTTGCTAGGAGCTGTTTTTTAAAAAAATAAAATAAAATTGGAATGCAAAACAATCAAACGTTTTGAAGAGCCTTTCCATCTTTTCTTCTTCTATTCCTAAACTGAACTTTGCACTGCAATAAAGAAGAAATGTACGCATCGTTGATCTAGCGCCTCTTTCTACAGTAAGCTTTCAACTGCGGCTTGTTCGTCTCCTTTAAATTCCGCCAATGCACTGGTCAAGTATAACAATGGTGAGTCACAAGCGTATATTCTGCATATTCTTTCTGTTTCCTTACTTGATAGCGTTTGACCGTCCGAATCCCATGTCAACTAGCCGTGCTAAAGCTTCTGGTTTGACGCCATCTGGGAGTACTTCAGCATTGGGGTTCGCATAGACTTCCGTCCAGTATTTTGCCGTCTGTTCGAAATCTTCTTTATCCCTTTTATAGTGCGCAGCCACTTGTGCATCCTAATGAGATGATGGTAATAGTGTCAGAGATGAAGGCGTAATAAAAAAAATATAAGTATCTTCGCAGTACCTGAGGATCATCAGGTTCAGGAGTGGACAAAAGACTTTGAAGAGATATCAGAGCTGATTTTAGGGTCAGTACCGGAGTCCATTTATCTTTAAGGATATCCTAATGACATGGGTTGAAAATGAGTGTTTGCAATGATTTTCATGTCATGAACCGTGTTGCTTACGAGGCATATAGCGCCCTGTTGGTAATTAGGAGGTTAGATCTATGGCGTCATATGTAGATTAACAGTATAATCTAGGGATACATACAGTCTGAGATGATATATTGGGATGATACACTCGGCTGACAAACTTCATTTTTGGTGGCAAGAACGGGTACTCTGGCTAGAGATAGATTGCGTCAGTTGAAGATACTTTCGCTGGATGTCAATTCTATACAGGAGATATTTACAGGCACAGAAACATCGACCGTGAAAAGCCCGCCTGTGGAGATAACGCACAAGCTATCAGCGTATGCAGTAATCATGATAATAACCAGTCAGTTAAATACCTTCGTATGGAGTGTTGACTGGGCCAGATATTTTGGCCGTCATATGGTCTACGTGGAAATTATGGTTCCATGATCCGATTAACGATTTAAACACTGAGCGGGTGATGCGTCATGGCCGCTCCATTGAGATCTACTTACTCATACTCCCGTCTTCTGGTAATATGACTTCAATATGGGCTTCTTTGTCTTGCTCTATTGCTAGGATCTCTTTTTGAACTCGTTTCATATTGGACATCTTAGGCGTCACCTATTGAAAAACGTCAAACCGCATAATGTTCAGTTTTTGCCAGTTAAAGCCCCGTCACCGATTTGGAATAAAGATGTGGCGATAAGTGGCGCAAAGCAGTGTTGTCTGACATCGCTTGAGCCCGCTGACGATGAACGAGTTACCTTCTTGTGCGAGGTTGTATATTTTCGCACTTCATACTAAACTACGCCACTTCCGTATTTGTTTATTGTTCAAGATGATCTGCATTGCCAACGGCAGAATGGCCAAGTCTGACTGTTGTTAACAGAAAAAAAAGAAAGCATGCATGTTGATCGTTTGGTGAGACGACAATATGTGGGCTGGTGACAGGGCAGGTCAGGTATGAAGTACGAACAAAGATGATCTTAGGAGTATGGTTATATTGGTGACTACAAAGGATCAATCAAATACTGGACATGTACTAACAAGGTCTATATAGCTTGGATAAGTTTCGGCCGATAAGAACAACTTGAGTTCTATCATAGCGTCTTAACAAATGCACATTCTCAAGCAAAGCTAGAGCATGTTTACATTGAACCATTTAAAATTTATGTTATCACGGCTAGTATTGGAAATATCAAAGAAGCATGCGTATCAGCGTGTTTGTGTGTTATGGTCTGCGTGTGTGTGCGTCAAAAGACCCCAAGGGGCAAAGCGAGGACTTAAATGTCCGCTAGTCGGCTTTGCTCAGTGTGTCATTTTTTTTTTTATTGCTTGTGTCAGCTGTAACCTGTAATTCATTGCATTCAGCCCACCTAAAGGTAATCTACCGCTAGTAATTTAAAGCTCTAAAACTCATTGTGATTCACATTTGGCTCGTTATAACGAACTTACTCAATGTTCTGTTAGTATTACAGGGAAAATAGTCTTGGCGACGCGTATCATTCTGAAACATCGATAGCCCGTATACCTGTCACCTCGCCTTCTCAATTTCTTCTGGTTGTCTTCCGAATCAATTGACAACATTTTTATCAGAACTTTCGCAGTATATATAGGTTAAAGGTAATTTTTTTTTTCTCCAGATTGGTTTGTTGCAGTGACTTGTTACATTACGTTGTTCTGACTAGATCATAACTATCAGTAGCCTAACAGTCCACGCGCCTATTAATTCATATGTCTGTGTATAATCACCGTCCAATGGTGCCTGCTGCACAAAGTCGCATTGTCGAGCTCTTGGAAGCCATTCGAGCAGAATTTGATCAACTTAGCCAAGAAGCTATGATCTGCAAATCTCAGCGTGACGATCTCGAGCATAAGAGTAAGGCGTGCTTGTTGACCGGTTGATGGTATCATACCAGACTAATAATGATAAACCTGTCCGACAGTAAATGGCCAGATACAGGAAATGAACGCATTTCAACAGAGTTTGTTCGATATGGAGAGAACGCAAAAGACTGTAAAACAACAGTACGTTTTATTGCTTTGCATGAATTTATACTTTTGACTAGTGCACAATATCTCATTCTTCCCTTTTTATAGGTATGAAGAGGAAATTGCTAGGCTAAGACAACAGTTGGAACAAGCTCGCTCCGGACATGCGCCGATGACTTCATCCGCTCATAGCGCTCAGCATCCACAACCTCCACCTCCTAACATTGGTCCTCAATCAAATTTGTTTGGCGGTATTATGAACGCCAGCGGCGGTTCAGGAGCAAGCACAAGTCAACCGGGTCTAGTTGCTCCACCTCAAATGAGCGACCAGCCACCACCTCCTCACGGTGGGCATTATCCCCCACCACAGTCGCAAGGTAGTGTATCACTTATTTGTAGATCACCAAGGTATTCAACACTAAATGACTTTTGTATGGATTTCACAGGATATCCTTACCCACCGTCACGGAGCGGTGGTCCTGGAACTCCAAACTCGCAAGCCGCACCTTTGCCGACAGATCAAGGCGCTAACAAGCGAAAACCTGTGGCACAGACTGGCCCTGCCCCTCTCCCAACTGCTCCCACCCCTGGTCGTCCAGTATCAACACCAAAGCAGCCAATACCAGCGGCTGCCACAGGAGGTGGCTTTACCGATTTGGATCCTGATAATGTTCCACCAAACATGAAGACGGAAGGCTCTGACTGGCTCGCGGTGTAAGTTGTACCAAAGAGATTCGACAACATTAAAACTTCATTGCATAGATTTTAATACAAGCAATCTCTTTCAGGTTTAATCCTAAGATTCCCAGGTATCTGAAAGTTGATTTGGTGCATACATTGGATCACACTAGCGTTGTTTGCTGTGTCAAGTTCAGTCCAGACGGCCGCTATTTAGCTGCTGGATGCAATCGACAAACCCATATTTACGATGTCACTACGTCGACAAGGATGTGCGTATTGCAAGACGAATCGGTTAGCAAAGATGGTGATCTTTATATTCGCTCCGTCTGCTTTAGCCCGGATGGAAAATTTTTGGCTACAGGAGCTGAAGATAAGCAAATCAGAGTATGTAAAGCTTTTTACCGAATGACCCCCACGAGCGCTTTGAACAGGATAAAACATTAACGATACTGGTCGATTTAGATTTGGGACATCAGCAAGAGACGCATTCGCAATGTTCTTACGGGACACGAACAAGATATCTATTCGCTCGACTTTAGTCGTGATGGCCGTATCATCGTTTCTGGATCTGGAGATCGCACTGCTCGAATTTGGAGTATGGCTGATGCCACTTGTCTTCACACACTCCGTATCAATGAAAATGACCAAAAAGACCCTGGAGTTACTTCAGTAGCTATCTCACCTGACAGCCGATATGTCGCTGCTGGCAGTTTGGACAAAATTGTTCGTGTCTGGGATGTCCAGACAGGTCACTTACTTGAACGCCTCGAAGGACACAAAGATAGTGTATACTCTGTTGCATTTATGCCCGATGGAAAGACCATCGTAAGTGGAAGCTTGGACAAGACCCTCAAGCTCTGGCAGCTAGGTGTTAGTGAGGGTCGTGGCTTTTCTGCTGATCGAGACCGCAAGAATCCTTGCAAACAAACTCTTACTGGCCACAAGGTTAGCGATTTGATATTTTTTTGTCACTGGTTTTTGAAATTATGTCCTCATGTGATTGCATTGCAGGACTTTGTTTTGTCAGTCGCATGTACAGCAGACGGCAATTGGGTTGTCTCCGGATCGAAAGATCGTGCAGTTCAATTCTGGGATCCACGCACAGGCAACATACAATTTGTGTTGAAGGGACATAGGAATTCAGGTGAGTTTTGGAAGAGCACTAAACTACCCCATTTTTTGTCCTTCTCCTAACATTTGACGTCGCTTCAGTCATATCCGTTGCCACAAGTCCCGCTGGAAGACATCTGTTCGCAACTGGTTCTGGTGATAACCGAGCAAGAATTTGGAGTTATGAACCCATTGGACCGTAAAGTAACGAATGGACGTTGCAACTGTAATATGGGAATTACTATTCATTCTTCGTGATTCTTTTCTGTTTTGATTCTCTTGAGAACACACATTTATACTTACGATTGGCTCATGAAGAGCCTATGGTATATAGATAGGCAGTTTTTACCTACCACTCTGCATAATGAGTACCAGATTTGCTAGTATCCCTTTTTTCTTTGGTAATTAGGAATTTACCTGCCCTGTCTACCTACCTCTTTCTCTGGTTTTCCTTGTTCTTTTTTCCGTAAGCTCTTTGTCTTCTCTACCTCCTCTCTTTTTCGTTGCTTCATAATCATCAACCAACTGTTTATACAGTCGTGCATTGCAAGCTCTACAGTGAATGACGCGTGTGACTGTCCCCGCTTTTCCATAATTTTTGAAGCAACGCGACTTCGTCGCGCCACTGCAGTGTTCAGAATGACAACGCTCATGAATGACTACACCCATTGGCAGCACAAAAATAACGAAGCGATCGAAAGAATTGCATTTCTAGGTAACATTACAGCTACCACTTTTATGCTGAGAATAAGAAGCTTACCGTACATATGTTTTAGAGTCGCAAATTGCTACTGTTCGAAAGCAATGCGAAGACCGACGACAACAAGAATTGGTAGTTAAAAAGCTAAAGAACCAGCTAAGAATATATTCTCTGAAGCAGAAGGAGTATACCTCTCTGCTTGATAAATTGAATTCACGAACCAGACGAACCGTTCGTGATACTGGATTGAGCGAAACAACAACCTACACCTCACCAGATGTTAAAGCCTCTATTGCGATTAAGCAACTGACTGCCAAGATAGAAACACTCATGACCGAGAAATTGAAGGGAGGACACGACACTGAAGATCTCTCTGGAATATCAGTACCAATAATGACTTTACTACGAAGTTCTACTGTGGACTCAAACATGATATTGGATCAAATCACAAAGTACCTCGACAATCTCCATGAAAAAGTTCACTCAAACACTATATATACCGAGAGTGACTCTAAAGAAGAAGGCATCTTCTCAAAAAAGGTCCAAGAATTAGAACACTTGTGTGAGGAACGGGAAGCGCGGGTGGAGGAGAATGTCAAAAAGGAACAGGAATACAAGTACCAGGCTGATGACCTTGTTCGACAAATTAAGACAAAAATAGCTACGAATTACCCAGATAATGAAGTACAGCGCATGGTACTGTAAGTGGCCCTCTTTCTATTGTAACATAAATTGAAAGCGAAATGTTGACCGAGACGATAGAAAAAATATTTTATCCAAGGCGCAGAAACAAAGATACCATAAAAAGGTAGAAATGTTACAACAGGCTGCGATGGAATTGAAACAGGAGCATGGAGTCATCAATGCTGAATTTCCTGTGATGGTGACCGATATCAATGAACAGATGGTAATGAAAAATTTGGTGAAATACATACCTGATATCTGCTAACCCATTTTCCAGGATGAACGACTCCAAACAGTTGGTGACCTTCACCTTCAAATTGATCTCTTAGGTCTCAAGATCAGCCAGCAACTTCAACGAGTGAGTAGATATTATTTATCTTTCAGGCACAAGTAGACTTCATACTGATGTCCAATTCATCAAGAACAAAGAGATCGTTCATGACGATGAGATACTTCTTTGGAAGGAGATCAAAGATCAATGCCGGCTGATAGCTACTAATTTTCAAAAAGCAACAGAGGCGACATCTGAGGCAGAAGCGGACCAATCGCAATTGAAGTAAGTCCGAGCTAAGAATTGACGACTGGCCTTAAGTTATAAGATGTACTGACCTATTGATCTTCAGAAGAACATCAGATACTAGCCTCACTATACAAGAGATCCGTCGTCATTTAAATTTTAACACGAGCAAGGCAAGTATATTTAATGCGAGAATCGCCAATCCGCACGTTCCTCGTTGACTAATGCATTATATAGGATTTATCGTCTATCTTGAGAGAAATACAAGCTCTCAAACTTGAAGGTTCGGCCATGTTGCAAACAAATTGACGGCCGTTTTGGTATCATGCTGACTTCATCTGCCTATTTCTAGCCCGAGCCAAATTGGAAATGGAAGGCACAATCAACGAGCTGTACACAACGTCAAAAGAGAAGCAGGGAAATCTGAGTATGAACATATTGCTTATTGTCGAATTTGTAAGAATACGGTATTCATTACTTTGTTTAGATCGCGAACTTTGTTATCTGGCCACAGGAGAGAAGACTATAGTTGATGATAACTTGACATCGGCTGTAGAGAATTTCGCAGGTATAGCTATAGCATTGCTCATCTCGAAAAGAGTGATTATAACTAACTTCATTGTAAAGCACATGTACAACAAAAGCAAGCTGAATTTTGGCAAGATCATCATAACAAACTAGTTGAACATTTGGAAGATAATAAGCAAAAAGCTATTGCTTCCATTCAACAGATACAGCGCTGTATTGACGAAAGGTAGAGTATATTCTGATTTTAGCTTGCTTTTCAAACCACTAAAATTTCATCACCTAATGAACTTATGTTATATGCAGAGATGAAATGTTGCAAGGAGAGTTGGTGATGGATAACGCTCGAGATTCATCAATGCCACTACAAGCCACATGATAATGAAACTGTGATCCTGTCTACTCTCTGCCACTTTTGCCTTCACCCTGCGCCCTGTAATATATCATGTATCATTATTAGCATTTGCATGAGCCGAGCAGCAAAAGGAAGTCATTATTTAATACAATATCCTTAAAAAGCACAAATCACTACACATATGGGAAAGCGACTAGTGATGAAAAGAGAGGGGAGAGAAGCAATCGATTTTTCAAGCGATACAAAATGGCGATGAGGTAATGTAATTGGGATACCTCTTCACAGTACACGTTGGGCATGGATATATAGCAAAACGGATAAATATTCATCAGTGGCACTGTATTCCGCGATCTGTAGGAAGGTTGCCACCGAATGCATAGTGGCCCAAGCCAGCTCCAACGACTACGCTGATCATGAGGAAGCCATTATAAGTCATGAACACGAGCATTAGCCAAAAGGAGATACCGACTAGAACAGCATAGATGATCGAACGTGTGACTTTCTGCTGCTGTGATATACTACGATGTAAAAGTAAGCATCATTGTTAGAATATGCAGGTAACACGCACTAAGGGGATCAGCGATTTCAGAATGCGTATCACGTCTCCTCCCCCTATTTTTCTGAGAGCCATACCTAGTCAGCGCTGAAGCTGATGTGCTCAAGAGACCGTCGTTTTCAGCATGTTCATCCTCCAATCGCCGACTGGCATCCTTCTTCTTGTTTGCAGCAACGATCTCATCGTCGTATTCTCGTGATGCGTGTCGAAGGAATTCATAACCTGCGGCTACACCGGCGATAATAAAACAGGACAGTAACAACCCGAACGGAGACTTTATCCGCCACCATTCAAATACAATGCAGACATTTTCTACATCCCAATTAAAAAGCATCTGCGAAGAGAAGAAGGTATCAAATATATATCGATGATATGTCCACTTCTGTAGGGATGGGCTTACATTCATTTTACACATATCCATATCGCCGTGTCCGTGGTCCATTATATTACTTGGGGCTATTTTTCTCTAGCAGATACAGAAGAAACAAAAGGGGCGAATGGAGGGGATGATCACCTGAGGGACGAGGAGACAAAATTTCCACTGAACAATCACTTCTGATCGCCCTAACGTCAGGAGAATCGTCTTCCCTACTTCACATAAACATAAAATTAATCAAACACATAACACTCAATGAAAATGCTGTCTACAGAACATCGCTTAAAAAATCTTCTTGGGTTGAGTCCTCAAGCTACTGAAAGGTTCATCCTTGTTTCTCCCGTTATTTTACCACTGAAAAACTGAGGTAGTAACAAGGTTTCAACTCATCTCCTTTCTTTTTCAAGGACACAATCGACTGCATACGGTTCATTCATAGGACCCTCACATAGAGCATTGCTTCCTCATTATTCATCTTCATCTTCGCCTACCATGGTAGCAACCTACCATACGATCAACCCAATGGCTGAGCTGTCCATTTCCAGCTCTCCAGTCACATCCCAAGCACGAACTCCTATCCTAAGAAAGGCAAAAAGTTACGCTATTCAAAGTACAGAGGAGTCGTTGGACCATTCTCCAAGACAAAGTAGAGGTATAACCCATAGAAAACGCTGATTTTCATGATCCTGTCACTCTTGCAGTAACGATGATGACAACCTACAGGAACGGCAAATATACCATGTAAATTTTATAGGAACGATGCTTGCACAGCAGGTACTAATTTCTTTCCATATTCAATTTTCATTTCCATGGAATTTCCGTATACCTGTCAAACGTGCTTTCACTGATACCAATTGTACAATAGGCGCAAATTGCCCTTTTTTACACAGCAGCAATCCAGACCATGCATCGACAACCGTTTGCAAGTACTACCTGAAGGGATCTTGTAAATTTGGCAACAAATGTGCCCTGTCGCATTCCTTTCTTACAACATCACCGAACATTTATGGATCTCCCATGAGCAGTAGAATGATGTACAGAGGAGCAAGTACAGAGAGTAGTCTAAATTTTTATGAGTGGGACCTTGCCTGTACAAACGAGTCATCGTCCCTCTTGAGCGATACAGGTTCGAACAAAGAAGATCATCGCGTCTCAGACATGTTTCCCAGCTGGAAGGAGCTTAGCCCGATCGCATCCAATGTAACCACGCCAAATATTGACAACCGATTTTCCAGTCCACGTACACCCATTTCACAATCCCTTAATTCGGTAGAGCCTTACTCCACAAGCAGTAGTATTACCGATGGTTTTAGCAATAGCGCCTTTTATGTTCCACAAGGGCGAAACTATTTTCAACACTCATCCCCTCGTCCCGCAGCGATGACTTCATTGGAAGGGGCTAGCTACTTCAATGATGAATGGTCATCAAATAACCAAAAGTCGTACACGTCTCAAGATATTGGCGACGATGCCAATCTTGCTCGTTCGTTAGACGAAATATTTGCTACGGTCTCATCTGAACGAACCTCAAAAACCATCCGAAGACCTAAACAACGTTTGAGTACTTTACCTGATTCCCAAGCTACATCCTACGCTGGTCTGTTTGAAAACTTATTCACGGAGAAATTGAGCTCGATCACTTCTAATGGCTATGAATTGGAGCTGACCAAAGACATATTGCGAATGCGGGATGATCGCAGACGAGCGTCAGAGCCTTCCGTAGGTCTCGCCATGAGGGATTCTCAAGAAACAACTGACTTTGTGCAGTCTACTGACAGGTCACGAGAAAGCTTTGAAAGGCGGATGGATGGTGATATTGAAATGACGTTCCTGATGGACTGATCTTCCATAAAAATAAATGATAATACTGATTGTGTATACTTTCGACGCTGTTGTCACCATCAAAAACTATATATATATATATGTTCGACATCCGTATCAATACACCAAAATAAACAGCTGTGAAATTATTCTTAAACATTGCGAGGATATCAGTTCTTTCAAGACACTGGATCTTATTAACCATGTGTTTCTATTACTAAAAAATTGGTTGTAAATGACAATAATGCTCTATAATGGAGGAGAATACAACAAGTACATTAGGCAATTCCATACACCCGGATAAAACCATGGATAAATCATGGTTCTTTCTCAATTTACATAGCCGATTCGGAAAACTTGTATGTTTCTTCAAGACGTTCTCTCAAGTGCTGGCCAGCAGTCTTAATTGGTTGATCCTGGCCGATCTGGTTGTCCTTAAGAACGACACTAGGAATTACATCGAGAGGTACCTCGTCGTTCGCGTGGCAGAAGTAAGCGATGGAATAGCGATCATTTTGTGCGTGCTCAGGAAGGAAAACAACACGGTGCTTGGTTGATTTGAATCGACCGCCAGTCCAATATTCCATTTGGTCACCTATGTTTACCAAAACGGCACCAGGGATGACTGGAGCCGAAATCCAGTTTGTTCGGCTAGCCTGTACCTCCAGTCCTGGAATTCCATGCTGAAACAATAAAGTGATCGAGCCATAATCAGAGTGACTATAAGACGCATGAACGGTCAATCTCATTTGCCATATTGCCAAGTCCTTTGCTCTCACAATAAGCGTACCTTCCGGCTCTGACGATTTCGTCAGTATCAGTATCGCCACCCTTGGGATACTTCAACAATCTCAGAATACTTCCGCAAGGAGTATCATAATCGTGTCGCTTTTCGAAGTAATGAATGCCTCCATCCTCTTCTTTGATCTGTTGATTTGCATTAGTATTGCTGACACGCTCTTAACATTGGCTTTCTGTGAAATACTACATACTTCTAAGGCAATAGCGAATGCTTGAAGAATCCGGCTGCAAACCTTGTGACAGTCCTAAATGGCACCGCGTCGTTAACATATGAGGACAGTGTTGCTGTTCACAGCTAGATTTTCGAAAACTTACCTCAGAGAACTTGCGAGTTATATCCTCCTTAGCTTTGAAAGGTTCGGGCATTTCGCCAGCAGCTTCACCGTTCAGCCACTTGCCAAAGTTAAAAGCTCTATCAAGCCATTGTCAGAATTTCCACCAAACACCCCGATGCTTACTACAAAGGCAATCGGTTCAAAACTTACTCCTTGCTGTCACCAGTCTTTTGGGTCGCCGGGTCAAGGCTGAGATGAGTAACATAAAATGTTTCGAGAGGTTAATCTCCGAATATGATAACGTCTGGTCTTGAATGTTCAATACTTACACTTCACGATGAAGAGCACTGTATCCAACATTGTTAGCCTGAATATCGAATTGAGCTTTGGTTTCAACTGGCTGATCAAAGAATTCTTTTCCCTGCATATGGATTGCGGCACATGAGTTAAAAGTCATCAAGAAAGAGAGCATGGAAAGATTTTGTATTCCGTAGGCTCGGAGACCCTTACCAACTCGAACATTTCGTCGATCTCGGGTTGAGGAATCCCCACATTCTTGAGGAAAAGAAATCCAATAGATTCGCAAGCTTCACGAATGGCAGCTGCAACAGCAACGGGATCGGAATCAAACTTTCCAAAGTCAATAACAGGAATTTCCTCCATCTTGTACAATCACTCGAAACGAATGGAAAAAGAAGAATAGAACATAGTCACTTCTCCGCACACATCCTTTATATGTCCTCTCAAGATACCAGTTCCGGATCTTTCCTTTCTACAAGAGAAGCTATCTTAAGGTTACATAAGTGGAATTGTAGCCAGCAAAATGACTGGTCTACTAAAATTCGCACCCATTACGATATGCTATATCTTGCCATTATCTATCAATGTCGCACTTACTTTCTGCAGAAATTAAAGTTATCTATATCGGAAGATCGCTCGCAACAAGGCACGGGATATCAATAGTGGCGGTTCTTCCTTGAGACCATTGTCTTGAGCCATTGAGCCATCCTATATACCGTTCTGACCCTCTTTCAATTCGTTGAAAGCTATACTAGGCCCCTTCCATCGTACATTATATGCACGTTTATACCACGACCATTGATCCTTGATATGATTACCCCTTTTATGTAACCCAATCTTTTACGACTCATTGGTAAAATTAAAAAAATTATCTTGTTCTCGTTGTTTAAATTAACTTGTTCCATTTCAATTGATGACAAGCATGTCCATCGTTCCTCCCAGAAGAACTTTGACGGAAGACCTCAACTTTACAAGTAAGAATGAAAGGCTATAAAGCTGTAGACCTAATGTTCCCTCATGCTGCCGCAACGAACTTGTAAGTACGGGCAAGTCGCTCTTGTAAGTATTCACCAGCAGTCATGATCGGCTTGTCTGCATTGACTTTTTCCCCAGTCGAAAGCGGGCTTGGTATAACGTCCAAAAGTACTTCATCATTGGCCTGGCAGAAGTAGGCGATCGAATAACGATCATACTGGGCATGCTCGGGAAGGAAAACAACGCGGTGCTTGGTAGACTTAAACCGTCCGCCAGTCCAATATTCCATCTGATCGCCGATGTTCACCAAAACAGCACCGGGTATAATGGGAGCTGAAATCCAGTGTGTTCGACTAGCTTGCACTTCCAGTCCTGGAATTCCGTTCTGGAACAACAAGGTGATGGATCCGTAATCTGAGTGGCTATTTCGTACGCGGTGAGAAATCTGTTAAGTACATCATCACTACTTTGACTTACGAAACCTATAAACATGACCTCACCTCCCGGCTCTCACAGTTTCTGTGGGGTCGGCGTTGTCTCCTTTGGGGTACTTCAAGAATCGGAGAACACTTCCACACCGCTCAGTGTATTTGTGTCTATCTTCAAAGTAATGTATACCTCCGTCTTCCTCTTTGATCTGAACACATGCTGTATTTGTAAGTGATGCTAGGTTGAAAACGCCACTCTCTGCTACTTACCTCCATGGCTATTGCAAAGGCTTGTAGGATTCTGCCACATAACTTGTGACAATCCTAAACATAGATGCCAGTCAATACGGGGTTGTGTCTTATCTCGTGAGAACCAACAAACAGAGTCTTACAACAGAAAATTTGCCAATAAACTCCTTTTTTTCTGCTATTACCGACGGAAGAACTTGGATGGGCTCACCATCGACCAGCTTTCCGAAATTGAAGCATCTATAACCCAACCGATTAATATCTAATTTCACTGATCATCATTCAATTGCACCCTTACTCTTTGGTGTCTCCATATTTCTGTACACCGGGGTCAAGACTATGATGGTACCGTCAGTAAACGGGATATGAACGGCCAAAACTTTCGAAACAAAGTGTAACTTACATCTCTTTACGCATGCCAACGTAGCCAAGGTTATTTGAAGTAATTTCTTCCTTTCTCTTCTCCTCAATAGGTTGGTTAAAGAACTCGGCAGACTACATGTATGGTTAGTTCAGTTGCCTTCAGTTCAATTACTAGAGCTCTGAGGGCAGACTTACTAGGCTGAATGCTCGCTCTACCTCAGCTTGCGGAATACCGAAATTGGTCAGATACAAGAATCCTATACTTTCGCATGCCGATCGAACAGCAGCAGCTACAGCTTTGGGATCCGATTCAAACAATCCAAAGTCAATAACAGGGATATGGTCCATAGTGGAAGTAAGTGGTTGAAAGAAAAAAGTATGAAGAACAAACAACCAATCTCTGAACTCGGTCATTTAGATAGCAGTTATAAAAGTGGGATATTTAAAGTTTGCTGATAGCGCTCCGTTATCAGCTCCTTTTTTTATAGCTATTTTTTGACATGTATTATAGCTACTTCAAACTGAAAAAAATAGTATCTGCCAATCAGGTCATATCACTTCATAAAAACTATATCTACTTGGACTCTTCCGCTTCCTCTTCCTTGGGCTCTTCGGCCTTGGCATCGGTATCTAAATACATAAACAATGGATGGCAGGATTAGTATGACTATATCCAAACATATTTTCAACACCAAATCAAACTTCTTACCGTCTTGAAGGTCGGAAGTCCACAAGGTCAAGTTGTCTCTGAGAAGTTGCATGATCAAAGTGGAATCCTTGTAGCTCTCTTCAGAAAGGGTGTCAAGCTCAGCAATGGCATCGTCGAAGGCCTGCTTGGCCAAATGGCAAGCGCGGTCAGGGGAGTTAAGAATCTCATAGTAGAAGACAGAGAAGTTAAGAGCAAGACCAAGGCGGATGGGGTGGGTTGGGGGTAATTCTGTCTGTGCAATTTCAGTGGCGGCCTTGTAGGCTTCATGAGCAGCGGTAGCAGCATCCTTGCGGACATCTCCAGCAGCAAATTCAGCGAGATAACGGTGGTAATCGCCCTTCCTATAACGCCAACACGCCCATGTTGTCAGAACAAAAATCATCGACACCATCAAGTAATAAAAAGAGACTATACATACATCTTGAAGTAGAAGACACTGGATTCACCAGCCTGTGCGTTGGGAATCAAATAGGCTTCCAAGACCTCCAAGATGTCGGAGCAGACATCCTTGAGCTCGGCTTCAATCTTTTGACGGTAAGACTTGATCTTGCCAACGTGAGATTCGTTACCCTTGCTCTCTTCCTTTTGCTCAATTGATGAAACAATGCGCCAAGAAGCACGGCGGGCACCAATGACGTTCTTGTAAGCGACGGAAAGCAAGTTTCGCTCTTCAACAGTCAGGTCGACACCAAGCTATCAACAGATCAAGGAGGTTAGTTCTTCCATACAATAGATGACGGACTTTATAAATTGGGGCCCATAACACCAAAGTAAGGGGGTTGATTGCAGTATTTACCTTTGCAACATCCTTCATATAGGTGACCATCTCTGATGACAGTGTTGACAACGTCAATTAAGGATTGTAAAACATAAGCTCAAATGCAAATAGAAATGTAACCTTACCATCGTATCGTTCGGCTTGTTCAGCCAATTTGGCAAGGTAGACGGTCTGGTCGCGTTCCTGAGGAGGGGGTTTACTAATGTTAGTGATATGACAGATCGCGTCATGAAGGAAAAAATAAAGCAAAGTAAAATGGAGTAAAGCGCGACGCAGATGACAACCATTCACGTTCAATTTTGAAGGCGTTGTGCCTTGTTGTTTACTGCCTCTGATAAGAGATGGAACAGGAAGTGTAGTACTTACGGCAGACATATTTTTGTGAGTAAGGAGAAACAACTGCTGCCTGCAGGTTGAACTGCAACATCAGACCAAATGGCCACGGCTCATATGATGACGTCAATATCAATTGATTGTCTATGCTTATTTTTGTCTTCCAAACGAGGTCACCGCTATACTCTCGTGGTAGTATTCTATTGCGCAGACTACGACAGTAAAGTGGTGTTTTACTTTCTAATTTGAATATACTACTTGTTTAGAATTTAATATAAATCAGTAGTCGCTTCTTACATATCTGCTGAGCTATTCAAAGTCGATTTACAGTGTTGCTGCAGCTATTTCATCTCCTGGGCTGGATTGAGGGTCTGTGGAAATATCTGTGACGGCTGGTGGCTTGGGACAGCGAATTTTGTCCTTCAGCCTGAAGACCAACTTTTTTTTTTTTTTCAGAGTACTCTCCCAGCTTAGTTAGTAACCTAATGTCCGATTCCTTCTTTGCATCAACTCGGAAACGAAAGAAGCCAGGCTTCAGCAACCAGAAACGACCTTCTAAACCAGCAGGGAACAAAAGATCCCGGGATGCAGCGGCCGATGAATCTGATAATGACGATCAAATAGGTGCTGGAGGAATCGATGATATGGAACTGCGTGGTAGCGACGTCGAATCAGAAGAAGAGATTCAGGAGACTGCTGCAGAAAAGCGCATAAGACTTGCCAAAGGATACCTGGAAGGAATACAAAAAGGATTAGATGGTAAGTAAATACGTATTCACCCCTTGGCCGAAACGTATGGTTGCTAACGAAGCTGAAAACTTGCAGAGGATATTGGCGGATTCGATGCTGAAGATATAGATAGAGACTTAATAGCAGAGAGACTGAAGCAAGATGCAGTGAGTACATTGAAATTCGATATTCCTCTTTTTGTTCTACCACTAACGAAGCATACTTTTAGTTTGAAACAACTGGAAAGCTTCATAGACGAATTGCCGACAAGGTATGGATCCGTCACTATGACTTTGATCATCTTTAGAAAGTTTCGTTGTTAAATCTTATCTTTTATAGTTTGACTTTTCTGGAGTCGATATTTCAACCATTCGGCAATGCAAAGGTCATCAACTGGCTGTTACCAGCGTAGCTATGACAGAAAATGGAAAGTTCCTTTACACAGCATCAAAAGACGCATCCATCATCAAGTGTAAGTAGAATGTTAAAAGACAGCATGTTGAATACCTTTGTGTTACTGACACATAATTTGCAGGGGATGCGCTCACCATGAAAAAGTTGCACACCTTCCCCGGTGCAAGGAAAGGTGTGAAGAATTTTAATGGCCATACCGACCACATCCTTTGTCTGGCATTAAGCTCTGACGGACAATACCTTGCCAGCGGTGGTAAAGACAAAGCCATACACATATGGTCAGTTACAGAAGACAAACACATTGTTGCCTTCAAGCAGCACAAGGACAGTATTTCGGTAAGGTTTCATTGTACCGCGAAGCATATTTCCCATTTTGTGTGATTTTGCTCATGATGTGCTTTTCAATCAGAGTCTCGCATTTCGAAGAGGCGCAAATCAATTGTATTCAGCATCGCATGATCGAACCGTAAAACTTTGGAATGTGGACGAACGATCTTATATAGAAACACTCTTTGGTCACCAAGATCAAATTACTGATATAGACACCTTGGCGCGGGAGCGATGTGTAACGGTTGGTGGTCGTGACAAAACCGCACGTATGTGGAAGATTGTGGAAGAATCGCAATTGGTTTTCAGAGGAGGAGCTCAAGTAAAGGAAAAGGACGGTTCTGGAACTGTACGATACGCCGAGGGTTGCCTTGACTGCATAGCACTTGTTGATGAAGACATGTTTGTAACTGGCGGAGACAGCGGGTAAGTTGGAAGGATTCTTTTGAACCATACGAGTGTGACACACCCCTCTTTCCTTAACTGGTTCTAAATGCACTTTTACAGATCGATCTCACTGTGGGATATCAATCGTAAAAAACCCGTCTTTACATATCCAATAGCGCATGGCATCAATGAACACGAGAGCGAATCGGAAGGAATCATCGGAACCCCTTACTGGATTACGACTTTGGCCACCTTACCTTATTCTGACGTTTTTGCATCTGGTTCATGGGATGGGTTCGTCCGCCTATGGAAGATTTCCGCGAACAACCGAAACTTTGCTCAAGTCGCTCAGATACCAATTGCCGGTGTGATTAATGATCTTCAAATTCTTACTACACCAGCAAAGAAAACCATCTTGAGTCTTGGCGTCGGCCAAGAATTGACCTTGGGACGATGGATTCGCATGAAGAAAGCTAAGAACGGCGCACGGCTTTTAGAGCTTCCCGTCAAGACTTTGGATACCGAATTAGAAGAAGAAGATCGGGAAGAAGATCAAGCCGATGGCGATGATGGATTTCTCGTATTTTCTCGATAAGCAATTTGTACATTCTGCAACCCCAACAATAAAAAATCAAAAAGGTCACATTATACGTTACTGTCTTCCCACTTCCACTTTTTACGTCTTTTCTCAATGGCACATTCTATTGCAAATAATTTGACTGATTTATCAGAAATGGGTCTTCAGTTAGACCAAAATGACAACGTAAGAGCAATTATCACTTGGTATGATGCTCTAGATCTACCGAAATCTGCTTCTTAATATATTGACACGCTGGCTTTAGATCTTATTGGAACCATTCAAATACCTATGTGAACATCCAGGCAAAGACATTCGAAGTCGACTCATTGATGCCTTCGATTACTATATGCATGTTCCTCCTGACCAACTGAAAGTTATAACAAAGGTCACTGAAATGCTTCATAATGCCAGCTTATTGTAAGTTGACCGGACCAGTTCTTGCATACTAGGCTCCTGACCGTTGGGCGAATATGGAATTAAAGGCGTAAAGTTCACTGATCACTTATCCCTTAAACTTACAGGGTGGACGATGTTGAGGACGACTCAGACCTTCGGCGAGGTGTGCCTGTTGCACACAAAATCTACGGCATAGCACAAACTGTCAACTGCGCCAATTATGTGTATTTCCTGGCGTTGAATGAAATTATCAAGTTAGGCAATAGCAAGATGGTAGATATATATACAGAGGAATTAATTAATTTACATCGAGGACAAGGCAAGTGTAATATGCAGAACCTTGAGAAATATCTTCTCTCTAAGTCTCACTCATATGACAGGCATGGAGCTGTTTTGGCGAGACTCGCTCACGTGTCCAACCCAAGATGAGTATATCGAAATGGTCAACAATAGTAAGTGACAAACGGTTAGAGCTGTTGTAGCCACTCGATATCTCAACTTCATTCGGCACTAGAAACTGGTGGTCTCTTAAGGCTTGGCGTCAAGCTCATGCAGGAAGCAAGTAAATCAGACAAGTAAGTGAAGGACAAACTAGTCATATAGTTATTGCCGTGTATACTAAATATGTCACTTTCTTGTATTCATCTAGAGATTATACGCCTCTTGTGAATAAGATAGGGATTCACTTTCAAGTTCGGGATGATTACATGAACCTACAGTCAAAACAGGTAAGTCTCTATCTTCATCTTTGAGATACCATGTAGCCTGGAACATTATTTGAGTCTCAAACATTGCATTCAACAGTACACGGACAATAAGGGATTTTGCGAGGACTTTACTGAAGGAAAATTTTCATTTCCTGTTATACACTCAATTCGGGCCGATCCCTCCAACCGACAATTGTTGAATATATTAAAGCAGAGGTCGACATCAGTGGAATTGAAGCGCTTCGGTCTGCAGGTGCTGGAGAAGACAAACACTTTTAACTACTGTTTGACATTTCTCAAGGACATGGAGCAACAGGCAAGGGATGAAATTAGTCATTTAGGAGCCAACCCAAAGCTTGAGAAGATTTTGGATATGCTCAGCGTGGCAGTTGCGTAATGCCATTATATCCTTTTGCAATAGTATTTTCCCAATGACAATAAGTCGTACGTCTCCGAGTCACCTTTACAAGCGTAATCCGATAGTGCAGCGATTATTTCTTTTTTTTTATATAAAAATAAGTAAAATTGATTTTGGTCAGCTTCACTCGTGGGGCTTGTATTTTACGAATATCCCTCAAATTTGATACAGTTCCGTTTCAAAGTAATGCGATGGTGTGATGAACAATGGGAGCCTTTAAGCCATTTGATTGATGGAATAGTAGCACAACAAGTGTTACACTTCAATTTGCTGACATATTTGAGCCGGGAGTCCTATACAATGAACAAACTTCGATTGAAGTCTGTTCGGAAATCGAAATATCTATATCGCCACAATTGTAGCCCTCACTAGCTGCTGCTCTAATATTATCTGCTTCCACGTCTTGTCTACAATTGCTTACAAAGATAGAATATGTACGGTAAGATTCGAAAATCGCGACTAGGACCCATGAACCCATCTTGAAACCGAAACCATCATCGGTTTCACCAAGTCTGCTCAAATGTTCCTAATTCGATAAGCGCAGTTTGCGATCAGTATCTTTGGCAGGTTGTTTCCTTGATCTACCTTGAAATGCGCCATGGTATACTTTCAAAGTAGCACACTTTTGGAGAGGACAGCCACACTCATCGTTGAACTCAAGTTAAACTTTATAGAGTCCCATTGCTGCCAGCTAGATTGGAATTTTGCAAAATATGACAGCTATACGGTCGCGACCACGGTACCCGACAGATGTACCTGAGATGACGTGAATCTAGAATCACATCAATATGTCAAGATAACTTGGAGCCCGTTCGAACGAAACCAAAAGCGCAATCTAAAAATAATTGTCTGTTTAGTGATGATAAAGAAAAACAACAATGAGTTTCCACGTTTATTACAAGTATCAAAAAAGCTTGAAGAAAAGAATGTGGGAATGTTTCACCAAACCCATTGCACATTGAATGAACGGTACCCATGGAAAGCGGAATGCTCTACCTAACTCTATGAGTGCCTTCGTCATTTATTTCTAAAGAGGTTCCCGCATCCGGTAGACGCACCGACTCCGAGTTCTTCTGGTTGAACCATTGTTCAGTCCGCTTTTTCATTGTTTTCTGCACTGGGTGTGGAAATTTCGGATTGCTTAGAAAAGCCAGAATAGCGCGGAGATCATAACCACTGCGAACTCTTGTCCACGATCGTCAACTTAAAAGGACAATGAGAAAAGCTATGATAATGCAGTAATAACACCTCCTTACTCTCCATCCCATTCCATTCCATTCAACATGATTTTCAAGTGCATTTCAGTCATTGCTTTGCTGGCCACAGCTTTGGCTACTCCGCTGCAAAAGAGGACTTACAAAGGAGAAGTCACCTACTACCATCCTGAAGTTGATCTTGGCAGTTGTGGCAAATTCAATGATGGCGACGCCATGATCGTTGCTATCAACGCCCCCCAAATGAAAAATGGAGGTAACCCCAACAACAACCCCAAGTGTGGTCGCAAAATTAGAGCTTATGGTCCTAAGGGTCACGTTGATGTCAAGGTGGTGGATACTTGCGCTCCATGCAAGTACGGAGATATTGATTTATCCCCTACCGCCTTCAACAAAATCGCCGATAAGGAGGATGGCCGTCTCCCAGTCAAATGGCATTGGCTTTGAAGCTGGACTTCTTATCTATCCTTGACTATACATCTTTTCGAAAGATATATGCATGAAAATAAATAAACGTAAAGCGTTACAATGTATATGCTTGTCTCAATGGGTTGACTACCTCTCTCACGTTGTGCCTTCACCATGATTGTGTTCCGATGTTTTGGGCGAAACTGGATCCAAAGTGACTGTCAGCTCGAACGAAGTTTCAGTCTGCTGAGCTGGTGCAAGGGTTATGCAATTTTTTGCATGAATGTTTGGGTTTTCATTAGGCGATGATTTAAACGGGGATAAAAACCAGTTCGCCTGAACATCACGCTGTTTATCGTTTTCTTATCACTCAACATGAATCGAACCAGAGATGAGGTAGACGACCTCTTGCAAAAGTCCAGAATATCCAGAGACATGCATCAGGAGGAATCTGACTACAACCCTCAGCGCAACTATAGGCCTAATTCTGGTGAAGTCTTCCTTAGCGAGCCAGGACTTCAGACGTCTTCTTATCATTCTTCTGATGTTGGTGGCGGTTCCAACTTGATGAGCAAGGATACCTCCTTGTACCAAAACTCTCCAACATTGAATTTGCCAGGGGCTTTCCCAACTAATTCGCTCGATGACAACAAGCGAAACAATAACTCTTCACTTAGCCGTCGCGAGCAAACAGAAGATTACAGTGGAATGAACAAAAACAAAGGATATAGCACTGATTATACTGCTGGTCAAATTGACAATGATCCGATTTTGAGACTCAAAAAGGATATCACTTACCAGACATCGCCTGGTGCCACAGGTGATCTCAACTCCAATCGCGCAACCGATCAGAAAGATATTGATCCCACTAAACGCAACCAAAGCCAATCGATTTCTCAACCCACGGATGGATCATCATTGAACGCTGGCTCTAATGTTGGTGATCTTAAACAAGATTACACCGCTGGTCAGATCAATGATGACCCCACCCTTGGAAATAAGGGCTCGGCAGCAGCCATCTCTGGCCCTGCAAACGCCCAGACTTTTGGAAGCACAGACATGGCTAATAACTCTAAAAGCACTGGTAATGACACTGGCATGGTTAAAACTTCTGCTGCCGCAGCCGCAGTAGGAGGCATTGGTGCTAAGATTGGTTCCATACTCGGCCGTAGAAAGTCCAAAGAAACTGAACTTCCAAAGGACTCAAACCTTAACACTCAAACCCAAGATTGGAAGCAAGGTACTGATGGACGCATGTCGATGGATACTCAACGCCCTGATGTCTCTAGTGATAGTGAACCTTTTGGAACGGAACAATCTGGATCCTGGAACAAGCAAGGACAACGTTACAGCCTCCCTGCCACATCTTCGTCGTATGACAAAGACCTATCTGGAAACTTGAACAACCAAGGGAAAGACTCTGATCTCTCTGGAGTTGATACTTCCCTTGGAACTTACCAAACTGGAAACTTGGCAACTCAAGGAGACCGCGGTGATCTCTCTGGAATCAAAAACTCCCTTGCAACTGATCAATCTGGTAGCTTGAAGATGCCTCAAGGACAGAGCGGAGATCTCTCTGGATTGAAAGATACTCTTAAAACTGATCAATATGGAAGTTCGACAACCCAAGGACAGAGTGGAAATCTCTCTGGAATGAAAGATTCTCTTGACACTGACCAATACGGTAGCTTGAAGAAGCCTCAAGGACAGCGTGGAGATCTCTCTGGATTGAAAGATTCTTCTCTTGATACTGATCTTTATAAGGACTCGACAACCCAAGGACAGAGAGGAAATCTCTCTGGCATGAAAGATTCTTCTCTTGATACTGATCTTTATAAGGACTCGACAACCCAAGGACAGAGAGGAAATCTCTCTGGCATGAAGGATTCTTCTCTTGATACTGATCTTTATAAGGACTCGACAACCCAAGGACAGAGAGGAAATCTCTCTGGAATGAAGGATTCTTCTCTTGATACTGATCTTTATAAGGACTCGGCAACCCAAGGACAGAGAGGAAATCTCTCTGGAATGAAAGATTCTTTTGGAACTAATCAATATGATAGCTCCAAACCTCAAGGACAGCGTGGCGATCTCTCTGGAACAGACGCTGCGCCTGGAACTGGTCTATCTACCAAGTTAAAAAATCAAGATAACACTACAAAGCCTTATGACTATGATGACTCTAAGCTCGATACTCACAAGAATCTAGCTCTGAACAATGAAACATCTTCCAATGCAGCAACTTATGGCAGCACTGATGCCCCTTACGACTCTGGTAATCTCGATAAAGAAACTGAGCAGGAGCAACCTGAAAACCATACTGGTGCCAAGGCTGTTGCTGCCGGTGCTACGGCTGGGGGCATTGGAGCCATGTTGAGCTCTGTTCTTGGTCGAAAGAAATCTGCTGGTGACATCAATAACAAGACTGTTGATAATCAAGGAAGCATGTCTTCATCTGGCAATATGACTGATGGCGATATGGCTAGTGGAAACTTAACAAGTGGCAACATGCTTAAGGAAAAACCCTCAAGTGGAAGGATGCCCAGTGGAGATATGTCTAATAAAAGCATGCCCAGCGGAAACATGTCAAGTGGAAATATGCCCAGTGGAGACCTGTCTACTGGAAACATGCCTAGTGGAAAAATGTCTGTTGGAAGCAAGCCTAGTGGAAAAATGTCTGTTGGAAGCAAGCCTAGTGGAAACTTGTCTGGCGGAATTATGCCTAGCGGAGACATGTCTAGTGGAAACATGCCTAGTGGAAGCATGTCTGCAGGAAGCAAGCCTAGTGTTAACGCACCCAACGACAGCGTCTACCGTTCTGATAATTTGTCTACTGCAACAGGCAACAAACCACCAAACATTACTACTAATGATGTCAGCTCTCCTATGGTTGCAACAACCAACACAAATGATAGCCTCGGCGCTGGTGGCATCAACAGCAGCAACAAGGGCGTCTCGGGAACCACTAACTTGAATATGAACTCACCTTCACCTGGCAATAAAGATCTTTCCACTCTTGGTATTCAAACCAACCAGCCGGACTCCATCAAGGGCAACCTGGATAACAGTCGCGGAATGAACACTCAAAATGATCGCCTTAACCGAAGCAACGATACTGAATATCTCAAACCTCCCAGCGCGCGATCATTGACCAACAACAATGAACCTATTTCCAACGGTGAAACTGTCGTTGATGACAAGAAAAGAAATAAGGTCAGTGGTATTGCTAGCTATATCTTCGGCCACGAGCTCAAGTTACAAGGCTCCTACAAGGTATGTTTTGTATTTAGCTACTACCCAATGCTTTACTATGATCAACTGACCTAACCAATGTTTCTGTTCTAGATATTCCTTTCCAAATTTTTACATAACGAAGCCATGAAAAATGATGGGTTGGAACTCCAGCGCAAGGGAAGACATATTTTGGACACCTATCGTAGGGCCCAACAGCATAGCGCGCTTGTTTAAGTCAGTGATAATGTGATGTTTCCTTCTTCTGTATGTACAGATTATATGTAGTTAGCCTTTGTCTGTAATTAGCTTTTAACAAAATAATTATCGTATACTAAAAAACAAAAAGCAAATCTGTGAATTCGAACCAAAAAGCCCTTATATTGTCTATAATATAGCTAGTGTTGTTATCAGTCCCTTCTTTCTTACCTGTTTTTTTATTTATTTTGTTTTTTGTTTTCCATATGGAATGAAATCTGGGAGTAGAAAGGTAAAAAAAAAAAGAAAAAAAAAAAAACCATAGCTTCTAAATTACATGATACTGGGGGGCTACTTGCTGATAGCAATTATGTGTAAAAAAAAGAAGAGGAAGAAATAACACAAAAAGTGATAACAGTTTTAAAAAAATTCTTTAGGTGCGTCTTTGCAGCACAAGTATAAGAGAAGATGTAAGGGTATGCAATAATCAAAAAGGGTTGTTGTTGTATGTGGGTGTAAGGTGTAAGGGTTTGCTAACCGGGGAATTTTTTCAAGAGGCCACCGAAACAAATTCATCCCAAAACTGCTTCATGCGCAACAGTTCTTGCGAGCTCTTTTCATCTAGGTCATCCAGTCCCCACATGATCTCCTTGACCCTTTCCTTAACTTCACCTTTCTCTAACACGACAGCATCCTCATCGTCCTTTTCGGCCAGTAATTGGTTGACTTCACGCATATCCTTGCGTACATCGTGAACGGTCTTGGCAATAGCTCGCAGACGGGCGTTTAATTCTTGGGCTTGTCGCTTGTTGACAAACATATGCTCTTTCAGTTCTTCCAGGGAGTCGGTCATGGCGCTAGTTTCCAAGTTTAAATTTCGCATCAAGGGAACTGGATTCTGAAATTCAAACGCAACATCGTGTAAGGTATTTTTGATGGCGACGAGAAGGACATCGATATCGGCCAAAGCATCAGCGGACATCCAGGAGCCTTCAGTTCTGACTGAAGTGTCAATAGTTCGTAACACGCTAAACTGCCGTTCCCTATCTCTAGCCATACGGTCGATGAGGTTGATCACAGAGGTTATAACAAGTTCGAGAGGAGGGGCAAAGTTATCAGCGGCTTGTCTTTGATGCCCAGTAGATGATAATGAGTTGCTTTGCAGGCTGAGGGTATGGTCCGATAGGAGAGTCTTGACCAGCCTTTTATGTAAGGTTTTGGTTTCCCATACAGCCGTGTTAAGGTCCTCCAGTTGACGTTTGAGAGCCTCGAAGGGATCATTTTCTTCAGGATCAACAGACGACCAAGTTGACAACGAGCTTCTTCGACTATGACCGAAGGTGGTGCTGGATAATGTTGGTCCAGGGGAGATGACAGGGCTAGCTTGATTTGAAAACAATTCGTGGGCAAGTGATTGCTGGACGCCAATAGGTAGCTGTTCCTCTTCTAATTCATATTCATTGATAGCATGAATTTCATCAATCTGTTGTAGATCCGCTGGTTGTGATGGATGACGAATATTCTTTCGACTAGCGGACGGGCTTGGTTGGACGGTGGCAGTGTGTAATTCAGCCGCCAGCGAATTTCCAAACGACCCTAGCGATTGGCCCATCAGCTCATCCTCTAACAATGCTGAGGGATCGTGGTCTTGGTCATCGTAATGCATGTGTGGGGTATATATGAGGCAGAGAAGGGTTTTTTTCAAGTTTAAACAATTTATTTAGCTGGTATAAGCGAATTTCCTTGAGTCGAGCTCTATCGTGACTGGGCCGTCGTTGAGAATTTCCACCATCATCATAGCTCCAAAAACACCATCTATACACCAAAAATTCCGTCAAATCGTGTCCCTTTTTTTCTTTTTCTTCACAACAACCTTTTCATACCTTTGATCTTTTCAGGTTTATAAGCTGCGCCAAGCTTGTCTAAAAACTTTTTATACATTTCATTGGCATCAGCTGTCTTCATACTGGAATGAAAATCTGGCTTGCTCCCTACCAGCCTACCGTTAATCAACGTGCTCTCCTGGAGATTTTCATTGTTACAAGCGGGTTTGTTTTAATCTGTTTGCCTCTTACCTTTGGTAGTTTTGGCGAACAATGTAAATTGGGAAACTAGTATTAAATGAAGTTGAATTCAATCAAAAAAAGTTATGATCAAATTTCAAAAGGGCAAAGTGATTAAAATAGACAGTATCGTCCATCCATCAGGAGGATACTTTTGATTTATTTGTAACTTACCACATAGTAACTCAAGGTCCATATCCTGCACGCTCTTCTTCCACATTACCCCTCCTTCATCAAAGACACGCAGCGTCAATAATTTACGCACCATGTAGTCAATGTCAGATTCGTTATCATCTACGCTAATGCCAACTAAGACGCAGATGCCTTTGCCGATGGAACTGACCACCTGTTCATCCACTGTGGACATGTGTGAGTTTTGTTGACCTTCTTAAAGACCTGTCCATTACTCCAACCTACCAGATACGCTTGCTCGAGCAACTCGTTGCAGCACTGCTCGCATTATGGCGGGATTCAACGACGAGGGGTCCTCTACAAGCCACCACTGAAGTTGAGCTTTGGCCAAGCGGAGCAGATGAGATCCATTCAACAAGTCAATTAAAAACCCAGTTGGGTGTGGGATTATTTGGGAAAAGATCTTGTTTGCTGTGTAGTTTGGATATGTTTAGCTGACTGCCTGTTGCTGCGAGAAACTGCCGTTTTGCCCTTGGTGAGGTTAGTACAGCGTTATACTTTTGCCAATTGAGTTGACTACTCCTTGGCTGATCCCTATGCTCAGTCCAAAACTGCGCATTCGCAGTGAGATAATTATAGCCATGTTATCTGCGTTGTGTACAAGACTTAGGTCAGCTTGCCGACCCGTATCAATGACCAGTTCGGAAGCTGGCTACTGAGTGCTACATCTGGTAAGAGAATCTGCGATGTCCTCGTTCCACTCTCCCCCCATCATGTTTGATAGGGAATCACTAGAAAAAACCGAAGGTTAAAGTTCGAAAATTTTAACAACCTTTTTGGCAGTGTTCTTTTACTATCTTGGAAATGACGACAGTTGCCTATCACCCCAAAATGGTGTCGTTTTTGAACTTATAAAAATGGAACCGCGGAAATATATTTTTATTCAAAGGTTAGCGTAACGGATGTGAGCTTGCTGAAAAAGCAATAGTGCTTTTCATCGATCAGTTTTTATTTTTGGGGGTAACCTTCAATAAAGAGAAGCTATAGGATGTCTTTGATAAATAAAGTACTGGCAGGCATCAGCGTTTTGTTCCATGGTGGTGGTTCGTGTGATACGATCCACTGCAATATAAGTACGGGTTATCCACGGGCAGACGCTTTGCACCAAACTGGGTCTAATCCCTATCTTAGTGCCAACCTTTGCCCTGAAACATATCTCTTGACCTTTACTGTCAACAACGGTGATACAAATTTTTTGGAAAACATCGACCCTTTGGCATTTCCTGTCAACCTAAGTCATCCGCGGGTAGAGCCGGGCTCACACAGAACGAATCAAGTCTGGTGTTTCCCATATCAGGAATGCAAGCATCTTTCAACCACCGATCTCTATTTTGCAGCGAGGCCTGAATATGCTATAGCCGCAATAGTATCAACTTTAAATGAAAGAATCCTTCTGGCTACCAGCGTCAGTGCTTTGATAGTCCCGTTTGCCATTTTGTGGGCCTTGAATTAATATTGTGGGAAAAATGCATGGAGAACTAATTGATGGTTCGAGACATAGTTCAGCGTGGGATTTATGCTGTTGCATTTGGATGATGAGAGTTCACCATTTTTATTTTTTTATGTTTTGGATCGTCTCGAAAAAGAGCAATGTGGATTTCAATTGTGTAAACTGATGGGTTCCGTGATAACTGTTGTACAGATGGCCAGACAATTGGACCGGAGATTGCTTCAAATCTGGCGTGCTCTTTCTGCCAATATCACGACTCCGGACGGTTGGCGGCGAAGGAAAATTACAACAGTTGCTGCTGGTGCTTACGTTGGCAAATCTTCTCCGCATGCATGCATATTGTCTATCACTTTACCTGAGGTTAAAAAACCGCTTAGTCAATAGGGTATGTTTAAAAACATGGGTCTATAACTTCTTACTCATAGATTGTAAAAGAGGTGTGTTTGAGACCGCTCTGCCTATCCTTGGGAAGAAACGGAGCCGGGCCTGTGGTGGCTTTCTAGCGGACAAATTCAGTAATTTTTTTTGGCCAGCCACGTTTTACAAGGTAATAATGTAAAACTTGTATTCCAATTTGTATGACCAGCCAGCCAGCATGAAAGTGTACAACGCATTTTACCTGGGAGTTGGAAACGTGAGTGCCATGGTCCTACGACCCTGCTGCTTGCGTGGAGCGTCAATTACGTTTACTGCCATCTAGGTTTAGCTAGCTGTCGTACTCAAGCTTACTTAAGGCAGCTTCAGTGTGCGAAAGTTAACGGGTCACATCTTTGTGGTTCCGCTAATCTCGTTTGGGGGTCGCAGTCCGTATCTGGTTACACTGTGGGCGTGTGCAGTGGTTGGGCAAATGCGGTAATTAACCAACTTCTGAGCTTTAAGCGAGCGTCACTTTTTAGTGATTGGTTTGGTCCAAAAAACGATGGTGGGAAATTCTGTGCTTGCTAGCTGTTCTTCAATTTGTGTTGTCCGCTCCCTCCCCCATACTGCCAATGGCTGCGTTATGATGCGATTTCGCGTTTTCCGAGAGTTAGACCAGGATTCAGAGCGTAGACCCTAGGAGAAAAATGCAAATATGAGTGTGAGTCGTCTATGTTTGCCTATTAGACGAGAAGGACTGCACCCCATTGGTCCCAACTGCGCGAGAAAGCTAACCATTGTTTCAATCGATCATATATTTCAGCCCCGCTTGCCCTCATCTAGAATTAGAACACAGACTGGAGATGGTTGGTTCAAAGCAGCTGCTTGTCTATATTAGGAAGGACTACCGATAAGAGAGGCACATGTCCAATGTTTGAAATACTTTGTCGGACTGGCAAATTTGATCTGAGTAAGGGTAAGCGAGCCAGCTATATAATGAGCCTCATCCTTGACAAACTTATGCCCCTTGTTCTTTTTGTTCTGCCACTTGAATCTGACCATCATGGAGAACGATTATTCAAAACACGAAAAGGATCATGTTGAAAACACATATGCTGAGGATGGAACTGAATCCATCACTCCACCCACTCTTCAGCGCCAGCTGAAGAACAGACATATTGCCATGATTTCCATCGGTGGTGTTATTGGTATGTAGTTATCTCATCGCCCTCAAGAGACTCTAAAAAAAATACGGACTGACCTTCTTTTTTATTTCTACAGGAACTGGTCTTTTCTTGGGTACTGCTAATGCTTTGATGCACGGTGGTCCTGCTGGTCTTTTGCTCGGTTATGCCGTCATGGGCACCATCTGTTTTGCTGTCATGAACTGCTTGGGAGAAATGGTTTCCTATCTCCCTGTCCCTGGTGGTCACATTAAGTTGGCTGAACGTTTTGTCGATCCTGCTCTTGGTTTTGCTATGGGTTGGAATTACTGGTACAACTGGGTCATTGTCCTTCCTGCTGAATTGTCCGCTGCCGCTGTCCTTATAAATTACTGGAATTCTACTATCAATAACGCTGCTTGGATCACTATCTGTCTTGTTATTGTCGTTGCTATCAACTTCATGGGTGCACGAGCCTATGGTGAAGCTGAGTTCTGGTTCGCCAGTATCAAGGTCCTTACCATCATTGGTCTTATCATTTTGGGTGTCATTATTGCTGCCGGTGGTGGTCCCAACCATATTGCCACTGGTGTCAGTTATTGGGGAAACCCTGGCCCTTGGGTTCAATACAAAGGTATCCCAGGAGCTCTTGGTCGCTTCCTTGGTTTCTTCGCTGTCCTTATCCAAGCCGCTTTCGTAAGTATCCTATTTTGTGCAACTGCGCTTAACCTTCTATGTTAATATCACCTTATTGACCCGCGCCTTTTTTTCATTGCTTAGTCTTACATTGGTACTGAAATCGTCGCTATCGCTGCTGGTGAGGCCAGAAACCCCCGTAAGAACATTCCCAAGGCCATCCGAAAGGTCTATATTCGTATCGTCCTGTTCTATCTCCTCGGTACATTCATCATTGGTTTGATCTGCGCTTCCAATGATCCTAAGCTACTTACTGGTTCCGGTGGCGATGCTGCCTCCTCTCCTTTCGTTATCGGTATTGAAAATGCTGGTATTCCTATCCTTCCCCACATCATCAATGCTTGCTTGCTTACCTCTGCTTGGTCTGCTGCTTCTTCCGATATGTATACCTCTTCTCGTGCTCTCTTTGGTCTTGCTATCTCTGGCTCAGCACCAAAGTTATTCGCCAAAACTACTAAGCGTGGTCTTCCTTATCCCGCTCTCATCGTTTCTGTCCTTTTCTCTCTGCTTGCCTACATGGCCGTCAGCAAGGGCGCTTGGGTTGTCTTTGGATATTTCTCTAATATGACATCTGTTTGCGGTCTTATTACCTGGACTTTTATCTCCATTACTTACATTCGCTTCCATGCTGGCATGAAGGCTCAGGGTATGGACCGAAATTCACTTCCCTACAAGAGTCCTCTTGGTATTTTTGGAGGTTGGTATGTGTTGGTTTCCACCACCCTCATCATCTTCTTGTCTGGCTGGCAAGTCTTCCTTGCCGGTGAGTGGGATGTCTCCTCTTTCGTCACTCAATACCTCCCCATTCCTTTCGCCGTTATCTTGTTCGTCGGCTACAAGCTCGTTAAGAAAACCCATTGGAACCGTGTCGACGAAATGGACTTCATGACCGGCATTGCCGAAATTGAAGCTGATACTGACGATGAAGTCCCAACTACCATTATGGGCAAATTCTTCAACGCATTGTAAAGTAGGCTTAATCTTGTGCGGGATATAATTTTTTTAAGTAAAGTATATTATAATTGTAGTATGATTCCCTATGAAAATTGTCTGTCTGTCTGCTCTGAGAATGTTGCCTTCCATGGTGCGCAGCGCAAAACATGAAGTGTAACTTCTGACTGCGTAAGGAGGCCAGACTGACCACATGCAAATGTGTGATGATATGTGGCTAAACCTTGAGTTTTTTCTGTGTTCCAAGTTTGGAATCCGGCATCACCACATCACGCAATATTCGGGGGACAAGAGGGGTCTTGACCTTTGCAAGCCCTGGCGCTTCTGAGATTGCTGAATTAATACTATCAAATGGCAGAGGTAACTTGTGGAACAAATTGTACATCCGATCCAAATGACCGCCCCAATATCGATAGCGTACCTATGTTACACTTCAACCTTGAGCCAACTGGATTCATAGAACTATGCACTGCAATTGCCAAATACACAATGGCACTGGGTGGCTTGAAAGCAATGCAAGCGTTTACGAAGCAGGAAAAAAAAAGTCTCTTTTTAGGAGGCTGTGTCTGTGTCCCAAAGACACTCCTTTGAACTTCCCAAATCGAACTGCGGTAGTCCAAGTGTTTCATCAGGGGATTGCTTCGTTGTGAAACTCAACTTTTGATATTTTTGTGCACCGATACGTGTGAGAAGCGTTTTAGGGAATCTGTTATTTAATATTCTTTTTAACGCCATCACTAAGTAAAAGGAAAGATGGAGCTCGCTAAAGCGGCACATTGTAAGTGTGACAATTTGCATATGGAAAAACGGCCAAAAGTTCCCATGTCAAAAACTTGCACATCGAGAACTGTTCATTGAACAGCATTGTATCAAATTTGAACTGTGGCCTTGCTATAGATTTGCTTTCAGATGTTCAACGTATTTTCTGTAACATGGCGTCCCTTGCATTTGAAACGTACAACACACATGTTTGACAAAATTTGTTTCGGAACCACAAATTGTACCTGGAGGTACAATCTCATAACGTGAGGAATGGTCGAGTATCAACTCTGCAATTGGCAAGCATATGCCTGACTGAACGTACCTTTACTACAGTCAGATTATGAGCTCAAGTTCAATCAATTACAAGACTTTGAACATCTATAAATGAAATGGAGTATATAGGAGTTTTAAAGGAAATGTGCGTACCTTGAATCGTCGATTATATGAAAATGGAGCACGGCAGTAATTCCAAGGCTCTCTTAGACGATGGAGCTTGAAATAATAGAGTGTATTTTCCAATCAAGCAAATACAGCCTAGTGATTTGAAATATCTGGTCATGTTCTAGAAAATATAAGGCTGCAGCTTTTCTCCTGAAGTATGAATGCTTCAAATATCTAATTCCGATGTTGACTTACGTGATCAATATAAACTTTAGACGTAACCTAACGACCCAATATCTATGCTGTGACCAGCTCAAGTAGGACAACTTGTACAGCGGGTTTTATATGAAAGCGCAGGTTTCAATTTGGCAAGCTGCAGAGTAAATCTTTTGATCTGTTGTACCGTTCCCTTCATTACCCAGCCTAAGCGAGCATCCAGAAAAGCCTGGCAAGGGCTGTACAAATGCAGCGATAGTTGTGGCATACTTTGGCTTACAAACCTGACGCCAAAAATATACACTATTCGGAACACTTCACGGTGCAATACATCGACGATAACGATGTCTCCTCTCGTATCGCATTCGGCATACTTGAAATGGTCGCATTAAGCGAGATGTTGGCTTTTTTTTTTATATTCTTTTTTTTTAAAAAATAAAAATAAAAATTAGCTACGGTACAATCTCGGATCAATTGCTACTCCTTTTTACCATGTTTTGTGATGGCACTTGAGATAAGGTCAGGGAAGAGGATGTGCGGTTCCGCGGACGCCAAAGATGGCTTTTATAAAACGGTCAAATGATACCACATCTGAATACGTCCTAAAGGCACTGAAAGACGATTTTTTCAAATTTGGCTTCTGTAAGATAAAGGTGTGCATCGGAATATTGGTACTCCTCTTCTACAGCGATAATAGCGCTCAAGCGAAGAAAGGGCCAATTTTTCAAGAAAAATCATAATTACGATCTGACAGCTTCCAAATTACTTTCCATAATTTATTTTCACGTTCCTTAAACCGCGGGCGGGCAATCTCACATCCAAAAACCACTTGAGATATACTGAATATGCTTATCGGCCGTTTGCATCGAACCCGCATTGATCTATACATAACCCATATGGTATTGAAGTTAAGTAATTTATTAGCGCTTTAATGTCATATCATCATGAGATGCATTGAAAATTATAAATATAGTACAAGTTATGACATGGAAAGTAAGGTTGTAGTGTGATTGGGCATGGTTGTCCGTCGACCTTAGCAGCCACCACCGCCGCCACAGCCACCACCACCGCCGCCACAACCACCACCTCCTGAAGCGCATGCCCCACCTCCTGAACCGCATGTGGGACCAACACAGCCACCATAAGATCCCATTCCACCGAATGTCGTCGCGACGACCGATGCACAAGACGAAGAATTTGACGTTCCACTCGTATTGCCCAAACCTCCCATTGAACAAGAAGCCGCGCCGAGACTTGCTCCTACAGATGTCGTGTACCATAGATCGGGCTATAGGATTGATATGTGAATAAGCATTGAAAGACTGAAATATCATGTTTTTCATTGTACTCACCATGACCATTACGCCGAATACAGGGCTTGCATACGCTAAAGGAAAATGTCAGAATATTAATTGGATTTTTCCACGCACCCTGCGTGCTGTCACTTACCGGTATTATGTTCAACGTAACGGTCTTTCCTATAAATTTTCAAAATGTAAGTGCCAGGCTATCAGATATCCTGCATGCCAATGTCATCACTTACTCCATGGTAGGTTCCTTCTTCTCTGTCGTCTTATCCTGATACCAGTACTTGCGCATTTTTCTCTTCTGTATCGCGGCAAACATCGAAGATGACGAATACAGCTTTTCCAGATTATCAGACGTATATGGTTCTTGGTATTTCTGATACCATAGCTTGGCAGTTGAGATGAGGTAATTATTGAGTTTGCTACTGGCAATGGTATCATCGTGGTTGACGACTAGGAACAAGTGCTTAAGGGTGTACTCGCGATAGTTGTAGTGATTCAGCATGTGGGTATGCCACGCGAGATCGATCGACAGTACAGGTACCAGGATGGACTTTGGATGATCCTTCATAAGCATCAGAAACTTTTTGTACCGCGCCACGGCATCGGCTACTGACGCTGGTGTGGTCCAGTTGATTTCAACCATCTTAGCAGTGAATTCCCATTGTCGTGCAACGGCAATAATGATATCCAATGAGGACTTGTAAGGAATACCCATATACCGACTACGCATAGTAGTAGCCACTGTGTTAAGATCTAGTCTCTTGGAGTCCGTTCTACCTATTGTGATCTGAGATCTGAGAGCAATGACAAGTTCTATCCAATCAAGGGGTTCTTTCGAATTTAGCACTGCCTGGACTTTTGCACTATCGCGTATAGCAATCATCCTTGCCGCAATCTCTGGCTGCAAATATAGCCGCTTTCCTTTCTTATCCAATTGGAACCCACTGGTTGTTAGAAGTTAGCGCAACTGTTTCGTATCATCGCTGCAAAACAATTCAAGCACGTACGCGAGTTTTATATCCGTTTTTGTACTCTCTGACCAGTCTTTTACAAAGCGAGCGCAGGATAGTGCTTCAGCCGTCACTTTCGCTTTACAGTTGTGGCAAGGGATAGACGAATGTTTGTCGGTTCGCATCTTGGCATAATCTACCCATGACGATCTGATGCGCGACTGGCAGCAGGGACAAGCAATCCAGGAAAATCCTGCATCAACATTGTCGGTTGTTAGTTTGTATGGCTGATCTGGGAAAAACTTTCTCCAGTATTGCTCAGATTCAGGATCCACTCCGTCCTCAAAGGTTGTCTTGGCCCATTCCTGAGAGGTTTCTGTTAGACATGCACTCCAACTTACACATGGTGAATCAGGCGTCAAGTCAAGTAATCTTACCAAGCGTTGCAGAGGGAGCCCATACGCTTTGGTATGGAATAGAACCCATCCATTTCGCAGAGTATCCTTAGAGAATATACGTGTCAATTGATTTGCAGGCTGTTTAATTTCTGCTATGTAATGACGCACGTACCTCATAATAGCGGTAAGGGGATAGAAGATGTGCATGCCACTGTAAACATACGGTCGTTCAATATCGGTGGTGCATGGCGTGCGTTTATATAGTAATCGATAATAATGTTAACACAAACCATATAAACAATATCTGCAAAGGCGAACTATATTAGCGTCCATCCAAATTATGGAAAACGTTTCAGTACACACAATTTACCTATAGGTGGAAGAAGCTCCATGCTGGGTCCATACGATTGAACATGGTCCATCCATTGAAAATATCTTGCCTCAGCACGAGCAAGGTATACTTTCTCTACCTCGGGGTCAGATATACGCAACTGATAGAACGTATGTAACAAGGACGCATGGGCCTGGCAGTCTGGTAAAGTTACGAAAATGTCTCCATTATCACTGATAGCTTCATTGTAAGATGGTGGACTGGCCATGTTTGAAAAGGAGATAAACCTTTGGCTCGCACTTTTCCTGGAACGTCCTTTAAAGCAATTTATCTCCAGATTGTGTAACAGTGACCCTAAACTTGAGTTCAGCACCAAAGAGGCAGCCAGCTGCTTATTGCATACGGATGGGGCGGGAAGCAAGCGGGACTTTGCAGTCAAATGAATAAGCAGCTTTTACATATTGGAAGCAGCTTTATGGACCATGGTAGACTTCCTTCAATATAAAGCGAGCTTTGCAATGTATTGCCATACTGCTTTCCATGTTTTCATTTGGGTCCGCGCACATTCAAATGAAACTTCCAAGTCCAGCTGCGGCTGAGCATGTCTCACATGAGCACAGATATCAGGTGGGGAATTTTTGCAACCCTACTTCACCTCTACCGTTACTTTGCTGGAGATAGATCTGGGGGTGCTATCTTATCACCCTATATAGACAATCAAATTGCACAGCTGGTTCATTCTTGACAATATACTCACAAAAAGATATAACCTCAATTCAACACGCATTTATTCTCTTTGTACTAAAAAGACAATACTTCGTTCGATTTGAGCAGCCTTCGATTCAGGGATGATTAAATTTGCCTATTAAAGCAGCAAATCAGGTATGGCAAAAAAGAAAACTGCGCAAATCATCGTAGTGGCGGCCATGTGACCTGCGTAGCCTTTTAGTGTTGGTGAACTTTAACTGCGAATTTGAGGTTTAGCCGTGATGGAAGCTGGCTGACAGCATTAATACCTCAATTTCCATCCACCACTAGCTATACGTCATTCACTGACTCTCTTTCTTCTGATGGACTTCTATAGTGCTACGAAGTTGTCATAGAAATGCTTACTTGCTGTGGCAGTTCAGCAGTCAGTCTTCCACAAACAAAATTACGTTTCATATTCTATCAATAAAAGAGGATTGTTACTTTCCCTTTGTGCTTGTTTGGGTTTTTATTGAAATACACGTGCGATTTAACACATATGATGTACGTAAAGCATTGGGCGACGTGAAGCATTGAAACATAAACGATGTGATATTTCTTTATAAGGATAGTACTTATGAACTTGCGGTGCTCAGCAACAGTCAGAATACTGGTTATACGGTATATTCACTATTTCCAATATCTATCTTACAGTGCAATCGGTACATCTTGAGTAGAACGTAAAATAATCTTTGAGTGATAATGGATACACTTTAACGTATCATCGTCTCTGCTATAACATTATTGCATACAATATGTGAAGGTATTTCGTGGATACACTAAACTACGATATAGATTCGAAATTGGAAAAAATTGTCTAGGGATCAGCTACATGAATGATTCGCTTTCCAAAGTTAGCGCTTCCAAAGAGGTCTATGAAGGCACGAGGGGCTTTTTCGATGCCATCCACGACATCCAATTTATATTTGATTTTTCCTTCATTAACCAATGTGGTGAATTTGGCGATAAAGTCCGTGTAGTAATGAGTGTCCATGTAATCAGAGAATAAAAATCCAATCAAAGATACGCTGGAAGTGATTATGTTTTGGACATTTTTCAATCTGTACACCTCACTTCCGTCAGCAGAATATTGACTGATGGCTCCACAAACAATTGCACGTCCGAACTTGTTGAACTTGGTTAGTATGAGATCAAGGAGTTCTCCACCAACATTATCCCAAAAGATGTCGATTCCTTTTGGAGCGACAGTTTGAAGCGCTGCTGCCATGTCGTTTGTGGTCTTGTAATTAATCGAAGCATTAGCTCCGAGCGACTCCGCATACTGGTTCTTCTGATTTGAACTGGAAATAGCTACAACATAGAGACCTAGTTCCTTGGCTAATTGAATGACAATCTGCCCTACCGCGCCACCCGCAGCAGAGACCACAATAGTTTCTCCTCGCTTGGGTTTGGCTAGGGCTAAGCCAAGATATGCAGTGAAAGATGTCATTCCAAGAACGCCGAGGTGCGCGTTGAGTGGGAAATTGGCGGTATCTAGTTTCATACTAGTGGCAGCATGAACGACGGAATAGTTCGCCCAAGCCATGTTTGGGTTGCTGACAGCGTCTCCAGGCTTGAAATCATCCGAAGTGGACGCTTCAACTATTCCAACTCCAATACCTGATATAGCTTGGTCTAAAGGGAAGCTGTAGTATGATCCTTTTGATACATACATGCGCATATGCGGGTCAGCCGATAGGTCCATAACACGGACTAACAGTTGATCTTTTTTCAGAGTCTCTGACCCAGGCACTTCTTCATTGATAACAGCAAAGTTTTGTTCAGTGAGATTACCAGCGATAGCGTACTCGATGAGTTTGACGGCTTTTGACATTGAGGATGGATGAGAAATTTTTAGGATATTAGCCAACGGAAGCAACGTGCATTTGAAATTGCAAATTTGTATTACAGTGGACTACGGAAAATGTGACTGACGGTAGCGCATTTATAATTATCGCAGTTAAAAGCAATATAAAACCTTGAATGAGCCAGCACTACTACGCCTCGACTTGCGTGCAGTGCAACATTTGTGACTGTAAGTTTTTGACTCATCCGGAGTTGCTGTTTTGACTTTCTTATTTAGCAAACGTTTGGAGACATTAACATCTCAAGATAGATTCCATACATATCTGTTTGTGTCTTGCGAAATTAAGGTATCATTTATTTGTCGTAATGCGTAGTTTTAAAAAAGTAGATGGCGTGATCAATTTTTTGGAAGTGTTAGGTAAGAGTTAATGAGTTCGTAAGTTCGTACACTGAGTATGCCAAAAACAAGATCTAAGAAATAGGACGACTTGATAACGATTTGCAGTAATCGAACAGCCCATGTGTGGACATGAACTTAATATAGCAACCGAATTTCACGGCAAAGGGAAACTCTCGGTCCGTGGTTCCCGTAAGATCCACGCTTAGATTAGATCTACTTTGTAGTAAATGGCCAAAAGATTTTTGTCTAGACAGTCCAGGACATAGTCATCTTACATGTAATGGTCTTGCCAGATATGACACTGTTCGAGACAGCTTTAAGTGAATAAGAACGAAATGGGAAGGTGGGATGAAACGCCGGGCTCCTAAATTCTAAGAGCACGGGCAAGATGTAAATTGAACCAGATGCAGGTTGGTCCGAACGCGTGGCAAGAAAATTGTACTGCTTCATTTGTGCCTTTCAATCGATAACATTGACAATAGATATAGTCATCAAATTTTATAAATGATTCAAGGCGCAAAGGAACTACATGTTAAAATCCCGCAGCGCAATTGTGATTCTTCTTCCAACAATGTGGCCATTGTCAGCATATCTGTTCAAATTGTTATGAGGACTGGTAGTACGTATATGTAGTAACGTCCTAATAAAAGAGTCTTGGCATAATTTTTACTTACAATAAGCATGTGCTATATTCGCATGGATATCATTATATTTCTCGGTTAGCGGCTCGGTATAGATCTTGATGTAGACTAATGAGCATACGCACAATCGTCGCGAGCAGAATTCCATTACTTAGATAATGTCATACCGTTATGCGTCCGAAGGAACCATTGCTTGCGTATAAAAGTGCAAGGGCGTTTTTCATCAAGTAGAGATAGACTCGTAACATAATTTTGTCCCGTTTTCATATCACATTCTTTCATGAAATTTTTCAACACTGCGCTCCTTTTGTTAAGTACGTCCGTGCTTAGTGCATACGCTCTAACTTTAGATGCTGGTACTCCGATAAAAGCAGTTTCAGGCGGTCAACCTGCTAATACAACGCAAGTAATGCCGTTAAATCATACTTCAACAATGGAGCAGCCTGATAGTCTACCCACTGGTGGCTACTCTCCTATTGGACCAGGTCCAGTACCAGTTGGCATTGACGAGGTATTATTTCCAACAAATCATTGAGTTTTTTCAACGATCACGAAGTCGGTATAACTTTTATCATTAAAGGTCCCTAACGAAGAAGATTGCGATGACGACTCAACTGAGGATAGCTCTGACGAGTCTGGCAGCTCAACCATGACTCCAGCAACAGCAGGTGGTGATAATGACGATGACAGCACTATGGGTACTGGTGCACATGGCTCCGGTGCTTCTGACGCTGGCCATGGTGGAGCTGGCAGTTCCTCAGATGAAATGGACTCAGGTGCCCCTAGTGCCGCTCTACCACTGACTCCAGGTTACACTGCCATGGGCTCGCAAACTGCATCCATGCGTCCTACATCTGTATCCAGCCACAGCGGTAGACCCATTAGTACTGGTAAGAAAATTACAATTGCTCAGCTTTCAAACATTAGTAGTAGTCTTTTTAAGTTATATGTTGACAATTCAGTCCTGACGACTGTCACTCTCTCTTCATCAGTTTTCCCACCTATTGCAAGTTCTGCTAATAGCACTGACGGCAGCACAAGCGATGCTGCATCGTCCTCTGTTCAGAAGATATCTACTGTCATGGCCGCTGCCGTCGCCGTTGCCGTCATGATGGCAAATTAATGCTTGTAGAAATCAGAAAGCATCGTAGTCTAACGACCCATCATAAAATTCATTACCACATTTGTTCAAGTCCAGACATAAACGAAATATACACATTCTAATATAGTAAAGCATGAGTATTTGCAAGTGTTCCCCAGCGAAGTAGAGACCATGATGATCAGTTAAGGCATGGAGAAGATATCACTAGGGTTCTATTTTTGTGCCTTTACAAATCATATAAACGTATATGCTTTAATTCTATGCTAAGAAAGGCATTTTGAAAAAATTCGCACAAACCAACGAGTTCGGCATGTCTTGCTGATTTTCAAAAACACATTACAACTCGTAGAATCCCAAAAGGCGGCTTGTTTTGCCTTGTCGGACTTCTTTCAATCTTTGGCTATGGGTGGCATTGCTACCAAACATCAATTAAACGAGTACCAGCAACCTATCATTGGATCGACGCGAACAATACAATTGAATGGACAAGAATGTAATCTTTTTATTTCTTATGCTAACGTCACATTGAGAACGAATCACTGATTCTCTAGATCTTACAAGATTCAATAGAGGTCCTCAATACTCGTGAAAGCGAGTCCGAAGGCTGCGAAGTATTCGTTCATTTTCGTGAAGGTCAGCCATACAGACATTTATTGCGTTACTTCACACTGTTCATTCCTCTAAACCAACTCCTGCTCTCAGACAGTACACGACCAGACGCATGGATGAACAGCAGCCTAATAATACCCAATGCGCCAATGGTAAGCGATTTAATTTATGAAAGGCTAGCGTTGATACAGAACGCCAGCCAAAATTTGAAACATACTGTGCTTTCGTTTGAACGCCGGACGTGTCGCGTTCAGCCATAGGTTCGGCATGACATACCTAACCATTAAACTATCGGATCTAGGAAGAAGATTCACAAAATTTCAAATCAAATATAGAAGCATCGAAAAATAAGGTCCAAATGTTGAGGACGCCCGAAGAACCCATCAATATAAAGTCTATCGTCTTTGGCAGATATGAGATTGGAACTTGGTACAATTCACAATATCCAGAGGAATATGGACGAAATTTAGACAGAATGTATATTTGCGAGCATTGCCTCAAGTACATGCTGGAGGAAAATAGTCTTCGTGTACATAAGGTTGGTTATTTGGGAAAGCATACTGTCATGGCTGTGCTAGTATTAAGACGTCACAATACAGGCCAACTGTCGCAAGCGGTCGCCACCGGGAGACATAGTATACCAGCAAGGTGACATCAAAATCTTTAGAATTGATGGCAAGGCGGAGAAGGTAGGTTTTGCGTTTAGGCAAAGAAGTCAATTCACATGTTAACCAACTCATACAATAGCTATATTCTCAAAACTTATGTCTAATGTCAAAGCTATTCTTGGATCACAAGTCGGTATATTACGACATTGAAGGCTTCATGTTTTACGTTTTGACGGAGAGCAATCCTAGGGAGCGGCGAACAGACGATGTAGTTGCCTACTTCTCTAAGGTAAGGGTTGCCATACTCTCGGACAAGTCTATACCTACTTCACGAGCTCAGCGTCGTCTCCCATTCTTCTATAGGAAAAAATATCTTATGAGAACAACAATTTGGCGTGTATAATGGTACTCCCACCACATCAAAGAAAAGGGTATGGCAAGCTAATGATAGAATTCAGTGAGTTTAAGTTCAGAGATTATGCAAAATTGGAGTGGGGTTGGCATGAATTCTAATTTATATCGCGCGCAGGCTATGAACTTGCAAGACATGAGAATCAAATTGGAACGCCGGAAAAGCCGTTATCAGACTTGGGGCATCGAGGTTATCGGTCGTATTGGGCTTCGGTTATACTCAGATCGCTGGTGCAATCCGACGTCCCGAACGAAATGACCATAGAGCAGCTTTCTCAATTGACCTATATCCACCCAGAAGACATTTTAGATGCAATGCAGTATGCAGGCTTAATCAAATATGTACGGAAGTCAAAGGATAACTCGTCTGCTGATGCTGTAATCTGTATTTCATGGCCTATGATCGATGAGGCTATAAAACTCACCCATGCTAATTCACAGAAATTAATCGATCCCGCCAAAATTACTTGGAATTCGTAGGGAAAGCCATTCATTTTCAATTAATTATTATATAAAAGTCATCCATCAATGTCTGCTGTATATTTGTCTACAATGCCTTTCGGTCACACTTCAATTGTTACCAACTATGCGGATTGGGATGGTTGGGGTCATTTTTGTTTAAAGCTCCGGATGTGCTTTCTTTTTTCTGAAATGGGGGCAAACCACACCTAGCCAATGGGGTTACACGTGATAGAATTAACGTGCCTGAGGTTCAAAAGGCCACTCGCTCTGAAAAATCTAAAATTTCTAAACTGGGAACACCTCTTCATTTTGGTTTCAAATTCTCAAATAATAGAACTGAATTTTTGCAATGTTGTCTGAAGTTTCACAAATGCAAACAAGAAAACCAATTAGGTATGTACTCGACTATGGTCGAATGCATTGCGAACGGAGCTAACATGTACCTGATAGAGTCTGGGTTGATGGCTGCTTTGACATGATGCACTTTGGGCATGCTAATGCTCTTAGGCAGGTATGAAGCGTAATGACTTGCACACTTCCACGACGTTAATGGCTACTAAGGCGGTATACATTTGATTATCTTACTTAGGCAAAGGCTATGGGTGACTTCTTGATCGTAGGAGTGCACTCCGACGCAGAAATTGAGAAGAACAAAGGACCTACTGTTATGAAGGAAGATGAGAGGTAGCTGAAAGGAAAAGTATCTAAGAGGCTATATGAATGTAATACTGAGTGTTTCCCTTACATTAAGATATGCTGCTGTTGCCGCTTGCAAATGGGTGGATCAAGTAGTGCCAAACGCTCCTTATAATACGACAGTTGAAATTTTGAAAGAGTATAATGTCGATTTCTGTGTCCATGGTGACGATATCACCACAATGGCTGATGGAACCGATTGCTATCAAGCTGTTAAAGACGCTGGACTCTATCGTGAGTGCAAGCGTACGCAAGGTGTATCTACAACTGAATTGGTGGGAAGAATGCTTCTCATGACCAGAGATCACCACCGAAGAAGTCAATCCGCTGGTGCATCGTCATTAGCGAGTCTCAGCTCAGAGGACTTGGGTTCTTTCAGTACTGCTTCTAATAAGCTTGGCCCCAACACCACGGTCTCGCACTTTTTGCCAACATCAAGAAAAATTGTTCAGTTTTCTGAAGGACGTGAGCCCAAGGAGAACGACCGTATTGTATATGTCGATGGAACCTTTGACTTGTTCCACACCGGTCACATTGAGTTTTTGAAGCGCGCCAAGGAGCTAGGGGATTACCTTCTTGTTGGTGTACATGATGATCAGGTACGTCCATGTATGCTTGATAGGATGTTGATTGATACGTACGACTGACTTGCTCGATAAAGACTGTGAACGCTATCAAGGGCATCAACTATCCACTTATGAATTTGCATGAACGTGTTCTTAGCGTCCTTGCCTGTCGTGTAAGTTGTAATTTGGGATACCGATTATTTTTCGTCCATCCTTCAATGGCGAAGTTGCCACAAGACTAACATATTTATCTGGCTATTGTAGTATGTCGATGAGGTTATCATAGGCGCACCGTATAGCGTTACTAAGGATGTCCTCGGCAAGGTTTATAACGTCAGTCTGGTTGCTCATGGCAATACCCCTACTGAGCATGACCTAGATGGCAAAGACCCATATGAGGTAAGTGTGCAGAATATCCATTTTCCAACAGGCATCCTCAATGTGCTGACAGAAATTTTTTTTCTTCCATTTCACAAAGCTTCCTAAACAACTTGGGATATACCACGAGCTTGATAACCCAAATGCCAGTGTCACGACAGAGGGTATCATTAACAGGATTATCGAACATCGCCGAGTGTAAGCTTCATAGGCTATCTTGAATTGATCTATTGCTGCACCATCAATTAACCTGGTGATTTTTTTTAGCTTTGAGGAAAGACAGCGCCGAAAAAACGCAAAAGCTGCCTTAGAGTATGAAGAAGAGCAACGACAAAAAGATGTCAAGTCGCAATAGCGAGGAGTCAAATCTACAGCTTATCACAGTGTCGTAATTATTTAAATGAGTGAGCCTTGCCTTATATTCCAAAGCTACAAATTGAGATTTCATGTTTAGGCTTGTACCATGTTCTCAACAAATCAAAAGCTATGCTTTGCACAGCATTCGGCTGCATTATTCTATATGATCTTTCTCCTTTAATAAACATAAAAATGTGTGCATTTTGGCATACCCCCATGACTATCAGACTGGCGACACGTTCGTTGAGTAAAAAAAATGGTACAATCACTCATGTGGATATTGATTACAATACTGTCGTTATTGTCTTGATATGAATGGGTTGATTTGAAACGAATGAAAGAGTACACTTACATTTCGTTTCCATGCCTGTTATTTTGGTCGGTCCTTTCAAATTCAGCCACGAAGCCCAGCCCACTGCAACTTAAAAACGAAACTCAGTGCGAATGGGCCTTGCCTGATTTGGCGATGTCGATATTGGTTACTCGTGCAAGAGCGTAAATTGCTGTCGTACACTCCCTTAGTATAATGTTACTTGCAGGTCCGGGTTCACCGAGCTAGTTTCTTCTTTGCTTACTCCCTCATTCCATTCCTTCAATGCTGAAAGCTTCTATCCTAAGTCTTGCCACCATCGTAAGCGCCGTCTTGGCTGGCTCTGTAAAAATCACCTCGCCTAAACCCGGTAACGTTTGGGAAATCGGTAAAGAGGTCGACATCTACTGGTACGCTCTTCACTCCTCAACTCCAAATTCCTTTACGGAAAACAGATTATTTCTCAACTAACTAACATCCATTTTTCTTACTTCATTTTTTTAATTAGGAACAAAACCGCTTCTGGAAGCGAACCTGTATCTATTTTGCTGGCATCTGGACCTGCACAAGCTCTTAACATCGATTTGATCGTTGCTAACAAGATACCTGTTACTGAAGGCCACTATAAGTGGACTGTACCTAGCAACGTCAAGCCTGGCAAGAAGTAGTAAGTACTACACTCATTATCAAGTGCAGGATTGAAAATGTTACTTACAATTTCATTCAGTGTCGTTGAAGTCGGCCCCACTTTGAAGGACCTTTCGTTTGCCGGTTATATTACTATTGAGGAGGCCAAAAACTCGACGTCGACCGCTCATAAGCATGCTTCCGCATCGCACAAACCATCACATCATGCTTCCTCCAAGACTGCAAGCCCTACAGAACACCATAGTCTTGCCCCTCCCCACCCAAGCGGTGCCGCAGACGTTGCAAAGGCTGCCAAGCACCACTCCCAACATGCTCACAAGAAGCATGGTAAGAAGTCAAAGTTTCACCATAAGTCTTCTGGCCATAAGACCGTCTCCAAAGCCACTACCCATAAGGAAAAGCATGCCACACCCACTCATTTACCCTCAGCTATCTAAGACTGTGCATCTTGAAATACCCGGTGTATTTGTAAAAGATTAGTGGCACATAATTTGATATTAAAGATTGTTCCAAACGTGAATAGATATTTAATTGTTTAAGCATGTTTGTTTTAATATTTTTAAACGTCAATGTATTCAATGCTAGCACTTGAAATCGACTATACCCAGTGATATCCCGGGACAATTTAATCATCTCGGCCTTCAAACAACGCTTTGGGAGGATTTAGGTTTCTTGGAGCGTATCGACTGAGAAAATCTCGACTGCTATAACGCCTGTAGGAGGTTGACGAAGAACATCTCTATTGCTTCTGTCTCATCAAACTGCAATAGAGATGCGACGCCAAATATGATGAAGCAATACAAGCGATCATGATCTGCAAAATTAAATTAGGGGGGAGATACACCGCCTCCTCACTATTCATTGCTTCAACCATCACAACATTGAAATGACTAGTGTACACTATCGCTGCATGTACCATACAATGCGTGGAAATTCGCGACGAAATGCAGTCCTGATGAGACGCTCCGATGCCTTCGGACAAACCTTGGATATAGCCAGAGACGGAAGTGCAAAGTTATGCTAAGGGAAAAACATACGTTATTTGTATGCTAAATAGAACATGTTTCGTAGCTATTATACAAAGCAAAACCGCTGGGTATGTGTACGATGATTCTCGCCATATAAATGGTATCGTGTACAAAGGCAACAAAAAGCCCAATTTGCACCTTTGTCAAAAGTAAAGTGCCTTCCACTGGAAATTGAATAAACAACATCAATCTCAACGTAAGGTTACTTTAAGCATATAACACATAATATGATCTTAACATCATTCATGTAGCAACATTTAGGCTTAGTTTCCTAGGAGACAACAAAAGATAGTATTACCATAGCAACGGTTGCTAGGCATTTCGTATACTGTCCTTAATGCCTCGAGACAAAATTTCTGCATGGCCAGGAAGGCTGCGGGTTAGAAGTCAAAATTATATCCTTCGTGTAACCTACCATTAATTTCTATATATACTCGGGGTCTTGGGATAATATCTCTACACCACAAACACTATAGCAATGGCTCCAAGAAAATCCCAGAGAGACAACAAAGACACTGTAATATATGCGTTGTAGATACCTGTCATGCGCACTATTCTTTCCCCTAACATGATGTATCCGCACAGATGTCCCGCCAAATTAGAGCAAAGAAGCAGCTAACAAAGCAGAGTGCCATAGCTGAAAAGAAGATCGCCAGAAAGGTGGCTAAGAAGGCTGTTAAGGCTGTCATGAACAATGCCGCCAAGCAAAGACACTTTTACATGAAAGATGACGAGGATGTCAATGCCCCTTGCCGTGTGGAAGAAATTCTCGACAGTAAACCAGGACCTGTAAGTCGCCAAGTTGTGCATGCATTTGTCTTTATCAGTGTAACACAGCGCCACTCACAACAATTTAGTTTGGCACTTTATTTTTGGTACGATTCACTGGGGACAGTAAAAGCAGCACAAGCTGGATTAAGGAAAATGAACTCGGCAGCCGAGAATTACTCATGCAGTATTCCAGTACCTTGACGCAGAGGACGCCTGCCACTGACGCTCAACCCATATCTAGATCTCGAGCATCGAAAACTAGAGCAAATCTACTTTTACAACATGATATCAAGCTCGATGCTGCTCTTGTTGAAGTGCCCAAAAAAGTTGCATCTGGAAACACAAAGCGGAACAAGCGTTCTTTGAATGATGACGGTGAACCAATTGTAAAAGGCGTAGAAAGATCTTCAAAGCGTAAAACGAACAAAGCTCTACTAGAGGAAGTCTTAAAGAAGGCACGTATGGAACGCATTGAGCATTTTGCGACTTCCATAGCGACTTTTCGGCTATCTCGTAATGACAGCCGCGAGATGTGCGTTGATTGCTGTGGTGTATGCTCAGCTCGTGAATACCACAGAGCAATCAAGATGGATGACATTCCCTTACTCTCCAAACTGACTGCCAACACCAAGTTGGTACCAAACTGGACTATAGATGCAACCCCTGATGTACCATTTCAGTCACCATTGTTGACTGCAATGCTTTCAGGAAAGACAGCATACGTCGAACTGTTACTAAAAGCAAATATTAGCGTTAGAGGACCACCTGCAAAGGACGATCCTAACTACAACACCGGATTTGTCTCGAAATTTGCCTTTGGATCCGTCTCAAAGTAAGTTATCTAAATCAGCATGTGTAATTAAGATCTGGTCTACTAATGCACTTATATTTGAAGGGCTGTCTATGAATCTCGTGGTAACAGGAAAGGAGATCAAGTATTCTATGAAATCCCACAGCGCCCGCTTATGGAATTACACTATTTAAGAAATTCGCATGTCTTATCCTCCTATTCCAAATCTATCTTGGCGGCGGTGCAGCATAGTTCTTTGACATCAACCATGGTCGATTACCTGTGGCTCAAAGACGATTGGAGTAATAGCGCATTCAGTTCCTGGGCCTTTTATGAAGCGGTGGCAGCAGGTAACAGAAGCGTTGCAGCTTCCATTTCGAAATGTTTGAACGAAGCTGGAGGGCTCAACAAGGTGCATATGGATGTTTTAAAGGTAGGCTCTTCCATCAGATGCTGCAGCAATATTCAATCATTATACTAACTTCTCTACGTGCGCGTAGTTGGACGGTGTGAAGTCAATGCAGCCTTATCGTCGAAATCAAATTTTGAAAAAGGCACTTGAGAACTACCAAATTACCCCTGTAGAGTGTGCAGCTATTCATCCTCGACGCAAGTATCTCGAAGAACTCTTTGAACAACTGGATGACCTTGGTCAAGGTCATACCGATGGTCTTTCTCGTACTGTAGCTCATTTTGCCGCTGCTAGCGAGACATCTGATTGCTTGGAGTACCTCATCTCTAAAGGATTCAACTGTATGCAACTCGACAGGAATAAGATGTCACCATTATTACTGGCTTCAAAATACGGAAGAGCTCATAATATCAAGCTTTTGCTAAATACTATGCGTGGAAACTCTACCGAAGAATCTACGAGTGTTGCAGATACAACTATGCTCCCCCAGCGATGGACTGCATTACACTTTGCTTCATTCTATGGAGCTACTGAAGCGTGTAAAGTCCTCATTCAAGAAGGAGCCAAGATCGACGCCCAAGACTCTGCCACTAAAGGCACACCACTCCATTTTGCAGCAGCTCAAGGCCATGTCGAATGTATCAAAGTATTGATTGATGAAGGAAAGGCAGATGTGGATGTTTTTGACAAGTTTGGATCAACTCCTTTACATCTAGCCTGCAAAAATGGACAGTATGAAGCGGTTGTTGTATTGCTATCTTATGGTGCAAACGTTGATGGTGGCGACACTTCGGAAAATACTGCTTTACATTATGCAACAGCATATGGATGGATCAATATTGTCCAACTTCTGTTGGAGACAACCTCATGCAACATGAGTCCCAGAAATTTGTGGAAAACAACGCCATGCGGCATAGCAGACCGTAAAGGACACACAAAGATGGTGCGCTACCTACTGGATAACAAGACCAAGAGAATCGATGTCAATTTCAAGGATGATGAAGGAAAGACTCTCCTTCATAATTGTGTTATCGACGCTTTTTTCTCTGAGTACGAAGCCAACCGCATCATCGCAAAGGCAAAGCACTTGATGGCTACTGGGGCAGACCCTAACATAAAAGATGTGAATGGTACGTTTTTTTTTTTTGGCTTTTCTACCAAGCTTTCATCGTTGTCTCTTATACTTCTTTCCAGGTAGCACGCCGTTACATCTTCTAGCTAGAGCGCATGCATTCAACAAAGAGCGTCCCTTGAATCACGCTGATGAGATAGAGTATATGTATGGGCGTTACTCATCTGAATGGGTTTATCATACTACTAAACATTCACAGAAGCTTGAATATGACGATTCCGATGGCATAAAGGCTCAAAAAGAACTTCTCAACATCCTTGTAAAAGGCGGAGCAGACCTAGAGCTTGAGGAACTGTCAGGAGAAACGCCTCTAGCAGTTGCCATGGCTACTGGCAACGATCACATTGTAGAAGGCCTCTTGGAAAGCGGTGCTTCCCCATTGAGCTCAACTTCAACAGGACACAATATTTTCCACTATCTACTTTCTGCTCCAGCCATTCTGGATATTACAACACCTTACAAATCAGTGAAAGAGAGCCAACAACGCAAGGTGGTTAGGTATAGAAATATCTGGAAATTGCTTACCAAGAAAAACCACCCCTTCAAAGATTGTCTCAGTGACATGGTAAGTGATACTAACTTATATCATAAGCATGAGGAGTTTACTGATAGCTGTCTATTTTACGTAGGCAAACAAGGTGAATGACGAAGGCTATTCACCTTTATTGTGGGGTGTTCATAAGGCACTTTCTCAGCAAATGGGCGATGTGAAGAAATACAGAGAGGCAGTCCGATCCACTCATTCTGCGTGGGATCGACCCATGTCAACCGACCAACGCAAGTTTTTCGACTTTAGACATCACTTTGACCAATGGGTAAGTACTTTTTTTTTGCTTAGAGGTTAAATATACATGATTAACAGATTCTCTTCAAATGTTTTCCAAACAGATATCGTTTGCTTCAATATTTGTGAAAAACTTCAAACCAAATATGAACCTAGTGAGAGAACTGGAGAAAGGCTATCTTGAAAAACATCCAAAGGCTAAGCCATCTGAATATCCACCTAATACTGGACGTGGTGTTTTGCATTTTGGTATGTAGAGTTTGATTCATCTTCGAACAAATCGGTTCTTAAATTAACCTATAACTACTTATTGCAAGCCTGTACCATTCACCATCCGAATCTTGTGGAATTCTTCTTGAAGCATGGAGCGGACGCAAATTTACAATCTGGAGCTATAGACCACCATAAAACGCCATTGATGTTTTCTGCTCAACGACTACCAGACAACTATGACCATGTCCTGGAAAACTCGGAAGAAATGCTACAGAAGGTCAATGCGATGTTCGAGCTGAAGTACCCAAATTATCGTGACGAATGGATCAAATCAAATCGTATTCTCTTGGATTACGGCGCTCAACCTTATCAAGTTGACGATAACATGATATCCTCTGCCATTGTCGCTGCAAGTCAGGATGTCCCCACGGTGTTATTGGAAATGCTTCGTTATTCTGCGGAGAAGAAAATGAATATCGGTATCAACAATGTCAATGGATCGCTGAACTCTGTACTCATGCTAGCTGTGAAAATTTTCAGCGAAAGATATGAAAACGACAAAGAGAACCAAAATAACTACGTGGAAGCTGTAGCAGGCATGCTGAAGCTAGGTTCAGATGTCAATATGCGTAATAGAGAACAGCAATCTGCATTGATGATTGCTCTGCAAGGAAAAGGAGTTAAGCCCATTGTGAATGCGCTTCTCACTGAATCCGTTAATGAGATCAAGTATTCCGTGTGCAACAAAGGTATTTAACTTTTCTGAGGCAATTGCACTACTTATACATTACTCACCCTCCTCTTAGATGACGAAAATGCTCTTATAATGGCTTGCAAAAATGGAGATCAGGAATTGATCATGATGATCCTACAGGCTATGAAATTTCAACATCCAGATGTCACCACAGCCGTCAATCAAATCGACAAATCATCAAATTCTCCATTGTCATTAGCTGCAGGACTTGGATTCGCTGAGATTGTTGAAAAGTTATTACAGCTTGGAGCGAACCCCAATCATCACAACGCATTTGGAATACCGATCATCAGAGCCGTCAAAGCCAAATGCCTGGAAGCTATAAAGCATCTCATCGGAGCTGGCGCCAATATCAACGCTACAGATATCTATGGAAACTCTGTCTTACATTATGCCGTCAGAAGCGAGAAGGTCGGCATTGTTAAACAAGTCATTGACTCTGGAGCAAACGTCAATGCTAGAAATCAGTGGAATCAGACACCATTGCACTGGGCTATACAGAGTAGCAAAGAACAAATTAATACGTCCCTCAGAGTGGAGAAGGTTCTTCTGGATTCAGGCGCTGATGTCAATGCAACAGATAGATTTGGTAAGTTACTACCGTACGAAGATTTAGGTTATAGTTGTGCTGACTTTTATAACTACAGGTCGTACTGCTCTGCATACTGTTTTTGTAAATCTTTCGTATGTACCTGATATGACATTCATTAGGCTCATCAAGGAAAGGGTCCAAAAGAGCAAGCAAAAAATTCTTCATGATGAAAATCAAAAGAAACTTATCGACCAGTTTGTAAAAAAATATGGCTCTGGTAATACTGAGTCCTGGTTTATGAGTGGCAAGAAAAAACATCTCGAAAATATCAAAGCTATGAGCAAAGGAGAAATGGAAGAAGATCAAAATGTAGAATTCGCGTCTGAAGAAGAGCTTTCTCTATATAGTGATGCCGAATGGGAAGAATTCAACAAATCTCAAGTCGTCAAATCAGACCGCATCGACATATTGGATTTCCTCCTCAAATATCCTCAGCTTGAATGCGATCAACGTGATATCTTTGGACGTAGCCCTCTCCATTACGCTGCAAGAGTTGGCTCTTTTACATGTACCACTCGATTACTGGAAAGGGGCCCTGATTTGAACGCAGTTGATAAGGACATGGTACGTTACATGCTGCGACTGACACATTTTGTCATTATTTTTTAACAAAGATATCTTCAAAGAACTCTCCAGTCAATCTCTCAATGATCTACGATCACGTCGACTATTCAGTCATGATGAGCCAAAAAGGTGCCATGCTTCGGGGCAAAATTCATTTGCCAGACGGAAAATCCATGTCAACCTTCGAATACAGTCTATCAAAATCATTTCTTAACCTGGGTTACTTCATAATGGAAAAAGATATTTCTCCATTGAGTAAGTACATTTCGTCTCCGTATATGTTCATTGCGCACTCACCAATCTTTTACATGAAATAGAATATGTACATGACGCACTGAAGACAGGTAATTTGGTGGGAGGCTCGCGTATATCAGAATATGTGTAAACACTAATCCTTTATATTATCTTAGGAAAATTCCACATGGCCTCATTGCTATTGAACAGTGCAGATCCCGAAACTCTTAGATCTTCAAGCATTTTGAACCAAACGTTTTTCCATATCATCTGCTCGTTCTCACCATTCGACCAGGCTATTTATGATGAATACGTTGAAGACTTCTTCAATCTTTTGATCAATTTCAGCGTTGATGCTACTAAGTTGGATAACCACAAACAATCACCCATTCACTCAGCTTGCAAGTTCAATCAAGTCCTACTCTTGAAGCGACTTCTTCAGCTCAATACTATACAACTCAACGTCCTTGATAGTGAAGGAAAGAGCGAGATATGGCATGCTGTAGATTCGAACAGCATTGTAGCTGTTCAAGTAAGTCGTGCGACATTCGATTAAAAATGGTTTGAACATGTAACTAACCCTATCTTCGATTCAACAGCTATTGCTTGCAAATGGAGCAAATTTGAATGTAGGCTCAGGAAACATTACACCGATCTTGTATTTAGCCGCAAAATGGAAAAATCTGGAAATGACAAAACTGCTAATTCAGCATGGAGCTTCCTTTGATGACGGAGAGCTCCGTGAAAGACCAAATGCAATCATGCAAGCTGTGAAAGATAAGAACGAAAGTATTCTTAAGGCAAGTATCATTATCGTTTGAAGCTGAAACGACGAAGGGATGCATTCTAACTTTCCACTATAGGCACTCCTTGATGCCGGTCATTCACCAAATAATCCATCACTCTATGTGGAGAAAGTAGACAAGAAAGAAAAGAAATATGTATTGCATCCCATTATAGCTGCTTGCATGCAAAAGGATGATAAAATCTTCAAGGTAATTAACTTCACACCTGTCTGACATTGCTGCTACCAATGTGCACTCTCATGAACAAATCTTCATTAGTTACTTCTTCAATACGATATCAACGTTGATGTGATTTCGCCCAACGATTGTCTGCTCAAAGGACGTACGCCGCTGATGTACAATCTACACATCAAAAACTATGAAAGATCGAAGGTACAACTTTAACATACATTGCTTCTATATTACCAAATCTTTACTGATCCTTGGTGTCAACAGATGCTGTTTGAGCAAAAAGCAAACGTCAACATTATGGATCCGAACTCTAAGCGAAGCGTTTTCTACACCTATATGTTAGAGGCGATTGATGATCACATTTTGGATGTAAGTGCTGTTATACAATCGCTCATTTAGGAGAAATATTCTTTGCTAACAAGCCTGTAGTTCATGTGGAAACTGGACCCAAATGTTAACATTGTCGACGAGATATCTGGTCAAACTCTACTTGAGTTTGCGATTAGGAAAAACAACATGAAGTTGTTGAAGGTAGATATTTGTAATAGCACTGCCGTTTTTGTATACATTGATTCCTAATTTTTTCATGATATTCCCTAGCTTCTGCTCAATAGAGAGGCGAACAGAAACATCGTCAGCTGTCTTAAGGACGAAAAATCTGCTCAAAACTACTCTGATCAAGTTCCAGCTTTATATCATGCGATCTTGCATAACAATTATGAGGCAACCCAAATTCTACTTAACAATACCAATGGTGCTGAAATCGATTGGAAGTTTAAGGATCAATTTGGCCGTAATATCGTAACAAGAGCAGTGCAGTGCTTTGAAAATTTCTCATATGAGAACAACAAAATCATAACACTCTTATTCAAGCACATCGGAAAGGAATGGAAGCATATGAATAACGAAAAAGATTACGACGGTAAACATTAACATTAATGACATTAACGTCTGGTAATTTATACTAACTTCATTGAATAGGTAAACGAGCAATCGACTATGCAGCACAGCAAGCCAGCAAAACCCTCTACAATGAACTGATAAAGCTGGGAAGCAAAGAAATTACAGATGGCAATTTTGAATCAAGCGAAATGGATTCTGTATATGAATATCACCGAATGCCAGTTGAGCAGGATGCCGACGAAGCTCGCAAGATGCTTTTGGAGAAGGCCGAGGCTGAGAGAATAAGCAAAGGTGAAATGGAACTCGACGAAAAAGCCAAGGTTGATCCAATCTCTGAACTAGAAGACGTTGGCGAGGTCGTTGTTTATAACGGCGAACCGCTCGACATTCTGCTGCACAGAACAGATGTGATGGCGTCGCGTTGGGGATGCAATATGTGAGTGTTGAAATGTAATTTGTCAGCCAGGAGTTACAAGCTAATCAAGGTTTATCTGTCTCAGGTTTTACAAGATGTCTCTTATATACAACAGAGTACTAGAAATGGATATCTTATGGACTCGTTGGGGCGCTCAAGGAGACGACGGCATGCATCAGAAAACACCATTGCCTTCTCGTGAGGCAGCCGTAACTGAATTCGAAAAGATTTTCAGGTCCAAGACTGGCAATGATTGGGCTACAAGAAACACTGCCTTTGAGTCTAAGCCTGGAAAATTCAACATGATCCAGACTTCACCTTATAAAAAGGGTATTGTATTGACAGAGCTGGATATACCTATAGCTCCTATTCCTAGTCAATTGAGTACTGGTGTTCAGGATTGTCTCCGACTTTGTTTGGATTTCAAACATTTGAAATCCGCTCAAGAAGACAGCAAGATCGATCTTCCACTCGGCCAGCTGTCTCAAGAAACTCTTGAAAAGGCATACTACATTTTGAAAGAGATTGATGGCATTTTGGTTGAGCTTGACGTTGGAAATGTAGCCTTTGTCGGCGTACACAATGTGGCAAGAATGAAAGGTAGCATGACTAGAAATGAAAAGCCATGCATTTTCTATCAACTCACTAACTTCATTCATTTTAGTACTTCACCATAAATTGAGTCTGCTCTCAAATGAATATTATCTATTGGTTCCCAACAAAAGTCACTCTACAAGAGGAATTGTCCCCCTCAGCAACAGACCGTCCTTGAATGCAGAAAAGAGCCGACTTGACAACCTTCGCTACTTCAATTATACAGCAAATGTGCTTTTGGCCGCCCAGCATCGATCGGATCAATTACATCCGCTCGACTATGTATACAAATCTTTAAATTGTCATATGCAAGAAATAACACCTGAAAATGGTCACCGAGCTACATACGACATGGTGTCCAAATATATGCAAGATACTGGAGCAGGACCTAATGGTGAAAACTATGACCTTCTACATCTGTTCCAATTGGAGAGGGAGAGTGAAGCTGTCCAACATCAACCGTTTGCTGCTGTCGACAATAGGATGTTGCTTTGGCATGGCTCCAAAATTAGCAATATGATTGGTATTCTCAAGCAAGGTTTACGAATTAAGCCGGCCCAGGCTTATGAATCGGTTAGTACTTTGAGTATCACTTTTATTGTACTTGTGCATAAGTTACTGACCAAGAACCATTACAGGGATCAATGTTTGGATCTGGGCTTTATTTCGCGGATACCTTTTTAAAGTCTTCTGGATACTGCAACGATTACACCAGCGTGGACGCACAACCATACAGTCTATTAATATTATGTGAGGTTGCTCTTGGCAAAACACTTGATCTGTGGGAAACAAAGTTCATGGAACACAGCGAAGAAGGCTATCTTTCAACCAAAGGACTGGGAAAGTATGGACCAGATCCCACTTATCATAAATATGACAAAAACGGGGTAAGCATAACGTAGTTCTCTTCGCTTAAGCTGGAATTTTCCCCCTTACTTATCAATGTCTTTTCTCCCAGGTTATTGTTCCTCAAGGCCCATATAAAGAGCAAGTGAAACCCACGGGAAACAGTGCAACCAATATGTTTTCCTACGGTTATCTACATAACAATGAGTATATTGTGTACGACCCAGCTCAAGTTCGCATGAAATACCTGGTGGTAGTTCAGAACAAGCGGTATTGTCCGGTGTGTACTAAGCAAACAGAAAACGGATCCTTGAAGCGAATGCAGGATTTCAACTTCTGCGAAAAAGATTACAAGCATAACATGAAGCGATGCAATGAATATGAGTCTACGTTAATCTGCATGCAAATGGTCTATCAAGGTACCGATGCTCAAAAGATCTATCAAGAAGGCATTGAAAATCAGCTTGCGGCACTAGAAACCAATCCTTGTGGTAAGTTACTTGGCATCTTCAGTTACTAAATTGGATGTTTTTGTCATAGAGAGAAATACTAAACTTACATTGATGCTCTTAGGTGCCGACAAGTTGTCTCCAGCTATGCGACTCAACAAAACCACTTCTGTTTGCACCTCATGCGCAAATGATATCAAAGACCGGCTACTTATAAATTGGTTCAAAAAGACAACTGATGGAATACCTGGTAAGCTGCCTTTTTGAATTTTTCCGGGTAATTGATCTCATTTGAAACTTTCGTGGTGGTTAACATAAAATTTTGATTAGCTGAAGTACGCCATCGAGAAGACTGTAAATGGGGATATGAATGTATAACACAGCACAAGAGCTTGGATCATGCTAAACTATATAATCATCTCTGTGTAAAAACTGCGGAATGATCCATCACCTTTCCGAAATAAAAACCGTATACCATTATTTGAATTTCAATCGGTCGCGCTGATCGGAGTTCGTGTAACCATGCCAAGCAATGGAGATAAAACGTCAGTAGTTTGAAGATGCCAAGGCCCGGTATGAGAGATACAATCTCAGGAAAGTGCCGCTGTACGGAGGAATAATTTAAAGAGCCATATGATTCTCAGTATTTCTATTAAAGGATCCCTCAAAAGGCGCATTGCACATTTTTTTTTGTTTATACGTAATTTGACTTGCTCGCCTCCCCGAAGTGAGTGACTGTTTAGCCGTGTTAGATTATGAACCAATTTTGCGCACACTGACCAACTTTTCTTTGCTATGATTCTGTATTTCAGTATGTCGAATGAGCTTACCACCAAACACACCCCAATTCCAGTGTCAAGAGTTGTTCCATGTTGGTATCACAGTACAGAGTCCTCAAGTAACGCAATCATAACACCTTTTACTCAACTGTCTCTCCTCCTATGTTTTGAACGTCTATTTAAGGCGAACAATGTCGGGAACATAGAAAACGCTGCATTAGATCGCGAGTTGGCGGCTATTGTGAACGATGTATCAAAAGAAATATCGTATGTTCTCTTCAAGATGATGAGGCAGACTTTCTACGGCCCTACAATTTGGAAAGCAGAGAGAGTGTACAAGCATTCCTCCAAATGCTGAGATCAATAGAGACATTAGAAAATCAGATATCAGCTGCTGAGATGCAATTAAAGCGAAATCCGAGGAATCAACTGGATTGGCAATTATCCATGTCAGATGACCGAGAATCATCAAGCAATTCCAATTGGGAATTAACGATTCACTCATCATACTCGCAAAAATTGACTCTGAATGTACATATCGAGCGAACGGAAGGTAAGATATTCATTCACAATAGACCAGAGTAATAAGGTCCTCCGGTATGCCAATCACTCTCTAACAAATAAAATTTCAGATATACTGCGATTTATGAACAAAATTTGTACAGAACTTGGTAACAGCATCCCGAGACAAATATCTAAGCATCACCAAGATGTATCAGTTTCCATACCTTTTAACTTTCCCCGATTACCTATAATGCTGTTGAAATGCATCAGAGAATCATTAGAGGGTGCATCACGGCGTCGGGCCATATCCTTGGACTTGCAAATGTCTGAAATCAATTCAAATCATCAACAATTTTCGCCTCGCCTGGCTGAAGTATTCTTTACCTGCAGGTATTACACAGCTCCTTCAATACACCCAGCGTACTACAACCAAAACCAGGATAACTCCATAGGTCATCAGTTAAAAGTAGTGATGGGGTGCTTACTGTTAGGGAGGAGCTGTATAAATTCACCTTTATATAATTTACCTCAAAAAACTCATCTGCGTTTGCTGTCGTATTACATGGATCGCTGCACTGAGCAAATAGACCAGTTAATGCAGCTGGACAGCCCGCCTTTGACTCTTTCATTATCGTTGTTGACTCTAGCAGTTACACATGTCAATCTTATGGATGCTCGAAAAGGTTGGTTACTCATGGCGACTGCACGAGCATACTTACACAATCATATGGATGACTATTTTGATGCCATCATGGACAAAACCGGCCCTACAAATCCGGAGTTGGAAACCTACAAGCTTATGCTTCTTTTGTGCGGAAAGGCAGATGTAAACATATCATATCTGGTGCAAAATGGTCCTGCACAAAGCATCTTTAGCTTTGACGAGATGCTACTAGTGCCAAAACCCGTTATAGGCGATAACCCATTGCATCACGCAATAGTTAAGCAATCATTTTTATTTGATCTTATGGCTCGTCGGTCTAATTCTAGGATCGACTCTAGCATACAATGCTCGAACTCCATTCGAACAGCCAAGTGGAAAGCTATCACGCAGACAAATAGTGATTTTACAGCATGGTACATTGGGCTACCATCAGAGCTTAAGATAGGAGACAAACCATTTGATATTGTCAACATGGAAATTCCTGAAGACTTGGATACAAGCATTGCTTGTCTGCAACTAACATATTACAGCGAATGGGTCTGGGTCTATGGAAATGTTTATAACCCTGATACAAGCTCCAATCCTTCTAAAGATGAAGCAACTTTTTTGGAATCAACTCATATGATTTTCCTTGCGTCGCTGTCCATGGTCAAAGTATCAGAGTTTCTCCATAAAGTGGAAATGTGCAAGATTGAATATCACCGGTTGCTGTTTGCTTGTGAACCGTTACTGTACCTGGCCAAATCAACCGATTCTCATATTGCCTACGAATCAGAAAAAGCTTTAAAAAAAGCTGTTAGTATCCTTAAGTCTTTACTTCAGCATAACTTATTTTCTCCTATTTGTAAAGTTCATCAGGAAAACGGAAATTCTATCGCCTTTGGCCAGAGACTAATTGGCAGGTTGAACGCCTTGTTTTCAGAGTATAATATGCAGTTTTAGTATAACATACCTGCAATGATCCTTCTTAGATCATTGGATAAAATGCTCAATAATTTACTTCAAACGCATATCTTTATGTCGTAATTTTAAGCAACTTTCTTTTATGGTAAAGAAACAACTCAGAATAGAGGTAATGAGACTTGTCCAAGTTGGACAGAAATTATGTATAGGAGATAACGGTTGAATGGTATTTTTTAGTCATTAATCATAAATTATCTATATCAATTACGAGAGCATCATAAGCAGTTGAAAGCAAAGAATAGTACGAGCAGTGACCACAAGGTTATTGTTGGACGTTGCCGAAATCAAACACCGACAAAACGTTGAGAAAGTCTTCGACGAAAGCCAGTATAATTAACCGTCACTTGGGCATCTACTTAGTGGTCTGATATGCCTCTTATGGAGCATGCCAAGTAATTCTAGAACAGCACCTACAATCTTTCCAGTGCCAAGGGTAACTCCATGTTGGTACCAATACCTATTTGCGCCAGTATGTAATGTAAACGACTTTACTGACAGTCTCTCCTCTTTCCGCAATTACAGGTCAACAATGTCGAGAACATCGGAAACGCTGCATTAGATCTCGAGATGAAAACAACTGTAACCGATGTAGTCAGCGAGGAATACTTTGCTCACTTCAGTATGACCGTAGTAATGTCGAAGAGCAACACAATATAGATAGTGAAGAAAACGCACAAGCGTTTTTGATGGCCCTCAGGTCCATTGAAGCGCTTGAGGAAGAGATCTCCAACGTAGAGACGCAGTTACAGCAAGGACAACAACGAAGCCAACTAGAATGGCAGCCATCATCTTCCTCCTTAAGCGACACAGAATATGTGAGGAATCCAAATTGGGAAGTGATAATTCATTCATCCAAGTCGCGAAAATTGACACTCAATGTTAATCTGGAACGAACAGCAGGTAAACCTTCTTCTATACTTTCGGAACCCCAGAGAGATGGCTACTTGCATAGTGTGAAAATTCCCCACTAACTAATTCGGCCATACAGATTTGATACAGTTTTTAAACAGAGTATACTTAGAATTCGCTTCCAACATCCCCAGACAATTTTCAGATCCTCAGCAAGAATCGTCAGTCTTCATACCTTTCCCACATCGGCGTTTTCCACAAGCACTAGTACAGTACGTAAGAGAATATTTAAACAGCGAATCACTACGACAGAGTGTCAAGATGTACTCGCAGATATCTGCGCTCAAGTCCTGTAATCAACAAATCACACCGTTATTAGAACAATGTTATTTCAGCTGTGGAGACCCCCTGGCTCGATTAATTCATCCCGAATTTTACCGCCAAAACCGAGACAATTCTATAGGCAATCATCTGAGATTGGCGATAGGATGCTCAATGTCTCTTCGATATTGTATCAAATCTCCATTCTTCCACCTACCGCAATCTGCACAAGCAGATCAAGCGTCGTACTATATGGGTCGATGTAATGAAGTCATGGAAGAGCTGATGCTGTCAGACGATCCACCCTTATCCTTGCCATTGTTGCTATTGACCCTGTCTTCCGGGCATCTTATGCTTCAAAATGTGCGGAAAAGCTGGCTGCTCCTAGCTACCGCGCGAGCGTACTTACAACAGCGTATGAATATCTACATCCATTATATTAAGAACAAAGACGGTCCTACCAATCCGGAACTGGAAACATACAAGCTTGCACTTCATTCGTGCAAAAAATCAGATGAACAAGTATCGTTCCTCCTGCAAAATAGTGGAGCACAGCGAATCGTTAGCTTCGATGAGATACTCCTGATGCCAAAACCTGTCTTGGGCGAAAATGCATTGCGCCATGCACTTGTCAAGCAATCATTTTTATGGGATCTACTGAAAACCCGGTCTAGCTCTTGGATTGAATCCAGCGTTCAGTTTACGGACTCCATTAGAACCGTCAACTGGAAGACTATTAGACAAATCAATAGTGAATTCACAGCATGGTACATTGGGCTACCATCAGAACTAAAGATAGGAGATAAGCCATTTGATATTGTTAAGATGGACATTCCTCAAGGCTTGGATGCAGGAATTGCATCTTTGTTATTGACATATTACGGTGAATGGACCACGGTTTACACAAGTACTTTGAATCCCAATACCAACTCTGATTCATCCACCGACAAAGCGACTCTTGTGGAGTCCACTCATATCACTTTTCTTGCGGCAATGTCAGTCATCAAGATCGCCGAGTTCCTGAGTCGGGTTGAGATGTGCAAGATTGAATTTTACTGGTTACTATTCGCTTGCGAACCGTTAATGCTCCTAGCCAAGTCACCAGACGTATACTTCGCCAGCCAAGCAAGAGAAGGATTACAAAAAATGCTCATGATTCTAAAGACTTTACTCAAACACAACTTGTTTTATTCTGTATATAATCACCACATAACTGGAGATGGTGACCCTATGGCCTTGGGCCAACGTTTGGTTGAAAGAATATCCAATCTCTTTTCAACATATGGCATGAAGTTTTAGTATGATACCGCATTTAATGATATAATTGTTTTAGATGAAGAATAATTTAATTCGCTCTGTAAATAAATACGGCCAGTGTATCATTGACGTTCTAAGCTAGCCAGTGCCTCAAGCAAGAATGGGCCAGTATAGGAGGAAGCGGTTATGGCAAGCCATGTCGATTGGAAGTTTTATAGATCACCCTGGATGAATGATTGTGTAGTAGTGCTTTCCGGTTCTATACGGTGCCTCAGCAGATGCATCTGTGTGCCGCATGTATGATCTTTTTCGACGCATTGGATGCATAAGATCCTTCCAAGGCTATTTGACTAATGCTCTTCTGTGACATTCAGTGCAAACTTTGGAGATGTTATCTTCGTCAAGACCTTTTGGCCCTCTTTGATTATTATTTAAGATTTCATCTACGATCAAAATTGTAGTAGCAGGCGATATTTTCAGAATTATACATGCGCTACTGGATGGTGTGCCACAGAGTGTATATGCTGGCGGCTTTCAATGCCTCTATGCCGTCTATGACCACTATCAGTTTGGAGGGTGCATGTTACCGAAATTATTTACGCTTCTCTGTCAAGATATTGAAATTGCCTAGATCATAGTACTCCTTTGTTGAAGTTTTCTATATCTATGGGGATTTGTGTCGCTGCCGTTGGCGGTTACAAAAAAAATCTATAACGCCGAGATCACCTCCCCAGATTATGGAGCGACGGAATAGGCGTTATCATCTTTGCTTCGAATAAAACTTTGAAAGAATTCGTGGCTCGCTATTTTTACTCTGCCGTGGTAAGGACTTGGAGCAAGTCTACTCCTGAAATAATTCCAGCTTCGTTTTCGTGTATGGGGGCCGGATGATTTCCAAACGCTCAATGTGAGGCGGGATGACACGCCGAGGATGATAGGATTTCTAATCGATATGGGTTTGTCATCGGGTACCAATACTGTGAAGTCCAGAAAAGCGTCACTAGTACAGCTTCTTTCACTTGACCCTCCTTCAATTTCTGTGGTGACTTGTGCAATCAATTTCCATGGCACGAACATATTTGTCGTCCAATCTCCTCCTTGAAAATGAGAAATTTCGTGAAGCAGTTGTTTATCTCTCGTTCACTCTCTGTGAAGATTTTTTGCTATCCCTGATCATTGTTTTTATTATATCTGCGACCTTTTTTTTTCCCTCGTTACTTGCAAATATATGCATAACTTTTTTTTTCTCGTCTTTTAACAACTGAGAAAAAACGGGGTAAAAAGTGAAAGTAAAAATGAGACAGAGAGAGAGTGTTACGCAAAAGTGCTTGGTAGAGCGGCGGTTAAATTGGGTGAATTCAATCGCCACTCTCATATTTAAAGTTACAGACAACTTTGTTCTGGTAAGTATGCCACTTTCAGAGCATGCCAAGCGATCCTTCTGCTGTAACATTTCCAGTGCCTCGAATAATTCCATGTTAGTAATTCAATACCTGTTTGTGCCAGTATGGCTTCACTTAACAGTCTCTCCCTTTATAGGTCAACAATGTCGAGAACATCGAAAACGCTGCATCAAATCTCGAGACGAAAACAACTGTGGCCGATGCACTATGCGCGGAACACCTTGTTCACTTCAGCATGTCCAGAGTAAAGTTGAAGATCGATACACTGTAGAAAATGAAGAAAGTGTAAAAACTTTCTTGAATATTCTCAAGTCAATTGAATCGCTTGAAGAAGAGATCTCCAGTGTAGAAAGTCAGTTACAGCAGAGACAGCCACAAAACTTACTAGAGCAGCAGCCTTCGTCTTCCGTATTCAACGACACGGACACTACGGCGAATCCAAATTGGGAGCTCACTATTCATTCATCCAATTCGCAAAAGCTGACTCTCAATATTAACATAGAGCGAACTGCAGGTAAGAAATAGCCCGTTCGTTTCGTACAAATGTTTATTAGGTGGGAAATTCTAACTAACTGCTATCCTTCTAGATATCATACAATTATTGAACAGATTGCACTTGGAATTTTCCACGAACGTCCCAAGACATTTCTTACATCCTCAGCAAGAAGAGTCATTGTACATACCTTTCCGGCATCGGCGTTTTCCAAATTTGTTAGTACAATATGTAAGAGAATACTCAGATCGCAAAACATTGCGCAGAATGGTTGATGCCGAGTTGCGAATGTCCTCTATCACTTCTTTTCATCAGCAAATCACTCCGTCATTGGTTCAATCCTATTTCAACTGCAGACATACCAAGACTCCATTACTTCATCCAGAATACTACAACCAAAATCAACATAACTCTATAGGGCATCATCTAAGACTCATGATAGGGTGCTCAATGTCTCTTCGATATTGTATCAAATATCCATTCTTCTACCTACCTCGAAATCTGCAAGCGAGTCAAGCATCGTATTACATAGATCGCTGCAATGACCTTGTGGAAGAGTTGATGCTGTTAGATCACCCACCCTTAACCTTGCCGCTATTGTTATTGACATTGTCATCGACGTACATGATGTTTCAAAATGCTAGGAGGAGTTGGTTGCTCATAGCCACCGCAAGAGCGTACTTGCAACAGCATATGAATGACTTCATGGACGCCTTAATGGATAAAGACGGTCCTAGTAATCCGGAACTAGAGACCTACAAGCTTGCACTTCATTTATGCGAAAAGTTAGATCAAAACATAAGTTATATCGTAGAAAACCGTCCAGCGCAAAAAATCGTTAATATGGATGATATGCTTTTGATGCCCAAACCTGTCTTAGGCGAAAATACATTGCAGCATACAATACTGAAGCAAGCGTTTTTGTTCGAAATCATTAGACGTCGCTGTAATTCCAGGATTGCTTCCAGCATACAACTTACAAACTCTATTCGAACACTCAGCTGGTCCACCCTCCGGCAGATAAATAGTGATTTTACGGCCTGGTACACTGAACTACCGCCAGAGCTCAAGATAGGAGATAATCCATTTGACATTGTCAAAATGGACATTCCTGAAGACATGGATCCAAGCATTGCGCCTTTGCTAATGATATATTACAGTGAATGGATCTCGGTCTACGGAAACACCCTTAATCCTGAGATGAACTCTGACATATCGATGGATGAAGCAACTTCTGTGGAGTCGACTCATATTACGTTCCTTGCAGCAATGGCCGTCGTCAAGATTAACGAGTTTTTGAGTCGAGTGGAAATATGCAAAATTGAATTTTACTGGCTGCTATTCGCTAGCGAACCTTTATTGCACCTAGCCAAGTCAACGGATGCATACTTTGCCAACGAAGCAAGGCAAGCGCTACAGAAAACGCTTATTATCCTCAAAACTTTACTCAAGAATAACTTGTTCTCTCCTGTTTTGTACAATTTGCCAATGGACGGAGATCACATTGCTATAGGCGAAAGATTAGTTGAAAGGATATCCAATCTCTTTTCTTCCTATGGCATTGAATTTTAGAATATATAGGCATTATCTCTCCCTCTGTATTTTTGTACATATCGCCGTTTATATAAAACGTATTCACTATCAGTTCTGACATAGTTTTTCATATTACCGACCAAGATCAAATCCACGTAGACAGACGAAATAAAAGACACGTCTTCATTTAAAATGAAGCGTTAATGAAGAAGAAATCTAGATAAAGAAGAAATTTCATTCCATTTTAATCGCAGAGTTAATCCAGAAAGAACGAAATCTGAGAATATGAGAGAGCTACGATCATCAATAACGTTCGTTGCTAATTATTGCGTCAATCTTCCCGAAGGTCTTCCTCAAATATGTATGGTTGTTGACCAATAACATCGTCAAAGTCACTAGCAATGATAATGTGCCTTTCTATGACACAGTCATCTTCAAACAATGAATTTTTCCATTGTCTCGCTCAGCATAGTGGGTGTGGACTATCTAGGTACCACGACTCGCATCACATTGATTAGAATTATTTTCATGCGTCAAATGCTCCTATGATTTACTATCAGCATACGTTTAATGGGAAGTTTTCTAAAGTTAGGATCCCGATATTAGAGCAGAGAGCTTTATTTGTTTTCACAATCATTGTTCTTTCTCTATTCATGCCATTGTCACCAATGATTGTACTTGGAATGATAGAATGTAAAACATAGTGATGGTCTATTGGAGATTCGGAATATAAAAGTTAATCAAATGGTGTAGAGATTAACATTGATGAACAAAGGGAAAGGATGATATATTATCACAAAATCAGCGGGAAAGACCACTGAGTTAGCCGAATCAAACTATCTCATTGAGTTTATGAAATTATCATTGACTAACAAGCAGTCAGGCAGAATAGCATATTCGAAAGAAAACGGCCGTATATTGGAAGCTAAAAACCTGTTTTACTTCATTTTGGCAGAGTCTAAACATATAATACGAGAGCTTAAATGTCTATGATATAGCCACAAAATATTTCTAAAGGACTGTACATTGTATGTGGTGAAAGGTATATGCAGAGTGAAATGGGACCGAAAGAAGGTCAAAAAATTACCAAGCAATCTTGGCAATGAAGCTCTTAGGGTAGGATCGTACTAAAAGCTTGCGAGTTTCATCCATGAGAAGCATACCAATTGCAAGTGGGATTGGGATAAACCAGAACTCAAGAGGAATTGGCGCAGTTTGGAAAACGTTGTTGAAGAATGGTACATAAAGGATCTGATAGATAGAAAGCATACAATGAATACACTGTTTTTGACATACACGCAGAGATTGAGGGAGAGCACTTACGATGATGACAATGGCAATGCTGATACACATAGCGATAGGAATTCGCAAGTTTCTGCTTGGACCCCAGAATGGATTTTTTTGGAGAACAGATAGTCTTCTTGTTCTTGAGGCAAAGAGGTTTCCGAACAATTGCATAATGACGAGAGTGACAAAGTAAACGCATTGTCCTACGCTGACGAAATGGTTCAATTCATCGATAGAATGTCCCATAAATCCGTCTGCCCAGTTCTGAAAAAGAAGAGGAATATTAGGAAAACAACTCTACAATCAATAGCAGTCAAATCAAAATTTAAGATACTTACTTCATAGCAGTAAGCAAGGCGATACAAGGGGATGTTTGCGTACTTGTACATGTAGAAGAAGAACATGGAATGGGCACAAATCATTTCCATCATTCCCATGAAGAAATAGGCTTGACCGAGAAGATCCCAACTGACCAGCTTGTCTTTCTTAGGATTACGTGGTCTTCTAAGCATCAAGTCAGACTCAGGGCCTTCGAAAACCATACCCAAGCAAGAAGGAGCGAGATCGGTGAAGATACAGATAATAATCACTGGAGGGGAAAGAGTAAGTAAGGATTTGAGAAAAAATGAAATGACCTGCTGTGATGACACTTACTGAGGAAGGAAGACAATGGGGCTGGAATACCAAGGAAAATGTTCCACAGCACTGGCCAAAGCTCTGACCAGGAACCGGCGGGAAGTAAGTAAATGATGACCTTCCGCAAGTTATCAAATACAAGGCGACCATTTTCCATCGCAACCAAGATAGAAGAAAAGTTGTTGTCCAACAAGACCATGTCTGCAGCAGCAATTGCAACATCGCTACCAGCACCCATAGCAATACCAATATGAGCAGCCTTGAGAGCAGGAGCGTCATTAACACCATCACCAGTGACACCAACGATAGCACCACGAGCACGCATTTCTGGAATTGAGAGGTGAAGTTAGGTACCAAAGCGGACAAATGCCATTCAGATGGGGCTAGACAACTTACCATTGACAATACGAAGCTTTTGTTCAGGAGTGGTTCGGGCAAATACAATTTCCGAGTAGCTGCAAATGATATCCCATTCACGATCGACAAAGCCTTCCATCAAATCGCTTCCACTGATAACCAAGGCCGTAACATTGTTGTTGTGATAGGTTTCTTCGTCATCTTCATCGCGAATTGTGGGAACAGTGGAAGGATCACGGACCACCGCTGCGTTGTCGACCTTGTTGACGGTAATGATACCACATTGTTTGGCGATGGCAGTAGCAGTGATTGAAAAGTCACCAGTGACCATTACAACACGGCATCCAGCACGACGGACGGTAGAAACGACACCTGGAATCTCTTTGCGTGGAGGATCAACAATACCGACCTGAAGCATAAAAAAATTATTATCTGCCATCTTCACTGGTCATGTAACAAGAGTAGTAATTACCAATCCAACGATAGTAAGTTCGGCATTGGCGCTTTCAACGCTGGCGGCAAAATCTTCAGCAGTTTGATCCAAAGATATGATCTTGGATGGAAGGACAATAGTACGAGAGCAAAGAGCGAGAACACGTTGTCCTTTTCCAGACAATTGTTCTTGAGACAAATTGATGGCAGCTTGAGCCTCTGGAGTCAAGCGCTGCAAATCGCCATTCTTGTCCATGTATGAGGTGCATCGGGGGAACAAAATATCTGGAGCACCTTTGACATATAGAACAAGGGTTTCGGCGCCAATCTCCTTAAGAGCGGATTCAGAAGTAGGCTTTCGAAGCGTAAGCATCCACTAATAGAATAAAGAAGGAGGTTAGATCGTAAATGGACAGCGGTTGCGATTTGCACGTTGAACATACCTTATTCTTAGAGTTGAATGGAATCTTGAAAACTTCCTCGAAAGATTCTTGTTCCTTTTGAACAGATCCGAGGTTCTCAGCAAATTTCAAAATGGCGGAATCGGTAGCATCTCCAACGGTTTCACGAGTGTTCACTGGCTTATCCTCTTGATCAGCAGCAAATCCTGCCGCACAGTTCAGAGCAGCGGCAAGTTGCAATTTTCGGACAGCACTTGAAGTATCCTGAGCCTCTGACTTAAGTTCGTCGTAGCTAGCAATTTCAACTTGGTGGGCAGCGAAAGCAATGGTTTGCACAGTCATACGGTTTTCGGTCAAGGTACCAGTCTTGTCCGAGCAAATAACTGATACACTACCTAGTGTCTCTACAGTAGTAAGGACTTTGCAGAGAACGTTGGATCTTTGCATACGACGAGCAATGATGTTCAAAGTAATTGCTACAGCGACTGGTAGACCTTCGGGAACGAAAGCTACAATCAAAGCCAATACAACAATAATGATACCAGAAGCATCCATAAAACCATAATGCTGAGAAGAATAAACAATTCAATCAGCTCCATGAATGCAACACTAACAATAAAAGTTTCTTTTAAAAGATCTGAAAACTTACATATTTTTGGAGCCAAGCAGCCCACACAGCAATCAAGATAACACCTAGAACGATTGAGAAGCTGGCAACCTTGATGATAAAGCTGTTAATTTCTTGTTGCAAGAGGGTTGTTTCTTCTTCCTTTGCAGAGGTCAACTTGGAAATTCTGCCTAGAACGGTCTTATCGCCAGTAGAGACGACAATACCAAGGCCAGAACCTTGAGTGCAGTGAGTGGACATGAAAGCAATGTTCTTGGTTTCCAAGTAGTTATTATCGGTCATTGCTACAGTTCCAGGAATAGCGTCGGACTCTCCAGTCAAAATAGAACGGTCGAACTTGAGATCGCTTGATACTTCAACCAGACGCAAATCAGCCGGTACTTTGATACCCAAGCTGAGGACGACCACATCACCAATCACCAAGTCAGATGAAGCAATCTGCTTCTTTTCTCCGTCTCTCAATACGATACAGTTTGCAGGAAGCATGCTGTGGATGGATTTCATGACTTGCGAGCTGGAAATGTGAAAAGTCAACGGTGATGTTCAGCAGACACAACTCACGGAAGTTACATTCAACTTACGTTGTATAATCTTGCCAGACAGTGAAAGCGATTTGGATGATAATGACCAAGAAAATGACGCAGCCAATGTACAAGTTAATAGCTTGAGGGTCAGGCTCACCGATAGGCTTCCAGGACAAGATGGCGAGAATACCAGCCAACCAAAGAATACCAGCAAAACCTCCAAACATGTAGTTGAAAATCTTTTTTGGAAGGTTGGAAGGGGGTCGGGACATAACGTTCTTTCCATTGCGGTCGAGGCGAGACTTGGCAGCTTCTGAGTCGAGTCCAACTTTTTCAGCCGTGTTAAATCGTTGAAATAGCTCATTCGTTTCTACTTTGTGAAAATCAAGACCAGCCAATTCCTCATCAGCAGTAGGGCCAGCTGTCTGCTTTCTTCTAGAGAAAAAGTTCCAGAAGGATTCCTTAATGGAAGGTGCTAGTCGCTTAAAGTCTGACCGTTGGGTCTCTTCAATTTTAATGGAGAGGGTCCTGTACAGAATGATAGACTGTGGATTTGCAGCCGCCGATGTACTTCCGATGCTTGGCTTTGTAACGGGGCCAGCAAAAGTAATGGTTTGAGACCTGGGCACCGGTTGGACACTGGCAGAATCTAGGACTTTTTCATCAACCATAGTGAACAGATATGCTTACACAACACGGAACAAAAAATATTTCAGTAACTGCATGACTGGCTATTTATATGAAGTCGGGTGAAGCGGCCTGGCCACGGATTGATTGATTGGACTGTGCTTGAAATATATCAAATCTTCCCATTTGTCAAAATCTTACGTCTGAGCCATTTTGGCTGTTGGATTGTTTCAATTTCATCCCCGAAAGAAAAAGTGCTGCTTTTGGAAAAATAAATCAAACAGTCCCCAACGGAGAACTTGTTGCAGCAGGTGCGCTCTTTTCAATGGAGAAAATCTAGCTACCGGCAAAAAAGCTCATTGCAATTCTTGCAAAGGGAAGTTTCTGTCAAACGCTAACATCTACGCAACTTATCACATGGTGGAAAATTGCCGTTTTCAGCCCGTGGAAGAGAGAAGACAAAAGAAGCCCGCTCAAATTGATTGGCAGCCAGTCCGGCCTGAGGCATTTTGGCCATACCTTCGCTTTGGTAAACTTTTCGTTGATTGGATAAATTGAAGTGGCCTGTTTGGCCAGAGTAACTTGATGTACGATCGATATAATTACCTCAGAGGATCCACTGTAGATCCTTTGCTTGCCATTTGGAACATCTTTACTCTATTTTTATATTCCTGGAACTTAACCCATGTCAATAGACCTTGAGAATCACATTCGCTCTATAATCTTGCGGTAGACAGAACTAACAGCGAGTCCTTTGTTTATTCGTATTATACCGTTTAATAAAAATACAACACCCCTATTGCTCAGTTGAAGTCCTGATATCTATCTATGTCACAGCACCAAATAACATCATGAGTTTTCGAAGGGTATAGGTGTATAAGCATCGCCTATACAAAATCAGCTACAGCTTTCAAGCCTAGTTTTTGCATCAATTTACTATTTGTCTCTGGTTCCTTAACGAATTTGGTCAGTGTCTTCTGCGACCCCTTGACCTCGGTGTCAGGCCTAAGAATAGCCAGATGTAAGTAAATATGACTTGTTGTAGGTGCACAGCCAATGTATCAGCCACTTACCATTCGACAGAGGCTGCATTCTTTTCTAATATTGTAGCTGTGGTTGACCAACTGAATCGTATTATACTGGGATATCCAAAGACAGGGTCAATGTTCTCTTTCAGCCACCGGACAGTATTCGGATCTAAGGTGATAAAAATTTTCAGCATCATAGCCAAGAAATTTGTTTCAGGGCAATAAAATTTTTTTACCAGAGGGGTATCCTGAACCGAAAGCTTGACCAATGGTCGCACTCAAATTCGGTTCGGCAAAGGTCCAATTTTTCAATATGGCATCTCTCGTTACTTTGGCCACAATCGAAGCAGCACTAACTATTGGATAGGTGCTATCCGCTTTTTTTGCAACAGTTATATCGATTCCCGGAAACATTCGACTAAGCTTCGCCTGATAACTTGCAGGCGGGCCAACTGTATCGACGTAGATCTAGAAGGGGTTTCATATGAGCGAATTCATTACATCATGTATGCCACACCACACCAATGAACTTACCTCTGTGATGTTTATTCCTAGATCCAGTACCCCTCTAATTAGACCAATGGTCGATTCGTGTGCCATTTCATTAAGGTTGTACTTTTGCCTATGGGGAGTGATTAGGACGATGTCTTACTTTCTCTGGGCCATGGAGTTGATTCGCATCAACGGTACTTACCCTCGAAGCATACCAGCAGATATGGATTGCGGAGACAGTGCATGAATTGATGACCGTGCTATATCAGCATTTGTCTCCAGGATTTCAAAAAGACGATCTCGTTCATCCTCCTTCAACGTTTTAGAATCTGCCATGAAAGGATTTAGATAACAATCGAATATCACTTGTTCTCTTAGCAGTATAAGTCTATTACCAGCGAATCCCAATGCCTTCAGATCTTCATATTTGGATAATGGACAGTAACAAACGCTATAAACCATTGGGCCTTGAAAGTACGTCAGGAACAAAGCTAAAAATTTGCGGATGAGACACTGCACATTTTTTTACCCAAAACAGGCCCACGACCAGCTTCATCAACACCAAGTACGCAGGGTTGAGTCAAGTCGTCCTTGATAGAGTCGGGAATACTTGGAGAGTAAATGAAAGCATCAATGATGTCGACGTCCTTGCATGACACAGATTTCGAAATAGGCTTCACCAGTTTAACACCTTGGTGCAGTGTTATTTCAAAGTTTTCCATTGAGGAGACAGCAGAATTGGGTACAGCATTAACTTGAGATGCTAAAGAAATTTCACAATGCGTGCTTAGTTACTAGCCGGTTGCTACATTGCCGTTACCGTGGTAAATTCACTACCTTCGCTGACTGATGAATCTGTGTACGTCGTCTCGGATGTTCCGGAAGTGACTTTTGAAATAGTGACTTTTTGGCTACTCGGGGTTTGAGCGATTTCCAAGGACACCACTTCTGCGTTAAGCGATTGTGAACTGCTAGAAACTGCCACCATGTCTTTTGAAAGTGGTTGTGAAGGAGTTTGAGCTTGAAGTCATTAAACTTTTTTTGCACGCGACTTGACGCGACCCATTGTGACTGTGGAGACTAGAGTCAAGTTCATCCCATAGTTAAAAAAACCTTTGAGCACCTGCAGGATACTCCAAGTATATTATGAAAAGAGCATACATATATACCTTTATGCATCTCAAAAAAGCCATAGCATCAATAACATAGATACTGTACAGTACAGCACAGCATATTTCAGCACGACAAAGGTTGACCAAAACACTTTTTCGTGACTCCGATGATACTTTAGAAAGGTTCAACTCAGAAACAGTCAACCCCAACCGTGCCGACCTCCTGTACAATGTCGACCTCTTATGCAGCGTACTAAACCAGAGAAGGCTTCCATGTTTGGTTCAGTCTGAAAAGTCCTATTTACCCTCAGTGAACTGGCTTAGAGGAGGCAGGTTTTCTCGGTAACCCACTGTAGTTTGACATTCTAATCTACTTGTATCTATTTGTCGGTCCAAGTTGTTCATACCAAGGGAGTTCTGAGCATACCTCGCGTACTATCTTTCGTTGTATAACTGAGGCTGACTATCTTCTCCATTATTTGTTCTTAGCCGTCAACCTATCTGCCGTGTTTGGTTCAACGGTTGGTAAGTAAAATTTCCCTTTGTCATTATATCACACAACAATAGCTCTATCCCTAAGACATGCCACCTATTAGAGTCTATCAACACTCAACATGCTTGCAAGTACACATCACTAGATCATTATGCTAATCTCCAAACAACATCATGATGAAACAACAGACGCCCACGATAGTTTCTTGGTATGTTACTGAATGATTATTGGGTTCTCAGCGTTTTATTGCTGAAGTTTCTTAAGGTAAATTAAATTGTTTTGCAATCTCTGTAGTAGAATTAAGACGTCAAGTCCATTACTAGCTTAGGCAGTGACAGCGGATTGGTCAAGGTAGAGATCGCAAGCGTGGGGGTTCTTCCAGCAGTACTTGGGCATAAGGGGAGAAGCCTAATAAACGAGAGAAAATGGTTATTATTAACTTGAAATGGTCAATGCGCTGTTCAATATAGCAGAGAAACACTTACACCAACGCCACGGCCAACGAGACGCTCACGGTAGTTGAGGATACGTTGGGTCATTTGAGTGACACGCTTCTTGCCATTGGCATCACGGTTACCAGACCAGAGAGACTCGGCAAGAGCAGCAGCACGGGGCCACATCTTGCTGTCAACAGTGGTGTCATCGTTTTGTTCAGCCCAGAGAGGAGTGATACCACCAAGGACGTGCTTGGCTTCAGCAGCAGTGAGACCAACAGTGATATCATAATCGTAAATGCGTTGCCAGGTCTTGTAGGGAGCGCACCAAGAACCACCATTACCACCATAGTTGAAGGTAGTAGGACCGTAAGCAGTGGAAGGATCAGCAGCGAAGGCAGCAGAGATGCTGGCATCCAAAGCAGGAGAGTAGTCAACGTTGTAACGGGGATCGTTAGAGACCCAACCACCGAAACCTGAGATTTAAAAATGTTAGCGGGGTTGTTTAGCCTAATGCTGTTGCTCTATACCAGGAATACTTACCACAATCCAAGTAGAAGAAATCGGAGGAGGAAACGATAACATCGTAACCCTTGGAGGTCAAGATCTTGGTGTTGTTGGGACCATTGTTCCAGGTTTGCATAATGACACTCTTGGGAATGGACTTGGCAGCGAAATCAGCAGAAAGGATAGAATCTTCCCACATGATAAGTCTACGGTCCTTCTTATCCTGGAAGATAGGAAGAGCATTGTCAACATAGTGTTGAGCCAAGTCATTGTAAGTACGCTTGGGATCAGCCTTGAACCAATCCATGGTAGGAGTGGAGAAGTTGTAGCACTGGGTCTGAAGTTCATCGAAACCAACGTGGAAGTAGTTATCAGTGAAGAGGCTGGTCAACTCCTTGTAGACAGTCTTGATAGCCTTGTAGGTTCCAGGGTAGATGATATCAAGCTGACCTGGGTTGGGCTCAACGGCGGTGTGAGCGGGCCAGTTGTCGTTTGACCACCAAGAGTTAGCGCAAGCGACAATCTTGGGGTCAATTTGTTGCCATCCGGAGACGGAGTGACCGGGCATGTCGATTTCAGGAATGACACGGACACCACGGGCTCTAGCATAGTTGATGATCTTCTTAACATCAGAGTGGCTGTAGATTTCCTTGGAGGAGTAAGCATCCTTGGTCATCTTAGGTTCAGCGTTGATCTGAATGGGCCATGATTGAGCATCATCGATGTGCCAGTGAAGGACGTTAAGCTTGGACCAGGCAAGGGCATCGATTTGGCGCAAGATGGTTTCAACCTTCAAGAAGTTACGACCAGTATCCAACATAACACCTCTAAGCTGGAACTTGGGAGAATCCTTGATGGAGACGGATTCCTCAATGAGAAGACCGCTCTTGCCATCGGAGATGACAATTTGCTCAAGGGTAGACAAAGCATGCAAAGCACCCCAAACAGTCTTAGCGGTAATAACACCAGTACCACCAGCGGCAGGGATTTCAAGGGTATAGGACTCATCAACACCAGCTTGAAGATCAGCCTTGAGGTCAGTGACAACAACATCGATCTTCTTCAAGGTGTGCTTAGCACCACGCTTGGAGAGGGTGGGGAAAGGGGGATAGTCGACGGGAGCCTTCTCAATAGCTTGAGGAACCCACTTCTCCTTCCAAATTAACTTGGTGGTACGCTTGATAGCATCCTCAAGGACAGAGTTCTTGGGAGCATGGAAGGAAAGATGAGCATCGAGCTCAATGGAGCCAGAGTTACCCCACTGAATGTGTTGAGGGATGGGAAGGGGGTTGACCTTGACAGCAAGAGTGGCAGGGACCAATGCAATGGCAGCGATGATGGAAGCAACGATGGCCTTCATTTTTTTTCAGTCAAAGGAGTGACGGAGAGGGAGGGAAATGAGAGGATGATGAGTTTCCAAGAAGTTGAGCTTGCAGCCATTTAATATATAGGCGATAGAAAGATCGTGTGCTCCCTCGTTCGGAGCTTAGAGTTCTATCGAGGTACGACAGTGATAGCCTTCGACCAATAAGATGCTGATGGCGGGAATTATATCACAGCAACTTTTTCAGGGTCTAATAATATTTAAGATTCCAGGTGGCGTCGATTTTCCCAAGGGACCACTTGCATTCACCTGATTTGATGCCATCACACTCATTTCCATCATGACTTCAGTTTGTAGATATCGGTGTTCATGGTTAGCTCGACCTATCTCGATAAATACCGGAATCATTAGTAAAGTTTACGATATTCAAAAGGTCAAGTTTGGTCTGGCCGAAATGCCGGTGTTACAGACACATACGTGAGATTAGGTGCTACCGTACCACTAGCCCTGAAAAACGCCATGGGCTGCATTGCTTTTTGGAGGAACCGTTCAAAGATGGGGATGTCGCACCACCACACGGTCACAGGCAAAATCCTTTTTCCTTATCTCTCATTTGAAAGAACCCTGTTGATCGTCAAAGTTAATTGTCAGATAGGTCTGCTGTTCATTTTTTTTTTTGGGGGGAGAGGTACATGGCAGAAGAGAAATCTTGCTCTTCTTCGCCTTCTCACCAACTTTTTTCTCTCTGCGCCTTCACCTTGTACGCAATTCAATTATTGACCGTCTTGAAATGGATGCCATTGCGTGTCAGATACACATTCTACCCGATACAATGGTAAATTTGGCGCTTTGCTGTAGGAGCTGCTGTTCTACACCTAGTGAAGAATTAATGAGACTGAGCTGCTATTTTAAGCACTTACAAACATAACACTGCCGCAAAATTTAGATACACCACATAGCTTCTTATATTTGACGTTGCTCTTACACCAGGTTGGTCAGTCTTGAGCCCATTTATTAAGCTTTAAATTATTTTAGGAAAAATTAATACTTGGAATCTTCAGAGCATAGGTAGTCTCTATTCGAGGAAGACTTAGGCGATGACGGCGTTCTGATCATACATGAGATCACAAGCGTGGGGATGCTTCAAGCAGTATCTGGGTTGCAGAGGAGCAGCCTGTAAAGTATATGTTAGTTGCTTTGTCATTTCGGGACAAGTTTTTGCCTTTAATATTAAGGACCACTTACACCGACACCACGGCCAACGAGACGCTCACGGAATTCGAGGATACGGAAGGTAGCTTGGTTAACACGCTTCTTGCCACTGGCATCACGGTTACCAGACCAGAGAGACTCAGCAAGAGCAGCAGCACGGGGCCAGAGCTTGCTGTCAACAGTGGTGGCATCGTTTTGTTCAGCCCAGAGAGGGGTCTCTCCACCAAGGACGTGCTTGGCTTCAGCAGCAGTGAGACCAACAGTGATATCATAATCGTAAATGCGTTGCCAGGTCTTGTAAGGAGCACACCAAGAACCACCAGCACCACCATAGTTATAGGTAGTAGGAGAATAAGCAGTGGAAGGATCAGCAGCGAAAGCGTCAGAGATGCTGGCATCCAAAGCAGGAGAGTAGTTAACGTTGTAACGAGGATCGTTGGTGACCCAGCCACCGTGACCTGAAATTATAAAGATTCAGTAACTGATTAATCACTTTTTGTTTTTATACATTATAAAGGGAACATACCGCAATCCAAGTAGTAGAAATCGGACGAGGAAACAATAACGTCATAACCTTGCGAGGTAAGAAGCTTGGTGTTGTTGGGGCCGTTGTTCCAGGTTTGCATAATAACGTTCTTGGGAACATGCTTGGCAGTGACACCACCAATAGCAGTGATAACATCTTCCCACATGATGACTCTACGATCCTTCTTGTTCTGGAAGATAGGAAGAGCATGGTCAATAAAGTACTGACCCAAGTCAGTGTAGTCACGGCTAGGATCAGCCTTGAAGTAGTCTCTGACAAGAGAGGAGAAGTTGTAGCAGCCTTGATGGACTTCATCGAAACCGACGTGGAAGTAGTCATCAGAGAAGATACCAGACAACTCATTGTAGACAGACTCGATGGCCTTGTAGGTTCCGGGGTACAAGATATCAAGCTGACCAGGGTTAGGCTCGACAGCAGTGTGAAGTGACCAGACGTCATTGGACCACCAAGAGTCAGCGCAAGCGACGATCTTGGGATCAATTTGTTTCCATCCAGAAGAGGAGTGACCGGGCATATCGATTTCAGGAATGACACGAACACCACGAGCCTTGGCATAACTGATGATCTTCTTAACATCGGCATGGCTGTAAGTGAACTTCTTAGAGTAGGCATCCTTGGTCATCTCGGGATGAGCCTTGATATCGATGGGCCATGATTGAGAGTCATCAATGTGCCAATGGAAAACGTTAAGTTTAGCCCAGGCAAGAGCATCGATTTGACGGAGAATAGCTTCAACTGGCAAGAAGTTACGACCGGTATCCAACATGACACCTCTGTGGATGAACTTGGGAGAGTCCTTGATGGAGACAGGTTCTTCAATTTCCAAACCACTACCACCATCGGATATGACAAGCTGTTCGAGGGTGGACAAGGCATGCAAAGCACCCCAAACAGTCTTAGCCTTAATGACACCAGTGTTACCAGCGGGAATGTCAAGGGTATAGGACTCATCAACACCAGCTTGAAGATCAGCCTTGAGGTCAGTGACAACAACATCGATCTTCTTCAATGTGTGCTTAACACCACGCTTGGATTGGGAGAGAGTGGGGAAAGGAGTATAGTTGGCAGGGGGACCCTGGACAACTACAGGCTCATACTTTTCCTTCCATATCAACTTAGTGGTACGCTTGATGGCATCACTGAGGATAGCATTCTTTGGAGCGTGGAAGCTAAGATGATGGTCGATGGCGATAGGACCAGAGTGACCCCACTCAATGTGCTGAGGGATAGGAAGAGGATTTGCCTGGACAGCAAGAGTAGCGGGGATAAACGCGACGGCAGCGACAATGGAAGCGACAAAGGTCTTCATTTTCAGTCAAAGGAGGGACGGAGAGAATGGAAGGGGTTATGGAAGGTTGACAAAGCTTCCTTCAGTCTCCCAACTACAACTCTTTTATATACCTGAACAGCAGCTAGTTGCTGCGCAAATGCATTAATCACGATATTGCAAGTGTAATCCTGGGACAACCAAACATTTCAGCCCAACATCCAAACCCGGGCATACACAACAGGTAATGTTCAGGGTCTGTTGAGATTCTTCATGGAAGGTGGCGTGCTTCTTTTTTCACAAGGCAAGGGTATTAATGTGAAGCTGAGGTCTAAATAAACACTTAATCAACACATGCTGGTTTCTACAACTTCGAACCATGTCTACATTCTTAAAATTACATGGTTTTGACTTCTCAACAGCACGCTCGAAATGGAAAAGGTGGAAGCTGGTAGTTTACTCCCTCAGGCCGCTTGGGTGATACAGGAGAAATTACCTGTAAGCGGTATCACCATCCCTGCGAGAATTCAGCCATATACTATAAACAGAATAGGAACCCTTCTTTAACTTCGTGATGAAAGCTACTTTGACAGCCAGTACAAATGGTAGAAACTTTGTATGCTTTCAGAGAGAATTTTAAACACCCGTTGTAGGAGTTGAATTTTCAACTCACGCAGAAATAGTGATGTGTAATTCGCAGGAGCTAATCCGTAGCTTGCTGGCTTAGCTCGGCTGGACCCTGTGTGTTTTGTCTCTATCTGTCTAACGTTGCACATCTCGGAAGATTTGCAGTACTTCTAGCCCCCCCCCCACAGAGTGCTTAGAAATGCGGTGCCTAAATGACCAAGCAGTTTCTTTCTACAAAACGCACATACCATCGTCTGTTTCACTTGTCTGCGCGACATAGTACGCCAATGTGTTCTTCCCCATCTCCCGTCAACATTAGCAAGCTCGAGATCAATCAATAGACGCTCATCTATAATTTCATACAAAAATGCTCTCACGTAACGGCTCTTTCCAAATAGTAATGGGCGTCTTCCCACAGTGACCGCCACATTGCGAGAAAGTGCATCAACACTATGTCACCGTCAACAAAGTGAGATTTAAAAATAATCAAAACCCCATGTAGTATAGCGTCTACTCCGCGTTTGCTAAATCCAACTTGTGGAATGTCTTGCACCAGTGAAATGAAAAATACGCGTTGGCTTTGCATAAGAAAGTCGACCTAATCGCTTTACCTAGTGGCGTGCGCGCTTGTTTTTTTTTCACAATGTATTACAAAGCCCAAGGTGTGCAAATGTACGACAAGCACCCTTTATTTCGTACCAATTGGTGCGTTAGAAACGGTGTGACGGTTCGATACGATACTGTACTACCCTACCATGAAGTCCAAGATAAGATGAGTAATATCATTCTGGGCGTTGTGTTTGCGGGCGCTTTGGTCATGAAAAGCTGGAAGCTAGCATCACTTTGATTGCTTTTTCTGGTTCCATGTCCTGGTAATACAATCGAGAATGGCACTAAATGTCTCATTGGAGTGCATAACCACGATGGCTATGCCTTTCATTCTAATTTATTAGCCGACGTTCATCGCTGTGTCGTGTGAATTTCGTGGTACGCTTCCACTCCATCGTACTCTAGATCCACTCATTCCACTAAACAGATTAATAGAAGCCTCGGCTTATGACCCATATATGTGGAAGCGTCGGTTGCACGCATGACCTTGTCTACAATACTGCCTATAATAGTTCCCTTTATTTAACGACCCTGACATTCCTAAACTTCTACGATGTATAATTTTGGTATTTGTCAACTATGAGTATATTTTTGTAAAGGGTCCTACGAGCTGCGCAACTATGGTGTGAAATGTGACCCAAAAACAGAACGAGCGAATTACTGTATGGTATGGTTCATTACTTCATTTCGATAGACAAGTGTTTCGTTCGGATTATATCTGCATTCTACCAACCCCGAGTCTTCGAACATGCTAAGGAAATTGAAGGAATTCATTCACGAAGCCATACTCGGTATGTTTTGTTAGATCTCTCTTTTGACCCAAGCGTAAAAGGTGTTTGCAATTATCGATAAGAATAGGTATAGGTAGCTTATCTGGAATGGAGTTGAGCGCCGCCTATTTCCAATACACCGGTAGTCGGAGGTGTCTTTTTCCTTACGGTGGGTACCATTGTACCATTATCGTATTATTCCGTCGATGTCCCGTATTGTGGGTTCCGTTTCTTGGGTTCCGTTTTCTTTAATTACCTTTCGGAGTCTCGGTTTGGGGATTTTTTTTGAAAAAGACTAATGTACTAAGAGTATAGCTATCAGTCAGCTAAGGAAGTCATTGCCACTGAGCATCTTGCGATGTGGTCATGAACAGAGCTCACTGATCCAAGGATTTACTCTATGGAGATTAGCCCAGCGCTCTTATGGTGATGTCGTAAGCCGCGACTTCTCGTGAAACGGACGATTATTTATAGTTAGCATTGCGAGATTCGCATTTGAGAGCAGATATTTGAAATGAATACCGTTCATTGTGTTGACGGCTTAAGGGGTTGCCCAAAAGACCCCCAAAATACTCCAGTCACAAAATCAAATTGAGACTTGGGTTGCTGATATTCACGAAGCCAGTGCTTTTGAGCGAACGAACATATTGCTAATACTAATATACAAGCTAAATGTGTTGGATTTAGTGAGAGCGACACAGTCAGAATTTAGCATTTTTATAATGGCCATACAAGTGTCCGTACTCAATGTTATTTTCATATTTTTAGTTTCTGCAGATCGCGATCATTTTGCGTCGCGCTCAACGCGATCGTTTTATTGAAGACCAATCATCATGCAAACCAGCTTTGATCCAAGAACCAATTATTTATGATCAATTTATGTTACAATAGTCAAGTTCTACAATACAATGTTGGTGCATGGTATATCAAGTAACTCACCAACAACATCGACATTTTTATCGCCAATTATTATCAACCAGAATAAGAGAATGCTTATTGTGAAGTGGGCTATAGCTGGGTTATTAAACATTTTTTCCATCTTTAAATTAAGAATAAATGATGAACATTATGAGATACGGCTACTAGCATGTCAGTGAAAACGTCTTTTGACCGGACGTGTACAGAAAAATGAAAATTTGCACAGGAATATAATATAATATATATGGTCATTGTCATATATCTTGTATTGTGGGGCGAGAAAATCGTGTACCATCCTATTAGGCTGATGATATATAGATTATTTGACTTTTTTTCGACCATTATATCTCTTCTATTGCTTTGATTAAAGATTGATACTCTAGGGTGCGCTTGATATGAACTGAAACATGAAGGCACAATTCATTCATGCCACCTGAAAATGTAAATATCTTATGTTCAAAAATAGATCTTGAAATCCTGATTCACGCAAATCACTACTCGATATATTTATATTCCAATATAATGATTCAATCTTGTGCAGCCAAACCATGTCGCATATGTATTGTAATGTTTGAACTTCATTGTCTAAGGTTAAGAGCATCGCACTTGGTAGAACGGAGCTTGAAACGGTTTCCATTCTGAGACAAACTCGAGTGCTGGCTTCCCCACTATTACTATGGCCTAGTTAGCCAGCTTCATTGCGGCAGGATCGCGTTGTCGGTTGGTTTGTTTGAGGAATACAAAATGTCTTTGTCCTTCTCCAGAATAGTTTCTGGCTATGTTAAAACAATCGAACTTCCCAAGTTCACGAATGTCGTGGTAAAAAGGTTCAGTCATAGTTTCTCCCTCCTGAACTGTGTTACTGTGGCTCATCATATCATGCAAATAAAAACATGGCATTAATAGCTGAAAAGATTTCTTTATCGCTAGGATAAGGAGGCAACGATGAGGTTGCACAGACATTATATCCCTTTATGGGCGCTTCAAAATTCTCAGTAACGGCTCTCAGCCGAAAATGATGAATTTAAAGGTTACGACTTGGATCAACTACTTCGGCCTTCGACACACACACGCGCCTCGTCTATTCCAGTTAGTATTAGCAGCAGCAACAGGATGCATAAGAAAAGCTCGATCTATCTCTTTGTATACTATGCTCACCAGAAAAGGCTGGCGCAAGTACGATACTGGGTTTAGACCCAAACCAAAGCAAACAATATGTTAGAATTTAGATCAACAAATAGTATCAAAGCCTACCGATGCACTTACTGCAATGGCTTGGGTAGCTACTGTTACTTTGAAGCAGTCGTGTTATCCATTTTGTCACACCAGTTTTGGTGCCCAGGCATGAGCCGATGCACCGCGAAATGGTGCGCATTGAAAGTCAGTTATTTGATGTTATCTTTTGGATTTGAACGGTAAGGGAGGTTTGATCAAGTTGAAAAGTAGCTCATCCTAGATGGAAAAATCATAACGCAAGTGATTCATCTGATTATCACCAACTTTTGTCTTACTTGGTCAGGCTGGCCAAGACTTGTGTACTTGCTTATGATGTAAATTTCAAGTGTGGCAGACCTGAAAAGGGAACACCTTTTCTATTTTTTGATTTTCGAATACTCCGCTTGTACCTATTTTTTTTTTGTTTTTGCCAGGCCGTCTTCAGTTCTATTCTCGCCGGTTTCTTTTTGCTTGAACTTTTTCAACTCTGCAAGCTTAAGATGCATTCGTATCATTATGCTCCTGCTTTAATGGCCGTCTTTGCCGCTTATGCTCGCGGCGATATCATAGGAGATGCTCTTAACAACATAGATGCTGCATATGATCCTTTTGATGGTGGTAAGTGCTTGCCACGGAATCCATATCTGCTTCCTCGGCAGCCTCCTCACAAACCTCATATTTATATTAGGGGATACCACAACAACCAGTTACAATGATGGTCAATATACACCATTTACTCCATCTCCTACAGATACTACCACAGATTATGGAAGTACTACAGATACATCTACGGATACACCTACAGACACACCTACAGACACACCTACAGATACACCTACAGATACACCTACAGATACGACCACAACAACTACTGATACTCCAACTGATACGCCAACAACAACAACAACGACAGATTTTTTCAGTACTACCACAACAGACTCCTTCTCTGTACCCACCAGCAGTAGCTTCTCAAGCTTTACTAGCATGCCTCCCACAACATCTTTCGTTCCTACTTCAACGGATCTGTTCTCGAGCAGTTCAATCGCCTCCTCCAGCACAGCTACACCTGCTCCTACCGACTCTGCTGGCGGTCTAAGCACTACCCAGAAATCGATTATCGGCGGTGTTGTAGGAGGTGTTGGTGGCGCTGCTGTGGTGGGAGCAGCGGCCTTCTTCTTACTCAAGAGACGAAAGACAGATAAAGGAGATCTGGAGGTTTATCAACCTGAAAATGACTTTGACGATGACACCTATCCACAACATGGCGGACGGCCTTATTCAGACTATGATTAAGGGTCTCAAAACGGCCGACTTTGCTTAAGGCTCAAACCCTTTGACTGGTACTTACTATTTAATGAGCGTCCTCCTCGTGTTTCTCCATTCTATTGTACCACCGTTTGTTACATATGCCCCTTTGTATTAACTCTCCTCTACACTGAGTACATTCTAATATCATGCCCATCATTTCATAAAAAATGTATTGAACCAAAAAAAAAAAAAAAGGTATATGCAACATGAACATGCAAAAAAACCCTCGTTGAAGTCGTTTTTCAGTGCTTTTAAGTCAATCCCATTGAGGATTTGCATTAGAAAATGACATCCTCGTCCTCTTCGTCGCCCAAAAGATCTAGTTCGCCAGATTCATGTGCTGCCTGAAGCACGGGTGTACTGATTTCAGCATCATGTTCACTCTCGGCTTGCGCCAAAGCGAGCTTCTTAGCATTGTCGGCTTCTTCCAGAGCAGCTCTCTCCTTCTTCTTGCCTTGCACTTTTTTCAATCTAATACAATGGTGTTTGACAGAAGGCGTAAGTATTTCGCATTCATGGAGTGGGACAATTTACCCCATGCTCACCTGAAGAATTCTTCACGATCTTGTTCGTCTAATTCCGATAATATGTACTTGATGGTGTTTTCATAACGAGGAATGATAACGTGCTCAATGGCGTTAACACGTCTATTGGTTAGCTTGATGACTTCATCAAGAATCACAAATGCCGTCTGGAATCATGCAAAAGTCAGCTTAAACATTGCTTTATGCCATCAAGACCCCGCCGCCCGCCCATGATTTTTGGACTTGCCTGCAAGCTGGCTAGTTCGACCAAGGTCTCAACAGCCTTTGCATAAACTTCCTTTGTCTTTTGAATTTGCTGACCACCTCTACCAAGACCAGTGAATTCAAAGGCTTTAAAAAGTAGTTAGATCGACGTTTTCTACCGACATCATCGTTCAAAGCATTGTAATTTACCATTTCCTCCTTCGTTGTAACTCTCGAACACTGGCAGCATGACACCAGATACATTCTCTTGCTTGGCTCGTACTTTGAGTTGAGCGGTTTTTGCCGATTCTTGAACTTGATAACTATCATGGAGGGAGGCGTTAACAAGCAGTCAGGTTAAGTTCGATATGTAAAAAAGTTGTCTTACCTTATATCGCCCGTAATATATTGAACTTCTGCAAGCGAAAAGGATGCTACCTGCATGACTTTTCCCATCTTTCGCTTAAGCTATAGATGTAATTAAGATAAAGAATTAGGCTGGGTCAAATTGATTCAGATCCACGGTAGGCATCTTCAACAGACCTCATCGATTTTTTGTGTGATCGTTCGAAATCGTTTGGTCAGTGCTTCTGATTTTCTTTTCAAAAGGGAATGTCCTGTCTGTGCACCCTTCAGCTTTCCCTTCATGGTCGTCAAGGCCCTATTAAGCCAATGTCAAACGGTGTTAGCCAACGCAAGTTTCTCTCCAAAGTGAAATTTCATAGCGAGGTAGCTTCGTGTAATATCAAAGGTTTGGCAGCTTACATTCGCGTTGGGAAAATGCTCAGGCGTTGATTATTGCCGGACATTCTGACTATAGGGATAAGCAAAGAGGTCGTGTTTCTTCTGTGGGCTTGCAAGTCGCTGAGACCACGAGTTGATTTTTATGATATAATTAATTACATTCTCAGCCAATGAGATGACCGTCTGCTTGGATGTCATTCAGCGGCCCCACGAGCACTTCCATTTGCCCATTGTTTTTCGCCATATCTTTTGTTGTCAATAGTGTTGTGTATGATCAAAATATGCGAGCCTTTTTTTTGCCTTTACGTTTGATTAAACTTCCATTTCTAAAGACATGAGCATCAGCTTGTTGCTGCTTCGACATTTCTGTCAAAAATTGCTATGCTTTTGTTCTTTTTTCAGGATGATCCCCGTTCGAAGTATGATTAACTGTTAAATTGAGACGAGGCTTTGAAATGAGTGCGGAAGTAAGAATAGAAAAAAAGAAAAGAAAAATTTAATCAAGTAAGGCTATTGTGGTAAGGCCATTGTGCCAAGATTTGATCTCGGATAACCATATCAATGTATTCGGATCCAAGCATCCCATATTGCTCAATCATATACATTATCTTAATGGCTGATGTGAGCCATAAGCAAAGCACAGAGCAGAACGTTATGAAATAATATTGCGTAAAATTCTGTAATGACTTTTGACTAGTTGTGTTGATCGGTAGATACTAGCAAGCCGATGGAGGAGCAAAGTATTAAAGATCGTCTTCAAAGGTCGGTGTAAAAAAATCGAATTTAGATAACAAATTATGCTCTTTCGTCTAAGCGAGCCCATATATGGTGGAGTTTAGCTATGAACTACCGCAAGGAAAGTCTGTTGATTCCTCTTAAACTGCGGCTGCGCTTAGTTCCAACTGGAGATGACCTTTGCCAAATCAAGTGAAAAGTCTTGGCTGGGGAAATGACATAAATTTCAACCACCTCCAGCTCAAGAATTTCCATTTCTCTCAAGCAAACAACCTTTTCATAATGCAAGAACCAATGAATCAACCTCCTCCTCCATCACTTCCAGCTGGATGGTACTGCATTCAAATATATTTTATGACGCTACTCTAACGACATTAACTAATCTTGCGTCTGATTTATAGGGTTGCTCAGTAAATACATATTCTCAGCTGAAACGAAACCTTCTGTATTGAACTTTGTTTAAATTAACCTGGTTACTCTTTTAATAGATGGGAACCTTCACAAGGTCGCTACTTCTTCGCCAACACTATGACAGGCGCCACTCAGTGGGAAATACCAACCGATCCAGTTAAAGGTGGTGAAGCCAACAGCTATCAAGGAGTTCCCCCTCCTGAATATTCGCCAAGCCCAAACACGCCAGGCTCAAGTTCGGGTCAATCCACAGACAGAGGACTTGGCTCATTTATATCAGGTGCTCTTGGTGGAGGACGACCGCAACAAGGCTATGGTGGCGGCGGATATGGATATCCCAACAATTACAACCAGAATTACAATCAAAACTACAATCAAAACTATGGCCAAGGTCAACAACATTCAGGTACATTTCATTTTTTTTAGGATAAGGGGTCCGGAACAATGGTTGCTTGTCGGGATAAAAAGGGCTAATGTGTATTTATCGGATAGGCTTTCCTGGAAACAACATGGGAGGCGCTCTCGCCGGTAGTTTGATAGGGTAAGGAAAAGAACATTGAGAACATTTTAGTTTGAGTGATATTGACTTTACCGATGGTTTTGAAATCCAGATTGGCCGCCGGTAAACTTATGGGCGGAGGTAACCATCATCACCAAAACCATGGCCTTCTGGGCAACTTCATGGCGCCACCCGTGCCCTATGGTGGATTTTCTGGTCGTAAGTTGAAAGATATGGGAGCACAAGAAGCGAGAAATTTTTTTTGTTCTAGCGTACTAACTGATGCATTCTGGTATAGCTCAATATGGATATCCTGGTCAATACCAAGGACATCATCACGGACACCAGCATGGACACCATCATGGGCATCACCACGGACACCACCATGGGCACCACCATGGCTGGTAAGGGACGATTTTCTTTTCTATCTTTCATGATCACATGCATTATGGGCCACATGTATGGACCTCCTTGTCAAAGGAGTTGAGAGAACGGACCTTGGCCATTTTTTTTTTTCGTGTTTCGGGCTGGATTGTGATCAGACCCAACATTTACGCTTTATTACCTTACATATCCCACTATTATACTTGTACTATCCCTTCATTTCGCCACGTCTCGGCTGTACACATTCGGGACGACTTGCCCTACTCATTTCCGAGCTCTTTTTTCTTGTATATGATTCCAATAGAGTGATAAGTAAACTAAACTTTCCACGTAAGAAAGCAAAGGGTGGGATGTACGAAAGTAAACGTCACATGTCATATGTGGTTGCAAATGGCTGAGCTTACGATGCCGGTTATATAATTGGTACATCATTTGGCCATGACGGTCTTCTAACTTGTGCATCGATGTCTACGATAGCCTAGAGTCAACTGATTGTGGCGATATTTCCCCTGGCATGTAGGGAAAATGCCACGCATAAATAAAACAGCAACTTGCGAACGGTACAAAGTGTTCAGTATAGAGTAGCTGGCTGAACCATTGTGATCATCATTAACCGAAGACCAGGGGGTGCAGTCTAAATCGACTTGTGTTTCAGGGTGGCGAAGAGAGTCTAAACATGGCGTCAGGCTTTTCGGATTGGCTCCCGTTCGCTTTGTACGGAATATGCGGACCGCTGCCAATTGCGTAGTAACGTTGTGTAAGTATCACCATCGATGATTAGCTAGAGGGCGGAGAAGAAATCGAACTTTTTTTTTTTTCAATAGAAGAATATTGACGTCGCTTAGCAAAAAGACATCATTCGATGACCACAACAGCATGAGTGAGAAACCGATGTAATAGCCAGGCCTGGGGGAGTTGAAGCACCGCTCAGGAACGCATTGGTTGAGTAGCTCTCCCTTTCTCTACGTAAATTCTCATATTTCTGACCAATATGCAAAAACGTTCTCAGTTGCCGCGACGCCTATCGAATCTTGTATGACAGCTCTCGAATAGTCGACGGATACTGGTCTCCGAGGAGGAGTTCATGTTGAGTACATTGTTGTTGTTATTGTTGGATGGCCCAATTTAGTAATTTTGGAGTGAAGTGCCTCGGATGACTCTCGGAGCACAGCTTTTTTACCGCGTGTGACCTCATATAGAAGCGTACCTCAGTCATAACATCGTATTCCACGCAGCTTTTTTTTTTCTTTTCCTATATAATAGTACTACTTTGCGCCTCCCCGCTCATCCAACGAGATCTTCTTTTTTATTATCACCCTTTCTTCTCATGAACGAATCTCACACCAGCAACAACTGGTACCCACCAGCTTGTGATACCGATTTTGCGTTCCAGCTTCCCATCACACCCAACGACTATACTTCAACCTTTCAAGTAGCCATGCCAGCTTCACAATCCAACAGCGGCCGACTAGCTCACCGCCGACGAGCATCATGTGCTATCTCTATCATCCAGGAGAGTCCTGCAGGACATGTACCTTGCCCCCCTCAGCCTTGTCCTAGCCGCTCACTCTCTGATTCCATGCTGGTTGTCAAGCCGGGTAGGGAATGTATAACCAGTTTTGACAACGAAGCAAATACCAACACACGCCAATGGCCTATGGATATTCGAACGTGGTGGAAACCCTCTCATGCAAATGAGAAGCCACCTTATTCTTACGCCACTTTGATTGCTCACGCTATCTTGTGCAGTGCTCATGGTAAACTTACATTAAGTGATATCTATCGCTGGATCTCTGAGCAATACCCATATTACGCTCTTGGAAGTCACGGCTGGCAGGTATGTCTGCATGCGGTAATAAATGTAATCTCCTCCCCCAACTTGCCGCTCACATTTGCCGATCCTGCAGAACTCCATAAGACACAATTTGTCCCTGAATAAGCGAAGCTTCGTTAAGCTTGAACGCCGTCCTTCAAAGCAGAACCCTGGAAAGGGTAGCTATTGGGCTATCATACCTGGCGCTGAGCGTCCGTTTATCGAGAACCTCACCCGTAAAGGTGGTCCCCGAAGACATCATCAATCCACTCTTCCTCTCGGTGCTCAGTTCGCTGTCGCCGACACTCCTCAAGGCTTAGCCCGCCATGATAGTGCTATTGATGTCGAAGGTGAAAGCTGCAAGGTCACCAAGTTGTGCTCTGCCAATCTCCTCATCACTGTGCCAGAAGATTATCAAGAACACAAGAGCAATACCAGATCAGGTTCCTCTGACTATCTTCATATCTCCAACGTTGAAGAGGAAGAAGCTGCTTCCATCCAATATTCCCCAGATCAGTTTACACAAACCACTCGATCTACCTCTCCTCTCTATACTACTTTCAGAATGTCCAAGGTTGAAAAGGAAAAGCCCGCACAAAGCATTGGTCGACGAACTCGTCGTAGCAAGAAGAGAAAGCAAAGAACCCGCGAGGATTCTTATGACTCTGATTGTGACTCTGGTGTTGACGTTAGCAATGAATATATTGGCTCTCTCCATAAGCGCAAGCAAAGACGGAAGTTGGCCAAGGAACAAGCCGACATTCAAAAGGCTGAACTCAGCCATGAGAATCCTGCCGTCATAGCTGAGGAAGATTCCAATCTGGAATTGTCCTGGAGAAACATGCTAGCATCTGGCTTGGAGCTGCTATGCCCTGACCAACCTGGCTTTGACCTCTACTCTGAATTCTCATACCTAACCAATGCTGAAGGCGAAGGTGCCGATTACTTTAGCCATTGTCCACCCAATGCCATCACAAGACCTCTTGACATTGATCTCAGCTTGCAGCATCCCCTACAAAAGGAAGCACTAGACAAGCAAGATCAGAATAATGCTGTCTTTGCCTCCAAGAACTATTCATCCATGCTTGACAGTCTTCCGGTTGGCATGCACAAGACCAAGCAAATGTCTCCGGATCTCTCTGGCGTTACATTTGCACAGTTGCTTCAGTCTGCTACCGTAGACGATGAGACTTCCAAATACCTCAAATTCGAAAGCAGTGACGACGAGGAAACTTCCAACTCTACGGATTCCTATTGCGTGACTCCTCCTTCATTACCATTGGACGACCTGTACCCTCAACTTCATTAACCAAATCACCTGCTATTACAGTATTATATTGTACATTTTATCATCCACATACCCTCCCGTCGTCTCGATACCTCTCCTCTTTTACCCCGTCACGCTTTGGCATGGCAATTTGTTCTGATACCCTGCCAACATTATCATTATTGCTGTTGTTTGTTATATTTGATACCCCCATCCCCACAGCTTGACTATCCGTGAGAACTTTTTTTGTATATATTCACTTCCCATGAAGAGAAAAGAAAGTTAAAAATCACAAAAAAATTTAATAAACCAATGAATACTCAAATTACATCACGGTGTGAAGTCATCCTAGTCCACTAATACGTCGCTTCGTAGTACATACTTCACGCCTTTGGTGACCTCTTTAGCTTCGTGTAATAGGCAGCTTGCGCCGTGACGATGGAGCAGAGCGGTTCCCTTCATTGGTCGAACCACCACCGAAGACTTCTTTTTTTCCGTCTTGTAAAACACGGTTTCACCACCTGCCATGTCTTCCTCTCCGGTCAGATATATCAACAGTGTCCATTCACTCCACATCCCAGTCTCGTTGTCCTTGACCGTATCGTCGTAGTGGCATTCGAACTTTTGTCCAGGGGTATATCGATAGATACGGATATTAGAATTCAAACCCGCTGGCGTATGTGGTAGTGCCGCCTTACGAATCGCTGAAGTAGAATGAACAATTTGATCTATTCCGATAGACCATAAGGTGTCCGCAAAGTTGACATCACTGAGCGATATTCTGTCGTTACTACGCAATGCCTCGCCCCGTTTTGGGATGGCTGGTGTAGTTTGCAGGTGAATGTTGGTTTCAATGTACGAAATCAAACTATCACATTCTTTGACGGAAAAGAAATCAGATATAGTGTAGATTTGCCCTGGTAGTAGCTCTTGTACTTGCAAATCCGACTTGGGGAATAGCTTTGGCCATTTTGATCGGGTTGGCTTCATGGGCAGTAGGGTGGTTTCGTATGTGACTCTTTTTAGAAAATTCGCCCAACACCTTCCGTTTCCCTATTTTTCTTTTTTTTTTTTTT